AGAAACCCCAGAACCAGAAGAGGGGGAGGAGACACTCAGACGGCCCACTGGGAAGTAGGACGCATAGTCGCCGGAAGGGAGCTGGGTCCCCTCATACGCTCCCTTTACCTGGCTCTGAGAAGAGGCTCAAGGCCAAACGACGCTGTCACGCAGCAACGTGTCGTCAACTTCGCGCCGTCATTCTCTCAACGGGTCCATGGGTATCACATTCACTCTGGCCTCTCGCCGGGATTCCTACCCCCTCCCCGGCTGCTCCACCCTCTCCTCCAACTTCTCCACCTGCTTCGCCGTGCTCAGCCCCTGCTTCTCCGCCTCCTTGCCCGCCCGACTCTCCGCCTCCCTCTTCCTACGCCGCGACCGGAACCAGGGCCAATGGACGACCTTCTGCTTCTCCAGGGTGACGGCCGCGTCCTCCACTGTGGCTTGCGTGGTAGGGCCCTGTGGCTTGGCGTGGCGAGCAGCCTCGGTGCGGGTCTCGGTGGGCTGCGAGGCGCTTTGAGCAGGGTCAGACTCTGCCGCCGCTTCCTTGCGCTGCTCTGCCTCCTGCACTTGCGGGGAAGCGGAGACTGCGGCTGCGGCTGGCTGAGCGGAAAGTTCCATGGAGTCCTCTCCCTCGAGGTCGAAAACATTACTGCGCCACCTGTCTCTTTTTATCTCTCTCGTGCCGGTCTTCTTGACCTGGCCCTTGACCCAACGCAGCACATGCGTCTCCTCCTGCCACTGCTTCAACCGACTCTTCCCGGGCGTTCCGTCCTCGTTCACGTCCAAAAAGTCCACCTCGAGTGTTCCCGCCTGCTCGCGCAGCTTGACCATCAAGTCGCGAAGCTCGGCAGCTTGCTGCTTGAGGCGTACCATCCGCTTCCTGTCGTCCGGGTCGGCCGGGTTGAGCCGGAGCTGCATGAGGGCGACGTCGAGCTGTTTGAGGCCGATGGTTACGCCTTTGGCCATCAATTGGCGGAGGATGAACTTGGTCAGGGAGGAGTCGACAAGCCCTTCGGCTAGCTTGTGAAGGATGGCGTGGTTCGACTGGCGCACGGCGATTTGCAACTTCCCGAGCTTGCCCTGGCGCGCGAAGTGCGGGAGAGAGAGAGAGATGGGGTGAGAACGGCGTGTAGGCGGGGAGTAGCGATCGGGCGCACTCTCACCTTGACTTTGTGAACTGTAAAGAAGTGCTCCGAGTATGTTTTGGGCACATCGACGACAATGCTCAGACCAACGTCTCGAATGAGGAGGTCTAGGATGCCCTTGTCCTTGAAATGCACCCCCTTCAACAACTCGACGGCAAATGCCACCTTGTGGATCCTGAGGCCCATCCCCTTGACCTTGATCTTGATCCGATGACAATGGCTCGACTCGCTCTTCAGCCGCTTAAAGTCGACGTGGAAATCGTTCTGTACTCGCACGTCCAGCGTGTTGGGTATGAGGTCGCGCAATGAGATGGCCAGGTTCTCCAAGGTGAGGACAAAGTCCGGGTGCGTGTACTTGATGCGCGGGATGGGGAGGACGTCCTGGGCGGTGGAGGGAGACAAGGAAGGGGAGGGTGAGCGTGAGCGTGAGGTGGGGAGATCTGGCCTGGCCAGAAGGCGTGGAGGACGTACAATCTTGGTGAATAAGGGCGGCAGTATCTCCCTGAAAATCTCCTGCCAAACGTGCGGCTTCGGAAAATACATGTACCTCCTTCCCAGCGTGAGGTCCTTCCCGAAGCCCTTGAGCGCGACCTTGAGTCCCTCGATGGCCGGGTCCTTGGGGACCTCCTCGAAGAGGCCCTGCACCTCTCGTAGAAGAGAGGCAAGATCCTGACGGTAGGAGTCGCCCAGCCCTTGAAAACGCGCAACGAGGGCCCGACCTGCTTCCTCGCAGGACTGCTCTAACACCCAGCCCGGCTTGAGCAGAGAATCTCGAAGGTACTGGTCTGCGTCGCGCACGAAGGTGCGAAGCTCTGGGTCCTGCCTGAAGTCGCGGCCTAACCCTGCGAGCGCGCGGCAAGGGGAAGAGAGGTCAGCTCCCTTGTACTTGGCTTGTCATCTCCTCCCTCCTCATCTCCGGCCCACTCACTCTGCACCAACCCCAAAATAGGTCTGACCCTTCTCCCCCCCTGGAACCCCTCAAGCAACTTCACCCCCGGCCCTAGTGCCTCCCATCCCTGCTCAGCCTTCCCCGCCACGCCCTGCGGCACCTCCAAGCTCCGTGTTGCTATCCACTCGACCAGCAGCTCCACCTGCTCCAAGAACCAGAGGGCCGCCTGCCGCGACGAGTCCTGCGATTGGACGTCACAGAGGAGTCGACGAAGACGGGAGAGAAGGCGGTCTTGACCTTGCTCGCGCCAGGCGACGCGCGCATTCTTTGCTCCTTCGATGCGCGCTTTGGATGCTGCGTCCTTCGCGCGGAGTTTGGCTGTGGAGATGGAGGTACGGGAGGGGACGGAGCTGAGCAGGGAGTCGACGCCGATCAGCTGGAGAAGGTCGGCCATGTCCGTGCGTGCGAGAGGGGGCGCAGGTCCGTCGTGGCCGTTCGTCGCCGGTACTGGCTTGGCTATCGCGGCTGGCAAGGCTGCCTCTCCGTCTGGATCTGTCGATGCTGCTGTCGTCCCATGCTCGAGAGGTGCGAGGGCCGCCTCTACCTCTGCATCCCCTCCGAGCCCGTTGCCCAGCTCCTGAGCGAGCAGAGCGCGCAACTCGTCCAACGTGGGCAATTCAGAGCTCGGGGAGCCTACATCCTCTCCGCGCTGCTTTCGCCTAGCCAGCTCGACGAGAGCGAGAGTGCGGGCCTTGAGCTTGAGCAGGTTGGGCAGCTGCGCGCTCCCATTTGCGTTCGCGGTTCCATTCGCATTGCCCGATCCCGCGGCGGCGGCGGCCGCAGGTGGATCCTGGGCTAGTCTTGCCACCTGCTCCTGTAGGACTGCGTTGCCATTACCCACCATCCCTCGCTCAGCGTATTCCTCCTTCAAACCCCGAATAATCCCTTCGATCGTCCCCCCCACCTTACCACCAGCTTGCACCGCCTGACCAAGATCGTGTCTCGCCTCTTCCCCAAACGTATCCGACGCAGTCTGGTCCACGATCTCCAATCCCAGGAGGGCGAAATCCGCAAGAATATGGCGAAGCTCAGGCTGAACGAGCGTGATCCGCACCAGGGTCAAGAGGTGATCATACGCCGTACGCGCCTTCTCCTTGCTAGGGGCAGCGGCCTTGTCCAGCTCCTTGGTGCGTTGCTTTCTCTCCAGCTTCGCAGCTTTTTTCGCAGCTTTCGCCTCCTCTTTGGCCTTCTTTCGCGCCTCGATCTCCTCTTTGCTCAACTCCTCGCCCAGCTTCAACGCCTCCCCCCTCAGACGCCAGAGGAGCTCTTGCGCCTCGTCCCTCCCATTGCGTTCGCGCAGCACCACCTGGAGGGCGGCGAGGACATGCTGCACGTCGCGAAGCAGCGTCTTCTTGTGATGATGGGCGTCTAGCTCGTCTGCGTGGCGCGGGGGACGTGTGGTCGAGGGGGAGAGGAGGGAAGAGGATTGGAGGTGCGAGAGGTGCGAGAGGAGTTGCGCCGTCGAGGGGAGTGAGCCTTCTGAGAGGGCGGCGAGAACGTCTATTAGTGTCATACTGGACGGGGAGGGAGGAGCATGAGATGAGGAAGATGAGGGAGGGGAGGAAATGAAGGGAAGGTGAGGAAGAGGAAGAGAAGAGAGAAAGAACAGGGCGGCGACATCTCATTTGGTTCCGCGTGCGGATGCGGGGAAACCCAGGGCGACTCAGGGCGGACGGCATTCGAGTGGAGGGGCAGGCGCATTTGTGAGTCGAGCAACTCCGGGCGGGACGCGTGAATACGGGGATAGCCCCGCTCGTGAACGAGGGGTGACGTAGTATCGACGGCGGTGAGAAGTAAGGAAGAGCGTGTAGATATGAAATTTCCTTCCTTCTCGTGCTGATGAGAGGTAGAGGGGACAAACAGGCTCCGCCGTTCCTCCGATCAGACGAAGATCTAATAAGAGCAGGCCACAGAATGGCAAGGAGCAAAGACGGAAAGGCCACGGAGCTTACTTTTGCGCTCCGACTTCCCCTCACATCTCCTCCTCCCTCTAGGAGCGCTCCAAGCTGGAAAGGGGCTCGCGAGCAATGCTCACTTAGACCAGCGCCTTATCCTCCCTCCAAGCCTCGACCATCTTCAAGGCCAGCTCAGGCTGGTCCATGGGAACCATATGCCCAGCCTCCCTAATCTTGATCCAGGCGTACTGTCCAAACCCGCCCTTCTCTGCCCCCGCACTTCGCACAGACCCGACCGTCTGGTTGTGCTTGTCGGTCCACTCCTTCTCGGGGGACTTGGCATACTCGGTGGAGTAGGCGTGCTCGAGCGAAGAGGTCCATTGCTCATTTCCGTACCAGTGGCACATCAGGTCCGCCATGCCCGCGTAGATGCCTACTCGGATGCCCGCGGCGATGAGGTCGGGGAGATGCTTCGATGAGTCGTGGGCCACGTCGCCTTGTAGGAGGAAGGCGCGGTTGACGTCGGTGTTGCTGCGGAGCGGGCGGGCGCGGTGAGTAATGTGGAGTGTGGCTAGTGAGCGTCCCTTCTCGTCTCTGCTCGTCTGCTCCACCCACGCCCACTCACCAGCTCTGGAACTGCACGTCCCTCTCCGCGCCAAATGCCTTCTTTACCTCTGGCTTGTTCATGTACACCTCCATCCACTCCATCTCGCGATAGCAGAGCGGCCCATCCGCGTCAGGGGAGCGATCGCAGTCGCGTCGGAGGTCGTACAGGTTCTTGCCCGAGTCCTGAGCAGGGCCGTACACCCCACTCCAGCACTGGATGGCCGCGGGAAGGCAGGTGAGGCGCGACTCGTACTTGTAGCATGCGTCAATCAAGCTGGTGCAGGTCTTGGCTTTGGCGCGAAGCGAGGTGCACGTGGAAGAGTCGTTCTTAAAGAGGGCGTAGGGGTTGATGTTCTTGTCGCACATGAAGTCTGGAGAGGAGCCAAACTGCGCCTTCGGGTCGGTGAGGCCGTTTCCGATGAGGAGGCTGTCCAGATTGACGTGCACGGCACCGTTACCGGCGACGGCGCGCTGGGCGAGCTGCGTGTTCTTCTCGTGAATCACGGCCCCAATGCGCGGGATGTACGTGCCAGCGTAGCTCTCCCCGCTGACGTGGAAGGGCAACTTGCTGTACTTGTCAAACTTCTGCAAGAACAACTGCAAGAAAGCATACACGTCTTCCGCTGCGGCGGGCGTGTTGTTCACGTCCGCGTCCCCGTAGGAGTAGCCGACGTTGACGGGTTGATCGAGGAAGAGGAGGTTGGCCTTGTTGTTCCAGCTGTGCGGGTTGGGCACCACAGACTCGCCCTTGTTGGCGATACGGCAGGGTCCGAGCTCGAAGAGTAGCCCGGTCGAGGAAGAACAGCCAGGCCCGCCGTTGAGCCAAAGCTGCAGAGGATCCTTGGCTGGGTTGGAGCGCGACTCGAAGAGGGCAAACCAGAGGTGCTTGTCCTCGGCCACGTCGAGGTAGCCGCTGATCATCTTGGCCTCTGGGTCGCACACCGTCCCGTTGACGTCCTTTGCGACGCGTAGTGCATAGCTGGGGAAGCTGGCGTGAGTGAAGCGCTGGTACTCTATGCCTGAGGCCCAAACACTCTCGGCTTCCTTGAGCCAGCCGTTGGCCGCGTGCGTAGCAGAGTGGACTTTGTCCTCAAAAGCCTCGAGGAGGTGGGTGAGTGAGCCGGTCATTTCTTCTTCGAAGTGCTTGAAGCCGTCCATTACTTCGGCCTGGAGGACATCTTGAGGGTGAGAGTGGGAAGAAAAGTCCGGCCTGCCCAGCTCAGCCATGGGCTGCTGCTGCTGCTGCGCATTATCCATCCACACCAGGTTGCCAGCTGCATCACAGTGGATCTCTTCGGCCAACGCAGGGGCACGCAGCACCGAGGCAGAGGCAGAGGCAGCCGCGATGGCTAGTAAGGGGGCGAATGATGGGTTGAGTCTCATAATGACGGTAGTTCGGTGGTACGGAGAGGAGGATAGGAGGTCGAGCCGCTCAGCTGGCTGGCTGGCCGGCTTAGACTAAACGACCGACGCTGCATCCGGTCAGTCGAGGCGCCCAACTCCACTCAGGCGGCACTGCCGTGCGGGTGCGGCCCCGTGCGGGAGGGTGGCTTAGGCGCGACTTTAGTCTCTGACTGGAGCAAACCACGTGGCGCCGCGGGGCTTCCACGCTGCCACGCCGCCGTGCCTACGCCTATGCTTCGCGCCTCACTCGAGTCATATCAGCGTCGAGACCAGAATGAATTCACGATGGATGATAACAGAGTACAAAGACCACAACTACGCAGCATCTCCCCCCTCTCTTCCCTCAACCCCCCTCGCGCCAGGACGTCGCGCCTCCAAATCGCCCTGCCCCCGCCCTTGCCCCTCCCCAGGCCCCGCCCCTCCTGCCTCGTCCGCAAGCAATGGCCGCTGGCAAACGGGACAGCGTCCCGATACGCTCGTGAGCCACTCGTCTACGCAGCTCCTATGCAAGACATGCCCGCAGGGTAGCAATCTTAGTGGTTCTGGCTCCCCTTCTTCTGCCTCCTCCTCCTCCTGCTGCTCTCCCTTTGCCGGTGCACCGCGTGTGGGAGTGGGGTGGAGGTCGGGCGTCTCAAAATCGACGAGACAGATGGGGCACGTAGCCCTGTGCGGTGGTAGCGGGTGAAGAGGGTATTTGAGAGCACGAGCCGCGGGGGGAGCGGAGGATGGGTTGGTGGAGGGCGTGATGGCGGACGAGGAGGATGCTGTTCCTGGCGTGGACAATTGGGGGTCCTTCCTTCTCCCTCTCTCTCGCGGCTTGCGGAGGAGGAGCCGCAAGAGTGAGCTCCACCGTGAAGTCGAAGCTGGAGTCGCAGTCCCTGTGGTCGTGGTTGTGGTTGCATCAGTCGCAATCGTTGAGGCCGCCCGTGAGGGTGGTAGGGGCACGCTGGCCGCTTCCAGTGTGAGGGCGTGCATCCCTGCTCCTTCTCCCTCCGAGGATTCATATCGACTCGCTTCCCCCTCCTTCGCACCCTCCGCCACATAATAAACCAGCTTAGTCACCCCATCCACCTCCTCCCTCTTGATCTTGCCCGTCTCCGGCCTGATTTCCCCCTGCTGCGCTATCCTCCCTCCCAAGCCCAGGGCCCGCAGCACGGCCAGCGTGGCTGGGAGGAAGAAGACCACGAGGAAGGTGAGCAGCACGACGTTGAACAGCACCACGTACGTGAGGATGAGCACGGCCAGACTAGTCCACCAAAGGGGCACCGAGTCTGCAGGCCGAGCATTGCATTCCGTTCTAGTCCACACCGCATAGTTGCCCACGGCAAAGACGACTATATGCAGGAATCCCAAGAGATCCGCAAGTCGGCTGGTTTTGCGGTCTAGCTCTAGGCTACCCATGCGGCGGGATCGCTCCCGCTCCGCCTGACCCGGTGCGCCAGGGCGACGTTGTCTTGCCGATCTGTGTGGTGACAGACCCAGGTAGAAATCGAGGGGCATCGTTGCCGCAACTCGGACGGTGTGGAGCGCGAGGAAGACGAAGATTGGCTCTGGATCGCATTCTGGTCCTTCTCCCGAGTCCAGGTTGTAATGCTTTCCTGGTGAGTTTCCCAGGGAGGTGGGAAGGGAGAGGATGACTATTGCTGGGATGACTTGAATGAGGCTGATCAGCAGACGTAGAAGGAGGATCCACCGGCGGGGACGACCTAGGGAGCGATAGGTTGTCCAGATTGTTTGGAGGAGGTTGTGTCGCACGAGGAGGGCTTCGTCCGGTACGGCGACGGGGAGGGGAGCGATGCCTGTGGTCGTGGCTGGCGCTGGAGGTACGCCAGGCGTAGGAGTGGCAGTGACAGGTGCAGGAGCGGGCTGCTGAGCTATGCGAGGTGGCGCTGCGTCTGGTTGCTGAGCAGCAGGAGGCGCGAGGGGCGACGGCGTGGCATCGTCTCTTATGGCGATCCGCGGCGGTGTATGCGTGTATGCAGCCTGTCGGCTTTGATCTTGACCTCGACTTTGATGTCGCGACGACTCAGCGTCGCCATGAGCCTCAGCGCTTGCACTCCCGTCGAGGGGGTGCGTAATGGTCGGCGTCGACGTCGACGTCGACATGGACGTGGAGATGGACGTGAGCGGGGGAGAGCGACTACTTTGCCCTCGACGTCGGACGTGTATTGACTCGTTGTCGTGTTGAGATTATAGCTAGTAAGAGGAGAAGAATTCGCCGTCGAGGCCCATGACGATTGGCAGTGTGACAAGACAGGGACGAAAGCGAGGAAAGCGCACGCCAAGAAAGCGAGTGCGAGTGCGAGTGCGGGTGCGGGTGCGGCCAAGTGTCGGATGCTGAGCCCTGACTGAATGAGCTGCACCGCCCGCCCGCACGCCCCGCTCCGCCCCGCCCAAAGACAGGCACACGCAGATGGACAGACACACGGAAGCAGAGAGAGGACGGGCGTGTCGTCGTGTCGTCCCTGCATCCAATCCGCCTTGCTGCATTGCATCTTTTCCGTCCGCCCTCTTTCATCGATACGTCGACATCCATTTCGCCTTCTCACCGATCCCTCGCTCGCTCGCACCTCCACGCTGCGCTGAGCCGCAATGCCCGCCCTTCCAGTGGACGACGTCGGCCTCCTCGACCTAATCGCAGGCTATATGCACGATATCCTTTCGGCGATCATCCCGGCTCCACTCTTCAGTGTCCTAGCGGGCTTTTCCAATTTGATCTACCGGCTGGTCTTGGGCGTGAGCAACGAGTGAGTAGCTGCTGCTGCGCCCACCCTCTTTTGCCTCTCCTCGATCGAAGGCCCAACTCACACCGCGCCTTGCTCCCCTTCTGATTTGCCTCGCACCGCCAGCCCCTCATCGTGGCGCTCCACCCTCCTACCTCCCTTGCTCGCCCTCCTACTCGCCTACACCTCCCTCCTACTCGCCTACCGCACCGTTCGCTCCACACTCCGGGTCGTATGGTTTGGCGTCAAATGGGGCGCAATCCTCGGTGCAGGGATAGCGTTGTGGGCGTGGTGGGTCGGGGAGGGGGAGGCGATCCAGAGTGAAGGAAGGGTGCCGCCATCATCCTCGCAGGGCTGGCGAGGTTGGGCCGCGAATAGTGGTACGTAGCGATGCGAGTGCGAGACGAGATGGAACGGTGAGGCGCAGGGCATCCGGCTGACTATATGCTGCCCTGCCCTGCGCCTCCCCTATGCACTGCACTGCACTGCGCAGCTTGGTCCATCGTTGTAGGAGATAAGCGTTGAGCTGATGATGCCCAGCTTCCTCACACTACACCGCCTTCTTCCAGCCAGTCTAGCTGGCACAGCGCCCTTACTTGCCGCCCTCTACTCGCACTTCGAGGGCACGGCGACAGGCCCTCGAAGAAACGGGCATGGCCGCTCCTCATCACCGCGGAGATGGCGTCGATCCAGCACTAGCAGCAGCAGCAGCAGCAGCTCGGCAAGGGATGACCATGATCAAAACAGCATCGTCACCTCCCTCCTCGAGTCCCTGGGCGTATCTCCCGCCCTCAGCAGGTCCATACTGGAGGCGTTGCCCAATGGAGAGGACTCCCGACGAAGTTCAATGGGCGAGGCGGAACAGTGGATGCAGAGGATAGCCGCTGAGCTCGGCGGCGGTGATGCGATTGGCGGGCCTGGCACAGCGAGAGGAGTAGGGGGGAGCGGGCCGGCTTACAACACGAGATCGAGATCACGGCGTGGCGGCCTGGGTAGGGGAACGAGCCGTAGGAGGGGGAGCGAGGAGCAGCAGGGGGAGGAAGAGGAGAGCCTGGCGAGCCAAATGATACGAACGATACTGGGACGAATGGGCGCGTAGCAATCATGAAAGCCTTGAGCGCCAAATCAGACCAGGCTTGGCTTCTTGCTTTGTGTCTTCACTTCACACTCGTCTCCTCGCCGCCCTCTTCACCTCGTCTCGCATGTGTGCAGATGCCCTCTATTAGACTCGCCGCTCCCTTCCCATCCTTCATCCCCTTACTGCCCCCCACTCTTCAAACTACTCCTCCCCGCCCTCAAAATCTCATCAACGCTCAACAGATTGCCCGCAATAACCGCACACGAATGAATCATGTGTCTCTTAACCCTGTAGTTGTCCCACACCCCCAGCGAAACCACATCGCAAGGCTCCCCACTGACCAGATCCAGACCAACAGCCTCCTTGCCTTCTGCGCCTTCGGAGTGCGAGGCCAGCTCGTCTTGCATAGCCACAATGGCGTCCTGGACGTCCAACCCAGCATTTCGGGCCAGAGTCTTGGGGATGACAAGCAGAGCGTCCGCAAAGGCTTGCACGCCCAGCTTTGCGCGCCCCTTGGTGTCTGCCTTGACCACCGAGACGAGATGTTCCGCCGCTGCCACCTCGAATGCCCCCCCTCCTGGCACAAGTGCTCCGTCCTCAATGGCGTTCTTGACGCTGCGCAGTCCATCGCGAATGGCGTCCTGGATCTGTCCCGTCGTGTGGCTGTTCGGCCCTTTGATCAAGAGAGTCACCGATTTAGGCTCAGCGCAGTCCTCTACGAAAGTGTATTTTTCTTCGCCCAAAGTGTGCTCGTAGATCAACCCCGCGTGACCGAGCACCGAGGGCGTGAGGTCGTCCACGCTGTTCATTGCTGTCCCGCCGCAGGAGAGTTGGAGACGCTCCATGTTACGGCGTTTGGCTCGGCGGAGGGCTAGGATGCCTTCTTTGGCGAGGACGTCGAGGGACATGGGGTCTATGCCCTTTTGGTTGAAGATGACAAAGTTCTTCTTCGGCGAGGACGAGCTGCCGCTCACCTCCTGGTCGCACACCTGTCTCTTGAGCTCGACGATCTTTTTGAGCTTGGCATCAACGAATCGTCGCTCGCTCTCTACGAGCTTTTCGCGCTGCTCTGCGCTCGAGTAGAAGAAGGACGAGTTAACCTCGGTCTTCTCGTACTCCAAGCTCACATTCAGCGTGAGGACGTAGGCATTCTCCACTCGCTTGGGCATGTCCGCGTGTCGCGCTCCGTGGTCGAGGACGAGGCCGCGGATGAGGGAAGTGTCGGTTTCGGTGCGATGCTGCATCTTCATTATCTCGACCATGTGCAGGTCAATGGGGTCTCGCACCTCCCAATCTTTTACGCCCTCGCTCGACCCGTCCGCCTTGGGTGTAGGGGCACTAATGGTGCTGGTCGTCGAGGGACGAATGGCCAGTACGGCGTCTACGACGTCTGCAGCGAGCTGCTGAGCGAGCTGTGGGTGCACTTTGGTCGCCAAGGAGGTAAGCGCTACCTGGATGAGCTCCTTACGGTCCAAGCTTGGGTTGGAGTGCTTGAACTTCTCGAGGAATTGCAGAGCGCCCAACTTGCCCGCCTCAAAACCCTCGCTGAGCACACGAGGGTGAACCCCTTCCTGGATGTAGCGCTCTGCCTGCTTGAGGAGCTCGCCCACCAGCAGGACCACGCTCGTTGTCCCGTCCCCGCACTGGTCGTCCTGCGCCACCGCTGTGCGGGCTACCATCGCTGCCGTGGGGTTCTGGATCTGCATCTCGGTCAAGAGAACTTTGCCGTCTTTTGTCATCTTGAGGTTTCCCGACCCGTCGACGAGGAGCTTGAGTGAGCCGCGTGGCCCCAAGTTGGCAGAGACGACTTGAGCGAGACCGACTGCACCTGCCGTGTTGACCTGGAGCGCCTGAGTACGGCGGACACTCTCCGCGCGTGGGTTCAGCAATTCGATTGCTGACATTGTGCGTGGGCGTCGTCAGGGGTGATGGTGGTAGTGGTGGTGTTGAGGACGCAAGAAGCTGTCGAAGCCGGACGATCGACGGACAGAACGGCAAGAAGTCCAGTCGAGTCCGCCCAGCCCAGCCCTGAGTTGGTCGCGCACGTGACGAGACGAGCGAGACCAACTCGACGCCGAGACGCACGCACGCACGGGCCGCCGTCATTCGCGACGGGCAACAGAGCGGAAGAGAGAGCAGTTGAGCCGCTCCTCGTTTCTGCCACTTCAATTAAGCGCCTCGCTCGATGACAATGTGAGGAAAAAGGCCAGGTTGATTGAGCCATCCGTTCATCCCACCTCATCATACAATCCACCCCATCTATGAAACTGCCACGCCTCGCTCTGTGCGCCTCCCTGCCCCTCGCCCTACTCGCTACCTCCACCCTCGCCCTCCCTCACGCTCAAGAAGTCGTCTTTCAAAGTGGGCCCCCTTCCGCCCGCGCTCCGCCTTTCGACCCACTCAGTCGCTGGTCAGCAAGCGGGCATACCTCCGTCATGAGCAACACCGATGACAAGAACAATGACGAAGCAGGAAATGGGCCCACAACTCCCCCTCATCCACTCATCTGCTTTGAGTCAAATCATCCCCCTCGCCTCCTCCCTTCCCCCTCCCTCGAATCCACAACCGTCACCCTGATCCATCGCGCCTTCTCCAACAGCTACTACAACGCCTCCCTCCTCGACTACTCGCCCTCCCTCCTGCCCAAGGGCTTCGCAGACCCGCAACGCTGGGTGAGCCTCACACTTACGCAACGCGGTTCCTCGAGGGGACGCCAGTTCGACCGATTAGGCTCCGTCTGGCTGGCAGGGGTAGAGGTATGGAGGACGGACAATCCTGAGCCTACGGTAGGTGGGGTGGTATGGACGACAAGGCGGGAGGTGGATCGCTACTACGATTTGTTCAAGGGGGAGGGTAGGCTAGTCTTCGATTATCCGAATATAGTCAACGACGTGTACACGGGCGTATTGGACATCACCTTGGAGCTAGAGGTCACCCAGCTCAAGCGCGAGTTCACTGCCACGTCCTCCTCCGCCACCATGCCCCCCTCTCATCGGCCACTGAGTGGTCGTTCTCCGCGCCTTCTCCCTCTATCCAAGCGCAACGACACGGGGGACAGCAAGTGGGCCTACCCCTCCGAGCGGGCCATCACCCGTCACATCTCCCTGCCACGCACAACACAGTGGGCTCTGGTCGAGGTCTACGCAAGCGGGACGGCGGGCGATGAGTTTTGGTATACGGGTGCGCCAGATAGCGTGGTGGACAAAGCGCCGAAGGAGGCCGGCTTGACGCCTAGAGGGCCGTATAGGGAGGTGCAGGTGAAAGTGGACGGGATTTTGGCGGGCATTGCGAGCCCCTATGCTGTCATTTTCACGGGGGGAATCAGCCCGCTGATGTGGCGACCGCAAGTGTACGTCGATGCTTCACTTCCTCCTAACCTGGCTGGAGAGCAAGCGCTGATCCCTCCTTTCCTTTGGCCCTCGACCCCTCCACCCGTGGCCGTCCCCGGCCAACGCAGAGCATACGGCGCGTATCGCCAGCCTACCTACCTATTCGACGTCTCCCCGTTCCTCGGCATCTTGGCCGACGGAGCAGAACATGAGGTGGAGCTAAGCATCCTCTCGGCGGAAAAGAACGGGAGCATACCGGAGAGCTGGTTCCTATCAGGCAATATCCAGTACGCGACGAGCGAGAGGAAGGAGGAGAGGGAGGAGACGTGGCAGGCCAAGCTGGGGAACCCGGAGGTGAGGGAGACCCACCCGAGGGAGGGATTGGTGAGTACGGGCAAGGTGAAGGAAGGGGGAGACGAGATTGAGGCGAGCGTGAGGGGAAAGAGGAGTCTCAGCGTTGTGGCCAGGGGGAGAGATGAGGCAGGGGCACAGCGTAGCATTGAGGTGGAATATTCCTTCGACTTCTCAAACACGCAACATTACACCAATGGGGGAAACACGTCGGTGAGTACATTGTGTACCCCTTCTCGACACGTTCTGTCTCGCTCACCTCCCTCTGACTTTGCCCTGCCTCCTCTCTCCCCTCTCCCCTCCCCGCGCTCACAGGTCATAACGCAGCTTTCCACGGGCTCTTCCTCCTCCCACCACTCTTCCCTTCCTTTCCTCGACATCAGCTACTCCCTCCCCCTCACGGTCCGCCAGTCCTTCTCCCCCAGCTCAGGCCAGCTGAACACCACCGTGGCCCACTCGTACGACCAAACGCTCAAGGCGAGCGATTCGCTGCTCAAGAGCTGGCCTGAGCATGCGGGTCAGCAGAGTGTGAAGACAACGCAGCACTCCGAGGCTGAGGCGACCATTGTGGAGAATAAGGTCACGGCGGGCGTGGGGAGCGGGGAGCAGAGCTAGTGAGTCTGATGTTGGATGACTCGTGATGAGTGCCGTGCAATGAAACTGATCTTCTTCCTGCTCCTCCTGCTCCTCCTGCTCCTCCTGCTCCGCCTGCTCCGCCTGCTCCTTCTCCTCCTTTCCCTTGCTTCCTCACTCACTAACCCCTTCGCGTGCGCGCACAGCGAGTACACAGATTCGGCCAATAACACCTTTCGTGAGCACACGGCCGTTTATAACGGAAGTGTGACGACGGCGCAAAGGCAAGGCAACCTGGCCTCGCTGGCTGATCCTATCCAGGCATGATGCTCACCTCTGCGCGACGCCGACGACGATGGGGATCGCTACCGCTAGCCAGTTGCCAGCTCGTACTCGGTCCACGTCTTTTGCGCGACTCGTGTCTTGTCGCGTCTTATCATTTCGGGAAATATGAGGTGCAGGAAAATGATGTCATTAAAGTTCTCATGCTCTCATGCTCTGGCTCGCAATGCTCAATGCCTCGCTACGGGCGTCGCCGTGACCTTTCAGTCAGCAGGCCTCCAGGCCTCAGCGCCTGGGGACTTCAACGGCTCAACCAATCACTATTCTGGGGGGAAGCCCCGTAGCCCTCCCTGCTTCCCCAGTCAGACGTGCGACCTTGATCACCAACCACGTACCGTCAAAGGCCGCTCGGACAGTACTCCTCGGCCCAACTTCGACTTCGCCGTCGACTTCTTCGTCTCCGTCTCTTTCTTCGGCTGCGCCCCTCTGCCCCTCCTGGGAGGGCGCTAGAGTCTCACCCTTCCCCCGCTGCTGGGACTGGGGCTGGGGTTGGGCAGGCTCATCCCCCAATCTCACATCCCCCGCCACGGCGAAATCAACCTTCCTCCACCAACCCGTCCCCTCGAGGGCGATGGTCAATGTATTGTCCGCTCGGCGGGAGTGGAGGCTGAACTTCCCTGCGGTTGTTCCGCCCATGGTGTCGCTGGAGGAGAGGGCGCCTACGATTAGCGTGTAGCGGGAAGGGGACGTTTCGATACTCAGTTGAGGGCCGGGGAGGCCCGACGCCGGAGGATCGTGGGTGTCGGTGTGAGAGGCTGATAGGGTGAGGGGGGAGGTGCACCTCGGAGGGGGGAGGGGGAGGGGTCGAGGGTGAGAGTGGGGATGCGAATGAGAGTGGGAGGGAGAAGGGGAGTGGAGCGGAGGAGAGAGGACGGAATGTACCGTCGTTGTCGTCGTAGTGGTGGTGGTAGTCGTCGTCGTCAACGCGAGCACATCGTCCCCGTCTGCGATGTACGTTGGAGCGCTTCGCTGCTGCTGCAGCACCGTCGTCGTGTGACTCGGCGCTGGTGGGGAGGCCACCGCACTACCTGCTCCTCCTCCTACGTCGAGAATGCCACAACTGCTACCGCTGCTGTACTTGGAGGGATCTGCTCGCTGGAGGAACTGGTAGTCCCGACTGCCGCGAGAGACAGGCCAGCGCTCCCGCTCCTCTGCGTCTTCCATTGCTGCCTTGCATGTGCTGCGTGGCGGGAGAGACGGGGCGGGAGAGAGGGAGGGAGAGGGAGAAACGACCAGTGGAACGTGGGTCGTGCCTGGTGCGCGGATGGTGCCGTTGGACCTTGATAGGCTGGAGCTCGAGGAGGAGGGCATCTCCGGCAAAGTGGTCGCGGCCCCAGCCATGCCGGAGTGGCTTCGTTGAGTTGCACGAGAGGCGTTGCTTGCCTCACCCGCTGCTTCGCCGCCGCCGCCGCCACCACCAGGGAGAAGGGTGCGCCACCCCTCCATCCCCCCTGATGAAGACGAAGGTGGTGCCTTTGCCAGCAGGCCTCCGCTCCCGCCACCCACACTGCTCCCCCCACCCACACTCGTAGGCAGGGAAAATCCCGAATGAATACTAGCCATACTGCTCGAACTCAACCTCCTCGAGCTCCCCGACGTAGTACCACTCACGGCGCTTGTGGCGCTCTCTCCACTCTCCCTCGACTGTAGTGTCGGTCTGCCGCCTCCTCCGCCGCCGCCACCAGAGCTGCTCGCCTGACTCCCCGCAAAGCTGGAGAGACGAGACCTCCTATGTGAATCGGCGAGTACGGCCTCTGAAGCATAGAAGGGGTCGTGCTCCGGTAGTAGGCTGCGCCAGCTGTCTGGGCTTGCCACACCGCTCGCACGAAGCGCATCCATATCTGCTGCGTTGGGACTGGGCAGCTCGTTGGAGGGCGACTCTGCCATGTGCTCGTTATGGTTTTGATGGGGAGTGGCGTCGGGAGCAAAGACGCTCTCCATAGGGTTGGAGAGGGAGACGGCTGCTGGCGTTGCGTCTGATGAGCCTACGGTGGAGTGCGGAGAGGCAGAGGCGGAGTACGTCTTCTGGGAGCTGCTTCTTGGCGGCATGGTGGGACGCGGGTCGATGTGTAGGAGGGAAAGATGGTCCTCGAGCAAGGTACGTCGATTCCTTAGGGGGTCATTATGCATTGGCTTTGCCATTGACAATGCGTCCGAGCCCGTCGACGATGTCGTCGTCGTCATCGGTATCGCGTCGAGTGAGACTGCTCCCGTCGACGGCGGCGGAACCAACTTGGAGGCTGGCGTCGTCCCCGATGACGTCGATGTCGATGTCTCTTCCGCTGCTGCTGTTGCTGCGACTCTACTGAGCGAGCTTGGCGAATTGGAAGGCGAATCCATGAATCGCCGGTACATGGGTATAGCCAGTCGATCAAGATGAGCCAGTCGTGGCGACGAAGTCGAAGTGGACGTCGACGTTGTGCTAGGGGAAGACTCGCCTTCCTCTGAGCTCCACTGAGACCGCGATGACGACGGCACCAATTCGGGCAAAGACGGCGAGTACGAGGGAGATCGCCGTGACGCCGACGACGAGGGCGGCGATGATGACGATGAGGAAGTGCCCTCCTGGCAAACATTACGGCGACGGCTGCCCTCTACGCCAATGACGTGCCGTGTGGCCGCCATCGTGAGATGGCCGGGCGGCGGCGGCGGCGGCACCAGCAGCAGCAGCGGGGCGGGCCGACACAAGAGGGAGACGAGCCCAAGACGGCTTTACAGCGAGGTACCGCGAAAGGATGCTGAAGGCTAAATGCTGATGCTGGTAGTGATGAACGAGGTCGTTGAGCAATGAACAGGGGCGACGGCCATCGATCGCCGCCCCTTCACTTGCGCTCACCGCTCTCTCTACCCTACGCTACGCCCTCCCTGCTGCCAAAATCAGCCCAGGCTGCGTCTGCGTCTTGTCTCTCTCTCGTCCGCAACTCAGTGCGACGGCGCCCGGTCAGTACAGTAGTGTAATTTCAGGCTCCGCGCCCAGCTGCAGATGCTTTTGCTTTGCTTGCTTGGCCCATTGCCCGCCAGTCGCCTCACGTCAGGTCAGGGACGGCGCTAAGCGCTATGACGACATGCCGTCGTCTTCGCTCAGACGAGTCGAGAGTGAGGTTGACCCGTCCGCGGCTTGACTACTGCAAGCCACTCGCGGAGATATTTCTCTACAACGGCAAAGAAGAAGTAGCGGCGACAAGCTGAGAAGGGAAGGACAACGAGGGCTGCTCACGAGTCACGAGGCTACTACGACGCCAGACGATAATACGGTGACCGGTGACTACTATTTGGCATGATAGGGGCACGAGTGTGGCGGTAGCGCCACACCCAATCTTCGACGCAGGGTCGCAGCGCAGTGAAGAGAAGCCACGAATTCTCACGACCCTCTGCGCTTTCCCCCACCTCGATAGGGGAGTCTCTACTTCGCGGCCCCATTCCCATTCCCACTCGACCCCACGCTCGCGCCAGCACCAGCCGCGCGTCGTATACTCTTCACCCAACTACTAGCATCCCCACTCGGATCGTCGTAATGATGCATCTTGCCCGGCGTGTTAACCACAAACCCCCTCGCCCCCTTCTGCTCGACGGAGAGCATCACATTGGGCGAAGAGTACGCCGCTGCCGCTGCCGTGTCCCTGTCCCTATCCCTCGCGCGTGGTTGCGCCAACAACACCTCACTCTTGACCGTCAGACTAACCGCGTCCTCCTTGACGCAGAGCAAGCGAGGAAAATCCGTGAGGAGGAGCATGCGTCGTTTAGACTGGAGGTTGGCAGTGCCCGTCTTCTTATGGATGACCAGGGAAGCGTAGAGGAGGGACTCGGAGGGGAGCAGAAGGGCACCCCAATTCAGCGCTGCAGTTGGACTGGCGGAGGCGCCGGGGCCGGTAACCGGGGGGAAGAGATTGGCACTACCCGTGCTGCCTACGCTACCGCCTGCGGAACCGCTCCCCGTTGCTCGGTGGTGCGTCGCAACTGCAGGCGCGGCTGCGGCTGTGGTCGTGCCACGACTCGCCGCAGCGTCTATACTGCTTGAGGAGCCGCTGCCTCCTCCGCCTCCCAGGGTGAAGCGCGCGCGTGATGATGTCGAGCCTGCGCCGGGCGATACGACTGCCTGCGGGCTCGTAGGCGCCGCACCCCCCTGTCCTGGTCCAATCTTGAGCATGGAACTTCCTCGACGAATGGCAGCGAAGCGCTCAGCCGTCCGTTCGCCTACTGACTGACCACGCCTTCGTGCGGGGTGCTGCTCAGAGTCCGAGAGAGACGAAGCGTCCGCCTCCGCCTCTGCCTCGTCCGCTGACGGAGACGAGAGAGCGGACGCCGGGGCCAGCATCTCGACGTCCGACGTCTCCGTGGCGCGCTCGTCGCTCTCGTCTGCTAGGTCGCCCGAGGCCCAGCCGTCCTGTCCAAAGATGTCCCCGTCGTCCTCGTCTCTATCTGCGTCTCCGTCGTCCCCATCGACTCCGGCGGACACGGCAGCAGCAGCAGCAGGCGGTGCAGGCGGCCCCCTAATCCCACTCTTCATCTCCGGCGCCTCCCCCATCCACAATCCCTCCCAATCCGTCCCCTCAAAGAAACCATGCCCCTTAACCCCCGCCACACCTAATCGTCCCTCCGGCTCCAACACCAAGAGTCTCTCCACCAAATCCTTGGCCTGTTCATCGAACCCCTCGGGGAACTCAAAGTCCCTCTTGAGGATCTTCTGGAAAGTCTGATACTCGCTGCTAGCTTTGAAAGGGGGACGGCCGGCCAACATCTGGAAGATGACGCAACCTAACGCCCAGAAGTCGGAGGCTGGGCCGGTCAGAGAGGAGGAGAGAAGCTCCGGTGAGACGTATTCGGCCGTGCCGACGAAGGAGGAGGGGCGGGGCGCGGTGGTGTGCGAGGGGTTGGGTTGAGTCGGCGACTCGCCCTGAGCAGGAGCGGCGGGCGAGGTCTTGGGGAGGATCTTGGCGGACCCGAAATCGGTGACCTTGATGCGCATCGAAGAGTCCAGGAGCACGTTCTCTGGTTTCAAATCTCGATGCACCACGCCCTTCTCGTGCATGCCCGCAACCACATCCACAAGCTGGGCAGCGTAGTATCGTGCAGTTGGGACATCGAAGGAGCCATACTGCTTGATGTACGTGAGGAGCTCCCCGTTGGGCGCAAGCTCCAAGACGAAGTAGAGGGATTCCCTATCCTGGAAGGTCCAGTAGAGGGTCACCACACCCGGGTGGCGCACGAGAAGGGAAAGGGCCTCCTTTTCTACAGCGACGTACTTCTGCTTACGCTCCTTGAGGATGTGAACCTTATCCAGCACCTTGACGGCGTACACCTTCTTCCCCTCTAGCATGGACGCGCGCGCTCGTGAGCCAGAGCCACTCATGGCCGTTGCGGCTGAGGTGGCTGGGTGTGGGCGAGGCGCGCCGGGGGCCAGGGAGGAGAGGAGGTCCCACGCTTGCATGACAGTCGAGTAGGAACCTTCACCTAGGATGTCCCCGAACTCGAAGTCGTCTCGACCACGCGATTTGGAGCCGGCTGGGTGGGAGTGGGTCTGACCTTGGCCCTGTCCCTGGCCCTGGCTTGGAGAGGCTGAGCCAGTGGTGCTGACGCTGGCAGCAAGGATTCCCGTGCCCGTGCCCGTGCCCTTGCCCACGGGAGTGTTCGACTGGCTCACGACGGCGCTCGTGCTCGTGCTCGCGCTCGCGGGTGAGGCTGTCGTCCTCTCGCTTCCCTCAGGAGGACTAGCGTTCGTCCCTCTCTCGGATGATCGTTCAGATACGACGCTCAAAGTGTGTCCTTTCCCCTTCTTCTTGTAGGGCACCTCCAGTCCCCCTTCTCCTCCCCTCACGCTCTCCTCCGACACCCTAGTCGAAGCAGCAACTTGGCCCCCATCAATCAATTCCGGCCTAATCTCCGGTATAGAGACTTTGCCCGCCACGACGCGTGGGTTGGGTCGCTTAAAGGGGACGGGAGGAGTCGCGTCCGATCCGTCTGATAGGGCTTTGGAAGCAGCCGTGGCTGACGACTCGAGGCGGACGATGGGCGGTGGGCGGGGACGGAGGGAGGGAGGGAGAGCCGGGGCTGGCGTCGCGGTCGCGGCTGCGGATGGTGCAGGGGGGGAGGAAGAGGAAGAGGGGGGAGCATCGTGCCCCACATTGTCTCCTTGCGCCTGGGCCTGTGCCGTATCGAATCGCCAGGCGTGCAAGGCGCTCATTTGCGTCTCGTCGTCGTCGTCGTCGCCGTCGTCGTGATTGTTCTCCTCGACGTCAGCCACTTGCCTGCTCTTGATCGACTCATCACTCTGCGCTCCTCCTCTCCCCGCAGCGGGACTTGGAGGATGGGTGGTTCCCTTCCCTTCCCCGGGACCAACGTGAGGCAGGTCAAAATCGGGGTCGGCGTCTGCCTCCGGATCAGATGAGGCGGGCTCGCTCCCCTGCCCAGCGACCGGGTCGGGATTAGGACCAGGCATTGCGCCGCTTCCCTGTTCAGGCAGCTTAGCTACACCGGCTTGGGCTTCGAGCATGACCTGCTCTGCTGGCGTCGGGCCGGGGCCCGATGCCGAGGGGGAGGAAGGGGAGAACTCTGAGGCGACGGGAGGCTTGTTTGCGCCCGCAGCGTTCGCGGTGGGAGTGGTGGTGAGCGAGGTTCGCTTTCCTCCTCGTGCGGGCGGAGGTTCGAGCGCCGCAGAGGGGGAAGAGGAGGAGGAGGGAAAGGGGCCTTGGACGCTAAGCGCCTTGCGGGGCCGAAGAAGCTGCCCATTCCCACTCCCATTCGTGTTCGCATTTCTCGACCCCGGACGAGCGATGATCCCTCCACCACCTCCTGCATCGCCTTCCTCCCCTCCTAGCCTCGTCGGCGTGAGCAACGGGCTCGGCCATGCCACCAATGCGCTCCCCGCATCCCCGGGACTAGCATTCTCTGGATGGCCGAAGAAGAAGGGCGTACCCCCCGCTCCAGGCGCAGGTGAGAGCTTGGGCACGATGAGCGGGGCATTAGTTGCCGTGCTTGTCTTGAGGGGGGTAAAGAGCTCCAGAGACGGGTCACGAAGGGGTGCGCCGTCCCCCATTAGAGGGACGGAGCCTGACGCGGCCGGATTCGAGGACGAGGATGAAGAAGATGCTTGCGATTGCGCTTGTGCTTGGAAGGACGGCCCGACGCCCACGACGGTCAAGGGCTTGACACCGAGCTTGCTTGCGCTCTTGGCCAGCTTGGAGCGCAGCACGTGATGGGCGGGCTTCTTTGGCGGGGAGGACCCGTCGTCGTTGGCATTCGCGGTCGCATTCGCATTCGCTGCTGCACTTGCTAGCTCTCGTAGGTTACGCTGTGAGCCCGGGAGTGGCTTGCCGTCTAGTCGCCCGCCGAGACCAGGTGCATTGCGATAGTGCCAACCTTCTTCTGCGGCAGAGGCTTTTGGGTTGATCCCACGTTGTCGGGCTGTACGTGGGCTGGGGGTGCTGGGGCCGGGGAGCCGAGAGGGTGAAGGTGGCGAGGCTGCTGCCGCTGCTGCTACTGCTGCTGCCTGCTGTGCGCCGATTTCAAAGTCGCGCTGACCTATGGTCGGGGTCGTAGCCGCGGGGCCGGTGGGCATTGTGACTCTTCCCTGCGCACTCGCGCTCGGGGTCGCAGTCGCACCTCCCGTGCCGGTGCCCACCATGCTTCCCCACGCATAGCCACCCCTGATATTGCCCCTAGGAGCATTACGAAAGGGCACTGCCTCCATACTGCTCGTACTCGTGACGGACGTGACGCTGGAGATGCTCTTTGCCCTGCTCAAGTGGCTGGCCGTCGTCCCACCGCCATCGCTCACATCGGCGCTACTGCTGTGGATGGATGTCATACTTGCATTGGCGTTTGCGGGCGTCCAGGAGGAGGGGATTGCACCACGCCGCAGTGAGGAGCGATCGATGGCGCTGTTACTGTTGCTGGCGCTGACGCTGCCACTTATTGAGGAGGCCGCTGATGCTGATGCTGGTGCGCCTGGCGAGGGGCGAGGGAAGCGGAGGATGCTCGCTGATGGACTCGAGTCTGCTGAAGGACCTGCTGCTGCTGCTGATGATGATGATGGTGCAGCTGCTGCGCCATCGTCGTCTCGACTCTGCGTTGGCGGGCCATCCTGCGAGGCAGCCATTGCGTTGCGTCGCGTAGGTGCTGCTGCTATTTGCTGCGCAGCGGTGAGTGGCTGTCAATGGCTCGTCTCCTTATCTATAGACGCATGGTCGTCGATGAGTGTGAGAAAGAGGGGTCTGACGTCCTTTCTCAGTGATGGTGATGAGTATTCTGTGAAATTAGAGACGACGAGGAAAGAAAATAGCAACAGAACAGAACGCACCGACGGCACGGACGGGCGAGGAAAGTCGAGTCGAGTCGAGTCGAGGCAGACGCAGGGACCCGCACCGCACGGCAGGCCAGGCCAGGCCAGGGCAGGGCCTCGAGCCCGAGTCGAGAAGCGGGCCGCCCGCGGGCGCGGCGGGCAGGTAATATACTCAACGCACACTTTGTCGTCCGCTCAAAGTGATTCTGGGGGCTGGCTGGACTTGAGGGCGAGATTGACCTTGAGCGGAGCGGAGGCGAGACACACGGATAGAGTGATGTGCGGCGTGCGGCGTCGAGGGCCGAGCTTCGTTGCAACGAGTTGGACTCGTGTCACTTTTGCTTTCACTCATTCTTCTCGCTACGTCAGTCCGCAAACCTGAATGCTAGTGCGGTCCATCTTGACAACCTCGACAAGAAGCGGAACTGCAATCGTCCCTCCCTTTTCCTTCAAGCACTGCCCTACCCGCATTCACACCTGCACAATGTCCAACTCGGCCGCGGCCATGGGCACGCCCAACCCGACAGCAATCAAGCTCGGATTGGAACGGATCCTCCCACTGCTCCACAACCTTGGATCCCCGCACGCCCACCTTCCCGTAATCCACATCGCTGGCACCAATTCCAAAGGCAGCACATCCTCGCTCCTCGATTCTCTCCTCACCACAATCGGCATAACGACCGCACGTTTCAACTCCCCGCACCTCCGTACATCCCGCGACTCGTGCCGCATAGGCGGAGAGGTCGTATCGTCACATGTGTGGGCGGCCGCTTCCCATCGAGTGGCCGAGGTTGATTCAAGTACAGGAGTGGGCGCAACTCCCTTCGAATTATTGTTCGCACAATTCCTCACCTCGTGCCAGCTCAACACCCCTCGACCTCAACTCCTTATAGTGGAGTGTGGCCTCGGTGGACTCACGGACGCGACCAACGTTTTTCCCGCGCAGAATGTGTTGGCGAGCGTGATGACCCCGATTGGTGGAGATCATAAGGCGTTGCTTGGCCCGGGGATCGGGGATGTCGCGCAGCATAAGATGGGGATTGCTAAGCAAGGCGGATTGGTGATTGTGGCTGATCAGCGGCCGAGCGGGAGGGAGGGGAGGGAGGGAAGGGGAGAGGCGGAGCAGGGCCAGGGTCAACAGGGCAAGCAGCGCGCCTACCTTTCGCGGTGGGGTGCTGAGGAGGAGGGTGAGCAGATGCTAGGGCAGGAAGGAGCGCAAGTGATGGCCACGATTCGGAGAGTGGGGGAAACGCTCAAGGCGAGGCTAGTCAGATGCGAGGAGCTCCCCATCCCCACCACCACCACCGCCGCCGCCGCCGCCTTCGTGGCACAGGAGGGCGAGGACGTTCAGCAGCGACATCCTCGCAACCCATGGGAAAAGCGTATCCCCTCGCACTGTCTCCTCTCCCCCATCCTCCAACTCCCGCACAACGAAGAGGAACACCCACGCAGCGAAGGTCAACTCGCCTCGACCCTCTTTACCAACACGCCCTACTCCTCCCTCCCAGGTCAACGTCCCCTCCTCACACCTCTCCTCCCCCCTCTCCCGCAAACTCGCGCAGTACGTTGCGCCCTGAGCACTGCGCTCAACACCCTCTTCGCAATCGGCGCCGATGAGCCGTGGAGCTCCCCTTCCCGGCAGGAGGATAACTCTGACCCACACGAGGAGCTTCGACTTCAGCTAGCGTGGGGGATCAGGGAATCCGGCTTGCTCAGTGGGGAGAGGGGAGCACTGAGTGCTGGATGGGCTGAGGGTTTAGTGAGGGGGGTGGAAGGGTGGGAGGGGAGGGGAAGTTGGGTAGACGTGCCCCTTGCTGAGGGAGGAGGAGGGTTGCACGCATACGTCGATGGAGCACATAATCTCCCCGCTCTTCAGGCGCTCTTCGAACACTTGAGCGGGTTGATCGCGAGCAGGGCTAGAGCGCAGAGAAAGGTCAACGTTACCCTCCTGTTGAGTTTCTCCTCGTCAAAGGCCACGGATGGGGATTTGGAGTCGATCCTCTCTCTCCTCTCCCAAGCCCCCGACCTCCTATCCCGCAGCCCGCGCCAGGCTGCGGAGCCTGCCCACCTGTCGGAGACATTCGAGCGATCCGTCTCGCTTGGGGCATCTGGAGCCACCCGATCTCAATCTCAATCTCAAGGGCGAGGGCAAGCAGATATGGCGACGATCCGTGTGGGCTTCCTGCCCTTCTCCACACCCGTCGAGGGGATGCCTTGGGTCGAGCCGTACAGTGCCACGCAACTTGCCGGGGCGCTACGAGAGCGCCAAGGAGGGTCTGGGGAGGGGATCAGCGAAGTGCAGGAGTTCGCAAGACTGGAGAAGGCGCTGGAGTGGGCAAGGAGAAGTGGGAATGGAAGGCCCGCTCAAGTAGAGGGAGAGGAGGAGGAGAAGGATTCGCTCATCGTAGTATCGGGAAGCCTCTACCTCGTTGGAGAGCTCTACCGTCTCGTCGACGCGAGGGAGGCCAACGACGCTGCTACTGATGCTGCTGCTGATGCTGCTGTCTCGTCGACTTCAGCGGTGGACACGGTCATGTCCTGATCGCCCCGCAACGCAATCGCAATGCTATACCCTCATGTCATCTCAAACCATACCATTCATCCCGTACCACCTCTGGCCCTCTTATCTACCCAAGAAGTTCCTCGCCTTAATGCCCTCCCTATTCTTCCTCCTCAACTCCCTCTTCTTCCTCTCTTCAGCAACAGCATCACCACCCTGCACGGCCCCTTCGGCCATCTGCGCTGCCACCTCCTCTGCGCTCACATTACCCATCGCTACCCCCTTCTTCTTGGCCGCCTGAGCAGCAGCGAAAGCCTGACGACGCTCACGCATCTCCTGCTTTTGCTTGATACGCGCCTCGCCCTTGGTCGTCGTGCCCTTGCTGCCCACACCACCACCACCTGCCGCACTCTCCTCTAGGGTCGCGCCGGAAGCGCCGCCGCCCAGGATACCGGGCCCGCCTTCTACCGAGGCGTGTGTGGTCTTCATTGCTGGGTCGCTTAGGAGGTCCCAGAGCCAGGCCGGGTAGTCAGAATCTGGGAGGGCGATTAGGTCTGGCTTGTCTTTGAGGAGTTGGAGGCCTGGCATGGGGGTGCCTGCTGGGCAGGAGGAGGGGGGGAGGGCTGCGCGAGAGGGAGTAAATTAGTGAGATGAGTCGCAAGAGGAGGAAGGGGTGAAGGGTGTAGCAGAAGGCGGAGTGGGGACTCACTTGATTTTGAAGAGGAGGCTCCACTTGAGGAGGAGGAAGTACTGGGGGATTGCGCGGATGAAGCAGCCGGCGTAGGGGTTGCGGCTGTTGCTACGCTCTTGGACGAGGAAGCATAGCTTCGCAGCGACAGTTGTGTCTGTGCGCCGATTGCTCGCCTCGTAGTTGCTGTGCAAGAAGCGACGAATAGAGACATCGTCTATCGAGGGGGGGAAGATGTTACAAGAAGTGATTGCTGAGAAGTCAAAGTGAGAGCCAAGTCCAATGGGCCAATACCCAGTCGCCTGACGATTTTCCCGTCCCGTTCCGCTTCCCTCGAGAGGCGGGAGGCGGGAGGCGGACTGAGCCCTTGAGGTGCATGAGGCGCGCTTGGCTTGGATCGGATCGCATTTCCAGGTTGTCTTGCCTTCGTTCCCTACCAGTCGATTTCGTCAAGAGCAATCACACAGCATACAACGATGTCTGGCATAAGCGCTCTAGCTGGCTACGGCTCCGGATCAGACTCGGACGGCGATGATGTTCAAGATGTAGGCGTAGGTCCAAGCACGGGACTCGCCGCTGCTCAGCCTACTTCTGCTCCTCCTCCTCAAACGGCTAAGCGTCCATCCAGCGGTCTCTTTGCCTCTCTACCGCCTCCATCAGCGAAGCGTAAACAGCATCACCAGATCAAGCTTGGCAGCTTGGCTGAACTGCGCAGCCAAGACGATGGCAACGACGACGGCGATGGAGGATCGCAGAAGCAGAAGAGACAGAAGTCCAACGATCCTCCACCAGCAGTGAAGCCAGCAGCGGCTTCTTCTTCTTCTTCTCACGCCCTCTTCGGTATGCTCCCAGCGCCCAGCAGAAAAGGCCCACCAACTCCTCCGCCGCGAGAAGTCATGGCCGAGTCGCGGATGGAGATAGTGGATGACGAGCCGGGTGCACCTGCTGTCGGCGGTGGGGACACAGTCAAGAAGGCAAAGGGAAACGCAGATTTCAGGGCCATGCTCGGTCTCAAGCCTAATGCTTCTGCGCCCAGCAAGGCCAAGACAGAGGGAGCTGTTAGGGTCGCGCCGTCTTTGGAAGCAAGGCCGAGTAGTAGCAAGGAGATTGCGACTGTACGCTCAGTACACGACGAACCGATCGCCTCGTCCTCCAAACCGGCTACGTCAGCCAGAGCCAACGCCAAGCGCCCTTCCCCGCAACCCGCAAGAGAGCCCGTAATGGACTTCTTCGGTCTCTCTACTACTGCGTCCTCCCATTCTTCCTCTTCCTCCTCCTCCTCCTCCAACCGCAATCAGGTCAGCACCTCCCGCTCAACCCCCACAACAACCATAACCGTATCATCCGCCCCTTCCCTCCACTCCTCCACCAATCCATACCCCGGCTGGGCTCAAAACCCAGACGGGTCTTGGATCCCCGTAACCCCAGAGGCGCACGAGGCCTTTGCGCTCGCGCAGCGCGACGAACAGCTCCAGCGCCAGGCGGAGACGGAATCGGGCGCTGAGGGCGAGGGAGGCAGGGAGGGAGGAGGGGGGCTCGATGAGCGACAGCGTCAACAGCTCCTCGCTGCGGGGTACAAGGACCTGCAGGGGTTGAGGAGCGTGGATGCCGCGCAACTCGCTTCCGTACGCGGTGCGGTTGGTCGAGGTGGAATGGGGACGGACGAAGCTGCTGCCACGCGTCTAGACGCAAAGTACGCCGCTGCGGCAGGAGCGGTTCGGGAGCAAGGGGACGATTACGACGACGACGAATTTGACGAGGACAACGCTGCCCGCGGCCGAGGAGGGAAGAAGGGCGCTGCTACTGCTGCTGGAGGGAGGGATAAATTGACCAATCAACGCGCCCGAGCTAAGGGTCAGTTGAGTAGCCTCTTTGCTCAGGCGGACGAGAAACGCGATGGACTTGAGGAGCGGTGGGCTAGGGCGAGGGAGAATAAGAGGGGGTCACAGGCGAGATATGGGTTTTGAGGTTGTAGGTCGTAGGTTGCAGGTTGCAGGCTGCAGACTGCAGGCGAATGTATTGCAGAGATGGGCGGGTATATCCACGATCAATTGATCCTCTCACATATCGAGGCAAGGCGAGGCGAGGCGAGGCGAGGCGAGGCGAGTGAATCTGCTCCCCGCTCCATACGAGCGATCAATCACGCCTCCCCTTCAGGAACGCTTCTCTTCCACTCCCCCTTCACATACTTCCTCACCCACCACTCCCTCCCCTCCCCCACTCCCCTCTCCCCTTCCCCCATCCCCGCCTCCCAAATACGTCTCATCCCCTCATTTCCCCCACACATCTCGGCCACCGTGACCTGCTCCTCGCTCCACGCATCCAGATCCACGCTCTTGACCCGACTCACCGCCACCCCCAGGGAGCGGTGCATCCCGGAACAGGCGATGCAGAGGAAGATGCACGTAGGCTGGCCCTGCAAGGCTATAGAGGCCCAGCGTGGGGAGGGGGTATGGCAGTCGAAACAGGTGGAGTTGGTGGGGAGACGGGAGAGGTGGTCGATTCGTTCTGAGAGGGGGAGGGGGACGGGGGGAGATGCGCTTGGTTTGGGGTGGAGGGGGGAAGAGGAGGAGGAGGAGGATGAGGGGGAGGGGGAGGACGCTGCGGCTTTTGGCGGGGGAATGGTGTACGTTGAAGGAGAGGGAGAGCTGGTGGGAAACGAGATACCCGATGAGGCCGGGTTGACCTGTATCGCATCTTGTGCTAGCGCCTGCGCCTGCGGTCGGTCCTCCACAACGCCCCCCTTCGGTCCAGCTCCGTAAGACTGGTGCACCATTTCTTCAATACGTCGATCGAAGTCCGCGTCCAATGCCTTGCCCGGTTCAGCCTGTGAAGCCTCTCTGCTGCTCCCAGCAATGATATAACCCGAGACGGGCGTTTCGTTCGATATGCCCAGGCCGGTGTACGATGCAGAGGTGGAGGCGGAGGACTGCACGCCACTCCGCGTTCGTCGTCTATGCCCATGCCTGTAGCCGTTGCGCTTCTCCGCCTGATCCTCTGCTTCAGCTTGACTATCGCTCCGCTCAGCTTCGGACAGGGTCGTCAGGTGTGTCCCTCCCCCTCCACCGAGGCTGAGATGCTTCGCTGCTGTTGACGCCCGGTCGAACCCTACACCGCCGCCGCCACCGCCGCCACCACCAAAAGCGCCACTGAACGATGCAGCAGGGGAAAGGGGCGATTTTGGTGTCGCTTGGACGGAGCGATCCCGATGATGGTGGTGATGGAAGAGGCGCGCGGCCATCCCCGTATCGCTAAGGTCCGTCAGACTCTGCGTGAAGGCGCGATGTTGGCCCAGTGCGTCCGTCGGAGGCGGCTGCGGACTCCCCGGACCCCCCGTCGTCATCGCGGTCGTCGTGCCCCACTCCTCAGCCCCCCCGCTCACCTGCCTCGCCCCGTCAGCGCCAGAGCCTCTCTCCCTCTCATGATTGCGCGCCACCTTGTCAACCTGCCGTACACTGCTCGTCCCATTGATCAGACTCTCAATCGCCTTCTCAATCCCACGCATCCAGGCCTGCATCTCCCCCTCGCTCGTAGCTTGGTAAACCCTGCGCGTCTCGTCGCGGGTGACGACTTCGAAGGTCCATTTACGTCCCTCCTTCTCCTTCTCCCTTTCCCCTACGCCCGGGCCTGCGCCCGCAGAGGACGTGGCAGAAGTAGCAACACTGTTGAGTCGCGAAGTGGGCCGGACGGTAGCGAATCTTAGATCGATGAGCTTGTGGGAGGGAACCATGTTCGCCTCGCGCCACGCGGCATATTCGCCCAAGTGGCCCGAGCCGGAGAGGACCACCCAGGCTTCGTGCCAGTCGGCCGTACCCACGCCGAGCGTCGTGGTGATATTGAGAGGAAGGGAGTGGGAGTGAGAGTGGGAGAGGGGAGCAGGTTTGGTGAGAACGTAGAGGACTCCTTCCCTCTTGCGGGATATGGGAGTCGGGACGGGGCCTGGACGAGGGAGAGGGGGGGAGAGGCTACTTCGTAGGGCTGTTGCTTGTGTGGGTGGGGGGCTTGTAGGCGGCGAGGTGGAACTGGGAGCGTCATCGTCGCGACGAGCCTCCATTGCCTTGCGCCTCGCGTCTTGAGCGGCACTGGATTTCGCTCGGCCTGACATGCTGATAGAGCGACGCGGTGTGGGTGGACTGCGAGCCGGGCTGCGAGGCGTGGGTAGGTCCATGGATGAGGCAGCACTCCCGCTCGGCGTGGGTACCATGACAAAGTCGGCGCTTCCTTTCCCCGAGGCGGGCCTGCGGAGGGGTGGACTGTTACCGTGTTGGAAGAGACGCTGCCTCAATCCTTTCAGCGGCGAGATCGAGGGGCCCCCGCCACTGCTGTCCTGCGACGCATCACTCGCGAAAGTGTTGAGTATATTGCGCAGTCGACCGCCGCCTTGTCCTGCCCCTGCTCCGCCACTCTTCTGTGGGCTGCTGCTCCCTCCACCACCGTTCATCGGCGTTGACGTCGTGGCAATCTGCGAGCTTCCTCCAGGACTAATGGTCCTCTCCAGGCTGACGTTGCATGCTTCCAGCTCGACTTCAAGAGCGCGAGCTTCGCCTTGTCGCTTTGAGCGTTCATCCTCGACGCGCTGTCGCTGCTCAGCCAGCTTCGTTTCCAAATCAGCGGCTGCGCTTGTAGACGCAGCCGCATCCGATTCCCCTCCCTTAAAGCCCGCTAGGTAGCTTGCTGCGATGTCGACCTCTGCTTCTCCTCCATGCAAAGAGGCGAGACATTCCATGAGCTGCAGTCTGGCCAGGGCAAAAAGCAGGTCGCGCTGTCGTTGCTTGTCCTCCTCCTCTACCTGCGCAGAAGAGGGAGAAGACGACGTAGCCCCTGTTGTGCCCAACCATCTCTGCGTAGCCGAATAGTACGCCTTGCTCAAGGAATCAAACTTGCGTTCGGCATCCTGAGCAGCCCTACATCGTTCGATCAACCTCTGCAGCGGTTCCTCCACATTATTGCTCAACACTTTGAGTTCCTCCTCCCTCCTCTTTGCGGCACCCGCCCGCGCTCTGCTGGCCGTCAACTGCGCAACATGTTCCAGCCCAGGGCAGAGCTGATGGAGCGATGCCAAGCTCTCATCTAGCGCGGCCTGATGTAGCTCGAGGGCAATAAGGTGTGCCTTTACCTGCGCTGTGGCCTTGAGGATGGCCTTGCATGCCCGCTTGATCGTTGTTGTCCGTCGAGAGAGATTGGAGATCGAGGCGCGCAGCGAGGGAGAGTCTTGCGATGCGTCGATCTGTGAAAGGTCGGCGTGATCCCAGCGGAGTGGGAGGTTTGTGGATGGGGAAGGGGCAGACGTGGGTGGCGGCATTTAGATGAGCATGATTGGTGGGTGGTGACGAGAAGATGACGAGAGAAAGGGAAAAGGGAGAACGAGAAGTGACCAAGATCGCGGCCTGATTGCTCGCACGACTGCGCATGTCGACTCGGCCCCTGATCGATTCGGAACTGGCATCGCCGTCGGCCCGCATCGACGAGGGCAAAGGCGGGGCCCAAGTGTTGGACTCGCTCACTCCCGCCCACGCGCACGCGACCAAGAGCAGGCAAGGTCAAGTCACCGTTGAAAAAGCGTGGCTCATCATTCATCCGTCACCGCTTCACCGCCTCACCGCTTCACCGTCTACGACCGCGCCAAAATCCCTTCCCACCAGCACTCCATCGCTTTCCCTTCTTCTTGTTGTCCTTTTTCTCCTCCTCTTGCTTCTCGCCCCCCTCCCCCTCTTCACCACACGTCCTCATCAACACCATCTCCCGATGCCTATACCACGCTGCCCCTTTACACCTAATCGCCTCATCCCGCATCCCACTCCTCGCCGTCCCCCTCGCATCAAACTCCCAACACTTCTCCCTCCCAGCACAGAACAACCTCCCATGCTCCCCCACGACGGCATACGTCGGAGAATTACAAGGCGGCGGTGAAGGTGGGAAAAGGGTCCACCCTTCCCCGCCTTCTCCCGGTGACTTGGGAACATCCCCATGCTGCTCGGGATAGGACAAGGGCTCACGATCCCTACCCTGCTCGTACAACTTTAAGCAACCATGTCGTCCCGTTCCAGCTGCTATGCTCCTCGACCCTTGACCCACGCCGAGCGAAAGGCTGTACACGGGCGAATCGTCGTATGCGTCACGATAGCGTGCGAGGAACTTCCCGCCTTGGGATACGTCCAGGGCTACAATTGTGCCGTTGTGACAGCCTGCGTAGAGGGTGTGTGTGGGGAATGTTGGGGAGGACATGGAGGGACGGGGAGAGGCGAGGGCATAGATGGATGTGCGGGACGGGTTGATGGGCCAGATCACCGCAGGGGAGGGGCGGGGCCGCCCCTCACGGTGGGCGGCGGCGCACTGATTTGCCCAGTGTAGCACGTCCGTGTAGATGATGAGGGGCGAGGGGTTGCACCCCGGCTCCGTGTTCGCCTGACAACCGATGGCTAGCCAGGGCTCGCCGCCTAGGTAGTGCAGGCCGAGGTGGAGGCACCACAGCTTGGCGTTGCGGGGGATCTTCCAGGAGAATAGGGGCTCGAGCTCGCAGCGAGTATTGAGCGTGTACAGCGCTACGTGCCCGTCTTTCCAACCTATGGCCAGAAGGCGCTCCTCGGGCAGATAAGAGATGGACTGTACGCTCCCTGGCTTGCCCGGTGAGGGTTCACAGCTCCCCATCCCCCGGGCTCTAGCCTTGCCGCCTCCGCCGTCGTCGACGCCAATGGGCAGACGCCACAGCTCGAGCACGCCATGAAAGCGTCCTACAGCAAGAACGATGCTATCCGGTTGGGCCTCTAGCACCTCGACTGCATTGATCTCCTGCCACCCGCTCGCCTCACCCAAATGATACACCCTCGGCTTCCTATCCGAGCAGATCCCCGCCTGATCCTGTAGCGATGCGCTGGACCAGAAGACGACGAGGCTCCTCATTGCCACTATGAGACCCTGCGCGCAAAGCTTGGCGCAAGGGAAAGCCGGCCAGTCCCTCGGTGGTCGGCCACCGCTCCCATTAATCGGCTCCATAGCATCACTGCCGCTGCTGGCCAGGAGCAACTCCTTGTACCCAAACCCTCTAGCCCTTACTGCCTTGCTCGCCCACACCTCATCGCATCGCCTCATCTCTCTCACTCTTTTTAAGCCACTCTGATTCCCTTCTTCGCGGCTGAGCACCTCGATTCTGCGCTGCGGGTCGGGATCATTATCCTCGCTCCGGCTTAGCAGCCAGGTCGTCCATCCTATCTCGTCTACCGAGCGATGCAGGCCCCTACATGTGAGGGAAAGGGACGCGAGGGATGAGAAAGGGAGATGAGAGAAGATACGCAGCAGGAGCTCTGCGGGTAGCTCGGGGAGGAGGAGGGAGGAGGCGCCGTTCGAGTGAGGAGGCCGGGACGAGGCACTGGCGGGGGGGATGGCCATGCCGGCTACCTGGCGCGGAGCTCAGGCCCGTCGTGCGGTGCGGCAGCACGTCTGGGGCGAGGGACGAGGGATGTGTTGTGAGATGTAAAGTGAGGATGTGGCAGGATAGTATAGGATAGAGTGGCAAGATGCACAGACGTCAATGTGATGCAAAGCGATCGGGACCCCTCCTCAATCAAATTCACTCCCGACCGATCACGGAAGCGCATTGAGGGAAGAGTGGAGGGCGTCATGTCGTGCAGCAAGCAGGAAGCAAAATCCCATTTTTCGCTACCGCCGGCATCAATCAAATTATCTACAGTCCAGTTTCCACAATATCACCGCCGCCTTCGTCTACCTCCCGACCTTGGTACTCCGATCCACAGGAGGAGGTGGAGGTCTTCTCCTCCCACCACTACTCGTGGGCGTCGCTGCAGAAGAAGGCGGCGTGGTCGTCCGACTAGGCGCTTCTTCCCCGTTACCACCGCCACCTCCTCCGCCCTCATCGTAATAAGCCCCAGCCCAGCCCGGATGCGAAGCACTCCCCAGCATCTCTCTTCGGCCGTTCCGAGGCCGGGCCCCTCCTCCATCTGTGGGAGCGGGCGAGCTACCCGTTCGGAGCGGCTCGTCGAGACTTGCAGAGGAGTTGGCTAGAGCGGTCGCGACGAGACTCGGCGGAGCGGGGGGGCGACGTCGCTGTTTGCTGCCGGAAGAGGAGGTAGCAGAAGAGGGTCGCAAGGGGGAGGAGGATCTTGAGGTGACCTCATCGTTACTGCCATTCCCGTTTCCGCTGGCGCTGAGCCCTAAACTCCCCACACTGCGCGAGAGGGCCTCGTCCTCCATCATGTCCATCTCCATCTCCATCTCCCTCTCCTGACCCTCTTGCCCTTCCGACCCCATGTCACCACTCGACGGACCCTGCACATGCAACGCAGGCAGCGTGGCTGCCCGTGGCGGGGAAGTGGGGACGTCCCCGTTCTGGAGGAAGGCGAACGTATCCCCGGCGTCCGTCGAAGCCGTACGAGGTAGCCCTTCTCCTCTTGCACTACCAGAAGAGCTGGAAAGCGTGGGAGTTGGGGGTGGGGGACGTCGCACTGCCGGCTTGACGATGGGGCGCTTGAACTCGTTGTGCGAGGCACGACGCGCTACAGGACGATGTTGGTGCTGCGGGGATACGGGTTGCAGAAATGCGCTCTGTGCTTGTGCTTGTGCTTGCGCTTGCCCCGTGCCCTCCTCCTGTTGGTTCGAGGCTCTCGCGTCATCCTCCCCCACCGTGATGGTCGTCGTCCTCGTCGTCGCCTCGCCGTCGCGATGCGCATTTGCAAAGTCCCACTGCCAGGAACGCTCCCCCTCCCCTTCGGTATCTCGCGTCGTCCGTCCATCCGCGAGAGCCATGGCCGTCTCGTCTTCCACCTCGATCGCAGGAGCGGGAGGGGCCATCCCCTCCGCGTCCAAATAGGGCTCTGAGGGTGGAGGAGTGGTAGGGGCCGAATGGAGGGCGGCGGAGACGGATCGAAAGCGTGGGGCCTCCAGGAAGGAGGGGACATGCGCGGGTGCGGTTGGAGGTGGTGCTATCGGTGAGGAGGAGCTAGTGGGGGAGGAAACGGAGACGCCTCGCATGCGGGCGGCCGAGGGCGGTGGGAGGGTGGATGCTGCCGTTGGGAGGAGAGAAGACTGTGTTGTCGACTCTCCACCGGTAGATGGGCGAGCCCCTTTTGTCGCCCCGCCATTCCCATTAGGCGCTGGCGTCGGCGCCACATAGTCTGGGTCTAGCCTATCCAGCTCCACGCACCACTCTGCCTCCAGACATCTCTGCACCAACCGTCTTGTAGTCGCAGAGACGTCCCCTCTATACAGAGAGTCCTTGACCAGTGTCCTCAACAGCCGCCTAATCTGCGGACGCTTGTAGGGATGCGCGCTCAACTGCGTGCTCGTGAGGAGGGGGTGCAACACCCGCAGGTAGGTGTGGCGGAGCGACTCGCTCTCTTCTGGCAGGTCAGTCAGCTCGCGGATGAAGACGTCCACTAGGACTTTCAGGTCGTTGGTGTAGAAGTAATGGGCCGTTTCTGTCGTTGTGAAGAGGAGGTAGAGCAATTTGAGGACCAGCAGCTGCATACAGGCATCTTCGGCGCTGTGGCTGCTGGCGCGATTGAGCATGAAGATGAGATTTTCTCCGAATGTTTTGGTGACGTGGAGGCGGGAGCGTAGGATGCCCATTACGACCTGCGAAAAGGGGCGGAGCGAGGATGAGGGGTGAGAAATGGGTGACGAGATTAAAGAAGGGCAGGAAGAGGGGACTCACATTCTTTGCGGATATCTGCGAGGAGAGGGAGGAGACCATGAATTGTTCATTGAGTGCTGCGATTACCTTGATGAGCTGATAGTTGAATGCTCTGTGCGCGTAGAACACGAACTTGGTCAGTTACTACGGAAATCGAGGTGTGAAACCTTGCGCCGGACTCACTCATCCTCATGATGCCTCGTCTCCTCAACGAGGTCAAAGAGATGACTAACGAAATGCTCATCCACGGCCCGCATATCCACAGGCTCGAGGCGCTGCATCCTACACACTTCGTACAAGAGCTGGATGGCCCGCTCCCTCAGCCTGATCTGGTGTATCCTCAAACGCGCCGCATTCGATGTCTCTGGCAATGCTTGTCTCGGCGCGAGGCGAGCGGCAATCGGGTTACCGTGCGTTGTCTCGCCCTCGTCGGAGGCAAAGGATGCTCCCCCCCACCCTGGCGCAGTTGCAACGTCGTCATTCATCTCCTTTCGTCCCAGTCCACCCAGTGTAGCCTCTGCCACAGCAGCGTAGTGCCCTGCCCAGATCTGATGCACCAGCCTGGCAATCTTGTCTTTTGCTGACCCATCGACGCCATTGTGCAGTGAGAGGTAGATCTCTGGATGCTCATCCCCATATGCCAGGATGACGTCGTACGCGATTAATAGAGCGGGGAGGGATCGTGCCCTGCTACTTAGATCGAGCATGCACGTCTCCACCCCTGTTCGATGTTCCTTGAACCAGCCACAGCTGAGCAGTCTCGAAACGCAATACTCCACATTGGTCTCTTGGTCCAGGTACTGGTCGTAGTGCGACTCGAGGAGGGCATAGTAGCTCTGCAGCTTGTCAAAAAGGGCCGCATGCTGTTGTGTCTCTTCGTCGTCTTGGCTGCATACTAAAGGGACGGCGAGGGGAGAATCGAGGATGCTGTCGAGGGAGGCGTAGAAGGTCGATGCGGCTGAGGATGAGGGCGGGAGTGACGTCGTTGTTGTCGAGGGCGGGATCGGAGGGGCGGGTAGGATCATGGTGGAGGGCAATGTCGTAGTAGTAGCATTCGCTCGCTCAGACCCCTCTCGTTCTTGACGTCATTGGAGTGAGAGATGGAATGACGATGATTCCGCCTTGAAGGTCGGCTTAGGCTGGGATGGTATGCTAGGATGCTGGGATGCTGCGATTGCGCGATGTGATGATGATGCGGCGTCTCGTTGAAGCCGTTGCGAGCGGGAGGAGAAAGGGCGAGCGACACTCGTCGAGACACGACGGACTCCCCAAGCGCACGGGCGAGCGGGCGTGTGAGGGCCAGAGCGCCCAGGCAGGCAGGCAGCAACCTTGGCGCGGCAATCAATATTCCCAGGGTCAGGTCAGTCCCAGAAGTCTCATGGCGACGATGTTGCACAAGTCATCGGCAAATACAGCGCTGATAGCAGTTGACTTGGACTTGTGTCGGGGCAAGGATACAAGCCACGATCATGCCCAGCCCGCCGGAAAAGGGCAGCTGCCTGACCGAGCCACACATCCTCTCCGGCTCATCGTAGACCGTCAGGATTCAAGCATCGGCACAGAACAACGGCAGGTCCTCGCACATTCGAACCATCGGCTCGGCATGCTATGTACGGGCTTGCTTGGTGAAGCGCATTTAGAGCTCGACATAATCTGAGACGCTCACCGAGGGGCTAGGCGTTGCCAGCGGCGAGAAGAGTAGGGGGGAGGAAAGGTGAGGCCGGACGGCGCACGCACGTAAGCAAGCAAGCAAGCAAACAAACACGCAAGCAAGCAAGCCAACACCAGTAGTCGTATCGCCTCGACGGCGGCGTCTCCCTCGATCGTACCTTTTGCTTGGACTGAGACATTACACAGGTCCAGGCCATGATGCTCGATGCTGCTCGCCGCGATCGCACAAGGCGCTTAGTCTGGAGTAAAGCAGAGCCGATTGAGTGGCCGCCCCCGTCGCGCCGCCCGATGCTTGCCTTGTTTCTTTCCCTCTGTCCGTCTGCAGGTCTCTTCTCCGCCTTCGGCCAGACCGAGAAGGAGAATTCTGCACGCACGCACCAACACTTCACGCCGCCGCCGCCGCCACACACACCTCTTTCCTTCCTTCCTGCAACCACGGCCACGGCCATTTCGCGGGTAGGGCTTCCATTGCCGTACGCACGGAGAGATGGCCGTGGCTTCCATCGCTTGCAACGATCGCCTGTAGACCCCGATGTGGAACCAAGCGTCACGCGCAGCGCATCGATTCCAGCTCTAGGTGGTGGCCGACGAAGATGTGAGACCGGCAAGTGGTGTTGGACGGCAAAGGCGAGGGGGATGAGAGCGACGCCGTAACGCGAATGAGATGGCGTTGAGGCCACGCCACACGCTACCGGTGTCGTGTTGGACGGCATGCTAAGATGACTGCGCGAGCAAGGGTATAAGAAGAGGGCAGAAGTCGCTACAATCCACATCGCTCGCCATCACCTCTCAACCCCCTCTCACCGCCCACCATGACTCGCATCGCCATCACCCCCGCCCTCCTCCTCACCGCCGCCTCCCTCGCAGCCAGCAGCGCAGACGCCTCTGTCCTGCCCCGCGACCTCATCGGGAGCATCCTGTCCGGCGTCCTCTCCACATCGCAGCAGATCCTCACCTCGGGCCTGCAGCTGGGCTCTTCCTCCTCGTCAACCTCGTGCGCCTCGGGCAACACCGTCGCTCTCACCGGCTCCGGCTCGCACAACGTCGCCGGCAGCGTCTCGAATGCGGGGACCATCTTCTTCGGTCAGCAGGGAAGCGCCTCTGGCTCCATGAGCTCCACATGGTCCGACGGTAGCTTGACCAACAACGCCGGAGCCACATTCCAGCTCAACGATTTCAACGGCACGGCCGGCTCGTCTTACAGCTGGACTCTCGGGTCCTTCGCCAATTCTGGTCTGATCCAGTGGTGCTCGACAGGCTCGGGCTCCTACGCTCTCAAGTGCTCCTCGGGGTCGTGCACCAACAACGGCAACATCGTCTTTGAGCAGGGCTCCTCGTGCGGCTGGGCCAACACGCAGCAGGCCTCGGGCCTCTCACAGAGCATCACTCACAACGGCTGCATGATGCTGCGCAATAGTGCTTTCACTGCTAGCCAGAACTACCTCGGTTCAGGGTGCTGGAGCATCGATGCTGGCTCTTCCCTCTGGTTCAACGCCGGCACAGGATCGAAGAACATCGCCTCGGGAGCCAAGTGTCTCAACGGCCACTCGATCAACTTCCCCGCGGGTAGCAGCGGCGGTACGCTCCGACTGGACTCGGACGTCTACTCCAACTTTGGGGCAACCATTTACGGTTTCGGCACCAAGTCCACGCTCCAGTTTCCCGACACCATCAACGGCGTTTCCTATTCCGGGTCGACGCTGACCGTCAACTTTGGTAGCATCATCTTCACCACGGCGACGATGAAGCTCAATGTGGGGGCAGGGTACAGCGGCTCGTGGAAGTACAACAACCCAATCTCCGGTTACTCGACCGTCACGTACAGCGGGACCGTGCCTGCTAACTCGGCGCCGGGTACCTGCTCACCCAGTGTCTCCGCTTGCGGCGCTTCTGGACCTAGTGTACCCGTTGTCAGCTCGACCTCGACTTCGAGCTCCAGCACTGCCACTGCTACCTCGACGACTACCTCGAGCACGACGACCTCCAGCTCTACCGCGACCACCTCGAGCGCCACGACGAGCTCTACCAGCTCGAGCTCGACTACCTCGTCGTCCACCGCCACCTCATCCTCTTCTAGCACCACCACCAGCTCATCCTCCACCTCGACGAGCAGCACCACCAGCAGCTCCGCGTCCTCCACGCCCACGATCAATGGCTCCACCTTCGACTACGGAGGTGTCTCCTTCCCCGGCTGCTTCTACGACGCCGCTGGCTCAGGTGGTGCTCGCACCTTCTCTGGCGCTTCTACCTCCTCACCCTCTATGACCAACGAGTACTGTGCCAACTTCTGCGGCAGCAAGTCCTACAAGTACTCTGCCACCGAATACGGCCAGGAATGCTTCTGCTCCAACACCGCCCCAACCAAGACGGAGGGCGCCACCTGCGGGATGACCTGTGCGGGCAATGCGCAGGAGACGTGCGGGGGTAGCTGGTCAATGACCGTCTTCAACAATGGTGCATTCCCGGACACGGGGAGCAAGCTCTCCTCCAACTATGCGACCTACGGTAGCACGGGTGGATGTTACGCGGACACTGTCTCTTCTCGCACCTTTTCGGCTTACTCCTTCACCAGCCCCAACATGACTGTGGAGCTCTGTGCCTCCACCTGCTCGGGCAAGGGCCACGCATTCAGTGGAACCGAGTATGCCACCGAGTGCTACTGCTCCGACACGATTCCTGGGGCGACGAGCACCGCGTGCAATATGCAGTGTGGTGGAGCTCAATATGAGACGTGTGGCGGACCGGGTGCGTTGAGCGTTGTGGTGGACAACAATATTGCGCACAGCGATAGTCCGACGTGCGCTAACTTGCCCAGTGGGTGGGCCGTTTGCCAGGAGGGGCAGAAGGTTTCCGGTGGGAAGTGTGTCAGCGCGTGAGCGGTGGGAGCGAGGGCAGGAGATAGATAGATAGCTCAAGATTCGTTTCGCTTTGTTTTTCCATCACCTTCATTCTTGGGCTTGTTCCTTGTCACCCGCAATGTTACCGTTTCTACAACGCCAAAATCTCGACCGACCACGCTTTCATCGACTCGAATCGACACTGCTGCACCGTATCCACTCCCTCCTCCCACTTGCCTTCCGTTCCGTCGCGATTTGATGGACGGAGCGAAATGTCCAAGTGAGGCAAGCAGCTCAACTCTGTCCTTCCCGTCCGTGCCGTCCATCCTCGATAACCTCACACTAGCATCTCTACGCAGCACCAAGCAGAACCAGGATTCACCCTCTCATCAAGCCCTCCAACCTCTCCATTCCCAGGCTCCTCTCCTTACGACAGCTCTTCCACGCCCACCATATCCCTCGGCTCCTGGCCAGCCAACCAGCCAGCCATGAAAATCCGTCAACTCAAAGTACGACCGAAACACGAAGCGGCCACTTCCCCCTGCGCTGCTGAGCTAGCAGCTATGCTTGCCTGTTGGGCTTCGACGCACGATACGGCCAATGCAGGGGCTTGTAGGGATGCGGCGAAAGGGTTGCAGAATTGTATGAGGTTGCAGGTGAGTTTTCGCGAACGTATAGGCGTGGAAGTGGATGAGGTGTGGGAGATGCTGACTTGACTTGATCCTTCTATGACATTCGCTGCTGCGCTGACAGGCTAATGGAGCAGGGAGAGTAAGGGGGGCTTCGACTATCAATTATCATTTGGCCAAGTGGTCCAAGGGATCGTAAGGGAGATGCTCGCATTGGTGGTGCACGAAATATCCAAGGAGGGGGTTTCGAAGGGGTAGGTACAGCGATTCCCTCGACCTCGACGTATGGACGCTGGCCAAGAAGTGCAGCAATCCCTCAATGTTGTCATGAGAGCAAGAGGAGCAGCAACACCAGCGACAGCAGCAGCAGTGAGCGAGGGAGAGGGAGGGAGGAGAGCGCTCAGAGAAGGGCATCACTTGTGGCAGACCCGCTCGATGAAAGGTCAGTGAAGGCGCAGAGCAGAGAAGAGCAGAGCACGAGGAGGCCGGAAGGCAGCCCCACTGTAGGCTGTGTAGAAGAGGAAGACGAAGAGGCACACGAGCAAAACAGCCTTTATCGCTCAGCGCTTCGCAATGTACAAAAGTATCCACGCATCACTTTACACGCAGACAGCCGGAGGAAAAAAGAGGATCTACCCTCGCATCCAAGGCTGAGACGGTCCTGTCCCCGTCAGAATGAGAGGAGGGACAAGCGAAGATTTGGACAAAGAGTGCATAGGGGAGGCAGGCCTTGAGTCGCTCATGAAGTGGTCAAGTGCAGGGCAGCGCTACTAGTGACAGAGAGAGGTTCGGTCCGTAAAGCAAGGGGGCTAGTCGATCCCTCCTTTTACTTGCCCTTGACCGTAGGCGTCCAGCCGGGGAAGCAGGTGGGGACGTCCTATCGAATCGAGTCAGGATTACCTGGGTCAGCCTAAAGGTCCCCCCCTCTCTCGACCAGCCTTCGAGATCTGCGTCTGCGTCTCCGTCTTCGTCTTGGCAACTCACCTTCTTATGCTTGTCCTCGGCGTGTTGCTTAAGCTGTACAACGAGAGTGGAAGAGAGGAGCGAAGAGTGAGTCAGTCAGACAGGTCTCCTTTGGAGCTGGAAATGAGACAGGCACTAACCGCCGGCTCCCGGACTGTCTGCAGGAAGGTCTGACGACACACATTGCAGATGATTGTCATTGCCGCCTCTGCGAGCGCGGGTCAGCGGTGAGGAATAGTCAGCTCTCGCCATTCACTGTGGGGAAAGGGAGAGCCAAGAGAGGACGTACGATTCGCCTTCAATTGGCTGGTGGGACCCTTGTTCGCCACTGCTGCATTGCGGTCACGCTTTTGTTGTGCTCTGCCACGAGCAGAAGAGAAGAGAAAGTCAGTGCTTGTCTAGAGGCGGGAGGAAGGAGAGGCGAGGTTCCCCTGAGGGATTGGACCAGGCGAGTAGAGGAGTAAGGACTTACTTTGCTCCGTTTCCCATCTTGTCTGGCTATTCGAAGTCGATCAGATAAGGGTACTATGCTAAACTTGTAACTTGTCGTCTGGGCTGGCGGTGAGGTGAGATAGCTCGAAGCTTGAGAGGAGGTGAGCGGTGTATTGATGGGATGGGATGGGATGGAGAAGAGGGGAGAGAGACGGAAGGCGAATGTGTCGCCTGCCTCGTGCAGGCCCGTTCAAATTGTCGCTCGACACCGACTGGACTGAGAAGTGGGCCTCGCCTCTCTCTCCGCCCTGTGGCCCACGATGCGGCGCATGGCGCATGAGCGGCGCGCCGAGCTTGCAGCAGATCTGCGTTTGTCCTTTTCCCCCGTCGTCGTCCAACACCAACTTGCAAGTCGACTTGGATGAATCCATCGAGGAGGGAGGGCAGGCTGCAACAAAGATGACATGGTAGCGCACTTGATTCAGATTCGTGGAAAGATATACAGGATAGACAGGGTGAGAAAATGATAGGCAGACAAAGACGTGAGAAAGTTCAATCAAGAGACAGGTATCAAAGGTGCGGCGAGGGCGAAGAGGTACGTACATACTAGCGAAAGGAAGGCAGCGGCGGACATGACGTCCAGTATCAATCGAGCAGGAGAATAGCAGTAGCGGGAGTAGAGGCAGAAGAGCGGAATGAGGGAAAAATCAAGCCATAGGATCCTCCTCCTGCTCCTCGACTTGATCCTGCTCATCCTGCTCATCCTTCCCCGCCTCACCCGTAGCAACAAGGCTCAATCGCCCGCCCGTGCCCTTCTTGCGCTTCGTGGGCAACGAGCTTTTGCCTGGGGAGGAGACGCCGCCGCTGCTGCTGCTGCCGTTGCTATTGATCGTGCCGCTCTTCTCCCTAGTAACGGGATCGGATCGCGTCTTTTTGCTCTTCTTGTGCTGCTGCTGCTTCGCACTACCTTCACGCTCGCGCAGGAGAGCTTTGAGGGCAGTAGAGTCATTCTCCTCGTCCCCACCTGCTGCGGCCTCCAGATGTCCCGCCCTTGTGACTGTAGGAATACTATCCGGGGTAGCATCACAGAATACGACGAGTCCGCCACCAGGGGAAGAAGTGGTGAGACCGAAGACATCCTCGTCTTGAGCGGAGGAAGAGCCACGCGAGGGGGTCGCGGGTGTGCGGATGCTGTTGACTGCCGGAGAGGAAGCAGGGGATTGGCTCTGGATGCGCAGAGGAGGCACGGCTACTACTTGCTCTTCATCCTCCTGCTCCTCCTCACTATCGCTGCCGCTCTCCTCAGCGACTGCACTGTCCACCTCTTTCATTAACGCATCACCTTTCCCGAGGCCGAGCTTCGGTGAAAGCTTCAAACCCCCCGTGGAGCCAGTGGAACTCATCCTCCTATGACTGTGACTACTAAAGGAGCCACGCTTGCTCCCTGTCGCGGCGGTGGCGGCTGCGAGTGCGGCATTCTTGTGCGGACTGGGACTGGCCCAAACTGGTGCTTGGCCTCGCTCCCTCGCCAACCCGAGCTCGGTCACATCGTCTACCCTGTCCCGCTTACGGGGGAGGGATTGCGCGTGCACGGGCGCGGGGTCATTTGACGAGCTCGCGCGATTAGTCGTGCAGCTCACGGGTGGGAGAGGTGGCTCGACATTCGATCGTCGTTGTGGCGAGGCGCTGTGCTTTGCCTGTCGCTTTAGCAGCGAAGCAGGTGGTGTAGCAGGCGCTATGTGCGTAGTAGGACTCGGAGGGACGGGGGGATGAGCGATAGCTTCAAGGCCAGAGGCGACGTGCGGGTGGTGAGGTCTGACGTTGACCGGGTGCGTCTCGTGGTGGGGAGGGGTACGCGGTGCCTGCGCAGCTGCTGAGCGCTTGACGCGCGTAGGGCTGACCGCGAGCTGCTGTTTCGCGTTAGCCTGGACGGGTTTGAGGATAGGGCTTACGCCTGTCGAGGTGGGCGAGGTGGAGGTGCTGACCGTATTGGTCGCGACTAGGAAGGTGGCGAGGGGCAACTCCCCCAAGGGAGCGCGATACGCGCGTGCTGTGGTAGGGGTGGACATGCTGCCGGGGCGGTGAGGTGATGATGATGATGAAGAGGAGGAAGAGGATGAGGCCATTGTGATCCGAGAAGGTTGTCGAGTGTGCTTTTGTATGTTTGGCTCGATGCAATGCGAGTCCTTTGTGCACCTCTACTCTAGTGCACGTTTCGACGCTTTGTGCCACTCGTCGTCGTCATCGACCTCGATGATCGTGGCGCCCTCTGTTTGTGTCACAAGTTTTGTTTGCTTTGACGACACTGTCTCCCTGACGATCGATGAACAGAAGCTCGTCAACGAGAGTATGATGATGACGCTGGCCTGGCGAGATTGGATGAATGGGTAAATGAGTGGGTGACGTAACTGATCATCGATCGCGACGTCAGGCGAAGCGCAGGGCCAGAGCCAGGGCGCATCGAGACGCCAAGGGGGAAGTCGAGGGGCGTCGCGACGTGAGCGAGCGTGACTGCTCACGTGGGCGGGCGGCAACGCAAGTGTTGGACTCTGGCTCGCCCACGAGACGGAGACGGAGATGAGATGAGGTGCGCGATTTCGACTTCTGGTCGCTATCCTCCTCAGCACAACCAACAATGGCGTCTCCCCTCCCACCTCACCTCGCTCTCGAGCTCCGTCTCCGTCAGGTGGAGTACAATGTTTTTGGCCCGGACCATCTCTTCGATGCCACCTCCTCGAAGCCGTTGCTACTACGCGCCCAATCAGTGAAAGAGACGATCCAATCCGTAGGCTCGTCCCACGGCTCTGCCTCTACCTCGTCTTCCTCCTCTTCACTGCGCCGCTTCGTCCAAACAGATTTCGAAGCCTGTCGACGTTTCCTCCAGCCCAACTCCTTTCGCTCCGGCGGCAGCAGCGGGGACACAAAGGACGACGAATCCAAAACCGCCCTCTCCGCCTCTGCAACCCTCTCCCCCTCTGAACAGATCGTCCTAATCCTCTCCGCCGAGAAGGACATGCGAACCTTGGAGCGTTGTCTCGCACAATGTCAGGAGCTGGGAGAGAAGAGGGACGTAGCTGGTGCGGGGAGGTTGGGCGAGTATGAGGTGTTGATGCCGTTATTGGAAAGGTTGAGGAGTACGGGCGAGGGGGAAATGCAGCCTCGATTGAGGGAGGTAGAGGATCAGCTGTTGGGGATTTTGGAGGAGTATCAGGGATTTGTGAGTTGGACAAGATTAAGAATGCATTTGGGGCGCCTGAGCTGACCATTCTTTCCCCCACCGCGCACTCGTAGATCGACGGCCTCTCCCGCCTTTACATTCAGTGGGACGAAGCGCTTAACGATATGGAGCGCACAGTGGCCAAGATGGAGCGACGGGCGGCACAAGAGGAGCAGGGATGAGGCGGGGAAGAGTGCGTGTGTGCGTGTGTGACATTAGACGATACCCAACGATCCTTGTACATCAACCATAAGGCCTGAACCGCCCTCCATTCGCTGCAGGCGACGGAGATGAGGACGAGGCTCCACCACCTCTTCGCTGCCCTCCCACTCCTCCTCCTCCTCCTCTTCTTGCTACTCCACCCTCCCCACTAGCTCCAGCAGAGCCACCAACAGCCCAAGAAGGCAAAGCGCTCATTCTCCCATCGTCCCCCGCCTGTCCCCCCTCATTCTCCTCCTCGTCCCCCTCGTAATCCTGGAAACTCCAAGCCACAACCCTTCCGTCCTCCCCGCCTGACCACGCCAGTCTCCTTGCCACCCCACCACTGCCAGAAGAGGAAAAGCAGACGGAGCGCACAATATCCTCGTGCCCTCCTCTTGCGCTATCCGCCAACGAGGGGAAGAAGGCGTTGACCGTCCAAGGGGTGGAGCGGGCTTGTTGCTCTGTGAGGGTGCGGGAAGTGGGGAGAGTGCAGAGCGTGAAGGAGCCGGATTGGTCGCCTGTTGCTAGTTGCAGACGGGGCAAGCTGCTGCTGCACGAAGAGGAGGAGGAGGAGGCAAAACCGTCGATGATGTAGTCTGCCTGGTATTGTCGAGCGACGCTTGAGGAAGAGGAGGAGGATGGAGCTGGTATCGAGGTGGAGCCGGGGAGGGCGGATAGGGGTGGGAGGATGGGGTCGGTCTGCGTGAGATGAGGGAGGAGATCAGCTGCTTGGACAGACACGGTAAACTATACGCCGCCCCCGCACTTACCGAAGCGGCGTCCCACACGCCTGCCGTCTGCATATCGCTCACCCCCCAGATCCCTCCCAGTGCCATCGCCTTAACCGCCGCTGTCGCTTCATTCTCCTCATCTCCTCCATCTACCTGCATCCCGTCACCCTCACCCGCGCCCGCCGCCATCAGGCCCGGCAACCACCCTCCTCTTGCCAGGCTCGCCCCGCTATTCGCCGCGCTCAACACAGCATCGTCTTCATCTGCTCCCTTCCTCACATCGTACACCGTCATCAATCCATCGGTGCTACCACTGAGCAACACACCTTCCTTCTCCGGATGGAAGCACAGGAAAGTCACGTCGTCGCTATGTGACTGATCGTACGTGATCACAGGTGCAGAGGGGTTGCGCAGGTCGTAGAGGTAGATGGGAGCATCGAAGCTTTGCAGCTCGTGGCCCAGTGCGAGGAGGGGGGCGGCTGAGCTAGTAGAGGGGGAGAAGGAGAGGGAGAGGAGCGGTGAAGAGGTAGGAGCTGCGTGACGAAGAGCGAATTATTGTCAGCGCAAGTGACTGGTGAGAAGGAGGAGGGGGAGCCTCCGCTCTGTGTCCCCTCTCCGGTTATACGCACTTTGCACCTGCATACTCTGACTCGCCCCAATCCTCCTTCGCCCATTCGCGTCCCTCCCATCAAACAGGCTCGCCCTTCCCGTCCGATCAGTCACGCCCCAAAGCCCTGCCGTCTGCCCTGCTCCTGCTCCTGCTCCTTGTGGTGCCTTGGCCACATTCGTCAAACTAACCTTCCCCGAAGGCGCTAAAGCTCCCTTCATTCCCCCAGCGCCAGGGAGGTGCCACGAGTCGACAGGCTGAAGAGACTCTGCATCGAGCAAGTGACAATCCCCGTCACTTGTGAGGGCCAGAAGCCCGCCCATCGGAACAGAGTCGTCGCCATCGCCGTTGCTCAAGGGAAGCAGGTGGGTGACGTACGTTGGGCGCGACGAGGAGGAGGAAGGGAGGGTGATCGACTGGTGCCAGGTGGCGTGGGAGAAGCGGTGCGATGCAGCACATCTCAGGGGTGCGTGAGGGGGAAGGAAATCGGTGTCCATTCTGATGTGGTGGAGAGAGGGTATCAGAAGAAAAGACGGTGGGTTCTTCGAGGAAAGAAAGGAAGAAAAGCGATGCTGGACTGTACACTGCGCCGTCAGTCCGTGTGTCTGTCGGCCAAAAATTCAAAGGCAACGCAGGCACGCGACGAATTGGAGGCGGCCCATGCGAGTCGAGCGGGCGACGCAGGTTCCGGCTTCGCTCCAGCTCACGACTCAGAACCCGCTTCTCTCCTCTGCAAAGCAGGCGTGGCACATCTATCTTATCGAATCAGTATTGCGAAATGCAAATGGGTCGCAGAGTACTACCCTTACTCCTCCATCTCCGCCTCCCCACCCGCGCTAGGGATGCCTCTCTGCTGCGCCCTCCTATCCGCTTCGAGCGCAGGTGTGGATGTCCCGCTCCCCCGTTGAGAGTGATGATGATGGTGATGAAGGCGATGCTTGCGCGCAAGGTATGGCTCTTCAGCCAATGCACCGGCAGACGGTTTGACCACTTCGCCGTTTGCAGCCGCAGACGCAATAGCGGCGATGCCCTCTGCATCGTATCCCGCGTCTGCTGCGTCCTCCTCTGCCTCGCTCGCCTCACTATCCCCACTACTACTGCTACTACTCCCTCCCTCCCCTCCTGCCTCGGCCCCTAGCTCCGTCTCCAGCCTGTAACTCGGATGACTCCCCACAAGCGAAACGTAGTAATGCTGTAGCAACCCTCCCGAGCAGGTCAAGTGCCAATCAATGATCCCTAGGAATTCCTTTTCGAGCATGTTGAGCTCTACAAGGCTGATCCCTCCCACCCTCGCATAATGTCCATTCGTCGAAAAAGCGTCACAGAGCGCCTTGGTCGCACATACTACTGCCGCGCACACGAAACGATGTACGGTGAGCGAGCAGATGGTGAACCCTTTCATGCGCTCGCAGACGCGGTCGATGTATACGAGGAGGATGAGAGTGCACGCCTTGTCCAGTGACGTGTACTTGGCGATACGTCGGAGGTAGGACTGTATGCTTATCCCGGGCGTGGCGCGGGAATGGAAGCGGGTGAGAGAGGAAGGGTGGAGGGGAAGGGAGTCGTTGTGCTGCATGAGGCGGAGGAGCATGTCCCCTACCAGGGTGAGGATGTCTGACGGGTCGGCGTCGTCTAGGCTGAGTGGGAGGACCTTGTGCGGGGGAGAGAACGTGGTGTCAGAGAGGTTCTGAGATTCATTGAAGGACAGGGATCGCTCCACTCACTTTGACTCCATCAATGACATCCCCAACAGCAGCGCGAGGTAGCGATGCCTCGTTCTCAGAGTCCCTTCCCTTTGGCGAGGAGGTAAGGCTCGCAACAACAGCAGGCGTCAATGTCCCACTCTGGGACGATCCCCTCGGATGTGGTCTCTTCCTGCTCGACCCTGGACGACTCGAAGGCCTCGAGGAAGAGCTAGGTGACGAGTCGCTGGACAAGGGACCGAGCGATTGGACCGCTTCGTCTGATCCTGGAGGCTGTCCGAAGATTACGTCCGATGGAGAGGCCTTGGAGCGACGCTTAGAGGGAACGGTCGAAGGGGAGGGGTGATGCGGAGATGAGTGATGCTGAGATGATGATGAGGGAAGTGCACTGCTACTGCGCGAGGATGATGGCGGGTTCATCATTATTGACGAGTGCAGCTTCTTCTACGTCGTCGTCGTCGTCGTCGTCGTCCTCGTGGATGATCTCGCAGCCTGCCAACCTGCGCCCTTCACCATGCCTCTTTCCCTCGCTCGCTGATGCTGATCCCGATGTGGGTGGGTGTGCTACGCCTTTAATCGCTGGCTGTCTGACTGACTGGCCTGCAGTGACTATGTATGCTCTACGGCCGTTTGATGCTGATAGTGATGAGAAGGAATGCAAATTGGATTCGGCCTCGCCCTCGCCGCCCATTGGCCCACACGCAGTTGTGCGCCAATCGGCTTCGCGCTTCAACGTGCGCTTCCGCTGCTGCCTGGGAGCAAGTCTTGGTCGACGACGGGCCGACTCTTGTGGGGTCAATCAAGCAAGCGTGGCGAGACGATGTGTGTGCGTGTGTGTGTTTCAGCGGCCAATCGAGCGAGTGAGCGAGTCGGGACCAGGCGACTTGACTTGACTTGGCTCAGAGCGAGGCTGCTTGGCTCCACACACCAACCATCACTTCTTAACACTCAGCACTCTTCACATGGATAGTGATACACCGCCGCCGCAGCAGCTGCCCTCTCAGCTTGGCGGGCATGACAGCGCTGCAGCTGCCAGCTCGGCCATGAACGCGGCTACCGCACCAGCCGCTGCCCCGGTCGCTGCTAACACCACCGCATCGCTTCCTCCCACCAATGGCTCGTCACTCCCATCGGCATCGACGGCGCAGCCAGCCACCTCGCTCTCATCTTCCGCAGCTCCCTCTGCTCCTTCCTCGATCCCCGCACCCACCGCTCGCCTTCAACTAATCGACGAAGACCAAAAATTCACCCCGCAACTCAACGACCGTCTCTCGCAATGGGGTCTCCAGGACGCCGGCTTCGGCTACGACCTCTGTGCCGTCCTTGGTAGCCAGTCGACGGGCAAGTCCACCCTCCTCAACAAGCTTTTTGGCACCACCTTCGACGTCATGGACGAGACACGACGTCAGCAGACGACAAAGGGAATCTGGATGTGTCGTGGCCAGGCAATGAATGTCCTGGTCATGGACGTCGAGGGAACAGATGGCAGGGAGAGGGGAGAGGATCAGGACTTTGAGCGAAAGAGTGCCCTTTTCTCCATGGCAAGCGCAGAGTGTCTCATTGTCAACATGTGGGAGCATCAGGTCGGATTATATCAAGGTGCCAACATGGCGCTGCTCAAGACAGTCTTCGAGGTCAACCTCGGTCTGTTCCAAGCGGCAAAAGGATCGTCAGCTTCAAAAGACAAGACGTTGCTCTGCTTCGTCATCCGCGATCATATTGGTAACACGCCCCTCGAGAACCTCCAGAACACTATCCTCGCCGATCTGCGCCGTATTTGGGACTCCCTCTCCAAGCCAGAGGGGCTCGAGCAGTCCACAATCGACACCTTCTTCGACTTCACCTTCGTGACCCTCCCACACAAGATCCTGCAACCGGCAGAATTCGACGCCCAAGTGAACCAGCTTCGTGCGCGCTTCGTCGACTCGAGTCGTAAGGACTTCATCTTCAAGCCAGAGTACCACAAGCGCATCCCCGCCGACGGGCTCCCGCACTACCTGGGCAGCATCTGGGAGCAGGTCCAGACGAACAAGGACCTCGACCTGCCCACCCAACAAGAATTGCTCGCCCAGTTCCGCTGCGACGAAATTGCCGCTGCGGCATTTACCGTCTTTGCCCTTGCGGTGAAAGTATTCCGTCGCCCCATCGAGCAAGGCGAGGTACTGGCCGACCTAGGCGTCCTAATGGGAAAGCATCGCGGCGTGGCCGTAGCCGAGTTCGACAAGGCGGCCAGTCGCTACCATGCCGACGTGTACAGGCGTAAGCGATCGGACCTCCTAGAGAAGTTGAACTCGACCCTCTCCCCTTTCTACCTCGGCCAGCTCAAGAACCTCCACAAGTCCATCCTGGCAGCCTTCAAGGCCAGCGTACTAGACAAGCTGCGAGGCGAGGGATACGATTTCGCCTCCGTCGTCTCCACCGAACGAGAGCGGGCGCTCACCACTTTTGAGAAGAATGCGGACCACATGTGTCTAGACGAGACGGATTGGAGCTACGAGGATGAGCTGGACCAACTGCGCGTCAATATCACTGAAATAGCGGACCAGTGTCGTCGCGAAGAGACGAAGAAGATGGTCCTCCAAATCGAGCGAAACGTGAAACGCGATCTCGCCGAACCGACGGAGCTTGCCCTCTCCCGTCCGCAGCCAGACATGTGGGATCGGATCCTCTCCAACTTCTCCGCTACGCTCGACAAGGCCGAAGTTGCGTACCTGCGCAAAGCCAAGAGCTTCTCCTGCACGGACGAGGAGAACGAAAAGGCCCTGCGAACGTTGAAGCGCCGTAGTTGGCTGGTCTTGCGCGCAAAGATCGACGAGCAAACGGCAGACTCTGTTCTCATCACTAAGCTGCGCGGCGCCTTTGAGGACAGATTCCGCTACGATGAGGCGGGTGTACCGCGCGTCTGGCGACCAGAGGACGATATAGACGGGCTCTTCCGGGTTGCTCGAGATGAGACTCTCGCCTTGATCCCGCTCTACTCTCGCATCGCGCCCCAAGACTCAAGTAAAGCCGTGGAGCTTCCCTCTACCTCGGACGATCCGGAATCGGCCCACGCTGTCGCCCGCGGCGAGGAGGAGGACTTCGATTTCCCTGCCTCTCTCGTCGTCTTCAGCGAGACGCGCAAAGCTGAGCTTGGAGCCCGCTTTAGAAAGGAAGCAGACGCCTACTACGTCGAGGCCAAACGTTCCACCGTTTCCACGATGGCCCAGATCCCCCTCTGGATCTACGGCGTCATTGCCGTACTGGGCTTCAACGAGTTTGTGGCCGTCATTTCCTCGCCCGTCTACTTTACCTTCCTCCTCCTGGCGGGGACTACGGTGTACCTGATCTGGTATTTGGGAATGAGCGGACCCGTGCTGAGCGTCGGGAAGGCGATGGGACGCGAGGTGCATAGGGTGGCCGACGAGAAGTTGAGGCAACATTTCGCCCAGCCCGTACCCATGCCTGCTGTACTGGCTGAGGGGGGGAAGAGAGCACCATCGGTGGCGATGGGTGCGCCGAGCAGGGGATCTGGGGCGAGTTCGGAGCAGAAAGGGGAAGAGATTGAGCTAAAGGAGAGACGGCCAGCTACGGACACTACGACGGCGACGGCGGGGGGCGCGCTGGATAATTGAGGATGTAGCTGATGAAGAGAGACACGGGCTCTCGTCTTCAGGCAGTCTGGGGAAAGCTCCCTGCCATTTCTAGCTCGGACATCATGCGCTAATTATCAACGCAGAGTAGGATCATACACGGAAAATCTCAACGAGTGAGGAGTCGTGAAAGAACACACCCCTCCTGATGTGTGTGTATGTGTGCCGCGTCTTCCGGCGTCCCTCTCTCATCTGAGCTTTTCTGGAACATCTTGCCTCGCCTCCTTCACCTCGTTGAGGCTCGGTCTAGGGACCATCTTGCAGCGAGCATTGGACGGTAGCGAGTTGCCGTCTTCCAAATCTACGCCTGGGCGTGCGGCCCTTTGGAAGACTGAAAGCTGGGATGGCCAGTCTACCAGGTAGCTCGTGGCCCCGCGGCGGACATGGCGCTCGACAATGCCTCCTCTGTCTGTCTGTGAAGCCAAGGCGTGTCACGGACCTCGTCGCGTCTTGCGTTGACCATTCACCGCCTCGTTCACGCTCGCTCTACCTTTTTCCCTGACGAGATGGACCGGACCGTCCTTGCGTCCCGAGAGCGGCTAATGCGTCCCACCTTGGTCTTTCCCACGGGTCGATAGGCATGTCAGATCCTCATCGCCGACTAATCAGCGGCATTTGGCTGGCTGGCTGGCGTGTGGCAAAAGAGAGAGAAAAAGGAGGTCCGAGCACCACGGCCGGTGTTATCCGTGGGCAGCCAAGCGATCACATACAGAACGACACGACAGTGCGTGCGCTCCTTTGTTCGTTCTGCGCAGCGCAACGCGTCTTTCTGTTTCTCGGCCGTGCGCTGAAAGAGATGACAAGGGAGAAGAACGGGAGGAGCGTGTCACTGCTTTGATCACTTCGAGGATGGATGGGGATAAGGGGCAAGGTGGCGGCCTTGAAGATGATGAGGATGAGGATGCTGATCGACGCTGTCCTCGTCGAAGTTGAGGGATACAAAAAGGGGGAAGACGCCTGTGCAGCTGGAGTGAATCCCCTTCCTCACAAGCCCTGCTCGCTCCCACTCAAGAGTCAAGATGGCCTTCCTCGAGTCTGTCAGGCCTTTCGGCGACTACCCGTCGTCCGCTTTTTCTCCCCTCGTTACCGCCACTGCCACTGCCACGGCCATCGGTGAAGTTCCAAGGCGCAAAGCCAGACGCACCTCCTCGACCCGTCGTCAGCGGTCTCATTCGCCTTCGCCACCTCACCGCAGCGCCCCTTCTAGCCCGGAGCAGCGCCACCATCGCGATGCGGATGACGAGAGTCGTCGGCCCCCTACGCCTCCATCGCAGCACCAGCGTCGCCGTCTCCCCCCTTCTTTGCTCACCGAGCCAGTCTGGGATCAGCCCACCTTCCTCGATCGCCCACCCTTGCGTCCATTTCCCCCCACCACGGCGCAACACGGCACGGCACGTCGTGCACCAGGCCGCTCCTCCATCCACCTGCGCGGCAGTACATTCAGTGTCGCCCTTCCCACCCCTACGAAGCAGATGCGCCTCTTCCAAACTCTACTCAGTCAGGCGGTGCGTCATTCTGCTTTGGCGAGGAGAAAATTGGACGCTGCGGCCGAGAGGGATAGGGAGGTGAGGGAGCGCTGGTTGGGGAGAAGGTGCCATTGTGGTCGATGCACTATTGACGATGAGGGGCGTGAGGCAGAGGAGGGGGACCGGGAGGGAAGAGGAGAAGAGGAGCTATCACAGGAAGAGGTGACCGAATTGGAGGAAGCGGCGGACCGGCTTGGCCACCTGACCAGCCTGGTGCGACGCTCCTGCGATCTGGATCGATCTTTCAAACCTCCCGATTCCCCTTCTGCGGGGGCACGCGTGGTCTCGCCCTTGTTCTACTGCACCATGCTTTCCTGGCTTCGTGCCTGCCTGCGGGCCGAGAGGGATTGGAGGGGCGTGCTAGAGGGGCAGGAGGAGCAACGACGTTGTTGGAGGCAAGGGGGGGGAGAAGAGCCTAGGGAGGCAATCTTGATTGTGAAGAGGAGAGAGGATTTGAGGGCACTGAAGGATGTGGCGCTGTTCACGTGAGTACGAACACAAGTTTCAGCACAGAGATGGAGCGAGCTAACGTGTCCCTACTCTTTCCTCCTTCGCGAACAGCACCGACGTCCTACGCCTCCTACAGGCAGAGCAGGACGTTCTTTGCCCTCCTCCGTCTTACCCGGAGACACAGACGGCTTACGCACCGTCTACCCCGTCGAGTGCAGACCGACCACCCAGCTACGACACCGTCACCGCATCTTCGATCCCGGACCGCCAGTCAAGCCTGCGTCCCTGCCGTCTACGCCTCAGGCACGACGCTCAGCGCAATCGACCGAGCGCTGTGCTAGACGAGTGGCTCGATGAGCCCATTCGTGCCGCGTCAATATCATTCACCGCACATCCGGGCGCGCGTCGCCTTCCAGCTACATAGGCTTTCGAGCCTCTCCCGTCTCACATCCTCGAGATTTGACCCTCACGCCCTCTGTCACTTGCACTGCGCCTTCTTGTCACGGATCCCGTCTGTCTCTCCCGAAATGCGATAACCTTCTCCTCTATCATTGCAACGCACAGTCACGCCGCGTCGCATCGCATCATCTCGCCCCTCGTCTCTGCCCCTCCACCCCAACCAACTCCACCCCCTTCAACCCACGACAGACAGTATCCAGCGCCCTCGCATCCTCCTCTAACGTCGCCACAAGATGATTGAGCCCAGCCTGCTGCTGTGCCAATATCCCCGCGACATCTTCCACCCCCTTGGGGTCCACGACGGCCCACTCCACCCCACCGGGACGACGCCCGCTGCGCTCCAGAGCTGTGCGCTGCGCTTTGATGGTTGCGAGGGTGGTCCAGAGATCGTTTATGCGGGACTTGAGTTTGGTGGCGCTTGACGAGGAGCTACCGGCAGAGGAGGCGGAGCCAGATAAGGCTTGCTCCAGGTCTGCCTCGCAGGCTTCTAGACGGGTGCGAAGTGCTTCTTCCTCCTTTGTTATGCTACCCGCCCCTCCTGCTCCGCCTCTCGAGGCGCTCAACGACGCACTTGCGGAGGACTGACCCGCGGGAGGAGGTACGAGGACGTGGCTTTTCCTCGCGATACCCATTATGCGATGATGCAAGCCCTGCTGTCGCTTGAGCGCCGCCTTGGCTCTAACGCTATCGCTCAACGTCTCCCGTCTTTCCGCAGCTTCGATCCTCCCCCTCAATTGCGCCAGGTGCTCCAACTGCCTCGCAGCCTCCTTCTCCTGTCCTTCTACGCGCGCTTTGAGGTCGGGAAAGCCTACAGCGAGTACAGGGACGAGCGCAGTAGGGTCAGGATTGGAAGTTACGGCAGACTGCCAGAGAGCGTCGTGGTAGGGCCCTACGGCGTCTTGGCGTCGCCCGAAGTTTGGGTTCGAGTCGAAGGGACCTCCCCCGCCTGCTCCGGTTGGGCCGGTTGGGGGTAGAACGCCAGGGGGAAGGGAGTTGTAGAAGTAGGTCTGCAGAAGGGAGGGCGAGGGAGAGATGGCGATGTGAGCAGGGGAACGCATAGCTGTGGATTGAAGGGCATAGCGCAAACTCACCATAAAGCGACAAGTCTGCAAGTTGTTGGTATCCCACGCCTGGCGGATGGCTTCCATTTTTGAAGTGAGAGATTGACCGAGCTTCTTGTCTTGCTGAGGTTGTTGCTGTTGTTGGGACTGCTGAGCTTGACTGGCACCGAACTGGGACTGGCCGAGTTGAGATTGGCCGAATTGGGATTGACCAAGCTGGCCTGCCTGGCCCGCTTGGCCCGCCTGGCCTGGCTGCTGCTGCTGCTGAGGTTGTTGAGTTGTTGTTGTTGAGCCGCCAAAGGAGAAAGCAGGCTTCGACTGTGCCTGCTGCTGGCCAAAGAGGCCTCCCCCGCCTGCGTTCGTGCTGCTGCCAAATCCACTTGCACCTCCCGTCGTGCTAGACCCAAAGAGCCCACCACTCGGCTGCTGGGGCTGAGGCTGTTGTTGCTGTTGGTTCTGCTGCTGCTGCTGCTGTGGCTGACCAAAGCTGAACCCGCCAGTCGAGGGCTGCTGTTGTTGGCCCGGCTGATTCGGCGGCTGCTGCTGCTGTTGCTGCTGCTGGCCACCAAAGGAGAATCCCCCACCAGTCGACGTCCCCGACTGCTGCTGCCCCGCAGGCTGGCCAAACGAAAAGCCGCCAGTGCTACCCCCTGCCGCTGGCTGCTGCTGCTGCTGAGCTGGCGCTCCAAAGCTGAACGCCATGCTTGGCTGATGATGAGGGAGGAACGATAGTCGACGAAGGAGCGTTGTTGGTCAACGCGCCCAGCCAATTGCAAGATGCGCCTCTCTTCCGCTCTCTCCGTTAATCGAGTGCCACGCGAGCGAGCGAGCGAGCAACGCGACTGTTCGTGATGATGGTCAAGAATGGTATTGATACAATACTCAGAGCAATAAGAACAACACACAAAGCTACACGACATCCCAATCATCCTCAGCCGTAGCCGTCTTTTCCTTCCGAGCACCGCTGCCACCGCCGCTGGTGGCACGATGCCCCGCCTCCCTGCGTCCGCTCCTCTTCCTCGGCCGCGCCTCGTCCTCCTCGCCGCTACTGCTGTCTGTAGTCCCCAGCGCAATCTGCTGCCCATTAAAGGTGACTGTGCCGCCGCCGCCATTGCTACCAGAGGATGTTGTCCTGCTTTGCTCAGGCACGGCGGGGCGAGAGGAATTTGGCCCCTTTACCTTGGACGGGCGCTGCGTTGAGGGAGCCGCTTTGCTAGCAGCCGTAGGAGCTTTTTTGCCGCTCAAAGGCGACGATTTACTGACGAAGATTCCACTCTCAGCCACTGGTAAAGGCGCTTGACGACCTTGGCGCGCGACGTCTTGTCCTCTTTGCCGCAGAGAGCTCAGGTTGCTCGGCGGGAGCTGTGGTTTGGCTGCTGCTGCAGAAGACTTCGAGGGTTGGCGCTTTGCTGCTGAAGCTGGCTGGTGTTGAGAGGAAGACGAGGAAGTAGAGGTAAGCCCGCCGGCCGGAGGTCTGCGAGACTGCTTGTCATCCAAGATGCTGGCCGCTGCCTGCCCCGCATCGATGTAGCTGTCCTCTAGGCCTGGCTTGAGGGCAGAGGCAGTCGTCTTCGTTGTTGACCGTGATGGCGGGCCTGCAGAGCCACCGACACCACTGCTCGCCTTGCTCTTCGCGGTTGGACTCACCGCAGAAGCGCGTTGCTCAGCCGCACTCCCGCCCAGCTCGTGCAATTGCAGCAACTTTGCAAAGTCTAGCGCTGGGAACGTAAAGTCACCCAGCGCCCTCGGCCCATCCGCGTGCGATTGAATCTTCCCACTTCCAGTGCCGCCGCCAGCTGCAGCAGCCATGAGCTTGAGAGTGCTCCCACCCGCGGCAATCAGGTCCACTGGCGCACCCTGCGTCCATGCTAGGTAGGCCGCGTCGTAAGCTAGCATGATGAGGGCGCGACAGAATGTCTGAGCGGAGGTGAGGGCGGATGAAGAGGGTGCGGTGGTCGTCGATGGTGTCGTCGATGCTGCGGGAGCTGATGCACCTTCATCCCCTTCCCCTCCTTCTTGTATTACCGACGCCCTGCTCCAAGTTTGGTGCTGTCGTCCGGGCAGCTGTACGAAGCTGCCCAAGCTGGCGAAAGTCGACGTCTTCAACGAAGCGAGGGATTGCTCGATCTTCTCCCTTGCAAGCCCGCCGCCGGCTGCGATGAGGGATGCAGCGGGCGAAGCTTGGCTGACGGTCAATCCCCCTCTCGCTCCACCAGCTTCCGCCATGAGTTCGTAGGCGCTCTTGCCTAGATGCAGGCTGTGCTTCGAGTCCACGCCCGTCACTCCACTCCCAACGCCGTTTCCCGCGCCAGTCCAAAGCGGGTCCGACCGTAATGCCCACCGTCCGTCCTTCTCCACTCCAAGAGAGAAGGGCAGTGCCACCCCACAGGTAGCAGCTTGGCGCTGGAGCAGCTGAGCAGTGAGCGCTGCAGCGGCATTGACGTTTGAGCGGGGGAAGCGGCGAATGTCCGAGGCGGTGGGGAGGGGCAGCGCCAGACGACTTGAGGGCGGTAGTAGGGTCCAGTCCACTGAAGGAGGTAAAGGTTGTATCGGCAGGCCAGAGCCTGCTGTCGACCGACGGGACTCGAATGCTCCGGGCACGTAGCGCGCTCTTGCTTTGCTGAGAGCGACGCTTGAGGGTGCGGAAGTGGATGGAGGAGCGACGCTGTATATTTCGAGCAGTGCGCGCTGCCGTCTTCTTCTGGTGCTGGCGAGCTCCTCTCGTAGCTCAGTGTCCACTCGTCGCAATCGTGAGATATCCTCCTCAACCTCTGACCTCGATGAGCCAGAGGCCAGCAACCCTTTCGCCTGCTCCAAGGCTTTCCTTCTATGTTCAAGTGCCTCTCCCCTCTTTCGCACACTCTCGCGTAGCTGTCTCACCTCCGCATCGCTCTTCATCTGCTCCACCTTCCTCTGTCCTACCTCATCGGACAACTCATGCCACCTTGCTCTGACAGCCCGTCCATGATGAGAAGCGATCGGGTGAGGCTCGGTGGCTTGCGGGCCGAAAGGGTCTGGCAGACTCTGCGTTGCAGAAGGCATGCCAGCCGGATCCCCCAAGAAGGCGGCAGCTTTGCCTTTAACTTCATCTCTCGCGAGGCCGACTCGTTGGATATTGTCACGGAATCGCTCCAGCTGAGCAAGGGCGCAGCGCTCGCACCAGAAGGAGACAGAGGTGGAGCGACAGTGCCGGCAGACCTTTGGCTCCGTGCCCTGTGCTGCGAGTGGTGGATGAGATGGTCTGATACTACGAGTCTTGGCAGGTGGCTTGGTGGCACTGGTCTTGCGAGAGGAGGGTGATGCAGCTGCGGCTGCTGCTATGGAGCCAGGCAGGGCTTTGCTTGATGAGGCCCGGGCTTTTGGTGCCGATGCGCTCGCCTTGGGACGGGAGGAAGATGAGGATGAGGGCACTCGCGTAGGCCCTTTCTCGATGCGAGATGACGCCGCTCGAGACGACGAGGAAGGGCCAGCATGACTCTGCGCCTCTTTGTTGCCGCCGACTCCTCGATTTGGCTCCGTCATGCTGTGAAACGGCGTGGCGACTGAGCGCAGCCTGTGCTATATGCTGTGAGTCAAGAGAGGCGGCTCTTCAATGCCGCGCAGAGTCGTCAAGTCATGGAGGTCGTGTATCGAATGAAGATGGCAGGACAAATGATGAGCGCAGATGGGGAGAGTATACAAAGGGAAAGTCGAAACAAAGTGGATGGAGTAAAGTCAAGTCAAAGAGTCGTCGCCGCTCCCTCAAGCCTCGATCTCGGTCCGCCTGGCCTGCGCGAGTCGTGCACGAGCCACCGCCGAAATTGCTGAGCAACCTCACCTCACGTCTCTTCTTCTCTCCCTCTTCACTTCTCCAATGTGATGAGACACGATGTAATGCTCATCTCCATCTTCCTGTCACCTTCCTCACGAGCACCGACACGTCGTCGACACGCCTTCATCATTTCCTCGAACATGCTGTCCTTCTCGCTGTCCTGCAGACCGCGATAGATGAATGCCATGCCCGGGTTGGAGGAGAATCCTCCGAACTTTTTGCGAGGGAGCACAAGAAGAGAGGAGAGGCGGTCAGCGAGGGTGATATACCTTTCGGGCAGATGAGGCAGCATCAGCTCACCAGCTCCTCGTAGTCGGGCACCACAGTCATGACCTGCTGCGTCTCCACATTCGCCTTCTTCCACCCCAACTCCTCGTGAACTCGCTCCTTGACCGCCTCCAGAGACACCCAAGGCTTGAGCATACCAGTAGTCTTGATGACATGCTGCCCACGGTATTCTGCGGGAGCACCGCCCTCTCGATGCTCCAGAGTGGCCGCGTGCGCTTCAGCCACCACATCCCAGACCGTGAGGTCGTAAGGCGAGGAGGCGACCAGCAGCCCGCGGGGAGTGAGGAGGCGATGCATCTCGTTGAGACCGACATTGGGGTCGGGCAAGCAGTGTGGACCGTAAAGCATGCAGATGATATCGTACGATGCATCGGGAAGGCCTGTGGCCTGTGGAAGGGATTTCACGATGAGGTCAGCCTGTGTGTGTGCCTTGCCCATCTATAAGGGAGAGTTGCTACGCACCTGCGCATCCAGGACCTTGAACTCGATCTGATCAGCCCAACCCTGCTTAGTCGCCATCTCCTCGGAAATCTTGAGCATCCCCTCCGCCCCATCACTTTGCGTCACTTTGACCCTCCCCTTCCCCACACCCTGCCCTTCCATACCCTCCATCAACAACTCCAACTCAGCTCCCGTCCCGCCGGCAAGGATGAGCACCTTGACCTCTTCCTCGGACGAGGCGGCCAAGAGCGTCTTGATCTTTGGCAGAATGTAGTGTTCGAGAGGGTAGTAGTGCGCAGGCAAGGTGGGAGGCTTCCCGCCGGCTATGTTGAACTTGGAGGCGGAGCTGGACCACTGAGACGTCGTGGGAGCCTGTACGCCATCCCCTTTGCCGCTGTGCGAGCTGCTCGTCGTTGTCATTTTGCTGTAGGTGATCGACATCCGGTGCAAGATCGGGGGAAAGGCGGCGTTTGTTGGGCTTTTTGGATACCGAGAAGAGGGCGGTCATTGATTCTCGAGGAGCTGGGAGCTAAGTAGGCATTGCCTTCGAGGAACCAGAGTAGCTTAACGAACCGGCAACGAGCCGGAGTGTTCACATATCACCAACGAGTCTTGAAAAGGTCATCTTACATTGTGATGTCGTGATCACCACACTGCACTGCAGTCTACAATATCACCAGATGAGCGGAATCACGCCCGTCTCTGCCGCTTCACAGCTCCATCGTCCCCCAACTCGAGGTCGCCCAGTGGCCTGCGGTCGCTGCTTCCCGCCCCCTCGTCAGGACCAACGCTTCCACGAGGACCGCTGCCTCCTCCCTGCGCTAGACGCTTACCGCCTGCTGAGGTGAAGCCTGTGCCCGCTGCACCGCTCGCCTCACTGCCTGCTGAAGAGAGTGAAGTGACGCCGACCCCATTCGCGCCTATGCCGTTCGTCCGCCCTTGACTAAGATCCATCGCCTCACTGGCGGCGCGCAGGTCGGCCTCATTCAAGCCTCCTACGGTGGACGATCTCCCACCGCCTGTAGCTGATGTCGATCCTCCGCCCTTCGCCCATTTGGCACCAGGTGCAGACGCAAAGACCTGAGCTGCGGCTGACGTCTGAGCTGGTGGAGCCGGTGGTGGAGCGTGAGTCTGCTTAGTGGGAGAGGGAGAGCGAGACACAGGCGTCTGGTCGCGCTGCAGCTGCTGTTGCTGTTGACGCTGAGCGAACTTGGCCTGACGTTCCATCGCCTCTGCTCTGCGCTTTGCTTGGAGTTGCGCTTGTTGGTCTGCAGTAATGCTCGCGCTCGCCGGTGCTTGAGCGGCGCTCGTTGCCGATCGAGCCATGCCGCCGTTGGTCTGCTGAACAGGCGCTACGCTGCGAGACGCTGTATCGAGGCCGCCATTGAGATGCTGGGCAGTGGGCTGCGCGGTTGGCTGCGTCGTAGCAGAGCGACGGAGAATGCCATTCGGCTGAAGAGCCGCACCTTGACGCGATGTCGAAGCATCGGCCTCATCCTCCGGAGTCGAGCCAGTGACGGTAGGGGTCGATCCTCCCTGATCGTCGCCGCGTTGAGGAGCGGAAGGCTGTGCTTGCGGTACAGACGGCTTGAGGTCCGGTCGACGATGCAGGCCGGACATCTCGAATTTCTCGACTGGAGCCTTCACTTTGGAGACCCAGTCGACCCACTTCTTGTCGTAGAGACAGTTTCCGAGGAGCCTGTGCGGGCGAGCCAGGAATGAAGACGGCGTCAGTTCTGTTTCTTTCATCCGGTTGATCAAACCGCGCCGCATGCCCACCTTCCAAATGTTCGAAGCGATCGCTTCAATGCATCAGTCACTGCCTCCTTCTTTGCCTTCTCCAATCCAAGCCCCAAGCTGGGTGAATTCTCCATCTGGCCCCACCCGACGTCTTCGTGGAAGGTACCGTCCCGCAGCGTGACGCGCATGACGACGTACACGCCGATGTCCCACCTACCCTGCGCCTTCTCCCTGCATATAGGCGTCTCGATCTTGCGGATGCTGGTCGACCAGCCATTGAATCCAAAGACGTCATTGGCCAAATCGATTGCCTTCCAGCCCTCTATGTACTTCATTCGACTGCCGCCACCTCCTTGACGATCAGATATGTACTCTGGACCCAAGCGCTCGTTGAGCCTTGCCTGCATCGTAGCGAGTTGGCGCATCCCTTGCTCTCCGGGCTCGGACGAATGGGTATACCAGCCTAGCAGCGGCTTGCGTTCAGGCTGGTCAGAGTCGAGAGCTACGCTTTGATCGCGAGCGCCGCGGCCTTGAGGAGGCGGCATAGCATGAGCAGAGGCTGAGCGCTCTGCGATGGACGGATGGCATGCCCATGCCTCTGACGCTGAGGCCTGGCTCTGCGCGTGGTTGTGATATGCTGAGCGAGAGCGAGAGAAGCCTGCCTCTGATGCGAACGACGTACTTGCGCCATCGTCGTCGAGTGCATCCATCTCGCTGCGCGAGTCCATGCCAGCGCCACGAGGGTCTTGTCCAAACGGTCCTTCGCCGAGAAGACGACCTGACTCTGGCTGCTCTGGCTTGACGGCGCGTCGTGCTGCTTGCTCTTGCTCTGCTTCGAAGTCGCGCAGCAGGCGGGCTGAGAGGGCTGCGGATGCGGTCGAGTCCATGCGGCGTGGCGCGCTGCGAGAAGGAAGGACAGCAGAGAAGGACGGCGAGGAGCGGGTAAAGGTTGAGGCGGATGTGAGGCTGAACGAGGGAGGGAGGGAGTGAAGATGCGACCTGTTGCTCTCGAGTGAATGTCGCAAGGCGGACTGAGCGCTTGACCTCGACGCGTCCCGTCCGTTTCAAGCTCGCCCGCATGGCTTTCCGTTCGAAGAGGCCACCGCCCACGTGGTCTCCCGCTCGCATTCAGCAGAGGGGTCTTGCTGACCGCTGCGCCGCTCCACTCGTTTCAAGTCGTCGTCGCAGTCGCAGCTCAACTCGTCTTTCCTCATCGCCTCTCGCCATCACCACCCTGCGTAGCCGCGCCCACTATGTCGCAACTACCATCGACGTCATCCTCGTCGTCGTCAAAAGGGGCTTCGACTCCTGCTGCTCGTTCTCGCCCAGACAGCACCATGCCAGGGCTCAGCTCGACGGCATCTTCGATTCGCGCCAAGGCAAAGGGCGGATCCAAGTCTCGTCTGTCACAGCCCGGATGGACGCCAGAGGACGACGATGATGCCTTCGACGAGGGACCTGGAGACACACAGCGACAGATTGACGAGCTCAAGGGTGGCATCAGTATGCCTGGAATGGGAGCGAGATCCATGACCACTCCCGCTGCACCGTCAGCCACACAGAGAGTACCCATTGCCTTGAAGAGCGCTCTCAAAAAGCCTGCTCCACTCCTACGCCGAGCGACAGGCGCTGCTTCCAACACATCCGCAGCTGCACCGTCGAATCAGTCTCAGCCAACTCGTTCCAGCACCCAACCCGCTGCGCCCACCCGCTTTAAAGGCACTCCACCACGGGCCATCCGCTACTCTCTCCCTGTCCGCACAGAGAAGCCTGTCCGCACCACCAAAGTCTCCGGAAAGCACGTCGTCCTTCCTTCTGAATCTCAGCTTGCCCCGCTCCCGGGTGATGAGGAGGAGGAAAGCAGCGAAGACGATGAAGACGAATCCAGCTCCTCGGAGCACGGCGAAGCGGATGACGAGGAGCAGGAAGCAGCAGAAGGTGACGAAGAGGAGGCAGAGCGTAAGCGACAGAAGAAGCTCGACGAGCGCAAGATGCGTCGCGATTCGGTCAAGCTGGCCAAGCAGGTTGAGAGCCTGGAGAAGGTGAACCGCGATGCTCGCAAAGCAGGTATAGCCCATCGTGGCCCTGCACACGCTCGCGCGCCGCCTCGCGTACCTAAGATGTCAGGTCCCGCCTATCACACCTTTGAACGGATGGCGCCGAATGCTCGTACCCACACCGCCCTGCCCCGCCTCACGTCCTATGCCGTGGGCACAGACCTGCACATCCCCACCCTCAACGGCTTCCTCCGTCGCGAGCACGGTGTCCGCCCGCGTCTCTACGACGAATGTGCGTACGTTGCCTACTTCAAGCCCCTTCTTCCCGGCTTTGGAAGGGCAAACCTGCGCTCCAGCCCTGAGCCTCGTAGCGGCTCTCCCGGCGCTGAATCGCGACGTGAGCGGGAATTGGAGGAGCGAGAGGAGCGAGGGTATGTCGGCAGTTACTTTGCGGCTAGCAAGGACGATCAGGAGGAGTCTATCGATCCGGAGGGGTACATCCAGGGTGGCGAGGGCAGCGGCAGTGGCGAGGGAGAGCGTGACCAACGTCAACGATATGAGGAGGCGAGGGGCAATGAGACGGAAGCTGAGACAGAGACGGAGAATGAGCGCGAAAAGGCTGGGGCCGATGGGAGCTACGAATTGGCTTCCAGTCCCGAGAGTAAGGAGATGAGGTATGGAACCTTTTCGGATTCGGAGGACAACGCCAACGCCGATGCACTTGCGACTCCTCGCGCGCTCCAGCCTCGCAATATGGATCTCGAAGGCGTACCCGCCGGCTTCGACTCGCTGGGCGAGCCAGTCAGCAGCCCGATGAGCGAAACGTCCTCTGGCCAATTGACGCCAGGACACACCGCAGAGACGGGTGGCGCAACGCTTAGCGCGGATGCGGCTGGCGCGCAAGACATGCTCAAGCATCACCTCCAGGACGAAGCTACGGAGCGCGGGCTCGACCAGCGACTGGAGGAACAGCAGATGGAGTCACCTAGCATCCCCATTGAGGAAGAAGGAGCGCAGCGTGATCTTGCCATTGCTGGTGAAGGTCATCAACAAGACCAGCTCATCGGCAGACGCAGGCGTGGACGCAAGTCGCGCAAGTCCTCCGGTCCCAATCAAGCCTCGCACAACCACGACACGTCGCCCAACATGTTGACTTCAAGGCCCATCTTGGAGGCTCTCCAGCTCGCAGAGCTCGTCGTCCTCCCTTACGGCGTAGTGGTGAGTAGAGCGCGCGTCGATGACACATTCTGACTGTTACCCCTGCTAATCAATGATGAATGCTTCTCTGCCCGCACAGGTCTTCTACAACTTCACCCCCTCCGAGGAACGGGACATCATCGAAGACGTCCTCTCCTCGGGTTGTGTGCGCGGCACCCTCTCCCCGGACGATGTCGAAACGGAAGCCTTCCACTTCTGCTACGACCCAACAGTACCCGCCCCACGCATCTTCAATGACTTCTTCACCTTCCGTGCGCCCAATCACCTCCTCAAGCTCTCCCTCGCCCATGCCGTTGCTCAGAGCACCAAGCTCTCCGTCTTCGAGGAGAGCATGCAGCGCACCTTGGAATTGACCAGTCACATCCCCAAGGAGCTGGCTTCGAGTGGCGAGCTGAGACTCAAACGCCGCGAAGCGCTGCGTCTGACAGGTCGACTCTTCAAGTTACGCGTGGACGTCAACCTCACCTCCAATGTGCTGGACACACCTGAGCTCTTCTGGAGCGAAGCCACCCTTCAAGCACTGTACGATGCTATTCGCGAGTATTTGGAGATCGATCAGCGTGTGGGCAATCTCAACGATCGACTCAAGGTGGCCAACGATCTCCTCGAGATCATCCATGGACATGTGGCTGAGGAGGCCATGAGCAAGATCACGGTGGTCATCATCGCCCTCATCGTTGTGGCGTGCATCGTAGCCTGTGGGGAGATCACGGCGCGTCTCCTTAGGAGCTCGAATGGAAGCGAGGCGAGAGCCATGGCGCGATTGGCGGCGACGAGGGCCGGTGAGGCGAGTATGAGGGCTGGGCAGTTCTACATGGGCTCGTAGATGCGCGCGCGCGGGCCGAGGGCGGTTGTTTTCTCTATCTTGTAGATACGTTTGCCATTATCTAGGGGTAATCTGGATGCATTACTACGAGTCACGTTCTGGAGCACTGCCTAGCGTCGAAGTCTTCTACAACTTCTACCTGCCCGCCCTATTAACCTGCGTCGTCTCATTTTGACCAACCCTAGCCGTAGCCGCCGTCGCGCCGGTGGATGTCCCAGCGACTACCTCATCCGCTGCTCCACCCTCTCCCCTCGCAACAGCCCTAGCGGCTCCCTGGGCTGGATGGTCTACCCTCTTGCCCCTCTCATCGACATGCGGCGTCAAGTTTGGCAAGCCGTTCGCCATGTTCTCTTCGCCCTTGACTCGCATGAACTCCTCGAGCAGCTTGGCATTACGACTGTTGGCCTTCCAGATTGCGAGGACCAGGTCGCCTGCCAGGGGGATGAGACCCACGCCTGCCGAAACGGCGTTGTTGAAGAGCATCTTGCGGACGAGCCCTGCGAGTAGACGACGAGAGAGAGTAGGGAAATTAGCTCGGCGTGAAAGAACAGGCGTCGCGAGGTGAACGTACAATCAGGCAAATTGGCCTCATTCTTTGCCGGCTTCAACACCAGCGTGTAGTTGAGGATCGCATCAGTGATATCACCCACTCCAGGGATGATGCCGATGAGGAAGGTCCAACCGAAGCGGAATCCGCAAATGTAGAACCCCTTGTCGAGGTAGTGGGCTCGTCGTTGAATTTTGCGGAGGAGTTTAGCCTGCGAGCGAGGGGCGAAGAGGGTGAGGAGTGAGTACGGGCTGGAGTTGCTAGGTGAGGGGCAAGAGGCAACGAAACGTACCTCTTTCTTTGTGAGACCGGGAGGTGGGGGTCGCTGTGGGTGTGCGTGCATGCATGTAAAGCGAGCAGAATGATCAGCCAGTGGCTTCGAGTATATCTTTGGCGTCGGGGGCTCGGCCACTCACCTTGATCCTCCTCTCCCTTCCTCCATCATCCGTATAAGTCACATAGAAGGGGTCCTCCGGCTCATAGATCTTGGCATGATTACCGATCACCTTCTTTGCCCTCCGACCCGCGAAATTGGTCACGATGCTGGTCATGGTTGGCGCACTTTGGTCGTGGATGGATGGATGAGAAGGAAAGCAAGCAGTGGTGTTGGTGGTGGCGGGCGGGCGAGATGTTTGTGGCCTTTGTCTCTGCCGAGGCGAGGGGCAGGCAGGGCGGTGTTCAGGTGGAGGCGCGGCGAGGCGGTGAAGGCCACGCGAGCGCTTCCGCCGGCGACGCTGCTGCTGCTGCTGCTGCTTTATGCACGACGGACAGAGTAACACGAGAAAGGCGCAGCGCAACGAGGACCCCTATTTCGATGTGGGCGCGGGAGGAGGCCGGAAGGAGGTGCGTGCAGTCGCCAACTCCTTTCCAAATTCAATCGTCACTTCATCAATCGAGGCTTGAGCTGCGAGGGGCTCGTCAAGACGCCGTGACTTGGACTGGACGGACGTGGGGCTTCTCTCTTCACTACCACTGCCATCTTCAGCTCAGCGCCCAGTCACCTCGCCAGGATGCCGGAGCACTCCCTCGTACAAGTCCTGCTGCCGGGCAGTAACGACGTTCTCATCGCCTCGATAGCCACGAGTGCTACCATTGGTGACCTCATTGCAGCCCTTCTCAAGGACGGTCATAATGCCAAACCCCTCACACAATCCTTCGGAGAGCACTACGAATCCTTAGCTACCCGCTCCCTCCAAGCCTCATCTTCGTCACCAAACTGGCTCATCGACACACAGGGTATCGCATGGGGCCTGCAGCTCGTCGAAACATCAGATGCCAACCGCGAATGGGCAGCGGCAGAGCTGGAAGCGCTAGGAGACGGCCTTCTCCCTACCGCCAGCCTCGTCCTCCCCTCCCTTTCTGCCCGCCAATCCGCCTTTGCCCACACCTCGCACCTGCACTCGCCGCGGCTGCGCCTGGTGTGTGGTGCACCGGGTCTCTCTGTACGCCTCCAGTTCGCACACGTTCCAGAGATCACAGATGGGTGGAGCAAGAGGGTCTGGTTCCTTTCGACCTCCTCAGCGGCGAGTGACGTAGTGGAGGCCGTTGTTGAAGAGCTAGGCATACGCAAGATAGTGCTTCAAGGAAGCAAGAGTGCGCGCATAGAATACGCCCTCGCCATGTGCTCTTCAAGCGAGGCGGCACCCATGCCTCCTCCGCCTGCTTTGCCTGCTTCGACTTCTATGCCCGCTTTTCTACAAGCGCTGCAGGGGCAAGGTGGCTCCTCCCGAGATACGACTCCACTCCTCCTCTTCACTCTGTCAGCCTCTTGGCTCTCCCGCCTCGGCACGGTAGCTGTGGGCTTCGCCAAGCACGCAAAGAAGGCCAGCCCCTCGCCGAAGAAGGACATCGCTGCTGAGCAGGAGAACAAGCCCCTTGCCGCAGCAGCGCAGCCTCCCTCGCCCTCCCCGCCGAAGCAGCGCGCGCCGGTGAATGGGATCCTCTCACTGTGGGGCGCAGCGAGCATCTCCAAGGCCTCGGCGCCTGCCATCACCCCCAACGATGAGGATGGCGAAGAAGACGACAGCGGAGCCTCTCTCACAATCAAGGCCTCCCCCAAGCCGGAGAAACGCGACCTCGGATCAGACTATAATGTGGCCAGCGTACGAGGATCAGTCGCTTTCCGCAACGGCGCCGGGGCAGGCACGGGCAGCACGCCCTCGCCAAAACGATCACAGCCCCCGGCCAAATCGTCCACACGGCTCAGCCGAATGTTTGAGGGATGGGGAGGAGGAGGCAGCGCATCATCCTCAACGGATGAGACACCGCAAACTAGTGTGGATCGCGCCAGCAAACGCATATCAGTCAGTGGGCCGATCCAGGCATCTCCCTCTGCATCCAACCCCAGCTCAGCGATTGCGCCTCAGATAGCGGACGACGATCTCGCCTCGAGCTTTGAGCGACTCATGGACGATCTAGGCATCAAAGGCGCCAGTCGTACAGGTATGCTGTCGTTGCCTGATGATCGCAAGAGATTCTTGATCGCACAGAACGAGGCGAATCGATCGCCAAAGGCTCGGCCTCCTTCTGTGGTCTCGCCGCACGTAGATGGAGGCGCAGGGTTCATGGATTCGGTCAGTCGTGCGAGTGCAGCGTGGACGAATCGCTTCAGTATGGCAAGCATCACATCTTGGGGCGCCGATTCCGTCAGTAGCGGAGACGAGGCTACCGGGACAAGGCGGATGAGCATGGCTCCTAGTACCGACCAAGAAGAAGGCGATTCGACCCACTCACCAGCGATGGACACAATGAGTACTGGCGGCACTTTCTGGGGTAACTGGTGGGGCGGCAGCAGCACTACAAGTCAGACGCCAGCAAGTGAGAAGACGCCTGCGGCGTACATTCCTGCGTTAGAGGGTAAGCTCTCCCGACCTGAGCTGGTCAAGCATCTCATCGCCTTGCGGGTGACTCTCGCCTCCGCGAAGCTGAGCTCCATCCCTGAATTTGTAAGCGCTGGTGGCCTTCAAGCTCTCGAGCGTCTTCTGGGTCGCGAAGCCGGTGCGCTCGTCAAGCGCGGCACTCGCGAGGATATCAGCGACGCGGTCATCGGCGAGGTGGTGAAATGCCTGCGCGGGGTGATGAACACCGAGAGCGGCTTCGAGGCGGTACTTGCTCGCCCCCTCCTGCTCATCCACCTAGGTGAAGCCCTCCTCACCCCATCGCACCGACTACGATGCCAGCTAGCAGACGTCCTCGCCGCTCTATGCGTGCTGAGCGCCGAGGGGCAACGCCTGGTTCTCGCCGCCCTCGCTGAGCTCAAGGTGGCCACCGATGCCAGATTCAGATTCGACTATCTAATCGACGGTTTGCGCGTGGACGGAGCGGGAAGTGAGGATGAGGACGCCGACAGCGAGAGCGGATGGGACTCTGCCCCTCGATGGGAGTATCGCACCGCCACTATGATCCTGCTTAACGCGCTTGTCAACTCGCCCGAGGCCCTCGATGAGCGGATAGCGCTGCGCGACGAGCTTGCCCGGCGCGGCTTGAGTGAGGTCATCGTAAGTCTGCGCTACTGCAATCCTCCCGACTCGCTGGAGACTCAGCTCCAGGTCTGGGCGGAGGAGAAGGGGCATGATGATGCGGAACTGCGTGAGGGTCGCGGGGCAAGTGGGGGCAGTCTCGGTGAGCTGGAAACGCTCCTGCTCGATGTGAGAGACGAGCAGCCGGAGGTTTATACTACCCTCGCGGAGGTGATCACAGATCTCACCGACACGCTTCGTCGCGAGCTGGACCCGGAGCTACGCCGCGACCTCCTCATCCTGGTGGGCAAGTTCGCCGAGCATTCAGCAGACATGACAGATATGGAGGACGGATGGCGCAATTTCATGCGTGCGTGGCTGTCCAGCATCCAGCACATCGTGGGCAAACAGGCAATCATTACCGCCAACCGCGAGAGTGACACTTCGAGCGTGCCGAGCAGCTTCGTCGCCGAGTTGGAGGACCTGCGCGATCAGGTCGAGCAGCTCAGCGATGAGAAACGACGTCTCAGCGAGGACCTGCAGGAGAGGGAGGCGCACCATCGTGTGCAGGGCTTGGGAGGGGAGGGCCAGCCTGAGGGGATGGCGGGGATCATCCAGCGACTCGTGGCAAAGGAGAAGCAGGTGTTGGAGCTGCAAGCCCAGCTTGGGGAGCGCAAGGTGGGCGGGGAGGAAGAAGCCAAGCGGGACCGACTGGAGCGCACGCGTCAGTGGCAAAACCTGATGGAGGAGATTGCGAGATATAAGGCCATCATGGCTGATCAGGAGGGCAAGATTGAAGACAAGGAGAAGGAGGTGCGATACCTTAAGCGAGCGCTTGAGGCTGTCTACTCGCGATTGCAGGCCGCGAGCGACGATGATGGTGAGGGTGGGTCTGAAGCGGAGGACGAAGTAGCGCGCAAGGAGACGCAGACCACGGGCGTGGATGCGGGGGAGATGGCCACGCGCAGTATCAAAGCGTTGGCGGAGAAGGATGACGCCTTGCGTGAGCGAGGCGAGGAGGTCAGGTCGAGAGATAGTGAAATTGCAGCATTGCGCTCCGAGGTAGGCAAGCTTCAGACACAGGCGCTCGATCTGGCGGCCGTCAAGGGCTTCTTGGCTGACCGGACGAAGGAGCTGAAGGAGGCCAGGGAGGAGGCCAGGGCCGTGAAGGAAAAGTTGTTGGAGCTGCAGGCCAGTGGACAGACACACAGGAGTGCGCCGCCACCGCCGCCGCCGCCACCGCCGCCGGGAGGAGAAATGGCAGCTGGACCACCACCACCACCACCGCCGCCACCTCCAGCTCCTTCCGCTCCATTCGCTGGTAACTTCGGAGCACCGCCGCCGCCTCCACCTCCGCCGCCGGGACCCCCAGGCGCATTTGGGGGACCACCTCCTCCTCCGCCACCGCCACCACCAGGTCCTGCAGCGCTCGGCGCTGGCCCACCACCACCACCTCCTCCTCCTGGTGCACCTGGCCCTCCCCCTCCGCCTACTCTACGCCCAGCAGCCCCGCAAATCCCGCAGCGCAAACGCAAGCCTCTCTTCTGGAACAAGGTTCGCACGCAAGGCCAGACAGTCTGGTCCGAGCTACCCGCATCGCAAGAGGTCACGGTCTCCATTGCAGACATCGACGATCTCTTCGCCGTAGCCCCAGCCAAGTCTGCCGCCTCCGCCGCAAAGAAGGCTGCCGCCCCCGCGATGACCACCCTGCTGGACTTGAATCGCGCTCAGAATATTGCCATTGTCCTGAGCCGTATCAAGCTCACCCTGCCGCAACTGCGCCACGCCCTGCACACGGTCAAGGGCAGCCGACTGACCCTCGACTACCTTAAAGCTCTCAAGCAGTGTGTCCCGACGGCCGAGGAGGCAGAGCTGGTGCGCAACTACTCCGGCTCCTTCTCACGGCTAAGCAAAGCTGATCAGCTATTCAAGGAGCTCGAGGGGATCCCTCGCCTAGAGCAGCGACTCAGTAGCATGCTGTACATGCGCAAGTTCGAGCTCGAGATGGAGGAAATCAAGCCAGACCTCTCGGCCTTGCGCGAGGCTACCGCGGAGATGAAGAAGAGCGACAAGTTCAAGAAGGTGCTTCAGACCGTGCTTGCCATCGGCAATGTTTTGAACGCTTCGACCTTCCGTGGTGGGGCGGCCGGGTTCGCCTTGGGCGACCTGCTCAAGTTGAAGGACACGAGACCAAGCACGCCGAGAGAGGGGACACCAACACTCTTGCACTTCCTGGTCAGGCAACTCAACAAGGCGGACAAGGAATTGGTCGGATTCCTCGACGAGTGCGGGAATGTCGAGGCTGCGAGTCGGCTGAGCACGCAAGGATTGGGGGCGAGCGTACAGAGCTTGTCGCTCGGCTTTGATGCATTGCGCGAGGAGGTCAAGGTGCTGGAGTCGGCGCGTTGCACGGCGGAGGATGACGGGTTCCTTCCCGCCGCTCGAGCCTTCATCGCCCATGCTGCACCGCAGATCGAGGCGTTGCGTTCTGCCTCTACCTCGATCACGGCTGGGCTGAGCGAAGTTGTCGCGTACTTTGGCGAGGACCCTGCAGCAATGAAGGCAGAGGACTTCTTCAACATCGTCTCCTCTTTCGGCCAGGCACTCATGCGTGCAGAGGTGGATGTAATCGCTGCGGACCGCAAGAGGGTAGAGGATGAGGAGCGCAAGAAGCGAATGAGGGAACGCGGCCTGGGACCAGGACCGAGGATCAAGTTGCCCGAGCCTGTTGGGCCAGAGGTGCGCGGTCCTCTCGCTGCTGCTGGTGCAGCCTCGCCGAGTGATCTGCTTGCAGCTGCGGCGGCTGCCGCCTCCAAGCTTGGCGAGGACTCGGATGATACAACACCGACGGGGACTCTCCCTGGTGGTCGATCCTGGGGACGGTCAGCTGCCGCAACCCTTGCTACAGTCGGCGAAGGTGGCGAAGAGGAAGGGGATTTCGAGCCGCCGCAGCGACCTGGTGGCGGCGCAGGGAACAACTCTCTTCGTCGTGGACGTGGTGGACGTGGTCAGCTCGATGCGGCAATCAAGGAGCTGCGTGCGGGGGTGGTCAGGCCGACGGCACCTTCTGCGGCGGCAGGTGGCTCGCTGAGGCGTGGCGGTACGTTGCGGATGAAGGAAGAGGATTACGCATCGATCAGTGGGAGAAAGAGCTTCAAGATGGGGGCGACCGACGTGAGGACTACGAGACCGCTCAGTCGGGTCTTCTTGACGGGGGATTGATGCGCGACGGAGCGTTTGCATTGCACATCAGAGTATTGAAAGCAATTGCTCTCTCAAATCGTGACGCCCGACGCTGGTACGGCAGGATCAAGCGAGCTTCAAGTGACGACCCGCACTTCCGCCGCGATCGGATGTTGAGGAGGAATGAGCAAAGCTGCCCATCGAACCGATCACGACGTCAGAGATCACGGCGACCTGGACCCTTCTTTGTACCATGCTTTCTCGGTGCGTTTGCCCAGCTCGATCTCGCGATCGTGGATCGCCGTATCACCGACGCTGCTCCGTTGTGCTGAGAAGCCCTGCGTTGCTACGGTGAGGTCGCCGTCACTGACGCCGACTTGAGGCCCCGCCCCTTTGACATGGGTTTCTCACGCCAGCAATGCTCCGCAAAATCCATGACAGCGACAATCACAGTGCTGCCCAAGACAGAGGAGCGTTCCGCAGTGGCCTCATCTCCGTTACGAAACGCTTCTCGCGATGTTCGCACCCGAGATCGAAGTGTCTTCGACGTTGCGCCGGTGCGGTACGCTGGTCGCCTCGGCGAATTGCCTACGAAGGCTAAGAGAACATCTTGTCTGTTGATAAGCCTACCAACTATACCTGATGACCCTCATCTTTTCGCTCTGAGCTCGCCCGCGTCCATCACATTCATCGTCCTCACTGCGCAATGCGCCTCTCGAGCTTCCTCGTCCTCCTCGCAGCTGTGCTGGCCACGGCTGCTACTCCCTCCCTCAGCCGCCCTCTTCAAGCCTCGCAGGCGATGAATGATAGCCAAATCCTCGTGTCTCCCTCTGGTAGGGCAGGTCAAGGAGCCATCGATGGCCAAGTCGAAGCCGAAGAGGTCGACTCCACTGCGCTTGAACGCCCAGGCGCGCTCAGCCTGCTCCTCTGGCAAGTCTTGAGTGGGTCGACAGTCAGCGTAAGTCCGATGCGTTACCTGTCTCTTGCCAAACAGCTTATCAAACGAATACCTTTAGATGCAGACAAGGGACAGATCTGCTGTCAACTGTCCAAGTTATGGAAAGTACAGATCGTGCCTTCCGAATAAGAACGCCGGACCTCATCAGCACTGCGACCAATACACGAGGGATTGTGGGTTGAAGAAGGGGAAGAAAGCTGGTAAAGCTGGCGTGAGTAGATGAACTCAGATGCATCCAATGTGTACTATAGCTGACCATAGCGGCTCTTCGACCCATCGCAGAGTCCTAAAGCGAAAGCGGCACCAAAGCCGGAGGCCACTCAAAACGAAGCCGCCTCGCAGGCTGCTGCAGCTCAGGAGGAGAAGAAGGTTGCGAAGCCTGAGGCCGACAAAGATGAGGCCGACAAAGACCTTTCGCAAGCCGCTGGAGCTCAAGAGAAGGAGAAGGCTGCAAAGCCGGAGGCCGCTGAGAAGGAAGCTGATCAAGATCTCTCGCGGGCTGCGGGTGCAGAAGAGGAGGAGGTAGAAGAGGAGGCGCGACGCCGTGAGAACTACGAAGCGCGAAGCAGCAAGGGAAGGGAGGACGAGACGCTCTGGACGTGATCGATTGAATTTGGTCAAGCGTTTGGCTTCCCTCAGATTCACCCCGAGGGTGTAACGGAGGCCGACCTCCCATACAGTCATTACCAGGGGATGTTCATTCACTGTCATATTCAGCTTGAAGTGCGGGATCATTTCAGTCAAAGACGCCCAGCAGAGTTTTCGTGATCTACGAAAGCGAGTGCGACCGTGACAACATTCATTGCGTATTTTCTACTGCTTCGTCACACGAGCCACTTCTGTCGTCGTCATCGTGACGTATAAAAGCTCAATGGCTGGCACATTTGCTGGGAACTGCCTGCGAGACGCGGCGTTTGCATTGCTCCCTCGCTCATCGTTGCAGATGACTTGAGGCCATGATCCAATGTCAAGGCTGCGGGTAATCGACGTATCGATCTTTTGCCCGAATGAAGCTGCCTAGGTCGAGAAGAAGTCATCGAGTCATTCATGACGTGGCTAGTCGGCCTCATGTCCAAGCTACCAGTATGCTCAGGTCTACGTGCCCTGAGCCGCTTTTCGGTTCTGGTCATAGCTGATCCACCCGCCAGGATCGCGTTTCGTTCAGATTTGAAGAAGACTTCCCACGGGCGCGGTACGGGACATGATCCGATGTCGAGCCCTCGGATCGCCGTAGTATTTCGCAGGCCGTGACGCTTGCGGTGACATGGTCGATCGCGCCCTTCCCCTTGACGAAGTGATCGAGGACGTACCTATGAGTTGTGGGATGAGGAAGAGACAGAAGGCTACAAAAGGCGGCCGGTCCCAGGCGACCAAGAGCATATTTTCTCCACCTCAGCTCATCTACGTCAGCAAAGCTCCCCTTCTTCCCACCACTACTGTTGCAAGTAGACCTCAGCCCTGACTGCTCCTGCAACATGCGCTGTGGCTTCCATTGCCGTGTGATCTGCCTCATGCTGATCATCGGGGTCTCTCTCGTCGTCCCTGTCATCAAGCATGCCGAAGCCTCGCCCCTCCCGGCGAGCGAGCCTGATCTCGGGGACGCTGGCTCCAGCGAGTTGAGCCTCGCAGCCCTCGGCAGGGACGCATTCGCCCGCAACGTCACTCGACACAGGATGTTCGAGCAGGCAATTGTGAGTCGTAGTCTTGTCGTACCCAGTGAACTCAATCTGACCAGATACCATCCTCAGCGCGAGGCCCGTAATGATCCACCTCAGGGAGGCGGATCGAATGGCAGCAACATGGCTCGCGATCTCCGTACCGGTTTTGAGAGTGTCGATCACCTCGCCACACGCGACCGCGCCAACTCGACTGCCGCCGTGAACTCATCAGATCGTTCCCTATACCGTAGCGTTGGCTGAATGCTTTGCCTCTTGCCTGCATCAGCATCCCGATGGTGCGGTCATCAACTGCAAGAAAGACTTCTGTCGTCCCAAGAAGAATCCCAATCCCTCGATTCCACATTGCGGGGACTACTCTCGCAACTGTTCGAAGAGTGATGCTGTGGTGAGTGCTAGGTAGTGATGCGCTGATATGTGTTGCTCGTTGGCTGATGACCTTTCCATCGGGACTCGCCACAGGTGCGGAAAGCAGCTCGAGTCCAGCAGATCCAGATCGAGCTGCATCATTGAGCTCAGGGCCAAGGCGGCAAGTAAGAGCAGAATGGCCAGGCATGTCGGCGTGCTGAGCGGGTCTCAAAGCCACAGCTGATCTGACCGCCCTCGACTAGACTTTACGGCATTTGAATGTCTTTCAACTCTTCGTGCAATCATACGCCTTGTCTTCCTCCGCGCAGCACCGTCATGCGCCTTGCCACCTTCCACGGCCGGAAGCTGTTACGCTTTGCGCCTGACAGCTCTTCCAGCCTGTTTCGAAGCTTCGTCTCTCATCAAGGATGAGTAACAGGGGGGGCACAGGTGCGGCGGCCCCACAATGGAATCGCGATGAACCAGCGCCGGGAGCGCTGATCCGTATGCGTGACATCTCGCCTAGGAGGACATTCACGCCTCTCGACGACAATAGCTCGAGCGGACCCAGTGATTCTTGTCCTGAATCCTTGCAAGGTCCGTAGGAGCTACGGAGCTGTCAGTCTTTCAGTGGCCGACTGAGAGTCGCTTGGATGTGAAGGAAGGGCAAGCGAGGCTGGAGACGCTCGGCAAATCGAGATTGTTTGCCTCGCTTGTGCAGCGGGTTCCCGGCTGAAAGGCCATGCTCACGCGGTGTGGTCCAACCACCTGCAAGAGGCCGTGATAGGGCGAGTCGAGGCGTTTGGGATGTATTTAAAGGGTATGGCTTGGTGACGTCGCTCCTTCCTTGCCCTACTCACCATTCGATCATCATGCGATACCCTCTCGCCACCCTATTCGCGGCGCTGATCTCAGCCTCCCTCGCGCATGCCGCGACCCCCGGCCAGACGGCCTGCTCGCAAATCCAGGGCTCCCTTGGGCAAGGTAAAGTGGCCAATCCGAACCTTCTCAACTTCCAATACCAGCAAAGTAAGAACGGCTATTGGAACACCCGACTGAATGCCAACAATCCCGCGTGCGCCGTCTATCCTTCTTCCGCAAGCGATGTCAGCACGTCGCTCAAGGCCATCAAGGCTGCGGGCAGTCGATTCGCAATCAAGGCGGGTGGGCACAATCCCAATGCCAACTTCTCCTCCACCAACAATGGCGTTCTACTCGATATGAGCAAGATGACGGACAAGAGCTATGATCCTGCAAAGGGAACTTGCACCTATCAGCCTGGCAACAAGTTTGGCGACTTGTACGAGTTTTATGAACAGTTCGGCGTGACGATCACGGGGTGAGCAAGCGTGAAGAGGCGGATGAAGCAGTCGCTGTCGTTACTCAACCTCTGCTTCTTCGCTATGTAGCGCTCGCCTGAGCGGCGTCGGTTCCGGCCTCGGCCTCGGCGGCGGCCTCAGCTACCTGTCCGGAGAGTACGGCCTCAGTGTGGACGGCTTCCAGTCGCTCGAGGTCGTCTTGCCTTCCGGTGAGATCGTGACGGCGTCCAAGACCTCGTACCCGGACCTCTTCTTTGCTATGCGCGGTGGAGGTGGCAATGCGTACGGCGTCGTGACGTCTTACACGGTGACGGCTAGGAAGGTGGGCAAGTTCCACTCCGGTCTGCTTGTCTACGCCCTCAACGAGACGAATCGCGTGCTCGAAGCCGTGCACGACTTTACGCGCTACAACACCAATCCCAAGGCCAACCTGATCGTGAGTAGGACGCGGCGAGACTCTTCCGGGCCGCTGCTGACCTCGTCTTTCATCCCGCCCCGCCCCAGGCCACCTGGGAGAAGATCCCTCTCCCCGATCTGAACATTAACCTCGACGAAATCTTCATCCTCTTTGCCGTCTACGACGGCGAGGACCCAGGAAACTCGTACAAGAACTTCACCGACATCCCGCACATCCTCGACACGCGACAGGTGCGCTCCTACGTCTCTACGACGCGCGACTTGGCCACGCCCTTTGCGACGGACATTTCCAAGGGGAGCAACACCTTCCGAGTGTCCGTTCATGCGATCGATGACGACACGTACAAACAGGCGTATGACCAATGGAGGGCTTGGGCGCAGAGGCCTGAGATCAAGTCGAAGTACATGTTGACCTCGCTGGACTTCCAGCCGGTGCTGCGATCGCTCACTGACGCGAGCAAGGTGCGGCATGAGTGGTACGGAGAAGCTTAGTGTGTTTGCGAGCTAATGGCGTCTTCTCACCCGCCCGCAGTCGCAAGGCGGCAACGCTATGGACATGCCGGATGGGCCCTGGTTCTGGCTCAATTACTTACTCACAACGCCGCCGACCCTCTCTGCCTCTGACTACAACGAGATCCAAGAGTCATTCAAGGAGATGGTCAACGTCGTGCCCGCAGCGAAGAATCTTCCGCTCTTCATCAACGATGCAGCGTACGACCAAAACCCGCTACCGACCTTCTCGACGTACCAGAGGCTGAAGAGCATCAAGGCCAAGTACGATCCGGATGGATTCTTCTCGTCCAAGACGGGTGGGTGGGCCTTCCCATAGTCGCTCGTCGCTGTATCAGTACTAGTCCAAATTTGTAGTGGAGAGAATGCAAGAAGAAAAGATGCGTGCTTGATATTCGCCGCAACGCGCAACGAACAAAGCAAGTCGTGGCCTTTTCCTCGCTGGCGCCGCTACCTGGCTCGTGCCCGTCCCCTCGCTGCAAGCTCGTGCAGCTCGTGCATCGTACCATGCCGTCCGCCGCGTTTCTGCCTGCAATTTCGCCTTGGCGTGCAGTGCGGGGCAGGGCGGATAGTGCGGGGACAGCAGAGCGTGAAGCCTGTGCGGGAAATTGATTCTTGATTGTCGTCGCGCGCCTGAGACCTCGCGTCGGCGGGGTGCGTGCCTTCCAAGAAAAGCGGGACGAGGCGAGCGTCTAACCAGTCGAGGAAGGGGCGAACACGAGGGGGGCGGGAGGGGTTTGACGCCCAACGCGACCATCTCATGAAGGCTGAGTTGAATCCCATGTCGCTGAGGGGGCGCGGTTCTCACCATCTTGCGCTCCTATCCATCATTACGACGTTCTGTCCTCGTCACTACGCTCCTTCTCTTCGTCCCATTGCTGTTGACCACCACCGCGATGGTCCAGCCCATCACGCTCCTTGTTTTGCTGCTATGCGCTCTGCTTGCTGGGACGGTGGACGCCCTCGGCCCGCTCTTTGGCGGCTTCTCGGGCAACGACGTGCCTGCCTCGACGGGAATCGACCTGCTCTATCAAAATGACCTCAACTGTGAGTGCGAGCTCGAGCGGCAAGAGCCGTTGTTGCAGTCTTGCGCGCCAGTAGCTCATTTGGCCTGCCCATACTCTCGCAGGGGCTCAGACTTCGCAGCATAAGAGCCAACTCCTTCTCAGGACAGCCCAAACCTTCACCGCCGCAAAAACGTCATGCGACACCCTGTCGGAAGACTTGGCAGAAATTGCGGACAACGACGCTGACTTGCGGAAACAGTTCTCGTACCTCATCTATCGCGGCACCTACGCCTCCGGTCAGAACTTCTGGGTGGGCAACGACGGCCAATCCATCCTCAAGCTCGCGAGCGATGGCAGCTGGTCGATCAGAGAAAGCAGTAATGCTACGGTTCGCTACCCAGTGCTCTGCACACAGTCTGCCAAACGTACCTTTGCCAACGAGACGGACACATCGGACAGGTGGCAAGTCAGCGTTGGGAGTGGGCCGACTTTCATAGGCTACCGTGACGGGGTCAGCTTCCGATTCGGCGCCATTCCGTATGCTCAGAATACGCAGCGCTTTACCTACTCGACGCCCTCAACGAGCAAGGGGGTCATCGATGCTACCGCGGCCACGCGAGGCAAGCAATGCCCGCAGACGTCCGGGACAGACTCGCCGTGGGCGGAGCAGTGTCTCGTGCTCAACCTCTTCACCCCTACGCTGCCTGGTAAGACGTCGTCGTCCAAGGGCAGGCTGCGGCCGGTCATGGTTTGGATTCACGGAGGAGGGTTCAATGCGGGCTCTGGGCTGGATGACACCTTCGATGGCGGGCTGGTGGCGTCGCGCGGTGACGTCGTGGTGATCAATATCAACTATCGCCTTGGCTCGCTCGGCTTCCTCGCCACGGGTAACAACATCAAGGTGCGTGGTGGCGGGGTGAATCAAGCGCGGAGCGAGTACGAGAAGCTAACACCGCCCTCCTGCTAACTCGCGCAGGGCAATTTCGGATTCGCGGATATCATAACGGCCCTCAAGTGGGTCAAGGCCAATGTAGCTACCTTCGGCGGAGACCCCAGCAAGGTCACTGTAGCAGGACAGAGCGCCGGCGCACAACTCGTTGAACTCCTCATCGGTGCACCAGACGCAGCAGGCCTCTTCCAACGAGCCATCATTCAGAGCGGGCGGCCTGCCGACTCCCACAACACGTTCAAGACGATCGCGGCGGTCAAGACGCAAACGGATGCCGTGGTCAAGAATGTGGGGTGCGACACTGCGCTAGATGTGGACTCGTGCCTGCGTACCGTGCCGACCGATCGCTTCCTCTCTGGCGCAAAGTTCTCCAGCCCAGTTGTGGATGGGGCATTCATTCGGCAGTCCAAGTATGTGCTCTCGGGTCAGGGAGGGAGCGCCAACCGAGTCCCAGCGATCATTGTGAGCAACCAGCGTGGAGGTCACACGTGAAGAACTCATACTGACTATCACCCCACGGACATGCAGGGCTACATGCGCGACGAGAAAGCCTCATTAGGCTACGTCCCGCCTGCTACTGAGACGGACCTCAACAAGACCATGCGTGACGCCGGCATCCCCATCCGCGACCGGCAGATTGTCCTCGCCCGGCCAGCCGTCTTCAGCACCTCCTCCATCCAGAACACAACTGTCACCGTCGAGACCAACAACGGCACCGTCTCTCGCTGCGGCCTGAGCGCGACAGCCTACTCGGCCATTAATCGCAAAGTGCTGCCCAAGGTGTGGGCCTACACGCAAGATCAGCGCGCCTACCAGATTCCCAACTACGATCCGTACGCCGTCTGCCAGCCTAGCGCGCCAGGAGCGAGTGCGGGCAATCCGTCGTCGTACTACTTCTGCCATTCGGGTGATCTACTCCCCACATTCGGCACGGCGGGCTACATGTTCCACATGAATCCGCGCGACAACGATGATGTGACGTGGGTGCGTAACCAGATCGATCAATGGACCTCCTTCATTCGAACAGGGGATCCGAACCCGGCGAGCGCGTACACGAACGCAAGGGGGTATGGCGCTATCAGCGGGGACTATTGGCCGAGCGTGAGTGGGGTCAACGGGGCCAAGATGATGAGCTTGGGGCCAAGGCAGAGGGTGGTGGATCTGCGGCAACGTAGGGAGCAGTGTGAGGCGATTGGGCTGCCCGTCGACTACATTGTACGCGGCGGGTAGAGGGGGGCAAAGACACAGAGAAGTGGTGAGAATGGGTGCACCTTGTATACTGGAGAGCTTGCTTGTATTTCATATACAGCTGCGTTGCTTGATACCATTTCTTTGCTTGGTCGACGTGGAATTCGAAAATTCCCGCGCGTGCAGCTCCGCGCTTCAACCTTCCCCACACGCAGCTCTGTATCCGCCTCTTCTTCTCGCCTTCCCCTTGTCCTCCTTTCGTTCACCTGAGATGGCAGCTTCGCCCACAACTCCTGCTGAAGCTCTCTCATCCTCCTCTTCGGGGATCAAGTACCCAGACCGCCAGTCCATCGCTGGTTCGGCCTCGCGCAACGTGCCCATCCTAGTCTCGGAGCTTTCCCCGCTGGTCCGACCAGGCTGCCACATCCTCGAGATAGCAGCAGGACATGGTCTACTTACCGCCTCCCTGGCAAAGGAATGCAGCAGCGTGCAAGACGTGAGCTGGGAGGCTAGAGAAGCGGATGAAGAGCTTGTGCGAAAGATTGGCGAGCAATGCGCCGCAATGGGGGTGGAGAACGTTGAGGCTAGGGCGTGGGACGTTCATGATCAGTACGAGGAGCGGGGCGACTTCGACTTGGTGATCATCGCAAATCTGCTACACATTGTGCCGTACGCTACAGTCGAGAGGCTATTCGAGAAGCTAGGGAGCTCTTTAGTCAAGAAGGAGAAGGGAGCGAAGGTGTGCATCTATGGCGCCTTCAATGAGGAGGGACGATTCACGAGCGAGGGCAACGAGAAGGTAAGACACGGCCGCAAAGAAGACCAAGACCGCCCGTCTCATGACGCTGACCGCTCCACACCGTCTGCTCTTCAGTTCGATGGCATCCTCAAGGCAAGGAACCCAGCGTACGGGCTGCGAGACCTCGAGTCGCAGATTGTGCCTCTAGCAAAGGCAAATGGGCTGGATCTGGGAGAGGTTAGAAGACTGGCTGCGGGCAATGTGAGTCATTCAGGAGATGCCTCACGCTGGACGCTTCAGCTCAACCCATACTCCTTGCTCCTCGTCGTCTTTGCAGCTCCTCCTGATCTTCGAGCGTAGGTAGACGCGGGCGACCTCCTCGCGTTCCAGCACCTCAGCGCCAGCGGACCCTTGTCGCCTACCCAGCTACACAGAGAATGGACTCCATTGTAATATACCACACTTGCCTTTTTTTCAAGCCTCTCTCTCTTTGTCGGCCGATCTCTCAGCAGGTGTTGGCCTTGTGATGCTCTCCACCGCGCGGTTTTCCCTTGAGTGGGAGAAAGTGCGTGGCTCGAGCGTCAACTCTTCTTGTCCTCCCACCATCATGTCCGCCTCTACCGATCCATACAAGCTCCTCCTCGCAGGCTACAGCGGCAAAGTGTGGGTGCGACGCAGAGTCTGCTAAAAGTAGGCTTGATCTGATCAAACCATCTTCGCAGCGCATCATACACCTTTACGCCGCCCTCTACCCTCACGCTCGATGCGGAGGTGCAGGGCGAGGCGGGCAAGTCCCCTTCATGGGCTGCCTTCTCCCCTTCGCTACCAGTGGCATACGTCTGCGACGAGGACGAAAGCAAGGGAATGGTACATGCTTTGAGCTTGCCTGGTCTACAGAAGGCAGGCCATGCTACCGAGACAGACGGGAAGGGGCCATGTTCTGCCATTGTTGTTGGACACCTCCTCTTTGTCGGTGAGCAGGCAGTCAGACCGGCCTCGCAAAAGCCAAACTGACCCATCGCCTCTCGTACGCAGCCAACTATCTCACCGGTTCCACCTCAATCCACTCGCCCACTTCTTCCGACGGCTCCCTCGTCTCCACGACCCCTTCGCGGATCATCCCCTTTCATCGCTTCCCTCCTGGCTCGACAGGACCCGTCTCCTCGCGACAAGATCGCTCCTATGCTCATCAGGTCATCGCTGACCCCTCAGGCAGATTCGTCTACATCGTAGATTTGGGAGCGGATCAGGTCCATCGATTGAGGGTACCAGAGAGTGGTAGGGCGGACGAAGTAGAGGCAGTTGGTGAGACGGAGATAGAAGAGGGAGCAGGGCCTCGTCACCTTGCGTGAGTGCGGGCGTCAAAGCATGCGAAGCTCAGTCCTGACGCCGCCGTCGTCCGCAGATTCCACTGCGACTCAGCTACAGGCCACACATACGCCTACCTAGCCTGCGAGCTCAACACGACCCTCCTAGCCTTCCACGTCGACCCAAAGGACGGGTCACTCCAACCCATAGGCGAGGCTCAGTCCTCCCTTCCACCCGGGCTCGACGCAGGCGGTACCCCCGCAGATGGCAACGCTCGTACGACCAGCGAGATCGCCGTCTCTCCCTGCGGTCGCTTCGTCGACGTAGGCACGCGTGGAGACCCTGAAGAAGATCATATTGCTGTCTTTGCCCGTCGGGAGAGCGGGCAAGTCGAGTGGGTCGGGTGGGACGGAGTAGGCGGGAGAAACCTGCGGCACTTTTCTCTGTCGACTGATGGCAAGTGGGTAGCTGCGGCCAGTCAGAACGATGGAAGGGTGGTCATGCTGCGACGAGATGATGAATCCGGTAGGCTAACAATGACAGGCGAGGCTAGCATCGACTTCGAGAAAGTGGCTTTCGCTGGCTTTGTCGCAGCGGGTCGTTGATCAACTCGCGGCCCCAGCGCAGCGCCTCTGCGCACCTATCTTAGCCCTCGCCAGGACATAAAGTGCTCGTTTGTCTGTGCTTCCATGAAGTGGACCGATAGGCGGCGGGCGGGCCGTGCGTTGCGGTTCGGCTGAGGAATGGAAAAAGCGGGGCCTGAGCGAGGGACTAGATTGATTGCTTTGCGGCCGAGCCTATCGAATGGGCCAGGGGGTCGAGGTCGTGGTGATATTGGAGATGGGCAGCAACTTCGATAGCTTCTCTACACACTCTCTTTTCTCCACTCTCTGGCCATCTTACTATGGCTCTCCCTATTCGCCTACTCGCGCTATCCGCGCTCATCACCCTCCTTTTCGCGAGCACCACCCTCGCCCAGTTCGGCCACTTTGGTCGCGGCCAGCAGTTCTGGCGCCATGAGGCCGCCATGAACCCCGAGCGCCACGACACGATGCAGTATCGCGCCCTCACTAACGAAGAAGATGTGGCTGAGCTTGTCGGGCGAGGTCACCACGATGCACGCGCTGACAAGAAGCACAAGCAGGAGGCCAAGGATGAAGGGGATGACGGTGGCGAGAACCCTGTCAGGGATGCTGCGCTCGATTACGGTCTGCTCGATGCGGCCTTTGCTGATGGACTGAAGGAGTTCAAGGGGCCACGCAAGAATGATACGATGCTCGACCTTACCAAGCTTGTCGACCCCTTCATCGGCACGCGAGGCAACAGCAACCCAGGTGCGTTCGAGTGGGCAGCCGAGTCATGGTGATACGCTAATCTTCCCTCACTTCATGCCGCGCCAGGCAACGTTTGCCCCGCTGCTGCTCAGCCCTTCAGCCCCGCCCGCATCGGTATCGACCTAGACGACGTGTACGCTCCACCCGGCTACGTGACAAATGTCAGCGCCCCAGTCCGCGGCGTGTCCCTGCTGCACGACACGGGCACAGGCTCCTCGCTTGGCTCCTACGGCAACTTTGAATCCATGCCCGTTGTCTGTCCAGACAATGACTTTGCACGCTGCCCTACGCGGTTGGACGATCGTAAGCGCCCGCGTATGGCGCACAAGGACTTTGCCAGCCCGGGGTACTTTACGCTCACGCTCAACAATGGTATCAAGATGGAGACAACGGCAACGCGACGCGCGGGACTGGTGAGGTATACGTTCCCCAAGAGTGTGCTTGACGGCGGCTCCCTTCCTCACATTGTGCAAGACTGGACCAACGATTCACCAGGTACTTTCCGCGGCGGTGAGATCGACTTCGACATCAGGCGCGGCCGTATCCAGATGGGCGGCGGGTGGGGCTCCTCCTTTGGCCCGACCCTGTACACGTACAATGCCTACGCGTGCGTCGATGTGCTCAACAACGGCAAGCAGAAGCTGAGCAAAGCAGGCTTGTGGGAAGGGGACCGTCATGGACAGGACACCAAGCTGGAGGGCGAGACGCACGCCAATCTCAGTCGCATCCTCATCGGTGGCCAGCCAGTCCAATCAGGCGCCCTCTTCTCGTACTCGAGCTACCCACGTAACAAGGATGGCAGCGCCGAGATCACGCTCCGCGTGGGCGTCTCCTTCAACTCTGCTGCCCAGGCATGCACCAATGCCGAGCAGGAAGTGGGCGACAAGTGGGACTTTGACCGCGTGCATAATGACGCCAAGGCGCTCTGGAACACGAAGCTGAATCGTATCCTCCTCAGCCCGGAGACGGACGACAAGATTGTGCGCCTCTTCTACTCGTCACTGTACTACTCGTTCCTGAGCCCAGCAAACATCACGGGCGAAGCAGGCAACATCTTTCCCGGCGGCGAGAAGTACGGCGGGCCCACGTACGACGGGCTGTACTGTACTTGGGACTCTTATCGCACCTTTTTTCCCTTCCTCTCCCTCACAAGTCCACGCGAATACGCCGACATCACGGAGAACTACATCGATGGGTGGCGCAAGACCGGTTGGATCCCCGAGTGTCGTGCCAACAATCTGCCCGGCCTCACGCAAGGCGGGTCGCACGGAGTCATGGTGATCGCGGACTTCGCGGCCAAGTACTTCCAGCAGGCGTACACGTCTCAGCTTCCCGTAAACCTCAACGATGGGTACACGGCGGTGATGAAGGACGCGTACGAGACGCCAGCTGCGTGGGATGACAAGGGGCGACAGATCACCGCCTACGGCAAGTATGGGTACATCCCGTTCGCCTTCTTCGATACCGTATCCTCGGGCAGACAGACGCGCGAGGCCTCACGCACAGTCGAGTATGCGCACAACGACTTCGGCGCAAGCGTCATGGCCAACATTGCGAATCATCCAAAAGAGGCTCGTGCACTGTACAATCGCTCCCTCTCCTACGCCAACACCTTTGACCCTTCCGCTTCCTCGTTCGGTTACACCAACTTCGTTCAGAAGCGCTTTACCAACGGCTCCTTCTTCAAGCAGGACCCGACGCTCTGCTCTCCCATCTCGAACTTCCCCTCGTGCTCCCTCCAACAGGAGAACACCGTAGGCACGTACGAGACGAGCAGTTGGGAGTACTCCTTCTACGCGCCTCACGATGTGGCTGGACTGATCAAGTTAATCGCCAAGGGGGATCGCGGCAATTTCATGAATAGGCTCGACACGTACTTTGCCAAGGGGCTCTTCTACGCGGGTAACGAGCCGAGCTTCAACACCCCCACGCTGTACCACTACGCGGGCTCGCCCGTGCGATCAGTCAAGAGGGTGCGCAAGGTCGTCTTCGAGAACTTCAATACCACGACGGCGGGACTGCCGGGAAATAGCGATGTGGGGGCCATGCAGACGCTCTTGAACTTCCATCTGATGGGCCTATTCCCCGTGGTCGCGACGACCGAGATGCTCGTCGTGTCGCCCTTCATGCCCGGCTACACGATCAGGAACGAGATGTTGGGCGATGTGGTGATGGAGGCCAAGAACTTTGTGAGCACCAGCGCCGCAGAGTCTACCATGGTGCACTTCTGACCACCTTTCTCTTCACCCCCCCCCCCCCCCTCACCTCGCACATGCAAGGACCCCCGCTCCGTCGCCAAGGACATCCCAAGCGGCGCACGCGCCTACGTCGCCTCCGTCACGCTCAACGGTGTCAAGCAGTCCTCACGCTGCAAGATTCTCTTCAACAAGCTCTTCCCCGGACAGGGCAAGACTGCTCATCTCGTGCTGGAGATGACTGCGGATGAGAAGGCGGCTGACTCGTGCGGAGAGGGGGAGAAGGATCTGCCCAGCTCGTTGAGCACCGGTGGGTTCAGGCAATTCGAGCCGCTCCCGCCTGTCTAAAGGTAGATGGACTTTGTGTTCTCGCCCCGCGTGCGGCCTTGGGGAAGCTGGCTGCCCGCTTCTTTCACAAGGCAGTGTTGAGTGCCTCTCAGTGAGCCGGCTTGCTACTGCTCTCGCGGCGGCGGCGGTGGCGGTGATGATGAACAATGATACTCATTCTTGTCCTCTCGTGCATCTTAAGCTGGCATCACAGCTACTCCTCCATCTCCACATCTCCCTCCTTCCTTACTTGCTGCTCCTCTCTCTTCTCCTCAGCTCCGCGCGTGACCAAAGCATTCCTCAGTCCTCTCAGCGCACGAGGCTCGCTGGCATACTTTTCGGCCCAGAAATCGCCATATCGTCTGCGCAAAGCTGCGTCGTCACCCGTCTCATCGGCGCTACTCTCTTCGCTCTCTCCTGCTACCTGCTCGAGACAATCCCGCACGGCAGCGGCCGTATCAGCCTCGAGCGTCGCAACGTTTTGTTGGACATCGCGCTGCGCCTGAATCCATGATCCAAGCTGGCGGAACTTGCTGCCAAGGTCGCGCCCATCCTCTCCCGGCTCGGGATCCCCTGCCGTGGCGCTGGTCGTCGAAGTCGCCCGTAGCAGGGCGCGGGGCATGCCACCCCCGCAGGCTGCTAGACCGAGGATGGCTCCCAGCTTCGTACCCAAGGTAGCGGTAGGAAGACGACGCGCGTTCTCCTCGTCCTCGTCCTCGTCCTCGCCAGCAGCATTTCCTTCTACTTTGGCCCCTCCCTCTCCTTCGGTTGTGCCCAACCCCTTGAAGGTCGCCTCTAGCAAGACCCTCGCCACTCTCGGCCTCAAGGTCGGGTAACGATCTGCATGCTTCTTGAGCACATCCGACAGCAAAGTCGCTCCTGCTCTCCTCAGCCTCGTCGGGTAGTCGGTGGCAGAGAAGAGCATAGTGGACAAAATGGGTGGGAGGAGCAGGTGGACGTACCCCTCTATCGCGACGGACGGGTTCAAGAGGAGGGAGGAGATGGTCTGCTGCATACGAGTGATTATGCGTGAACGGGCGGGAAGGGCGTCCGGTGCGCAGAGTGCTGATGCGATCGTGGTTGAGATCCATTGGCAGAGGTAGGGGACCAACTGGTGAAGACCTGGGTCGGAGCGCAGCGAGGAGAGGGCTGCGAGCGTTGTGGGATCGTCTTCTTCTTCCTCCTCGTCGTCAGCTCGCTCTTCGCCCTTTGTCGCCGCACCGAGCGCCTCGGTGAGCCGCTGGTAGTAGACTTGCAGCTCGCGCGAAAGGATGTGCTTGACCAGCGGCTGAGTCGTTGCATTCGGCGTTGCCCCTGCGCTTCCACCTGTTGCGACCGCCACTGCCCCCGTAGTACTCGTCGACGCCAATCCCGCATAAGGGTCTGTAGAGTCTTGCGCTGCGGTCGGTCTGCTCGTCGTAGCAGGGAGGGGCGCTGGGTTCTCTGGAATCAAGGGCTGTACCCCCTCCACAGCGAGCCAGTGCGCCTTCCATCCTACTCCTTTGGAGCGCGGCAGCCTGCTCGAAGACCCCACCGCCTGCTGCGCGAGCTGCTCGATGTCCACCTCGTCATCCTCGACATTATACACGATACTGCCCGTCGCGGCATGCCAGCCTTTTCGCAGCCGTGCGTGCTGGTGGAGAAATCCATAGATGGGCTCCATCCCTTTCAGCTCGAGTGCACGCTTGACATCGTCCGTGCTGAGTGTATGGCGTCGAGAGTGACGCATGAATTTCTCCGCGTCTTGGATCACGAGGCGCAGGCGATGTTCCACATCTTGGGCGAGGGAGTGGGCGACATTTGAGGGCAAGGGCTGTGGGAAATGCAGGGAAGTAGAGGCTATGTGCTGGATGGATGCTGGAGGGAAGAGGGTGTTTGAGGAGGTGGAGGAGGAGGGTCCGGAGGAGGAGGAGGAGGCGGATGGCATGGCAGGCGAGGATGGCGTGCGATGGTAGTAAGGTGCGAAGCTGCGAGGCTGCGAGGCTGCGAGTGCTCGTCGACGGGCCCTGCCCATCGCGCTGCTCGCGTGGCTCTTTCCGTCGTGTTGCCCTCCTCTTTGTCCCCGCCCTCGAAACGCCCGCCTAAATTGCTCGTCCAGCGCCTCGTTGCTACGCTCCGATCTTCCTGCCTTGCTCCTGCAACCCCTGACTTCACCTTCAACCGCCACCTAGGGCGTGAATCGCATCCTTAGCAAGGCGGCATCGCCCGTAGCCATGCCGATTGCACTCGTCGATGACGCTCAACGCGATGCCAGACGCAGCAGCGAGGTTGAGGCTGAGGGGCATGATGTCTCGCCCATAACAACGCCTGCATACAATGAGGCGGAGAGTAACGAGGTCGATGGAGACGACGACAACGACGACGACTGGCTGATGGACGATGCGGATCAAGTCCCAGCTCCTCAGGTCCACGGCAACCTCAACATCAACGGCCATGCCGGCGAAGAAGCAGACTCTCACGGCCACCCTCTGGACATGACTTCGCGCGATTCAGCAAAGGTGCAACGAGTCTTTTACGATGTGCGTGCCTCCGCAGGCCGTCCTGTCCACACATATGCTGACCAAAGCGTTCTCGCCCCCATCCCTCGTCTCTTCTCCGCCGCGCCCGCAGACCGGCTACCGAGAAGGCATCACCTCAGGCAAGCTCTCGGCCCTACAGTCAGGATTCGACGAAGGGTTCAACCAGGCAGCCCCGCTCGGTCGAGCCAGGGGATTCATGCGTGGTCAGGTGCTGGCGCTGATGCATTGGAATATGGTCAATGATGCGAGGAATGAGGACGAGCAGGACATTGGAGGATCATCATCATCATCAAGGAGCAATGAACCCTCGACTTCAGCTTTGTCCTCCTCGCAGGGAAGACAATCGCGTTCCGCAGCCAGAGCGGGCAAGATGGCACGAGGAGGGATGCGAAAGCTTCGCGGTACCGCCAATGGAGCCCCGCATCTGCCCAACGTCGATGAGAATGAGGGGAGCTCCTCCTCCCCGCGCAGTCGCAGCCCTGCCTCGTCATCAGACACGAATCTTCGCTCCCTGCTCAAGGAGGTCGACTCACTCAACGTCGACATGCTGCTCGGCCCGGACTGGGAGGCTAGGCGACACGCGATGGAGGATTCAGGTGGTGGGATGGACGATGCTGGTGAGGAGGAGCGGGCAAGCTTGGCGAAGGCGAGGCAGAAACGAGACGAGCTGCCCGACTTGAAGGAGAGGGTCGAAAGGCTGGTGAGGCAGAGCTGCGGCCTGGAGGAGGCAGACAGAGACGCGCAGGTAGCTTAAATGCAATTCACCCACTTTAACATTACGAGCGGCAGCAACACCATCGTTCAGTCACTCCCGCTGAGACGAAGCAAACGTATCCATTGGTAAACAAGCAGCGCAACGAGTCCAGAGGCAAGGTAGATACAAGAGTGACACGCGTCTACAGACGCGCGCCCTGCCCAACCTCCTCCGCCGCCCTCCTAGCAGGCACGTCTCCGCCGAACTTGGCGCCCAGCTCATCGGCCACATTCCTCGATATGCCCCAAGCGGTGGCCATTGTGGTGATCATCGGGTTCACACCACTCGACTCAGGCAACGAGCTCGCGTCTGCGATCCACAGGTTCTTCGCTCCCCAAACACGTCCCTGCGGGTCGCAAGCGCCCAGCGAGGGGGAGCCAGACATACGGCAGGATGCCATCTGATGCGCCGAACCGAAGGCAGTCTTGTAGGGCTTGCCGCCGACGGCGGATACCTTGGCTTGCCACTCGATGTACGCCGGGTCGTTGAGGTCGTTGGGCACGCTCTCCACGGGCACAGAGGTGGAAGGGATCGTCGTGCTCTCCGGCTGTGCCCTTGAGCCGCTGGTGCCCGCCTGCGTGGGCCCAGCAGCCTTGAGGCGGGGCTCAAAGGGCGGGACACCTACCTGGGCGGTGGCGATCTTGGAGGCGCCGGCCATCATGTGGACGTCGCATGCTCGCAGGATACCCACGCGGGCGGACTCCTGCTCGTGCTTGCTGATCGAGTACTCAATGCGTGCGTTGCCGTCCGAGTCGAGGACGATGGACCCTGGGTCGCGGTCGCGGGTGAGAACGATCATTGTGTAGGAGTGCGAGTAGCGGAGCATGTTCCTGCGCGGGGCAAGAGGGATGGGCGAGCGAAGGGGACGGGGTCAGCTTGGGACAAGGCTTGCTATCGCGGGCTCGGGGATACGCACTTCTTGTGCTGCAGCGACGACTCGAAGTTGGCGAAAGCGGCTGCAATGCCCGGGCTGGAGGCAATGATTTCAATCTTGGCACCCCAGCCAGCCGGGTCAACCATCTCCGCCGCATTGTCCACAATGGTAAGCAAGCTCCCCTCCCACGGGCGAATTGGGTAGTCGTAGTACCCAGTCACGATAGTAGTCGGGTGAAGGTGAAGCGTTTTGCCGATCATCTTGTTGTACTTGAGCTCAGGGGTGCGCAGCAGGAGAGCCGGGGTCTGGATGGAGCCCGCGGAGACGACTACTGCCTTGGAGGCGCGGATGGTGATCTTGCGACCATCTACCACCGCAAGGGCGCCGACGGCTTTGCGCTTGTTCTGCGGGTCGAAGAGGATGCGCTCCACGTACGTGTTGGTCATAAAAGCGCCGCCATTTTCGGCGCAGTCCTTGAGCCAGGTCACGACGCCACCCTGCTTCTGTCCATTGACGCAGCCGAATTGGCACTTGCCGCAGGCGTGCGTGTGCCCGCCAGAGTTCTGAGGCACAGCCTCGACGGGGTGACCTGCACGCTGAGCGCCCAGAGCGAGGAGAGAATTCGAGACGTTGTGCTTGATCGGCTTGATGGCTACGCCCATGCGGTTGCACACCGAGTTGAGGTCGTCGGTGAAGCTCGGCGTGGTGTAGTAGGGCACACCGTACTTTTCATTCCAGGTTCGGCGGACAAAATGGCGAGGCTTGAGCGAGGCAGACCAATTGACCGTGGTGCCGCCGCCGAACGTCGAGCCAGCGAGAACGTTGACGCTGCCGTCCTCGGAGGGCATGATCCCTTCGGCCTCGTAGAGGGAGGTGTACCCCTCATCCTCACTGCCGCGCATATCCTCGGGACGGAGGTAGATGCCCTTGTCCACCACCAAGCACTTGAGGCCTCGTTGAGAGAGGTAAGAAGCAGCGACTCCTCCGCCCGCGCCTGACCCGATGACCAGGACTTCCGTGTCGACGACAATGTCCGCCTCCGGGGGCAGGCGGGAAATGCGATCGTTCTCGAATGTGTAGTTGTAGTGCTGCTGTGCCTCCTCATCCTCTCGAGCCGCCTCACGCCAGTCGGTGTTGGCACCATCCGTGTAGCCTACAGCCTTCCACGCGAGAGGGTCGGCGCGATAGAAGATCATCAACGACAGTCCCTTGAGACCGGAGGCAGCCTTTTGGAGCAGTCCAATGGGAGAGTTGGCCCAGCTCTGGATGGCGTCCATTCGTCGCTTGTCGTCGAGCTCGTAGAAGGGGCCAAACGACCCCGTGAGGGCGAGACAGCCCAAACGGGTGGAGAGCAGGGTAAAGAGGAGCGAGAGGTCGCCGCGTGTCTTTGCGCTCAGCGAGGAGCCCATTTGACGGCAGAATTTGTCAACGAGCGCTGGATTGTCCCCAAAACCATGTGCTGCGAATTGGTGGACGAGCTCACGTTGCTGCTCAGAGGCGGTTACGGGGAGAGAGGCGACGAGGTCCGCGGCTTCAGGGCCAGAGAGACTGGGGACGATGGCCGAGGTGATGGCGCGCAGCACCTGCGTGGGTCAGGCCAACGTTAGCGGGATGCTGCGTGAGGAAAGCAGTGACTCGCGCTGCTCACCTTGGTCTGCTCCTCGTTGAAGAGGTCGCTCGCCTGGCGGATGACGGGGATGTTGGCCATCTTGGCTGCGAGAGGAAAGATGTGAGGTTAGATGATAGGGAGGGAGGAGGATCGCTAAGTAGGGAGTGTGTATGTGCGAAGCGTGCGATTAGAGGTGACCAAGGGTGAGGAGGTAAAGGAGCAAGAGGAAGGGCAGGTCTACACGAAGTGGCAATGGATGTCGTCCTGCACGCACACGCTTCGAAGCTGCACCTCAACCAGGCCGTGCGGGGAAAGGCAAGCAGACGGCAGGGGAGGCGGGAGGCGGGAGGCGACTTAGCTTTCTCACTCTTTCCCCACTCGTCTCCTTCTCTGAGTCCATTGAAACAGCATCTTCGCTGAGACGACGCACGCCCACTGGCACCTCTTTGTCAGCCCGCCAAGTGTTCGTTGGACCAGCGGGCAGGCGGCCGTTATGCCACACTCTGACGCCGCCGCTCGTGATGATGCGAGGTGCGCCGTGCGGGGTCGCGCAGGTGCGAAGCGGGCGTGAAAGAAGAGCGAGCAGAGAGAGCGAGGAGCAAAGGCCGAGGTGCGGCACGGCGAGCGCGAGGCCGAGGTTGACGCGCCGCGTGGTCGTTCTCAGTTCAATCAGAGACATCGTTGCCGCAATGCATTGCTGATTGAGATGTTGGGGTATGATGGAATGCGCTACACGCCCTCAACATCGCAGATGGCTATCCACGCACTCACAGCCCAAAGACCCACCTCGTATTGCGCTCACACACCTCGGCCAGCTGCCTCACATCCGCTCCCTTCAGCCTCGCAACCACCCCACTAACCTGCCCAATAGCGCAAGGCTCATTACGATCCTTGACCATCTTCCCTTCATTCCCCGCTACGTCCTTCTTCTCCCTCTTCACAGCCGCAGGCTCATAGATGTCCTTCCAATCCTGTCCGTAATGACCCTTGTGCTTCGCGCTCGCGTGACTAGCTTTGAGGGAACACCAGGGGGCGTCTGTCTCTAGCATGAGGCGGTCCAAGGGGCAGGCTGCTATGGTGGTGAGCTGGTCTTCAGTCTTGAGAGAGCAGCCATTCACGCTGATGTAGAAGCCGAGGGAGAGGAAACGATCCATCTCCTCGCGCGAGTCGGTGAAGGAGTGGACTACGCCGGCGCGATGAGCAGGCGTCGGCGAAGCTGCCATGCCCTCCGGCAACGCCGGCTGTGGTGGTGCTCCTTGAGCGAGGGCGACCTTGAGCTCTTCTAGACGCGGCTCGAGGATGGCGAGGAAGTCGTTTGTCGAGTTGCGATTGTGCAGAAACAAGGGCAGTCGATGCTTGATCGCGAGGTCTAGCTGTGCCTCAAAGACGGGCTTCTGCTCTTCCTCCGTCGAGAAGAAGAGTCGATCGTAGTCCAACCCGCATTCCCCGACTGCGACCACTCTCCCGCCATTGTGCTTGGAGTGCTCCGTCAACAGCTCATCCAGCGCTGCCATGTATGCCTTCAATCCGCCAGGATGCTTGGCCACCTCCTTTGATCGAGTCGGATGGCAGCCGACCGTGCAGTAGAGGTCCTCCTTGCCTGGCTGAGAGCAGAGCGAGATGGATTGGCGCGATTCGCTCAGAGAGCCAGAGGTGACTATCTGGGCTACGACGTTGGCTTTGCGGGCGCGCGATAGGACTGCGTCGAGGTCGGGCTCGTGATACTTTTTGCCTTGGTACTTGCCGCGATACATGCCGTCGAGCAGATTGGCGCCGATGTCGATGTAGGCGGGCGGAGGGCGTGGCGCTGGTGCAGACGAGGACGAGGAGGAGGATGATGCCGCAGCGGCGAGATCATTGGCCGCGCCGGACTGCGCTCGTGCTGCTGTTCGTGGATTGATCATTGCGTGTGCGAGAGGTTGACGTGCTGGGGTATTACTGAGCCGATATCTTGCGACGATGAGTGGTGAGAGAGGGAGTGCGTTGGGTCTAAGTAGCATGCGATGGCCGCTGCTGGGGCAAGGAAGCAATGCTTGTGAAGCGTTGACCGGACCCAGGTTGGCGGCGCCGCGTTTGAAGAACCAGAGACCGGCCTTGACTCGACGTCCAAGCTGCGAGGCTGTGTCGTCCTTTTTCGCGCTAGTGACGTCTAGCTAGCCTTGGAAGCGACGGCTAGACTCCAATCGCGAGAGTCGTGGTTGACTCTATGCAGCGAGTCTATGTTGTATCAGAGCGATCAGCCGCCGCCTGACTGACGTTGGGAGCAGTACTTGGTGGTGAGGAGAGGAAGCAAGAAGGATTGGAGACGGAACGGAGTCAATTCTCCTCCCCGCCGCAAAGGTGGAGGAGGCCCGAGCGTCGGCTGCACGGCGTTTGGCCGTCCAAAAGTCGACCGGGTCTAAGGCCATTGCCCCACCTTCAAGAAGGCCTGCCTTCTCCACCTCTTTTCTTTTCCTCCTCACCACCAGAACAAGACACGCAACAATGTCGTCGCACACATCGATTCCCTCGGGCAAGCGCACCCTCTTCCTCATCGGCCCGGGCTTCATCGGCGGGACGATCCTCTCTCAGCTCCTCGCATCGCGTCCCTCCGACTTCCACATCAAAGTCCTCACCCGTCGTCAAGAGCAGGCCGACCAGCTCAAGGCGCAGGGGATCCACGAGACGATCCTCGGCTCGCTGGATGACACGGATCTCATCGCCAGCCACGCCAAGACGGCAGACGTGATCATCCACGCAGCCACGGCTGACCATGCCCCCTCGGCCCTCGCGGTGGCTGACGGCCTTAAGCAGCGCGACACATCGCGGGGCAGGGCCATCTTCATTCACACGTCGGGTAATGACGAGCTCGTTGGGGCGGGCGAGCCAGGGATGAGCAAGGAGGATAGGAAAGTTTCGGATGCGTGGCAGGATGAGGAGATTGAGAAGAGAATGAGGAAGGATGCGTATCATAGGCAGGTCGATGGGCCATTGCGTGAGGCCATTATGAATGATGAGGCGGAGCAGAAGTACAACATCGTGAGTTCGAGGGAGGAGTGCGCTTCCGAGGTTGACTGAGCTGATCCTCATCCTGATCCCACGCACAGCGCACCGTGATCCTCATGCCCCCCCTCATCTACGGCATCTCGCCCTCTGCCTTTGGGTCACGCCTCTCCATCCAGACCCCCATGCTCGCACGCTCGATGCTCGCACGCGGACCCTTTGTCCTCTCCGAGGGGCATCGCGGAGGATGGAACGCAGTCAGTGTGGACGATGTCGCCAGCACCTACCTCGTCACGCTCAAGGAGCTGGAGAAGGAGGCGGCTACCACGGGCAAGGGCAGACACTACGTCTTCCCCTCCGAACCAGAGCCCTTCAGCTGGAAGGAGCACATCGATGCCGTCTCCTCGCGCGTACTGGCTCACACTGGCGCTTCTCCATCGTCGGTTCGCACCATCAGCACGCCAGACGATTTCGAGGCTGCCGTAGGAGGCAAGGAGGAAAACCCATATGCTCCCTGCCTCACCAGCGTCGTGTTCGACGAAGAGCACAATGGCTACACGCGTCCGGAGAGGCTGACCAAAGAGTGGGGATTCAAGCACCAGAGTACGGGGGTGATCAAGTCGATTTTGGAGGGAGGCGAGTTGGAAGGCCTGTTGAAAGAGGAGGCGAAGAAGGCTTGAGGCGTGCGGGAGCAGATCAGGAGAGGCGGAGAGGATGGCAGGGTCGCTGGGCGCGAGGCAGTGACGAAGAGCGCAATCCTCCGTCGCGCCTCCCTTTGTGCAAAACTTCGCCTTCACGACGCTGCCTTTCAGCTTGCTCGCATGCTGATTGGGTAAGGATATCATATTGCCGCGCTTGGCGTGATGCTCCGCTACTTCCTCTGTTCATGCTCGACTCCACCATCCTGCTGATTGTTCCTCTATTTCCACCAAAAGGAGGTGATGTTGTCGGTCGTGCTGACGAACGGTGCGCTCAACCTCTATGCCTTCCAACGATTAATGACGAGCTGGCCGCCTCTGCCCCCTCTAAATGTCTGCTCTGCTGCTGATGCTCGTCGTGATGCATGCCCGCCACTCGCGCTCGTGCTCCCCACCGCGCGTCAATCATACCCGCCGCGGAACATGGGTTGATTCCCTCTTCCCGTCGCACCATTAGCAGCGCCATAGAGTGCCTTGCGCCGAGCGGCCCGATTCTGGGGAGGTGGAGCTGCAGCGCTACCCTGCCCCTGCCCCTGCCCCTGCTGCTGCTGCTGGTTCTGCTTCTCCCGCTGGGCTCGCTGTTTCGCCTTCTTGGCCTGCCTCTTGGCCGCATTCGCTGAGGCAGGAGCAGAACCCGACTCGCTATTAGGCGGAGCATTCGCCCGCTTCTCGGCATCAACGGCGCGTAGCTTGTTCTCTTTGGCCTTTTTACCTCCCCGTTTTGACGTTGAGGAGAATCTGTATCCATTCATCGTCATCGCGGGGTCTTGTTGCGCAGCTTCTCGCGCAGCCTTCCTCGCCGCCTTCTTCTGCTTCTTCGACGGTGCAGCAGCGAGAGGGGGATCATCGTGCGTGCCCTCTTGGCTTAGTCGCGCCTTTTTCTTGTTCTTTTGCTTCGGCGGTGGAGGAGCATCGTCGACCTCGCGGGAGCGCTTCTTGCCCCTCGCCTTGCCGTTCGCGCGAGCTCCGTTGTGCCGCTCGTCTTCGCTGTCATCATCGCTGCTGATCTCGATGTAATCGTCCATCCCTACCGGCGCCGGGGCGTCACTCAAACGCTCTGCGAGCCCAGTACCCTGGTGCGCGGCGCTCTTCTTGCTCTTCCCTGCGACGCCGTTCGCGCTGTCTGTTGCGCCTTTGCTCTTCTGCTTCTTGCTCTTCTTGCTCGCGGCGTCGTCTGCGTGCGCGGTTGAAAGCCCGTTCTTCGAGGTCTTCTTCGCTGTCTTCGTTGAAGTACGTGTGCTGGGGTGTGCTGTCTATGCGGGGGTGGAGTGGTCAGTCCCAGTCTACCCTGTCAAATCCGCAGCGCCCCTCGTCCACTCACACGAAGACGATGTGGCGGTAGCTCCCCTGCGCTGCTGCTCCCTCTCTCTCGCCCTCTCGCGCTCCATCTGCCTGCGTGAGGCGCCTGGGGCTCGTGCGAAGAGACGGTCCACCTCCTCCTCGAGTGAGGCATTGTTGCCGCCTGCCCTGCCGCCGAGGAAGTGCATCGAGGCAGTCGGGCCCACGCTGACGTCGTACATGTCTGCACCTGGATGAGCGTGAGATGGCGGAGGTGGGGCCAGCCTGTGCGCAAATGGTCCCATGCGTGAGACGTACTCGCTGAACGCGCTAGGCTCGCCATGACGCGAGCGGCGAGGCTGCGGGCAATCATCTCCCCAATGAGCTCCTCGAGCCGCGCAGTTGTAGCACCAGCGTTGCGCCGGGTCCCAGTCGTGCTCGCGCGATGAAGTGCCCGCAGCAGCAGCCTTGCCCTCGCGATATGCCTCCCACACCTCCTCATCCACATAACTGTATATCCTCCAGAGCGTTGGGCAGCTCTCCTCCATGTGATTGGAGGCACCGCAGCGCCTGCATCTTGATGGCATCCGTCTCACATCAGCCGTGCATTCGTTGCGTCGATGGCCCTTCATCCCGCATCGAAAGCAGGACACCCCGACTGGGCAGTCCCGCGTCGTGTGCTCATCGGTTGCACCGCAGCTTGCGCAAAGGAGGTGGGAGCAGTTGCGTTTGGTATGCCCGCGCTCTCCGCAGACTTCGCACTCTTTGAGAGATTGGCGCGACTCGGCAGCGGCGACGTCGTAGTAGCGGGTGGAGTGCGGATCGGCGCCATCGATCTGTGTGAAGTCGCCTAAAGCTCCGTCGGCTGATGAGGATGGGGATGGCGCATCGTCTGGTGGATCGTCTGCGTTGTGGCGGGCGAGCTCAACGTGCTCGGGGAGGAGCAGGTTCGATGGTGCCGGTGGTGGTGACGGTTCCTTGCTGGGCGGAGCTACCTGCTCGTCGCCTTGAAGATCGAATGTGAAGGAGGCGTTTTGCTCCAGCTCAGGCGAAGACGTGGCATCGTGGCGTCTCCTCTTTGTCTTTTGTCCACCGCGCGAGGGGGTAGGGGCAGTATCGATGACCCAAGCTGACGAGCGGGGTGTCGAGGACGATGAGCCGGCGTTGTCGCCTTGGTCGCCATCGCCCGCAGCCCAGTTGTATGGCGCTGACATGACCGCACGATGATGAGAGGGAGAGATGAGACGCGAGGACGGGAACAAGAAATTTGGTGAGCCGACAAGGGACGACGACTACGCCTCTGTCGCGTGGCTCTCTCCGCCCTCGAGTCAGGCCAGCATTGGCGCTATTGCCAATCAGGCTGTCCCGCACAGTCCCACTACTTCGCGACATGGCAGCGTCACTACGAGCTCCTTTGAAGGCTCAGCCCTGGTGGCAAGCCTCAACGTCAGCATCGCGCTCGGTGAGCCGGCGCTGGGCATCAACTGCGTGCGGCTCGGCCAGCAAGCGCCCCGATCCATCATCGCTGCCCCCCATCCACTATTCACTCATCCCGCACCATGTCCCCTACGCACTTGGCCTGGCATTGCAGGAGCGTCTCTACTCGCTGCGCGGCCAGCCCGAAGTTCTCCTGCTCCTCGAGCACAAGCCCGTCTACACCGAAGGCAGACGCGGGCACCGCAGCGAGAATGATGCCGATGCGCCGCCCACTGTCGGGGGAGGGGAGCTCAGCGAGGAGCAGGTCAGGGAGCGATTCGCGAGCATAGGGGCAGACTATCATTTGACGCAGAGGGGTGGGTTGATCACATATCATGGTCCGGGACAGCTGATTGGGTACCCGATTGTGAATCTGGGTTCGATGGGGGTGAGCAGCGCTGTGGCAGCCTTCGTCTAGCTCCAGTCTGACCCTGTCTCCCCCTCGCCACCCGCAGCTCTCCAGCCGCTGCTACATTGAGGCCCTGCAAACGGCGATTCGCTCCATTCTCACATCTCACTACCAGCTACCTCTCGTCGAGCCACCCGAGAACAACACTGGCGTCTGGTCGACCCCCTACCTCAAGATATGCAGCATTGGCGTGCAAGTACGGCATCGCATCACCACGCATGGATTCGGCCTCAACGTCACTCGCGAGGTGGCGCCCTGGTTCCGGCGGATCGTGGCGTGCGGCATCAAGGGGCGCGGCATGACTAGTATTGAGGAGCAGTTGGAGGACGAGGGGAAGGATGCGCGGGAGGTGAGCGTGAAGGAGGTCATGCCGAAAGCTGTTCAGGCGCTGGGGCAGGCGCTGGGAAGGGAGATGGTAGAGGCAGGCGAGGAGCTGCTCAGGTACGAGGGAGACGAACGAGGGGTATTGAGCAGGGTCTGGGTCAAGGGAGAAGAGGTGACTGTGCCGACGGAGCCGTAACCAAGGTGCGGGGGCCAAGGGCAATGATATCCGGATGCATGCTGCGTCGACGAGGATATGGCAGCAGCGAGGCCGGAAACCAGGAGTGGAGCTCAATGAGAGCCTGTCTGCCGCCGCGTGCTAGTGGCCTGACGTTGTAGGCGCGGCGGACGGATCAAGTCTTTGCGCCGATGCTCAGCCAAGAGAGCTTGAGGCCCTCCTGCTCGCGGCGGCTGGCGGATGCTGAGTGCGCCGAAGGCGGATGTCCGTCAGCCCTCGATCCTCGCGGACGCTCGTCAGAGCAAACGCGGTGCAGAGCCACAGCGGCTGAGGCCCAATCTCGCTGGGCGCGTGCTGACAGCGAGATCAAGTTCGACGAGCCAGTCGTCGAGGTTCTTGCCCTCCTAACCATCACTCCCATCTCCTCGTGCCCCACTTCCTCTCCTCATCACCCTCCCCTACCCCTCAACTCGCTCGCTCCTCCTGTACCATCACCGACTCAGCACTGCCTCGCTCCGCCCTCTCCTCCTCGATTCATCTCACAGACGTCGCACACCACCTCGTCGGCTGTCCTGCCTCGTCATCACCCTGCCATCAACGCCTCCTCAAGCCGGTCATCCTTCGGACCTCTCCTCACGCGCGCACACACGTCCTCAGCTCCAGCTCCACGTCAAGCCATGGTGCTGGCCCGCAAGACTCTCCGCCGTCACGGCTCGCTCAAGAGCAAGACACTCGAGGCTTTGCGATTCATCAAGGTCACGGTGGCGTCGCCCTCCCTGATCGCCTCGCCTCTCCGTCCGAGGAGCCAATACCGTCAAGCTAGCTTCGCTCAGCGCCTCACCACCAGTGCATCAAGCTTCTCGCGTGTGTGCCAGCCGGCGCGTGCATCCTCGTCACCACCTTCGCCTCCTCGATCCTCTTCCCTTCAAACTTGTTGCACGCTCCTCGGCACCTCGTCACGCATCACGGCTAAGCTCATCAAGTGGCAGCTCGCACCCCTCAGCACCCCACGCTGCTGGGCCCACGTTGCGATCATACTTCTAGTGCCAGGCAATCTCGCTCAATGCTACCACGTCAAGCCTGCGCGTCCCCTTACCTGGCTACATGCAAGTCGCAAACGGTCCCACTCGCCAAGTCATTGCTGCCTCTAGTCGGCCATGACTGTCAGTCCACGACCTCGACATACAGGCACTCGGCACGGTCTTTTCGTACCACCTTCGAGCGATCATCTGGCCTTCTGACGATACATTTCCGTCAAGGCCTGCCAGACGAGACGAAACTGAGGGCTTCAGTGCTGGCTGCAAGACGTGGCTTGACGACCAGCTTGACTCTTCTTCCTTTCAGTCTCACCAACACTCGAAGCCAGCATGAGTGCCAGAGCTCCAGCTCGTCGCGACTACCAAGCCTGCTCTTCCTTGACACGCGATGGCAGAGACTACTCACTCATGCTGCGACGCCACGACGATGAGTCGGAGGCCAAAGTCATGGCAATGAGTGAGGTCGAATGGGGGAGGTGGTGGAATAAGTGAGTATTGCTGTGAGCGCCTAAGCCGCTGTTCCTGGCTTGCTGATCCTCCGATTCCCTTAACAGGATGGACCAGCGAAAGTTTCAAGCTGGTCAATCCATCGACAAGGATGAGGCGGTCGCAGTGGTCTGCCGCAATGAGAATGACCGGCTTCTCTACAATGGTCGTGACGGCGCCGTGCGGCCCCCTCTGACCTCGAAGGAGACGCCGGAGCAGGCGGCGGTGAGCAACCAATCAAAGTCGTTCTGTGGGATACAGCCAGGCTGACTCACATCACCCTTCTTCTCGCCCTCTCGTCACCGTAAGGCTCGTCGCGTGTCGGTCAAGTTGAGGCCCGGCGCCAGTGCCACCGAGATCAAGAGGTACCAGAAAAGGGCGCGAGAAGTGCGCTACAATGCTAATCCCAATGGGGCAAAGCGAAGTGACTACGAGCGCAAGATCGATCGAACGTCAGTATCCAGACACGACGCTGGCGTACGTGGCTCTAGTCGCCTGTTGACACTCACCATCCTGCCCTTCGTCCGCTTGCTTCTCGTGCGCTGACAGGTACAAGAAGACTGAGCCTGACCGCAAGCGGGCCATTGCTCGCATCAGGGCAACTCCATACGGCCACTTCTTTCCCCTCCTCGACAAGGTACCCCGCCCCCACTCCCCGCATCCATGCACATCCCCCCTCGAAGCGCCGCAAGACGAAGCATCCCAAGCGCGCGCAGGCACGGGAGAGGGAGGCGAGGGACAACGACATGGGCTGCGTGGTCGACAAGGGCAAAGCGGTCGAGTGCCTCATCAATCTTGAGAGGCATCGTCTGCTCTTCGTCGCTCGCGGTGGCGCAGTCATGCCCCCACTGCCGGAGGAGACGCCGGAGGAGGTCAAGGTGAGTGACCCATTCTGGCAGAGACCGAGACGAATTTGCCTCTGTGCTGGCTTGAAGTCGTCCCTGCTGATGGATCGCTGTCTTCTTCTCAGTCCACCACTACCTTCTTCCTCCTCGGTCCACCTCACTCTCTGCTCTCACCATGAACGCCAACTTTCGCGACATGAACGCCCCTGCTCTGCGCTCGTACGAGCCGCACTTCAATTTTCCATCGCAAGGGCCGCGACTACTCACGCCTCCTGCGACGCCACGACGACGAGAGTAAGGAGAAGGTGATGGGCTTAAATGACGAGGATTGGCAGACCTGGTGGAAGAAGTAGGTGCTCCCCCCGCACGTTTGACTCGCTGCTCGGCATGCTGACCTTTCGCGCACGCTGACCTTGCGCAGGATGGCGCAGCGGAGGTACGACATGGGCTGCGTTGTCGACCAGGGCAAAGCGGTCGACCGCCTCATCGATCTCGAGGTGCATCGTCTGCTCTTCGTCGCTCGGGGTGGTGCGGTGATGCCTCCACTGCCCAAGGAGACGCCGGAGGAGATCAGGGTGAGTGGCCCATTCTGGCAAAGACTGCAAGTAGCTGGCTGAACGACCCACTGACCCGCTCCCCTCTTCGCCTCTTAGGCACGTCGCGCTTCGATCAGGCCCAGCGAGGGGGCAAGCGCCGAGGAGATCCGGCTTCTACAGCGGGAGGCGCGAGAGAAGCGCTACGACAGCGCACCGAACGCCGCTGCCCGCCGGACCCATCAGCGCCTTGTCAACAAGGTGTGAGTAATCAGAGAAAGCACACATGACGCATCGTCTGCTGACACTCATCATACTATCCTGCTTCTTCGCCCGCACACAGGCAGAGGGAGAACCGTGGAGACGTCGCCTCCCTCAAAGCCCGTTACCGCAACACCCCGCTGGACGAGCTCTTCCCTCTCACCGCCGACAACATTCTTCCCCCTCCCTCTAAGCGGATGAGGAAGAGGCTCAGGAAGCAGGCGAGGCGCAGGGAGACGAGGGCAGTGGCGATGGCGGAGGCGATGGCGGAGGCGGCCTTCTGGCCTGTGGGCACCACGGTGGAGGAGGTGGAGCGGCTGCGCTGGGACCCAGACGCTCCTCGTCCGCCGCGTGTAGACCCCGCTGAGGGGTTCAACATCAGGCGCAGGGCGGCCAGGGCGGCCAGGGAGGGGCAGGTGGTGCTGGGCGACGGGGACGATGGACTCGTCGCGCCGACCCTACAGTATCTCTGCACGCTAACATCCCCCAGCATATAGTACGGCATCGAAGTGCCAACGTACAATGGGGAAGCGTGAAAGTAGGCCGGCACATTACCATCTTATGTATGGTAATGAGACGAGTTAAGCATAACGGCGCCTTCCATAGAACTTGGCCGCTGTAGTAATAAGATATCGATATCCTCCTCTTCCTCTACGCCGGTCAACGCTTGCTCGTAGCAGCAGCATACTAGTGGAAGCGTGTGACAGTAGCGGACTCCCTGAGCTCGACGTGGTGACTGCGAGAACTACCCGTCCTCAACCTCAGTCCTCAACATGCCTCTCTCTATGTGTGTGTGTGTGTGTGTGTGTGTGTGTGTGTGTGCGTGTTGCGTCTTCTGCCTTCGAGCCGCAGCTACGGTAGCGGAGGAGCGGTGGCGGAGGAGCGGTAGCGGTAGCGCCGTAAGGATGATTTGTCTGCTTGTCGCACTCGTCAGCCAGCTATGTCGTACGCGCACGTGTGGCCAGCAAGGGTGGTGAGCGGGCCTCACAATAGCAGAGCGCGACTCCTTCATCCCACTCCGAGTAGCTGAATTGGCGCAAACTCGTCATCAATCGAGGATTGGCCGGATCGATGCACGTCAGTCGGAGGCAGGGAGGAAGGGGGGAGGTAAGACGATGAACGACGTGCATCGAGGCAGGGTGAGGTTCGACTCGATCCAGAGCCGGCTTCCTGGCTCTTGTTGACTTTCATTATAGGCTGGCCGCCACCGTGGTCGCACGCTTCGAGGTGCAGTCGATGCGTCTGGCCTCTCCGCGAGCACGGCCATGATGGTGACGCCGGCAACATCACTTGAATTCGCCCCGCTGTGATCCATCTGCGCGTGGACTGAAGATTCTTCCGTGACGAGGTGCATCGGCGAGCGCTCCGCGCAGTCAGGCACGGCCGTGCGGTTGATGACATTGGAGGGCTCCGATGCTCGCGGCCAGTCGCCAGGGCAAAGGCGACACGCGCGACCAAATCGCGACCAGCGGCCGCTGAGCATCTTCACTTCCTTTCCATCACTCCATCTCTCTCCATCTCCACTCTCTACCCCTGCTATCACTCCTCGGCACTCTCGACACGACTCTCAATCATCTCCTGCCCCTACGTTCACCATGCGCTTCGCATCCCCCGCAAGCTCTGCTACCAAGTAGCCTCGTACCCCCTCACCGTCATACCGCCCGGCTCTCGTTCAACCAGCGCGTCGCGTCGCCCACGTGGCAGCGGCGGCTCAGTCCGTCCAACTGGACCAGACCGACTCTGGTCGCCTTCATCCTCATCCTCTCTCTCTACCCTTCAATCCTAGCCACCATGGCTTCACTAGCACGAGCACCGTCGCATCCATCACGGCCAGCAGACGCTGCGGAAGCGGCTCTTCTACTCAGTCATCAGCGCCCTCAGTCGGCAGTCACCACTTAAGCCACCTCAGCTCGGGCTCAGCAGTCAATGCCGTCGTCATCTTGCTCATCAGCCTCCATCATAGTCACTCAGGCTCCTCACGAATGTGTCTACGGCAGCGACAGCAAGAGTTCAGCGACACACGACGTCACGAGCATTGACGCTCGCGAGGCGGCAGCGCCCCTCGCATGTCCCCTTGGCCGGACCAAGGCTTCAAACAGGTCTACTAGGCATCCTCGTCACCGATAACGGCAACGCCATCCTGGGCTCTACCTCCATCGCGGAGTCTTGCACCAGCACCTTTGCCCACGGGTAGGCAACGGCACAATCCATCTTGCGTCGCTCTCATCCCGCGAAGCCTGCTACGCCGACTCAGCACGCGTGCACTCCAGTGGATGAAGTCGTCAACCCAATCGACTCTAGTCGTCCGTACACATCAACGTGCACCGAATAGGAGCCAGAGCCAACTCGTCACCGTCGGTTGGCTCTCTTCAGGCAAGTGAGGGTCACGAGTTGAATCGCCACCGGCCCTTTCCTCTCTCACTCGTCAAGCCCATTGAGGTGGAGCTTCGATGGCGACAGTGCACCAACCCGCAAGCCCGCACCAACGACCAGACGACGTGAGGCTGCCTCGGTGCTGGCTGGCAGGCGTGCTTGACGACCAACTGCAGTCGTCTTTCCTCTTCCTTCCCATACCACTCACACCGATTAAAATCATGAACGCACCTCAGACTCGAAACTACCGCAAGCAATTCGAGCTGATTCGCGAGGGCCGCGACTTCTCGCGGCTCATGCACCTTCCCGGCGACTTCTCAGAGGAGTTCGTAATGGCAATGACCGACGAGAAATGGGGGCAGTGGTACAAGAGGTGAGCCTCGTTGCGCATGGCGAAGCCGCTGCTCATGACCGTCCAGCTTGCTGACCTTTCCACTCCATTCGCAGGATGGCCCAGCGAAGGACCACCATCTATACCAGGATCAAGAAGGGGGGAAAGGAGGTCAACCAACAGGAGGCCCGCAAGCAGCTGCTCCAGTACGAGCAGAGCTTCCTTTTGGCGGAGACATCAACGTGCACCGAATAGGAGCCAGAGCCAATTCGTCACCGTCGGTTGACTCTCTCTCCAGGCAAGTGACGGTCACGAGACGGATCGTCACCGGCCCTTTCCTCTCGCACTCGTCAAGCTCATCGAGGTGGAGCTCCGATAGCGGCAGTGCACCAAACCACAAGTCCGCACGAACCACCAGACGATGCTCAGCTGCCTCAGGCCTGGCTTCGAGACGTGCTCGACTACCACCATCCTGAATCCTCTTTCTTTCGCCCTTCCTACCACTACTCTCCCTCACTGAAAATCCTCACTTCCTCACCGAAAATGGTCTCCGCTCCCCAGCAGCGCAACTATGCGCAGCTTTTCGAGCTCAAAATCGAGGGGCGCGACTTTTCTCGTCTCATGTGGCTGCCTGGAGACGAGACGGAGGATGTCGTCATGGCCATGAACACCGAGAAATGGGACAAGTGGTGGAAGAAGTAAGTTTCGTTCCGGACGCCTCGTTCACCGCTCCTTCTTGGCTGACTGACCTTGCGGCGATCCCCACCGACAGAATGACGCAGCGCAAGTACGCGCTAGGGGCCAAGATCAAAAAGGGTCGGGAGGCGGCCGCGCGCAAGCTCCTCATCGACTACGAGAGCAAGTTCATCTCGGCCGATTCTCGTGATGGGAGTGTGGCGCCTGCAATGAGGCAGGAGACGGAGGAGGAGGTGGCGGTGAGCACCCGTACCCCAGCCAGAACTCTAGCTAGCACACTCGCTGACTCGCAACGGTCCCCCACCCCCACCCCAGCCCCTCATCACCTCTCATCATCGCTAGACCCATCGAGCCAGCGTCGTTGTCCCGGAGGGAGCAACGAAAGACGAGATCAAGCGGGCACACGCGGACGCCCGCAAGGTCCGCTACCGCGAGGAGGAGGGCCTCGAGGAGCGGAGGAACCGCAAGAAGGAGACGGACAGGACGTCAGTAGACCGACGTGGCGCTACCTCTCATCATGTCGTCCGCTGACACTCATCAACCCGTTGATCGTCCGCCTACAGGTTGAAGGCGAGCCAGGCTGCCATCAACAACCTGGCAGCGCGCATCAACGACGCGCCCTTTGACGACCTGTTCCCTCGTGTTGCGGCCGGCGCCTCCGCCTCCTCCTCCTCCTCCTCCTCCTCCTCCTCCTCCTCCTCCCGTCGCCTCACTCCCGCCTCCTCGTCATCGGCCGGCGCCTCCTCCCGTCGCCTCCCTCCCGCCTCCTCCTCCTCCTCCTCGGCCGGTGCATCGTCCGGTGGTCCCTCGACCCTCCCCGCCGCCAACAACAATCTCCTCCCTCCCCCGTCCAAGCGGTTCAATACGGACAATCTCTCTTTTCGGGAGAAGAGGGAGAGGGCATGGGCGGCCACCATCGACCACTCGGACTTCTGGCCGAGGGGTACGACCGCAGAGGAGATCGACAAGCTGGGCTGGAAGAGCGAAGGCCCTCGCCCGCCTCTGTTCGCGGCGGGCAAGGCGTGGAACGCGAGGCGTATGGAGGAGTCGGCGCAGCAGGCGGCCCAGGGTGGAAGGATGCAGATCAAAAAGGAGGATCTGGAGGACGGTGGGGACCTTTTGCGTCTACGTGACGGCGACAAACTCAGCGCTAACAGCCTCAAGCTTATGATTTGGCATCAAAGGATAAGCAACTGGGGAAGCGTGAAACTGGGCCAGCGAGGCCGGCTCGTTACCATTTGAAAGTGGTAACGAGCGAAACATAGCGGCGCCTTCCATAGAAACTGGCTGCTGTACTATATCTTCTCCTCGTTAGTTAATCTGAGCTTGCTGGCTATAATCGACGTAGCAGTAGCGGCACTGAGAGCGTTTGGCAGCAGCGGACTCCCTTTGATCGAGATGCGCTCGACGTGTTGGCTCTCACACTACTCTGCCTCGGTTGTTGCTCGATATTCCTGCGTGGCATGTCACGTCGTCTGAGCCGCACTCCATACAGAAGAGCGACGGTTGAGCGTCAAAGACGTGCTCGTCAGCTGACTATGACCTACGAGTGCGGCCAGCGAGGATGGCCAGCCTTCGCCTTCGACTAGCAAAGCACGGCTCGCTCGTTCCAAGGGGAGTGACTGGCGCGATATCGTGGTCGGTTGAGGATCGGCTGCATCGAGGCACGCGTCAAAGGTAGAAGGGGTGAAGGGAGCCGCAAGAGGTTGGACGAGTCGCAAGGTCAGGTCGCCGGACGAGGTGATACTCGAGACTCCATGAGCAGTTCTGCGATGCTCGTACGGGACTTGACAGTATGATGATACTGATACTGATACTGATCAGGAAGGCACGGCACTCCAGGCGGTGGACTTGTTGCAAATGATGCCCTTACGGCTTCGACGCCCAGCGCTTAGATGAGGCAGAGATGCGAGTCGGCATGGCTCTGACGGGAGCGTGGGATGGCTGTGATGATGCGAGGAGGGGCTCCTCTGCGCTGACCGCTGGCTGATCTGTCCGGAGGAGAGAAGGAAGTCTGGTGGAATGGACTGAGTACCGCAGGCGGACAGACGGGTGCTCAGCGGATCGTACGGGATGTAGAGCACCTCAAATTGATTCTGACAGCTGGAGAAGGACGCACAGAGCAAATTCGTGGTGATTCAGACCTGGTCTGTCGTCATCTGGTGATGCAACACCGCAAGGGGTACATATACCGGTGCAAACTGCGGCACTCCTCATCACAATAACAACACCAGCTCGCTTAGCTCAGCGGCAGAGCGCGTCACTAGTACGCACAGCGTGATGACGAGGTCACTAGTTCAATTCTGGTAGCGAGCAGAGTCCTACGGGGTCTACAGGCCTTGTAGGAGCTTCCCTTTTGCCGTAGACGGGGTTTGACGCGCGCGTCGTTCTTCGCTGCACCTCAGCCCTGCCGCGCGCTCGATGACTCCACATGCACTTCTCTGAGGTCGCTGGGCTGACGAGGGTGCCCTTGAGACAGTTGTGAAGCTTCACAGCTCCTGCCACGTCGGGCCATCGCAGCTACGGCCGATCACGGGGGCCTCGACGACGACGAGGCGTCGTCCTGCCCAAGCCGGCACCACTCCGCGAAAAGCGCCCGAATCAACCGTTTTCAACAGCGCCCGACACGATGAGATGCTTCTTCTCAAGCGTTAAGCATTACCAACTTCATCAGTGACGTCCTGAAGAATGCTCCCGACTTGATGATAATTCCTGTCTCGGGGCGCGGCTTCAGTCTGGCCTCAGTTCTTCCTGCCGATTCACGCTCCGCTCCCGTGTCTCACCCGCTAGCGCCGATCTAGATTAGGGCGACTGCCACGTGGTTCTGTCCGGTCCGCGCCCCGCGAGCCTCGTTGGTCACGGCTGTGTGACATGGTCATGGGCTCATTCAGCGCTGAGCACTTGAGCAGGCTGGTCTGAGATGAAGCCTCGCCCTCGTAAAGCGGCCAGTGCTTGGCGGCGATAAGAACTTTTTGCACTCTCTTAGCGGAGATCGACGCTCGCACGATTCGCTCAAGGGCAGCGCCATGTTGCGCCATGAGGTGACGAGACACAATGGTCTCAGGATAAGCCCAGCCCGCGGTACGCGACGTATCTCTTCTCACTGAAGGCTCGCTGGCCCCCTTGCGGATCGAGCTTCAGCCTCTGTTGCAGGTACAAGCACGAGCGTCGTGCTGGACATGTACAGTACCTGGTCTCACCAGCAGGGAAAAGGCTAGCCATGATGCCGGTCAAGGGGATACGATCAGATGAAGCAAGAGAATTTGAGCATGATTGGTCATTCTACATGGCCACGCATCATAGTCCAGGTCCCTTCTGCTTGCCCTCTGTACGAATCACTAGCTTCTTGCTGTTACTCCTCCATGGCCTCCTCCGCCTCCCTCAGCTCGTCGAAGGCCGCCTGTTTCCTGTTCTCCACAGCGGCCTTGGCCTTGCGGAACGCCTCCTCCGAGCCTTCGCTGATGCTTACAGGCTGTCGAGGCTCCGTACTCGTCGTCGCTTCGGGCAAGAAATCGGCCTCAGCCTTTTCCTCAGCCACCTTCCACCAGCGCACCAGCTCCCGGGCCCTGAGCAGCCTGTACGCCTTGCGACTTGCCGCTTTGTCTTCCTCCTCTGCGGCGAGAACGTCTTCCCAAGGCCAGCCGAGGTGGATATCGCGCACGGTGCGCTTGCGCTCTATCATCCTGTGCGCTCAGAAACAGGCGAGGTACGGAGGTTAGTGACCGTCAGGAAGCGTGCTGCTTCTCGTTGGCGGCTCACTTCTCAGAAACCGTGCGGTACTCTTCGAAAGTCATCTCGTTGACATCAGCTTCGCTGGGGTCGTCGAGTCGACGGATCAAGTGCGAGATGTCTTGACCATCTTTGTCCATGAACCTGAACAAGATCTCGTAGGGTGTCATCTTTGCAAGGCTTCAAGGAGGGCGGGCCTATTCTGACGAGTGGGTGGTCGAGAAGCAAGCAGTCTCACCAGCCCCTCCCCTTTGTATGCCAGCTCGTGGTTCGAGTGCGGGCGGCCGGATGAGGGTGAGTCATGTGTTGCTTTGCTCTGCTTTCAGGGCCGATCACTTCTGGCCAATTCGTTCTGCCGGCGTAAGGACCGCTCGCGCAGGTTTACTCGTACTCAGCGTGTCGGGTGAATCCTCATCACCACCCGAGCTTCAGTCGGCCTATCGAAACGCCGATGGTGGGCTTCACATGGCGATGAGACGTAATGCGGTGGCCGAGTGAGCCCATCTCGCAGCATGCGAGGCGTCGCTCTCGCTTGCTCCCCCTTCAAGATCAGCGATCCCCGCCGCAGTCGGCGGATGACTTGCAGGAAAGCAAAGTCGTCATAGCGTAGCAAGGAAGGGCTATGGCCGATCAAGGCGCTGGCAGGGGCAGCCATGATGATGCTGATGACGAAGACGATGTTTTTCAGAAGAGCGAGAGGAAAGATGATCGAACGATCTACATGATACCGCCTCGCCTATCCCTTGAATTGCCTTTTCTCCTAGGACCCCTTCTCAAGGCCCGCCTCCTGGAAAGCGGCCTGAGCCTCCGTCAGTTCCTCGTACACTGCCTTCCTCCTGTCATCGAAGGCCTTCATCATGAGCTCGCATGCCTCGCTCGCTCTGCTACTGACGCGGGTGGTTGATAGAGCAGGGTCTTTGCGCGGGCCGGGCAGGAAGTCGGCCTGCGTCGCAGCATCGCTCTCCTCCTGCTCGCGAGCTGCCTCCTCAGCAGCGAGCAGCCGCGTCACCAGGCGACCAAGCGTCTTGTCCTCGTCATGTGCGGCCTTGATGTCCGTAGAAGACCAGCCTAGGACGTGGCGCGCGGTGCTCTTGCGCTCCATCATCCTGCGCACAGAGAAAGGAGAAAGGTTGCGGATCAGCGACAGTGGTCGTTGAAGGCCTCTCCTTCCTCGTGTGCACTCGACCCACTTTTTAAAGATAGCTTTCCACTGTTTCAGCGTCATGTTTCCAACCGCCTCCTCGCTGGGGTCGCCGGACTGGCGAATCAGATGAGAGGCGTCATTGCCCTCCTTATCCTTAAAAGTGAACAGGATATCGTAGGGCGTCATCGTGCTTTCAGGTTGGAAAGCCGTCGAATTTGATCGGTAGCGTGTCGCGCGAGTGGTAGAGAGGCAAAGAGCAGCCTGGACGGTCATCAGCTTGTATGTTAGCTCAGCGGCGGCTGAGCGAAAAAGGATCATCCTTTCGTTTGCTCTCAGGGCAAAACGCATCTGCCATGCCGTTTCGTGCCTGCACCTTGCGCACTCGTATCTCTCCCTCGCGGCGAAGTTGCTCTCGCCCGCACTCCCGCGGGCGCGCCGCTCAACGCGACGTGCGACACGGAAGTGGGACGAGGCAGGCGCGGACAAGCTGCGATTCGCTCCTCTACACTCAATCATTACTTCTCGAATCGCGACGCTGCCTCTGGCCGGGCTTGCTCGATCTTCTCGCCACCATGGCGCATCCCTCGACGCAATCGTCTGCGGACGATGCCTTCATGGCAGATCTTCTGAAGGACGTTGACCAAGCTGCAGCTCCCGCCTCTCAATCTCCCTCGACGCGTCCTCCTCCCTCATCCTTTGCGACCGCCTTTCGATCAAAGCAGCCGCCGAGACAGCCTTCGCTCAGCCAGATCTCGCAGAGCCTATTTGCGAAGCCGAAAACGCCGCGCCCACCGCCACAGCCGTCGAGCTCAGCAACGGGGAACGCGGCGGCCGGCCCTTCAAGGCAGACTGCCCCGTTCTCGAGAGGCTCGCAGGCGACGCGTGCACCGATCCGCTCTCAGTCGGCTCAATCCCCTCTGCGTGCCATCAAGACGGAGCCTGCTAGCAATTCAGCCCTCAGCGATGCGTCCTTCGCGGTAGACGACGACTGGTTGGCCGATTTGGACGACAAGGAGCTGATGGCCCCGATCGTCAAGCCTGAGCCTAGCGCGACGGCGAGTGCGACTGCGGTGCGCCCACCAGGGCAGAACCTACGCGGCTCTAGCTTGGTCAAGCAGGCAAGTCGAACGCAAAGCAAGCTATGGGCGCAGCGCGCAAAGCAAGAGAAGGTGAGCTGCGACGCGCGACGCGCGACGCTCGAGGCTTGAGATCGAATCAGAGCTGACCCGACCCCTCTTGCAGTCTGCCCACCGCATTCACCGCTCCTACATACGCTGCCGCGTACTCTCTGTCCGCGAGACGACGTACGAATACCAACTCCCCAACTCGGATCGTGTCTCGGAGCGCCCGCAGAAGATCCTGCTCTGTATGGAGCGTCCTCGTCGAGGTGCGCAGTATCACGAAGACAAGGCGGCCGAGGGTGAACCGCCCCTCGCCTCGTGGGATGGGAGGTCAGAGGCCAAGAAGCGCAAAGTTGTACTGCGAGAAGAGTGGACTGCGACGAGAGTCAAGGCGGGTGACTACATTCATTGCGTTGGGAATTGGGATGACGAGACTGCGAGCTTTGAGGATGAGGCCGAGGTGCGACGCTGCGATGAGCAGGAGGCAAAAGATCGGGAGGCCAGGGACGCCAGGTACGAGGGCAGGGAACCCAAGCTCGACGCGCACCATGCGGAGGAGGAAGATCTGCCGCCATCCTCCTTCGACTCTAGCGCAGGCCTTTTCGATGACATAGACGAGGAGGCATTGCTTGCCCCACGCCCGACCATCGCCACGATGTACCTCGAGTCTTCCTCTCCCCTCTCCACGTCACGCCACGCCGACAACCTCCTCGTCCTCCACCCAGACACCCTCGTCACAGCGACGGCAGTCTGCGATGTCCCCACGTGCGTCCGCAAGCCGCTGGTCAAGCAGCGCGTCCACGGCACGGGTGCGGTAGACCACATGGGCGAGGCGATTGTGATGGGCAACATGCTGCACGAGGTCTTGCAGGCTTGTTTGACGGGCATGGGCTTAGAGCCAGACGAGCACACGCGCGATCACGTCCCGGAGTACGACTCGCAGGAGGCTCTGGCGCCGTACATGGACATGCCTTTCCCCGTGACGTGGTACGGACCGGGGCGTACCAACTTCTCCCTGTCGTTCGTCCTCAAGCAGGTGCGACTTCAAGTCTTGAACAATCTCGCCGGCCTGCTCTGCTGCAACATCGAGACGTCAGCGGGCATGGAGAAGCTGTTGGATCTCTGCCGACCGTTTGGCGAGTTTGCGCGGCGTTACTTGGAGGACACGCTGGCTGCGAATCGAGCCGATCTGACCGGCGAGCAGTTTCAGGGGTGAGCCGGCGAGTACCGCGATAGCGGCGTAGACCAAGCTGACCTCGCGCCCTCGCGCCCTCGCGCACGCGCAGCTTGTTCCGCGGCATGGACGGAGCTCTCGACATGGCCGGCATGTTCAAGGACGACGCAATCCTGCTCGACGCTCGCAGCGCAGTGCCCACGCTAGCCCGAGTCACGCACGTCTTTGATGTAGAGGAGTGAGTGGCGCGCGCGCTGACAGCGGGTGCGAGGTTGATCACTGACGGTCGCCTCGCCGGCACAGAGAAATTTGGTCCCCCATGTACGGCCTGAAGGGCAAGATGGACGTCAGCGTCGAAGTCGAGATCCAGGAGACGCACGCAGGACGAACCATCGACCACGTCCCGCAAACGTCATTCTACCGACGCTCGCATTCTGCCCCGCAAGCGCCCGCACAACGCAAGGAGCGCTCCGTCTCCATCATGCCCATGGAGATCAAGACGGGTCGGTCAGTGGACGTCCTCGAGCACCGCGCGCAGACGATGCTGTACACTCTCATCATGAGCGATCGCTACGGCACCGACGTCAAGTCTGGCCTCCTCTACTACTCACGCAGCGGCGACATGCATCGCGTTCGCCGTACCCGCAACGAGGTGCGCGGTCTCATCGTCGGCCGCAACGAGCTCGCATACTGGATTCGACATAACGCCGCGAGCGAGGATGTTGACGAAGACGGACGCTACATCAGGCCAGACGAGCAGCAGGATGTAGTCCTCGGACAGGCCCTTGAGAATCCTGATCGCAACACGGTGCTGCCGCCGACGATCGACAATGAGCGCCAATGCGGGCGCTGCTTTGCTCAAGACGGCTGCATGCTGTACCGCAAGGCCGTCGATCGGGTTGTCGAGGATCCCGACGCTCCCAGCGAGATTGCGGTGCAGTACGACCAGCTCACTTCTCACCTCACGCCGGCGCACCTTGCCTTTTACGCCAAGTGGGAGCGACTGCTCAGTCTGGAGGAAGAGTGGGTAGCGCCGAGTTCCACTTGCATCCAACCCCGCTAACCTCTGCTCCTGGACCCGCACAGGGACGTCGTCAAGTTCAAGCGCGAGCTTTGGACGCTCACTGCCGCAGCTCGCGAGGAGGTAGGCCGCTGCTTCGCCAACATGCTCATCGAGCCAAACCCAATCGACTTTGGTCTTGGCGGCTCGAGCGGGGACATGCACGCCTACACCTACCGCTTCACTCGCAAGCCAGCGCTAGGATCGCCCGGCCAGTCCCTCCTCGGCGGCTCGCTCACCCCAGGCGACCCCATCGTTGTCAGCATCGAGCCTCACACATTCTCCGTCGCACACGGCTACATCGTCGACATCACCAGCACGTCCGTGATTGCAGGCCTGGACCACCACTTGGACGCCATCATCGAGCGCATCGCGATTGAGCAGGGCCAGCCAGCTACCGTAGACAAGCTCGACCTCACGTTCCGCATCGACCGCGACGAGTATTCGGACGGCATGGCCAAGATCCGCTTCCAGCTTTCGCGCCTCTTCTGGTCGACGACGCAGCGTGACCAGCGTCATCGCGAGCTCATCGTCGATCTGGCGCCGCCACGATACGGCAACACCGAGTACGGAGCGGTTGACCGACTGCCCGCCCACCTCAACGACGATCAGCGCGCTGCTATGCGCAAGGTCCTGGCATCCGAGGACTACACTCTCATACTCGGCATGCCCGGCACAGGAAAGACGACGACCATCGCCGAACTCATCAAGCTCCTCACCTCACGCGGCAAGACGATCCTCTTGGCTAGCTACACGCACTCTGCCGTTGATACCATCCTGCGCAAGCTTGTTGGCGTGGAAGGGGTGCGTCTCCTGCGTCTCGGCAACGCGGATCGCGTCCACCCCGACATCCAATCGTGCACGCTCCCGCCCACTACAACCGTCGAAGAGCTAGACGATGTCATCAACACGCCCAACGTCGTGGGCACCACCTGCCTGTCAACAGGCCACGCCACTTTCGCTCGCCGCAAGTTCGACTATTGTATCGTAGACGAGGCCAGTCAGATCACTTTGCCCTCCTGCCTAGGCCCTATGCGCTTCGCCGACAAGTTCGTCCTCGTCGGCGACCACTTCCAGCTGCCGCCACTCGTACGCAATCCAATTGCCAAGGATCAAGGCCTAGACGTCAGCCTGTTCAAGCGACTTAGCGACGCACACGCAGACTCGACGGTCTACCTGACGCGACAGTACCGCATGAACGAAAGCATCATGAAGATCAGCAACCACCTCATCTATCAAGGGCTGCTGAAGTGTGGTAGCGACGCGGTGGCGAAGCAGGTCCTCGACGTCCCCACGAAACAGGCCGCCCTCGACGAAGTGCACTCGGCGTCCACCTGCAAGCAGGACTGCTGGCTCGAGAGCCTCCTCAACCCACAACGCCAGGCCGTCTTCGTCGACACCGATGCTGTGCCCGGCCACGAGTCGCGCCGTGGCCGAATGGTGCAGAACGACGTCGAGGCCGGTATCCTCCAACAGCTCGCTCGTACTCTGGTCCTAGCTGGCGTTGCGCCATCAGACATCGCCGTCATCACGCCGTACCGTCAGCAGCTCAAGCTCCTGCAGCGTCTCCTCCTCGTACCCAAGACGAGCCAGGAGATTCACGCCAACAGCCGGCGTCGTCGCACTGCTGCGGAGATTAAACGCGACGTCTCTGGTCGCTCCACGTCGGGAGAGGACATCGAGATCCTGACGGCTGACCGTTCGCAAGGTCGTGACAAGCCCGTCGTCCTGCTCTCACTCGTTCGATCAAACGACCTGGGGCAACGCGGCATCGGCGAGCTGCTCAACGACTGGCGTCGCATCAACGTCGCTCTCACGCGAGCCCAGCGAAAGGTAGTCATTGTCGGGTCGCGCAAGACTCTGAGCGCGGCGCCACTGTTGCAAGACTTCTTCACGCTCATGGACGAGGAGAAGTGGGTTTGCAAGCTGCCTCGTGGAGCATTGCTGCTTCACCCAGCTGCGGCCAAGGAGCCCGGCGCCAAGAGCCCAAAACGCGAGATGGCCGTCAAGCAAGAGAAGGCGACGTCACCGCCTCTTCCTGCCGCCGAGGGCTTCGTGTCTGCCTCTGCGGAGCGCAAGGCCCTCGATGAGATGCAACCCCTCTCCCAGACGAGCAACAACTCTGCTGCCAAGCAAGAGGAAGACGACATCGACGACATCGAGGACTTTGCCATCGTCTCGACCAACATGAAGAAGCGGGCGAGTCCCGTGGCCTCGACGTCATTGGGCAAGCGCAAGGAGCGAACGTCTGCCCACTCGTCTCAAGTTTCGGCATCACCACCCGTCGCCTCGGGATCGAAGACTACTTTTGGTACCAAGTTTGGGCCGCGCAAGTAAGCGCGCTGAGCACGAGACCTTTCATCTCTTTTGCGACCGTCTACATCACGTCTACTTCGCTACTGCTTCTTGACGAGTTTACTAATGCATCTTTTTACGAAATTATCTTGTCAAAAGCAAGCCGCCGTGTGAGCAGCTCGTCTGCCGAGCATGCTACGGTGAGCGCGAGCGCGTGCGTCTGCTGGCGGGCAGCGCTCGAACCTAGGCGGACAACACCGTCTCGACCTCCTCGCTCCTCAAGCGCTCGCCGCAGAGCACGATGCGTACCACGCCTCAGCACGTCGCTGATTGCGAGCTCGCTCTTCACTCCACACAGTCGTGGCTCACGATGGAAAAGATAGCAAGCAAGGATAGTCATTCACAACAACACGATGTTCCTCATCTCTCCACACCCTACGACCGGCCCAATCTCCCTGGTAACACGCCGATGACGTTGAGGCTGTACCAATTATACAGACTGAGCGTGATGGGCGTGTTACCAGGAAGATCGTGCTCGGCAGGGTTCCACACCTTTCCCCTCGTGTCCACCCGCTTGCCCTCGAGCATCTTGATCAGCGTCTGGCGCTGATAGACCTCGAACGTTGCTGTGCCTGCGCTGTCCACGTACGCCCAAACCACAAGTGTGGCGGGCGAGCGCCGCAGGACCCAGGCTGAGGCGCAAGGGTCAGGGAGAGGGTCAGCGCTATCCACGCTCGTCTGTCCGAGTCAGAGTCAAGCTCACCAAACGACTGCTTGTCGCATGCCAAGCAGTCTGCGCCGAGCAAGATGATTGCTCGAGCGCGGCCCAACAGAGGAAGCGACGGTTGCCACAGGCGGTGCCCTATCTGGCCCGACGTCCTGTCTTTGACCAAGCCGGCGATCGCGCTCCCCGTTCGCCATTCAACCGCAACTTTGGGCTTTTGACCCTTGGATGCGCTTTCAATGGCCTTCCAGTTCTGACCCATGAGCTTTAGAGCGGCCCTTTTGAGACCCTCCTTATCGGCCTTCTTAAGGCCGTCCCAACCTGACCACCGGGCCATACAGGCGATTATGTCGGGGTGTGCCGAGTGGCCGAAGAGCGTGCCTTCTGGCTCTCGGTCCGCAAAGGTGTTGGCCGCCTTCATCGCATCATGGCATGGTGGGAGTATCTGGCGAGGATGAGGAGCGCGTGAGTCGTCAGCGACGTGTTCGTTGCTCTCGTCTCGCCGCCCTATGCTCTCCACTCACCCAGACCATCTGTCATTGCCACCATGAGGTCGGGGCCAGACTCGTGATCAAAGTCTGTGTCGATAGCCTCAACGTGTGCGAATTGGTCGGCGCAGCAAGGTGCTGATTGGCAGAGAGGGCATGTCGCTTGTCGGGTATGTCGCCAACGCGCAGTCGCCTTGGTTCGCTTGCGGGCCTCGTCCCGTAAACACTGCGCTTGTGATTCGCTACAGCTCTACGACGGAGTCTTTGGCCGAGTTGTGGTTCGACTTGATCGAGGGATACCACGTAGTGACGATGTTGGCTGGGCGAAGTGGGTATACAGCATCATCCTACACCATGATGAGCGGGTGAGAGCTCATCGTGGGGAGGAGAGCGTGGAGGAGAGTGGGAGGAGGAGAGAAGAGGCGGAGGAGGATGCTGGACGAGGAGGGGGGGGGGAAAAGGGCGCCCTCTTATCCCCTCTCGCCTCCCCTTCGTCGAGGACAAAGAGGGACTGCCGGACCGAGTGTGGACGTTGTGCAAGCTCTACGCTTGCCTTGACGACGTTCTACGTTGGAACGTTCTCGCCCGTGCCGTCTCGCCCGGAAGTGATTGGATGCTTGGCGTCCTCTCGATCCGCTTCGCCATTGCGCTCGCTCATCGGCTCGCTCGTCCCGCACGACGAGCAGTTGATTAGGTCGCGCTGCGGAAAGCTGCAGGAGGTGAAGCAGTAGACGATGGATGAGTTCACCGGGGAGCAGGCGCAAACACCACCGTACAAAGCAAGGAGTCAGCCAGACTGCGGGTAAATGGTATCCTCGGCGTAGTCAGCTCGCTCGGCTTCTCATCTCCGCGCCCGCTGCTCAGACGAGGGCCAGCGTCGAGTGGCTGATTATCACGGAAGCGATGTCCGATGGGCTTGAGGGGTTGTTGCGACTCGCGTTCTTGTGAATGCTTTGGCGTCAACGATCGAGCGAGGCGAGCGAGGCGAGGTGAGCCGTGATCATCATCTTCGCGGGCAGGCGGGCGGGCAGGCGCGCCTGCTCGTTGTGCCACGCGAGCGGCATGTCGGGTCGAAGAATTTCACTCCAGTCCGCCTCTTGAGCGCTGCTGCCTTTCCTTCAATTCACCTGACGCATACAAGCCCTCCTCATCACCATCATCATGGCAACAGAAGCAGAGGCGTCGACCTCAAAGCAGGCCATGGCCGCCTCCGACTCGGGGGATGGAAAAGAGATGCAACTCACCCTGCCCTCTGCCACTCCCACCTCGGAGTTGCCCACCTTTGCCTCGATGTCCCACCTCCTCTCGCCTCCCATCCTCGTCGCCCTCTCCTCTCTGCGCTTCTCCCACCCAACGCCAGTGCAAGCTCAGGTGCTGCCCCTCGCGCTATCGGGACACGACATTGTCGCTCGCGCCCGCACTGGCTCAGGAAAGACGCTCGCCTATGCCCTGCCCGTGGTGCAAAAGATCATCAAGGCGAAAGAGGCAGAGGGAAAGGCGAGCGGGCAATACCAGCGAACTCGAGCTCTCATACTCGTACCGACCCGCGAGCTCGCTGAACAGGTCACCTCGCACGTAGGCCGTATCTGCGCCGGCTCAGGCGGACAGCACGATGTGCGCGTAGCCAACATTGCGCGAGACGCCTCAGCCTCGGTACACGCTCTCGCCCTCGCCGATCGACCAGATGTCGTCGTCGCCACTCCCTCTTCAGCACTCAAGGCTCTGCAACAGACCAAGTCGCTCAATCTTGAAGCTCTTCACTCCCTCGTACTGGACGAGGCAGACCTTCTCCTCTCCTACGGACACGACGCAGCTGTACGATCCCTCTTCGCCCTCAATGTCCTGCCGCAAAGCTATCAGAGCTACCTCATGTCCGCGACGATGAGTCAGGACGTAGAGGAGCTGCGGGATCTCCTCGCCAAGGGAGGCAGTCGCAAGGCACAAGTGCTCAACCTGCAAGACCCTACGCACCATGCCCACCTTCGCCAATACTACGTACACCTCTCCGAGGAGTCCAAGTTCCTCCTCGTCTACGTGCTGCTGCGCCTCAAGCTTGTGCGCGGCAAGGTCTTGATCTTCGTCAACGACGTCGATCGAGGCTACAAGGTCAAGCTCTTCCTCGAGGCCTTCGGCGTCAAGTCGTGTGTCCTCAATGCCGAGATGCCTGCCAACTCGAGGTATCACGTTGTGCAGGAGTTCAACAAGGGGGTGTACGATGTCGTCATTGCTACGGATGAGGCGAGCAGTGGGTTGGGCACCAAGGATGAAGATTTGATGGAGCCGGCTGAGAAGGAGGTGGAAGAGGAGGCGCAGGAAGGAGAGGGCGAGGAGGAGGCAGAGACCGAGAAGGACGACGATGAAGACGAGGGGGAAACGCCCACCTCTGCTGCCGCAGGGAAGCGCAAGCGCAAAGAGGCAGAAGACGCCAAGGCAGAATCATCTTCAAAGAAGACAAGCAAGGGCAAGGACGCCTCTTCGTCGACCAAGAAGTCCAAGCTCACCACCGAGTACGGCGTCTCCCGCGGAATCGACTTCATCTCCGTCTCCTGCGTAATCAACTTCGACCTCCCCACCTCCCTCTCCTCCTACATCCATCGCATAGGTCGTACAGCTCGCGGCCATTCTACCGGAATCGCTCTGAGCTTCGTGGTCCCCTCGCACCTGGCAGGTAAACGCGTGCAAGGAGCGGGCAGCGCGGCAGAGACTGCCGTCTCCTCGTTGGACAAGGCGGCTCCGGGTGGTTTGACGGCCATTAAAGGATTGGCATCGCCCACCTCCCAGCTGGACGCAAAGACGTGGCGCAAGATCTCCCGCCACATGAGTCGCTCCCGCGCTGATGTGCGTCCATGGCTCGTTCACTGGCCTACGGTCGAAGGGTTCCGCTATCGTGTTGAGGACGCTTTGCGTGCGACGACTACGCGGGTCAAGGTCAAGGAGGCGAGAAAGGCAGAGGTGGCGAGGGAGATGCTGAGGAGTGAGCGACTTCAGGGTTGGTGGGAGGATAATCCGCGCGATGCATTGTTCCTCCGACATGACGTGGCGGCGCAGAAGGGTGGTAGTGGTGGGGTAGCAAACGGGCCTGGCAGGCATCTGAAGCACGTTCCGGCATATCTGCTGCCTGCTGGAGGAAGGAGCGCACTTCAAGAGCGCGGTGAGGAGTTGAGGGCGCCGAGGTTGAGCGAGGTGGATGGCGAGGATGGCGGAGGAAAGCGATCTAGCGTTTCGTACGATGAGCATGGGAGGAGTTTGGGGTACGTGGGGATGAGGAAGGGTGCGGGCCAGCGGGGTGGTGCTAGTGGGCGGGGTGGGCGAGGCAGAGGAAGGGGCAGAGGTGGTAATGCAGGCGGTGGCGGGGGGAGGAAGAAGGACCCGCTGCGCGTGGGGGGTGGCTCGAAGAAGAGGTGAAGCAGCGCACCCAGCCTATCCTCTCGCGTACTGCGCAACCTTATGTCACCAATTGCATCTCTCTCACGCCTCATCCCCCTCCAACCACCGCATTCAACCACTTGATCAGCTCCTCCGCCTCGTGTCGCCATCGCTCTCCACTCCTCTTCTCCTCCTCATCCCCAGCCGAGTCCATCGTCTCATTCGAAGCAGGCGGGGCTGCCACGACCCTCTTGAGGTACTCATGCGCCAGCGCCGTGTTCTCGAGGCGATCCGTCGGCGGAGGATCCGCACTAACCAATAAGGCGTCGCGCGAAGGTGGGGAGAAGGCTTGCGGCAGCCCCGCTACGGCCTTTGCTGCCCGGACGAAGGACTCTGCCCAACGACCGGTGGCGACCGAGTCATTTCCCTCGTCCCCATCAGCCGCAGCAAGTAGGAGCGCGACCGCTCTGCGATGCCAATGGGTGGCCGCCTCCTCGTCCGCTTCGTCCCCACTCAGCAAATTCAGTATCGCAGCAATACAATCCAGCTGTGCCTCCGCGTCTCCCTCGTGGACGCAGCTCAGATGTCGCGCATGTGCCCCAACCGCATCGCTTCTCCTGCCCATACGCCCGTACACGGCCGCAAGGCTCTGCCAGACGATGCCCGTATAAGGCGCTATAGCCGCGGCCTTGAGGTAGTAATGCACCGCAAAGCTCCACCCTTCGAGGAGCTCGTACACCTTGCCCAAGCCGTGCCAGGGACGATAGTCTCGCGGGTTGACACTGATGGCCCGTCGGTACATGTCTGATGCTGCTCCCGCATTCTTGACTTCGATGAAGGCGTGGCCCAGTAGGATGTAGGCGGCTACACAGCCTGGGTCGAGGAGGGTCGCGCGCTTGAAGGACGAGATGGCGCGTACGTGATCGGATTGGTAGTAGAAGTGGTTGCCTATTGCGCAGGCTGGGCGAGCGGACAGGAGTTGATTAGCACGGATTCTCGCGTACCTGCTTGGCGCCCTCGGGTCGCGTCTACTCACCAACTTCAGGGTGGCTAGAGCCCCACTTGCTCACGCGATGAGCCAACTCGCTGAGCTCTTCGCTCCTCTCTAGCAGGAAGAGGGCATTGCTGTAGTCGGCGAGCCCTTCAGCGCGGTAGGGGTCGAGCTCGAGTGCATACTCGAAGGCTTCGATTGCCGAGGTGAACTCTGCGTGCGCGGTGCGGTGGAGGGGAAAGGGGTTAACATCACAGTACTCTTGCAGTGTATCGCTCTGCTCACCTTGCTGTACATATCTCGTCGACCCGAGCGCAGTCCACAAATAAGCACTCTCAGGAAAGATGCCCATCAACACTTCAACCCTGTCCGCGCCTAGGCCCGTTGGCCCCCTGCCCCTCCCACTCAGTCCCTGCCTCTCAGTGTACTCCCTCCAAAATCCAGTCATGAAGCTCTTCGGAAGCAGCTGCGCGATCTCCTCGACCTCTCCAGGCTCGACGAGTGCGTGCAGCTCAAGCCAGGCGGTCCAGTTGTAAGGGAGGAGCAGGAGAGATCGGATGACGCAGTCCAATGCTTCTATGCGACGTTTGAGCTTGCGAAGCAGGATGGAGCGCAGGAGGAGGAGGAGGGATGTGTCCACTTGATTGGTAGGAGTGGGGTCGGGGAGATAGATCAGGTCCTTAAGGAGGGCAGCCAACCTCGCGCTGGTCTGGCTTCCCGCTTCGCTCTCGGCATCGCGCTCTACGATGAGCATCGCGGCGTAGCATCGCAAGAAGGTGGAGCGCGCCGATTCTTTACGGCGTGAATGGCCCCTCATACGACTCTGCAGGCGCTCTTTGCTCCTGTTCAGCGTACTGACAGCGCGGTCCAACTGACCTGTCCGGAAGCTCGTAAGTGCCAAGTCGTAGGCCACGGAGTCCTCATCGAGGCCGCCGTAGCCGCCCATGCCATCTTGCATCTCTTCGCCACCTTCTTCGACTGGCGGGAACGACGTCCCAGCAACGCCTTCAGATGCGAAACGAACATGCGCCGAACGTGGTGAAGAGGCAGAAGAGGACGGTTCGCCCATTCTTTCGTCTTCCTCCCGTTCTTGCCCCTCGCGCGTTTCATCTTCTCCTCTTGAGCTCTCACCCCGCTCGAAGGTCTTGTCCTGCCGCCCATCATCGTCTGCACTTGCGCTGAGGTTGGCCAATGGGCTCGGCGGATGACGAAAGGGAGCCGGAAAGCGTCCCGACGTCGAGAGGTCTGGGTGGTACTGATTCGACTGGCTCGGCGTACCCGCGTCTACTAGTCCCAGCGTTGATCCCGCGTGCGCTTGTTGTGAGGGGCGTTGTGGTGATGAGTTGGCTGTGCCTACCAGCGAGGAAGAGGAGGATGGCGGAGGTACAACGCCCAAGAAGGGTGTGGATTGCATTGGGTACGAGGAGGAAGAGGAAGAGGACGATGAAGGGGTTCGACGAGCTGGTGTGGCAGCTGCGGTCGGCTGTCCTCTTGATGAACCACCACGCGAAGCCTGATCATAGAACCAGCTCTGAGCTGATGTTGACGCCGTGGGAGGCATCGAGTTTGCCAAATCCAAGGCCCAATGAGCTGCATTGTCGAGGCCGCGCAGCGAGAGGTGTCGCGCTGCGATGACGAGGGAATTGCGTGCATATACGGGGTCTACATCTTGCCATTGTCGATGCTCTTGACGCTGAGAGGGTGACGGCGGTGATGGAGCATTCATCGTGGCGACCCGCCCTCGAGCCGTTGAGGATGTTGTTGTCGACGTGGAGCCTTGTCAAGTGTTGGTTGCAAGGAAAGGCGCGCGGCGGAGAGAGAGAGAGGAACGAGAGGCGACTGAGACGACGCGACCTGTCCGTCCGCTCTGCCTTTCCTCTTCATCCCCCACCCCTCCAACATGCCTCCCGGTGCCTCGTCCAGCCCACTGGGCAAGGATGCTCCCCTCTTCATCGCCTACATCTCCCTCATCACGCTCGCGCTGCTGCCCATCTACTTTGGGTCCTTTCAGTCGCTCAGGACGCCTGCGAGTGTGCTCAAGGCCAAGCGCGATCAGAAGAAGGCAAAGAAGGACAAGAAGACGGCTGACGAGGATGACGAGAGCGATGGTGAGGATGAGGAGGACGAGCCTCTGGCCACGGAGACTCTCACTAGCCAAGATGCATGGTGAGCAGGTGTGCAGCTTCCCCTTCCTCACCGCGCACAACTGACTGTCCCTCCCTGCGCTCGCACAGGCTCTTCCCCCTCATCGGCTCCCTCGTCCTCTTCAGCATGTACCTCGTCTTCAAGTTCCTCGACCGCAAGTGGGTTGACCGCGTATTGGGAGCCTACTTTGCCGTAGTGGGCGCTGCAGCCGTCCTCAAGGTCGTCGTCTCCCTCTATGCGTGGAGCATTGGCCCAGCGAAGTGGAAAGAGGCAAGGAAGTACAAGGTCGTGGTGACGCATCGCTTGACGGAAAAGGAGAGGAAGGAAGAGGAGAAGGCTAGAAGAGAAGAGAGGGAAAAGAAGGCCAAGAAAGGCGAGAGCGTGGCCGACGTGGAAGATCCGGCCGACGTCCCTCGCAAGCGGACCATCCTCCTCACCCGTCTCGCCGAAGCCCACGCTGGCCTTGCGCTGTTCTCCCTCCTCCCCATCATCGCCTTCTACACAACGCGCCACTGGCTCGCCTCGAACAGCATCGCCCTCTGCCTCGCCCTCAATGCCGTCTCCCTTATGGGCCTCGACTCTTTCCTCACGGGCAGCATCATGCTCGGCGGTCTCTTCGTCTACGACGTCTTCTGGGTCTTCGGCACAGAGGTCATGGTCTCCGTAGCACGCAACTTTGACGCTGGACCGATCAAAATCATCTTTCCCAAGAACCTGCCTCAGGTGGCTGCATACTACTTGGGAGCCGAGGGCAAGGGCAAGACGATGCAGGCCATCCTGGAGGTGGTTAGGGGAGCACCAAAATGGCAGATGACCATGCTCGGTCTCGGCGATATTGTGATTCCTGGTATCTTCATTGCCCTTGCACTCCGTTTCGACCAACATCTGCACAGCTCCTCCCTCTCCCCTTCCAAGCTGGCCAACTTCCGTCGCACCGATGTCAATTTCCCCAAGCCTTACTTCACTGCCACTCTGACCGCCTACGTGGCAGGTCTGGCGACGACGATGGGTGTCATGCACGTATTTCAGGCCGCGCAGCCTGCTCTTCTCTACTTGAGCCCGGCGTGCGTGGCAGCTGTCGCGCTGCAGAGCTTGAAGAGGGGCGAGTGGAAGGAAGTTTGGAGGTGGACGGATGGTGGGGAGGAGGCGGAGGGGAAGGAGGAGAGCAAGAAGGGAGGGGACAAGAAGAAGGGCAAAAAGACCAAGGCGGCGTGAACGCTGCGACTGTAATGAGGACTCCTCTATTCATCATAGATGTCAAAGTGCCTTCCATCTGTCGTAATGATCCTTGGTAGCGTGAAAAGAAGGGCGGCACGGCGGATAGAGAGCGAGGGGCTGCGCCGGTGGAGGCGGCGCTCCCTCGACGATGAGTGGCGCATCCGAGGTCCAATCCCGCATCGTCTTTCCCCTCTTCACCTCTAATCTCCTGCTGCGCTCGACACACAGCATCAGCATCGCTTCCGACTGCTCAACAGCATCACTTCGACTAGCCAGACGCAGCATCCACCCCTGTTCTCGCGCTCCACATCGCCCACCATGTCCTCCTCTTCGAGCTCGTCCCTCCCAATCCCCACCCTCAAGCTCCTCCTCATCGGCTCCTCGAGCGTAGGCAAATCATCCCTCCTACTCCGCTTCACAAACGACGACTTCCTTCCCCCAGAAGAATCTACCGCAACCATCGGCATTGATTACCAGATCAAAACGATCACCCTCGCCGATGGGCGTAAATTCCGCCTCTCCCTCTGGGATACCGCGGGACAGGAACGATTTAGGACCTTGACTAGTAGCTACTACAGGGGGGCACAGGGTGTGGTGGTCGTGTACGATGTGACGAGTAGGGAGAGCTTCGAAGGTTTGGAAGGGTGGTTCGACGAGTTGGACACTTTTGCTCCTCGCTCATCTGACGAGAATGGACCGGGAGTGGTGCGCTGCTTGGTAGGGAATAAGGTGGATCGAGATTTGGCTAGAGTGGTGACGGAGGAGGAGGGGAGGGAGATGGCTAAGAGGCGCGGGGCGAAGCTTTTCGTCGAGGCGAGTGCTAAGGAGGGACGTGGAGTTCAAGAGGCCTTTGATGAGTTGGTTGAGGAGGTGAGTCGCACGCGCGAGCATACAGATAATACCAAACTACGCGCACGCTGACACTTCTCCTCCGGGCTGTCCTGCAGATCATCTCCACCCCAGCTCTCTGGCAATCGCAGCCCAACAGCGCCACGAGACCCGGCGATCGACTGCCAGGGAGCGTCAATCTTGCTTCAGGCGGCGATCAAGGTGCCAACTCCGGAGGGTGCAGCTGCTAGCTCATCCTCCCATCTCTCACGCCACGATCTGCCACACTTGATGTCTGCTAATCTTGATACCATTCTCACCACCCCTCTATGACTGAATGAAGTGGTGCACCGTGCCATCTCTCACATCCTCCTCCACTGCGAGTCGCGCCTCGTAGCCAGAAAGACGTCGGCAGCTACGTCCGCCCCCCTCCACGCGTAGCGCTGGGCTGGCATCAGGTTGGTGACACGATAGCGATGCCCTTGTGCGAGGAAGTCGTCGCTACTCCCAGGACCGCCCGCAGCAAGTCTGCTCCCACCGCCTCCGCCGACGCTGCCACTCGAAGAAGAAGGAGCGCCCCCCCCTGCTCCGAGCCCATCCACATCCCAGATTGTGAGCTGGACGGTACGCTTGCAGGATCGGCGCAAAGTCGATGGTGCGCCATCTTCGGCCATGCTCGAGGCAGTATCCACGAATCTGCAGACACGGAAGCTTCGAACCCTCCTACGCGGGCACATCTTCGCCAGCTGACCTTCGACATCGCTCGACCATTGCAGGCGGAGCGATTCTGCTCTCGCGCCGGTGAGCTCGACTAGGCGACGGATGATGCTTCCCTTCTTGGCGACGTCGACGTCGCTGAGTCCGCGACGTAGTGCTTGGCCCGCTTCGCTCGTGTTGCTAGCGCTGGATAGCTCGTCGAAGAGGTGCGAGGCCGTTACGTCCGCGGCGTCATCGTAGTCTTCCTCTTCCGCCCCATCCGCTGCCCCTTCCAAGTATCCAGCCAGCAAGTCCTGTAGGTCCGCTACCCCTTTGGCTTGCTTCTCCGCTTCAGCTTCGAGCCTCGCCCGGCAGTCCTCGTAGCGCTTCTCCCACTCGCGTTGCGCTTCTGCCTCTTCCGCAGCGCCCCACCGACCGAAGTTGGGCGTGCTCGAGGAGGGACCGCCTGCCCCGCTGCCAGCATTGTTGCCACCACCACCACCGCCGCCGCCGCCGCCGTCGCAGTATGCCACGGGGAAGAGGCGCGTGATCATGATATCCATGCAGGGCACCGTACCGCCATCTGCAGTCAAGCTGCGTAACGTCGCCACCATCGGCTCGTTCCTTGCGCCGAGCTTTGCGTCCCATGTCGCAAGGCTGGTGCCGTTCCCGCACAACGAGAGGCACTGTGCTGCACCATTCAGCGGGTCTCGAGGCCCCACCTGACCACCGCCAGGCTCAGAAGAAGCAAGCCTCGCGCCCTGCAAGGCGAGCTTTTGACCTGCTCTGATCTTCCCTCGGCCAACGGCGCGACTGAGTGGCTCATCCAATTGAGCGATGATGCGATACCACCCGTCTGTAAGGTCGAGCGTCGGACCGCGCGACGCCTCGCCCTCTTGAGGGGACCGAATGGCCATCACGAGTAGCACCATCGGCAGAGCCGAGGAAGAGTCATGCTCGTGCACCCTCTTCAGCACACTGCGTTGCGCAAGATTGACCTCTCGCTCATACCTGTAGAGCAGCTGTTTCAACGCAGTCTCAAAGTTCCACCACTTCTCGCACGCTTCCTCTACCGAGACCGACCAGCCGGCGTTGTAGGCTTGCGCTTGCACGTACGCGGCCAGCTTCCAGAGGATGAGGACCCAGTGATTGCGCACCCATGCCTCGTCGACATGCATCGCGCCCCGGCGGTGAAGCTCAGCGAGGGCGTGACGAATCCCGAACGCTTCGCCGCTGTCTGCCAGGCGGAAGGCATATCGGCCTGCTTCGGTGGGGTTGCGGAGGATCGCAGCAATCTCTGAGGGAAGACAGGGACGCTGCTGACCTGGCCTGGGCCTCGAGGGAGGGAGTATGCCGTACTGCTTGAGACCGAGGCGCCCTTCGGCGGGCGCGGCGAGGTCGAAAACAGATGGGTTGCTTGCAGTAGGTGCTAGGGCGGCGCGAGGTGCTGGCTTGGTCGGTGGCAACTTCGTCGGTGAGAGGGAAGTGCGGGACGGGCCAGCGAAGGCATTGCCCATGCTCGGCGCCACGAAGGGTGACTGAGGAGCGGCCATTGCGGAGTTCGATGTCGTCAAGGAGGGACGCCTGGCGCTCCCCCCACCCGCCCCATCCGCCCCTCCTTTGAACGGCGTTTTGAAGACGGATCGTGACGAGCCTCCTGCGCCAACTTTTGCCCTCGGCGTCATGCCCAGAGAGATACGCGAGGGTCGTGCATCCAAGCGTGGCCGTCGAGGCGCAGGAGATGCAGCTGCGCCGGGACTGTGGAAGCTCGACGATAGTGAAGAGGACGATGCTACGTTGCTCACGCTGGAGGTGCTGAAAGCAGCGCGGTTCGGGGCGGGGCGTAGCGGCGTCACCATCTGCTGTGTCGGTGGCACGACCGCAGCGGTCACTCTGGCAGCTGAGAGGGCGGGCAAAGCGATGGACGATGTAGCTGGAGTTCTTGGCGTTTGCCCAGAGTCCGCATCTGTGCGTAGAGTCGGCTGTGAAGATCGCTGCGATCCTGTCCTGGCCGACGGCGGAGCGATTCGGACGCTCTCCTCCGTTGTTGAAGTCTTTGCCGACTCGAGTGACTCGTCACCAGTCGCGTCAACGATGCGATTCGTGTGCGGGCTGGAAGTGGGTGCTAGTGGAGATCGAGCAAAACCTGCTTGTGACACGGCGCTATTGAGCCTAGCAGGTAGTGGTGTCGATGGCCGACTGATCGATGCGCCGGCCTTGCTGCTCTCACCGCCTTTTGCATCGTGCTCAGCCTCCCATTGCGCCATCCTCTTCTCTGCTTCTAGCATAGCCGTCTTGCTCAGCTGCAGCGCGGCGCCACTAGCTTTTTGAAATGAGACGAACTGCGGGATGACGGCCGGCAACTCCTCTTGGGTATGATGATCGTCGTCTTCGTAATCTGAGTCCTCTTGTTGCTCTCCGCTCACCGCGGCTGGATTGCGTTGAGTAGCTGCTGGCCGAGGCGGCGGTGGAGCAGGTGCGGTTGTGGCTGCGGAGCTCGTTGGCTCTGCTCGTCGCGGCGGCTTCGCGGCTGCCATCTTGTGTATCTCCCTCTCCGCGTCGTCAACCTCAAATGCCCTCCTCGCCCTCTCCATAGCCTTGGCATCAGGCTCGGGCAGCCTTCTGTTCGCAGCCGTACTGAAGCCAGCGAATACCCCTGCAGGTATGGGCTGAGGCATCGCCGCCTCGCCGTCAATGCCATTGCTGAAGCCTGCAGCGCCATCATCGTGATCTATCTGCGAAAGGGTCAGATCTGCGTCCCCCAGATCCCAATCCTCACCACTCTCGTCGCCACCAGCGCCGGCGACGAAGTGCTCGTCGGCCGTCGTGTCAATGACCTCGTCCCAGAAGGCGTCTCCGTAGCCCTCGCCGTCGAATGAGCCACGTGATCGGCGGCTGATGGATCTACTGAACTGGCGGCGCTTTTGCGAGAAGGTTGGAGAGCCCGCGGTGCGCTGCGGCAGCGGCTGGTGAGGCCGATGGGAGGGGCCAGCTTCATCCTCTGGGAGTGGGGAGAGAGGCCGGCTCAGCAGCGCGCGTAGAGGTGAAGGGGCGAGAGCATACTCCTGCGTAGATGAGTCCTCTTCACGCTCCGGCGATGCGGATCGTGACGATGTTAAGCTCGAATGGTCCATGGCCGTGTCTCGGTACTGAGCAGGCTGTGATGTCCTGAAAGGGTTGGTTGCTTGCCAGGGTTCCTCCGACCACTGTGACTGGACGAGCGAGTCGTCGACGGGAGGAGTAGAGGCAGAAGAAGATTTCGCTGCCGTTTCTATCGCCTCTTCGGCCAGACCGCCTCGTGTAGCTGCAGCTGGGTGCAATTGGTCGCCACCGAGAGCATTTGCCGCAGATGGGGCTCCGGAACGCGTCGCCCCTTGGACGAGATCGTCCTCTTCGATCGCTTCCAGCGGCGGCAATGACTGATCTGCCGGTTCAGATGCTGTCGCGCACTTTTCGAGCTGGCCCACATGTGCTTCGTCTACCGCGACGAGCGGGGTCTCCTGCACTCTATCGTCTTGACCCTGCAGTCCTTCAGCAGTCCTTCCCACTTGCCCCTCCTCATCGCGCTCCCACTCAGACTTCTGGCTGATCTCATCTCCAATTTGATGGAGCTCATCGAGGATGCCATGCTCCGCAGCCGGTGAAATAGGAGCGGGCTCTGACTGGCTCAAGGGAGCGTGATCTTGCTGGGAAGCCTGACCCGGTGGCCAGATGAGTGGCTTGATCTCGGCGTGAGGGGAAAGCATGATCGCTGATGAGCTGAGACTGCGTGATTGGAAGCTCCTGATCTCCCTGAGGGCTAAATGAGCTCTGGGGAGGGGGAGGGATGACGGGATGGTGCTGGGCTTGTATAGATCTTCGACTTGCCCAACGAGGTCCAGGCAAGGCGCTGACTCGTCTTCTGTGTGTGATGATGGCGCTACCGCAGGCTCTCCTGTGGGATCCTTGACGGCGACGGCGTGCTCGTCGTGGGCGATGTCCATCTCCTGACGCGCGCCTTCTTGCTCAGCCGCGCATATACTCGCGTCCTGCCCAAGGTCAATGGCCTCCATCCCATTGTCAAAACGTGCCTCAACAGCCTGCTGAGATTGAGACAGCGATGCTGGGCTCGAGGATGCGCCATTCTCTTTTTGTTGACCTTCGGGTGGTTCGACGTTCGCGGGCACTGTGACGCCTCGATCATCTTCTACGCCTGGTGTGCCAGGTGCAGCTTCCACCTCCTTGAGCCTCTTGCTCGCGAGCTCTTCGGGCACCTGAGTGGCCTGTTTGGTCTCTGGAGAGGTGTCTGGCCGCCCATTATCGTCCTCTTGTGGATCGTGAAGTTGATCAGACTTGCGCTTAGCCCCCCTTCTCAGCAACATGCTAGGCTTGGCAGCCGCATCGCCCTCACTCGGAGCATCTGCCTCTGACGCTTGCTTCGCATCGTCTGCCGCCCCATCTTGCGGGTTGCTCGCGGTAATAGTGTCCATCTTCTCTACACCCTGTCGCTCAATTATAGGAATAGTCTCGCGCGAGGGAGTGCGCAACGTGCGCGAGGAGCGTCGCAGCCTTGCGCCTGCTGCATTGGAGGGCGAGGTGGGGGCGACGAATGATGTTGAGAACTGCGCGGCATCTTGACCTCCTTCAGCTGATCTGCTATGCTTTGATTCGCTGCCCAAGCCGTCTGGAGAGTAAGGCAGCCGCGAAGGGCCTGCCCAAGGCGTGCGGCGTGATCGAAGTCAGCATATATGCAGGTCGTCGGTGGAGGATCAGCTGCTAGTGGCTGCTCCGCGTGCTCACCCGCTTCTGCTTCGTGCTCCATCACAATCGCAGTACCCCTGCGACCATGTCTTAGCGCACGCAAAGCTGTAGGCTGATCGAGATACTGGGAAGCTGGGACGATGGAGATGATTTTGAGGGAGGAAGGGAGTCCAACAGAGAAAGCGGACCGCGATCGAGGGTTGCTCGCACGACGGACTGCCAGACGGAGAGAGGCGCGTCGCGCCGCCCGCCGCCAGAAGAGCAACGGGCAGCGATTTCACTTCACGCTCCTCACGAGCCTTTCCATCATCCTCATGCTCCAACACCAGCGATGCGTGCGATGCGTGCGATCCGCTCCACCCTCCTAACCTGCGATGCCGCTCTCAAACATCTCCTCCTCTCCCTTGAAGAGTCTCGCCCCAACAACGCTCGCTTCGTCATAGAAGACCTCGACGAGACTCACCTCCCCGTCGACTCGAGCATGGTTGACGAGATCCGCGCGCTCTTGCAGGAAGAGCTGGACAAGAACAGCTGGACTTTGGATAGCGTGTAGGTCGCCTTCAGGGACACAGCGTGAAGATTGGATGGCAGGTGGGACATGGCGGCATCAACGTGTGCTCTATATCGACATGCAGCTATGTTACACAATGGATACCTGACCCCGCCCTCGATCACCTCTTCTGCCTCTTCGCGCCGCCGCCTCCTCCCTTGGCACCCTTCCCACCTCGACTGCCCCCTCCCTCGCCGGTCATCTTCGCCACCTCGTCCCGACTGAGTCGCAATGTCCCGTCCTTGAATCTGCCCACGCCCATCCCTAACCCTCTCACCCTATCCTTCTCCTGTTTCCTCTTGCCAGTCATAGTCGCATCCGCCTCTTGTCTCCCCAAGAACTTTCTGCTGTACGCCGAGTTCAACAGACCCATTTCCCTGTTGCGCTCCATCTCCTTCTCTGCCCTATCGCCCGCAGCAGAACGGATGCCCTGTCTCATCTCGCGGGGCATTTGAGCGAGCTGCGAAGCACGCAGGGTCTTCTCGCCATGGCCACGTCCGAAGGCTTGGCCTTTTCGGGCTGAGGAGGAGGAGGAGTGCTCGAGGATGCGAGCGAGGGTGGAGTGGGAGGAGAGGTCTGGCTTGGCATCTTCTGCGTTGCCCCTTTTCTTCGACGAGGATCCTTGCGAGAACAGCGTCGTGTTCAGCAAGTGACTCAGCTGCCTGTCATTGGTGAGCTGCTCTGCTTCGTCATCCTCGTCCTCGTCCTCGCCTGCTTCAGCTCGAGCAGCCTTCTTCTCGTTCTCCCTCCTGCGGCGCTCTTCTACTTTGGAGCGAAGGAGCTCTGAAGCGGACGTCATCGAGTCGGGACCTGTGTTGGCAGTTTTGGAGTTCTGGCAAAGAGCGGTGGGCCGGGGGAGAGGAGTCAGCAGCCAGCCCGATTACATTGGGGATGGAGGCCACTACTCACCATAAAGTCTCGCCACTTCTTTCTCGAGTCGCTCCCCATCATCTCATCTTCTGGCTGGGATCGACCCCTGCCTCCCATCTCCTCGAAGACAACTGTCTGTGGTGGTCGACGAGGAGTGGCTGAGGAGGGGGAGGGGCCGACTGCCTTGGCCTTGACGCCAGCCTTGGGTGACTGCTTCTTGAATTTGCTTCCTTCACTATGCGATACATCTGCGACACGCTGACCGTCCTCCTCCTCGCTCTCGAATTTCTCCTGCTCTTTGATTCGACTCGGTCCGGCAGCAGGCAAGCTCCCCTCACCAAAAGTCGCCAGGAAGTGAGCCTCTAGCGCGGCCAGGTCCTGCGATGAGGAGGATGACGCTGATGGCTGAGGGGGCTTTGAGGGCGGCATTGATACAGCAGACGATGAAGAAACCTGCTCCGTAGTTCTTGACTTTGGCGTTGACTTTGCCATCTTGGCAGGCAGAGGGTCAGTGGTATGGAGGAAAGGCACGAAGACGGGAAGCGGTCTGCGATCCTCGACCAAAATTCTGGTCACCTCCGTTTCCGCTCTTGCTCTGTCCGCTCCTCGAGCTCCAGGGCTTCATTCAGTCCGATGCTCTGAGACGCTCCGAGACAATGGTATCATTTATGCTGCAAAGCCTGTTTGGCAAATGACAGGACCCACTCATTTCGGCCTCGTTATCTGGCTCGCCTGCTCAGCGCCCAAATGACTTCGATGCTGCTTCTGCCCACCTTGTCGTCCCACCCGACTCCCCCGTCCTCCTCGCAGGCGCCGCGCACCAGCTGGGCCGCTCTGTCTTGGTCGAGAGAGGCGAGCATGCGCTCACGAGGATCAGCTTCACGCAGACTGGCGAAAAGAGGCGTTTGACGTAGCTGCGATAGCGAGAGAAGCAGATTGGGGTTAGCATCAGCTCCGACTGCTGGAGCGTAATGGCCACGCACCCAGGCCGCGATCCCTCTAGGCGTCCATGTCTTGTCACTCGAATCCACCTGCCCTTCCTTCGAGGCCCGCAGACACTCAGCAATATGCTTTGCTAGCCAGTCTGGCGGATCCTGGCTCTCGACATCGACGAAGCCTGCAGCGCGGTACGGTCCAAAGATCCAGTAGCTGTGGCTGGCCACATCCCACTGGCTGTTGTCCGCGGGCATGAGAAGCGTCGAGTATAGGGACTCTGACCCTAGCATGCTGCTCGGGCTCTGCTCAGCTTCAGCTCCGACGTGTTTGACAGGATGAGCGGTCAATGTTGTCAAGCAGCTCGGCCTGCCAGAGCGTGCAGTCGGTGGGAGGGCAATCGGTTTGGTGCCAAGGATGATGAGGGTGCCTCCCGGCCGTAGGATGTTTGCCAGTCGCGAGTACAGGCCCGCTGGATCGTACCAGTCCCAGAGATGGGCTGAGGAAGCCGCAATGATGCAGTCGACAGATGACGGGGCCACGTCGAGGCCCGAGTCTGAGCCCACGGCGATATCGAAGTGAGTGCCGCGATGGATGGCAGGCAGACCATGTGCTGCGAGCGCCTCGTCACCGAGCCATAAGAGAGCTTTCGCAAGCTGTATTGATTCGGCGTCTGGGTCTCTCGCCACAACGCGCTTAAAGCGCTGGCTCAGCTGGGGCAGAAGTGGGCCGAAGCCGCACCCCAAGTCGAGGACAGTACCCCACTTGGACGAGTGGCGCTGATGGTACGCCCAGACAGCATCCAGCGTGTCTTGGTCGAAAGGCTCATTACCTTGCAATCTGTCTAGCAGCGTCTCTCGCTCTGTTCTCTCTTCTCCCGGTCCTGGGAAACTTGTGGCTGTTTCGTTCATGACATCTTGGAACTTGCTGGAGTGAGGGCGAGAAGCGTCGGCTTCAAGGTGGGCCGCCGCGGCCCGTAAAGTGGCCCGGTCGCGTCGCGTGTCGTCCACCCGCACCGAGCTCAGTTGAGCCAGACTGCAATCTCAGCTGCGTCTTCTGTTGTTCCTCTGGCAGCTTAGCATCTCGCCCTCCTTCCTACTAGCAGCTGCATCCCTATCCATGCGATCATCCCGCAGAAATGGCATCAACACCAACACCACCTCCAAGGGTCCTGCCACTTCTTCCACTTCTACACGTCACGCGCCTCTCTCCCCATCTCAACCTCTCCTCAACCACCTCATAGCCAATGTCCGCTCCCTTCCCAAATGTAGCCTCCCCACAGGGTCGGGTCACCTCACCCTCTCAGTCCTCTTCTCTCCCCCACGAATGGCAAAAGTACTCTACCCCTGGGCTCACCTCGACGATCCGCGCGGCATAGCAGCAGGATCCCGTCCCTTTCCACAGCAGACGGTGCAGACGTGGGAGGAGATGGTCTTCTTCCACGCCGAGTGGAGAAGAGCAGACCAGCACGAGGACGATGTCAAGATGATATGTGCAATTGAGGCGTACAATTACTCGCTCCCAGAGTATGGCAGCCAGGTCTTCTACCTCAGCAAGTTGGACACGACGGGCTGGGCGCCAAGATTGCAGAGCGCCAAAGTGCAGAAGCATCTGCTCCTCGATGGAGGCAAAGGTCCCTCCCCATCCTCTGGGTCTGCGGGACCGGTCACCTCCCTTACCACGCACCTGACCGTCTCCTTCCTCTCATATTTCCTCTCACTCCGCCACAAGCCGAGCCTCCCGACCCCCTCTCGGCCTCTGCGCCACTCATCGTGTCATATCCTCGCCCGAGCGCAGGAGGCTTACATCTTCCCCAACTCGCCCGAGAACCCGGCAAAGAAGCCACTAAGCGATGCCAAGCTGGTCGTATGGTGGCGACAAACGCTCAGTCAGGTCGTCGAGGCGGTGCGGGTGTATCATGCTGGCGTCAAAGAGGGTAGCAAGGGCGAGGGCAAGAGCAACGGGGGGCTGCCGCAACAGCCGCGCATCGATGCCTGCTACATGATACCCGGTCTGGAAAAGCTGGAGAGTCATCCGCTGGTGCCGCTACCTCCATCGATGCTCGGCAAAAGCGAGTCCGACTCGCCCCTCGCACGAGCGCAATGGCGGTACGGTCACCCGTACAGCACAGCAGGCAGCGGTCGTCACATCGAGGACCTGCCACCTCTACCACTGCATCTTCCCCTGCCCGCAGGTGCTGTCGTCTCGTCCTCTCGCGAACATCAACGCGGGATCGCCACTCTCCTGCCACGCTTCGAAGACGACCCGCAGTCTCGTTTCCTCGACGAGCTGGCGGGTGAAGGTGACGAGATAGGCAAATTCGGCCACCTGCTTCGGCCCCCTCCTACTTCCGGCACGACTAGCACAGCGCCGCAGCAGAACATGGACGTCGAAAGCCAAGCTACTCTGCTGGACGAGGATAGCCAGATGACTCTACTCGGCTACGAGACCGGGATGACCAGTAGGAGCAATAGCGGAAACGGGAGCAGTACGGCCATCGAGAGTCAGCCTTTTGATCCACGCCCACAAAGAACGCCGAAGAAGCCTCGCCTTGCCGAGCGGGTCATGGATTTACGAGCTGCGACGCCGCCGCGACGATCCTTTTCCAACTCGACCTCCACGCCTCCTACTTCGAGGCCGTCCTCGCCTATGTCCTCCCCGGGTGGAGGGCCAGTCAGGAGGAGTCCGCGCAAGCACTCACCCGTCAAGGCGGCGGTCACTGACGGCGAACTGCTTAACAGCCCCTCAGTCTCTGAGATCGTCATGACCACGCGCTCCGGTCTCGTACGCACACCCTCCGTCTCCCCAACCAAGCGAGTCCGACCTAATGGAGCCACCACTTCTTCTCCCTCCACCTCCTCCTCGCAAACGCTCCACGCCCCGTCTTCACCGCTCGCACCCACTACGGCAGCTGTGTCATCAACCGGCCCGCGCCTGACTCAACCCCAACTCTCCGCGCTCCGCTCCCGCCTGGCATTGGACGCCGTCAGCCCAGACGAGTTCTGGGAACGAATGGCCTTCCGTCAAGAATGCTCGAGCGGCAATCTCGTGGGATCCTTCTTCCTCGGCGTGACCCTTCCCTCTGCCTCGCGCCGAGATGCGAAAGAAGACGAAGAGATGATCCCCGCGTCGCTGGAGCGGCCCACCCACACGATCCCGTTGCGTGAACTCAGCAAGGCCATGCGCACCAACCTGCAACTGGACGACTGCTACTGGCAGCGCGACCGGGACGCTGTTGAGCTCACGCAGTACTTTGACGAGGAGCGGGGCAAGTTGCTGTGCCATTCTGGGCGCTTGGAGGAGAGTGAGAAGATCGAGGGAGAGGAGGGGTGGCGCGTTGGCAGGGGCGTCGTCTGGGATGATGTGCTGTTAGAGGGCTTCGGACAGAGGGAGGTGGACAAGGCAAAAGAAGCTGCACTCAAGGAGATCGGGGAGGGACAGGCGGAAGCGACGGAGAGAAAGCCCGTGACCATGCTCAGTGTCAAGAGGAAGAAGCCGCCCACGGCTTGAGGAGGTCGCGGGAGGCTCAAGGGTTGCATGCATCATCCACGCACATCTGCTCCCCGCTGCTCGTCTACGTATATCGTGCCTGCTCTTCATCTATTTTCTCTCCTGTTGTACAGATCGTCCTCCGTAATCTCTATCTGCATCTCTCACTCAGCTCAGCCTAGCCGTCCGCAACGCCTTTCCCTTATCCCCACTTCAGTCCCCCACCGCGCCACAATCTACCTAGATCGGCTGGGCTCTCCGTGATGTCTTCCGCCTTTAGCGTCTGTCGCTCCTCTTCGCTGAACGCTCCTGTTCCTGCCATCACGTCGCTCCCTCCCGCTGGAGAGCGCTTGACCGGCATCGCGGCGGACGTCACCGACTCGAGACGCTGTTGAGAGACACTCTTCGCGAAGGGGTTGCGCCCGCTTGGCCTGCGAGGGATCGTCGGGCGGAGCGCTGAGGTCGATGAGGACGTGATGGAAGACGATTCGGAGGGAGGTTGAGCTGATGGGGTGCGGGCGACGGGGTCGTTGACTTCAATTTCGGTTGGCGCGGGGACTGGCTTCAGTATTCGTTGCTGAGGAAGACCATGGCTGCTGGCTGAAGGCTGCGACTCTGGCTCCCGAGCGAGGCCCCTCGGAGCCTTTGGCTCCGCGTCCCCCGCTGCTGCAAGGTGGACATCAGTTTGCCTAGCTTGCGCGGTGGAGACTTTCGTCCGACCAGGCGTTGGCGGTAGCTCAGCCATACTCGAGGAATTGGTCTTGCTCCACGTCCTCAGCCCTGCCAGACCTTGCAAGGGGCGCGACTGCGATAGCAACGCTCCTGGAGCAGTCGCGACGGCGGCACTCGTAGTAGGGCCTGCTCGCCGTAGGAACAGGGGGTCCTCCTCCTCCTCCTGTTCTGCCTCTTCCTCATCATCTTCCTCGCCTGCGCTTTCAGCCTCCCGCAGAAATGGTGAGCCACTCCGCGAAGGGCCTCGCGAAGATGCTCTCGACACGCTTCGACTAGGCGCGGCTGAGGAGAGTGCAGAGAGATCTCGCGACGTGACTGGCTGCGACTCGGTGCGCTGCCACCCCGTGAGGCTCCTTCTTGCAGGTGGCACAGCCAGGAGAGAGGGGCCCTGCGACTGTGATGCACCAGCCATGTTCGCAGTTGGCAAGGATGGCTTTTGGAAGACTTGGCTCTCGCTGCGAGAGAAGGCCCCGCGCGTCGCTTTCAGGCGCTTGACACTCGAGACGTCGGTCGTTGGAGGCGGCAGGGCTTGAGGCTGCAGCGAAGGCGACGATGAGTCGCGAAAGGGATTGTCGGCATCGTCTTCCTCCTCCTTTACGTTCACGTGTCCACCGAATCGCCTCGGCTCGGCAATTTTCCTCTTGTTGACACGCGTAGCCGTTGGCGGGCCAAGGACCAGGCTTCCACTCTTCATCATCGTCGGCAGCACGGGTGCCGACTGGCTCTGGCCTTGTCCTTGGCTTTGGCCCTCATCCCACACATTGCTGGCAGATTGTTCCCTCACCAAGCCCACGCGGCGCTTCACGCTCACCTCCCTCTCATTTCTCTTCGCTTCCCCGGTGATGGAGGCAGCTCGACTGAACTTGCGCTCCTTCTGCTCGAGAACGAGTGCATCCTTTAACCCTGGACGCTGGCTGAGCTTTCTTGCTTCTCTAGCTTTGGCCTTGTCATCTGCGAGCTTCTTACGTGCGCCTAGATCGGCTTCAGAGCGTACACGCGCAAGTTGAGCAGCTTCCTCACGACGTCGTGCTCGCTCGGCACTGGCTTGGCCGCCTCGCCCGGTCGTGATGGTGGTGGTGGTAGGGCCGAGAGCCGGTCGACGGGGTGTGGTCTGCGAGGCGCCGCCTACAGTCGCCTTGGATCGAAGCACGGAGCATTGTCTGGGCAATACGCGCGCGAAGCGTGGCTCAACAATGTCTGAGCAGAGGTGGTGCATCTCGTCCCGCTCGTCCCGCTCGTCTCGTGCTCGTGCTGCTGTACCAAAGAGGACAAGCGACGGAACCTTGCCATGCTCCTTTGTCGGTGCTGCTTGTGTCTGCTGCCCAATCTCCTCGTCGAGTCCGAGAAAATCCTTGCGCAATTCGCACGTCACGATGCGCAACGACAGACGATCAGCGAAAGTTTCGAAGAGGCGATGTAATCCTTCCGGGTCTCGTACCATCGCTTTCGCGTGAAAGGGTGCGGATTGATCGTCGTCATCATCGTTCGCTGCATCACCTGGAGAGACGAGCTCGCCGCCCAACTTGTTGCTGCTAGTTGTCCGCTTAGCCCAGGGGAAGCCGTCACTCTCTACTGCCCCTTCGAGAGCCATCGCCGTCGCGAAGCCGGTCCAACGACGAGCGGGAGCTGACTTGCGCTTCTTCTTGCGAGCGGGCTTTGTCTGCGATCCTGAGACCGAGTCTTCGACATCATCTTGTGAGAGTGTGACCATCCTCGAAGAGCTTTCCTCTGTTGGGCTGCCATTCATCTGGCTTGATTGTAGAGGCATCGGTGCTGGGCGCGAGGGTGCTTTCGAAGGTGAGCTTGCGTTGGCCGTGGTCAAGAGCATAGGGTGTTCGACTCCGATGCGAAGGGCCTCGAGGATGAGGAGAAGCTGCAACGAAAGCCTGTCGCGAGAAGGTCAAGGGTCAGCGGCTGTCGCACCACCCGGAGCTTTCGTCATCACTCACTCTCTTCTCTCAATAGCTGCTAGCCAGTCGTCTCTCAGCCTCGTCTTGACGGCTTTGCTATCCTCCTCGCCATCCTGCTCCGCCTTGGCCCTCGCCTGCTGATGTTCCTCAGCAACGCTCCGTCCAGGCCCGGAAGCTAGCGCCGCACAGACGAAAGCCATCTCCTCATCCTGCTCTCCAGCTGCAAGGCCCGAGAGATGCGCGGCTACCTTCTTTGGCAACTCTGCTCTGAATCTGCGCTGCACTTGACCTCGAGTTCGCAGGAGCGAGGCAATCGCATCGAGAAAGGCGGCGGCCGCTTCGACGTCTTGGCGTCGCTGCTTGCCCACTGCGGTGGCGGACTGAAGGTCAAAAGCATAGCCAGGATATGTGGCGAGGGGAAGATAGCTCTCTCCTAGCCAGAGGCATTCGTGGAAACGCCGCCTGACATGATGGACCGTGGTCGCATGAACGTCGGCCTCGTGGTCGTTGAACGCTGCGCATCGGTGGGAGGACGATGGCCAGGCGATCGGGCAAGCCAAGTCCAGTTGTACCTTGGAGGTCGATGCTACTGCACTGGTCGAGTGCGTCATTGCCTGCGCCGCGTAGTATATGATGAGAGGATGCTTGTTGCTATGCCATGTTGATGGGGGAAAGGTGAGGGAGCAAGGCGAGCCAGGACGGCAATCGATTGAATTTGGATGGACGGAACCAGACGCGCACCTTGGAACACGACGACCGCGTCGCTCCTTCTCACTCTGGCTGAGGCAAGACGTCGCTCCGTCCAAGTTCGAGGGCGACGACACAAACGGTCTGGCAATCCAAGCTCGCCCTCTGTTCACTCGTACATGACCGTGATCTGCAGATGCGCATGGACCGAGAGAAGAGTTCGATTCACGTCAAGCTCCTCGGTACTTCGGAGGGGCAGAGGAAATTGACAAGACCAGTCGAAATTAGACGGGAGCATCGTCGAGGAGGCGAGGCGAGTTTGTGATTTGTATCAAATGGACAAGGAAGTAAAGAAGAGAAGAGGGGATGGACAGAGTTTATATGGCAGAAGTCATAAAAGAGAGAGGAGGCAGGGAGGGAAGACTTGTCTGTGTGCGCGCGGGCGCACGGAACTTGCTGCACCGCATCATCACAATGGCACTCGAGCTATTTAGGCCATGAAGAGGGCAGCGGCACCAGCAGCGACGGCGGCGAAGCCGTTGACAGCGAGCGAGGCGACACCGTTGCTGCCGCCAGAGCTCGACGAGGAGCTCGAGGGGGAAGCGGCCGAGGCAGCCGACGAAGCCCTGGAGCTAGCGCCCGAGGCGGCCGACGAGGTCCTGGCAGCAGCGCTCGAGGTAGCGCTGCCGGCAGACGAGGAAGCGCCACCAGCGGCCGACGACGAGGAGGAAGAGCCACCCGACGAGGCCGAGGCGGCGTTGTTGCCGATGCACGAGGTCGAGGTACCGGCCTGGATGGTCGTCTGCGACGAGTAGTTGGGGGTTCCGTCGGCGTCGTTGATGATGAAGGTGAGCTGAGTGCCTACGGGCTGGTTGACGGTCCTGAGCGAGCGAGGGAGCGAGAGAGTGTCAGCGGGGACAATCAGGGCGTAGAGTCGCTGCACCGCCAAGGTGCTCACCAGACGTAGCTGCCAGAGGCGGACTGCTGGGCAGGGAACTGCTCAATGGGAGCAGACGAGGTGTCCTTGCCCTGGATGTACGAGATGTAGACGGGGGCCTTGGCGCCGGACCAGGTGATGGCCTGAGGCTGCGAGTGCGAGGAGGAGCGAGAGGCATGGGATGTCAGCGCCCGAGCAAGAAACGACTGTGTACGTGAGCGCGGTCATGCTCACCTGGCAGGTCAGCATCGTCGAGGGGACCTGGACGACGGGGGCAGCCGCGGCAGAGGCAGCGAGAGCCGCAATGGCAGAGATGGTGGCGAAGGACTTCATCGTGGGAGAGAAGAGTGAGGGTGTCGTGAAAACGAGAATGAGAGTTGAGTGTTCGTAAAGGCCGTCGAGGCTTTGAGGATCGGATCGAGTCGAGTCTAGAGAGACGTGAAGGAGACCGAAAGGAAAAAGAGATGTGGTGGTGGTAAGAAAGAGAACAGGCCAGTGTGATGAGTGTGCCTTTGATCCTCTGCTGCCTCGACCTCGACCCCTTCTCTCGCCCCTGGCTCGCCGCGCCACTCGCAAACGATGGCCAACGAGCCAGCCAGCGTGTGCTTGCGTGCGTGCGTGTGCGTGTGTCCGGGCCAGCGAGCCGACCGACGACGAGGCAGGCGCAGGCGCAGGCTCGAGCAGCAACAGAGGGGGGCGAAGGCGCTGAGCGGGACGAGCCAGTCGGCACAAGTTGGCAGGCAGGCGGGCAAGCAGGCAGGCAGGCAGGAGGCGGGACGCGGGCGGGCAAGTCAGCCAACTCGTTCGAATTTCGATTCGACCTGGCGCAGTCGGCGGTCGGCAGGAGCTTGGCCGTTGTAAAGCCTAGCAGGCAAGAGGCAGAGGCAGAGGCGCAGACAGGCTTAGCATTCAACATCAGCCGGCTAGCCAGCGCCCATTCGCAGCGGCGGTGTGGGCGGCAGAGGCGTCAGCGGCGGCGTGGAGGGCGAGTAGTTTCAGTCAATCAACACCACTATCGCGAGCTCGAGCCAGCATAGAAGAAGCCCCTAACCACCACAACGTCTACGAGACGAGGAGGGTGACAATCAGAACATCTCTAGCGTCGTTGAGGGGCGTCTTTCATTGCCTCGCTATCTTTACATCCTCGTGACAAGCTCGCCCGCGCGCGCTCAAGCTCAGAGCATCGACCCCTTGAAGCCCGAGTTTCTCGCTCCCTCGGTGAAACGGAGCTTTCCTCGGACTCGTCGTGTGGTTGCCGTGTTGCCTTGCTTGCGCCCCTTTGCGCCCTGCCGTCGTGTGCGCGCTGGCTGCTAGTTCGTCGCTCGCCGCTCGCCGCGCAGCTCTGCACCCTGGCTGTGCCCTCCGATTTCGAGTGTTGTTCTCCGGCCACTTGCGCTGAGCTGAGAAAAGAAAGCACGGCACGTCACGTCACGCAACGCAGGCAATGACATGGAGAGCGTGGGGCCCACCCAATGACGACGAGGAGTCGAAACGTCACCGGGCCTGCGCGCGATTGCTAACCATTCCTCGACGTTGCCGATGAAGCATCGAACAAGCGTAGGGTGAGCAGCCGCGAGAATCGCCAGCCATTCCAGTCGATGACATGAGCCACCAAGCTAGATCCGCAGATTGCTCCCCCATAATAGCATCACCTGGGCGGGCGCAGCAATGTCAACAAGGGTTGGCGAGATATAGCAAGAGTGCTCCACTGCTGTGCTCGTCGTCGTCATCATCAAGGCGTCGCGGGGATCACACCGCGCATCCTCGCCCTCCATGCTACCTTAGCAACGACCAGCTTCCCGCCTCTTGCTGGTCAACACTCGTTCACACCGGATGCGCACTCGTGTCTATAATGAGAACAGATGACATTCATCGATAAATGCTAGGTGAGGCAGTGAGACGGGGGGATGGGACGGCGCAGTCTGGGGAGACGCAGCCACGAGACAAGAACGAGAGTGCGGGGAAGTGGGGAAATCTACTGAGCATCCGTGGAAAGCAGGATCGTAACAAGACGGTGAGAGATGAGTGTCCAAGTACCAGCCTCGATACACCGGAGGTCTAGACGAGTCGGGATTCCAAGCCGCCTAGGGTGCAGCGTGGGGAGGGTAACGCGCGCGCTAAGGCTGGCTTAGAGGATCCCGATGTTGAGACCAAAGTTCTTGAGGTCAAGGAGGTCGTCGTCGTTGACCTGCTTGACGCTGCCGCAGACGGTGCCGCCGTTCTGAGCGACGGGAGTGGCGCTGGCGGCAGCGGCCTTCCTGCATGATCCGTCGAGGTCGAGGATGCAGAGTGAGATGTTGACGTTCTTGGCGTCGATCAAGTCGTTGTCGCTGATCTGCGTGGTGCCAGGGGGGCAAGCAGAGGCGGTCGAAGAGGGGGTCGACGACGACGAGGTGGCGGCAGTGCGGGCCGAGGTAGGGGTAGGGTGCGGGTGAGGGTGAGGGTGAGGGTGCGGGTGGTTGCCACGGCGAGACAGGTCGCTCAGAATGGGGATGGCGATGTCCGGGTTCTTAAGGTCCACAAGGTCATCGTCGTTGATCTGGGTCACGTCATCGCTGTCCTCCTTCTCGGCGACCCGCGAGGGCTCGGGGTGAGGGTGAGGGTGAGGGTGGCTACCCCTGCGCTCGATGTCGCTGAGGATCGGAATGGCGATGTCCGGGTTCTTGAGGTCGACGAGGTCGCTGTCGTTGATCTGAGTCACGTCACCGTCGTCCTCGGTGGCGGTCCTGGAAGGCTGAGCAGGGGCCGGGTGAGGGTGAGGGTGGGGGTGGCTACCCCTGCGCTCGATGTCGCTGAGGACCGAGATACCGACCTTGGGGTTCTTTGCGTCGACGAGGTCGTCATCGTTGATCTGGGTGATGCGGCGCTTCTGCATCTTGCCGATCTTGGAGAGGACGGGAACAGCGACACGAGCGTCGGCGGCGTCAACGGCATCGTCGTCGTTGATCTGAGTGACATCGCGCTTGCCCAGGCCGAGCTTGGAGAGGATCGAAACGAGGACCTTGGCGTCCTTGGCGTCAATGAGGTCGTCGTCGTTTACCTGGGTGGTGTCGCGCTTCGAGAGGCCCAGCTTGCTCAGGATGGAGACGAGGATCTTAGCATCCTTTGCGTCGATGAGGTCGTTGTCGTTGACCTGAGTGGTGTCGCGCTTCGAGAGGCCGAGCTTGGAGAGGAGAGAGACGAGGATCTTGGCATTCTTGGCGTCAACCAGGTCGTCGTCGTTGATCTGAGTGGTGTCGCCGCGCTTAGCAAGACCCAGCTTGCTGAGGACGGAGACGAGGACCTTGGGGTTCTTGAGGTCGACGAGGTCGTCATCGTTGATTTGCGTGGTGTCACGCTTGGCGAGGCCGAGCTTGCTCAGGATCGAGACCAGAATCTTAGCGTTCTTGGCGTCGACGAGGTCGTTGTCATTGACCTGGGTGGTGTCACCACGGCGGGCGAGGCCGAGGTCAGAGAGGACCGAGACGAGGACGTCGGGGTTCTTTGCGTCAACGAGGTCATCGTCGTTGATCTGGGTAGTGTCGGCACGCTTGATGTTCTTGGTGATCTCAGAGAGGACCGAGACGCCGACCTTGGGGTTGGCGAGGTCAACGAGGTCGTTGTCGTTGATCTGCGCAACGTCGCCACGACGGTGGAAGTGACGAGCGTTGTGCTGAGGGGCGGCCGACGCCATGGTGATGGCGAGAGCCAGGAAAGTTGCCTTGAGGATACCCTGCATGTTGGCGATGATGTCGAGAAGGGGTTGGTGCAAAAGAGTGTGTGTGTGTAGGCTAGGTGGAGATGCCGTACGATACGAGACGTGGGAGGCTAGGAGGGTGGGAGAGACCGAGAGAGGGAGAGAGAGAGGAGCGAGAACTGTTGATGGAGAAAAGGTCATTGAGAGCAATCGAGACGGTCGTCTTATAACTCATTTCGACTGTCAACAATGGTCGCTCAGAGGCCGTCTTCGGCCAACCTAACCGATCCCTTGGACAACGCTGGAGCGAGAGGAATGGACAAGGAGGTTCTGGTCGCCCAGTTGCCCTAGGTCTCGGGATCAACGAGTGCAAGGGATCTGTGACCCCTTTGCTTAAGCTTTCTATTTGCCCTCTATCCGAGATTCTCTTTCTCCCTGGCGATGAGGAACGTCCCTTGCTGAGCCGGCGGTCCTGACGGTGATGAGCATCTGATGTATCGAAACGAGGCTCATGAGCAGAGGGTCAAGAGCGGCGGCGATGTGCAGCGGGCTGGCAATGCTTCGATGACCCTGGGGCTAGGCGCGATCTTGCTGCGTTGCAATGCATCCTGATTGACCTTGCGTGTATACCGTCGATTGGTGTTGTCATGGTGAACGAGCGACCAAGGAAGGGTCAAGGAGCTTGCGGGGGCGGTGCTGAAGCGAGGTTGGCTGCTCCTCTCTCTCTCTCTCTGTGTCTCCCACGGACCCCTGGCTGTGGAGCACGCGTCTCTGCGAGGGGCCGCATGCTGAATCACAGCCGAGGTGAGCCAAGAGACTCCTCGCGCCTCGACTCGCGTCCGCGCGGGCACAGCTCCAGCTTGCCTTTCGACCTTTCTCCTAACCACGCTCGATCCTCGAACAGTCGATTGAACGAAGGGGGATGCACCTTGCTCCCATCACGAGCCAATGATCTTTCTTCCGCCCAAGCAAGCCCGCGATACGAGAGACCATCAGCGCTGGCCCCGCACCCTCGCCATCCCTTTCCTGCCAGCTCGTTGATTCCATGAGCGCCCCCGTGCGCGCCTAGATGTTTCCCTCCACCGCCAGCTGCAAGCGCGATTACAGGACGACAGAATTCTATCACCTCGGCATTGCCAAGGTATCCTTGCGTGACCCTCGATTTACCTCGCCGCTGAGTCCCCTCCACTCGCCTTTCTCTCCATCAATTCCGTCTGGCAGGCTTTCTTGCTCTCTCCTGGCGGCAGCGACACCACCGGCCCGGGCCTGCCTCCGAAGCAGACGCTCAAGCCAGACGCATTCGTGAAATGGTGTCATCCTCGTGCGCGGAGATGGCATCACTCGCAGGCTGTGAGAATTGATGCATAAGAGCAGAGAGAACACAAAGGGGTCGCGCACAAAGAAGAGAGCACAATCCAAGTACACCCGGCGTGCACACCGAGATGCAATGGTCGCGGAGGCCCATTGCTGGGCGCGGTCTCTCCTGTGCGTGCGATGAGACGCACTTTCCTCGCAGAGAGCAGGAAGAAAGGAGCTTAATGGGAAATTTGATATACCAAGGGGGTTAAGAGTCGGCTCTTTCGAGGTCGTGCCGGGTCCTTGAAGGAAGAAGTCGGCCCAGAGTGGATGCTCTTTGCAAGCCCCGTACATTCTCATCGAATCATTCCCTCTCCCTTCCCTCCACTCCCAGCAGCATGACATTTGGGTCCCATACGTCTTGCGCTCCAGCCTTCGTCCTCTGCCTCTTGTCCCAATGTGACCCCTCACCAGCTCAACGCACCAGCCCCTCCTCCTCAGGCAGCGGCAAACCCATGAGCGCACTGCACAGTTTGGCATGAGCAAGGCGCACGTCCTCGTCTTCCACTTCCTCAGTCGACTGGTCCTCGCAGAAGCTCGTTCGATGACCACGGCTACGGCGATTGATCCTTTTGGCCGGGTGCTGGTGCTGGTGCTGATGCTGATGCTGAGGTGTGGGCCTCTTTCGCTTCTGCTGCCAAGGAGGAGGCGTCAAGGCCGTGAAGCCATTACGAGTGCGGTCCTTTGGTAGAACCGCAGATGCAGGCGTGGCCGGGTTGCTGACGTCTTGGGTGATCTCAGCGAGTTCCAAACCATGCGCACGGGAGCGTCCGTAGCCGGGAAGAAGACTACCTTTGGGATGCAGCAGGGTACCTAGGCGATCGTCGTAGGAAGAAGAGCGAGAGTTAATGTGGTCGACGGCTTCGCCGGCCGTGTGGCTACGGAGCGCGGGCGCGGCAGGCGGCGGGAGCACAGGCAGTAGGGAAAGCTCCTCGGCCGTATCTGTGAGCCCGGGCGCAGGAGAAGGCGGCACCGTGGAGTTGGTGGTGAGATTATCAGGCTGGACGGCTGCGGCGCCGGAACTGTTGGATGCCTTGCTCTTTCTAGCCGAAACCCTGCGCTTGAGGGAGGCGAATGGTCCGTCGCCTTCGGTGTGGGTATCAGCAGGCTCAATGTTCTCCTCGTGTCCCGGCAGCGCCTGAATGACCTCGCCGAGCTGGTGCTTCGAATCGCTCCGGGCACCCGTAGGTACGATGGGCGAGTTATTGCCCGCCGTAGAGAAGTCGACGTCGTCTTGCTTGATGCGGTGGTTGAGTTTGGCCCAATGAGCAAGTCGACGCAGGGCTGCCTCATCGTACTGAATCTTCGGCTCCTCGAGTCCTGTCAAATCACTGTCATCAAAGTGATGACGATGCGTGCCGCTCGTACCGTCGCCGCTATTACCGCGTGAAAGCCCACTATTGCCGATACTGCACCTCGTTGCTGGTTGCTTCTGTGCTGAGACCAGGAAGGCGTCGAGCTCTCGATAGTAGCAACAGGCGACGCAATTGGTCAGGACGATGAAGACGTACATCGTCTCGCTTCTGTAGACCAATGGTAGCGTGGGGATCGAGATTGTGATGCTGAAGCCCAGGCAGAGGAATGCGCACGCTACTGAACAGAGCATCTCCTGACTGAGGAGAACGCCAGACAGGGCCGTCGCTGGTCGGATGCCGCCCGTTGAGGTGGTAGACAGGAGCCGCATCTTCGCCAACAGGAAGACAGTGCCAACTGCATCGTTGAGATGGAAGAGCATCCCGATGACCAGACTGGAATTCATCATGGGGAGGAAGTGGGAATTGGTGGTAGGGATCACGATGCAGTACTTGGTGCCCGGGATGTGCACGGCGTGGAAGCCTGGTAGAGTAGGACGTGAGCTTGCGTAGAGCGTATGCACCGACGTATTGCGGCTCACCAAGTGCAACGACTGCACAGCATACAGCGATGGATGTTATGAATAGCATCGTAGCTACCGACAGGAAGAAGGTGGCATGCCAGGTATTCACGACCCTGCGGTAGGCAGACTGTTGAGATGCGGTGGGCGGTGATGAGCGCATGGTTTCCCTCTTTTGACAAGGGACTCACCAGTCGCAGAATGAAGAGTGAGGCCGAGCAATGCCATGCTATGACAGTTACGAAGCCATCGAGGTGTCGCGCTAGGCCGCAATGTTCCAGCTCGATGATGAAGAATAGGCCTGCGGACAAGGGCTCTGATCAGCTCGCGTCTTCCAAGCGTCGCGATGATTCTGCGCACTGTGTAGAACGATGCCAGCCAGTGTGAGCCACTTCGATACTATGAAGGCACATCGTGAAGCCGCGGCGTAGGCAGTTGCCCAACCGGAGCGTCGGAGTAACTTGACGTCGAAGGGCAGGCAGTACAAGCAGGTGTGCAGCTGCAAGCCGCAGAGGATGAAGCTGGCGTAGACGGTGCGTAAGACCATCTGGCCATCGTGTGGATCAAGCAGACCAAATGGAAAGGCAGACTCGTACATAGCTGTGGTGGTTGTTGTTATGGTGTTGGCGACGGTGATGGGGGCGACAGTGACGCTACGGCTAGCAGAGATGCTCTTGCGCCCACTTATACCCAACCCTGCGAGATGCGGGGCGAAGCAACGTAGCGACGCCCTCTGCCCGGTACGTTGAATCTCACCACAACGCTTCTTTCCATCTTCGGGGCTCCTTTGTCTTTGCACTCGATCGGATTGCCTTTGCCCTTTCCCACGAGGGAAATCTCACCCAGTCGTAGTCATCGCACTGAAACACAAGTTACATTTGGCGCCCGACCGTCACGCTCATCTACACGCGAGTCCGAGACATGTGAAGACGCCCCGCGTATTTGCAGCTTTGAGACCGTGATGCCACTCAACGCCGTGATCAGTAGCCGCCCTTGTCACGCATTTGCGACCGTGGCGCCCGCGACCACGACGGTGAAACACGCTGGCGTCGCTGATCGATCGGAGGTCAAGTGGTGCACGGGCCGCGTGAATTCAGAAAGCGGAACGGAGTTTGAGTGGCTCCACTTGATCGAGTACCACAGAGCTGCACGCGACATTCGCTCCTCTCTCTGCATTCATTCTCGTCGTTCAATCACTCACTCATCCCCTTCCTTTACGCGCGCAACATGCCCGTCCAACAGGTGCAGTTGATCAAGTCGGCTCGTCCCCCACCTGCGACTCTGTCGAGCCGAGTATGGGACTTGTACTTTCCCTTGATGCTGGTGACCCTGATGCTCTACCACGGTCTTATCCCCGCCATCTTCCGACAGCTTTCCTTTCTCTTGCACCTCCAGCCTCTCAAATTCCTCAGTCCATGGCAGTTTCGCGACGGTGTCTGGGGAGCATCAATGCCCAAACTGCTTAAGATGTCTGACGAGGCGCATCACGATGCGAAGAAATGGCTGCTCACTACTGCCAAGGGCAAGGTCCTCGAAGTAGGCGCTGGCAGTGGGGAGACGATCAAGTATTACGACGAGGCAGCCATTGACCACCTGTACGCACTCGAGCCATTCGAGCCTGCCGTTCCACATCTTGTACGCTCCATCGCGGCGAGAGGCAAGGCCTTCGAGCGGAAGAGCACCGTAATCGCGCACGGCATCCAGGACGATGCTGCACTTGCACGTCACGGAATCAAGCCGGGCAGCCTCGACGCCTTGGTACTCGTGCAATGCCTCTGCTCTATCCCTGGTGGACCTGAAGCGCACCTCGCACGCTGTGTCGAGCTCGTCAAGCCAGGAGGGGTAGTGCTCATGATGGAGCATACGGCGCAGCTTCACGACCCGATCGCGGCCGGCGTGCAACGCATCCTTAACCCTGCATGGCGATTCATGGCCAACGGCTGTGAGATGACGCGCGACTCTCTCGGCGTGCTGATGAGGCTGGACTGCTGGGAGAGCGTGGAGGTTCAGCGAGTCAAGGGACAGACTGCCTCGGCCTTGTTACCGCAGGTGTATGTGCGGGCTACCAAGGCTGGAGGACAACGAGCAGGCAAGAGGTAGTGGTGCGCAGGCAATGAAAGCATCATCGTTTCTCTCTCGTATCGCGTGAAGTGTACAGAACAGCTCGACAATCAACCAGACAGGGAGCAAAGATGTGTAGGGTAACAGGCCCCGCTGCCTTCTCTTTCCCTCCTATCCGACCTCTGCATTTCCTCCCTCTCCTTCGATGGAAACCTCCTCGCCCTTGCCCTCCTCCTCGTCTACTGTCCAGCGCCCGCCAACCGAACAGCGAACACAGTCTGGTCCCCAATGAAGACGATCTGATTCCTGCTCGCCGCCACAGATTCCCACACAGGGTTTCGCTGGAGTTGCGGCGGCGGTCTCGGAGGATGATGCGGGACGATCGCCGGTGGAGGCAGGCCGTAGGGTGACATGCCTGGTGGTACGCCTGGCGGCGGTGGGCGAGGTGGGAAGCCGCCTGGCCCACCATACGGCGTCATTGCCCCAGGAGGACCTGGAGGCGCACCTGGGTAGCCGCCCATGTACCCTGGAGGCGGTCTCGGCGGGAAGCCGACAGGCGGGCGTGGCGGGCCGTACTGCTGGTGCTGGAGCTGCAAGTGCGAGCTGGCCGACGAGGCTGCGGAGGACGCCGAGCTCGAGCTGGAGGACGCAGGCGGAGGGACGTCTGCAAAGAGGCAGCGCAGGTTGTACCCTGTGATGACCTGATGCAGTGCCCCCGTCTCTACGTGCCTCACCTCGATGAAGCTTGGCTCGAATGCGAGCACGTACGGGTGGTGGAGCGCGAAGCTCATCGGGTTACCCTCCCAATGAATGATCCAGTTGCCCTTTGCGCGCCAGCCATTCTTGTTGACGTAGAATGCGAACTCGTCATAGCAGAGCAGGAACTCGCCGTCTATCCTGTAGATGGCCAGAGGCTTCACCGTCTCCTTTCGATGGACAAAGTCGAGCGACGAGTCGGCAGGGTCCAGAAGACCTTGCGTATCGAGCGTCTCGAGATCGACGATCTCGAAGCCCTTGGTGCAACCGACGCAGAGTTTTGACTTGAGGAAGTGAATTGAGGACGACTCGGTCGGGATGTAGAACTCCTTGAATACGCGCAGCGTCTCCTGCCCGCCCTGCAGGAGCTTGCGGAAGGTGGGCTGCTTCTTTCCTCGCACATTCTGCTCGATGGGCTCCAGTGTCTTGATCGTCGAGGAGAGCGAGGAAGACTTGACGACGCACACGAGCGTACGTCCCAGGCATTGGCCTGCCTTGAAGAATGACGTGTGCGACGAGATGCGACGACCACGCTTGAGTGAGCCCATTGGGTCTGAAGGGTCGAGCGCGTCTAGCGTAAAGGTGTGGACTGATCGCTCCGCGAGAATGATGAGGATCTGGTACTCTTCCAGCACGTCGATCTGTGTCACTCCCGGCAGGGGCAAGACCTTGGTCGGCGGTCGAGCCTTCTCGCGCAGGTCGCTGAGGAAGACACCGTCGTCCGTCCCATAGATGATGCGCCGTCCAAAGTCGAAGGGCACACTGCAGTTGACCTTCTGCTGGCCAATGAAGAAGTTCTCGCTGAGCGTAATCGTGTCGAAGATGTTGGAGCGCTGTCGCAGGATCTCCTGGCGCTGCTCAATGTGTTCAAACCATTTGCGTCGCCCGACGAACGTGCTAGCCCAGAGCGTGAGCGAGTACCCCTTCCTGCCCAGATACGTGAATGTGAGAGCATACCCAGTTTTGGCATCCTGCTTAGGCGCAGACCCTGATGGAACACCCCCGCTCAGCCTGTTGCCCGTGGAAGTTTTGCTCATGACCGACTTGGGGCGCGTGGCGTTGCCTTTGCCGGTGGGCACCTCGTCGTACACAGTGACGATGAGCAGCTCGAGCGGGATCGGCTTGCGGAAGACTTTATACAGCTCGTTCTTATGCACCGTCTTTGCCTTGACCATGAGGAGGGCGTGGTCGAACAGGAAGACCTGCAGCTCTGCCGACTCACTCTGCGTACCGCCACGCTTCTTGAGCGGGCCCTTGAAGACGAGCTCGCGCTGCTCGTCGCGCAGGCGCAGATCCACCGCCTCTCCTTGCTTGAAGACGAGTTGCTGGTCCAACTGCGCAAGGTTGAAGCGATTCTCACTCTTGCCCGTCTCGACGTTGACTTTTGTCAAGAACTCCTTGACAATCTTGACCACCTTGGGCAGAGCGAGCTTGTCTGGACTTCCCTCTGGGGTCTGCTTGAGTACAGCTTCGAGAAGTAGCGGGTATCTCGCAAGCCTCGTCGTCGGCTTGGTGAGGTAGCCATTGAGCTCCAACTTCCTCGATTCCGGGCGACGCTCCGTCTCGTCGACGAATTTGGCAAAGGCGGGATTGGAGGCCTTCTCTTTCTCAAACTCGTACTTGCCGTACAGCTGGTGCGCTCCATACTTGACAAAGGGTTGGAAATGAGGCACCATCTCGAGGAAGATGTCACCAATTCGCTCAACGACGGCTTGCTGCTTCTGCCGCTTGGTGAGCAGCTCAGCCAGCTTCGAGTTGACGGCATGTACCTCGAGCACGTTCCAGAAGACTTGCAGCACAAAGTCATCGCGACGAGCCTCGGGGATGATGTCCTGCGTCTTGAGCGGCTTGATCCAGAAGTCGCGCAGGTATTCGAGGTCCCGCACAAAGTCCCGCTCCGTGTAGATGGCTTCGTTGAGCAGCTCCTGTCGCTTGCGCTCTTGCTCTGACACGCTTTCGAAGACTTCCTTGGAGACTGACTCGGCCCACAGCGCTCCGGGTTCCTTGACGTCGCCCAGCGACTCGCGACTGATGGCGCGCTTCAAGACCGTCTGCGGCTTCATGTTGAGGCGAGCCTGCTGCTCGAGACGACGCGGGCAGGCAATGCTGTAGCAGAGGCGATCGCGCGTACATGTCGGGCTGTAGCAGTCGGTCAGGAGCGTGAACACTCCGGTAGGTAGCTCATCCTCGTCTTCGGCCGTGCCGCTTGCAGTCGAGTCTTGATGCATCAGAGCGGGGGGTGCGCCGCGGTGGCCGTCCTTGATGGAGGAGGCGGCCGACGTGGGAAGGCTAGCCTGCGAGCTGTCCAAGTGGGGGACTTGCAGTTGATGGATGCCTGGCGACTTGCCTTCGTCGCCAAAGTGCTCCGTCTCTGATCCAAAGGGGCTAGTGAGGCGCGTACGGAACTGGTAGAGCTCGTTGGGCGAGTCGCGCAGTCGATGATCGTACGTGACGTCGTGGAAGAACTTTTGCGCATCGAGGGCACGGCCGAGCAGGAGCGCCAGATTCCTGTCCGTCGTCTTGATGATGTATGCAATGCGATCTACGGCTTCTCGCCCGTCGAAAGCGTCCTGATAGGTAAGACCATCCTTCACCCTTTCCGCTACTGTCACCCTCTGTTTGAACGAGTCTGCCACACGCGAGAGGAGGGCGGGATATACCAGCGGTCCTCTTCTGTTGGATGGCATGGCCGAGGTGCCCACCATTGTGCTCGCATTACTCGACTGGTACGACATGGCGTTGCTCACGACGCTTGGCCGTTGACCTTGGCCACCCATGCCCATGGACATGGCCCTGTGCTCGAGGCGAGGGTTGCGAGTCGCGCCCAGCGAGGGGGAGTAGCCTGCCTGCGTGTGGCTAGACGCTGTTCGTTGTCGGGGTGGCCGTTGCCACATGTCCACTGAGCTGGCTGTGCCGCCACCATCGCCGCCATCTCCGGTCATTGGCGTGAAGCCGCCTCCAAAGTAGTTGCTGCCCCCACCGAAGTTCGTCGTGCTTGCCGTTGCACTCCTGCCGCCGTGATTGTAGAAGGCAGCAGCGCCCGGTGCTACAGGGACGTTGTGCGTCGAGTTGGCAATTGACCTCCGGTCTGACTCGAATGATGCCTTGCGCCTAATTCCGTCGTAGATGGACGACGCTGCAGAGCTGATGGAGCCGGGGACTGGAGCTGAGGCTTGCGGTTGGCTTGCTATTGAGGCGGGTTTACTGACAACGGGCGAGGGATTTGCCGGGGGAGCACCAGCTGCGCCGTAGTTCTCAAATTCTATGCGCGAAGAGGGCGATGCGTCAGTGGGTCAGTAGGGCGGGCGTGGGTCGGCATAATCTTCTGCCTGGACTCACCTGAGGCGAAGGGATCTCTGCCGTCATTCGTCGGCCCCGGCGTCCTGAAGTCCTCGTCCTCTTCTTCCACCGGCGCAGGAGGCGGCAACCCACCCAGTCCCTTTTGCTTCGGTGAGACAACCTTGCCATTCGATGATGAGCCATTACTATGCGTCGAGCTACCGCCATCAAGCGAAAGCCCCTTGAACCAGTTGCTCTCGTCAACACCATTCTGTCCACCACTACCACCGCCGCCGTTCAGCTCGAAGCTAGGTAATCTCGGCGGATCTACACGTGGCGAGCTTGCCCTATTGTTGAAAGAGGTAACTGAGCTCGTAGCACCCGCGCCAGGTGGCTGACGTCCGTAGATGGACTCTGCCGTCGATGATGAGATGCTGGGCCGCGGTTCTGAAGAGGCATCGGTCTGCATAGAAGCTCGTGCTGGTGCATAACCGCCAGCGCCCCCTCCATTGTACTGACTGGCGCCCGAGTGGAAGTTGGCATACGCGCTCGCAGGCGTCTGGCCCTTTACGCCTCCGTATGACGACTCGGCGCCGATGCTTGATCCAGCATAGGGCGTGGAAGGGTATGGCGAGGAGCTCGAGGACTGCGAAGTGAAGGACGGGGTGACGCTCGAGCGTCGATCCGGGTGATCGTAGCCGTATTGGGATTGCGTTGGCTGGTAGTAGCCTCCCATTCCACCACCGGGACCAACTGGACCGCCATACCCTCCAGGCGCATTCCATCTCGCAGCTTGTGACTGCGATTGCTGCGATTGCTGCTGCTGCTGCCAGTACTGCTGTTGCTGGGGATGAGGGTACTGGGGGTACCCACCGCCACCTACATTAGGAGGAGGCTGAGCGACAGGGCCCTTTGGCTTGGCTGTCGGGCGACCAAAGATGTTCTCGTAGGCCGTCGTCCGTTTGTCTGGCCCTCCGCTGCTCATGGCGGGCAAGAGACGCTCAGATGTCGAGAGCTCGTCGTGTGCGATTCGTCAGAGTAGTCGTCGTCGCAGTCGTCGGCGTCGTGTGCAAATGAGTAGCGTAGCGTCAAGCCATGAAAGGTGAGCTGTTGGCCGGAGCAAGGAGAAGAAGGCGAAGGCGAGGGCGAATCGTCGAGTCGAGTCGAGAAGAGGGAGCCGGCCAGCTGAGCTGAGTACGGAGTAGCAGCAGCAAAGACGATTGATGATGTTGGCGGCAAGCAAGCAAAGCTTCGGACGGGCCGTCCGCGTGAAGTGCAGGAGCTGGTTTGGGCGGTAGGAGCGGCTGCAATGGGTCGTACCTGAGGCAGGCCGCTCGCTATGGTTCGGAGAAGACGAGGGAGTAGGGAGTGCGGAGCCAAGTGGGCCGCAGGAAAGCAATTTCCTCTTCGCACGACGAGAAGGAAGGATGACGTTGACCTGCGCGCGTCGCACAGCAAGAAGAGGGTCGGAAGAGGGGCTGCTGCGATTGCGACTGCGACCAAGAGACGATGAGTAGCAGCAGTTGGTGGTGAGGATCTCGCTCGCTGCTTGCGCTCCTCGCTGCCTGGCTCCTGCACCCTCCTCCCCCTCCCCCCTCCCTCGCACTCGACTCGACTGGCTCGCCCGCCCGCTCGCCCCGTCTCGCCCCCTCTGCCTGCCTGGGCCGTACTTCGAGACACGGCGCAGCGCCCGCCCCGCCTGCCTGCCTGCCTGCCTGCCTGCCCGCCACGCCTCGGTCAAGGGAGCAGGCAGGCCCTCGCTCTCGTCGCTCAAATCGGCCGCCGCCGCTGCCGCCGCCGCTCAGCCCAGCGCGAGGGAGCCCGCTAGACTAGCCCTAGCCTGGTTGAAGCTTGCCCCGCTCACGCTCAACTCACACACACAACACAGTCGGCGTCTTGTTCCGCCCGCAAAAGTGGAACCACGGTGATGAGTGATATTTCGAGCGCAGCCAGCGATGAGAACGGAGCTGAAAGGATGTTACGAGCGATGCCGCGAAGGATGCCGCGAGTGCTATTCACAACTTGATATCATTTCATGATTAGAGAAAGCGTTGAGGTCTGAGGTAGAGATGATGGAGGAGCGTGCAAGAGCGGTGGCAGCCATCTTGAGCGCGGACGTGACGCGTGACACGCACAGGGGGGGGGGGCGAGATTGAGTATGAGGAGGGGTAGTTGGAGGTGTCGCACGACCGATCACAAGGGGAGCGCGCCGACACCTCCCAATCACAAGGGGAGCGCGCCAATGCTCGACAGCCATAGGGACATCTAGGCTGGCCTGCCCGCCTGCCCGCCTACCCTCTCACTTGGTCTTCTTGTTGTTGGAGCTGGCTACCCTGCTCCTCGTGCTGCTGGCCGGTCCATAGCCGTACGGCGAGCCACTGACGCCAGCTGCCAACTTGAGGCGGTCAGCGATGTCCATGCCAAAGTAGACAGCGAGCGTACCCGGGATGAGCACCCAAAGGCAGTTGGGCAGCTGCGCGACAACGATGAAGGAGAAGATCGGTCAGTTCGAGTCTCTTGACGGGAGGGACATCCTCCCCTCGCCCGTATTCTTGCCGCTGCTCACGATGTAAAGCGTCAACCACGTCCTCCAGTCGTTGCTCCCTGACTCGCACATTCCACAGTAATAGTCGCAGAGGAAGTAGAGAATCGTCTTTGAGCAAGTCATCGTGACTCCGACCAGTCCAGCGACGGGCGCAGAGGCACGCTTAGCGTCATCGTCCGAGTGGGCGAGGTAGAGGTAAAGGAAGTTGACGAGGTTCTCTACGACGTTCATCGTGGCTTGGGCGGCAGGGAAGCCGAGCTTCTTCTCCCAGGATGAGACTGAGTAGACCTTGTCGATGAACTCGTAGAGGTCGTAGCCGGGCCAGAGGAAGGCAAGCTTCCCGTTCATGGCTGTGAGCGAGGAGTAAGGGAGCAGGTAGGGGATGAGCTAGGGCGCAGCGGGAAGGCCTAGAGTATGGCACTGCACGTACACTTGAACGAGTGAGGTCGCGCAAAGAGGAATGAAAGGTCCCAGCTGGGTACGCGATGGAGGGAAATGCGAGTCAGCGCGAGCACCTGGTACATCGATAGAACGGCGCGCCAACTCACAAGACGACGATGGACGAGCAGCTGCAGTAGCAAGAGGGTAGGGGGGACAGGGGAAGGGAGTGGGATGTCAGTAGACCGCGATGGCAGAGCGCGCCAAGGAGCACATCGTCACTGAGCTGAGGGAGTCTGGCATGCCATCTCCTTCGCTATCGCCACAACGCCATCCCCACTTCTCCTCGTACTCACGCAATCCAGAAGACGACAAACTTGTTAGGCTTGTGGATGGGCCTCTCGCCGTGGGAGATCTCATTCGCGACGGTCATGCTTGCTGCTGCTGGGAAGGGGGGAGGGAGAGAGGGGAGGCGCAATGGATGGATGCTGGAGCTTGTTGATGGCAAGGTAGGAAAGAAAAGAGAGTGTCTCGACCAGGGAGGCTTCCACTCCCATCATCCCCTACCCACCCATCCAAGGAAGCGGATTGGCCGTGGAGCATCCAACGCTGCTCGTCTGCACGGCCGCATCGCATCGTCTTTGATCCCTTTTCCGCTCCGCCGCACGACGCCCTTGCCCGTTGCTCCGCCCATTGCCAATCCTGGATTCCGCTTCCCACGACGGCCAGTCAGTCCGTGCCACGTTTTTTCCAATCCGCTTCAGGGCGCGTCTGAGCCGAAGATTTTGGACTTGGGACTTTGGACTTTCGAGGAGGACGACAAAGCCGTCTCCACCATACCATCTCATCACCAGCAGATCATGGGCAGGCGAGCAAAGAACAAGCAAGCACCTCCTCAACCTTTCGTCGAGCGTTCAGCGGCTTCGTCGTCCTCTGGTGCGGCCAAGGGGAAGCGAAAGGCCTCTGACGCTGCGTTGCCCTCTTCCAAGGCGGGAGGAGCAGCAAAGGCGGCGAAGAAGGCGCCTGCAAGTGCTAGACCCGTAAAGGCTGCTCCCTCGAATGGCGTCAAGAGCGGCTCTAGGAAGGAAAAGGAGAGGAAGTGAGTGCCTCGTTGTAGCGAAGGAAGCCATTCGAGAGCCGCAGCTAATCAACCTGCCCTTCCCACCCACAGAGCCCTCTTCGCCGACAGTGCTGGCTCAGCCGAGGGCGATGACGATGAGGACGACGGCTTCTCCGGCATCGAGGATATGAGCGATCTCGACGAAGACAGCGAGAACGACGCCGAAGAGGCCCAGAAGGCTGGGATGCTGTCCGACGAGAATGACTCTGATGGCCTTGAGTACGAGGATCTGGACGAGGACAGCGATAATGAGCTTGGTGATCCTGATGACCGGGAGAGGGACGAGGAGGGCGAGGAGAGTGACTACATGGAGTCGGGCGAGGAGGGCGAGGAGGGCGAAGAGGAGAAAGAGGGGGAAGAGGGAGAGCAGGCAGACCCGCTTGCTTCTCTGGGCTTGCCGCAGGATGGAAGGCCCTTGACGGCAAGGCAGAAGAAGAAGGCTCTTGCCGAGGCGGAGAGGCTGGAGGAGCTGCTCAAGAGTCAGGGGTACTCGCTCGAGTCCGGAGATGAGGACGGCGAGGACGTCGAACAAGGCGAGGGATCTGGCTCTGAGCCTGAGATGAACGAGGACGAGCTCGCCTTCCTTAATGGCGAGGGTGGCGAGGGCGAAGACGAGGACGACGAGGACGAGGACGAAGACAGCCTCGAGGGCGAGGAGGACGATGGCATGTCCGAAGACGGCGAGACGTTCACCCTCCCCACTCTTGAGCAGCGCGAAGCCGAGAAAGTGCGCGGTGCCGACCTCCAAGTGGTACAGATGCGCATCACAGAGGTTGTCAACGTCCTTTCCAACTTCAAGCGTCTGGCGCCCGCCGATGGTCCCTCCCGCAGCGAGTATGTCGACCAGCTGCTCGACGACATCTGCAACTACTACGGATACAATCGCTACCTGGCTGAGAAGCTCTTCAACCTCTTCTCGCCCGCAGAAGCCATCGAATTCTTCGAGGCGAACGAGACGCCTCGCCCCGTGGTGATCAGGACAAACACGCTCCGCACCCGCCGCAGGGACCTGGCTCAGGCTCTGATCAACCGAGGTGTCAACCTCGAGCCGGCAGGCAAGTGGACTAAGGTCGGGCTTCAGGTCTTCGAATCTTCCGTCCCCATCGGTGCGACGCCCGAGTACCTCGCGGGCCACTACATGCTGCAAGCCGCTTCTTCCTTCCTGCCCTGTGTGGCTCTCGCCCCTCAACCGCACGAGCGAGTTCTGGATATGGCTTCTGCCCCCGGCGGCAAGTCTACCTACCTCAGTGCCATGATGCAGAACACGGGCGTGGTTTTCGCAAACGACTCGAACAAGGCTCGTATTAAGAGTCTCTCTGCCAATATCCACAGACTGGGATGCAAGAACGTGGTCGTCTGCAATCACGACGGCAGGCAGTTCCCCAAGGTCCTCGGTGGCTTCGATCGCGTACTGCTCGATTCGCCTTGCTCCGGTACGGGAGTCATCAGCAAGGACCCATCAGTAAAGATGAACAAGACGGAGAGGGACTTCCAGCTCCTTGCCCACCTGCAGAAACAGCTCATCCTCTGCGCAATCGACTCGGTAAACCCACGCTCCAAGACGGGCGGGTACGTCGTCTACTCGACGTGCTCCGTCGCTGTAGACGAGGACGAGTCCGTCGTCGACTATGCGCTCAAGAAGCGACCCAATGTCCGGCTCGTGCCGACGGGCATCGACTTCGGTCGACCGGGCTTCAAGTCGTACATGGGCAAGAACTTCGATCCCAAGATGGACCTGTGCAAGCGCGTCTTCCCGCACGCGCATAACGTCGACGGGTTCTTCTTGGCCAAACTGAAGGTGGAGCCGAGGAGTAAGGTCGTCAAGGAGGATAATGAGGAGAAGGCGGCCAACAGGGGCAAGGGCAAGGGCAAGGTTGCCGCTAAGGGTAGCGACGACGAGGACGAGCAGGACAGTGAGGATGTGGAGAGCGAGGAGGACGAGGCTGCAGGTGAGGCCGGAGCGTTTGGATTCAATGCTGAGGAGGACGAGGCGCTGATTCAGGCGGCTCAGCAGCGTGTGCAGCAGAAGAAGGGCGGCAAGGCTGCCGCTGCGGGTACCGCAGGCAAGAAGAATGCCGTAGGTGCCAAGACGAGGCGCGCATAGCTAGCATGTGTCAATTGCATTGTGTAGTAGTACATGGTTGAACCTGGCGTGAGATCATGATGCGGGTATCTTATATGCTGGCTTGCGGTCATCTCCTCGTGCTCATCCAATCGCGAGCCCATCCTGCCGCCGTAGTCGCAGCGTTAATGCCGACCTGGAAGCCATTGCCTGACACCACAGAAGCGGCCCCTTGTGGCAGCTGTGTCGACGATGCTGATGCTTTGCGAGCTTTGGAAGCGGCTTGAGCTGTAAGCGCACAGGAAGAAGGATCAAGTCAGTCCCTCTGTCTCGCACACCATCATCATCATCATCCCGCTTCTCTGCCCCCAGCACCCACCTTGCTTGACAATCTCATTGATGTTCGTCTCCAACACCAAACCGCCCTGTATCAGCTGACTGAGAATGCTCTGCACCTCATCGTAGTGGAAGATGAGATCCAGCTCGCAGACATTGGGGAAGAATCGATCGAGCGACTCGACGAAGACCTGAATGAGATCGAGGATAGCCAAGTCGGACTCGGCACTATCGACGACGAAGATGAAGCAGAGCGTAGCATAGTGTCTATATATGACGCGGTAGTCGTTGTCGATACCAGGGGTGGTTGAGGATGCTTTGGAAGAGGACGCTGGTGGTTGGAGGAGGGCCTTTAGCTGAGGCGCATCGAGAAAGTTGCACAAGCCTTCGTCTGGCCGATTGGATACGAGGTGGTAGATTGTGCGGATGAGGAGCTGCTGTCGTGCGGTGGAGATGGGACGATAGAATGTCGCTAAGCGAGCTTTGCCGTAGTTGTTGATGATGACGACTGATTCGACTGCCATTGTGGTGTTAGGGGAAGTTGAGGTCGGAGCAGGATGGAAGCAAAAGAAAGGACAGACGCGAGGGCCACTCGCTTTCCGCTCCTCTTGTCTGGACGGCCGCTTCTCAACTTGGTTTCCTCATCTCTCTACACGATCAACCCAATGCCGCCGAAGAGGCCCCATCCTAATCCCTTTGGCGAGGATGACGCCGGCAGCAATGGCGATGCTACCGCCGCGACTCCATCACCCAAGCGACCTCGTATCATTCCTGCGACGCTTGAGGCTGGCAGCAGCGGCGCAGCACCACCAGCATCTTCCGGATCATCGACCGCGCCATCCAGCGTCCAAGCTCAGATCGCAGCGGCCAAGGCAAAGATTATGGCAAAGATGGCGAGTCAAGGGCAGCAAGCCTCTGTGCAGCCAGCTCGACCTCCGGCTCCCACTTCAGCATCACTCCCGCCCAGGCCATCTGCCTCGATGGCAGGCGCAGCTCCTGTCCCTCCTCGCACTGGAGGCGCGTCCGCCAAGCCAGACTTCGAGGCCATGAAGAGGAGGGTCGCAGAGGCAAAGAGGGCAGCAGAGGAGAAGGCCGCAGCTGAAGCCAGGCAGCGACAGCAGTCGTCTACCTCCGCAGCAACGAGAGCAGCGCCCACACCCGCAGCACGCAGCGAGGGTCGACAGGGACAAGGTCTCCATCCGCTCCTCGCTCAGCAGTCAATTCCAGCTGCAGGCACCTCCTCTCCAGTCCCGTCGTACGCCAGGGGCGCAAAAGCAAGCGCAACTCCAGAACCAATCAAGGTCAACCCCTACCTCTCCACCGAGGACGATGCCTCAGCTGGCCCCTCGTCGACGGGCGCAGCAAAGCGCAGCATGCATCGGCCCCTTCAATTCAATCGCGCTGGCCGCCATGTCGCAGCCGCAGAGGAGGCTCGCCGAGAAGCCCAGCTCGAAGCCCTACAGAAACGCATCGCCGAGCGAGGTCGCCTGGCTGGGCTTTCCGACAAGCTGACAGGCAAGGAGAGAGCCATCAAGCGGCAGCCGCCACCTGATGTTGAGTGGTGGGACGCGGCGCTATTGCCAGAGGAGAGCTACGAGTGCGTGCCGGCGTACCCGCCCACGCAAGAGATACTCGCTCGAGCAGCACAAGCCGCACCTGCAGCGGAGAGCTCCTCTCCCTCCTCCTCCTCTTCTTCCCTCCTACCCCTGATCATCTCCGCGGGCACACCCATCGACTCCTACGTCCAACACCCGATCCCTATCCCCGCTCCCAGCTCAACTGCTCCGCCTCCCCCCTCCCGCGGTATCATGCTCACCAAGCGCGAAATGAAAAAGATGCGCAGGCAACGTCGTGCAGCCGAACAGCAAGACAAGCAAGATCGCATCAAAATGGGCCTCCAAGCCCCTGATGCGCCCAAGGTCAAGCTGTCCAATCTCATGCGCGTCCTCACCTCTGAGGCAGTAGCCGATCCAACAAAGGTCGAGGCCAGGGTGAGGAGAGAAGTGGCCGCAAGGAGAGTACAGCATGAGCGCACCAATGCCGAGAGGGCCTTGACGGGGGATCAGAGATGGGAGAAGGAGCAATCCCGAAAGGAGAGGGTGGAGGAACAAAGGGGTACCTGGCTTGCAGCATGGGCCGTCCCGCTACTCGCGCATCCCTACCACTTGGCGACTATCAAGCGTAGCGCAAAAGAGCAGGGTCTAGGCGGGAGATGCGTGAGGGTGAGACCGGGCAAAGGAGGGATAATCGAACGCGAGGGAGAGGATCATCGGGGTGGAGAGAGCACAAAGGAGGAGCAAGGCTTTTCCCTCGTCGTGGTGGAAGGGTCATTCGACGGCATCAAGAAGTTCAAGAAGACTATGGCTAAGCTCTCAGAACGCGATCCGCGGGATAAAGTCGGTGGCTCTTCCTCCAGAGACGATGATGAAGCCGGACCCTCCGCCTTCTCCTCTTCAAATCGACCCTTCCTAGGCGCAATGGGTGACGCACCACCTCCTGGCCCTACAAACGCGCTCGACGACCTCGGGCTGCACGACTGGGAGGAGGTAACCTGGTCGCGCAACACCTTCCAGCTTGTGCATGAGGGGCGAGTAAAGGAGCGACTACTCCCCCCCGCACGAGCGGGCGCTGCTGATGGGAGTGGCGGGAGTGGGGACAGTGCAGGATATGCGTTGCGCATTGTTCCTGGGTGGATGGAAGGGAGCAATGAAGCCAAGGAACAGTTGCCTGAGCAGTGGAGGGGCTTGTGGGATGTGGCGGGTAGGTGGGTTGAGGCTGAGGGGGACTAAAATGCGAGAGCAGGAGAGCGGGCGTATAAGACAGCATGCTGCGGTGTGGTGTGGTGCTCTCCAAGGTAAAGGGGCGATCGATACGCACAGTCTCAATACTAGAGGCAATGCTTCATATTCATGATGACCGAGAAATACTGTTCTTTCAATCGTGGAGTACCGATAAGGGACGGGAAAGGGACGGGGAGATGCTGAGGACGAGGTGAGACCGAGAAAGCGGGAGAGATGGGGAAGCCCAGCACTGCGAGTGGAGTGAAAATCGTAAAGAGTGTGACCATGGATGGAGAGAGGGGGTAGAGTGTGCCGTATGTTTGCTTTGCGCGGGGTGCTACAGTAGAGACCGTGATGGATAGAGGAGAGGCCTGGGACTTGCGTGATCGGTCGGGAATTTGAATTGGACGAGGCGTTGCTGAGGCGTGACGAAGAGAATTGAAGATGGAATGTGTGTCCATGGATGTGGCGCGGGTGCTTGCCTACCGATCAACGGTAGTAAGGCGGCCCACCCCTAGGGGGCTGCTGCTGCCCTGCAGGGTAGTAGGGCGCCTGCTGTGGGTGTTGCTGCTGAGGCGACGAGTTGTAGAAGCGCGCAGCCGATGTAGGCTGAGGTGGTCCACCGAATTGACTCGGCGGGAGCTGCGGTGCCTCAGCGTACATGCTCGCAGCCGAGACAGCCATGCTGTGTTGCGGGTGCACCTCAACCAGTGAGGCGCTGCTCATGTTCGACGGCGAGGCATATCCGGAGGGAGCGCCGTACATTCCTCGGCTACCTGGCGTTTGAGCTCCAGCAGGAGAGGGGCCGCGCTGCGGCGAAGCGTAGAATTGGCCGGGTCCAGGGGAGGAGCGACCCGAGTCGAGGTATCCACCGGCTCCACGGGGTGGCGGAGGCGTGCCGCGACCGACGTTGCCGTAGCTGTCCTGCCTCACGGGCTGACCGGGACGGATCGGTCCACCAGCGCCAGGAGGGAAGAAGCTGCCGTTGCCGTTGCCAGAGCCCTGCGAGCCAGCGGTGTTGGGGCGATACATAGCGCCAGCAGGCTGAGGCGGCGGGATTTCGTTGCCCGGAGAGGGTCGCGAGTTGAAGCTGAGCATAGTGCCTGCGGACCCCTTGCGGAAGTGTTGCTGTCGCCCAGTATCGTCATACATTGCTGCCTTCTCGAGCAGATTCTCCTGGCTGCCTGCAGCGAGGTTGTTCATCTCAAACGCATTGCCCGGGTTGCGCGGCCCACCAGCCATGTAGCCTGCGTACTGGGTTTGGAAGTCGGCCGTGCCCTGACGCGAGGGAGCGCCACGGAAGGGAGCAGCCGTGCTGGTCGAGAAGATCGAGGCGGCATCGTTGTCCAGCTTAGGATCGTAGGCGCACTCCTCTTCTTCGACGGCCTTGATCTCCAGACCGCCAGGGCCGGCCATGACGCTGGTCTTGCTCGGGTCGCCGTACGAGTCGTGCTCGTCGAGACGGCCTGAGTAGACTTGAGGGAGAAGATGCTTGACCTTGGCGTGGACGAGGGGCGTGAAGAGCTTCTGGTGGAGCGAGGGATGCCCGAAGCGACGAGCCAGGCGGTGATGGCTTGCGTCGCCCGTGTGCGTCTTGAGCGAGGCAATTTCGCTCGCGTCGGGAATGTACCAGTCAAACTGCCTGTCGAAGGCGATGCGACAGTAGATCTTGAAGGCGAGGACAAAGAGGATGGGCGGAAGGCAGGCAAAGGCAGGCCAGTGCTGGTCGAGCGCCACAGCGAGCGCCAAGATGACCTGCATGAAGACGATGCAGACCAGCAGTCGGTTGATGACGACGCGCCAGAGACGACCGCCCGACTCGTTCTTTGTGACGACGACGTAGATGTGCATGTACTTGTAGAGGTAGAAGGAGACGAAGGCGCAGACTGCGACGAAGGCCAGGACCAAGGGTGCGAGGGTCGCGTAGAGCATGCCAACGGCAAAGAGGAAGAGCATGTTGGCGTAATAGATTGCGTAGTCGAAGCTCGGGGGCTTTGTGAACTCGCGGATGTCTCGCGGCGTGCGGCCGAGGAATGCTGACAGGACCCACGTGTAGAGAAGCTTGATGGCCTGCGAGATGTCGAAAGCGGCGACGAAGAGACGCAGCGGAATCCAGGTGAGCCAGTAGTTGCCCATGTTCAGGTACTGGTTCTTGACAGTGGCCAGGATGTGGTCGACGTTGCGTGCGTCTTTGCTGTTCTTGATGGCCGCAGCTATGGTGGTGAGGGTGACACCGACCAGCGTAAAGACGATGAATTGCGAGATGATCAGGAATCCAAAGTACTGGTTCGTGATGACTCGGTCGAGGCGGTTGCGAGTGGTCACACCGCGGTACTTTCCGATACGGCGCATGAGCGGTGGCAGAAAGTAGCCAAAGACGCCAGAGATAGCGGGAGGCGCCAGACCGGAAACGGCTGAGAAGGACCACGAGCTCGAGTTCTGCCAGGTGGCAAGGAAGGGCAGGACGCCCTTGAAGCGCTCCATCTGTGAGATCAGGGCAACGGCGACCAAGGGCACCGCGTTGATGAAGAGTAGGATCGAGAGGATGACGAAGCCCCACACACTTGAGCGGAAGCGCTGCGACTTGGAGAGGTTGAGGTTCTTCCAGATGATGTCACGCGGGGGTGGCGCCAGGGTGACTTCGAGTCCTCGCGGCTTCTTGCCACGCAGCGAGCGAGCGGCGGCGTGGGCGAAAGGGACGGTGGCCATCGATGCGAAACCGTACGACTCTGGCTTGCGCTCCGAGATGCGCTCCTTCCAGTTCTCGATGGTGGCCTCGAGGTTGTTGATGCGGTTGGTCAGGTAGTCAACGGCATCCACCTGCTTGCCACCGAAGCCCATTTTCGCGCCGATCTTCATCGTCGGACGCTTAGACGGGACGTGGTTTGGGTCCTTGAGCCACTTGGCTAGCACTCGCTCCAACTTCCTGACCGTCTCGTCGTGCTCCTCAATGAGGTAAGGCAGCTGACCGACGACGCGACTGATGTGGACATCGGTGGTGGGATACGGCATGCCAATTGATGACAGAGCGCCAGCAAGAGCCTCGTCTGACCGCATACGCTTGTCGACGTGCGTGATCATGAGAGTACGAGCGTTGAAGGAGGTCTGATAGTCGTCTGATCGGAACCACTTCCAGCGCAGTCTAACCATCTGTCTGTAGTTGAGCCAGATGAAGAAGAGGGCGACAATGGTGCCAATGTAGCTCATTGCGACGTGAGCCCAGATGTAGTTGCCCGACACTGAGTTCATGGTGAGAGCGTTGATGTTGTACTGCTTGGTAGAGGCATCGTTGCCGTTCTTCAAGTGGAAAGTGAGGTCGACTGGGATCAAGGTACCGCACATGATGATGGCAAGGATCGCGGTGATGTAGACGATCATCTTGCAGAATCGCAGGTAGGTGACTGCGTCGAGACCGATCAAGGGAAGCAAGTCTGCCTCGCCCAGCTTGAGTATCGGCGGGATCCATCCGAAGACGCCATCTGAGATGGGTGGTGGCTTCTTTTCGCCAGCTGCGTATTTGAGCTTCGGCTGGTACACGATCTTGTTATTGGGTCGTAGCAGTGAGAAGGCGCCCAACGTGAAGATGGCCAAGCCAACGAAGGCTGCGGCGGCGATTGCGACCTGCGAGCCAGACGTTTGCGAGGATTGATTCTAGGCGCGGGGGTAAGGAAGAGGCGAAATGGAGGTCAGTACATGCAAGTGATTTCCGCGCCTTTGCGCTGTTACTCACCAGCGCATCTCCGATGAGCCCAATGGGCTCGTCAGATTTGGACATGGCGGGCCGGGAGGGGTGGTGAGGATGAGGGAGATTAGAGGGTCAAGTCGAGGAGCCAATCGCTGCCGCGACGTTTGCGTGCAAAGACGCCGCGACAGACAAGGGATTTGTTGGCGGAGTGGTAGCGAAGAGGCAGTCGCTGACTGTCGATGCGGGGAACAAGGAGCTCGTTCGTACTCTAGGTTGATGTAGGGTAACGGTGGTGATGATGGCAAGGACAAGGGAAGATGTAGGCTGCGCAGGGACAAAGTGTCGAGAAAGCTCCAAGCCGAATCGCGCCAGCCTTAGCCTCGAGTCTCAGCCAGGGCCCCTCATTGAGACCCCTCTCTCTCTCTGCACGCCAGGGCGAATCAGCAGGCAGGCAAGGCAGCACAAGCACGAATCGGAGGCTCGAGAGCGAACAAACCACCGGCGGGTCGGCGCGGATCGACGCCCACGCGAGGATGAAACCAGACTTCACCCACAGCACGGGAGCAGCAAGGTGACGAAGACGAGCAGCTCAGCACAGCCTGGCCCGCCGCTCAAAAGCTTCGGCGACTAGAGTAAGAAGAGTAGACAGACCAGAGGTGGCCGAGAGGAGACAAGAGACGAGCATAGCGTGCGCTGCGATAGCCTGATGTCATTGCGAAGCTTGCGCGTATCACGAACAACGATCACTAAGCTCAAAGCTTCCAGGATTCAAATGGAGGGCAAGGTCGAGCGGCAGGTCTGAATGAGCCGTCATCCCGAGCATCGCAATCAAGCGCATGCCTCTCGATGCTGGCTATCAAGTTGGGCGCGATCATCATCAATCTACGGCCGACGACCATTCGAATGGGACGAAACGACTGCCTGACGATCGAGAGAGCAGCGACCGTGAAGTCATGGGGAGGGGCTCGTGCGACGGTAGCAGAGTGGTTCAAGGATGGCTAGACGCGCACAGAAGCGGGCCGTATCGCGGTCGACGGTAAGAGCCAGCGGCCCGTCATGGCGCTGGTCAGCCTTTCGTGAGAGTACTCAAGGCTCATGACCATGGCGGTGCGAGCAGCGGCGGCGGCGACGGCGGCGCTCTCGATCAAGAAGGCTCACTGCACGCCCAATGGTACGAGCATCTCAAGAGGATCAAGGAGCCCCCTCTCGTCCTCGTCTCTTCCCTCAACACCATCAGCGAAAGCCGTTTTGATCTCCCAGCGCCACCATGATCCTTCCCACCGACCACAGCGGCGAGCATCGACGCTTGTCTGCTCGCCTGCTGAACCTTCTCACCCAGATCTTTGGGCCTTCGCCCTCTCAGTCGGGGACCAGCGGGTCGGACGGCCAGGTGGCAGACAAAGGTCAAAGCAAATACGGAGGTGCCGATCAAAATGGCGACGATGACGATGGCCAAGGTGACAATGATGACGCTGCATCGACAAGTGAAAGCAACAGCGACCCTTTCCCTGATCACTCCACGCCCGCGACTTCATCGCCAGAGCCCAATCCTGCCACTTCTCCCTCGCATGACAAGCCCATGCAAGGTGGTAGCTCCCCATCGAGCCCTTCGATCCCTTCCAAATCGTAAGTCATTCTCGTGCGATTGCGATTGCTCCTCGATCTCCACGTCTCGTTGCGCGGGCCGATATGTTTGTAAAAGGGTCGCATTGGCAAGCAAAGCCGGGCGGACGCGCCTCGTCCGCCCATAGCCTACGGTGCTGTCGACCCGCTTCGCGGCTGCGCTGCGCTCGGTAATTCAGGCACGCAACAACGATGACCCGTTGAGGCCATCGATGCCCCATTCTGCTCTGCTCTCTTGCTTTTGCCATCACATCGCCGTCGTGCTAACCTCTTGACCCTTCTTCCCTCCCCTTCCCTCACCATCGTACACCATATTCCCTTGATCCACCTTTCTTCCTCTTCCCTCCGCTACCACGCTGGCTCTCCACAACCGCATACCTACTATTGCGGGGCCGCGACGATCGGCTCGGCGGCGATTGCTGACTCTGTCTCCTCCTGCTGGCAATTCGACGACCGACTCGACGTCGTCGGCCATCAACACACCAATCGACGACTCTACTCCGCACAACTCCACGACGTTGCACAACACCTCGTCCCACCACAACACCACGATGGCCTCCAACGCACTCGCCCCGCTACCCGTTGGCATGATACCTATTGGCGGCAATCCTCGTGCGGACACCGATGGCGACGCTGGTTCTACGACGAAATCCAATTCGTCATCGACCAATACCACCAACACAACCAACTCTTCGTCACCGTCATCTGGCGGCGGCAATGGTCCGTATTTCACACCCACCGACCCCAACAACTCGACGCACACCAGTGGCTCGACGAATAATGGCACCAATTCGACGACGGGCTCCGGAGACTCGCAGCAAGGCCAGCAGGGGCAGCTGGGGCAGCAGGGAGGACAGGGTACAGACAAGAACAACAGCACCTCCACGCCTCTGCCCACGCCCACTACTACCAACAACGCCACGACGGGGACCAACGTGACAAACAGCACCACGCCCACCCACACGTCGAGCGGCAATGCCCCTCAAACGACGCCCATGCCTCTTCCGGCGGGCAAGAACGACACCGAGCCCACAAAGACGACGGTCTACCTCACGCAGACGAACCCTGCTGGTGGACAAATGACCAAAACGATCGTCGACGTGATGCCACAAGCAACGAGTACCTCCTCTCCCTCGTCGAGCCACGCGGACCATCCTCACCTACCTCTCGGCCCCGTCATCGGCGGTGCAGCTGGTGGTCTAGTGGCTCTGGTCCTCCTCATCTGGCTTATCTCAATCCCCCTGCGTCGCCACAAGAAGCAAAAGGACGTTGACGATATTCACTGGCAGGCCTTCCCTGTTCAGCACCACACGAGGCATGGCGTTGGAGAGGGAGAAGACGAAGACGACGATGACCGGCCGATGAATTCGGCCGCCGTCGTCCTTGGTCATGCCGCTTTCAACAACGAGGGAAGTCAAACCTCCCAAGACGAGAGCAAGCAGCATCAGCATCAGCGCCAAGACCCTGATGGATCGCGCGATTACGAGATGCGCGAGGTTCCCGGACAGACGGGCAATAACAGTCTTGGCTCTCCTTACGGAATGACGTCGTACTACCCGTACAGCAACCTCGACGGAGGCTACAATGCGGACCATGCGGCGTGGCACCAGCATCAGAATACAGGACAAGGCTACGGTGTTGGCAGCTGGTCGTCGCAGGATCAACAGTACCAGACGCAGCAGGCAGACTACAGCGCCAGGTCGCACAACTCGCACGGCAGCTACCACATGCAGTCTCCTCCACCCTGGCTTTCGGGCGACAGCCCTCCGCTTCATTCTACGAGCCCGGCCGCACCGGCATACAGTCCTCCAGGCCCCACAGCTCTACAGGGTCGACCTTCGCTGAAACAGCACCTCACGCCGCCTCAAGCTACGCCTTCTCCCAGCTCAGTGCTGGGTGTCGGCTCCGTCCGTGGGCGTGACCCTAACAGCAGCCTCGCCGCTTCCTCACCCGATGCACTCGCTCCCATCAGCACCAGCGTTGGCCGCGCGGGTAGCAACAAAGGTCTCACCAGCAACTCCAGCCAGAAGAGCCTCGCCGCATCGGCCACGTCCACGTCCTCTCCAACCTCGCCCTTGAACTATGCCGCCGCAGCTGCCGCTCTCATTCCTCCTCCACCTCCCCTAGCCGTTGCAGGGATGATCGGCCCCTCGCCTCACCCATCGCCGGGAGGAGTTACCAACACCACGTCCTCTCACTCTTCAAAGCCTCCTTCTCTCAAGAGCTCCCCTAGCATGGGTGCTGTAGCCGTGTCGACGGGCGTGGATGGACAAGGATTCAATCGCGGCGCCCCCTACTACTCGCAGGGAGAAGCTCGCTCTGGTGTGACAAGGCAGCGCACCCGCTCTGATGGAGAGCACACGCCTGTTCGTAACGATCAGCAGCAGCTTAACCCCTCGCCCTCTCCCGGCACTGGACTGGCATACAGCCACGATGATGAGATCATGCTCACAAGCCCACAACAGCATGCAGAGCCTATTGTGGGCCCTCGTCCGGCACGCGAGCTCGCTCCCACTCACGGGCCTATCGACTACTTCTCTTCGAAGAGCCAGACGCCCACGCAAGCCCAGCCTCGACCTTTGCCCCTACACCCTCACCTGCGCAGCAGCAGCAGCAGTCTCGCCCGAAACCGGGCTCAGCCTCAGGGCAACGATCAGGCCTACGACACAGGCTATGATCAAGGGCAGGGGCAACGCGAGTCAGTCATGCCCTTGCAGCAGGAGAAGCTGGGCAAGTTGAGGATCACCAATGCGCTTCCTGAGAGTCCAGGAATGTGAGCCGCATTGAGAAGGGCTGGCCACATCCTCGCCTCTTCGATACCTAAGTCGATTCTCTTCACGTCTCTCTCGGTCTGCCAATCTTCCTCACGTCACCACCTCTCGCTTGCTCAAGCGTCCAGCCTCGCTGGCTCGAGGCAACAGCGCACAGTAAGTGGGGCCTAGCATGTCAGCAGCCTGACACGCCTCATTTCCTACCTATCTCATCACCACGCCTCATCACTCTCGCCGAGTCATCTCCTCCACGCTCCGTTCTAATCTGTCAATATCAATAAGAGTGTACGTTAGATTGAGTACAAGGAGGTCCAGAGGAGCAGAGAAAAGGGAAATGGCGATACTCAGGCAACCTACACTACACCGCCATCTGGCCCTTGGGCGCAAAAGGCCCCCGTCCTCCACGTCGCGTAATGGCAGGCGCTGCCTCACTTTCTGTCCTCTGCTCGACCGGCTTCGCCTCCGTCTCAACAAGGGCTGCTTTTCTCACCTCCTCTTTCTTCTTCTCCACCTCCAATCTCCCACCCAAAGCCTTGACCATCCTCCCTGCCTCCGCGCGCAATCGTGTCGAGTCTCTGAGGAGGCGCCAAGCAACCATCTCCCCTCCCTCTATGCGAAGCCAGCGTTCCTGCACATCCTCCGGGGCGAAGGGAGAGGAAGTCGAGGTAGTGCCACCTCCGGCTACCGAGGCTGCCTTGGCTGCCTTCTTTGCTGCTGGGGAGGAGCGACCAGAGAGGACGGCGGCGAGGGGTGATGGTCTTGCGAGGCTTGACTGCACGGATGAGGCGAGCGAGTCGGCGCTGCGGAGCCATTGGATGCTGGAAGCGTGTGGGTGGTCCTCCTCGTGTGCGCTGTGGAAGAGCCCTGTGAGAGCTCCGCGAAGCTTGTTGAGGACCCCAGCTGCACCACTGCGTGACTGGAGGGCGTACATGGTCTCTGCGAGGTGCGAGGACGTCAGGGCTTCACGATGTCGGAGCCAGAGGGTGTGGAGCTCTCCAGCGGCTTCCTTGCTGGCAGAGCTCTGTTCGCGCTCCAAGTCGAGACGGATCAGACGCAAGGCTGCTGCTTGAACTCGGACGGCTTCTTCGAGGCCTGTTCGCCATGCCGGGTCTGAGGAGGGGGCGGAGGTGGTGCTGGCTGGGTTAGGAGAGGAGGCGTACAGAGCGGAGAGGGAGAGCAGTGAGATAATGAGGGAGCGAGTGAGCGCCGGAGTCGGCGTTGGCATTGGCGTTGGCGTTGCCAGCGTGGTAGCCGGAGCGGCGGCCGCGTCTTGAGCTTTCTTGCTACCAGTCCATCCAGAGAACCACGAGGACGAGACTTGAGGGCTTTCGCCCTGCTCGCCGTTCATATGGGCCACCTGACCCAACACCTCTTCTCTCTGCGCGCCTTCAACCGCAGGCTGTGGTCCCTGGCCCGCCAAGCTCACCGCCTTGAGCATCCACGCCTCTGCCTCTTCCCTCTTCCCAAGCAGAGCATTCAGATCGCCCAGCTTGGTGGCGAGCCTGACCAGCCGGCTAGCATCAGCGCCCTCCCTGCCCGAATGCCCAGTGGTCTCCCTCGTCAGCTCTGCTGCCGAAAGGGCGTCAAAGATGCGCTCGTATCCGGTAATGGCTCGTCCGACTGCGGCAGGGGATCCCACTCTTTCCCTCGTAGCGGCCAAGCGACTCTCCATCCTGAGCGCCGTCTCATCCAGTGGCTTATCCGTTCCGGCCTGATGCGCATTCGTCAGCCCCAAACGTACCGCTGCTACATCGGGTAATTTGACTCCCTGCTTCTCCGCGAGCCTGATAGCCACCTCCAAGTAACGCTCCGCCTGTTCCAACGCGTTCTGCGAGTAGGCGATGGCGTCCAAGCTAGGCGTGGCGCTCTTCCGCCATGAAGAAGGGCCAAAGAGGTCAGACCCGCCTCCAAAGAGGAAGTCGGGTGCAATGCCGGTACCCCAGTGCAGACTGATCCAAGCGCTTCTCAACGCGTGACGACCCGCCATCCCAAGGCGACGGTCCGTTCCACGTCCCCAGGCCTCTTCGTCTGCTTCGCTTGACCAGCCCCAGGCATCGCCGACGTCGTTGGATCGTGGGCCACGCTTCATCGCAACGTGCTCGACGTACTGATGTGCCCCCTCGTAGATACCACCGCAGAGCAATGCAAAGGTGAGTGCGGTGCCGACGAGGATGCGTGCAATGGCGGAAAGAGTGCGGACAAATTGGAGAAAGGGGGAGGCAAAGGTTGAGACGACGCTGGCTTGGGAGGGGCCCGTTGCGTAATGGCGCGAACGCTCCACCGAGGTATGGTAGGGCAGGCGAGGACGCGTGATGGTGTGCAGTTGGCGGGCCAGGCCAGGTTGCGTTGCGGTTGGCCAGGGGCGGGATGCAGGCCTCACCGAGGATGTTGACGACGATCTTGCTGCGCCATCGAATGCTCCCAGTAGAGAGCCATTCCCTGCCACTCTTCTCAGCACGTTGGTAGAAGCAGCCAAATCCGAGCTTGGCGCGAGGAGGTGCACCTCGGCAGCGAAGAAGGCCGCCGCCAGTCTCATCCTTCTTGCGTACCACTCTGGACCAAATGAAGTGTCCACGCGCGCCAGCGAACAGGCCTCGTCTGCTATCTGGGCTGCTCTGTTGACGAGGGGCAGAGGGTTGGGTATTGAGCTGGGAAGAGGGAGGGCGAGTGCGATGGGGAGCGGGAGGATGGCCCTGAGAGGGATCGGGAAGGAGGATGCCGAGAGGTACGAGAAGGGCTGGCGAGCGAGAGGGGGGCGGATACACGGTCAGTGATGGGTCGATAGCAGGTCAGTCAGTGAGTGCTCGCTTGGGCCTGCTTACCTCGAGAAGGTGATGCCTCACGGCTTCGCTTGCTTTCAATCTCTCCACCAGCACCTCAACAGCCTCCTCTCCATCCGCCTTGCCATTGTGCCACTCCTTCGCCACCCTTCCCATCTGCTCAGCATCCCATCTTCTCAATAGCTGAAGAGGCAGTGAGGTCTCAGCCGAGTTGGACCCAGGAAAGAGTCGCCCGATGTTCCAGTCATTGAGCGCCGCCCGCTGCGACTCGTCGATGGCGAGCGTGGAGGATGAAGGTGACTGTATGCCCGCACGAACGGCGGCTAGTGTGAAGCCATACTGCGGTATATGAGGCTGGGCCGCTTTGATCAGACGCAGAGGCAATGCCTCGCGATGCGCAGGAGAGGCGGCCGCTCGCCTGACTAGACTAGCAATCATGGCGACAGGCGATGTAGGTGAGCAGTGGAGAAGCAAGCCAGAAAGTCGAGCGCCTCTGGCCTGCAGCTGCTCTCGTCAGTCGAAAGTCGAGCCCGTGCTTACATAAGTCGTCGTGCCGCACGGGCCTGCCAATTTGGACGGAGAGCGGATGCTGAGTCGCCCGAGGGAGCGAGATGAGGGTGGTGCTGCCTGTCCGTCGGCTCTCGATCCATCGTCCAATCAAAGCCTCCTGCCGCCGTTGTGTGTCGTCTCTGTTGCTGCTGCCCACATTCGCAACGCAGCTACCGCAGCCAGCGCCAGCGGATCTTGAGGTCCGTCTGAGGTGATACAGAGCGATTGTACGATCTTGCGACCACTTTCGCAACTCGTCGACACGTAAAGCTGCCCTCGCCGACGACCAGAGCTCAGCCTCATCTTACGCCCAATTGACTCGATTGCAACGCACGAGTCGACCTCTGTTACTCCTTCTCTGTCCGCTCGCGCATGGACCAAGAAGCCATCGATACTGCCACGGCAATTCTTGCTCATCTACAGTCAACAACATCCAAGGACAATCTCAGTATCCTTCATCATCATGTCGATTCAGGTCACACGGCAAGCGACAACATCTTCACTCAAGGCGCACAGACAGTAGGGCCGCCGATTGTAGCTGCAGGCAGCCAGTATTGGCAAGAGGTCGCAACGTTTAGGGAAGATTCACATGGGCAGGCGCAGTCGCCAAGTCACTCCAATAGCATCTCATCGAGCTCTCAAGAGGAGGTAGGGGAGGAGGAGGAGGAGGAGGAGGAGGAGGAGGAAGAGGAGAGGGAGGAAGAAGGGGAAGTTCAGGACGCAGAGGAAGCTGAGGAACAAGAGCAAGACGAAGTGGCTTCTCATGACAGCTACGCCAGCTATTCAGAGGCAGAAGAGGACCTCGAAGAGCAAGGAGCAGAGAATGCCCCACTTCCCTTCAGGGACGATCCGCAACGCCTCATGGGCACATTCCCTCAAGGCAAGTTGTTAGGCCGGCTCTGGGAGGGGGCTCCAATTCGACATCAGCAGATTGTCCCCATCTCCAGCTTCGATCCTGCTGCCCAACCGGTTCGCCTAGGCATCGAGACTAGCAGTCCTGAGGCTCACGACATCGTCATGCTTGCCAATGAATGCGGCGACGACTACGACCCTCATCCTGCCATCCTCGGCCGTGCTCGCGCCGTATCCCCGCAATCCCAAGCCTTCATCAACGGGGACTACGTCCAAGATCTCGGCGTAGAAGGCCATGTCGACCACAGTGTCATTCAAGAGCTCAGCCCCGAGTCGGAGGAGGGGCACAGCCAACGCAGCAGGAGCAGGGGCCCGAGGCAGAGCTCCTTCGACGAGTGCTATGCGAAATGGAAGCCGATCGTCCTCATTCCGCACATCAGACGACCCCTGGGTCAGCAGCTTCCGCCCATCGAGACCGTGGGACGAAGTGGCGGTAGCGGCAGCAACGCCGTACCTCGTCAGCCAGGCCGAATCTGGGAAGGACCAGGAAGGAGCGAACTGCCTGAGATCATTGAAGTCGACGAGGCTGAGGAGCACGAGTTTGCAATGAAGCGCAAGCGGACCACCACACCGACAACGCCGACGACACCCACCACACCGGTGCCACCACCTCGGCCTCCACGCTCACAGAATTCAAAAGGCAAGGAGAAGGCCGTCCGCCCGTTGAAAGTCGCTCTCAAGAATACCAATAAGAGGCCTCGCCTCGCCGTCAGCGCCGTCACCAATAGCAACAGCCAGCCAGGTCCTGACTTCCCCCCACTCGTACTTCACCGCATCCTCAACCTTCTCATCGACTACTGGCAAGCGTGGTCATACCATCCCTCTCCGCCCGGTTTGCCCGTCCCCTTTTCCGTCTCATACCGAGACAGAGAAAACGACGCTGGCATACACACTTACAAGTGGCTCTTCATCCTCTCCCTCCGCCGTGCGGGGCAGTTACGCGTAGTCAATAGGCTCTGGTGCGAGATGATCGACGTCGGCATCCCCTGGCTGATGAGGCTCGGGATCTTGTTTGACGTGCAAATCAACGGGATGCCACGGGACTTGAATCAGTTTTCGACGGTCGCAAAGAGCCTGCAGAGGCTGTGCCTGCCTTGCGTCCTGAATGAGCAGGATGGAGACATGTATTTTGGGGAGGCGAAGGAAGTCTTCCCTATTGTGAGCTTGATGGGACGAGTCAGAGTGGGTACAGACAGGCGAGTGAATGGGGGTCAAGGCGGAAAGGAGCTGACTTCTTCCCTGTCGTCTGCTCGCCACAGGCCTGCCAGTACCATGCGCATGTTGAAGAGCCACTAGACCTGGCCGAACGACCTGAGCTCCTCTGTTGGTGAGCACGCGCAATTACTGACGATGTCTTTCTGCGCTTCTCGGGCTCATCTTTCCCTCGCGACCCACTCGTACCCAGCCATTTCTGCCTCATGGAGACGACGCGCGACTTCAACTACATGCGAAGCGAGAATCTCCTTATCTACCCCATCACTCCCGACGAAGACGATATCAACGACTACGACCTCGACTGTTATTACGACACGGACGAGTATCAATGCTGCATGCATTGTCGTCGTGCGAGGGTCGAAGAGCTGTGGGCTACGAAGATGTGGGATTCCCAACCGGCTGCGTAAGTACGAGCAAGCAGTCGTCAGGTAGACTAAGACGTAGAGACGCTGATCCTGGAGCATCCTGTTCCCCGCTCGCAGCCAAGTAATGCGGAACCACACCCCCGAGCAGCTTACGGACCTGATCCGTGCCTCCGAGCCCTACCGGCTGTTCGTCCGTCGAGGAAAGGGCTCAGCCAGCTCGGCAATGAACGACAGCCTCCTCGACGTTCATGCGGACTGGCAGTACAAACGGCAGCAAGCTTGTGGCTGTCGCATTTGTCACAGGCAGAGGAAGAGGCGCGACGATGAGGACGCAGCAGAGGATCATCAGATGGCGGATGAATGGACGGGCGGCTTCGACGATGAAATTGGCGGCGGCGAATGCGGGGTTGACTTTGGGTACGATGAGACGATTGGAATGACGGGATGAGGGCGGCACACACAGGCAACGGGTTCACACACATTCATACCATCATCTCAGCATCTTCTCTCTAGATCATCACTTCTATACCACCTCTTCCAGCTCTTTTTCTCTCTCCCTTTCAATCGTCATCATGATCATCGATCGATCAAGCGGACATCGTCTTGCTGCTTCGACCGCCAGGTTGCTCTTCTTTCTCTGTGGCGCCGGCGATTTCTTTGCTAGGCCGCGCTTCCAACTTGCACCGCACGCTGCAAGCCCGCACCGCTATTGCCGGCGGATGAGAGGATGGAAGGCGGCACGCGAGCAGTCCAGCCGTTGGCTCACTCGGTTGATCGAGGCGGTCCAGCGGCCCAAAGACGCAGAGACGCAGAGGCCGGTTGCAACTCGCGGTGGGCAACTCCGGGTCCAGCGTTGATTCCCGCCCCTTGTCTCCACTACCATCACACTGAGACTTGTCCTTCGCCAACACCAAAGCGACGGACGACATCAAGCAAAGCATACCAAGCCACAAAGCATCCTTCTTCCATCACCTCATTTACATCGCGCCGCCAACTGATGGTCGATACTGAGCCTAGCCCCCCTGATATATCGTCGTCTCTGCGCCGCCGCCACCAAAGCCAAGGACCATCGTCTAATGGCCGCAACTATCAACCCTTGATCGCCCATCGCAAAGACACTCGCAAGTTCAGCGTCAAGCTCTCATCCATCTCCATCTTTGGCTTCGCACTCCTCTTCTTCCTCGCCCTCTTTGCGCCAGCCAACGCTAGCGTCCTCCCAGCACCAGCTCCCAAAGATGCCAGCATTCACAGCAACGACTTCGCAGCAGCGTCCGCGCTCAATACCTCGCGGTCTACGAGCGATGCAGCCACCTTCATGACCACAGGCAATGCACGCGATCAGATCATCAATGCCATTTCAGCCGCCAGCGCCACAAGACGCGACCCCTCCCGCACTCTCATCCGCCGCGCCGAGTCGTCCCCAGCCAACACCTGCAGCTGCGGCGAAGAGTCTCTTTCCCCGGGCGCAAAGGCCGGTTATGCAATCGTCGTGCCCATCCTCGTCATTCTCTCAGGTATCTTCGCTGGTCTCACGCTGGGTTACATGTCCCTCGACGAGACGCAGCTCCAGGTTCTCGCGTCGACCGGGACTGAGAAGCAAAGGGAGTATGCCCGCAAGATCATTCCCATTCGCAAGGATGGACATTTGCTCCTTACCACACTGCTGATCGCCAACATGATCACCAACGAGACGCTGCCCATCGTGTCGGATCCGCTCTTTCCATCGCCCGTCCTGGCCGTCGTCGTATCCACCGTCTTGGTCATCATCTTTGCCGAGCTGGTTCCCCAGAGTGTATGCTCGCGCTACGGCCTCGAGATTGGAGCGTACATGGCTATCCCCACGCGGATCGTTATCATCGGACTGTGGCCAATCGCCTTCCCCGTCTCGCGCGTCCTCCATTGGACCCTGGGCCCTCACCATGGTATCGTCTACAGGCGCGCAGAGCTCAAAGAGCTCGTCACCATGCACGCTGCTTCTGGCGGGCGTGGAGGAGACTTGGTCGGAGACACCGTAATGATGGTCGGCGGGGCTCTGGACTTACAGGAAAAGGTCGTAGAGCAGGCCATGACGCCCATCGACAAGGTCTTCATGCTACCCTTCGACGCCAAGCTAGACTACCCGACACTGCAGCGCATCGTCCGTTCAGGTCACTCGCGCATTCCCATCTACCACGAGGTTGAGGTGGAAGTCAACCAAAACGCAAGCGGCGCCACCACCCCATCGAAGCGCGGCAAGAACTTCTTCAGTGCTCTAGCACGTCGCAATACCGGCTCTCTCTCTAGCAGCAACGAGAAGTTTAACCCCGCCCACCCAGGTCACTCCTCGCCCAACGCCCTCTCTCTCACCTCCACACCAACCACGATCAAGCGTAAGAACATCATCGGCACCCTTCTGGTCAAGTCGTGCGTCCTTCTTGACCCAGAAGATGCAGTCCCCGTTAGCGACATGACGATCAATGCTCTGCCTACCGTACCGTTGGACGAGCCCCTCCACAACGTTCTCAACGCTTTCCAAGAAGGCCGCAGTCATATGGCCATCGTGACCAGCCTTTCTCGCAATGAGAGCAACGTCGCGCTTGACCCCTCATCGACGAGCACGCTTCTGGTCAAGAAGAACAATCGCCTCGCATCGGGTGGCGCTGGCGGCTTGAAAGACATTGATGAGGAGGCGCACCTGGAGACAGGGACCACGCGAACTCGCCGAGCCGGCAGCTCCTCGTCCACCACGGCCGGCAGTGACGCCTCCAGCGGCGGTGAGGGGAACAAGCTACGCTCCTTCTGGAAGAAGCACTTCAGCAGCGAAGTCAGCAACGAGCAGGTCGTGCCCGCCGACGCTGAGCTCGGCTCCTCGGACGAGAAGACATTCGTCCCCGCCGACTCTGCCGTCGCGGCTAAGAAGCTGCCCCCAGGCCCTCGTCATCCACGCGGCGACATCCTCGGCATTATTACGCTAGAGGATGTGCTCGAAGAGCTCATCGGCGAAGAGATTTACGATGAGTACGACCCGCACGAGGGTGATGATGGCGAGAACGGTTGGGGCAACATCTCACCCCCGCCTAGCCCTGGTGATGCCTTCGCCAAGCATACGGAGGGAGGAACGGATCCTAAGCTGAATGCGGCAAAAGACATGGAGCTGACGCTTCCCCCGGCTGCCGTTGCTGCTGCGGAGGAGAAGCAGGACAAGGCAGAGAGCCAGGCGACTACGCAGCAAGAGAAGCAGACTCAACCTCCGAAGACACTACTCAATCGACTGGGACTGACGGGACGACCCAAGGGAAGCGCAGGAAGCGGAAGCAGCGGCGCTGGTCCTGGCACCGCCACCGCCACCGGCACTGCTGGCAATAGTAGTCCGGTCCCAGCAGCACCGACTGCAGCTCCTGTCGTTATCGAGCCCTCTACAGATGCTCCCACGACCTCACCCGTTCCCATGTCCCCCGCTGAAGGCGACGAGAGGGATGTCCCCGCAGCCACAACCGCCGCCACCCGCAGCGGCAGTGGAAGCGACTACTTCGGCCAGTCCAACAACACTGAGGAAGGCTCTGCACCTCAACAACGGTCAAATTCCCTGGGTCCCACTCCTGCACGCTCCGGCACTGGCACAATCACGCCTGGCGGGCTGGTCTTCATGCCCCCAAGCTCCGCATCTCGCCCTACTACACCTGGCATCCAAGCAGGCAGTAATGCTCCGCTCGCCACTCCGCAACCCAACAGACCAATCGTGCTTCGCAAGACGGTCCCCGGTGGAGGGACGCAGAACGTCATTGTTGGGGAGAACATGCTGAGAGGAAGACCCGCTAATGCTGCCGCTGCGCTCATGGCTCAGCAAGGTGGCGGTGCCCAGGCTGCTGGCGCCACCGGTCAGGCCACGACAGGCGTGACTGATCCTGCCGCAGCTGGTGCGGGTGGATCCGCATCCCGCAGCTCCACCCCGAAGCCGAGCCGCTTCAAGTCTACACCCGTACAGCACGGCATCGTAGGCAGCAGTGGTCCCCCCGGCACAGGATCCGTTACCGGAGCCGGGACTACCGGAGGTGCTATGGCGGCTGCAGCGAGGGCTAGGTCGAGGTCCAAGAGCCTTGAGCCTCGCGCTGGTAGTGCGCCTGCGCCTGCTGTTGCGTCTTCCCAGCAGGAAGGAGAGCAGGAGGAGGGTGATGAGCAGGCGGTGGTTAAGGACGAGGTGGAGGAAAAGAAGGCGGAGTAGAATGAGCCACTCCCGAGCCCTTTCTCTTCGATCATCATGACCTCTCAAGCACTGTCGACTTCCTCCTGGTACATTCATTTCTTTTGCATCCTCATCTTCGACCTCTGTCCATCCATACACCTCTTTCTTTTCGTCCTACGACCAACATTGAATCGCATTCGCGCCTTCGTCCCTTGTCGAGCCCAAGCCTGATCTCCCACTCTGTCCGCTGCACGATCGGCGCCCAGCGGCATCGGCCTTCGGCGCCGGCGGCCCGTCAGATGAACCAGCGGCGGCGGTATCGTATTGTTCGTGTGGAGCAAGCGACCTCAAGGGCCAGTGGGCTCAACCCACTCACCCCATCGCCCTCTCCTCCTTTCCCTTCCATCACCTCCAATTGCAAGCACACTCACGATGCCGGCATCGTCATCAACGGTCTTCCACCAAAATTTCGACGCCTCAGCCTACATCAGCGCTCGGCCGCGCTACCAACCTGTGGTATTTGATCTGCTTCGGGCCTGGCATGAGAATGAGGGCAGCAACAAGCGATTCGATGATTGTTTGGACGTCGGATGTGGGCCTGGTGGGTAGCGCATCAACCCACGCATCCCCAAAAGGCGATCGAGCTGATCCGCTTTTGCCAATCTGCCAGGCATCCTGAGTTATCCGCTCGGCACCATCTTCAAACGCGTCGTAGGGCTTGACCCTTCGCCTACGATGCTAGCACAGGCACGCTCCAACTCAGTCCCTGAGGCTCTCGATCTCACCCTTCCCGAGGGACATAGCGTCTCCTTCGTGGAGGGCTCGATAGGTCCCGAGGAGAAGGGTAAGCTCAACGACTTGGAAGATGCGTCCTTCGATTTCATCCTGGCAGGAACGGCCATCCACTGGGTCGATTGGAAGAGTGATCCCAAAGGCGAGAAGATTTGGCAGGAGTTCAGTCGCCTGCTCAGACCTGGTGGATCAATCTTTTTCATCGGGTGAGATCATTGATTACCCCGTTGAGCTCATGGCAACCCCATGCTCCTGGCTCACCCTCGCTCGCCTCACACCTCGCTCCCACAGGTACTGTCCCGAAGTAATCCAGCACTACCCGCTCATAGACGCCGGGGTGCGCCGACTGATCTGGGATGAGGACGAGGGGCTGGGCAAATACTTTGACTTTACCTCGCCGCTCGCGCCGACTTATTTGTCTACTGGACTTTACATTGGTTTGCCCTGCCCGGCCGAGTCGTACGGCGGTTGGGAGGAGCGGGACTCACACCTCTACCTATTTGACGCGGAGGAGCGACTCAAGAGAATGGAAGGGCAAGGTACCCTGCAAGAGACACTTGGGGGGCACATGGTCGTTGTGCCATCCAAGGAGAAGTTGAAGGAGAAGGCGGGCGTGCCGCAGTGGATCGCGAAGCCTCTCGCTGCTGACCATGCGAACGACGACGATGACAGATTCGCGCGCCTGGCCTCGTTCGCCAAGCCGGGAGAGAGGAGCACCACGACTCTGCGTGGACTGGCAAAGATGTATCACTCTGCCAGCGCTTGGCCCAAGTACTTGGCGGACCATCCCGAGGAGAAGGAGATGCAGAAGCAGGGCAAGGATCGTGAGTGCGCTCTTCACAGCGTCAAGATGCCAATCAAACGGGCGACGAAGCAGTGCTGACTGAATATGCCCTCACATGCAGTGCTTTGCCGTATCCTGGAGAAGGCTAGGCAGGAGGATGCAAAGGAAAGGAATGCCGAACCAGTTGGATGGGATGAGCCCCTCGATGTGATTCACCCTACCGCGTTGTTCGTTGCTCGAAAGAAGCTAGAGTGAGGCGCGGGCAGGTGGTAGACTTTTTGTGGCATGATAGACCCTCCATTGCTCTTCATTCCCAATCATACATCCCTTTACCCTCACAAGCCATCGGATCGTTTTGCTCTGCCCATCTTACGCTGAGGCTCCGATCCCCTGGCCCCTGAACACGTTCACAGCGCAATCCTCCCCACCAGCAAGTACCACCTGCCCACTCTGCCCTGCGCCGTCCTCCCCCTTGCTGCGATCCCACTCACAGGCCAGCAATTTCCCGCCAATCCTTCCCTTGGCGTCCGTGGCACTCGCAGGCTTCTGCAAGGTGAACAGCGCCCTCTTGTGACTCCTGGTATCCCAGACCTTCACCACGCCTTCACCTCCCGCGCTCGCAAAGAGATGGCTATCCGCTGGGTGCGCCGAAACGTCGTAGATGGGCCCTGCGTGCGCATTGGGAATGACCACCGTGCTCGAAGATGACGAGGCCGAGTCGCTCACATCCCAAATTGCAAGACTTCGGTCCATCTGACCGCTCACCACTTTGCCCTCTCCCCCCTGCATCCCGGCCAGACAGAGGATCGCCCTCGAGTCACTCGTCCCCCTCACGCTGACCTTGGGGTTTCCACCACGCGTGGCAGAAAAGAGGTCCCACTCGATGAGCTTGCCGTCGTAACCTGCTGTCAGGCAGCGGTGGACCGGGTCTGAGGGATGGAAGATGACGGAGGAGACGCGCGAGAGAGGATGCGGGGCGTGGGCTGGCATTGCTGAGGTGGAAGTGGCGGCGATGGTCGTGGGGAGCGAGTGCCAGAAGAGGGCGGTGGGACGTTTACCCTGGCTGGGGGTCGAGCTGGCATTCTTGCCATTGGCAGCTTTTCTGCGCTTCCTCGAACCGTCTCCCTCGTCATCGTCGTCCTCTGCGTCCTGCTCGGCGCCCGCAGCTACATCGCGCAGCTCGTCCAGCCGCCAATATGCGACACTCCCATCTCGACTGGCCGTGACGAGGCCAGACCCATCTGCTGCAACATCCAAAGAGGTGAGAGCGCTTGGACCCATGCCCATTGAGGCCTTGGGGACAGCAGCTGCCTTGCCCTTTACGCTGATGGGATGATGCGTTCCCCACCAGAGCTGTCGCGGCGTTGCGTCTGCTGTGGATGGCACGCTAAAGAGGCGAACAGCCCCGTCCAATCCAGCGGTTGCTACTTGGCCATCCTTGACCCAACGCGCCGCAACAAGACCTTGAGCTGCTGAGGATGAGGTGGAAGGAACCTTGTACGTGAGCGTTGGCTCTTGCGGTGAGGCGTAGGAGAAGAGACGGATGCACGAATCGTATGACGCTGTGAGGAAGGCGCTGCGAGCAGGCAGAGGTGGACCAAAAGGGTCAGCAAGCGTTGTTCAAGCACTTTGCCATCTTCACGCGCGCGCTCACCCTTCTCTCGATGCATCAATACCTCCGACCCAATCATCATGCTGAAACGCGCCCGCCCACCTCGGGGGCAACGTACTCTTGACGTACTCCAGCTCGACTCCCTCTTCCACCGTCTTGCCATTCTTGTCCAGCCAGCTCTGTAGCGAGTCGCGGAGTAGCTGTCCATCAACGATGAAGTCGAAGGGAGTGGATTGGTGGTCCTGCTCTGGCTTGGTCTGCTGGAGGAGCCGATTGACGAGGGTTGAGAGATGCGAGCGGGCAAATGTAACCGGAACAAGGTATTGTGTGGGCGGAAGGTCTAAGCCGGGGATGGAGGTGCGCAAAGTGAGGGGCACAGAAGGCACAGATGCCGATGCTGATGTTGAGGCCGACGCTTCCATGACGGGCAGCGACTTTTAGAGATGGTGGGCGATGATGATTGATTGGATGCAAAGTCACAGCCTCTTTCCCGCTTTCCCGCTCTCCCGCCTGTCGCCTTTCCTTCTCGACGTCCTCGTAGTCCGTCGACCAAATTCGTCGTCGACTCGGGAGCGCAGATGAGCCACGGCACACGCTGGCTCGCTCGCTCCCCTCTCCACTCCGGCTCAGACTGGCGGCTCAAGCTGTGGTCCAGGCTCGCCTCGCCTCGACGCTGACCCCGCGTTGACGATCCATCTCGTCCAACACTACACGCCATCGCAAATCCTCTCCTCCCTGTATGCTGTCATTGGCACTGGTAGTCGCTCGCAATTACGCCAAAACACTCTCTGCACCTCACTCGCTACTCGGTCGCTCCTACTGCTCACTTGCTCATCAAGCTACGACTCCTCTACCGCCCTACCTCCTCACCCCTCTTCCGCCCATCATGTCCTTCTCTCTTGACCCTACCCTCATCGACCTCTTTCGCTCCACAACCACCGACCAAGCTTCTCAGCCAGAGATCCGTGCAATCCTCGTTCAGACGTCTCCAACTGTCAAGAAGCTTGAGACTACCGCTCGCCTCTCGCCTTCCGCCTCAGACAAAGAAGACTTCGAAACGCGTCTCCCCACCCTCTTCACCGACGAGCCTACTCGCAGCGGATACGCCCTCTTTCGCCTGGACAGCCAAGCAGCCAACGGCGACTGGGAATGGCTCTGTATCGCCTACCAGCCTGACGGAGCAAAAGTCAAAGAGAAGATGCAGTACACGGCCACCCGGACCGCCCTCCTTTCCGGGCTAGACGAGCACCGTTTCCTCGAGACCGTCTACGTAGCAGGTCCGAGAGATTTCACTTTCCCTCAGAAGTTGAGGAATGCGAGGAAGCATGACTATCAGAATCCGCAAGAGAAGAGGAGAGATGGGATGACCGCGGCAGACGCTGCGGGAATGAGTGTTGGTGGGGCGAGGAGGACTTTCGGGGCGAAGCCTGTGGGTGGACAGGCGGGTGCCACACCAGCAGGAGCTAATTCGAATGACAAGGAGCAGAAGACCTTGGAGGAGGTGAACCAGGCTGCCACGACTTCTGCAGCACCCCTCGCAGCTGTAGCAGATACGGCGGCGCCTTCTGCTGCGGGTGAAGGAGACGCATCGGCATCCATCGCTCCTTCGGCCAACGGCATTCCCGCTGCGGAGTCGGCAGACATTCTTGCGGGTCAGAAAGCAGCCGCGGAAGAGGAGTCCACCAGCGCTCAGCCTCCAGCAGAAGAGTCCGCCAGCCCGACCGCTCCTCCTGCCTCAGCAACCTCCAAGACGGACCTGCCCGCCGAAGCCAGCGAGCAAGCCGCAGATGAGAGCAAGGCGCCCGAGGAACCGCCAACGCCAGCGCCAGTAGCAGTCAACAGCGACGTCCCGACAGAAGAGGCCGAGAAAGAGCTATCAAAGCCCCTCGTCCCATCACCTGAGACGGCTAAGCGACAGCTGACCGACGACAATGCTCAAGAGGCCGCGAAAATTGAGGTCAGCGAGCCGAAGAAAGAGCCTGAGGCGGAGGTCACGGAAGAGGAGAAGACGAATGCGCAGTCCGAGAGTGAGGCTAGTCAGCAGAAGCCTACTCTGAGCAGTAAGCCCGCTGCTGCTGCTACCGCCGTGACGGCCGACAAGGCGAGCGCCACTACAACCGCAGCAAGGTCGGCTTCACCATCCGCTAGCGCATCGTCGTCCACGCCTCTGGCTGTACCAGGTACAGCAGACACCTCAGCGTCGAGCCCAGGCGCTTCGCAACCTTATTCCTCCTCATCAGCCAACCGTCCCCTGGCCTGGAGCTCCGAATCAGAAGCGGCCCTCTCTGGTCTCGCGTCGCGCATCTCCGGCTCGTCAGAGCACAACTTCGTGCCCTTGCGCATCGAAGTTGCTACCCGCTCGGTCAGCCTAGCATCTACGGGAGCACCACCACGCTTTGTCCCGCCCGGGGATCTGGAGGAGGCTGTAAAAGCGGAGGTGGAGCAAAAAGAGGAAGGCGAGCTGTCCCTTGTGGTGTACCGCTACCCTGTCGAGGTGAACGCGCGCAAAGTTGCCTTCCTTTACAGCGGGGCACCCTCGCCCTCTGCAAGCATCACGACGACTCTGCGTGCCAAGCTGATCGAAGAGGTCCAAGACAAGGCTGCAGACCTCTCTGGGCTCGAGATCGAGCGCGCCTCCCTCTCCATTGGCTCCAGCGGCGCCTCCGCTGCCGGTGGTGCGGGCAGTGGTTCAGCAGGGGGAGGAGCGTCCTACGGTCCCTACCCTCGTCCCTCCCCCTCACAAGAAGAAGAGGTCTCAAGGCGAATCAGCGATATGCAGAATAGGGTCGCCCAAGCTTGTTCTTCCTCCGGCAAATCCGCCCGGCTCGTGGCCATCTCCAAACTTCACCCACCCTCATCAATCATGGCCGCTCTTCGTCTTACCTCGCAAACCCACTTTGGAGAGAACTACGTCCAAGAGCTATGCGATAAGGCTCGCGTTCTACCCCGTGAGGTCAAGTGGCACTTCGTCGGGGGCCTGCAGAGCAATAAAGCCAAGTTGCTTGCCGCTGTGCCCAACTTGTGGTGTGTGGAGACGTTGGACTCTGCGAAAGCGGCTAGTGGGTTGGAGAAGGCCCTCACTGCCGAGGGAGGGGCGAGGATAAAGGAGCGAAAGGAGTGCGGACTTGGTCGTTTGCGTGTGTTGATCCAAGTCAACACAAGTGGCGAAGAGGCAAAGAGCGGTGTTTCTCGAGAGGGGGACGAGCTGGAGAAATTGGCCAGGCACATCATAACGGAGTGCCCTAACTTGAGGCTGGCGGGACTCATGACTATTGGGTCGGCCGCTAATTCCAAGGCGGCGGGGAGTGATGGGAAGACGCTCAGTCGCCAGGAGGCGCTTGAGGCCAATCCGGACTTCAAGGCGCTCGATGATGCCAGGGAGGTATTGGTAAGGGCTCTGCGCGCCGATCCGCCGTCTCTGCCCTCTGGTCAAGAGGAGAAGGAGGGGGACGATGACAATTATTCCTCCCTCCTCTCCTCAAGCGACGATACCACCGGCGGTCTGGAGCTCAGTATGGGCATGACAGCCGACTTCGAGGTAGCCATTGCGGCAGGTAGTGGTAATGTACGCGTGGGGACGGCCTGCTTTGGGCAGAGGCCTGGGTCGAGGGATGAGGCGCGTAAGGGGATGGAGGAGGAACTCTCCATGAGTGTGAACACGGCTGGAGGAGGGCAAGTGGCAGGAGGAGAGACAGAGAAGAAGGCGGGAGGTAGTGGTGCAGGGGTGGTGGGAGAGAAGGGATTCGCGAGGCCAAAGAGGCCTGGTGGGAAGAAGTAGAGGGTGAGGCGTGTTTTCTGGCATCTAGTTCGACAATCAAAGGCTTGCTTAATTTGACTTCTCTATTGCAGCGTGAGTCTGAGGAGCATGGCGGAGGTGCAGAATAATTCGGCCAATGTATTGGCGGGCCCCGCTCATCGCTCAGAGGAAAAGTCGCAACGGGTACGAAGGGCTGGCGGGGAGGGACACTTGAATCAGTGCGAGGCTCTTTCTTGTCGCGAATCTCGAACACTCACTTCTTGATCCTGAACACGGCAAAGAGTACACTGACTCCGCCCAGGAAGATGACGCTCCATACGTAGACTCCCGCCCTCTGCTTGACCGGGTCGCGCTGCGTTGGTACAAGAACGGTGAGGGCAATTAGGGAGAAGGCGAGGATACCGTCTGCCAGTCGCAAGAGCAGACATCGATGTCAGCGCATCCTTCCACTGCTACCGCAGTCTCATGCGCGAACTTACAGATGGATGCAACAATCTGCGTCTCGACGCCCAATTGATTTTGGAAGCCTCCCGCAAAGTATTCGACCTTGCCATTGGACCCCATGCTCATGTAAGGTGCGCCACGGATGTTGTTCCACATGTACCCAGCGCACATGATGGTGATCGTGGCCAAGCACACGAGCTGCAGTACCCATCCTACGGCCGAGCGCCAGTTGAGGCTTTTCTGACCACCGCTCGATGCCTCCAGTTGTGCCTGCACCTTCGCTACGACGTACAGCACAGCCGAGGTGGCCACCATTGCGGTGAGGGAGAAGATGATGGCCGTGCGCCATGGGAAGGGCTTCTTGTATCCGATGGGCTTTCCGATGAGCTGTGAGATGTGAGACGATACTCCAGGCGCGTCGAAGCCGTGCGCATTGAAGTCGTAGGAGATGCCCTTGTTGGCAGGGCCGTGTGGGGGGAGGAAGAGGAGCATCGGGGCGTGTTGGATTTGTAGCTGCGTGTGAGGAGGAGCGACGAGAGGACGTCAGTCAATATGCTAATGTAGGGTCATGCCAGCCGCTCGTGGGCACCTGCTGGAACACCTCTCTGCCATCTACAAAGTTGACTTCCGCAAAGTAATGCCCGGCTTTCCCCTCCTTCCACCCCTTGCCGTTCTTCTTCCACGCAGCGGCTACTCCTTCGTAGTGAGGCTGGAAGGCCTTGCAGGGCACACAGTCGATGCCCGGAGCATTCAGAGCGGTGAGGAGGATGGACATCGAGTAGTCGCGCGTTGCGGCCGCTTCGTTGACGATGGAGTTGAAGGCAGCCGAATCCAAGTGGGCGATGCCAGAAGGGTTGCGCGAGGCTGAGGCCAGCAAGGCAGAGGGGGGCTCAGCACTGACGAATGATGAGAGGAGCGTCGCCGTTGTGGCAAACAGCGCCGCAAGCGCGGCCGTTGATCTCATGGCGAGCATCGTATGGGCGCAGAGGTGGTGATGGAGTGGGAGCGAAGATTGAATGCAGCTCCCTCGACGTCGACGCCGGTGCTGGCTTGTGCGGCCGCTGCTCGTTCGACCACGTGGTTCAATCTTGGCGTCTCACCTCGCAGCGGGAGCGGGAGTGCGTCCAACACTCGAGTCCCGAGTCGACGCAACGCGTAAATCTCGTCGTCCTCAACCTCACCATCATCTCGTGGCCTACCCCCGCCATCGATGGCCTACAATGGCTATCGCGACGTTATCACTGAATCAGACAGCTTTCACACCAGCGATACGGAATCAGACCTTTCGGAAGTAGCCCATCTAGCCACTTCGCACGGCCCAGCTCTATCTACCACTTCGGGTGGCTCGTCGTCAGCCCGCTCCATCACATCGACCTTTTCTGCACTCGATGCCGAAGATATTCACTTCTTCGATGAGCTCATATCAAGCTTGGCGCTCGGTGATGGCTCTTTTGCCTCGCTCAAGCGTGCCTACGAGGCTCTACGCCCGCAAGACGAGGAGAGGGACGCGCATCGCTGGGATCTGCTGCTGAGCCTCGTGCGCGTACAGGGCAGGGACTGGAGCGAGCGATGGGACGCGGTTCGACTTTCTTTGGGGATGGATATGAGAGGGGGAGACAACACTGCAGCAATGGATAGCGAGACGACAATGGAAAGCGACGCAGATACGGTGGGACCAGCTGGCAGCGACGCAGCCACGATCACTGGACAGTGGACGCAGGAGGAGAGTCAGAGCGAGGGGAGCGATGCGGATCAGAGCAGCGACGAGCAAGAGGAAAAGGAGACCTGGGCGTCAGGTCCTTCAACGCCACGTAACTCCTCGCAGCAAGCAGCCTCAGCACTCCGCGCACGCCTAGACGTCCTCACGCAACAAGCCAGCCAGCTAGCCCTGGACGCCCGCACCCCTTCGCGTCCTCGCATCAACGGCAGTGTCGCCTTGCTCCTCGACTCACCATCGGCCGAGTCGCCGTCATCCTCCGATCAGGATCGGGCGACGCAAACCCTCGCACAACGACGTATGAGCGCCGTCCTCTCGAATCGCGAGCCTCTACGCGCAGCCGCGCAACGACGCGCAGAAGAAGGCGAGGAGGTCGCTTGGTCGCGCTCGAATCGTCTGGCGCAGCAACATTTCGAGCGTCGTCTCCTCGCAGTGAGTCTGGGTTGGTGGGCAGGACAGGCCGAGGAGCGTCGTGCCCGCATGCAGCGTGTAGGGATGGCGAGGGACAATTTGGTGGTCGGGCGCGCGTGGCACCAGTGGAAATCGCTGTCGGTCGACCCGAACGATGCACATTGTCAGATGGCACTGCGAGCGGACGAGGTACGCTTGCTCCTCACTCCATGGCGAGCATGGCGCCGCCGCGTTGCGGATAGGAGAGAGAAGAGGTGGGAGGAGCGCAAGATTGGCTTGAAGGAGTGCTACGTAGTCGTCAAGGAGGGAAAGGAGCAACGGGAGACGCGTCAAGCCTGGGGTGCCTGGCGAGAAGCTCTCGCCGATCGACGAAGCGCAAATTTCCGCAATGGACACTTGCTGGGCGGCGCCTTCTACCTTTGGCGGATCAAACAAGGGGTCAGCGAGCAGCTCGGTGGGTTGCTGCGACAGTGGAATGAGGCGCACCCGCCAGAAAGAGACGGTGAAAGGCTGCGAGAGATTTGGGAGCTTTGGAGGAAGCGCACGTCCCTCGAGGGAACAAGCCGCGCCTATGAGCGACTATGTGTGCAGAGAAGGGCGCTGGGCAGCTGGCTGCAAGCGGTAGCTGAGGCGTCGATGAAGAAGAGGAGAATGGCGCAGGCCGAGAGGCAGCAGGCAAGGGCGACATTGAGGGCGGCGTTGGGGCAGTGGAAGCGGGCAAGATCCTCGGTGCGACAACGAGAAGCAAAAGCCATTGCCTTCCGACAGGGCCAAGATGCCGGACTTGCTGCTCAGGCGGTTCAACACTGGAAGCTTTCCAGCCGTCTCTCGCTCTGGTCAAGGGTCAGAGAAGGCAGGCAACAGATGGCGGCCTTGCAAGCTTGGCGGTCAAGGCTACAAGATGTTACCGTCGTCCTGCCGCAGCGCAGCCAAGCTCTCGTAGCCAGACGCAACGCGTTCACGGTCTCTGCGTACTTCACTCGCTGGCTTCGCGCCCTCAGCTCCCACAAAGAGGACTCGAGTCTCGCCACGTCCCACTTGCATCAGCGCACACGCCTCGCCTTCTTCGCCCAGTGGCGCAAAGCAACCCAAAGCCACACTCTCAACACAGAGCGCGCCCTCGCAGCTCGCGACTGGTTCCAGCAGCGCACCGCCTTCGACACTCTCCGCTCCCGTCTGCGCAATGTCAAGCGACAGAGGCTCGAAGTGCAACACGACAACCGCCTCATCGCCCGCGTGCTGGCCACCTGGCGCCAACGCTCAGCACAACAAGCTCTGGACCGCTTGCGCGTCTCACAAGTCCAGTCACGTCTGGACGAAGGACGCACACGGGCGGCGCTGAGCCGATGGACAGCTGCGGTGATCGAGCGTCGTGCCCTTGTACTCCAAGTTGCAGAAGTCCGAGACGAACGCCTCGCCTCTCTCGCCCTCCGCAAGTGGGTCACCCAAGCCCGACGGGTCGCCGAACTAAACTCCCTGGCGCAAAGCTCCCTCGACGTGAAGCGCCACGAATCCGCCCGTCGTGTCCTGCATGAGTGGGCTCGCCGATACAGAAAACATCGTCTCGTGCGCGAGAGAGGGGAAGAGGCTGTGCGCGATCGCGAAGTGGGGCTGTTGCGTGGCGCATTAGAGCGATGGGAGGATGCTTGGCGCGACTCAAGCTTGAGGGAGAACGAGATGGCCGTCCTGCAGCTACGCCAGCGGAGGGTGATGGGCCAGGCACTGGGCAAGTGGGTGGAGCGCACCAAGCCTATTCCTGCGCTTCATTTCCATGGCATGAGACTCAAGATTGCTGCGCTGCGCAAGTGGAAGGAGGCTCTTCCCCTTGCCCTGGATCGACGACGTGCTGATGAGGCTTATGAGGGCAGTACGTTGCGGAAGGCAATGGCTTTCTGGTGTGAGAAGGCAAAGGCGCGACGGGGAGCGAGAGCTGCGGAGCGATTTGGCGGGCAAGCAGTGGGGAAAAGGTTGAGGAGACACTCTGCGCGCGTGACGGGGGTGAGGAGTCCTTTCGTCGTGAGGCCAGGCAGGAGGAGCTTGGGCCCGAGTGAGGAGGGAGTGGTGGAGGAGCAGAGGAGCGGAAGCCGTATGGCAGAGTCGCCTCGTCTCATTGCGAACCAGTCACCAACGCCATCCTCGCGGTCTTCGCTTCATCGCCTTCGTCAACCTCCACGGCCGGCCTCATCCTCAAGCTCTTCATCATCGGCGCGCCGCTTCCGCCCGCAGGAAGACGATGGCGAAGAAGCAGACCCACCAGCGACCCTGCCCACTTTCTCCAGCACATCTTCCACTTCCCACGACAAAGACCGAGCAGGGCTCTACCGCAGTGCTCTCACGGGTCGGGCGCGTAGCGAGATCCTCCGCCCATCTTCTCTGCCTCCATCTGCGCCCTCAGCCATCTCCACCATCGCTGCCGAGGAAGACGATGACGCAGCAACGCGTACTCCTCTAGGCGCAGCGCGACGTTCTCGACCACTGAGCGTGCGCTCCGAGGCGGGCACCACCACGCCACGCGCTACGGCTTGGGCGAAAGCGATGAAGTCTGCTGTTGCGGCGAGTGGGACTCCCACGTCTGCCGGTTCTGCTCGGAGGAGGGGGAAAGCAGGGCAAGACGAGGGGGACCGCGGAGGGGAGGGAAGCGCTATGAGACGACGTAGGGGTAGCATGGACTTCTTGGAGGAGTTGAGGAGAAGGAGGAGGGAGATGAGGTAATGATACCGGTCTGCTCGGTCAAGCATTGAAGCTGCGTTTTTACCAGTATCGTCCGGTCAACATCGCCACTGGCGGCTCGATACCCACTCACTCAGGCTTAAGCAACACCCTGCAATGTACAGTATTTTCGGCTGCATAGCCGGGCACGAGGAAACGGCGGCCCACTCGCGACATTTGAGCGATAGTTGAACTTGAGCGAAGTGGCCTGCGTACGACGCGAGCAGCGGAGTGAGCGCAGCCCCTTCTTTCTTTTCCCTCCGTAGAAGACTTTCTTTGCCTCATTTTCCCGTGACGAGGCAGCAAAGATAGCGTGCTCTCGGTGAGCCCATTCGCGCAGAGGCTCACTGACACGATGCCACGCTGACACTCATCCTCTCTCGACGCAGGTCGAATGTCGCAATCAATCCTGAGCGAGAGTCAAAGGCGAAGATCGGGGGAGTTCAGGACGCTGTATGGGAAGCCGCCCTAGGTTGATGGCGGGTAAGAAAAACAGAGAGAGTGAGAGATGGAGAAGAGGCGGCAGGGCTGCGGCTGTGAAGTCGAAGCGGCAAGGTGCGAGGGCGCAGGCGGACGTAAAGTGGACATGGCGAGCGGATCCTGTCGTGTAGGGCCGTGACGGAAGGGGACCCACGTCAAAGGCGAGCGCAACTTCTCTCTCCTTTCCACCACATCCTCGGTCGCCTTTCTTGCGCTTTCTCGCCTTTCCTCAAAGAGAGTTCTGCAGCTCATGGTCTTGCATCCAAAGGGCACTGCTGGCCCGGTAGTGTTTGCCCAGCGGCACATCCGAGGGACGATATTCGCCTACCATGAGCAACTCATCAAGGAGCGACGAGAGGAGGTCATCGGTGAGTCTGATAGCTGCATACACCCAACCGTCTACCTCGATGCTGATCCCCCTCACTACACCTCCTCGCTCCAGCTGCGATACCTCGTCTCGGCGATAACAACGTCATGAGCCGACTCTCGTACAACAATTGGGGCGGCAGCTCTCCAAGAGGCTATTTCCAGCGTGAGCGAGAAGAAGACTTTCTCTACGACAAAAGTCGGAACGCTGACTAAGTCGTTGCTCTTGCTATGCGACTTTAGAGATCATTCGGGTCATACGCACCACCAATATTCTCGAAATCCTCGGCAGATTAGGGCTCTGCCAAGCAAACTGGCTCGACTACCTTCTGACTCGGCCACTCGATGTCAACTACTGGCTCACAGCCTACTCGTCTCTCGACAAGCGCCCCAAGAGCGCCGCTCACCCCTTTACCAGCTATCCACAGGCAAAGGTCTCGTCTGGCGCACAATATGAGTCCGACGACTCCAACCCAATGGAGATTTTCTACTACTCGATCTGCCGAACTGGCTTTTCTCGTCACAGCGGACTCTCCAGGACGAGGGAGCACTCGACGGCGATGGTGCTGCGCGACGAACAGGGACGCTCCTTCACCATAGAGCTTCTCGACCTCCCCAGTCAACAATTCCTCATTGATGCCGCCGAGCGTTGCCCTACTTTGCTTTACGCCGATGACAGCCCATTCTTCCCGATTCACGACGCTTTTTGCTACTCCAAGCAGACGCAGCTGGGCGCCGTGATCTGGAGAACACCCCCATGCCCTCTTGCTCATCGTCTTGGCCCCGGCCTTGAGGGGCCGGACGAGCTGCGAAGGATCTTGGAGAAGATGCGAGACCTCTTCAGCCACCTCGTCGTGCTCCGCGAGCATGGCGTTTCCCTCGATGGGCAGAAGATGGGCGAACGTTGGCACCACTCTCTAGCGTACGACGCGAGTCATCCGACGGGCCATGGCCCTTGGATTCTTCCTTTCTACCTCCAACCTACTCACTCACCCAGCTGTCCTGGAAAGCTCGCACGTCTCAGTCATTGGGAAGAGAAGCTGCCACCTGTGCCCAAGGATGCTTGGCCAGCCGGCTCCACTACTGTGCGTGACCTTCCGTGGAGTCAGATATCAGCATACCACGACCCTCGGGTGCCCGGTCCAAGGGCGGTGAGTGAGCATCCTGAGGCGCACAGTAACCTGCAAAGCTGAGTTGCTCCTCACATTCTGCACAGTTCTTGCATGGTGTCACACAAGCCAGCTTCGCCGATCAGGAGTCCGAAGAGCGTAAGGCTAAGATCAAGGCCAAGGCAGCCAGTGCGAGGAGGACACCAATATCCCCTTCCGGCGTCGAGCCCGTCAATCGATTTCATGAGGACCTCATCACGATGGCAGAGTACGCGCTTGACTGCCTATTCGCTAGAGGGCTGTCACGGGACAAGCAGCTCGAGCTTCTCGAGACTACCTATTCGTCCGACGCATACGAGTCAGCTCTGCGCGCGCCTACTGACTCCTTTCACACTGTCAGCGGGCCCGGCCCCTCGCAGCTCTTCACGTTCTGCCCGAGTGTGAGACGAGAGAGCAACAGGCTGTGTCGTCTCGTGCGGCTGCTGACCCTCTTGTCCATCTCCCATCTCTCACTCCCAGTGCATGGGCAAGGGCAAAGGCGGCTGCTCACCGTGGCCTGGACCACCAACGAGCATCTTTGAAGGCCGATGCCCACAGTACTGCCGCTCTCTGCTCGTCAGCGCTATGCCAGCAACGGTACGCCACCTTCTGCTACGCATCTTGCGCCCAGGCAAACACAAGGACGGCAAGCTCGTTGTTGTCTCGGCAAGCGAAGCTCTCGACACAATGGACGTTGTGCTGGAGAGGTGAGGAAGCCCGGCAGGGTTGGGTGGAGTAGCTCTCCTCCAGAGAAGCTGACCTTGCACCCGCTTCTGTCCCTGTTCTTAGCGAGATCCCACGAATGCAAATCATCTACGATGCTTGGCCCAAGATCCAGAAGAGGCACATCAGGCTGGAGACTCCGCGCGACATGGATCACGCCGTCATTGCGGCCGATGAATGCTGTCACCGCTGGTCGCTTATAGAGAATCTGAGGGGCAGATTCCTTGACGCCGACTATCGCCGCTCTGACCTGACCTGGACAAGAAATCGAATACGCGATGCGCTCACGCCGCTGCAAATTGAGATGCGCGAGGAGCTGCGGGCAGCTTGCGGGGATGAAGAAGCCATTGCGGCGATCGAAGCGAGGGCGAAAATGGCTTTGCTTGAGGAGAAGGGCGAGGGCGAGGGCGAGGGCGAGGGCGAGGGCGAGGGCGAGGGCGGAGGCGAGAAGCAGGAGCAAGGCGAGCTCGTCGTGAAAGATGAAGCGCAAGAGGAGCAGGAGCAAGAAGAAGAAGAGACGACCGCTGTGAAGAGCAAGGGGAAACGAGGTGCCAAGGCAAGCAAGGGCAGTGGGAAGGCAACGAAGAAAACGAAAAAGAAGTAGGCGGCGCAGGCACCAGCAGCGCATCCTCTCATCAAACTGTCCAGTCGAGTCCGCAGTGTAGACCAACTCAGCCAATCGATATCCTGCCTATGGGCCACCTTTCAATGAGCCATCCTGATCAACGTGCCGTGCCGCTCTCTAGCCCACCGCATCCTTGCCGATGAGTCTTGCCGCGCCATCAGATGTGGCAATTGTGCTCGCTCTGATGGACTCTGCCTGCTTCTTGACTTGCAGTGCTCTCTGGCTGGCCGTCAAAGCCTTCCTCCAGCATCCAGGGACGGGGCAAAGCTGCTGCGCAGAGGTGACTGTCCTGACTGCAAAGAAGATTCATTAATAAGCGCCATACCGGCCGAGATGGAGAAGCTTCTGCTTCGAATGGTCCAGCCTGATCAGCACGAAGGCGTCAACTCGGACGTCCTCACAGCGCAAGAGGCATTTGACGTCATGAAGGACGTCAGCAGGAGGTAAGAACAGGCAGCCTAGCGCTCTTGAGAGAGTCACAGCTGATCGTCCGTGCCCTCGTAGCTCTATTGACCGAATGCAGACGGTCTACGAGCAATGAGCGGAGGCGCAGAGGCTCGCTCCTCGCCTACAGTACAACAGCCGGCTCGAGTCCCACTGGAGAGGATCCTCGGTGACGGGAGCAAGCATCGCTGGCTAATGTTAGAGCATCTTTTGGGCAGGCGCTTGAACTACGACTTTCACAGGTCCGATCTCAACGGCACCAGGGAGCTCATTGCCTACGGCCTCACACGACTTCAGAAGCAGAAGAGAGACGAATTCAGAGCAATCTGCAACGCATCTGATGCTGCTGCTGCTACGAGCCAGAGGCAAGGAGAAGGTCAAGGCGACTCAAGCGCCATAGCAGCTACGAACAGATCGACCACGTCACCAATGCCAACGCCAACGGCAAAAGGGCAGGGCAGAGCATCCAGGGGAGTGGCGTATCAAACAAGCAGAGGAAGCAATGAAGTGGCTACTGTCTGGCTTCGAATGTAGGCGTGCCCGAGCTGAGCAGAAAGAAAAGGATGTATCTGGGGCGAAGAGGAAGTTGAAGTGGGAGCGACTGAGGCTATGCACCGTAGAAGACGTGACGAAAGCAGAAAGTAACCGGGGCTCTGCATCGACGACGCAGCTTCGAATTCCCCGCAGTGACACACAGGGCATGCCATTGATACGCAGTAAATCCAGCATCTGACCCCCCACACTCATCTCATCTTCCGCCCGAGCCGATCTTTACGCGTTGCAATAGCCAGTGATGAGGTTCGTCACAAAAAATGAGACCTGCTCATACCGTCTCTAAGCTGATGCTCCAGATAGCAGATCCGCTTGGGCCATGACGGGCCGCCAAAAGCTGATTGCCCTCTTCCGAGCCGCGTCCTTGCGCGAGCGAGAGCGCATGCTACGCGTCATTCCTTCCGTCTCTCCCATCATCATCTCCATCATCCTCAAATTCCATCGAGAGCGCAACAGACTTCTCTTGAGCCCACGTCATTGCCGCAAAGCAGAGCAGAGGCACCATTGGAGCAGCGACCATGGCGTCGCTCGAGCCCTCCAGCGTGGCGAGCGTCGTCTTCTCCCTGCCTCATCTGCGGGACTGCATTTTCGCTCAGCATCGAGCAGAACTCGAGCGCTGCCGTCAGAGCAAGCTAGGTGAGGCATGCTACAGTACAGTATGTTGCTCGATTCTGCATTTCCTGACCTAGCAAGTCCGTCCACCGCTGGCTAGAACCAATCGACAAAAAGCTGTCCCCGGCCTTCTGGGTTGGCCTCCCTCCCTCAATGTATACCATCGGCCCCCTCACCTACTTTCAAAGTGAGGGAGAGCTGTTTCTATATGGCTACCCATTTGAGGTCTGACCAGCCGATGCATTGACCCTTTTGGACAGAGAGACTTGACGCGCTGAAACAAAGCACCAATGTGCTTCCCTTCATGCGAGCGCTAGGCCTCGATCTGGCTACGTATATCGACTATCTTGCTAGCCGGGCCGAAGATGTGAACTTCTGGCTGTCAGCAACGTCTACGCTCGGCGGCTCCAGGAAGTGGGCAACGGCTGGTGGGCGCGAATACATGCTCGAGGCAGTACCCCGACCTTATGCCGGTGCGCAACTTGCGTACGAAGCGCCTCATTCTAACGCTGCCGAGATGCTATACTACGGAGCCGCTGGCTGGACTCACTATCTTCACAGTGCATGGAATGCGGAGTGGAGCGAATCGGACGGCCTCAGCCTACTGCTCTCCGATAGCTCTCAAAGATTCCTCGTCATGTGCTTGTTGGACCAGAAGCGGCAACCTTTCCTCTTCGAAGCTGCTGCGCGTGCTCCGCAGCTTCTTTACTCAAGCAACAGTCCATTCTTTCCTATTCACGACGTCTTGACCTATAATGAAGGTAAACAAGTCGGCGTCGTCATCGCACGTTGCCCGCCCTACGCTCTCTCCCCTCGCCTCAATCCGCATTTGGGGAGAGACGAGGTACGCCGCTGCCTTGAGCGCGCGAGGGATCTCTTTGGACTATTGATCACTCTGGAAGACGCAGGGGTCTCAATGGACGGCCAAGGACTGCAGGACGACTGGACAATTTCGTTTCGCTCCTCGAACAGCAAACCAGTCATCGTCGGTGCCTACTTGGATCCGGCAGCTGCGGACACTCGCATTGGACGCTTAGCGCGTTCGGTCCAGTGGGAGGAACGCTTGCCCAATCCGCCACCAGATGCGTGGCCGATTGCACCATTCGAAGGCAAGGGTGGAGTTGCCGGCCTGCCCTGGAGTCAGATCACGGCGTACAAGGATCCACGTGTACCTGGACCTCGATTCGTGAGTGTCAGTCACAGGCCTACTGTCTCTTCTGCGACCTAAGCAAACCCTGCATCGCCTCCTTCGCCGTTCTTCCCTTTCCCCGTGCAGTTTCTCCACGACGTCAAAGAGGCGAGCTGGACCGAAGAGGCATCAAGGGCCCGCAGACAGAAAGGCTTTGGCCGCGTATGGGACGCCAAGTTGAATACTGTGGACGGCGTTTCGCGCTACCACTCAGATATGCTTGTCGTTGCAGAGTGCATTCTGAGGCGCTTCTTTCCTGTCAGAGAAATCGTCGATGCAAAGTTGCTCGAGTTGCTTCGCTCTTCTCACGCATCCGACGCCTACGAGGCCTGCCTCGTCGATGGGACCAGCAAAGGAGCGCGCAACCCTGAGATCGGTCATAGTGGACTGTTCACCTTCTGCGTCAATTGCATCTATAACCTTCGCCAAGGACGCTATCACTATGGAGAAGGGAATTATGATCTCTGTCCGACATGCCACCAACACTGCCTCGTCAACGCAATGCCTGATGCAGTTCGTCAGCTCCTCCTACGTATTGTGGAGCCTGAGCGCAGCAAGGACGGTTCGCCAATCATGATCACGGCCAAGGAGGCGTTCTCGACGATGGAGTCGGTCTTGCAAACGTGAGATGGCGGACGGAAATCGTACCAGGAAGAGCCAGTGCCTCACCATCATCCTAATCGTCTCATTACCCACAGCGAGATACCAAGGCTCGAGGCGGTCTACCACGCGTGGGTAGCTGATCAGAAGAAGATCAAGCGCATCACGAGCGCCCCTCAGCTTTCTCTAGACAAGATCAGGCAAGATGTCAGCTGCGAGAGGTGGATGATGCTCGAGATGATGCGCGGCAACCTCATGGACGTGCGCTTCCGCAAGCCAAAGTACATCAAGCTGAGGGCGGAGGTCAAGGCGTACCTCAGACTCGTAGAAGAGAGGAAGAGGCCATGCGAGGATAGTCGAGCGCTGACTGCCGATACTGCTGTGGAGAACAACGAAGTTGAGCAGATCATCGGAGATAGTCAGGGCAAGGAGGAAGACAAAGCAGCGGCCACCAGTGCTGAAGGAGGGAAGAGACTGGCGCCAGAGGATGGACGCGAAGCAGCGGCGGCAAAGAAGGTCAAGAGTTGAGCTCAAGATATATTCTTGCTGAGCAGGCAAGACAGAGCTCGTAAATGATTACGGCTTGAGTGAGACGTTTGATCATACCTCTCAATGCTCGAATAGAAGACGTCATCCACTTTCTTTCGACTGATTGATGCGTACGTGCAGCCCTAGATGAATCCTCCAAAGTAAGTGTAAGTGATCATGGGACGACTACAGTATGCTGATTGGACTGATGAAGCTTCGAGACTCGTTGTCATGACGACACCAAGGGCGTACTTTCGCAATGTGCCTGCGCTTCGTATGGCCGAAAGCTCACAATGAGCGAGCTGGGGTGCGAGAGTGGCTTTTCATGGTTGACTGTGCGCAATCTCCTCAAGTGTTTAGCGGATGTATATCACATTGGAGCAGAGACGTCCTCTGTTCGTCCACACTCCTTCATCCTCGTTCTCAATCACATCCTCAAATCGCGGACTAGAGTAGGCCAGACCAAAGTCTACGCCGCATCCCTCACCGAAGCTCGCCAGAGACGACATCGAGGCCACAAGCATGAGCACGCCTGAGCTAAACAGCGCAGGTAGCGTGATCTTTGCTCAGCCGCACATCAGGCGAATGATCTTTCTTCACCACAAAGCCGAGCTCGTACGTATTCGCAAGCTCCGCCTGGACTCCATTAGAAGGCCAGCGCGAGCTCCTTTCTGGTCCGTCTCGGACAATGATGCTTGCGTGCAAGCATTCTTTGAGAGTAAGGGCGCAGAGCTTCCGTTAAGTACAGTATAACTTCTTGGCGTGAATGTGACCTTTGCTTCCCCACACGTCCTCCCAGGAAAGCGTCAAGCTTACGCAGTAGACACCTACATTTCGGCCCTAATGAAAGAGCTCGGCCTCAAAGATGCAACTTGGGTTGATTTCCTCACCAGCCGAACAGAAGACTGCAACTTCTGGCTCGCGGCCTGCTTCGCCTTGGGCGGCTCCCTCAGGTGGCACACGCAAGTTTGGCAAAATCACAGACTCGCGACTCAGCCACGAGGCCGCGAACCTGGCCATGATGAGAAGCCCGGCTCAAGCGCAATCGAGATGCTGTTCTACGAGACAGGTGGCCGTCACCGAGATCTGAGTCTGAACGACCATCGACGATGGGGCGACCGCGAAGGACTGAACCAGATTCTACGGGACGATGCAGGGCGTCTTTACCTGATGAGAGTCATCGACATGAGCTGCCACAATTTTCTCTTCAAGGCGGCTGCAGAGCAGCCCGACATTCTTTATTCCGGCCAGAGTCCCTTCTGGCCAATTCACGACGTCATCGATTACGGCAAAAAGAACATTGGCATCGCGCTTTACCAATGTCCCCCACATCCGATCGCAGAACATTTGGCTATAGCTTCGGATGATGGGCTCGATGAGGTTCGCCGCTGCCTCGAGCGAGCATTTGACCTCTACGATCACCTCGCCAATCTCCAAGGCTGGGGTGTGTCCCTCTGTGGGGCGACGTTCAGTACACAGTGGACGTCCTGCTTTCAATCAAGGCTTCGCGGGCCTTACTTGTTGCCTGCATACTTGGAGCCCTGCTCGACCGGGACGGAAGTGGGAAGGCTGGAGCGAAATGTACACTACAGGGAGCGCTTGCCGAGGGCGCCGGAGTATGCCTGGCCGCTAGCTCCGCTTCAGGGGATTAAAGGCGTTGCTGGCCTGAGCTGGTCCCAAGTGACAGCATGGGCTGATCCTCGCGTTGCCGGGCCGAAGACGGTGAGCCTCATTGCATCTGCCAAGCTGTTTCTTGCCGGACCTGACCTATCGCCTCACCGCGGCTTGCGGTACGGTACTTACGTAGTATCTCCACGGCGTGATCAATGCCACTTGGGACGAGCAAGACTCAAGCTGGCGAAAGAGTACCACTTATTCAAATTTCTCCTTTCCGGACTCGTGGCGCCAGAATCGCTTCCACGCGAACCTTCTGATCATGACGGACTGCATCTTGAAGCGCTTTTTCCCTGTCAAAGGCCTCAGAGCAGACCTCAAAAGCTGCGCAATTTTGGCCCTCTTGCACTCAACGCACGGTCTGGATGTTTACGAAGCATCAATGGCTTCTGGCGCTCATCACGGACCTCGCGATGCTGCAGCTGGTCATAGTGGGCTGTTCAGCTACTGCATCCGGGTCAGTCTTCTGTCCTGCTGTGGGCGATGGGCAGCTCGAAGAAGCTGACGATGCCTCGCCCACTGGCTCGTGGTTGCTGATGCGCTAGTGCTCCTATAATCTGCAAGGCGGGACTCACTCGTGGGGGACCCGTATCAACGCTTGTCCCACCTGTGGCGATAGTTGCATGGTCAACGCCATGCCCAAGGCTGTGCGACAATTGCTTCTCCGCATCGTGCGACCGGAAAAGCGGCCAGATGGATCGCTGATCATTGTGACTGCGGAGGAAGCGCGAGACGTGATGAGGTCGGTCCTCGATACGTAGGTACCGACAGACTGATGCTATGTCCAGACACTTCGAGTGATCAGCTGAGAACACACTTGCGCGTAAGAACTTCAGGGAGATACCGAGGCTCGAGGCCGTCTACAATGAGTGGGTCAACAACCAGAAGAAGGTGACACGCATCGTGACTGCGCCTGAGATGCCATTGAGCCTGCTACGCAAGGATGTCAGTAGGCGTCGCTGGATGATTCTGGAGATGCTCAGGGGCAATCTGCTCGACCCCAAATACCGCTTGCCGGAGCACATTGCCCTCGTTCGTGAAATGACGGCCTACCGTGCAACGATCAAGACGCAGGCAAAGCACAGATTTCAGACGGCTGCGACGCGCAGTCATGCCCACATGAAACAAACAAATGCGCTGACGGGTACTGAAGATGGGCAGGGCCAAGCTTGCGGAAGCACGCGGCCCACGAAGAGGGCAGCGACTGAGGAGGAGGGAGACCAGCCGCATGCCAAGAAGACAAGTCGGGCTTTGGAGACGATGACTACTGGTGGCTGTCGAGTATTCTGACAGGCGAGACGAGACTTGCGCTCGCCTACTAGTGGCTCTGATATTTCCAGGTTCATTTGACAATCCACTCGAGAATTTCTTATTCTGTCGGGCTTCTTGGCTCGCGATCGAGTATTCCTCGCTTATTCGTACTGTCTGAGCTTCCCACGTGGTACAACTGGATGAGCGGATCGCGCGCAGCATCGTCCCTGCCGCGGGCTGATTTTCGCAGCGTGCGGGCCAGGGAGCGAGCGACTTCTTCCCTCGTCCCGCTCTCGACTTCTCCTCTTCAGTACCATCACCACCCACCTCTTACTCATCACCAATCATGTCTGAGTCTCTCGTCTACCGCGGCTCCCTCTCCGGCCACAAGGGATGGGTCACGGCTATCGCCACCTCTGCTGAGAACCCGGACCTCCTCGTCACTGCCTCGCGTGACAAGACGCTCATCGTCTGGTCTCTCTCCCGCAACGAGGAGCAGATGGGCTACCCGAAGAGGATCCTCAAGGGGCACTCTCACTTCGTCTCGGACGTCACCCTCTCGAGCGACGGCCAGTTCGCTCTCTCGTCCAGCTGGGACAAGGAGCTCCGTCTCTGGGACCTCAACACCGGCTCCACCACCCGCCGTTTTGTTGGCCACACCGGTGATGTGCTGAGCTGCTCGTTCAGCGCTGACAACCGTCAGATCACCTCGTCCGGCCGTGACCGTCAGATGTGAGTGTGCGACCAGCGACGGATGCCAAAATGCCTGCGACTAGATTGCTGATCTTGGCTCCTTTCCCTCCCCTCTGCGCTTTACAGCAAGCTCTGGAACACCCTCGGCGAGTGCAAGTACACCATCGGCCAGGAAGACAACCACAGCGAGTGGATCTCGTGCGTTCGCTTCAGCCCCAACCCTGCCAACCCCCAGGTTGTCTCTTGCTCGTGGGACAAGACCGTCAAGGTGAGTAGCGTTTGGAAGAGTGAAGGAGGGATGAGCGGCGGAGGACGCAAAGATGATATATTCAATATTTGCTACTTTAGAGGAGTCCCTACGAGGGCTTCGAGGAAAAGACATCCACCGAGATCTCTGAGCAACGAGAGAGAAGGAGGAGAAGAGGCAAAGCCCATGATCTCGTAGGACCAGGCGCTGACCATCGCCTCGTCCTTGTGCTGCCGCGTACCAGGTCTGGAATCTCTCGACCTTCAAGCTCCAGACTACCCACATGGGCCACACCGGCTACCTCTCGACCCTCGCCATCTCGCCCGACGGATCCCTCGCCGGTTCCGGTGGCCGTGACGGTGTCATCATGCTCTGGGAGCTCAGCGACGGCAAGCACCTGTACAGCCTCGAGGCCGGAGACTCGATCAACGCCCTCACCTTCTCGCCTAACCGCTACTGGCTGTGCGCTGCCACTGCGTCGAGCATCAAGATCTTCGACCTCGAGAGCAAGAGCATCGTCGACGAGATCCGCCCGCAGTTCAGCGGTGTCGGCAAGGACTCGCCCGACCCGGAGTGCCTCAGCATGTCCTGGAGCCACGACGGCTCTACCCTCTTTGCTGGTTACGCCGACTCGCTCGTCCGCGTCTTCACCGTCGCATAAGCGTGGGCGCAAGGCCTGCTGCTGCTCCTCCTCCTCTTTTTCCCCCTCTCTCCCATCTCGTTACTCGGTCCTCCTCATGTAGAACACGGAAGGTGGTGGTTTGCCGGCCTGCCGCGTGCGGGAGTTTCGTATAAAATAGGCATGCTATGCTGCCTCTCCCTCTTGCGTCTGATCTTTCTGGGTGTATGCCGTGGGCGAAAGGCGTGTGTGTGTGTGAGCGTCCTTCATCCTTCGTCTCGACGAGCATCATGCGGCCGGCCTTGCGCCGTCGCGGTCGCTCGCGTGGTCCAAAAGTGAGCTTGCCGCCAGTCCGACACCTGGAGCCAACATCGATGGAATCGAGGGCTTTTTCGCGTCTTTACAAACGACCATCTACCTGCTGCGCGCCTACTTTCTCTCTCGTGATGGCGTCGCATCAGCCAGCAGGAGCAGACGACCCGCTCCTCGTCGACGACAGCGATACATTGTCCTACTTCACCCCGACTTTGATCCGCAAGCCCACACCATTGCGCTCCCCCTCGATCATCTCCTCCCTCCTCACCTCCGCTGGCGTGAGCGCGACCTACCCTTCCTCCGATCTGACCTCTTTAGTCTCCTCGATCGAAGAAGCGCCTCAGTTCGATACGTTGAGGCGTAATGGACTCCTTCTCTACCTCATAATCGACGTGGCCACCCATCCTTCACTGGTCGATACCTTCTGCACCAACCGCCTAATCCCAGACTTCTGGCGCAGAAGTGTCGAGGCGTATCACGCCTTCGACCATGGGCACTATGCCCGTGCCATGCCCTGGCTCAGTGCAGAAAATGCCGCTCCCTATTCGGAGCTGATCCTCACACGCCTCGACCCAAGTGAAGACGCGAAGCTAGCCAGGTTCGTGGTGCAGCACCTCATTGTTGCTCGGCCGCTCGTGCAGGGCGAAGAGGCAGGAAGGGCTGTTCTGGTCGGCAAAGCCATTGTAGAGGGCTTAGGAGAAGCGATGCAATTTGCGAGGAGTAGTACGGCGGGGTCAAAGGCGCTTTGGCCGTGGTTGTTTGGCAAGCGCAGGCCAAAGTTGCTCGCTGAGCTTGTGAGGTTGCCCCTCTCGCCCGCAGAGGTGGACGAGCTGCGCAGCTTTGCTCTGGTGCCCACCACCGCCAGCGGATCAGCCTCCTCTTCAGTGGCTGCGCAACGTCGGGCAGTCGATGCCCTCCTGCTGCGTCTCCTCAACGCTGGTCGCATCGTGGAAGCATTGCGTCTGGACCGAGCTGCCGAGGAAAACGGGCTGGGCGGCGAAGGCGGCGAGGAAGATGCAGGGACTATCAAGGCGGTGAAGCAGCGTAGAGAGATGCTGAGGCTGGCAAGACAGAGCTTGCCTGCTACACTCAGGCTCGAGCTGGAAGATGAAGAGGACGACTACGCAAACACTCCGGATGGGACTCGCCCAGGCATGCAGCTTGACTCTACGGGAGACAGCAGCATGATGACAGGCAGCCGTGACCCCTCTTGTCCCGGGTCTGCTCTCAACAAGCCGGTGATTGCGCCATCCTCTCCGCTTGTCACCCTACCACGCTCAGCATCGCGCACTCTGGCTCTGGCATCTCAGTCTCCCCTGGCAGGCACCATCGGCCCTTCCTCCTCATTCACCGGCTCCCCACGACCACAGTCACGCCCGCCTCTCGCGACTCGAGGGTATGCATCCCCGTCTCCACGACCGCAAGCGGCAGCCTTGCCCTTCACGAACGACGGACCGCGCCAGACCTCCAGTTCCTTTAGCTCCTCCTCAAAAGCAGGACCCTACGCCCGCCTTGCGGCTCAGCTTGCCGCTCAGCAGAGCAATCCTGCTGCTGCAGCGGACGATAGCGGAAGCAACCTTCTGTCCTCGCTCCTGCCGCAGAAGCGCGGGGTCTCGAGCACCAGTCTGGCCGCAACGGGCGATGCTGGTGTTGGGTCGGCTGACATATCCATGGACAGGACGATGACTCCCCCTCCTGCCGGCTCCGCATTTGAGGTACCGAAGAGACGCTACGTTGCCAAGCCTGCTGCCGCTACGACGGACAGCCAACCGCGAGGTAGAGGACAGCGTCAAGCCGCCGCCGCAGCTCCCGCAGCGTCCGCCTCGCCAGCCGTGGCTACCCCAGCCCGATCTCGAGTCGGAGGGGCGCGTGCTGGGCCGCACAAGAAGCAGCGTCAAGAAGCAGCCGAGCCGGAGAAGGCACCGCAACGGGCAGCCCAAAAGGGAAGGACAATGCAGGAGAGGATGCCCGGGTCTTTCTTTGATGATGAGGACGTCACAGCTGGGCAGCAGGATGAGGCCATGGGTGTGCAGCAGCATGAAGAGGCCGAGGAGCAGGAGACGCAGCCCCAGGCGAAGGCTACAAAGCGTGGCGCTGCTCGTAGGGGAGGCTCGGCCACTCCTGCCCGTCGCACCACAACCACTCGCAGGCGGCGTGGCGCTGATGCATCACCTCAAGCCTCGTCTACCACCTCCGATAACGACGATGACAACGAAGACGATGCCACCTACGCTCCACCGACCACGCGTCGGATGACACGCTCTCAGTCGGTCCTGTCCGCCATCTCTGACGCTGCAGCGGAAGGGAAGGACAGCCATGACACTTGGACGACTACCACCACCACGACAAGTGGGGACAATTCGGCGCGTGACCCGCTCTACGAGCAGGAGGAGGAGGAGGATGAAGAAGATGAACAGGAGGAAGACGAAGGAGACGAGACGACCACAGATGATCAGCCTGCGACGAGGCGACGTACCCGTACTCGAAGTGGCCAGCGTGAAACGGCAAAGAGGACTACGAGGCAAAGAAGCGTGCAGACGACCGCAGCGCCAACTTCTTCGACGCCGAAGACGTCTCCGCAGAAGAAGCGTACGACTGCAGCGGCAGCGAGCGCAACGTCGACTCCTACGGGTGTGGCGACGAGGAGGAGTACGAGGAGGGGCGGAGCGGCCTAATGAGGGCGTTCTTGATTTGAGATAGAGGGACAAGCAGCAGTGGGCTGGCAATATCATCAGATTGAATAGGTACATAGATCGTAAACTTCGTGAAGGTCATGACAGGTCGTAAACTGTTCATCAGATCGTCAAGGTCGGAGCGTATCGTCAAAGTCCGTAGGTCAAAGCGACGACGTCGAAAGGATCTAGAGAAAACCAGAGTAGCGGCAGCGGAGCACAGCTCAACGCTCATTTCATCGTCTCCTAGCAGCGAGTATCACTTCGCTCACCACAACAAAGGCCGCGCCCGCAGCTAGTCCCACAAGGTAAGGGGGCGTCCTAGCTAGCATGTCCCTCCAGGATGACCAGTAGGCAAAGTGTCTCGCAGGCGGCGAAGAAGAAGGAGTGGTCTCTTCACTACCTTCTTCCTGGCCGGCCTTAGAAGCAGATGAGAGGATACGACGATGCTCAGTTACGAGGAGCTCATCTTCGCTTCGCTCGGGGAGGAGGGTGGAGAGGAGCATGAGGGACGAGGCGTCCCCGTAGTAGATAGAGTGGTTTTCGTCGCGCTGAGAGGGGTACGAGTCGTCCGCAACCTCGACGAATTTCCCACAGGCGTCGTCTTGACTGGCGTTCTCTTCCACGTTGAGCGCAGGTGGCGCAGTGGTAGGTATGGCCGTCAAGTCCTCGAGCGTGGACGAAGCGGCAGATGCGTCACGAGTGTGGATGAGGTGCAAGATGGTGCTGTTCTCGCAGGAGCTTTCCATGCTGTTTTCGCCTTCAGTAGGAGCAAGAATGTCCGTGCCTTGCAGCTTGCTCGACTCGTCAGTCTCTTCTAGCTGCTCCTCCCTGTGCTTCTGCAAAGGCTGGGCAATCTCTTCGATGAGCTCGTCCAACACGCCCGCAGCGGTAAAGGAGACATCTTGCTCCTCGTGACCTGCTGGTTCTGCGACGAGATTGAGGGTCTGAAGTCCGTGCATCTCTTGCGCGGTGCTTTCGAGAGAGGAAGAGTCGTCTTCCTTGGCCATAGCCACATCAGGAGAGTAGGGGGGAGGTGCGGCGTCCTCGATGACCACCTTGGGACTGACATCATCTACGAGAGCAGGTGCAGCCTCGACATATTCTTTTTCTACCTCCTCGGCCATCGCCTCCTCAGCCATCGCTTCCTTCGCAGGCTCAGCGAATATCTCGCTCAATTGCAAGCTCCTCCTCGCGCTATGCCAGCCTTGCCCTTCGCCTTCGCTGCTGCTACTGCTGCTGGCATTGCTAGCTTCGCGGCGCGCTTTCTGCACATCATCGAGGCGGATGGTGTCGAACTGTCCTTCGTCCTCGATCTCGCCAACAGGTTGAGCGCGTGGTCGCACTGTGGCCTCGTCGAAGAGGCTGTCCTGGGGCTCTTCATCAGCTTGACCAAAGACGTCTCTTTGGACTTCATGTGGATCGATGACCGAACTTGCGTTGGCGGCGTCGCTGACGAGACGACGGTTGGTAGGCGTGGGGGTCGCCCCTAGGACGGAGTCGTTCGTCGAGGTGGGCTCAAGGTCCGCATAGCTAGGGACAGCGATGAGCACAGCCGGTTCGGGCTGAGACTCGAGAATTTCCTTCGCATCATCTCCCTCGATGGCTGGCTCGTACGTCTGTGTGCTGTCTACCTGCTCGTCATCCTCCTCCAGTATAGCCTTGAGATCATGCTCGTCGAAAGGCACAATCGCCAGCCAGTCGTGCTCCTGCTGCTGCTGACCCTCATACTCCTCCGCCGCACCAATCTCACTATCGGTGGTTACCTCGCTGCTAAAGTCCGACTCATATCCCTCTGCAGCTGCAGTACTGGATACTGTCGAGATGGACGAGGACGACGAAGAGGAGGCGGACATGGTGTGGCTGTGGGAGGGGGCCCAAGCGGGCAGAGACACCGATGAGGGAATGCTTTCGAATCGCGCGTGTTGCTCTTTGCCCTCTTCTGGCTCGACTTGCCATTTGCGCGTCGACTTGGGAGGACGAGCCACCTTGGCTTCCTCTCTGGCAAGCTGCGCCAAGTTGTCCTGCGAAGAGAAGCTGCGAGCCTGACGGAGGACGTACCCCTGACCAAAGGGCGCCTCGATCTGCGGCGATCCTTTGCCCAGGCTACCAGTGTCACGGCTGTGGAACGCGTCTCTGATCTTCTTTGTCGGCGTGTCCATCGCTGGCAGCTCTAGATCGGTTCCCTTGGGCGGCGACTCGAGAGCCTCAATGAGACCTCGAACGGCCTTGCGGTCCCGAATACGTTTGAGCGTCGCGGTCATAAGGCGCTGTTGACCTGGGGTGAGCTCGCCTGCATCGGGAACAGACTGTAGCAGGTCGTCCATGTGTGGTTCTTCCTCCTTGGCGGCATGGCCATGGCTCCAAATCCTCCTCCTCAGAGCATCCCTTCGTAGTCGCGCGCTGGCTTCGCACAATAAGCGGCGCCATCGCGGATTCATGCCGCGTTGCTCGAGCTGCCCGTCCCTTAGCCGCAGGAAGCCGGGACCGCCCATCTGCTCTGAGCGAACGAAGCGACTCACGTCCTCAATGACGGGGCGAGGAGCGAGTGACAGGACATGCGAGAGATAGAGGCTTACGTGCGCTGGTGACCAGTGGCGTGGGTCGGAGGGCAGGGAGGCCAGAGATGACAGAGAGGCGTTGAGCGCCGCGAGGGCGGGTACCGGTCGAGGAGGAGAGGAGAATGAAGAAGAGGCAGACACGGAGTTAGGGATGGCTCTGTCATGAGGCGAGACTGGTGAACTTGGTCGTGGAGGGACAAAGCGTGTCGCTGGGCGGGGCGCCTTCTTCTTGCTGGCTCTTTCCTCTTGACTGCGGCCGCCGCTGCGAGTTGAAGTCCTCAGTAGAGGGGCAGCCTTGTCTAGGTACGAGTAGCCTGCGGGTACAGGCCCACCAGGTGTGAAGCCAGAGAGGGACAAACCCGCCAAGGCTGGATTCTGTGAGTCAAGGGAAGCATTTGCGTCGAAGCTGCCGCCTTCGGCGCCTTTGCTAGACCGATGTCGCGGCCGAGGGCGCGAAGGGGTGGACAGAGGAGGGGGAGGGTTAGGCAGCGACATCCTCGTCGATAGCCAGAGCAGAGGTGATGACAGCGATGGTAACCAAGTCAAACCGCTCTTCCCCTTAGTGGAACAGAGATGTTCAAGTTGCTTGAACGGGCCGCTGCCCCTGAGGAAGATTGAGCCCCTAAACCGACGCGGGACGCGCCAGGAAAAAACATGCGCTCGAGCCAGGCGATTTTCTCTAGAGGCGACGCTTCTTCGCAAGGAGCGCAGATAGTTAACGCAAGACCCAAATGTCCATCATTTGTCAGTCAATTGATGTTCAATTGATCGACATCGAGAAGTGTCGCTGCTGCTCCAAGTTCACCTTGTGAATGGCGTTGATTTAGATTTCGCCTCCTAGGTCTCCTCTCGAGCTAAAGCGTGTCAGGAGCATAGCCTCACAGGGCTCGACCTTGCTCGATGAGCCCTACCGAATCCTTCCAGACTGAATCTCCCTTCCTTAAAGCTGGATCGGCTACGCACGAAGCGACGGATCTTGTTTCAAGGCTGATCATGGCCCCACCCCACATTCTTGTTCCTGCGCCCTACCAGAGCAAACTGATCGCCTTGATCGCCTTGCCTCGACATTGCGTCCTCTGCTTGTCTCCTTCTGCGCAGTTGGACTTCTCACTCTGATCTTTGTTCTTGTCCCAAGAAGCTGCACTTGATTGAGGATTTCAGGCAATGAGAAAAGACGGTGACGGGGCGATAGTATTGGTAATGAGACTTGCTCCACTTTCTCGCAGCTCCTTCGGCAATCCCGGCGATCGGTCGACTGAGGGCCGCCGCACTTCGGCCGGCGGCCTGCATTTGGATTGTGCGGGGTCCGACGCTCTCGCTCTTACTTACCTCTTCTTCTAGCTTTCCCACCCCATCCATTCTCCCCTTTCCTTCCTCACTCCCTCACCCTATCTCAAGCAACAACGGCACGATGGAATCTCCAACACTCACGCTCCCCTTCACACCGCGCTCAGGGTACACGCCCTCTGCGCCGGCCATCATCCTGCCCCCTTCCTCGCCTCACGCGCAACAGGGTCGACCCTACATTATCTCGTATCAACACTTGCATCACCTCGTGCTGGACTTGCAGGCTCAGCTTGCTGGATTGGGGCTCGAGGTCGGAGATGTCCTCAGCTCAAGTCTCATCAATGGTGTCGAATTCGCTGTTGCCTTCATCGCGACGGGCGCGCAGAGGTGAGGAGGCTTGACAGAACAAGGACATACGCTTCCTAACAAGTAGACAAGCAATGCTAACAAGTAATCAAACACATCCACCTCTCGTATCTCGTACGCTACATATAGGCTCATCGCCGCTCCCCTCAATCCAGCCTATCAAGCCTCAGAAGTCGAATTCTACCTCGACGACACCAAGTCGAAGGCGATCCTCCTCCCGGCTGGTTCTCTCACTGCCTCCCCTGCGCCAGCTACTCTTCAAGCAGCAAAGAAGCTCGGTGTGCGCCCCATTGAGATCATCTTCGATCCATTGGGCGCGCAGGGACGAGGAGCCATCTATCTAAAGGGAGAGGATGGCAAGGTCCTGACAAAGTCGTCGGCAGGCCTCAGGAATCCGCAGCCCGAGGATGTTACCCTCGTCCTTCACACCTCAGGTACGACTGGACGACCAAAGGGCGTGCCTCTCTCCCATGGCAATTTGGTAGCCACGATGCACAACATTGTTCGCACCTACGACCTCACGAGCCGGGATCGCACCTTCCTCGTCATGCCTCTCTTCCACGTACATGGCATGCAGGCGTGAGTGTCACGATCAAGACAAGATCGCAATTGCGCAAGAGCTCACATGATCATATTCCCCTCCGCGATGCAGCGCCTTCCTGTCCACACTCCTCTCGGGCGGATGCGTCGTTATCCCACCCAAGTTCTCCGCCTCGACTTTCTGGTCGGAGCTGTCCCTCACTCGTTGTACCTGGTACACGGCCGTGCCCACCATCCACACGATGCTCCTTAACTCGACTCGCCCTTCTCCAGTCCCGCAGTTGCGCTTCATCCGTAGCTGCTCGTCGAGTCTGGCCCCCTCGACATTCCACGCCCTCGAGGAAGCGTTTAGTGCGCCCGTCCTCGAGGCCTATGCGATGACTGAGGCAGCTCATCAGATGACGTCCAACCCACTGCCCCATAAGGGCGAGCGTAGGCCTGGATCTGTCGGCGTAGGACAAGGCGTCGAAGTCCGCATCCTCGCTCTCGAAGAAGGCAAGACGATGCCCACAGGTTCAGAAGGCGAGGTATGCGTACGCGGCCCAAATGTGACGTCCGGCTATCTCAACAACCCCAAAGCCAACGCAGAATCCTTTGTTCAATCTCCCGAAGAGAACAAGGGCTTCTTCCGTACAGGTGATCAGGGAAAGCTAGACGAGCAAGGCTATCTCACTCTCACTGGACGTATCAAGGAGCTGATCAATCGCGGCGGAGAGAAGATCTCACCCCTCGAGGTCGACTCTGCCCTTCTCGCCCTCAAGAAGAGCAAGAACATCCCCGTGAGAGAAGCGGTCAGCTTTGCAATTGAGGACGCGACGTACGGGCAGAAAGTTGGAGCGGCAGTCGTAGTTGAGGGCAAAGGAGTGACAGAGAAGCAGATCCAGGAGGGCCTGGCTGGCACATTGAGCAAGTTCAAGATTCCGGAGAGGATCTGGATTGTGGAGAGTATTCCCAAGGGAGCGACGGGGAAGATCAGCAGGAGGAATGTGGCTGCGACGCTTGTGGCTAGTGAGAAGAGTAAGCTGTGAGCGTATGAAGCGGATCTGTATCGTATTGTTGAGATTGCTGTTGATTGTAAAGCATTGTGTTGCTTGACTTTAGCATGACCATGGCATGGCATTGCTGGGAAGGAGGCAGGGTCGCCGAGGAATTGCAGCTCCGCACGTCGACGGACAGAGGATGTGAGAGAGCGGAAGAGAATTTGATCCGCCTTGCTTCCCGTCCTTCCCACCCTTTCATCCCATCAATCCAGCATGCCGGAATTGTCTTCCACAACAACGGAAGAGGCAATACCCGAGCATGTCAGCGCTGCTGCAGGCCCATCATCAGCTCCAGCGCCTGCCTCGCCGTCTTCGTCCTCCTCCTCCTCGCTCCGACGCCGCCTCCGCACCATCTCTTCGTCGGACCACCTGTACCTTCGTCTGCCCTCCGGCCTGATCAAGTACGTCAAGCCCCGCTCCCTCGACCCCAACAGCGCAGCCGCCGCCAACGGACCACACAGCCGTAAGCACAAGGTAGCGCTCAAAGCTTTGAGGGGGAGCAACGTCGCTTCACTGGGCAAGTTTGGCAGTTTTGATCTCGAGGATCTAGAGGGTGTGCCCTATGGCTGGACTTGGGAGATTGGACCGCCAAAGGAGAGCAATGAGAGCGAGACAGAGAGCAAAGGCGATGAGGGAACGGCTGCCAGTACGCCGGAAGCTTCAACGTCGGCAGATGCCACTGCCCCTCCTGCGGGCAACGCCAAGAAGGGCAAACAACGTTCCAATCCCAAGCAACAAAGAGACGGAGCCACCCCAAAAGGAGGCGAGCAACCCGGCTCGCTGCGCGTCATGCTCAATTCTACCCTCTCCGAGCTACAAGAGACCAATGCGACAAACGAGGACATCTACGATGACCCCTCACGCCCATCCGACCCGGAAGCTGGCTCACGCCATCTGACCATGCTAGACATCCAAGCACTGAAATCCTCCGGGCTCGAGGGTCAGGCCCTCATCGACAATCTGACAAAAGCCAGCTCAAGCTTCGAGAAACGAACCGTCTTCTCTCAAGACAAGTTCGTGAGGCGCAAAGAAGCGAAACATTTGCGCCTCTTCACGCCGATCCCGCCTACCTTGGCTACCTTGGTCGAGTACAACTTTGGCACTCTTGCCTCTGGCGGCGCGACTGGTCAGCCGGACAAGGTCAGGGGGATGAGGCTAGACACGGTCAGTCAGATGTTGAGCTCAGCCAATGTAGGCGCGGGAGGGAGATACCTCGTAGTAGATGGGACGAGCGGTGGGCTCCTCATCGCCGCCTGCCTAGAGCGCATGGGCGGGCGTGGCAGACTCATCGCGGTGCACGACTACGAGGTCGCTCCGGAATGGGAGATGGTCAAGGCCATGAATCTCCCTCCCTCTAGCTACGCACCTGAAGTGCTCACTGGGGTGAACTGGGCTCAACTTGACCCTTCGGGGGATGGGGAGGACGAAGAGTTCCCTGAGGTGCCGGAGCACCTAAGCTTGAGCGAGTACTCGAAGAGTAGCCCGGAGAATGTGAAACTTCACCGCTTGAGGGATAGGGAAAGGTCAAAGGCCCTCAAGAAATATGCGGCCGTAAGTGCTCTTCGCTCGTTGCGCGACGAAATTCTACAGAGACCAGGATCGTTCGATGGGCTACTCGTCTCCTCCCCTCATGACGCATACTCTGTGCTCAGTACCCTTCTCCCCCTCCTGAAAGGGTCGGGAAGCTTTGTCCTGCATAGTCCCTACATGCAGCCATTGGTTGAAACGCACGCCGCCTTGAGGGGTAGGGAGGATGTGGTCAACGTCGGACTGAGTGAGCCGTGGATCCGACGCTGGCAGGTTTTGCCGGGGAGGACGCACCCGGAGATGATGACTAGCAGTACGGGAGGGTACCTGTTGAGTGGCGTGAGGGTGTGGACGAAAGAGGAAGTCAAGGAGTTGATGGAGGCAAGACGGGCTCAAATTGCGACGACGCCGGCTGGTGAGCGTGTGGGCGAGGGAGAGAAGCGTGGCGAGAAGAGGACAGCGGACGTTGAAGGATTCGAGCAGGCTGCGGAGGAGGTGAAGAAGGTCAAGAGCGAAGAAGCAATCGAGCCAGCAGCGATGGGTACGACGGACGATGCGACGATGCAGGCTGGACCGTAATATCAGTCGAAGCAAAGCAGTATCGCATTACCTCTCATCAAAGTCTCGGTGAACACATTGGACTCGATGCATTCGTCTCATCCCCACTGCCTCCCATCATCCCACCCCCTGATCCCCCACGCCGCCTCCACTGGACTCCTCGCCACCTTCACCTGCACCAACTCTGTCCATCCCTTCTGCCTCAACCAATCATCAAGCGCCCCCCTCGCCTTGCTGATCGGCGTCGGCGTCCCAAAGTCTTTCTCTGTCGCAAGCAGAGAAGCGGGAAGAGGGTTTCCTGAATCACTGTTCCAACCTTCGAGGAGGATCAGCCCTGATTGGTAATGGCGGGGAAGAAGCGATTCTAAGGTACAGCGCAGGTCGAGGTACGGCGGAATGGGCGGCCCAGAGTCTCGCATGGCAGAAGGGAGGAGCGTGAGCTTGAAGAGGAGGACAAATCCCTTGCTCGCTCTATGCATGCTGGCGGGAAGGATGAGATGAGGAAGGAGAGACTCTTCCTGCCCTGCTGGACAGTCCTGCTCTACGAGCTGGACGCTTAGCCTCGAGTCCTGAAGGGCGGAGAGGACCGAATGGTGTTGGAGCCCGCGAAGAGTAACGAAATATTGGGCGGATGGAAGGGGCGCATCGAGATTGGGAGGCTGGAAGATGAGCTCATCTTCATGTTGGTGGACAGGGGATGGTGATTGAATCGAGCCAGAAGCGTGTGAAGTCGGGCTTGGACGCTGGCGCTTCTTTGCGGCTGCGGCTATGAAAGTTGTGCTGCCCTCTGTGTCGACTTCGTCGTCAGGCGAGGCTCTGGGTATCCCTTTAGCGCGCATGAAGATGTCCATTGGATCCAGCGATGCGACAGTCGCCTTCGTCGTTGCTGTTTTTGGTGGAATACTCAGCATGGCCACTGATGCCGATGAGTTCAGTTTCGCCCGCTTAATCGCCTGCTCAAGTGCATCGTCGTTTCGTTCACGTGCCCTCCTTTGCGGCATCGTCAGATTCTTTCCGTGTTCGCTCTGGCCATGAGCCTCTTCACCGGCATCGGCCGGTTGCGAAGATGGCTCTGCGGCTTCCTCGAGGACTTCGAGGATAGTAGGTCGTGACGCCGGGCCCTTCTCAATGGGTTGTGCGGCTGTACTACAAGGGGACCAGCGACGAGTTGTTGATGGCCATCGATGCCCTGATGTCATGTCAAGAGCTGCTCGTGAGGTTGCTACTGCTTGTCCTGCTGTCGATTGAGTTTGTGCCTGGCGCAGGGTGGTAGCCTCCGGATCAATGGATGAAGGGCCGCCTTGCTCTACTTGCTGCCCAAAGAAGATGGGAAAGGCTGCTGGGTGATCCTCCCTCCTCTCATGGTCTTTCGGAGGAAGCTCCGCCAAGGTGGAGACAGGCCGGTGAGGAGCATCTTCACGTGAGATTGTCTTGGACATTTCCCTTTCTACAGCAGCTACTGCGATCAACTGCGAAGCCACCGCATCATCCTCCCACTGCTGCCAGTCGAAGATGTCACTCCCTTCCTCTTCTTTTGCCTCCACTACGGGCGATGGCGTCCTCAATTCGTCTTGCGACTCATTCTCTGCAGGCAATTGTGCTTTGGCTTCAAGGGAGCTCTCGTCAGGCTGACCAGGAGTTGTTGCCCAACGAGGAGCTTCATTGTCCTCGTACTCTGACACTCGCTTCTTCAGCGGCTCTTCGTCCTCGACTAGGCCGATGGGAGTGGCAGGTCGACGCGGCAATACAAAGTTGGCTTGCGTTGTGTGACGCTGGTGCTCAATCTTGTTGTTGATGTCCTCGATCATCCTTTCGGCCGCTTCGGAACTACCCAGCAGCTCCCGCTGCTCGCCAAAGGGCCAAGGCCCTCCATTGGAGTGCGGCCCAGTCCTCGGCCCGCGCCACCATCGCTCCCCGAGGTCGATGTTGAGCGAGCGCAGACCAGGAAGAGGCTGAAGTGGGCAACTTTGCGAGGTGACACGTGATGAGCCCACTAGGTGAGTCAGCGAAAGATCGGTGGGCAACAAGGAACCCCGCTGATCGTGACGAGCTGGCTTTGGAGGACTGACGGAAAGCCTCGGCACCTCAAAGCGCAAGATGTTGCCCATGGTCTCGAGCTTCTCTTCTAAATCTAGGCAGCCGCTCTTGGTCTTGCTTGCCGAGCCCCAGCCGACGGAGAGCTTGGGGAGAGTAGAGTCGTCCAGATTGAGGGGAGCACGAGGCTCGGAGTCGGTGAGCGAAGAGATGAGGTCAGCAGTCGAGTCAGAGGTGGACGTCGTGCTGCGATGAATGCGCGTGAGGGGTCGATCTGGCAGGCGAAAGGATTCTAGGTCAGCCCCAATGTGGTAATCGAGCAAAGCGCCAGATTGTTCACCTTCAGAAGCGTCAAAGAGATCCGACTGGATGCGCACTGGAGGGTAGGTGCGCGCTGGAAGTGCCTCATACTGACCACTCGTCCCGGTCGACGGACCCTCGAGCTTCAGATCGAGGAAGGAATGGCTCTCATCAAGGCTTCCACGGCCACCGACTGGGAGGGGAGGGGGGAGATTCTGGCGAGGCGCTTCGAGCTGAAGATGCTGACTGAACGCTTCGCTGAGCACGTCCGACAGAAGGCCGGGGACGTTGTGAACGTCGCGAGAGGCTGCGTTGCCTTTGTTGCGAGACCTTGGGATGAGCGGCGGGCTGAGAGGCGTCGCGAGTGTGTCCTCTCCGCTCGAATGCTCCTGCGGTAGCTCTAGATCAAGTAGGGGCTCACCAGCTACGGGTCGCCATCGAGAGGCGGAGCGCGCTTGAGCCATGAGATTCTTGACGACCAACACATGCTCGGTGGGAATTTTGAGATCGAGAGAGCTGCACACGCGGGCAAGTGATTCGGTCAGCTCACGCATTACCCTCTGACGATCCTGCAGCACGTACAAAAGCTCGTCAAACGTCTTCACCTGCTCTTCTTTGACGTCCTCGTCCGCAGGAAATGGAAGGCTGAGTGGACCAGGTCGTAGGGCCACGAGCTCTTTGATGAGCGGTACTTGTGGCTGTCGCTCGTTCTTGCGCTTTTGTGTAGCGAGAAGACTCCTGCGCGAGATCGCCGCCGGCTCATCGAAATGAGACAGAGAGGGGACGAAAATGCGCCGAGCTACATGAGCGGACAAGCAGGCGGTGAGCTCAACGTTGAAGATTCAAAGCCTGACTTGAAGCCTGCATACCTTCTTCTAGCAGGATCTGCTCAGCAGGACGCCAGCTCTCCTTCGCCTCCACTGCTTTAGTTCGCTTCTGAGCGCGCATGGTACCCTTGTAGATCTCGATGGACCGCTTGCTAGCTTCGAGACGTTCTCGAGCAATCCTGTCTTGGATGGAGAACTGCTCGCCGTCCGAAGGGAGAATGCCAACATCTTGTGGTGTCCGAGCAGGATTCACGCCGGGATATAACGGCTCAGGGAGGAGGGTGAGATGACGGTCCCGCATTGATGGCCAGAGCTTCTTGAGTACTTGAGCTCCCTGCGATCGAGCGAGCAGAAGGTAGCAGCCACGACGGCGGTGGGTCAGTAGGAGGTCAGAGCATCCGTGATACGCGTTGAAAGAGATGCGAATGAATTGAATTGAAGCAGCAACAAGACGGCCTGCATATACCAGAATGTGAGAGGAGTGAAGATGGTGAATGGCTTACATCTGTGCCCAGCTCAGCATCGAAGCCTAGCTCTCTTCGCATCGAGATGAGGATGTCCTCCCGCGACGCAGAGGGGTTCACAGTCATCGAAGGTGGAAAGCGCATGTTGGCAAATTGCTGGACAAGCTCGTTGTCGTCGTCTTCGTGAGGATCTCAGTGATGGTGCGGAGGAGAGGAAAGAAAAGCCAGACGCGCCAAAGGCTGAGACACGGAAGGCGGACTGCGAGTCGAGTCGAGCGACTGGGCCGAGTTGCTGCGATGCGATGCGGGCGGCAAGGAAATGCAGGCCGCCGCTTTCTCAATCCCATCTTCCTCCCTTCGTCCCAATTCGTTCCCTCATATATCCATCGACCTGCACACGGTCTCCCTTGCTCTCTCGTCGCAGCCATGGAGGGCAAGACGGAGTGGCCGCAATCCCTGAAGCGAGTCAACAGATAGCAAAATACCGTCAAGGATTGCCAAGCTGACCGTGTGTCTCCCCTCCTTCCCCACGTCTTTCGCGCAGAGACTTTGCCAATCGCGTCTTCGCGAGCTGCACTGACTCAAATAGGAAAATCGTTTCCGAGGAGCTGCGCTCCGTCATCTTCAATGCTTTTCAGGCAGGAACCATTGATACCACGGATTGGTCAACAATGAAGCTCAAGACGCTGGGTGGAGGGCCAGGAGGGAGTGGTTCAGCCGGCGCGAGTGGGAGCTCGAATGGAGCTGGAATGAGCAAAAAGGCAAAGAAGAGAGCGCTCAATGGCCAAACAGCAGCCAGCAGCAGTGCGAGTGGCAGCAGCAGTCTTGCCGAGGGAGGCTTTGATGACCAGGACAAGAAGGAGAAGCGGGCAAGACGGTTCGAGCGCGATCAGCGAGCGCATATGGAGGAGCAGGAAAGGGGTTGGTCAGACGCCATTGGAAGCACATCGCTGGCGAGTCGCTTTGATGCTACTGCGCTCGTTGATAGCAGGGCAAGCTCGTCATCGAACGGCGACGGACCAGGATGGGCATACGATAACACGCCAAGCTCGATGCCAGGGCCAAGTCGATTAGGCGGTGGTGGGAGAGCATGGAACACACCGCCAGCAGCTGGCGGCTTCGATGATAGCATTGCAGATCCGGTGAGTAGCGCAACAAGGCCGCAGCTGGCTACTGAGGCGCTGGCGCTCACCAACCTCGCCTGGTCGCAGAATGTCATCGACTGGGACCGGGATACCGTCGTCGGCCTCAGCACGAAGCTAGAAAAGCCCTACCTCCGCCTTACCTCCGCCCCCGACCCCCGTACAGTTCGTCCCCTTCCCATCCTTGAGCAAACTCTCGAACTTCTCAAGAAGAAGTGGCGCTCAGAGAACAACTACGCGTACATCTGTGACCAGTTTAAGTCCATGCGGCAGGACCTCACGGTGCAGAGGATCAAGAATGACTTCACAGTCAAGGTGTATGAGATTCATGCGCGGATAGCCCTGGAAAAGGGGGACCTGGGAGAGTACAACCAGTGTCAAAGTCAGTTGAGGGGGCTCTACGCGTATGGATTGAAAGGGGCGCAGATGGAGTTTTTGGCGTATCGCATCCTCTACCTCCTGCACACGAGGAATAGAAGAGGTGAGCAGCAAAGACGTAGATGCAGGCACCGCCTTGAGCATGAGCTGATCTGGACTCTCCCTACGCTCACGCAGAGGTCAACGCCCTCATGTCCGAGCTGACCCCTGCATCCAAATCAACCCCAGCAGTGCACCACGCCCTCTCCGTCCGCCTTGCCCTCGCCACAGCAAATTACCACTCCTTCTTCAAGCTCTACCTCGACGCGCCTAACATGAATGCCTACATCATGGACCATTTCGTCGAGCGTGAAAGGGTTGCAGCCCTGGGGATCCTGGCCAAAGCGCAGAGGCCAAGCTTGCCGCTGACATATATCCAGGCGGAGCTGGGTTTTGCGGACTTGGAGGAGGCAGAGGCCTTTCTGAGGGAAAATCATATTGACACGTGGGTCGAGCTTACGCCTGCGGAGGCGCAGGCAGCTACGGCTGCGGCGAGTAGTAGCGGCAAGAGGAAGAAGGGCAAGGGTCATGCTCCGCCCGCCGTACCCCTTGAAGAACGCAAGTGGGACTGCAAGAATGCTTTGCCAGGTGTGATGGCTGCGGGAGAGAAGTATCGCAAGGTGGACATCAAGGGGCAGATCTGAGGGGCATGCACTCATGCATGTCTTGGAATAGCCAGACAGCCAATTTGCTGTAGACGCGAGGCACATGGCTGCGTCATTCAATTTGATATCTAGTAAGACACAGCAACCCCACACCGCCCCCTTGCGAGCGTCATCTACCACCTTTCGCTTCCCTCCACCCGATGCTATCCCCTTCCCTCTCGACCGGCTGGTCTGGATGGCCATGCTTCGCAAGTCGCAATGCCTCCCTTTCAATCCAGCTTCCTTCCCCGTTGCGCTCCCCTGCCGGCGGCAGCACTGTGGTCAGTTTGATGTTGTTGTCTCTCAATAGGCCGGCCGACACGTTCGTCGCAATGAAGTCGTCTGGCTCTTGCAGGGCCTGGAAGACGCGTGTGATGCGCATCGGTCGCAGCCTCGGCGCTCGTTTCTGCTCATCATTGAAGGCGAGAATGCGCTGCACGCAGGGCAAAGCGCCGGATAAGCGTTCAGAGCATGGCTCCATGCTTGTATAGAGGTCGAGTTCTACTACGCCCTCGCCCTCTCCCGCTTCACATGTACTCTCTGCGAGCTTGCCAAGCGCGACCTGCTCCGCATGCTCGTTCCTCTCATCTCCCGTCTCCCTGCTGTAGCCTGTCGCCAATACGCGTCCAGTATGAGGCGAAGCGATTACACATCCCACACAGAATGCCGTCTTGGTTGATGGGCAGAGTGAGGCTAGCCGAAGAGTGTGGATGATGTGGCTTAGATGAGGCTCGGAGCTGGTGGTGCTTGATGAAGATGATGAGCTGCCAGTGATGGAGGCGAGGGCGGCAGCAGCTGCTGGAGCAGCCAGGCTAGCCTTCTGATTCGTCTCGATGAGCCCTCCCGCAGCAAGCGGCTCGTCCCTGGATCCGACTGGCGTTCCACCAGCCGGTCGTCTTCTCCTCTCCCACTCCTGCCTCCACGCCTCGTACTCGCCCTCTATCCCACCATCGAGCCATACAGTCCAGCTGTCCCTCAGTCGGAAGGCTACCGCAAAGGGATGGTCCAAGATGAGCTGGCGCAGGGGTGGGGATGGGTGGAGCTCGGGCATGAGGGAGGCCGCGAGCGAGGAGCGGCGTCGATGTCGCTTTTGGCCGGATACAGGGGGAGAAGGGGAAGGAGAAGAGGGCTTGCGTCTTCTACTGCCACTATTGTTGCCAGTATCGCGTGCAGTAGCTCGGCGTGCCTTGGGCGAAGAAGCTGGGCTGCCCAGGGGCGCTGGCAGTCGAATCGGCTGGCGTGGCAGGTACTCTGTCAAGTAGTAGTATCCCGCCCCCACTACCAGTCCTATTCCCAGTCCAATGCCCACCTGTAGTCCTGAGTGATAGCTCAAGTGCCATCTTGAGTAGCACGTCAATCCCGTCAAGCCCACGATGGCCAGCATCGCGAACCAATGCTCTACACGTCGCATGGTGTTCACTAGAGTCCGCGGCCTTGCTGCTTTAGGGTGGTGGAGGTAGAAATGCGCGAGGAAGAAGGAGCAGAAAAAGCCGAGAAATTGTGAGTGGGAGGATGGCATGCCGTAGCCCTTTCCAAGATGAGCTGTTTGAGCAGTGAGGCAGGGGAGAGAGGTCAGAGAACCAGCCTCACGTACAGCTCGTCTGGCCTCGCCGGCACTCACTCGTCGGTCTCGGCTGACGTATCAGCCTCTTGAGACCCCAATTCAGCCCTTCATTGCCCAGCTGCCCGATCAAGGCATTGAGGAAAGTCAGCTCCCTGCGATAGATAATGATGGTCGCATAAGAGCAAAGCAGGAAGATGGGGGATAGAGTGACAATTGCCAATAGCTTGGCAAAGGAGTCCTCTGGGTCATACTGAACGTGAGTAAGCCCGAGCGCAGCGTAGCGCTGTGGATCTATGGAGGATGAGGGCGAGGAGGAGGTAATCCCCATTTGGGCGAGGATGCAATGGTGTCACAAAAGGAAAGAGAGGACGCGACTTTCAGCCGCACAAGCCATCGACAAAGTGGGCGGGCACAGGGCGGAGACGCGGAGAGGCGGAGGCGGAGAGGCGGAGCGTCAGCCACGCGGACCAAAGTGTTGGTTGCTCCTCTGGACTTGGAGGCGGCGTGAGCGTCTGTCTGTCCGTCGATCACTCGTCTTCGCCTCATCGCCATCACGACGTCCTTCTCCCCCACTCACTCGCTGCCATGTCCTCCACCCCAGGCGGCAGCGCAGGTGACTCTCGTCGTCGCGCCGAGATCGAAGCCAAGCGCGCAAAGCTTGCAGAACTGAAAAGAGCTCGCGAGGAGCGCTCTTCGCGCTTGCTGGCCAATCGCACGCCCGCGCCTGGCACCAGTGAGGTCGGCACGCCTGCATCTACGTCGAGCAGCACGAGAAAGGACATCGATGATCTTGTTGCAAGCCTCACCAGGACACCCAAGACGAGTGTAAGTGCTGGGCCTGCAGGGTCAGCCTTTGATGGGTCGCCTAAGCGCGGGAGTACCAGCGGGGCTGCGCAGGGGAGGCCAGGAAGTAGTAGCGATTTTGGAGGAAGTGAGGCGGGGATGAGGCCCAGCTCGACCACTTTCAGGACGGACGAGGGTGCGAGCACTGGAGTTGCAGCAGATGGAGAAGCAGCTTCACGGCCCCCGCCTGATCTCGTGGATGTCTCTACGGAGCTCTTCGAGTTCCCGCAGAAGGAGCGCGTCTACTACACCAAAGAGGTGCAGACTATGGCATCCGGCGATGATGACGAGGAGGATGGAGAGAGAAGTGGAGCCGGAGTGGGAACGGACGCGCATGCCCAGACCAGCGCAGCTACGGAGGCGGCCATTCGCAAGAGGTGAGTTGGAGTCGGGGAGCTCAAGCATCGCAATGTAGCAACCATCTGACCCATGACCCTTTCCATTCGCTCTCCCTCAGAATTCTTGCCGAGCAAGCAGAATTAGCTGAAAAGGATCGCCAGCTCAAGCACGAGGAAGAGGAGCTCGAGCGTCAGATTCAGGAAGAACTCCGCATCATGTCACCGCAGGAAGTGGCTGCCATCTTCGGCACCTCAGACTTCAGCGACTTCGTCGAGACGTCCAGCAAGATCGTGGAGCGGGCGCTCACCGACGCTTACGACTTTATGAAGGACTACACCATGGCCGGCTCCTCTAGCGGGGATGACGCTCTCGGCCCTGCTGCAAGAAGGAGGGACGAGCTCAAGCTTGCACGGTGTTTCTACGACGAGAAGCTCTGCAAAGGAAGGAGCGTGACAGCAGTCGATTGGAGCAGCAAGCATCCAGAGCTGGTCGTCGTATCTTACTCGCGGAGCAGTGCGGTGCTCATGGAGGACGCAGCCTCAATGCCAGACGGACTGGTGCTGGTCTGGAACTTACACCTGCTGGATCGCCCAGAGTTCGTTTTCCAGGCACAAACCGACGTCCTCTCTATCTGCTTCTCCCCATTCCACCCCAATCTGGTCGTAGGAGGGACGTACAGTGGGCAGATCTTGATTTGGGACACGAGGAGCAAGGCGCCGCGGGCAGCCGGAGGAGCAGGAGCGGCTCCAACAGCAGGCGGCGGTATCCTCCCCTCCCTCAAGACTCCCTTGAGCTCAACAGCAGGGCATACCCATCCCGTCTACTCCCTATCAATCGTCGGAACGCAAAACGCCAACCATCTCATTACAGCAAGCACGGATGGTCTCGTCTGCTCATGGATGCTCCCTGATATGCTTGCCCGTCCTGTCGACTCGCTTCAGCTGCTTAACCAAGCACATCCAAAGACGGACGAAGTGAGCGTTACGAGCGTAGGCTTCATGCAAGGTGGACGGGTGGAGACGAATGCCTTTTGGTTGGGCACAGAAGAGGGGAGTGTCTGGATGGCGGCGAGGTTCGATCGGGCAGGGGCCAAAGCTGGTTTGCAAGGGGGCGGAGAGGGGGCACATTCTGCGCCGGTGACTGGACTTGACTTTCATCGTGCGAGCGGCGGAGGCGGTACGGGGTCTACACCTGGCGCAGACTTCTCCGACCTGCTCCTCACATCAAGCATGGACTGGACTGCGAAGCTGTGGCGCGTTTCTATGGGCGGGAGCAACACCAGCGCAAGCACAAGCAGCACTCGTCCCACGGCGTCTACGAGCAGCGCCGGCCCCTCCCTCACGCCCCTCCTCACATTCGACGACTACAGCGACTACGTCCTCTGTGCGCAGTGGCATCCCACCCATCCGAGCCTCTTCGCAACAGCGGACGCGAGCGGGATGCTGCACGTGCATGACCTCTCTCGCGATGTCGAGCGGCCGGTTGCGCAAGTGCGATTTGACGGCAATGGAGGCGTGGTAGCAGGCTCGGCAGCCACTGCGGCTTCGACCTCCTCGTCTCCAATGGGCCTCAACAAGCTGGCATGGGACAAGGCAACGGAGCCTCGCAAGCTTGCCTGTGGCGGCACGGATGGGAGACTGTACGTGCTTGACGTCGGCGGGCTGGCTGCGGTGAGTGGTGGTGGGGAGGAGTGGGTCGAGATGGGTAGGCTGGTCAGTAGGGCTGCGAGTGGCGCATCGAGCGCGGCAGGTGCGGTGACCAATGGCTTGGGCAGCGGGAGATACGGCGTTGGGAGGTAGTGATCTAGACTGCTGAATGAGCATACCATTGCGTGGCTGTTGGCCGTTGAGTGTATTCATTCAGGGCTGAGTGAAAGAGTGACTCACGTCCCTCCTTCAAGCATCTCGGCCTGGATTAGAAAGCGGTGTTTCCACCCCCTCCTGCCTCGCCTTACCAATACTTCACCTTGGATGCCCTCACACTCGCAACCGACCTGCTTTGACCCGATTCAATTTTCCGTCTGACGATTCATTTATGCTGCTCGTCGCCATGGTAATCTCAAGTGTCACGGTGAGTGCGTGTTCCTCGTCCGTTAGCTCCAGGTAGGCTATCACGGGGCAAGCGGAAGTCTGACCGTTGTGTCTCGCACGTCTCGCACGCCTGCTTGCTTTCTTGCATTTGCATTGAGATTGCAGTGCCGGCTCTCCTGCCGCTCGCGGAGCTGGGGACCCCGCACTGGGAAGCAGACGAGTGAGGCTCCATGGTCCGCCCGCCGCGCTTTCCAGGTCGAGGCCAACCCGCCAGTCTCCGTGCGTCGCGGGCCGCGCTCTGGTGCTCGCTGTTGCTCAGGCTCAGGTGGGGCCGGAAATCGAGATCATCGACGCAGAACGAACGAGGGCGAGCAAGGGCTGTCGGCGGCTCAAATAGGCTGCTTGCTACTCGACTTGGTGACGAAGGGCGACGGCCTCACCTCCCAGTCCCGCTCCTCCTACTCTTGTCCACCTATCCCCACTGTCTCTTCACCGTCGCAGCCAATCTCCAGTCGCAATGACGGCCCAAGTTGCTGCGTCGTCGCCTGCGCGCATCGACGCCCTCGATAAGCTCCAAGGCTCGAGGCGGTCAATCCTTGCCAACATGAGCCCACCACGATCCTCTCACAGCGAGCTGGCACCCGACGAAGGGCAGCCACAGAGCATGCTTTCGACTTCACCCGAGCAGGCCGCTGCCCCCGTCGCATCCATTGTCCCAACCAACCCGGGGGTGCAAGTTCACGATGACGACGATGAGGAGGTTGCCTCGCCCATCGACAACGAGCTCAGCACTCCCATGGGAAAGACGGACACGCTGCTGCGTTCCCGTAGCAAGTCGACAAAGTCGTTCGTCAGCGGCTTGCGCAGAAAGAGCACGGCCAAGGACACCACCCCCGAACCTCCGCTCACCGGCATCAATGGCGGCTACACAGGCACAGCGACCAACAAGCTCCAAGTACCCGGTGGTGCCGCAAATGGTAACGGCAATGGCAGCATGAATCGTCTGCGTCGCCGACTGTCAAACCTCTCTACAACGAGCAAGCAGTCTGACGATGGAGATCGCGCCTCGATCCACTCGAATCTCTCTTCTCACCGCGAGGCCATTTCGTCCTTCATTCGAAGATCGCGCAGCCGCAGCACGTCAAAGGAGCCGGAGGAAACGGCGTCTACCGGTCGTCGCTCGAGCATCAGCGGAGTCGGCCGTCGTGCCAGCCTCAAGATACCTGGTCTCCGCTCGCGCAAGGGCAGCAACGCTCAAGACGACGAGGAGGTGCCTCCGGTCCCCAAGACTCGTTCGATCAGCAGCTCGGCTGCCCCAGAGGGCTACCCAGCCAGCACATCCGACAGCTCGCGAAAGGGTAGTGTCACCAAGAAGACCCGCGGTAGGACAAGCTCGGAGACCAGCAGTTCCGGGGGGACCAAGGCCAACGGCAGCGCTGCCCCCGCTGTCGCAGCTACGAATACGCCCGGTACGCCCAGCCGCAAGGGGCGTCGTGCCAGCGCGGACAAGTCTGAGAAGGCAGAGACGCAGCAGAATGGAGAGGCAGAGCAGAATGGCTCCCAGTCTTACCTCGGCGCTGCTACTGCCGCTGTTGCTGGAGCAGGAGCTGCTGTGGGTGGCACGGCGGCAGCCATCGTCTCCAAAGTTACAGGCACAGCCGCTGAGGAGCACGGCTACCAGAGCGAGTCGGATGATGACGACGACGTGTTCCACGACGCTGACCTGACCGACATTCATGAGGGTGATGAGGACGAGGAGGAAGACGATGAAGCCACCGGCAAGAAGGCTAAAGGCCGCGCCCAGCCTCAGTCTGCCTACCACCGCGCTGGGCGTTCTCGCGGCATGAGTGAGGCCTCAGGTACAGAGAGCAAGCGATCACATGATGATGGAGAGCGTGATGCAGGCGGTGCTGCTGCTGCCGCCGCTGCTGGAGGAACAGCCGCAGCCGCGACCTCTTCCCGCGGGCCCTCGAAGCTGAAGGGCACATCTGGCGCCAAGCGTCGTGCCGGCTCAGATCCTCCAACGGGTGCTGCAGGCGCTGGGGGTGAGAGTCCTTCCGACGCTAAGGCAAAGAAGGAGGTGCCTGCTGAAGTACGCGAGAAGTCGGCCAAGGTCTCCAAGCTGCGTTTCGACGACGTGACTCAAACCACTGAGCGCATGAATGAGGATTTGGACGTAGCGCGCAAGGTACTGGACCTCTTCCTCAACAGTCGCATGATCGAGGCCGAGGAGATCATCAAGCAGCACGCAGACAGTCGCATGTACTACGCACTCGGCTTTGGGCTCATCGCGACTATCAAGGGCTTCATGACCTTCGAGCCGCAGGATCTCGCCATCGCCATCTCGTACTGCCGCGACTCGATGAACATCGCCAACCTGCTTCGCAAGCAGAGCAACGCCGTTTCCAACCTGGGCCGCTTCGTGCGTGGAACAGGGCACGGACCTGCAGCAATGGCTCAGATGACGCCCGTGCAGCGTCATGCTGAGCTGGTCTACGCGGAGAGCATGCTCCTCAAGGCTGTCCTGGGTATTGTCCACTCGGGCGACGTCTTCTCCTTCGTCGCCGAGGCTCTCAACATGCGCACCGCATACGGTATCTACCGCTCGCTGGGCAAGTACGTCGAGACTGCAGACGGCAAGGCCGGTGGATTTGACAAGTCCATTGACGAGGACTTCAGGTCGGGCACCTTCCTCGGCAATGGTTTGATCTCGCTCATCCTTGGTCTGCTGCCTAGCAAAGTGCTCAAGATTATGGATGTCTTTGGATACACGGGCGACACGAAGGTTGGACTGGATACGCTCATGCGACCCGGCGGTTGGAGTCAGAGCCCTAAGCAGAAGAAGCCGAAGATGGACAAGGAGCACGAGGGTATCCGCAGGTCGATCTGCGATATGTCGCTGCTGCTTTACCACTTGGTACTGTCCAGCTTCTTGCCCGTCACCGGCGTAGATGTTCCGTAAGGGTCCGGGCAAAGAGAGTCAAAGGCGAGTTGAGCTCTACTGACCACCTTGCCTTCCCCCTTTGCTCACCGCCAGATTCGCCGAGCGCATCCTGGACGTACATCTCGCCCGCTACCCCGAGTCAGTCTTCTTCCTCTTTTTCTCCGGTCGCCTCTACTCGACGCAAGCTCTACCAGAGCAAGCCATCGTCGCGTTCGAGAAGGCTCGCAAGGCGCAAGACGAGTACCGCGAGCTGCAGAACCTCTGCCACTGGGACTCGTCTCTGTGCCGCATGTCCCTCTCTCAGTGGCCTGAGGCTCAGGAATGCTTCTCTACCTTGCTCGACTCATCCAATTGGTCGCCTTGCGTCTACGCCTATGGCAAAGCGGCCAACACGCTGCAGCACGACCCAACGAACAAGGAGGCGGCCGCCACGATGGCCAAGGTTCCCTCAATGATGCAGCGCATCGCAGGCAAGTCTATTCCGCTTGAGAAGTTCGTGGCGAAGAAGGCGCACCAGTTCAACGAACAGGGTCACCTGCTCCTCCCTGGCATCGAGTTCAGCTACGCCTTCCACTGCCTCTCCAACGCGCCCCGCTGGTCTCTCACCGATGAGCAGCTTGTAGCCATCTCCGACGCGCTGACTGAGCTCAACGAAATCGAAGACCCCTCGCAGTACAAGGGCGGTGTCGACGCCTACTGGGACGATCTTGCCCTCTGCCACTTCCTTCGTGGTGTCACGCTGCGATACATTGCTCACCCGGAGAAGCATTCGAAGGTCAAGCCTGCCCAGCCTGACATTCCGGTCGAGGAGGCGGAGGAGCAGGCCATCCTGTCCCTGAACGCAGTGATCGAGAACGGTCACAAGATTCACCACTGCACGCAATACCTCTACTTCAGTCGATATGAGCTTGGAAGGCTCTACGCCGTTATGGGCCAGACGGAGAAGGCTGTGGAGTACCTGGAGCTGGTACTCTCGGGCAAGCAATTGGAGGATAAGGGGAACAGGTCGACGAAGCACAAGTACCCGCTGCAGAACATGTGCTTGCTGAGGAGTAACGGCGCATTGACGACGATCAAGCAGGCGTAGCGCGTGATGTGACGTGACGTGGCGTGGCATTGTATGTGACTCTTCTACCTCTTCTACTCGACCGTCTCGTGGTCTCCCTTATCGTTTTCGTTTGCTCGCTCTTTCGTTGTCTCGGTCTTGATATCCTGGGAATGCAAATCATTTCGTCTTTCAACCTCCGTCTCGCGCACCACCTGTCGTCTCGTTCATCATTCATCGTCTCGCTCGTCGCTCATTGCCACTGGGTGAGCCATACATCTTCTTCCCAAGCGACGGCGAGTCTGCGATTGACAAGCCGACTCAGGCACATCACTCCGACCAATCTCGCGTTGATCAGCGCGGCCCGCGTATGTGCCCGCCACGTGGTTTGCCCCAAAGGTTTTGCTGAGGCGCGAGACGAGAGCGAGACACGAATTAGGACGACGAACGACTCAGTGACCCGACGGCACGGCACGATAGTCTAGCTACGACTGAGCAGCATCGCAGCCACGACGACCGACGACGACCTGAGTTGACGCTCGTCGCTACCATCCGCCCATTCTCTACATCTTCCATCCGTCCTTTTCTTCTTCACCACAGTGCCCAATCAGCGTCCCACATTTGATCCATTCGCGCGCGCGGCTCTCACGCCACGATGTCGGCCCTCCCGGCGCAGTTTTACCACAGCGCTGATGACGACGGCGCTGGTGTCATCCACGAGGACTCGCCGCCTGGCCTCACTGCATCCGGTTCGTCCGATGACGGCTCTTCTCCATCATCCGTAGGCCAACAGCGTGGCCATCCGTCCAAGAATGGCAGCAGTACAGCTGCGACGTCGTCCAAGGCGCCGAGCGAGGCTGCGACTGCCTTCGATGCCATGAGTCCGTGGAGCAGCCACAGCAGCGAGGTGCTCGTTGACTCTGGAGCTCATGACTGGGCATCGCCATTTAGCTCTGCGACAGAGCATCACTTCTACGATGGTAGTATGTCATTCTCCAACGACAATGACGCCTTGGCTTCGTCGCTAGCTTCTTCCTCATCTATGCAGCACCAGCTTGCCTTCTCCTCGCCCTCAATGGCGTCTTCCTCCTCCCCAGGTATCGCAGCACCTGGCGACGCGGCGTCCAAGAACGCATTGCGAGAAGCGTCGCAGCGAATGGCAGGAGGCAGTGCAGAGAGAGGGCTAGGCTTCACCTCTTCAGGATCTCCCTCATCCTCTCAAGCGCGAGCTGGGATGTGGAATAGCACCCAGAAGCCGACGTCAGATGAGCAGATGTTCGACTCGATCATTGAGGAGGACAGCTTTGGACCGCCCTCGACCAGCACCTCCGACTACGCTGGCTCACCACCTCCTCCTCAGTCGGCTGCGACTACGCGCGGATTGTCGTCCGTCTTCGGGGCCATGCACATGCCTAGCAATAGCGCTTCGCCGCCGGGCTTGTCTAGCTACGGCGTCGTTGATGGCATCAAGACGGAGCAGCAGGATGAGACGATGGCAGGTCCGCAGCAGCACGAACCTGCAAAGCCGCAGCCGCCGCCTGCTTCCACTCCGCAGCCTTCAAAGGCGGACGCCGCAGACGACAGCATAGCAGCATCAGCAGCAGCTCCCGTAGCGGGGCCATCTTCAGCGCCCATGAATGGCGAGCAAGAGGTAGCCTTCTCAGCCTCTGCCGTCGTCAGGCCAGAAGTTGACGGCCTGGCCGACCTTCAAATTCACGTCCACGGCATTGCAGCTCGAGGCGCCAAGTCGCGCGTTGAGACTCAAATCAAGGCTCACCTCGAGCTCGTACGTCCATCGCAGGGAGAAGGGGCGTGGGAGCGCATCGGCAGCTTCACGCATCTCAAACTTCCTCCGCTCAGCGCAACGAAGCGGAAGACCAAGAAGAATCAGCAAGGCACCGCGGAGATCCCCAAAGAGAAGACTCTTTATCTTGATGTCGCAGTCGTCAACGCCTCGCCGCCACACCAGCGCGCCTTCGCTTGTCAGAGCTGCAGTGAGCGCGAAAAGAAGCGTGCAGACCGCCGCAAGAGTGGTCGAACTAAGTCTGGCCCAATTCCCTCCGAGGAGGAGATGCGACGACTAGGAGTCGACCCTTCGAGCCCAGACGCAGGCGAGCTAGCAGCGGAGCGTCTCACACAGGAGGAGAGCAAACGCATTATACTCTTCAACTGCGGCGACTATCTCGAGTTCAAGGACGGCCATACCGAGCTGCCCACGCGCGTGACGTGCTACTGTCGTCACCACAAAGAGAAGCTCGGGTTCTGCATCTTGTTCACCATGCGCAACTGGAAGGGTAAGACTGTTGCGTGTGGGTCCACACCCGCTATCATGATTACCGACGATCATAAGTCTTCCGCGGCGCTCGAGAGGAGCAAGAGGGAGGCGGCGCAAGTCACAAGCGCTGCACCCACGCCGGGTCATATGGCGGATCGCAGCAGAGGTAACTCGGCGGATACGAGTGTCGGTGCTGGCGAGGCGAATGGTGGTGCAAGCCGCAACAAGCCGAAGAAGTCGCGACCGAAGCCGTACGACTCATCGAGGCGCTCGACGATCAGCAATGGCGCTGGCGGCGGGGTAGCGATGACTCCTGCGGCCAGCAATGGTGGTGCTAATGGCACGATGACACCCGCGAACGGTAGCGGCTCTTCGCCCTCGATGGATTTGGTCACCGCCTTGGCTGCGATCGGCAACGAGCGTGCATTGCTCCTTCAGCAACAACATCACCAACAGCAGCAGGCGGCGCAGCAGCAGCAATTGCCGCAGCACCAGTCACATCATCAACATCAGCCACCTCAGCACCAGCAGCAGCCTGTACCGCCCCACCTCCATCACACGCAGATGCAGCAACCTCAGCTCAATGGCTTCCCAAAGGGAGCTCAGAACTCACAGATGGGCTCGCTTCCATACGCCAGCATGCTGTCGCAGGGCTCCATCTCGCCAGAGACTCTGCTCACCAATCCGCTCAGCCTTCCCGGCATCGACTTCAGCGATCCGAACGTTGCCCAGCAGATGCTTGCGCTCCTCGGCCATCAGGGCCTTGTTCCTGGTTTGGCTCAGCAGGCCGCACCGTCTTCGTCCTCGCAGCACCAGCCAAATGGTGGCACAGCCTCAGCGCCGCCCTCGTTGCCGCAGGCGCGCATCTCGAAGATCATCCCCGGGGAGGGGCCCACGAGTGGAGGAATCGAGGTGACCATCCTGGGAGACAATTTTACCGACGGTCTCACGTGTCTGTTCGGCGATCTTGCCGCAAGCTCGACACGCGTCTGGGCCGCCAATACTTTGATCTGCGTGCTGCCGCCCAGCCCCAGCCCAGGACCTGTAGCGGTCACACTCAAGACGGTCGAGGAGATGAGCGGTGGCAGTCAGACTCGCGGAGCGTCCAATGGCGGCGGACCGCTGCAGCTCTTCACTTACGTGGACAAGAGTGATACGCAGTTGATGGAACTGGCACTGCAGGTCGTGGGCTTCCAGCAGACCCGAACTATGCAGGTGCCAAGGGACATTGCGCTACGCTTGCTCGCATCCGGCCAGGGGTCTATCAATTCAAACCTCGCTCAGCAGCAACAGGGTCAGTACAGCGGCGGCCAGCAGCAACAGCAGCTCAGCAACGCCCGCTCCGCAGTGGATGGCCTCTTCGCTGCCGCAGGGGAGAGACCGACCAGCTTCCAGGACACAATCATCAACTTCCTATCTGTTGTTGAAGAAGGGCAGGCAACGGCACAACGAGCCGACGCTATCCGTCTGGCGAACAAAAATGGTCACACGCTCCTCCACTTGGCGGTCATGCTCGGCTTCCATCGTCTTGCGGCTAAGCTGCTCGAATTGGGCTGCCCTGTGGACGCAAGAGACCGCAACGGCTTCAGTGCTTTGCACCTTGCTGCACTTAACGGGCGCGTAGCTCTCACGCGGATCCTGCTGGAGCGCGGTGCCAGGCGAGAGTTGGGTTCATTGACGGGCAAGGTCGCGCTGGACTTCGCACGTGAGCTCGATCTGGTTGACGTTGAGGACCTGCTTGTTCACCACGGCGAAGGTGGGCGACGCAGCTACTCCGCTGAAGATTCGTCGCTCTTCGATTCTGACGTTGAAGACGTGGACGGAGGCAACGTCAGCACGACGGAAACCAGTTTCAATGCTGACGAGGACGATGAGCTCGACTGGTCGGAGAGCGAGAGCGATATTGACAGCAGTGAGGATGACGGCGACGAGGATAAGCATGACGCCGACCACGAGCTGTCTTTGACCGACTCGTCGGCCGACGACGTCACGCCTCGGCCTCCCTCTACGCCCGCCGTGGCAGCTACGCAGGATGGTCCTCGCTTCCTTCCCCTCACGGACTCATCAGCTCAAGAAAAGAAGGTCAAGCAACAGCTCCTCCCTCCTCCCGCTTCATCCCCCTTCGCACCGAACCAAGACAAGAAGCAGTCGCAGCAACTTTCGTCCGCAGCAACCCTTCGTGCCTTGGCGGAGAAGCTTCCAGGTGGGCTGGCCTTCCTGGGCGTGGCTGGTGGTCTGCAGGATCGACTACTGCCGCAAGCCCTGCAGCAACGCGTTGGACAGACGATCAGTGTCTTCCACATGCAAGCGGCAGAGCAGGGCACGCCCTTCAATCCCGAGGAACAGCAGGCCGGCGGCAGCGGCGAGAGCCTCAAAGCCAAAGATGCCACAACCAATGCAGGCGGCGCAGCCTCCTCTGCTGGCGTCGCAGGCGAGCAAGATACGTGGCGGCTCATGAGTCTCTGGCGCAACATTGTCGAGGAGACCGGTGGCCTTTGGCATGGTCGAGCACCCCCGCCTGCTTATGAGGAGGCGGCGCCCAACGGCGCTGGCACCGCACAGTTGGATGAGAAGGTTGCGGAGCCCGCGCAAGCAGCAAGGGAGCAGCAGGAGCAAGCTGAGGAGACCGTCAAGTCAGGCGCTGAGAGCAACCCGGTCACTCCTCCTGCTACTACCCCACGACGCCTCTCACGGCGCTCTTCCACCTCCTCTCTGGACTCGTGTTCCACCACCGCCTCCTCCCTCCTCACATCCCCTTCCTCCTCCCGCGCTACCGCGTCGGCCGCCCCTTCCCCGGCCAATCGTCGTCGCATCGTAGTGGAAGACGACTGGATGTTGCGGTGGTTCTGGCTACCCTGCCTCGTCCTGGCTTTCCTTGTTGCGGCGTTCAGCACGGGGCCACTGAGCCTGGCTGGTCTGGCAAGCTACGTGCCTCAGCTGGGTGGCGTCGTTGCTAATGCAGCGGCTGCTGGAGCGAATGAAGGTGGAGCAGGAGCCGTTGTGGGCGTCGCGGACCGGGTGTAGGTGGAGTCTGACTGAAAACGAACGGACAGTAGGCGGACGTGTTGTTGAACATCTTTCATCTATTCCCCATTTCCCTTGTCTTTTCTTCTGCTCGCCATCGTATTTGTACATTTTTTGACCTGTCTTCTTTGAATCCAGTTGATCCCTCCTCCACATTACCTTACTGCCCGCCTCCACCGTTCATCACAGGGTGGAAACGCAATCGCCCGTACCCTTTGTCCATCGTCGTCCTCTCCACCCCATCAGGCGGCGCACTCGCCGGCAACTGCCCTGCCTTTGCATTGATGCCTACCTCATATACCCCTTCTCCGTACTTTGCTAGCCAGTCACGCTCCTCTGGGTCTTCTGCGCGCTTGAGCATGAGGGGGATCAGTGAGGAGCCGTGAGGGCTGGAGAGATGTAGGCGCACGGAGCCAGAGGTGGTTTTGAGCTTCTGCGCGTCGACGTCGAGGACGGCAGCCCATGCTGCAACTCTCTGTTGAAAGTTGTCCTCGTCGAAGAGCAAAGTGAGGGAGGCGACACCCGTGCAGCCATTTGGGTGCTCGTTGCCCATCATGACGACCCTCTGTTCCCTCGGCGTAACATCCTCGCACCAAAAGGGCACCGCTCCTCTGCTCACCCCGGGCTTGGCAGTAGGGAAAGTGACTTTCCACCTGATCTCATTGCCCTCGTACGTCTTGCGTGCTCCTTCTATCGGTTGCTGGTAGGAGATGGATCCATTGGGTCCTGCTCGCTCGTTGATCGCCTGAGTTCTGCCATCTGTCGCTCCACCCAGCAGGCAAACATCGATCCATCCCATCTCCCTGTTCCACCACCAATGCCTGTTGCGCCTCTCCTCAAAGGCCTCCTTTGTCTCGCCGGTCACTTTGCAGCCCTGCTCGGGATCGACGAAAGCAATGAGCTCCAAGTAGACTCCATCCGCGAGCGTGATGAGGCAGTTTGTTGTGAGCTGATCGGCATGCGTTCCACCGCGTTGCACTACAAAGCCCAGGGAGGTGTACAGCTGCAGAGCCTCTTCGAGTGCGGAAGCTGGGGAAATGAGATGGATGAGGTGGTCCAGTGCCGCCGGTGGAGCTGAGCTGGTCATCTTTGTTGATGATTTGGTAGGATGAGAGCCAGGCCAAGAGTCATGACTTCGAAGGACTCGAGGCGAGCCCTATTTTGAGGTCTCACCGTCCTCACACCGGCGCACGGACGGTCCAGTCGAGCCAGTCCGACTGCCCGGTCCGCGTCTCGAGCTCGTCGGCTTCTTGGTCATCCCCCCACGAGTCCGAGTCACAAGCCACGACAGCAAACATGGCTGCCACCGATGTCAGGCACAGGAAGGGCAAGGCAACCGCAGTCAAGAAAGCAGAGGATGAAGCAGTCTCATCATCATCATCATCATCACCGTCCCATGGCCGTCACGAGAACCGTGGTCATCGCCTGTTTCGTGCGACGCCATCCTCACATACAGCCCCGACCCCCTTGCTACGCTTCCTCCGCTACACTCAGGGCGTCACCACAGCCGTGACGGCCGTCAGTATACTCGGTTGGAACGCACGTGTCGAGTCTGCTTGGTACCTCTTTGGCGCCCTGGCCACTAGTACAGCCGCAAAGACGCTCAAGACGATGATCAAGGACCCGAGGCCAGAGGGAAGCGCGGTCAAGACTCATGGTATGCCATCCACCCATAGTGCGACAGTGAGCTTCATGACTTGCTACGTGCTGGCCTACCCGCTAGTCAAAGTGGTGCAACATCGTGGGGACGTACTGGCGGCGTTGACACCCTGGGAGATGTGCTACTCTGCCGTGCTGGCCACCTTCCTTCCCTTAGTCATGTGGTCGCGCGTCGCACTGGGTGTGCATTCGGGCAAGCAGGTCATCATCGGTGGATGTTTGGGGCTGGTAGTAGCAAATGGGGCTTGGCAGATCTGGAATGCGGACACGAGCTGGGGTGGGGGCAGGCCGTTGAGGATGCATGAGAAGGTAGAGCAGTGGGATCAGTGGATCACGGCGGCTAGGCTCATTGTGATCGACGGATTGAAGTGGGTTGCAGATCGTGTTGCGGTGGTGTAGCAGCATTTCGTGAATATGAAGCATCCTTTGTGTACAGCCAGTCTGATTGAGGAGGTAGTGATGCTCTCGCGCCGTGATCATGGTCACGGTACGGCAGCAGCTGGCTCAGTCCGCCCCCACCGCCCCCCCTTGTCTGAGCGCGCGCGCTCATCTCCACGAGTCGAGTTCCAGGGCGGGGCGGAGCGGCAAAGGCCGAGCGAGACCAAAGCTTCTCAACGGACGTCGACGTCGACGGCACTCTCTTTCTCCACTACCAATCACCTTCGACTGCTCCTGTCATCACAGAGCTAGTCTCGCTTCAGCACCACCTCGACATCGATTGTCACACAGTCGCGCTTCTACGCCTGATCATTCCTTCCTAGCATCAAAGCACTGGACGGTGAGCTCGCATACACTCGCTCCAACTCTCGTTCGACTGCTCAGCTCACTCCTCGATATCTACTCCACCTTCCGCTTCCCCCATCCTTATCGCGCTCGTAGCCATGTCTTCCTCACAGCAGACCAATGGCGCCGTAGCATCGACTTCAGCCCCCAATGCCGCCGCTGCCACTCAGGCAGGTGGCAAGCCCGCCGTCCAGCCCTCGGAGGTTGGCTGGCTCTTCGTTCCTCAGTACTACACCTTCCTCAACCAAAACCCCGGACGACTGCACTGCTTTTATACAAAGAAGAGCACCTTGATCCACGGCACTGAGCAGGAGGAGGAGAAGCAATGTTTCGGACAGCAGGTCAGTCCCCACTCATGGCAAGCGTAGGTGGGCTGCCTAGCTGACCCTGCCTTCTGTCCCTTCGCCATGCCTCACAGGAAATTCACGACCGCATCACCGCTCTTGGCTTCCAGGACTGCAAGGTCTACGTCTCAAACGTCGACTCGCAGTCGTCTGCGTCTGGCGGCATCATCATTCAGGTCCTTGGAGAGATGTCCAACAAGAATGGCGAGTAGCCTCAGCGTCGGGTCAGCTGGAAGCATACACTGACGCCGCTGCCTCGCCTCTCGCTCGCAGGTCCCTGGCGCAAGTTTGCTCAGACCTTCTTCCTCGCTGAGCAACCCAATGGCTACTTTGTTCTCAACGACATCTTCCGCTACCTCAAGGACGAGGACGAGTCCGAGGAGCAGGCTGAGGAGGTTGAGGAGGACATTCGAAAGGATGAGGCCGAGGCAAAGGAGACGGGACGAGACGTCGCAGGTGCCAAGGCAGATATCAGCGCCATTGCCCAGCCGGGCGCTACGCCTCACGTTCAGCCCGTGATTGCGGCAAACCCCGAGAGCAGCAAGACCGCTGCCATCGCTGCTGCCCCTCAAGACACCAGCGTCACCGAGGTTGCGGATGAGAAGAAGGCCGAGCCTGAGACTTCAGCACCTGCCGCTGCTGCTGAGGAGGCCAAGGCGACGACCACCGCTGCCGCAGAGCCCTCTCCCGTTGAGGCCGCCAAGGAGGAGACCGCCCCCGCTGCTGCCGCCGCAGCTCCTGCCGCTGCCGCTCCTTCTCCTGTCGCCGCCACTGCCGCTCCTTCAGCTCCTACTCAGGCTGCAGCCGCGCCTCCTGCCGAGCCCACTGGCCCTCCCAAGCCCAAGACCTGGGCCAACCTCGCCGCCTCCAACGCCACGACGTGGGGAAGCGCTGTCCGCTCCGACGCCAAGGGAACGAGCACTACCGCTCCTGCCGTCACCGTCGCAGCTGGCGCTCGCAGCGGTGCTACTGGCGCCCGCAGCAACGCAACCTCTCAACAGCAGCAGCAGCAGCAGTCGCAGAGCCACGGTAATCGTGAGGGCGGTACTGTTCAACCTGGTGCCGTCTTCATCAAGAACGCCATCTCGGAGAACGGCATCACCGAATCGTCGCTCCGCTCTGTCCTCGAGGAGCGCTTCGGCCAGCTCAAGGAGTTGCAGATGGTTCCGTCCCGTGCTTGCGCTTTCGCTACCTTCGACAGCCCGGAGACGGCGCGCAAGGCTATCGCTGCCAGCCAGAGTGGGGGCGGAGTTGCGGTCGGTGACAAGAAGTGGAAGGTCAGCATCGAGGAGAAGAGGAACAGGCCTGGTCAGGCCGGTGGAGCTCCGGGCGGGCCAAGGGGCGAGGGACAGCGCGAGGGGCAGCGTGGTGAGCGCGCCGACAGGGGTGGGTTCAAGACGGCTGGTGGGCGTGGACGTGGGCGTGGGGGCAAGGCGCCTGCTGCGTAAGACGTGTGCGTTGAAGGGTTTGGAGGGAGGAAAGGAGATCTGGACCCGCGCAGGCCACGGCCACCGCCACCATCATCACGCATTACGCCACACGTAGGGCCCAATTCCTCCTTGTCACCTTCTTCGCCCCCTTTTCCTTCATAGCATCCCATGCACTTTCCCCTCCGCCATCGCACCAAAATGCAGCATGTCTTCGATAGTTCACCCTCCTGTTCCCCCCTCCCTTCTTCACTGTCCATCCTTTCCCCTCTTTGCATCTTGCTTTCTTCTTCCTCCTTCCGCCATCGCCATCGACACCACCATCATCATCTCCCGCCTGTACTACCAAAGCCAATCACGAAGACGTCGTTCACCGTGTCCCATGGTTGCTTGAGATGTGGTTCCGCTCACAATGACGCCCCCTCCCGCTCCCGCTGCCGCGCCTGTCCGTCCGTGCCTCTGTCCGTCGAAGCCATCTTGCGTCTGCTCCTTCTCATCCATCCACCACGCCGCTCTCTTCACCTTCCTGAAGAGCGAGCGCAAACAGCCATGAACAACAATCAGCAGGCCAACACTGGCGGCAATGCTGGCGCGGATGCCAACGGCAACGCCAACAATGCCAATGCGGGCGGGGCCGCCGCAGCCTATCGTCAGCAACTCGCCCACCAGCAGCAGATTGCAATGGCCCAAGCTCAACAGCGGGCGCAGCAGCATCAGCAGCAGAATGGCGGACAGGGTGGAGGTAATCAAGCTAGGCCACCGACGAATCAGATGCCCAGGCCGCCTGGCGCTAACGGCGGGCAGCAGGGCCAGCAGCAGCAAGGTGGAGCGGCTGCTGGTAACAACGGCGGCGGCGGCGGCGGCGGCGGTGGTGGTGCGACTCAACAGAATGGGGCTCTTTTACACATGTTGGCCACCAATCCTCAAGCGATGCAGTCCTTCTTGGCCAATGCTAGAAGCTCTGGCCAGCTGAGCGAAGATCAGCTCGTGTCGGTGAGTAACCCACATTAGCATATGCCCAGCAGCCATGGACGGCGTTCGGCTGACAAGCAATGTTGTTGCGGTGTTCTGCCGTTGCAGATTCAAAATTATGTGAATATGAACAGGAGCCAAAATCAAGGCGGTAGCCAGGCTCGTCCGCCGACTATGCCTCAGCAAGGACAGCAGCAGGGAGCCCAGCAGCAGCCTTCGCCTCATGTGTCGTCGCCTGCTCCTGGTCAAGCAAGGCCGCCTCCTCAGATGCAGCAGCAGCAGCAGCAGCAAAGAGGCCCTGTTTCTCAACAGCAGCAACAGCAGCGCACCGCGTCACCTCAAGTCAGGCCGCCCCCGGCCCCGTTCCCGCAGGCTCAACGTCCCCCGCCTCAGCAGCAGCAGCAACAGCAGGGGACGCCACAGCCCAGTGGCCAACAAAACGCCCCCACGCCGAGCTCCAGCAACAACAGCGGCCCTGGCGGCTTGCCTAGTAATTGGCTGAGCTACCTCACTCCAGACCAAGGCCGCATGGCTACATCAATCTTTGCGGCTCTTCCTCAGGTTCAGAAGGGGATCAAGGAACTCGAATCACAGCTCCAGCAAGCTACTGATGCTGGGCAGCGAAGTCAGCTGCAAGCACAGCTACAGCAGGAGCAGCAGAAGAGCGCGGCGATCATGCATCGCTTCGGGCAGGTCAAGGAACTCGTCAATCGCAACGTGGCATTGGAGAGGCAGCAGCAGGCCGGGGGACAGGGAGGTCAAGGAGGGGCGGCGGCAGCTGGGCAGCAGATGGGTCGTCAGGCTTCTCAGTCCCAGCAGGGCCAGCAGCCTCAACAGCAACAAGCTCGTCCTCCACAGACCCAGCAGCAACAACAGCAGCGAGGCAGCGTAGCAGCGGGCAGCCCCCCGCCATCACAGGGCGCAGGTGCAGCAGCGAATCGCCCCTCTCCCGCTGCGGCCGCGGCTGCCGCGGCGGCGCACCAGCAACAGGCAAGCGGAATGGCTTCCAACGCGGCGGGGGGTGCTTCTATGCTTGTAGACCGTGGAGCTTCGGCCGCTGTGAGCAGCAGTACGGGCACGCCGGTGAATGCGCCCGCGACAGCAGCTGCGCCGCCTCCGGGTGCTGCCACTTCTTCCTCTCACCCACCGACCGCGCCCAGCACGACGAGCACCTCGGGCTCAGCGTCCGCATCATACAATCCGCACACGACCATCAGTGCCAACCTCCCTCCGCAAGTTCCGCAGCCCTACCCCAATGCGCAGGGACCTCGACCGACCCTCAGCATGGGTCTCGCAGGCGGCGTTGGAGGAGCGGCTGTGAGCACGCCGGGGATCTTGGCGTACCCTCCCGGTAAAGAGGGAGAGGAGGGGTGCGATGTCGCAGCAGGGGCTGCTGGACCGTCATCCGCCACCGCAGCTGCAAAGCAAGGTGCAGGAGCCGGCTCATCAGCCTCAAAAGACGCCGGCAATGCTGTAGCCTCGTCTTCCAACGCGAACGCCGCAGGTCCAGCATCCACCCGCGTCCTCTTGAAACGTTCCCTCTCCTCCCTCCTGCTCGAAGTCGACCCATCAGAGATCCTCTCGCCCGACGTAGAGGACCTCCTCCTCGACCTAGCAGACGACTTCATCGATTCGGCGACGCACTTTGCCTGTAAGGTCGCGAAGCACAGGAGCAATTCATCTGCGAGTGGAAGGGGAGGCAACGCGGCGGCGGGAGAGCCCAAGTTGGAGGCGAAGGACGTTCAGCTGGTGCTGGAGAGGATGTGGGGTATCAGAGTGCCGGGGACAGGGATGCCTCTGCCGCCTGTTCGAGTTAGAGGCCAGGGGCCGGGACAGGCACAGGGTGGTGCACAGGGCGGAATGAGCAAGGCGGCCCAAACGGCGGCTGCGGCTGCTCAGGCGGCTGCGCAGAGGGAGGGATGATGCTAATGGCGTGTAGCACGGGCATCGCATCTTCCCGCCTCTTGAGCTTGTACTATGGTACTGTCTTGTCTAGTGGATGTCCAATTTGTCACATCGAAGCTACAATGACATCCATCGCACATCACACTGCTCTCTCTAGTTTCCGCTGTCGCGCCTCCCCGTCACTCGAAGTATCCACTCTTACCGACGCCACTGCCCGCAGCCGGTGTGGCTCTCCCACTGGCTGTCCCCTTCCTACCCACAGGTTGCCCACCCATCGGAGCACTAGGCGCAAGCCCACCGAGTCCAGCGACTTCCTCCAGCCCCTTTTGTCGCCTCGCCTCCCACTCCACGAGCGACCAAGCAGTAGGGTGCATCCAGTCGTTACTCGCAGCCCCGGCTGGCGAGCCAGCAGAGCTCGACGTCGAGTCGGGCCCCGTGGGAGCAGCCCCCACCTTGGCTACCTGCGGGTCGAAAGCGGACAGGAAGGCTTCGTTCGGCTTGACGGTCCCTCCTATTCCACGGCCAGAGCTACTTCCTCGCCGGGCCAAGGCCAACCGCCGAGCACCGGAGGCGTAGCGCTCCCTACAAGTCTCGGCTTTGTCCCAGTTGGCACGCGTGGATGCCCAAGTGCCGAAGCCGGAGGAGGCGACGACCAGCCAGGGGGGGATCGTCTTACGGTTGTACTTGGCACAGTACCTGCTGACAACGGTCGCGTAGAGAGTGGGCTCGGCGCGCGAGGGCGAGGTTGGGCTCGAAGCTTCGACTGAACCTGTGCGTGACATGCTAAGGGACTGCTGCGAAGAGGCTTTGCCCCGCTTACTCTTTTCCTTCTCCTTCTCCTTTGCAGCTTTAGCCTTCGCCTCATGCTCAGGTCGTGCCACGTCGCGCAGCAACTCCCTCAGATCCCTGGCCGACCTCGACAGGCTGATCCCTGGACTGCGAGGCGTGGACGTCCCTCCTCCGCCGCCACTGGTGGGTTCCTCCGCTGGTCGACTCCTGTGCGTCTCCGGGTCCGTCGGACTTGTGAATCGTGCAACAAGGTAGAACCACTTGTCGTCCCATGCGGCCACTTGGACGCGGATCTCGTAGCGCGCCATGATCGGGATCTCCTTGTGGTGGGTCAAGGACGATCCGCCGAGGTGGAGACGAGCCCCATCCGTATATAGACGGAAGAAGTGCGGGAACAGGAGAGCGCTGCGGGCTTCGTCCAGACGGGAGAGGTAGGAGGAGTTGGAAAGGTGCATCAGGTAGCTGTAGACGAAAGGGGGAGACGGTGAGTGAAGCGAAGGCGGGATGCCAGAAGAAGGGCAACGCGATACGTACTCGCAATCATCGGGCGTGGCACGGCATTGCAGCCACACCTTCTCCTCGAAGATGTCTTTGCCAAGCGGGATGGCTTCGAGTCTCAACTTCCTCCCGGTCTTCGGACTTGTCGTCTGCTCATCTTGTCCGCGAAGCAGCGGGATATAAGGTCTTGCCCTGAGTATCGTCGCAATGACAGGCTTGAACAGGTTGTAGTGCCATCTCAGCGGGAAAGAGCCGATGTTCACAAGGAGTAGGATGTAGATTAAGGTCTTGAAGTGGTAGAGCCAGGAGGGTGGAGAGGGAAGGATTGCCAGCGCTAGTTGCGGAGAAGAGACGAGAAGGGTGAGAGCTTGACGTAGTGGGTATGGGGGAAAGACATGTGGAGCGGGAACTCGTTTCGATCGAGGGGCGGACGAGCGACTGAGGTCCGACATGTTGATGAGGATGAGGGGACGAGAGGGATCCGACGATTGATTAGAAAGACGAGTGTGGGGAAGGTGGGAGCGAGGGGTTCCCCGCACCTCAATCGAGTTGCCCTTCCCGCCCGCCGGTCTGAGAAGCGCCCGTGCGAGCGAGGTCGATTTTTGAAAGCGAGGCGGGAGGAAGCAAGTGCGCTTTCCCTCCCTTCAATCCTGTTCCTGCCCGTCAGAGAGCAATGGCTATAGCTATTGCCGTGGGTGGCACATACTGGCCGTCAATAGCCGTCGCCCCGAACGCGCTCTCCTTCGTACTGCTCCTAGCCATCCTCTACCTTCTCCATAGCCTCATCACCACACGGATCCGCTCCGGCAGCTGGCTGCCACGCCGGCTCAGTGCCCACGAATGGGCTCAGCAGCTCGTCGTCGTGACAGGCGCGGCTGGCGGGGTCGGGGCTGAGCTCATCCTCTTACTCGTACGCAAGGGAGCCAGAGTGGCCGCTCTTGACATCAAGCCCCTCTCCGCCGAGGTGCACGACAGGCTCGCTGCTGAGGGGCTCAGCGCAAGCGTCCTCCAGGTACAGTGCGATGTCTCCTCTCTCGAGGCCGTACGTCAAGCCGCAGACGCCGTGCACGCTCACTGGAGGGATCATCAGGTCACCATGCTAGTCAACAATGCTGGTGTTGCCACACCGCCTCAGCAAGCGCGCTACCTGGGCGAGGCGGCCGCAACCCAGCAAGAAGAGGACAACTCAGCCCTCCTCGTCGAGCGTACGATCCGCGTCAACCTCCTCTCCCATCTGTGGACTTTACGCACCTTTCTTCCTGAGATTCTTGAAGGTGACCGCGGACACATCGTTACCGTCTCGTCCCTGATGGCGCACATAGGCGTGCCAGGGTTGGGCGACTATGTAGCGAGCAAGTGGGGTCTGGTCGGATTGCACGAGACACTTTGTCGTGAGATTGCCACGCGTTCCTCTTCCTCGCCCTCACCAGGCACCCGCTCCTCCCCGAATCGCCAGCATGCCACACGCACACAAACCACTCTCGTCCTCCCGGCGCACATCTCGACTCCTCTTTTCCCTCACTGGTCCTATCCTCCCTTTTTGGCTCCCCTCTTCCCTACGGTGAGCGCTGAGCACGCCGCGGGGAGGATCGTGGAGGCGATGGGTAGCGGGCGTAGTAGCTACGTGTATATGCCGCGGACGACGTGGTTAGTCGGGTTCATGGGGGCCCTGCCCGAGTGGATGAGGGAGGGGGCTCAGTGGGTGAGTATCTGCGGGGCAAGACGAGCGAAGGAGCTTGAGCTGACCTTTTGCTCACTTTGCCCCCTTCTCCCTCGCGCACTCGCAGGCATCCGGCGCTGACGTTTCTGTAGCAAACATGGCAGCAAAGGCGGCAAAAGCAGCATGAGCAAGTCTACGGTAAATGTCACGACTTCTGGCGGCAGCAACAGCAACATCGGCACCAGCACCAGCACCAGCACCAGCACCAGCACCAACATCACCTAGTCACGCATTGGCGCTCGAGAGCCGCCAACACACCAGGCCGTGCATCAGGCCGACGGGCAAGCATACACTCATCGTAGGGCATCCAGCAGCTTCTTGTGTTCCGGATGTCTGATCGTCTTCGCCGCTGATCGTCGCCGACATCCACCAGCTATCGACTCAGTGCGCAGGATCTCATGCAAGACCAGCTGGCACACTTCGTGCTACGATCAAATCATTGAAGGAGACAATTGAGCACCTCTGCCAGCGCTCGTACAAGGTCAAATACGTGCTGCGTGCCTGTCTGCGATACCAAGTGTCGCTCCTTTAGGCACCCTCTTCACCTTCGCCACATCCTGAACGAATAGCAGGCAGCCGAGCGGCCCATCCCTAGCGTGCGGCGTGTTCCCCAGAGCACACCACACACACACACCAGACCTCGTGTGATGCAGTGCGCGGACGGCAGGTCTCTGGCTTGTCAGCGAGCATGAGGTTCCTCCTCTTGGCGAGCGACGACAGGATGTGCAACAAATTGGTAGCAAAGATTTATGCTGCCTGAATCAAACTCAATAAAGAGAGCATTTGGGATTCCTCATCCTTCAACGCCTAGCATCTGCATGAACACATGCTCCGCCAAGGGCACATTGCCAGGCCCAACGTGGATGGGCCCAACTCCTCTCTCGTCCGCAAGATCAATTCCGAAAAGGGCCTTGCAGCGATGAATAATGCCGTGTTGTCCGCCATGATGGCACGGACGGCTCAGAATGTGGGCTTTGAGGTTCATCTCTCGCCGCAAACGCAGGAATGAACGAAGTAGAAGACTGGCGTGCCAATCAGGTTTAACAGTTCTCATCGCTTCTTTGATCACGTCAATGCCCTCCGTCCGCCTTGGCACAAGCTCCCCTTCGAGCTCTCGACCTCTGCGGCTGAGCTCCGCGACAAGGCCAATATGTCGCTGCAGCGTATGCATCTCTCGATCCCGCCCTCGTTCGCGGCTTCCATCGGCCTGGGTACTGTGACGCTATCCCTAGCGGCCGTATCGACAAGCCAGCTGCAGCCTCCCGCCGTCGATGCCATGTTTTTCCTGACGAGCGGTATGAATGGGCCAAGCGACTACCTCTCCTCCTACAAAGACTTCGACGACAACAATGGCGTTCGAGCCCTCGTGCAGCAGCAATTCGCCTACCGCCTGTTTGCGCGCGGCGTGCGCCTGCACATCGAAGCGGTAGCAGCGGGGCAGTCATTCGACTTGCACGGGTGGCTCAAGGCGAAGTCGTACGACCCCTTCACCCCCGCAAAGCTGCCTACGTACTCCTTCGATGCCAAAGGTCTGTACACGATCGCCGTGGTCAACACTGCTGGGATCTCCGACAAGGACCGCTTCGAGGCCGCGTCAAATAGCCTAGTCGAGCTGATTGCGGAGAAGCAGGAGTATTACGGTCGACAGTGGGTGCGCGACAATTGGCAGGTCATCAATGACGAGTGGCTGGATGCTCTTATTGAGAACGAGATCCTGGCCGAAGATGACTGGACCAGTAAGCACCGGGGAGCCTTCGCTGCTGCCGTTGAGGCCGTTCATCGCTGGGAGACAGCCAAGCCAGACGACTTGCTCTTCTGCCGCGGCAAGCACGGCAACTCAAAGAAGGATACTGCCGACTGCACTGGGACGAGAGGAAGTCCTGGCTAAGCTCCAAGTCGCGTTCGCCGCTGACCTACTACGTCGAGCACGATGCGCGCCGTGGTCACTCCCTCCTCCCTGAAGACGTGCCCAAACTGGCTGCCCGCGCAAAGCGCATCATCCTCCAGCCGCTCGACCTCGACGATATTCTTGTGCTCATCAACAGCAAATTGTCTGAGAAAGATCGGGCCGCTTCTCTCGAGGACCGCATGCCGGGGATCACTGCTGGTCTGTCTGCGAAGGGTCCGGCCCAGACACCGAGGCTCGGAAGCGTTGCCCAGGTCGTAAGCGCTCTCGCAGGCTCATTGGACCTGCAGCGCCAGTACGATGACGCGGCACGCCTGACTGGCCACTCCACTCCGGGCTGTGCAGCTATGGTGCCTGACTACTTCGGCAGACGCAAGTCTGGGCACCCCACGGTGGCGCTGCTGCTCTTTACGGCGGCTCACTTGACGCGCTGCGGCGCGAAAGGTGTGGTCAAGCAGGTGAAGAAAGTCCTCGAGGTCGTGTACGAGTTGGAATGACACTACGGTCGAGCGAGTCACTGCGATCCACTCGCGGCTCAGCTCCCGCTGCACCTGGTGAAGCTTGGCGCGGAGCTACACCAGCTGATCGCAGAAGAGTGCCCGGGCGACTTCAAGGCGGAGAAGTTGGCAGCAGCAACGAGCAACTTCTGGTCGAAGCCGAAAGCCAACATCAGCCAGGTGCGCGTCTCGTACCCGCGAGGACCATATCATTTTCGCGACCTGAGCAAGGCCGTCTCAGCAAATGGCAATGGCGATGGATCTTCCCGCGATGGCACACCGGAAGAGCCTTCGCAAGATGATCGTGGGAGCCCGGCAGCGGCATACTCGGAGCTTGAGGCTGGCCGCCGCGACGTCCGCACCATGTCTCTTGAGCGCCAGGAGGAGCTCATCGCATGCTTCCAACGCGTCGTCAAGATGATGAAGTCGGCATTCAGCACAGCGGCTGACTTCCCCGTCAATGAGGATGGGATGCCGGTTGCTTTCTTGCCCGACTCCATCAAGACGCTGGAGCTGTTGGAGCTTGCGCAGGCCAGATGGACGGGAGCTCAAGACGAATGCGACGCTTTGTAGCAGGAGCAGCTCGGATTTCTGGGATCGAATGGTGGCGCGTCATCGTAATGTGGCTGCTCCACTGGGCCCGTTACCGTAACTGCTGCCCCTTCATCGGGCTCGCGATGGACCTGACAGGGAGGGCGCATCATTCGATGAGAGCCACCCTGTGCGCCCACAAGGATCATCGCCGCCGTTTCCTTGAAGACGCGCTGGACATGAAGCTCGAACGCCTCTCTAGGCGAGACTTGGGCGTGATCGATGCAAGCAATGCCTGCGTCCAGTCATGGTTCATCAATCGCCAGATCAGGTCCGACCACACGTCAAAGATCACTTTGACGTTCCAGCACTCTCGGCCTGCCTGGCGCTCTACCGCCGCCGTACGCCCGCTTACCATTGGCCCAGAACTCTTTACTGGTGCGATGAAACCCCTCGTAGCTTTCAGCTACAGGTGGACCGGTACGAGCACGAAACGATTATGTTCACAGCAATAATATCTCTGGCACAAAAGATTTATGCGAGGCGGCCGGTGTTGATCAGAACTGCATGCCTTGCGTTTCCGCTGCTTGGGGTTTCTCCTCGCCTTAGCAACTTGTTTCCTAGTAGCTTAGCAACTTGTTCCCTAGTAGCTCTCTGATTGACTTTCTGTGCTGCCCATTTGAATATATCAAATCGTTCAACAGCTCCTGATGTGTCGGGCGAGCCTATTGATGAGCGGAGCTAAGTCGCAAATCGGCTGCGGATGGAGCGCGCTCGCACGTCACGCCTACGGTGTCTCTCGAGGTCACGATAACATCCAATCATCAGCGAGAAGCGCGGGAGATCCAATAGCATTCGATGGATGAGTTTGAGTAAATATAGCCATATCTCGAGCGTATTTGCGCACGCACGCATGCTGCCGCGCGTCGCGTCTCTCAATTGAAGCTCTGCTCCCACCTCCTGTACGTGAAGCCGACGAAGCAATAGTCCTTCCTGGCGTCGTTGTCGACGTCAGCTCCTTCCGGAACTTGCGGGATGTGATCAAGCTCAGTCGAATCAAAGTAACTTGTGTCTACAGCAGATTTGAGGGCAGGGATGAAGGGAGCGTCGATGCTGCGGATGGTGGACCAGTCGACGCCAGCGAAGAAAGGATGGTCCTTGATCTCCTGCGCGCCGTTGCGGCCTAGGCGGGTCTCGGGTGAAGTGAGGAATCTGTGTGTGCGTGCGGTGTGGAGAGAGAGGCAGAGAGTAGAGAGGTAGAGGGTAGCATGAATGGGTCAGTAAACGCGCCTACGCGTCGCGCTCCCACGGCCGGCGCGCGCGACTCACCTCCTAATCATATCCTCCGCCTCCGCACTCAGGTGAATGTCGTCGGGGAACTGCAACGTCTCTCTCCAAGCCAGAATCTTCTTGTACGTGTCGTGCGCATTCTCCGAGCAGAAGGGCGGGTAGCCGCACAGGCACTCGAACATGATGCTGCCCAAACTCCACCAGTCACACTCGTGACCATAGCCTTGCTGAATGAAGATTTCAGGAGCAATGTAGTCTGGCGTGCCGACGGTCGAGTAGGCGAGCTTGCGTCGGTTGGCCTTCCAGGTTGCGATGGCGTCCTTGGAGGAGAGGGTGAGGTTGATCGAGTTGACCGCTACGCTGTTGCGTCCTGCTTGCTGCGGGTTCTGATTGCCCGTGGCCGCATTTTCGAAGAGGCGCTTGTAGTAGGCCGAGTCGTGTTGCTTTTGGAATCCTGTAGAGAGACCAAAGTCGCTCAGCTTGATGTGGCCCTTGGCGTCGATGAGGATATTGTCCGGTTTGATGTCTCGGTGGATGAAGCCGAGCTTGTGGATCCCTTCGAGGGCAAGGACGCATTCGGCCATGTAGAAGCGGGTGACGTCCTCGGAGAAGGTGTCATACTTGATCAGCATGGTCATGAGGTCGCCGCCAGGAAGGAACTCCATGAGGAGGTACAGGTAGGCCGAGTCCTGGAACGAGTAGAAGAGCTGGACCACCCACGGCGAGTTGGATTCGGCGAGCACATCACGCTCTGCACGGACGTGGGCGAGCTGGTCCTTCTTGAACATCTCACTCTTCCGTAAAGTCTTCATGGCGTAGATTTTGCCCGTGTCTACCTTTTGAACTAGACGCACCTCACCAAAGGCTCCCTTGCCAATGACCTTGACTGTACGGAAGTCGTCGAGGCCAAGGCGCGTTCTTCTGAGGCGGAGGAAGCCTGACTCGCGACGACCGAGGGCTTGGAGTTGACGACTCTTACGGTCGTCAGAGAGGCCAGTGTCCGTTGCGAGACGCTTCTCTACTTCGACGCGACGCCCGCTGCGCTCGATGGCTTGCTCGACGGCGACTCTGGAAGCGGACGAGAAGAAGCAAGAGGGTCAGCAGCTGTGTCGCTCCAACGATCTATCTGGCTACGTCACGCACTTGTAGAAATGCTCCAACTTCAGCTTTGCCCCCATCGCCGCGTCCAGCGTATTCTTGCTCATCCCCTGTGTGGATCGCTCAAAGTACACGTAGTCGGCGTCCTTGTCGCGCTGCTGTATCGAAGAGGAGCCGCCGGGGCTCGGCGGGCCAGGACGATGGTAGTTGGGTGATGGACTGCGGTTGGTGGGGCTTCCTCGAGGGCTGCCGCCTTGTCCTCCCGCTGAACCTCCGCCGTAGCCGCCACCTGGTGCTTGGAGGCCTTGCTGCTGCATGTGATTGTATTGCTGTTGCATGAGAAGTCTGCGCGGGCAGAGTCGGGACATCGAGAGGTCAGCACGAGAAGGTTGAATCATGATCAAGGGCGCTACGTACTGCTGCTGCTGTTGTTGAAGCTGCTGAGCCTGCTGCATCGCCGGGTGCTGGAGCTGACCAGGTGGCGCCTGTGCCTGAGCGGCAATGGCCGCAGCCTGGATCTGAGCTTGCAACTGCGCCTGATGAGCTGCGTAGGGGCTCTGCTGGGCGTATGCTGGCATTGCGATGAGTGAAGATGAGGACAAGGTAAGCATACACGCATGCTCGAGCCAGCGCTGCTAAATCCAGACTGCGCTCAGATCGCGACTACACCTGCACGCACCTTGATTTCCAGCGAAGCCTCCTTGATTCGCAAAGCCATAATTGGGCAGTCCACTGCCTCCGCCAACAAGGGACGGTTGACCATAGCTCTGCTGCATTCCTGGCCCGCCTTGCTGAGCGTGAGCTGGAATACCGTACTGGGCCCCAAAGGCTGCGGAAGTCGGCTGCTGAACCTGTGGCATAGCGTGTGGTGGTCGCGGTGATGTGCGAGGGTCGTTGCCCTGCTGATAGGGCCTCGCCCCGCTGTTGTAGGCCATTGCAGAAGGCGACGAGGCGTGGGACGAGCTGAGGACGAGAGGCCGAGGGTGACGAGGCTTGGAGCGCTGTCAATTAGCAAGACAAAGAGGCGCGACGAGGGCGAAGAAGTGGTCGGGCGCGACTATGCGAGACGATGAAAAAGAGAAGCTAGTGACAGGCGTCTACGAATCCCTCTGCGACGAGCGCGCACTGATCGGCTGAGCTAGCAAATGGCGTCTGCTTCTGGTGCAAGGGGAGAAGTGATGAGGGTAGGAGGTGTTGGTCTACGAAGGCCGCCGCCGCGGGATTGACGTCGCTGCCACTTGTTCAGCCGGCAGGGAGCTGGCAAGCCAGGGCGGCCGCGCATCCGCGAGACAGACTCCGCCCAGCCCGTCGGCCATAGCGACGAGGGGCAGCAATCTCTGTTCCGTGTTTCAATCCAAAGGCAAAGGCCCCGGGCTGCAGCGACGGGCTTAGTGGAGAAATGAGCTTGAGACTCAAGTCGGAGAGTCGAGGCTCAGCGGCTAAGCGGCGGCGTTACCAACCTAACCATCCTCAGCACCACCACCACCATCATCGTCACAGCCCGCCACCGTCAACAGTATACAGCATTTCAGGGGTTGAAGCTGGAGGTGCTGCTTCAATCGCTTTCATCTTCGTCTACACCGCCGCCCGCCCAGACTCCCTGCCACGATGCCCTCCCGCGACGACGGCACAGCATCGGCTCCCCTCCTGGGCGGCCAGGACGAGCCTCGCGATGTCCGCTTCGCCATCTCTGAAGAAGATGCAGAGGATCCTCGTGGGTCAGTCCAGGCAGAGCAAGAGGAGGAGGAGGATGTGTCAAACAAATATCCCCCACCCTCATCACTCCCGCCGTCATATAGAGAAGCAACACATCGCCGCGATCCCTGGTACAAGTCTGAGGTGGCCCTCTCACTCCATCACTACGGCAGAATATGTCTAGGTGGCTCAACCAGCTTCTTGCGCAAATACTGGCCGACGAGTAGATTTGCGCAGGCAGGCTTCTTTATTGTAGGACTGTGGATCCTCGTCATCGTCAGCGGGCCGACGTGGGACAAGACGAGCAGATTAGGCATGGGCAACGGGATAGATGATGTGAGTATGCAAGCTCCCGACATATACGACCTTAGAAGCACAGGCTCATCCTTATCTCTTGTCACACTCTCAGCTCCTCACAGCCCTTCCGCCGCCGCCGCTAATGGGAGATGGGCACTACCTCCAATCAGCTGTGTGGTCCTCTCCAGCCTCATGTCACCCAACCCGACACGGAATGGCGACCTACTGCACTCGCACAACGAACTTCAATCTCACCTACCCGCGGGCGGCAAATTCCTTCCACTCATCGGACAAAGTATTCATCTTTGTCGACCCCCTGCGCGGCCACGGATTCAGCGACGAGCGCGGTCGAGCCCCGGCGACTGTAGAGGTCCAAGTAGATGACAAGGCACCCAAAGAAGAGGCTATGGTCAAGGTGGAGGCTCGCTATGAGCAGGAACTTCAGGCGCTGCTGGAGAGAGCGAATGTCGGGCTTATGAGCGCGGGAATCAGGGATAGGGGCGTGGGCATCTATACGTGGCCCCTGCCCTACCATCTGAGAGTGGTGCCGCAGCACGTCTACCCTTACCCGCTGCTCTCATTCAAGATCGTGGTCAAATTGCATCCAGAGGCACAGATCCCGAACTTTGTCCTTGACGGAGCGAACATGGACGTAGGGATGTTCAGGGACCTGCCCGGCCAGGGCAAGATGAATGTTGTTGCGCCAGCCAAAACCACGATCGGCAAGCAGGAACGACGCAGCGAGGAAGGTCTCCAAATGCTGGACATTGGACGCCTCAAGACCGCCACCTCGAATCTTCGTCTCGGCCACGCCATAGGCAAGCATCGCGCCGAGGTCCGGCAAGCGCTGAGGAAACGCGCGGACGACACCTCCTCCTGGCCCTTCTTCGGCATCGTCCGTCTTCTGACCGGGCAAGGTGATGTCCTCTTTGGCGGGCGTACTCATGTCATGGGGCACATTTGGGCAGCGACAAAGGCAGGCAAGATCGACCTCGGCGAAGAGGCTAGGCTCAGGGGTATCGAAGTGCACCTCGAAGCCGAGCCGGCTCAACCTCATACGCATGGCGAGGAGGTGGCCAAGGCGACGGCCATGTCGTCCGGTGGGGATATCCTGCTGGGGAAGGGGACGCAAATCGACGCAAAGGATATCGTCTCGCTCACTTCGCGCGGCGCGAGGGGGATCGCCCTAGGGGACGATGCGTGGATCTCTGCGACGCGCCTGAACGCAGACGTAAAGGGCGCTGGTGGCATAGCGTCCGCAGACTCAGCGGAGTGGCGCACAAATCATAGTCTCGTCCTCAACGCCCCTTCAGGAGGGATCGTTGCTCCCGTGTCCGTCTCGCCGCCCGCACGTCGTGAGCTGGGCACAGGGACGGAGCAGCGCGCCTGGGTAGGAGTGGACGCAACTGCAGGCAAGGGCGACGTGGCGTTGCGCTTCAAGAGTCACGAGGCTGGCACACCGGTGAGGGTGAATGCGAAGAGTCAAGAGAGGGGCAGCGTGGAGGTGGTGATGCGGCCCGAATTCGCCGGAACGTGGCACGTCAAGGCGCCGAACCGCGCTGGATCGAGCGTTACGCCGCCCAGGACTGGGAGCGACGGCAAGGATGCGAGAGGAGCGAGAGTTTTCGAGAGCAAGGATGTGCAAGCGGGCAAGGAGGCGTTCGAGGCCTCAGGCGAGGTGTGGTGGCGCAAGAAGGAAGGCGACAAGCATGCGACGGGAGAGGCGTGGGGCAGCGTTGAGATTGAGGCTGCGGCAGGGAGCAAGGAGGCGGCTGCCAGGCTGTCCTTTGATGGGTGAGAAAGGGCACTGGCACTTGCCTGCGACACAGCTGTCCATATTTGATGCGGGCAAGCCGGTGTGCTTCCTCTCCGGGTACGCACACTATCACCTCTCATTGACTTTACTCCATGCCGAATCGGAATTGTATCATTGTTCCCCTCAGCTAAATGGATTGGCAACTAGAGAGGCTCACCTGGGCAGTAATGGAGGCTGCTGCAGCTCTCGAGGGTATGTGTGAGATCTAGATGTATTATGGTAGAGCGCATGAGGGAAGAACCGCCTACAACCTCCAGCCAGTGGCGCCTACCCGGTCTTGTTTAGGTGGCTCACGGTAATGCCATCTCCATGCCCATCAACAGATGCCTTCTCCTCCTCAACGACACTCATGCCCTTCTCCCTCCTCTCATCCATTTCGATCACATCGCTCCTTGCTCCTGCATCACTGTTACGCAAGATTCCCCGAGGAGCAGAGTGCCCGACGATGCTGCCTCCCGGCACCAGTAAGCCGCCAGAGTCGCTACTGTCTATGCCACCACTGCTGCTTGCCGTGGTAGTGCTGTCGCTGGAGCTGGCGGACAGACGACGTCGTCCAAAGCGTCCAAAGGCCGTCTCGCCTACACCGAGGCCGAGGAGGACGGCGAGAAAGTACCAAAAGTTGAAGGTCCTGCGACCGAGCGCGAAGAAAGGAGAACGAGGTCAGTGAAAGCTAGACCCGGTGGCATGATCAGTAGAGCGCTCACATGACAGCCAACATCAAGAGGTAGCCAACAAAGCTCCTTCCGATCTCCAACATCCCCCTAGGGAGATCCACATTCGCCAACCAGGGAAGTCGATCTTTCCTCACTGCTCCGCCATGCTGTCCCGTCCATCCACTGTTGACCCCCTGAGTATCCACGCGAACAACCGCCCGACCGCGCCGAAGAGTCTCTCGCTCCCAGTAATAAGCATTTGCTCCTCGCTCGACGGCGGAGAGGAAGCGGGAGAGGATGGCGAGGAAGAAGAGGAGGAGGGCAAAGCCGAAGAGGGAGGAAGGGGAGGAGGGGGTGAGGTGATTGAGCCACAGTGGCGTGGAGTCGGAGAGGTGGAAGGTCATGTGCATGCTAGGCATGGAGGAGGACACGGCGGTCTCAGAGCTGCTAGAGGTCATGCCTGGCATGCCAGCCATACTGTCGGAGTCACTATCGCCGTCATCGCCATGACGGCGCAGTAGGGAGGAGACGGCCAGGTTGGCTACTGCGGGGAGTGCCATACTATCGTGTCGTGTCGTGGTGGGGAGCAGAGAATGCTACGTCGCCTTGACGGCCCGGGCGCAGATAAGTTGTCGTGGGTAGGTGAGAAGGAGCAATGAGTCGCGGCCCAGCTATTCCGCACTTTCGTCTTCGTCGTTGCAAAGCAAATGATCAAGAGCCGTTGCTCTCCTCGCCCCGGTGCCACCATCGTGTCCCTCGATGTGCGTGTCCCTCGATGTGCTCGTGCCTGTTGCGCCATCATCGGCAAACGGAGGCTTTTTGCGCCCCCCTCGGACCCTTTGTTGCCGCTGCCGCCTCACCGCCGGCGTGGCGTGATACGGCGGCGGCAGCCATCGTCGAGCAGCTCGGACACTTATTTCGCGCTTGCACCCCCCGCCTCTCCCGCTGCGCCCTCGATCTCGACCTGGCTGTTGGAGGTGGAAGTCTCAATTTCCGGCATCGCTATTGCTCATCGTTGCCGCGAGGTTGCGCCGCCCAAGGACGAACCAGGGAGACCAAGCCGCTTTCGAGGCCCCTTGTCTTCTCCAAGGCAGTCTTAGGGACAGTCCATGTTCCCCTCGATTCTTCAAGTCCTGCCTCGATTGACAGTATGCCCATGTCCAAGCACGACCGTATCGCTGCGGTGCATGGTGAGGGAGCTTACCCTTTGGCCTACTCTACGCATTCGCTAACCCACGGCCCTCCGTCACGCCTTCAGCCCTCTTCGGTAGCATCGCAGTGCTCATTGTCCTACCCTTCGCGATCCTAGCAGCCCGTTTTCGTTCTTCCTCTTCCACCTCAAGCTCCTCATGGCTCACAATCCGTACGCACATCCTCCTCAACGCAGCCACGGCCTTGCTCATCGCGATCACCTTTGCCCTCGGAATGGCCTCCGTGGCAGGCACGGACGGCGGAGATGCCCAACTGATGGGTGATGAGGCGGACCTTCATCACACGTTGGGATTTGCGCTGCTCTTTCTCGTGGCGCTTCAGGTGGGGCTGGGAGTAGTTGCGAGGAGCAAGGCAAAGGGCGGTGCGGGGTTGGATGGGCAGGTGGGAAAGGAGAGCAGCGAGGATGGATCTGTAGTCATTGTTGGTGAGGGCAAGTCTGGCGCCTCCACACTTTGCCCAACTCTACCGCGTAAGAGCGCCTTACGATGGCTTCACATCTTCTTCGGCCTCCTGACGACGGCACTTCTTTACGTGCAAACATGGAACGGCCTACACATCGAATGGGGAGCAATGAGTGACGATCGCAAGCCGGCACCAGAGGCGATTCAGATCTTGTTTTGGGTCTTCTTCCTGGTGCCTGTGGGCGCGTAAGCGATGGGTCTGGGCAGCGAGATGTTGGACAAGATGGATGGAGAGGGGGCAGTCAAGTTGGAAGAGGATGAGGGCGAGCAGTACGTGGAGGGAGACGAGAAGGAGGGAATCGAAGTGAAGAGCAGCGGAGCGACTGCGGCGAGGTGATTCCTGCTTGCGCTGATATGTTCTTGAAATGTTGATATTCGTTGCCTCGCCCTCGTCAGTAGGGAATGCTGCTGCCAATCGCCCCTCTCACGGCCGCCTCGTAGATGTCTTCAGCGATGCGCACATCCTGCACGCCCACGCCGACCGACTTGAAGACAGAGACTCTCCTCTCCGTCGAGCGCGAAGACTGAGATGACTGCTCAAGCTCAGCGCCCAGCTCCTTGACGATATGTTCGTCAGTGGACTGCAGTGCATTAATGCCCGCCTTGATGAGGTCGCCGGCCTCGTGAGCACACGCCTCCGTCGAGTCCACAAGCAATGTACCAGCCGCTGCTGCGCTGCGCATGAGGTCCGGCTCAACTTCTTGCATGTGGGGCTTATCTGAGCGGCGAATGAGAGGTATCTGGTCAGCTTTGACTTCACTTACATTGAGATTCCGGCGACACTCACACGATCCAACCATGTTAACATGCGCTCCCCGCTTGAGGTCCTCGAATCGGAAGAGGGGCTCCGTTGACGGTGTGCAGCAGCACACAATGTCTGCCTCGCTCACGAGACTCGCAATGGCTTCCTTGTCATCGCTCGTCACGCCCTTCGCAGGATGAGTTCCAACGTACACCGAGCCAGGCTCTGGCTCCTCGTTGACGCCCGGAAATTCCCTAGCTATCGCTGGGAGCTCGGTCTTGTTCATCATCTTCCTCGTGACGAAAGTCACCTGCGTTCCCACCTCGCCCCCATACACCTGATCAAGCAACCAAGCATGAGCAAAGGCCTGTCTCCCACCACCGAAGACGACCACCTTGTACCCTCCCTGCGGTCCTCTCTCACCGGCAGGTAAGAACAGCTGGGTTGCCAACACGCTGCCCGCCGCTGTCCGTAGCGCGGTCAAAATCGTCGAGTCCACAATTGCCTTGACTTTTGCTGTCTGTCCGTCGAGCAGGATGGTTGACCCTGGGATGCCCGCTTGGGCTATCGAGGGAGAAGCAGAGGCAGAAGGCACACCGACAATCTTGCATGCCGTGGAGGAGCCAAAGCGGGCGGGCATGAAGAGGGCGGTGTGAGAGTCAAGGGTGAGAGCTAGGCGTTGCGGGTTGTCCAAGGGCACGGGACGGTCGGGATCTGTTGGAGCTGAAGGCCCAGCTCGCTGCAGATAGTCGTCTCTGGCACGCTTGCCGGTGGGGTTTGAGAAGGTCATGAAGACAGTTGCTTGACCCTCCAAGATGGCGCTGACTGGCATGCTCGAGAGACAGCGTCGAACGTCGCTTGCGGAGAGGACGACGAGGCCCCCGTCTGCATTCCGAGCATGATTTTGCCCAGACATGGTCCTCAAGCTCTGGAAGTAAGTGAACCGTGCTTGCTGATCTTGATCGTGGGGGAACTGCTCAAGATAGCGAATGAATCGTCATGCCGAGTGCCGCTTCTGCGCACGGACGGACGGACGGACGGACGGAAGGGGCCTCGCACTTTTCTGGGCCGACGGCCGATACAACTTCGATCCTCTACTCATTCCTCTGATACCACCCTACAAGATGTCAGCTGCCCTCGCGCCCCTCGCAGGGCCCTCACGTACTACTTGCAGGTCTCTGAGCAACATAGCAGCCTCTTCGATATCACGGCTGCCATCAGCGCCCTTGCGACGCCCACGCCACCTGCATACATTCCCCCCTCTGGCCTCGCATGAGAATCCCCTCGGTCTCCCACGCAACACCGATCGCCTCCCACCTAAGATGCCGCAGCGCAGCCGTGGTGGACCGCCTGCAAAGCGACCAGTACCGAACGTCAAGCACGTCCTGGCTGTAAGCAGCTGTAAGGGTGGTGTAGGGAAGAGCACTGTAGCTGGTGAGTCGAGGCGACATCCCATCACGAAGTCGAGATGCTGACTCCCCTCGGTGAATATCGTCTGCGTAGCCAACCTAGCCCTATCGCTGCTCAACAATCCGCCAGAAGGATCAGAAAGACGGCCAAGAGTCGGGCTGCTCGACCTGGACATCTTCGGGCCTAGTGTGCCTAAGCTGCTCGGTCTCGAACAAGCTGGCGAGGCAGAGCTGACAGAGGGTGAGTAGCGTTCAGATCGATGATCTCCATAGCCGACGCTGACAAGGGTGCGATGCTCGCGTAGGCGGCGCCCTCCTGCCTCTCACAAACCATGGCCTACCCACAATGTCCATGACCTACCTCCTGGGCCCAGAGAAGGCCTCAAACCCAATAGTCTGGCGAGGCCTCATGGTTCAGAAAGCGGTCCAGCAGCTCCTCTTTGATGTCGACTGGCGTTCCACACCCTCGGATCCTGCATCTGCAGGTCTCGACGTGCTGGTAATCGACATGCCACCGGGCACAGGGGATGTTGCACTTACGCTCACTCAGCTCGTGCAACTATCCGGAGCGGTCATTGTATCCACGCCTCAGGAGGTGGCGCTCGAGGATACGAGGAAGGGAGTTGCCATGTTCGATAAGGTCGGGGTGAAGGCGACAGGGCTGGTGCTCAACATGACGCACTACATGCCTCCACCACCTCTGCCGCAGGACCCGCTGCCCCTCTTCGGGCCTAGTGAGCCATTCGACAAATTGGCGAAGAGTCTGGGCCTACCTGTGCTAGGGAGACTGCCCGTCGAGCCTGCGGTTAGCTATGGTGGGGATGCGGGGTGGCCTGTAGTGCTCAAGTCGGACCAGGAGGGTGGGGAGACGAAGCGCGTGTTCAAGAAGATGGCAGAAGTCGTTTGGGCAGCGCTGCGAGAGAAGGCGTAGCACTGCAGTCTGGCGTGGCGATGCTAGAAGACTAGTTTTGGCAATTGCAATCTGTATCATACCGCCATCTCAGGCGCACCGTTGCCTCTTTCTCCACCTTCTACCGCACCCTCACCCTCACCCGCCGGCCGTGCAGCCGCACCCCCTGCACCCTCTGTACCGCTCACGGCTCCACCAGCTCTCGCCTTGCCCGCCGGATTGCCGCTCAGCCTGCTCCTCAACCCGCGGTACTTGGCACGTTGCGCCGCGCTCACACTGGGCGACGTCTTGTCCAACGCTTCGAGGAAGTGTCGCTGCGATACCAGCACACGAGGTACCGCGTTGCTACTCGCCGCTTGACCATCAGCACCTCCAGCGCGCCTCGCCTCGGCCAACGCAGCCTTCAACGCCGTAACCGCGGCCTCGCGTGCCAGATTCGCCAGATCCGCGCCTGAGAAGCCATCTGCTCTACAGTCCTTCGCGACCGCCTCCAAATCGACACCGCCCTCCTCCAGCGGCGTCTTCTTCGTCAAGGTCCTCAGGATCTCCAGCCTCTCCTCTGGGCTAGGCAGGTCTACGTAAAGCAGTTTGTCGAGACGACCTGGACGACACATAGCCGGATCGATCATATCGGGCCTGTTCGTTGCGCCTATCACGTATACCTGCCCGCGGGACTCCAGGCCATCAAGCTCGGTGAGGAGTGTGTTGACCACGCGCGAGGAGGACTCGGAGAGGGAGTCGTCACGTCGAGGGACGAGAGCGTCGAGCTCGTCGAAGAAGATGACGCACGGTGCTGATGTTCTTGCGCGGGAGAAGACCTGGCGAACTGCCCTCTCCGACTCACCCACATACTTGTTGAGGAGCTCCGGGCCTTTTACGCTGATAAAGTTGGCGCGAGACTCGTTGGCGACGGCCTTTGCGAGGAGGGTCTTACCGCACCCTGGCGGACCCCAGAGAAGGACGCCCGAGCTGGCCTGCACGCCGACTGCTGCGAAGAGGTCGGGACGTCGAATAGGCTCGACGATGGCCATACTGAGCTCTTCGCGTGTCTCGTGGAGCGCTCCAACGTCTGCCCATGAGACGTCGGGGACCGTTGCGAAGCCTTCTCGTTTGGAGGAGGGTTGGACAGAAGGGAGAGCTTGGAGGAAGTCGGCATTCGTTATGCAGAGCGGGGCAAGTTGGGACGAGGAAAGAGGCGAGGGGTGAGATTGGAGGAAAGTGGCGATGCTTGAGGTGGCGAGCGAGGTGGGCAGGGAGGAGAAGAATCGAGCGGTTGGTACGGCGCCGAGACTGGCAGGGGTCGTGGTGGGTGCTTGCGTGACTGCCTGGGGCGGCTCTGCGCCGTTCGCTGCTGACGCTGGGGCAATGATTGCGCCTTCGCCTTGACTTTGCTCTTGTGACTGGTCGTCGCCATTGGCCTCGACCTTAGGTGTAGCTGGTGCTGTCGCGCCCGTGGCAGTTGCGTCCACCTGTTGCTCTTCCATCTCAATGTCAGCATTTGCGCCATCAACCGTCTCCTTGACGGACAGCATCTCCATCGCAGCCTGCTGGTCCACGCCCTCTGGCATCTGCCCGAGCTCATTGAATATCCTCTTGACCGCCAAGATGCCTGCAGCACTGGCCAATGCAGTCAAGTCGGCTCCTACGTATCCCGGAGTGGCCTTCGCGAGCGCTGCAAAGTCGAAGTCCCCTGCCAGTCTCAGCTTCGCAGCCAGCACTCTGAGGATATGCTCCCTGCCTTTCTCATCTGGCACGCCTAGGGCGATCTCATGATCAAAGCGTCCTGCCCTGCGCAGAGCAGCATCCAAAGCGTCAGGCCGATTCGTCGCTCCGATGACCATGACCGGTCGACCGCCCGTCTTGTCCCAGCTGAGGTCGTCCAAGCACGTCAACAGCTGTGCTACGATCCTCCTCTCCATTTCCCGCCCAGCCGTCTCCCTCTTTGGGGTAATGGCATCAATCTCGTCGATGAACAAGATGCTCGGAGCAATCTTCGCTGCTTCCTCGAATGTCTGGCGCAGCGTAGCCTCGCTTTCGCCCGAGGTGCCTGATACAATGCTGGGTGCAGAGACTGATAGAAATGGCACGCCCAAATCGCCAGCAACCGCTCCAGCGAGCATCGTCTTGCCGCATCCTGGAGGTCCGTGGAGGAGAACACCACGAGGTGGCTTGACGCCCGTGTGAGAGTAGATCTCAGGGTGGCAGAGCGGCATGGCGATCAGTTCTAGAATCTTGTCTATCGATGGAGCAATGCCACCGAGGTCGGAGAGGGAGGATGTTGGAGGGGCATACTTCTCGGCGGTGTCGACGGGGCGTCGGGAGCGCTTTGAGCTGCTAGATGAGGGACCCGCAGCTGCGGTGGAAGGACGCAGCTTGCGCTTGGATGACGAGGGTATCGGCGAGGCTTCGCGAGTGCGAGGTGTGGATGCGCCAGTGGCTTCGGGAAGTGGGCTGTCCGGTGCTGCCCCGTCAAGAGGAGCCGCAGAGGAGGAGGAGGATGCAGCAACCTCGCCATTGGCAGCCGCCTCCTTAGCCGCAAGAGCAGCCGCAGCTGCACTGCCAGCAGGAGGAGCGCTCGAGTTGAGATTCATGACCCGGCTGCGCCGGGAGTGTTGCGCCCAGCCGCCGGTAATGCTGGCGTTCATGATGAGGTAGAGGATTCAGCGGGAGGTGAGAAATCAAAATCGGTCCATCCGTTGCGAAGCTCACGAAGGCGGACAGGCGGACTGAGGCCAAATTCAGACGAGGCTGCTTTATCGGAACGGGAGAAGACAACATGCATCGAGATCATGGTAGCGACGAGCAAGCAGAAGTGAAGTGATCATACAAGAGAAAGAATGCAAAACGGCTCTAGGATTCACATCGAGCGTCGTCATTGCAGCTGTGCGCTCAGCTGCTTTAGATAGGCACCGCGCCTCCGCTCACGCCCTGCACGGTCGAAACCCACTGCCATTCGTCACCGCTCAGAACGCCGCTGTTTCCTGCATCATCGAGCAGCCTCAGTAACAAGGCCCACGGCGGCAGCATTCTCGTCAAAGAGAGCAAGAAGGACATGACGCGCTCCAGCCAAGAAGTAGTGGCACCGCCTTCCGCGTAGTCAATCCGTCTCTGAGCCAGAGAGAGGCGATGCAACCACACCAAGCCGCGCTTGACCATGGCCGCCACTCCACTCGTCCTGCTCGTCACCACGGTCGCAGGCATGAAGCCGAGCGGGACCTCGAATGAGGTATTCCTGTCCGACATCGCCGTGAGCCATGACGACGTCGACGAGGATGCTGACGAGTGAAAGTCCGCGCTTAGTGAATACGCCTCGGGGTAGAGCGGGTCCACGTACACGCTCCGGTAGACGAGATCCGAGTGGCTCAAGGCAGCCACGAGGACCGTCCAGAGTAGCAGAAGGGCTGCAACGAGGAGGCACATGAGTACGCGAGGCGAGAGAATTGGCCCCGCCTTCGCATACTGCTGATCACCCGCCACGATGAGCGCTTGAAGCTGAGTGAGAAGCTTCTTGCGGGCCGCATCCAGCTCTTGTGTCTGCTGATGATCCTCGTCTTTGCCGGCCTGCTCAGCTGCGCCACGGTCCGCCTCGACTTCGACGATGCGATCGGCCAGTGCAGCAAGGTCTGCCTGGAGCGAAGCCGTAGCTGCGGCCTTGCGATCGCTGGCCTCAGTCCTGTACTGCAAAGCCTGGATGTCGTTTGGGTCGTTGGCAGCAAATAGGCGTTTGCGCTCGTCCAAAGCCGTCACGACCTGATCCAGGGTGGCGCGCAGCGAGTCGTCGGCAGCGGCGACAGTGGGGCTTCTCGCAAAGGATGACTCGTTTCTCGTAAGTTCTCCAACGTGGCTGGTGGCGCTGGGATGGTGAGCAACATCGTGAGCGCTGATATTCGGCTCCTCCTGCTCTTCCTCAGTCTCGCTGGCAATCTCATCCACGACCACATCGGGAAGCGCTCCATGCCTGCTGCTGTCGGCAGCGCTGCTGGTCCTAGAGTGACGGGAGAAGGATGCACCGGTCGGCGGAGGGGTCGACTCCCTTGGCAGCATCGTCGCTTCTTCCTGGCCCGCAACGCTGCTAGTAACCGCCGCGTAAGATGGAGGAGGCGGACGTTGTCGAGCGCCTTGCTTCTCTGCCGCATCAGGTGTGCTACGAGCGTCGAATCCTCGTGCGAGGCTCTGCAGCAGTCGCACGGGCTTCTTAAAGTTGAGCGCTCCCAGGTCGGCCGAAGAGGTCGACGAGCTCGAAGATACGGAAGAGGTGGATGCCACCTCGGCATCTTCGTCTCGTCCTCTCGGTGCGGCAGAGATGGGGGCATGCTGGGAAGCGGGGCTCGCTGCCGTCCAAGGACGGAAGCGCATACCACCTGGGTATAGAGGGGAGTCGGAGGTGGTGGATGCGCCTGAAGCAGGGAGAATGCGTTTGGGGGTCGCGCGCAAGACATGGCGCGAGAATGAGTCTGTGCTTCTTCCCGACAACGGTGGGAGAGGAGAGCCAAAGGCGCCTGGCGGGAGACGGATAGGTGTGGGATTCAGGCTTGTCTGTCGAGGTGAAGCGGTGCCGCCAGCCTGATGCGACGAGGTCGCTTCTGCGCTGAGGACTCGATCCAGGTCTATTTGCTCTGAAGCCTTAAGCGTTGCCAGCGTCGTCGAGGTCCACCATTGCTCCTCCTCTTCCTCTTCCTCTTCACCCTCCTCTGAAGAATATCGTGAGCGCTCCAGCTCCTCCTCTTGTTCCAAAGAAAGTTCTGGTGGCGCCACTGTGTCTATGACTTCTGGCTGGGGGCTGAATCTGACCGACTTGCGTCTCTTCCCAGTTCGCGGAGTAACGGACGGAGTCAGATGGTCGCGAGCCATCTCGTTCTCCTCATCTCTTCCATCCTCCTCCTCATCATCCTCAACCTTCTCGACTGGTGCCTGCAGTGCGCTCTCCAATCTTTTCCTCGCCTCGACCGCGCTAGCAGGCGGTAGACGCGACGAAACATTGAGCACTGACGTAGACGTGCCCGACCTCTCGCGGCGATGACCTCCCAGGCCACTGGCGCCGCGCTCAGGGCTGCTGGTGCTATCCGGACTCAGGTTGACTGTGTCCTTGCTCATCATTTGAGGCTTGAAGCTGAAAGCGCTTGTCGAAGGGGCGCTGCTTCGTTGCGTGGGTGGTGACGACGGCTGTGAGGCACGGTCTTTGATCGGCGACGGAGCGGGGCTGCTGGCCGTGGCGTGTTGGTCAGGCCAAGTCGTAGGCGATGATGGCATTTCGCTGAAAGCCTGTCTGGCCCTGTCCCTCTTAGATGGCGATACTGTAGCTACAAAGGCGGCGACGGATGATGGATTTGGCGGGCGGGAAATGCGCTGCTGTAGGCGTTGAGTGTCTTCCGAAAGGTCGAACTGGCGCCTTCTAGTCGATGAAGAGCGCAGCGGCGAAGATGAGGAAGCCGTCGGCCGTCTTGAAGACGACGACGCTCTATGTGATGACTGCGCCACGTACTCGTCTTCTTCTTGCTGAACCCGCTTGTTTCTTCTCTTCTCCTCGATCCTTTCCCTGATGAGACGATCTCGCTCTTCGCGGCGTTGTCTGCGTTGCTCCTCGTACAAGCGCAGATCGTAGGCATCCTGTTCTTCTCGGCTGTTCTCTTGTGCGCCGTAGTAGCTTTGCTCGAGATCGCCGCTCACGACGTCGTTATTTGATGCTGACCGCCTCCTCTCATTGACCCGCGCGTAGGCGGCCGTCAGCGACGATGACGGCGCAGATTGCCCTGCGAGGTCCATCGACCGAGTCGCAGTAGCAGTGGCTGCTGACTGTCTTGTTCCATCAATGCCTCCGCCACGTCTGCTTTGGCTATCAATCTGGTCCAACACGCTCCGCAGGCTGCGAGTCGATTGTGGGGACTGCGATTGAGCCGCAGACGATGCGACGGTGTTCGGCCACGTCCCATCGTCCTCACTCTCGCCATGCTCCTGCAGCTGGCGCTGATGCGGATCGCCCCCGCCGCCCCCGCCGCCGCTGCCGCTGCTCCTCTTCTGAGAGACGCGTTGCCAAGCGATTCGGAGGCCATGTTGGTCCAGCGAAGTGGAGAAGGAGGAAGACGACGACGAGGAAGACGAGGAGGAAGACGAGGAAGACGAGTGAGTCTCCCAGTGATCTTGCTCTGTGGCGCTTTGGTGTGCGTATGAAGGGCCTGGGGAGCTGTGAGCGCCCTGCCATCTCCTCGGGCTACTCTTGCCGGCCTTTCTGGGCGATGTGAATGGTGACGTCTGCGGTCTGCGAGGACGCATAGGTTCAGAGGCTGATGCCTTCTCGCCTGTTCTTGTGACAAAGCTGCTGCTTCCTGCCAGCGCATCTTCTGAAGGGGTTGGAAACCGAGAGGAGATGGTCGATACCGCCGATGACGAGGAAGAGGATGAAGATGCTGATGACGAAGGCGATGATGGCGACGATGTCTGGACGGGCGCCATCCGCTGGCGTGCTGCGAAGCTCATAGCGCGGCAACGCCTCGGCGGTGAGAGATAATGAATGTCTCAGCAATGGGCTCCGCCTCCTCTCACAAGCTCCAAGGCTGCGATGCAGCTGACATCCAGAAATCGTAGGTGATGGTCAAGAACAACGATACCGAATAATCTCCCTTGGCCGCCTCCTCCCGCCCTCAACTGCCTGTCCGCGCTCGCTCTAGCTGCAAGGCGCGTCTCTTTCGCGTCGTCACGCCGTTTGGCTGGCCGGCGCTTTGACCTCCTCTCACTCGAATCAATCACACTACTTTGAAGGCCGAAGCACGAAGGGCTCCGAGGGGCTGCTAGAGGCGCGAGAAGCAGGCGGTACAAGCCATCATCTTCGTCATCAAGGAGAGCGTTCGAACAATGGACAATGAGAGAATCTGTGCAACAAAGAGAAAAGGGGGGAGAAAAGAGGAAAGAGACCACACAGAGAGGCTGAGGTGGGGCGAAGCTGGAGCCAGGCTGTGTCGTTAGAGGAAGAAAGCGCCGTCGTTGATAGGGTAAAGCCCACCGGGAATCGGGGACCAAGAGACGAAGGGAGGCGGAGGTGGTGGGTCGACGCGCTGATTGGCTCCGCCTGAGGTGTAGAAGGTCTCTTCTCCAATGATGCTCCTTGCCGTAGCTGATGGCGTCCAAGCTCTCCCTGCCCGCAGACACACCCTTCGAAGACTGCTTCTCGTCACCGCATGCGTCTCCAGTCACCATGCAATGCAGGTTGGCTGCCCCTCCTTCTCCCCCCACCTGCCTGGACAAACGCTTCCGACCGCCGCCCCATCTCATCCACCCGCATACATCTTCTTCTATAGCTCAAGCTGATCTGCATTTCGTCGCTGCCGGCGCGGCGTTCAGGAGAGCTTGAGGGTATTTAGAGGATGGCGCACTTTGACTTTTTGCGCACGACGGGGGGCTCCAGCGCAGCGACGATGGCCTGTTGGGAGGCAGAGGCGGTTCAGATGTCAGTCATTCTCTCCAGATGGTCCTGAATCGCGCTCTGGCATCACGCACCTCGTCGAACACATTCTTCAGACCCTTCTGCGTCAGCGCTGAGCACTCGACGTACTTGACGGCGCCCAACTCTCTCGCCAGCCTCTCTCCCGCATCAAAGGTCACAGGCCTCTGCTTTTGCCTAGCCAACTTCTCAACGACGGCCGAGTCATCCCGAAGATCCACCTGCGTGCCGACGATGAGGCAGGGGACACCAGGGCAGTGGTGGTGGACTTCTGGGAACCACTTCTCCTTGACGTTCTCGAACGAGGCGGGCGAGGTGACGGAGAAGCAGACAAGGAAGACGTCCGTCTGCGGGTAGGACAGGGGGCGAAGGCGATCATAGTCTTCTTGACCGGCCGTGTCGAACAAGCCGAGAGTGTAAGGATCCTCGCCGATCATGACCGTGACCGCATAGTTGTCGAAGACGGTCGGGACGTACTCTGCGGGAGGGGATTCGCGAGCGATACGGGGATCAGCCTGCGACCCTCGTCACCATCTCCAATCAGTCTCCTGCTCACCAGAAGGGAACTTATTGGTAGTGTAGGAAATCAATAAGCAGGCTAGAGTGCGATTGCGTATGATTTGAGTATGGTTGAGGAGCAGGGGAGGGGGGTCGGAGAAGAGGAAAGGATTTACGAGGTGAGCGCAATGATCGGTGGTGCGAACCCAGCCCCGCGGTGAATGCCCAGACCGGCATGCAGCATAGACTGGCTGTCAGCGACAGAGTACTTACTCTGGACGCGATCATAAGGTCGCAGTTGGAGGAGGAAATGGGGGAAGTTGTTAGTGGATGGGAGACGTTGTCGACCAGACCCGCTGCGGGCTGCTTACCTTTCCGACAGCACCGTCGCCAACGACGACGCACTTGATCGTCTGCATGATTGTTGCGGTGCTGCGAGGGAGAGAAAGAAGTAGAGGCGAAAGAGCTGGGAGCGATCAGATGACGATCCGGCGATGTGGCTCTCTCGCCGTCACCAACTGACCTGGAGAGGGCAGGTAGGCCGAGGACGACGCCGGGGCTAATTCGAGAGGAGCAAGAAGCGACGACGATAGATCTCTACCAGGGATGAAGCAGCTCCTATCGATGCAGCTCGTCGTGTTGAAGTCGTCGAGTGGTAGTGATGGTGAAGAGGACGCGCGCTGGGATGAGGCAGAGAGAGTTGGACCACAAAGTAGGTTGTGAGTGAGGGGCGTCGACGTTGGACGGGCGGCAGCGACGAGGGGTCGGCAGCAGCCAGGCGGGCGGGCACCACGCGGGCGGACGGGCGGGGCGAGCCAAAGGGCGGGCGGGCACTCGAATGAGGCGAAACGACGGCTCAGTCGAGAGGGCGACCTGCCGCTGCGAAGCCATGGCGCCCAGCCAAGCTAGCTCGAGAATAATAGGGCGACACCGCATTCAAGGGTGGCCTCACCGTAGTCAGCAGCAGCATTGACGATATCGAGAAAAGTTCGAGACTGCCACACAAGGCGTCAAGCTTTGCGCTGCATTCAGCCAATGGCATTAGCCAGTCTTCAAGAAGACTTGTGACTTTCGCCACTCTTCACCGCCAAGCACGCACAGACCGATGCCAGCTGCGAGCGGGTGATGGGTTAAGAGGCCGAGACGCGTCGAGCTAGCAAGTAGGCTCTGAGCAGTGGTAGTCGCGAACTCAATGGCTCTCGTGAGAAATATTCTCGCTGTCAGTCGCCATTGGTGCCAACAGCCACTCGGTGAACTCGAAGACTTGATCAGGAGCGGTCGAATCGGTGTACCGTCTAGGGGACTGATGGCGACTACGAGGTGCGCAGCCCTGCCACCGCCGCTGCCAGCTCTTCCCGTTTCGCATTCGACCGAGATGAGGCACCACTTGTCCGATGAAGACCAGCAGCTCGTGGCCTACTCCCTCAATGATTCTGCCTCCTTCTCGCCTTCTCTGCGCATCTGCTTCACAATCAGCGCGAGCTCACGCTTCGATCTCACTACTGGCTTCCTCGGACAGCAAGACGAATCTTACACCACCGCGACAATCTCAATCGGGCTGTCATGAAGACGAGCTCCACACAGATACTGGCTTCTGGCTCGTCTCGACCTCGACTCAAAGATGCCTGCCTGTCACGGTCACGTACCGCCGTCACCATCTCACCACTTATATCAGCCTTCCGCGACGTGACTCGATAATGCTGTCTTCCTTGATTGCCTGGTAGACTATTGTTTCCTCACTCTGTCCATCGTCCATCCCCCCCTTCGTGGGCGTGACCTCCTCGTACACCCCGCGAAGCCAACCTCATCCCCATCACTTAGACGCGAACCAGCATCGCCTTGCTCACCCAGATGATCACCAAAGCGCCAAATTCCGCTCCGTCCATCGCTCCGTCGGCCCGCCCGCCCGTGGCTCGGAATGGCGCTGCTGAATCGAGAGCTCGCGAGTGAAATGCCGCGATGCGGCCGCCGTCAGCCTCTCAGCCACACACGCCAAACCTGAGGCAGCTCGCAGCTCGAAGCAGCAGCCCACATCATCTCCGCTTCAGGGTCTCGTTCCTCCCGTCCATTTCACTTTCTGCTCACACGACCCGCCGACCATCGCTCCTCCATTCCACGCTTCAATCATCTAGACGCCAACGTGCGGCTCTCGAACGGTCTTGTTCACCGCGCTGGCAGCGAGCACGATCATTGACTCAGAACATCTTGGACCCCTCGACTCGTTTCTCCACCTTCTACCTAATCTCCACTGCACCGCAAATGGGTCAAGCCGCAACCAAGGAGCAGCGTTACGGGGGCAGCCATCAAGATGGACATCACGCAAATGGAGAGGGCTCTTCATCATCATCAGCCAATGCTACCCCCGCTCGCTCCTATCCGTCGAGCGTAGATGGAGGAGCATTGGAGCCTCAGGGGGTCTATACCGGACCACAGGACTATTCGCACGATGTTGTCAAGACGGCCATCGTGCAGCGCAAGCTGATGCCCTTCTACAAGGGAAAAGACGACGAGGATGCATATGATGGGGAGAGGTTCAATTCGGAATGCCCCATCTGCTTTCTGGTGAGTGGCCAGGCGCAGCAAGAATAGAGCTCAGCGCAGCGTAGAAGGCTGACCTCGTCACCACGCCCAACGCCAGTACTACCCCTCAACACTCAACAGCACACGCTGCTGCGCTCAGCCTATCTGTACTGAATGCTTCGTCCAGATTAAGCGCGCAGATCCTGGTCATACCAATCCGCCGTCATCTCAGCCCGCTGAGTGCCCCTTCTGCACCGCTGAGCCCTTTGGCATCCTTTATACCCCGCCGCCTGCTTCCACGCAGTCGGGCGACGAGCAGGCGGTCCAGGACGGCGAAGGCTCGCCTGCCACTGCGACTCCCTCTACCTATGCGCACAAGAGGAGGAAAAGCTTGCCTCATACTGATCCGGACGTGTTGACGACGGGTGAGCAGCCAGACTCTGCAGCTCGTGATGAGAACGCCAGCTGACATGCCTCTCCTTGTCTTGTCATACAGACATGATACGACCCGACTGGCAACAGAAGCTGGCATCAGCTCAGGCAGCAACGCTCCGCCGAGCAAATCGCCGCATTATCATGCGCCAGGTAGGCGACCGCCTTATTCCCATCGGAATTTCGTCCTCACGAGCAGGCGCAGACCTGCCAGAGGGGAACGGCCCAGGCGGGGCCATCATCCTGCAGCAGGGCGAACGATGGGGGCCTTTCTCTGCCACAGACGAGGGACAAGGGACGGGCAGAAGATCCTCGAGCAGGAGAGGAGCGGCGCTGCAGATGGGAGGTCAGGATGTTGAGGAGATGATGCTCATGGAGGCGATGAGGTTGTCTCTCATTGAACATGAGGAGCAGCAGAGGCGGCAGGCGGAGGCGAATAGGAGAAGTGGGGCAGCTCAGCCTGAAACGCAGCAGGCAGCATCGACGGCATCACCAGCAGCGCAGCCTGCTGGGGGCGCACCATCCTCACCTCCGGCCAACACCAACACTACGCGCCAATCGACGGACGGGTCTCCGTCAACGCCATCGAAAGGTCTCGGTCGCTCCTCCTCAACATCACGAGGCCAGCCAATGACCAACCCCTCACGAAGGGCAGAACGCCTATCGCAAGACCTGCGAAGCGCCACACTTGCGGACGAGGCTGGCTTCTCTTCATCGCCAGCGGCGGGCTCCTCTGTGCCGAGTGGATCTGCCTCAACTTCAGCGCCAATCCGGGCAACGAACGCAGCACCCTCTTTCCCTGCATCACCGCCGAAAGCTGCACCCGCCACCTCCTCATCAGCAACGGCAACAGCGCCAACAGCAGCGGGTCCCTCCTCGCCCTCTAGCGGCGCTGCAGCTCGCCCGCAATCTCACAACTTCGGTCTGCGAGACGACATGCTCGCTGAGCTGTCTGAGTTGATCGATGAGCCGGACGAGGAGACCCGGCAGCGAATAGCAACGGCAAGGAGGATGAAGGAGGAACGCGAGCAGGCAGAGATGGAGCGGGTGAGGAAGGCCCAGCAACAGGCAGCGTCAGTGAATGCAGCGACAGCGGCAAGTGGTAGCGCGTCACCGCCTCCAAGCTCCCCAACGATGGGCAGCGCGAGGCCGCTGAATCCGAACAATCCCTTCCGCAATCGGATGGCGAGCGCGGAAAGCTCACCAACGCACTCGAGGACCTCTAGCGCGGCCTTTGCGTCGTTCGCACCGTCGCAGAGTGGGGGCGCTGGTCAAGGACAGTAGAAGAAGGCAGCGGCGCCACGAGCGAGGCCCTCAGAAGCAAGAGGCCATGAAGGGCGGTATCATAGACGAGATGAAAGCTCGGGCGGATCGAGCTGGTGTGCAGCCAGACGTGCGTAATTGTCGAGCACCACTTGTATTCTTCTTCCTTGCGTGCTCATAGGCATCCAGCGACTTGCATATTAGCTTGCACTTTGCGTTGCGGGCTTGACTGAATGATGCTTGGATTGCAGAAGGCAGAGAGAGCATGACAGACGAGGAGTGCGATTGAAGGCGAACATGAAGAGGTATGAACGACAAACGAAGAGCGTGCGATCATGAGGCCGAGCACAGATTAGCAACATCACAACGCGCCACCACATCACTACTCCTCCTCCTTCTTGACCTTCTCGTCCTTCACCTCTTCATCCTCCTCTTTCTTCCCTGCATTCACCACGTCCTCAGGCAGCAGCTTCATCTTCCTCCCCAGCAGGCCCTCCTTCTTCAATGGGCAAATCGATTTATCCCCACCACTGCCGCCCTTGGCCGTGCAATTTGGGCAGGCTTTACCGTGCTGAATGAGGAGGACGTGCAGCGGGTAGCGCAAATGGCGCGGGATGCGCTCGTTGAGGTGGTAGTAGGTAGTTTCTGGCAGCGGGGTAGGAAGGAGCAGTCAGTACCATAAGCAGCGCCATCATCGCTATTGGCTCGCACTCACCCCTTGAAGCGTTCGGCGGGACCCACCCGAGTGCCTTACTCAACCTGAAGATGTGCGCATCAACAGCCATCTCTGGCCTGCCGAGACAAAAGAGCGCCACACAGCTCGCCACCTTGGGACCGCACCCCTTGAAGCTCAACAAGGTCTCCAGCACCTCCGCATCGCTCGCCTCATGCAAATGTTGCAACGACAGGCTGCCGAATCGCTCCTTCGTTTGCGCCAGCAGTAGCTGTATGTTCCTCGCCTTCGTCTTGGCCAATCCGCCGCAACGTAGTGCTTCCTCCAGCTCGCCCTCTGGGGCAGCGAGTACCCGTGGCCAGTCGTTCCACCCAAAGGCGGCAACCATACTTTGGTGTGCTGCGCGGGAGTTCTTGCCTGACGTGTTGCAGGAGAGAATGGTCCGGATCGTGGCCTCGAGAACGTCTTGCACGTCACCGCAGCCTGCGAACTTGCCTTCGCCTCCTGATGGTGGAGTGTAATGGGGCAGACCGGAGCCACCCTCCGACTCTGGGGTGTAGCCATGGTGACGACCAAGGAGCCAGGCTACGTGATCCGATTCGGCTGGGGAGGGGGCAGGCCAGCGAGGGTAGGGGGTCTGCCCGTGGGAGCGGGCGTGGGACTCGAGCTTGCGTTGAGCCAGAGACTTGCTGGGCGTCGCGTCTTCAGGATCCTCCTTCTTTGCTTTGGTCGGTGTCCGCTTCTTTGGTGTTGCAGCTTCCTCGCCTTCGCCGTCCTCCTCCTTCTTGACTCGCTTGCGCTTAGGCGGCGAGGTAGCGCCGTTGCTGCTGCTTTGATCGAGCTCTGCCTTGACATCGTTGCTGCGGCGGCCTGAGCGTCGTCGCGGCTTCTCTGGAGCACCGAGTGAGCCTTTAGCTGGGCTGGAAGGCTCAGCTTTCACAGCGGCGCTGGCGGTCGAGGCCGTACGAGCGCTACGTCGAGCGGGGGCGGGCATGGCTAGAGGCAGCTTGAAGCTTGCGATTGGTGAGAGGGCAGGAGCAAAGAGCGGTCGCCGAGGACCAGCACGTGCGATGGTTACGAGGCGAGTGAGAGCAATCGTCGTGGAAAGGGCAGTTCTTTGAAGCGAGGGATAGGAAAGCTCGATCGCAGAGTTGGTCGTCCGACAATTGGGTAAGACGCGAAGTTGCGAAACAGGCAGCTGCACGAGCACAGACGCTGCAGCTCGGACTCCACATTCGAGCGAGCGAGAAGATCGACACACTCCTCAAGAAGATCGTATCCTGCCTTAGCCCTCACGGGCTACTCGTCGTGGGATCTCATCTATTGATCTGAGCCTCTGATAGTCTATGATGGTACACACGTCGCGGATCTAATACACAAGAAAGAGAAAATCGTCTATGTCGAGTCACTTGGAGAACGGTCGTCAAGAGGAGCCTACTGGACGACGCAGTTCTCTTGAAGGGAGAGAGCCAGAGACTCGCCAGCCTCGTAGATGTCTGTGACGGAGGAAGAAAACAATTCAGTGTCAGCTGGAAATTCACTAGCTTTCACGTCTTCGCCTGTACCCACGAATATTGCCATACGTGGAGATGAGCTCGACAGCATCACCCCTCGTCGCCTGGCCAGAAACGCTCGCCGCGGTAGCAGCGGCAGCCGCAGGCAGACCGAGCTCCTTTTCCTCACCAGCCGGCACCGCCGCAGCGTCAGGAGTGGTGGGTCTGGAACCCTTCTTTCCTCCCGCACCCTTGGCCTTGAGCCCCTTCTTCTCGGCCACAGCCTTAGCCTGCCCAACTGTCTGGCCCGATGGCAGATTTTGGCCCATCCTCACAATCATCCCCACGCCGCGATGCTTATACGACTCGCCGAGCGAAACGTAGCGCTCCCTCATCTTGGGAGAAAGCCTGAGCTCGCCACGCTCCGTGCGCCAGGAAACAAGACCGGAAAATTGAGGGGGAAGCTGTACGTGCACGGCGCCATTCGTGGATTTGGCTCGTACTGCCAGCGGTCGCGAGGATGTATATCGCGGGACGGCGACGTGCACTCGTCCGAGGGTGGACTTGGCGTTGACGGACACGGGCTTTGTCTTGGAGGGAGCCTCTCCCTCTGGACCTTGCAGGCGGACCGTCGTATCTTGACCGAGCTTCTCTTCCGCCTTGGTATCGTCCCCCATGATCCAGACTTCTACGCCAATGGCGCTGGAGGAGGATTCAAAGGAGGCTGAGGAGGCTGACTGGCTCGTGACGGTCTCTTGGGGCATGTCGAAGAGAGGGCTGCGCAGCCAATAGGTGGGATGTGAGCGAGAGGTTAGATTAGTGCTGGAGATGTGCGCAGGCTCACGGATAGTGATCAGGGGCGGATGTACCGATGATGTATTTGCCTTTGATACTGAACGGGCAAGTGAGACAGTCTCATGTCAGTGATAGCGTCTTTGAGCAGGCCAGCTCGGGCACACTCACGAGTGGGAAGGCTGCGAAACGCGGACATGCCTGGCGAATCGCGAGTGGGTCATGCCATGTCCCAGGTCAACTGTCGCCCAGGAGGGCATATGAGTCGTTTCAAAGTCGGTCATGTCGAGAAGAAGGTGTGAAGAGGAGGAATGGTATAGGGTATATGCGCAAGGTTGGAGGAAGAAGGACGAGAAGCCGTGGTCGGGACGAAATTTGAAAGAGTTGGTCTCGACTTCCTCCACTCGGAGATAGCCAGCCGCACTGCAGGCACAGCCAACCTCTGCAGCCGGCACCACGATGATATTCATTCATCGGCCCCTCGCCCATGGACGGCTGAGGTGGGCGATATGGCACAAAACCTCGATGCCTTTGAGAGACATCGAGCGATGTATTGGGCAGTGGCACCACATCTTTCGCCTCAACAATATGGCGAGAGCGACGTCGTCGCCGACTTGACCTGCTTCTCGCGGCTGGTCAGGCGGGACGATGTGCAGCTCGACCCATCCGTCCCGTCTCGACTCCGTGTCCCGTCTCCACTCGATTGGGCTGCCGTCGGTGGCCTCAGCTTGCTGTTGCGTGTGCGGCCTTTCCGTGTCTTCCCCCCACAAACAGGTCGCATCTCAGCTCACTCGACACCATCGCTATCCCATCGACGACGACGTCGTTGACGGAGGGCTTGCTCAGGGGCGCACACCCCCGCGCTCATCGCAAACGCCATGGATGGCGGCAACCTGACAGCGTGAGTATCAGTCATCCCCTGCATATGCTCTTAAGCAATCCTTTGCTGACCTCTACACCCTCTACTCCTTCTCGCAGCGCAAAGGCACAGTGGGACGAAGCTCTCCAGTCGGCCATCCGCTCTTTTCGTCTTCTCGCATCGCAGTCTTCATCGTCTAGCAAGGCATGGAAGCCTGTTGTACCACCACCAGCCGCACAGGCAGCATCGTCTTCCTCCACGTCAGCGCAGCCGCGGACCGTCCCCTCAACGCCGGCCGGTAGCGTCGCCCAAAGGAATGGCTCGCGGCGACCATCGGTAGCGCCAGCTGGCATGACTCCCAACGCCAGCCCAGTAAAGGGCAAGTCTCGCGATGATGGACGATTCGCCAGCTTCCCTTCGTCGCCCAGTCAGCAGCGGGTCAGCTCTGGCCGGGCCGCAGCTGCTTCCTTCCCGTCGCGGGCCCTACCCTTTGCACCGCAATCCGTCGAGTCCTCTGCTGTTCGCATTCACAAACGGAGCGGCGGCAAGTCAATCGGATTGCCCACGGGCGTCGACGTGTACAGAGCAGTCGTCGATGTGCCGTTTGACGGTGTGCCAGACCTCGAAGGCTTCAAGGCATCGTTGGGGGTGCCGGAGGCTCGTACCAAGTGTAAGTACCACCGAGGCAGCTCAACAGCAAGCATCAGCTGCTTAGCTTACCCTCATCCTCACGTTCACTCTTTTTGATAGGGGACAAGCTCGTCGATGAGGCAGAGACCGTCGAGATGCTCGACCCTCGAACCCGCATCAGCCGGACCAGGTGGAAGCTCGGTTGGCCAGCGAGCCCTCGCGATGCCATCACCATCTCGCGATCCATGTCGGACGAAAGTACCCTCGTCAATGTCTCGACCTCGTTGCCTCGCTCCGCAGATGCACCAGCTTATCTCAAACCAGCGCCGCCATGCGTTCGCTCCCACGTCCACTTGTTCGCCTGCTGCGTCCAGCTCCCAGATGCTGAGGCAGTAGAGGATTTGCTCGACAATGGCCCTTCACCGGACTCGCCAGCAATACGGCTCACCCTGTTCTGGGCTTGGGACCTTCGGGGCGCTTGGCTGGGAATGCCAGCAGGGGGCCTCGGCAGCCACTGCACAGCGATGGCAGTAGGCCTCGTCAAGCACGTCAGGTCAGGCGCTTCTCATTTGCCCAGCCTCAGCCTCTACGGCTCCAACGTCGAAGTGCTTTCGACGGCATTCGATGTCAGCAGGGATACACTCTCGACGTCGTACTGCGTATTGGGCGACGACCCTACGACACCAGGGCAGATTGGCGGCAGCAGTAAAGCGTCAGAGGATGCGTCAGAAGATGCTCTGCATATGCGCCGCAAGACGATGGGCACTGCGATACAATTCGCACTGCCTGCAGAGGAGGGCTGGGACGTCAAGGTCTTGATCCGGCCGCAGGTGCTCGAAGAAGGGAGCTCGGCAGAGTGGCGAGCAACAGCGACGCGAGAGAAAGGACCCTTGAGCTCATCAAGCCGAATTGTGCTCAACATCGACCACGATCGTCTTCCAGGCGCCGAAGAGAGTGTACGCTCGCAAGTCAACATTCAGCGCATCGCAGCCAGCTCAGACATCCGTCTGCGCATCAATGACGAGACAGTGCCCATCACCGACGTCGTCCCGAGCACGCAGCCGACCATCGAGCCAGCTGGAGCACCTGGTCTTGCTCTCCTCGATGAAGCTGCAAGCTTGTCTAACATCTCGATTGCAAGCACTGCATCCCACGAGCGCTCGTCAGATTCGCATCATCACAGGGCGGACTCCATTTCGCAATTCACCTTCTCGAAGCGCGCAACAACGCTCGCCTCCATCATTCGCAGGAACTACATCTACTTCACCTCAATGCTTCAGGAACCTGAGGCAAAGTGGAAGCATCTCAGCGATAGTCGCGGCGTCACTGTTACACAGCTCGACTCCATCGACCCCACGCTTGTTGTCTATCGGGCCGAGGCCACCTTTGTCGGCGTAGGTGTATGGGACCTGTTCGCATCCATCAGTAGCCCGGGAACGAGGACCTACTGGGACAAGACGCTCGAGGAAGCCAAGCTCATCGAGGATGTAGATGATGTCAGCGCCGTCTGGCACACAAAGACGAAAGCCGCTTGGCCCGTGAGCGCCCGAGACGCTGTCATGGTTGAGACGTCCTACAAGTCGCCCTCATCTGTCCACACTTTTTCCTTCTCAACGGACGAGACCACACTCTTTCCGTCAATACCCTCGACCGCACCTGGTGTCATCCGCACACAAGTCGACTTGAGGGGGTGGAGCATCGAATCCCTCAGTCCAACAACGGTCCACGTCACTCTCATCGAGCAGAGCGACCCGAAGGGCTGGACAAGCAAAAGTGCGACACCTGCCCTGATGACGGCTTCCGTTGCCGGAGTAGGGGAGCATGCCATCAAGCTTGGCGCTCCGCCTGTGTTGACCCGCATGCTAGGCGCACGCTTGTCAGACGCCAAGTACGACGTGGAGAAAGCGACGTTTCGCATCGAGTACAGCCGGACGGACGGTGATGAAGAAGAACAGCCGCTATTGACCTCGGGGTCGCACAACGTCGAGTGCGAGATGCGATGCGATATTGAGACGTGGTGCGGCAATCTCGACTTGCTCGTCGACCCGCCCCCGATCAACGTCAGCTGTCTTCGTCGGCACAAGCTCAGCCCAGGCGGAGGTGGTCTGTGGCTTACCATTGAGCATCATCCAGCAAGCCTCGAAGACGACTCTGCCAAGGTCACGGTTCGACGCGGAAGTCCAGCGGGCAAAGAGCGCGGCGTCGTCACCGTCAATGGCGCTCGCCTTAAAGTCGACGTCGACGAGATGAAAGAGGACGAGCTCGCGCAGCTGAAAGACAAGAAGCGTAGCAAGCCGCAGCGTGTCCCCCTCGATCTCAAGCAGTCGTCCGCTCGTGAAGGCTCAGACATGGCCGGCAGCTACGACTCTGGAGCAAGCAGCTCGATCCCTTCGCGTGTCGGCACGCCGGCTTCAGCTGCAAAAGATACCAGCTCGACCGCGGTGGCCGAGATAACACAGCCTGCAGCGGCAACCAATGCCAACACGCATACGCCCTTCTCGGACAAGCAGCCCAAGCATGCGATGACGCCCGCCCTTGATGTCCTCTTCCTTCTCCGCCGCATCTACGCCGAGCGATCCCCTGACCCCACGGTGAATCCAGCGGGATGGGCCATGGTAACACAGCGCAACGGTCTCTTCATCCGTCGCAAAATGATGCAGTCCATCTCGCCCACGATCGCGGTGCAGCGCGGCGACAAGGTCGTGCAAGGCGTCACTGCGGAGGACATGGTTGCGGTGATATCGAGTCTGAGCTGCCGCAAGCAATGGGACGAGCGCATCGAGACGACCAAGTTCCTCGAGAGCTACGGTGAGGGAGCCACGTCTAGCTTCGTGACCACAACGGGGGCTTTCCCCTTCAGAGGTAGAGGCTTCTTCATGTCGAGCTTGTCAGCCACTGCGACTCCTACATCACAGGAAGACGGCTTGGACGGGCTTGGCTCTCCCTCCACTCCCTCTTTCACGGCTCAACGGGTCTACTACCACGCCTCCGCCTCTTTTCCCGAAGAGACGTCCACCTTCGACTCCGCAAAGTTGAATCCCAATGCCCTACCTGTCGGGCGTGTCTTGATAGACGGGTGGATCTTCGAGACGCTAGACCCGTACAGCTCAACCCTCAACTACCAAATTCCGTCAACACGATGTACTCACGTCGTCGCGGTGGACTATGCGGGTAGCCTGCCCTTTACTGTCAACACGCTTTGGAATGCGAACCTACCGAGGAGTATTCTCGCTGTAGAGAGCTTCCTCAAGGCAAGAGGGGCAATCCCGGCAGTCAGAGCTCCGCCGCCGCACTTCAAGGTGCTGGGAGACGGGAGGGACGAGGACAACGACTTTGCGTGGGTCGTTGAAGAGCCGATACGCAAGCGTGAGACGATCCTGCTACTGTCCAACTTCTCGCCAGCAGATAAGCGCTTTGAGGTGCTGCTGCACGCTCCGCCACTGGGTGAGGAGCAGAAGCAGCTAGGCGGATCGCAGCGTCAGCCAGCGGTCTCAAATGCAGCATCGACCAAAGCGGCTGCGGCACAGGCGCTGTCAATACCTCGTAGCCCGAGCCTCAATGATACGCAGCCTCAGCAGCAGCGCCCATCGTCTTCTCAAGGTCATCATAAGCTGCTCAAGGCCACCAGCTCAACCTCGCTCCGAAGCAATCCCGGCTTTTCGGCGAGTGCAACCTCTTCCGCTATTCGCACGCCTCGTGCATCCCTTCGAGCGTCGGACGTGGCTGCTGCTACTCGTCCTATCGTGCTGGCGGACATCGAGGTTGAGCTCAAGCACTACATGGCAGGCTACAAGATCGATGTCTTCTCGCAATTCGGGCCGCGTCCGCCGGCCACGAGGCTTGCCGCTGAGCGATCGCCGAATGTCAGCCTTGCCGAAGGTGTGGCGCAAGAGGGCGGCGATGAGGCCAAGACGCCAATGATGGAGAAGCCGGCCCCCGAGCTCATGTCCACCGACTCTGTCAAGTCGAAGCCCGAGCCGCTCTCGCTCAGCTCAATCGCTAAGAGCAAGAAAGACCTGCCCGTCGAAGTGACAATCTACGAGCTGCCTCCATCAGCCGTCTTAGCAGCGACACTGGATCCATCTGTCCGACCTCGGCGACACCTCGTTCGCGTTTCCCTGCCGGTCGAGACGGTAACGAAGCCACCGCAAGATGACGATGATGCTGATTCATGTCGGACGGATGCGATTGATTGGAGGCAGCAACTGCGAGAGCGCGGCGCTGCTATACGGCTGACTCTGAGGCCAACACAGCCTGAACCTGTCTCGCGAGCCGCGTCGCCAGCTCCGAATGGGTCTGCCACTTCACAGCCACAAGATTTGGAGGCCGCTGCAGCCGTCGGTGCCACGGACGAGATCGACCCGCAGCAAGTCCCCGTTCACTACGCTGGGAGAAGGCTCGATGTGGTCCACGTGAACAAAACGTCGGCTATGCTACAGCGCGAGCACGACCTTGATCCTGCGGTAAGCAGGCTCAGTCGTGCGCCGCGGGGAAAAGAAGGGGAGCAAGAGGTCATCCCAGCCATGCTGGCGTCTCCTGCTGCGACGGCTAGTGACGCGAAGAAGTCGCGCGGAGAGAAGAAGGGGGGCGAGAGCAGTGTGACTGCTACCAGCACGAGCGCGGCAGGGTCGAGCGGCAGCGCTGAAGCTCAAAAGGGGGACAAAGGCGCAGATTCGGCCAGCGTCGCAAGCCACCAATCAGGCAAACGCGATTCCGTCTCTTCTACAGCTCCTTCGACTTCTTCCGGAACGATGGCCGCCCAGACCGCGGCAACGGCCTCGTCCGCAGCTACCTCGCTCATGGGCCTGCTGCAGTCCTATCCGCTCTCACGCATCGGGGCCTCGACTGCCGTGTCGAACGTGTCAGCCAACGGAGAGGCAGGCGGAGCGTCGAAGTCTGCTACGTCGAGCTTGAGTAGCCGGACGGGTAAGGGCAAAGAGAAGGGCGAGAATGAGGCCAAAGATGGCAAGGGCGCGCCCGCAACGGGCACGGCAGACGGCTCCTCATCGACGACGAACAAGCCCGAGGGATCCCAAGAGTCCAAGTCCACCGATCCTGCCACCGGTCCGGCAGGCTCAACCACGCCACTCTTGCTCGGAGGTCCCCTTCTTCACGAAGCGCGATATAGCCTCGCCACGCTGCTGAGCATTGCGCTCATCTGCTTCCTTGCCGGCTCGCTGCTGCGCGCCATGCTCTCCCCTGCGGACTTTATCTACTTTGCTCGACGCGATGACGCCGCGGCCTCCGTCTTCTCTGGCGGCGGGGCAGGTGTGGGGAAGCAAGCGATCAAAAAGGGCGCCATTGATGCTGCCTCTGCTGCCAAGGGCGAGATCGAAAGGCTTGTGGCCGGTCAAGGGCCAGCAGCGGAAGGGCTGGGAATGGGAGCCTCCGTGGCGTGGAGGAAGGTGCTCCGCCTCTTGGAGATCAAGAGGGCGATTGGCGGGAGATTCGACTTGGTGCTCGCCGTTGTTGATCGGAGGTGAAGCAAGTGACGTGGATGAATGACTGGTCCTGGAGCTGTATCGCAATGTCAGCTTGGTGTTTTCATTCCCTCTTTCGCGCACCCGTTGACGGGCAATGGGGTACTTTGACTGCTCATCGCGTTTCTTGGCTTTTCACATCTTCCGCCTTGTGTCAGCCCGCCTGTCCGCTTCGGCTCGATGCGATCGACGGATCAACTTCCCCGCAAGGCATCGCCGAGCTTTATCCTCCACTCCCGTTCTTCCCATCCTCTCCTTCTCCCCTCGTCTCCATCGACATCTCGGTCTCTCGCCCGTCATGCCAGTCTACGAATCCGCTCTAGGCTGGGTCGACGACCTCTTTGCCCTCTTCGGACGCACGCCACCACCCAATCTCAATCTGTACATCGCACTCACCACCATCCTCATCCCCGTCCCCATCCTCATCATGTTCCTTCGCAATGCTCGACCCAGATTCGCATCAATCCCTCCTTATCGTGAGCGTGTACTCATTCTGGGCGCGACATCCGGCGTAGGAGAGGAGCTAGCCTACCAGTACGCGGCGAGAGGATGCAGGAATATAGTGCTGGTGGGGAGGAGGGGTAAGGAGTTGGAGAGGGTCAAGGAGAAGTGCGCAGAGAAGCGAAAGGAAGGAGAGGAATGGGATCAAAGTCAGCAGGCACCGGGATGGGAGGATGTGGGCGAGACGGTGCACATTGTCGAAGCGGATTGTACTAAGCCGGAGGATCTGGTGAAAGTGAGGCAGGTAGTGAGGAGAGGTGAGTAGGCATTGCAGGGTAGCATATATGCAGGGGAGGAAGTAGCTGATCCAGAGTGCTCTCCCCCTCGATAGCATTGGGCGGCCTCGATACGCTTCATATCACCTTTGGCGTATCGGCCCTGCGTCCCCTTCTCAACTTAGCAGGTGTAGACCCGCTCACCCAAACCGCCAGCAGCTCCTCCAGCCCACATGCGACTCTGGAGGGCATTACCAACGTCCTTTCCAAAGCCTCTCAGATCCACAACATCAACGCAGCCGCAACAGCCGCTGTGCTGGCGACCTTCATTCCACTCCTGCAGCTCACCTCGCCTCTGCCCACGATCGTCCTGCTCAGCAGCGTAGCAGCCTACGTCCCACCACCGACACGCAGTCTCTACGGAGCAAGCAAAGCGGCCCAACTCCACGTCTTCCAGGCAGTCGCAGTAGAATCCGCCGCCCAGTCCGAGCGCTCTACCCCAAAGCGTAGCGAAATTGCCTTCCTCGCCATGGCGCCCGCAACCATCCGCACCTCGTTCCGCCAATCCGCAATCGACGGGGTACCAGGAGAAGAGCTCAAGGATGCTGCATGGGACGATGCGAAGAGCAAGGGCTCGAGTGAGATCCTCGAGGCAAGCGAGGTGGCCAGGCGCAGTATCAAGTGCGCGGATAGGGGCGAGAAGGGGATCGTGGCCATGCCTGTCAAGTACAGGATTGTGAGGTGGATTTATCCTTTGATGTGAGTGAACATCAGCCGGCTGACGGTGACGGTCGTGAGCTGACGCTGCCTCTCCTGACGTCGCAGCCCTGGCCCGGTCAACAGCCTTGCGAGAAGAAAGTACGGCTACTGAACACGTCATGCCCGCCAGACGAGATTGAAGATGCATTTGGTCATTACGTAGGGCACGGCATTCGATCGATCGCAAGGGAGTCCTGCGAGAGAAGATAGATAGAAAAGGGAATGAGTGAAGGAGAAAGATGGACAGGAAAGGGAGAGAAAAAGAGTTGGTCCGTAATAGTAGCGTAGGATATAAACAATGGATTGTACCGTTGGCGACACTTCAACCTCACCTAGTGCCTCCAAGCCCCCTCAGCATTGGCGCCTTGAAGCTCCCGATACTGTCCGCTCTCTGCATCCAAGAAGGCTGCTCGCCCGTACCTCCCGTAGCATCACTGCCCGCTGCGGTGCTGGCGAAAGAGATCTTGCTGCTGTTGCGCGACAAATTGGCGCCACTCGTGGTAGAAGCGATACTGGCTCGAGGGGCAAGACGGTCGCCGTTGACAGCTGGACGGGTAGACGTGCCGCTGTTGCGCCTGTCTGGAGTGGTTGTGGTTGTGGTGGGCGTCCCGCTTCTCACCTTCGTCGGCGTGCCACTGCTGGGCGTGCCGGCCCTGCTGCTACGCTTCGGCGTCCCCTCTGGGGTGGTTGACGTAGGATGCGTGAACTCATGCAGCGCCTTTGCCCTACTCTCCAGCAGGGCGATCTTGTTTCGCACAGAAGGCACGGCCACCCCTCCCTTCGCCATCGTCGCGTTCGCAGCCGCTTTGGTGCTGAGCGAATTCGCGCTGTTCGAATGGCGAAGCTTGCGTGCTGGTGAAGTAGTGGTGGATGTAGCGGTGCTGGCGAGGGCGGCAGCTGTGTGCGACCGAGTCATTCCGCCGAGTTCGCGAGGGCCGGCGACGGAGGATTTGAGGGGTTGTAGACGGGCAGGCTGCGGCTTCTTGGGCTCTTCACCGCCATCGAGGACTAGACCAAGGCCGAGCCCCAAGTCGCCATTACGCCCTGGCAGGTCCTGGTGAGATGATTGAACGACAGCTTCCGTCGAGAGGTCGTACACATCGTCGTTTAGGTCGCCTGGCCCAGCCGCTCCCAGATCGCCATGAGCGCTCTCCGGCGTGAGAGCTTCGTGCGATGAGGCGGGAGAGGGTATAGTCGCGACAGTCGATTGAGGGGAAGAAGCTCTGTTCGCCTTGGCCAGCTGAGCGGGAGCGACCTTGGCCTTCGCAATTGTCGCCGAGGCCTTGCTCGCTGCGGCTGACTTGGTGGGCGAGGCAGGCGCGACACGCAACGGTGCCGTTGAGGTAGCAAAGGTGAAGCTCGACTTGCTCTTGAGGGTCTTCGTTGGCGATGACGACGCACCCGTCGAGCTCTCGCTGCCGCTCTTGCTTGGCGAAGAGGTGCTGGACCGCAGGTTTGGATTAGAGGCACGCTGTCGCAGGGCAGAGGCGCTCGCCCTCTTGTTCAGCGTCGGTGGCGGGGTCGAGGCTCTCTTGGCCGAAGCGTCCTGCTGCTGAGTAGCCACGACACGGCGAACAGGCGCAGGGCTCGATGATGACCCTCTTCGTCCCTGTGATTGCTCCTCACTCGCCTTGGGCGCCGCAGCTCGCGGCCCAACGACTCGCTCTGGCGTTGAGCAGTCGGGCACGACGAGCACGCTTGGCCTTCCCTCAGCAGGACGAGCAAGCTCTTCACCGGGTACGCCGGAATCGTCGTCCTCATCGTCTTCGCCGTCACTGCGCCCATCACGCACCGTGTCCGCGCTCTCGTCCGGGTCAACACTTTCGTCGCCATCGTGCGTGTGCATGGTCTTGAAGGCATCGTCCTCGCCATCAAGCCTTGTCGACCCAACAGCGAGATCGACCTCGTACATCGAGTCCTCGTTCAGGCCCAGCGTGCGGTCAGCCGCATTGCCTTCGGCGTCATCTTCGTTCTCGTCATTGTTGTAGACACCTGGAAGCTGCATGAAAGGGAAGCCAAAGCTGGGAGCGGGGACGTCAATGTGCTCGTAGGGCAGGCACGAGGGGTTAATGGACGAGGAGCGTCGGCGTACGAGGCCACCCGTAGAGCGTGGTCCCTCACTGTCGCTGCCGCTGAAACTGGACGACGTGGCACTCCGTGGCGTAGCGTCGGCGTCCACAGATGGAGCGCCCACCTCAATGCCCAAGCCCATTGGCAGAGGTGCATCACTGGCTGCTGAGGAAGGCTGACCCTGGTTGCTCGTGCGACGCGCCGTAGCTGTTCGAATGAAGTCAAGCGAGCGGCGACCTTGCACTCCACGCTGTGCTGGCTCCTGAGGCGCTTGCAGCGTCTGGCTCTGCTGAGCAGCCTGTGGCGGTGGCACAGGGAGTTTTTGACCATTGCGCTGTGCTGCTCGCTGCGAAAGGGCTAGCAGTGCGTTCGAGCCAGGGGAAGTCGCACCACGAGCCACCTCCATGCGACCCGGCGAGCGTAAAGCCTCGGCTGACTTGACCATTGCGATCATCTCTCCTTCGTCCGAGGAGACCGACTGGCGTTCAAGGTTCGTCGACGTAGCCAGCGCGTTCGATGCCCAAGCGCGCGCCGCTGCTGGCGAGGCAGACTTAACGGGTGGCGGGTCAAGGGATACAAAGTTAATGATCTTGAGGGGTAGCTCAACGGTGGCGGCCGTGGACATGGACGTGCCCAGGGTGATGCGGATGTGGTACGACACCTCGACGTGGCGACCGCGAGAGATGCTCAGCGCGTCCTGCGGGATGGCGAGGTGGTGCGAGAAGTCAAGTGTCGTGTGCCCTTCAACGCCAGTCCACCAGCCTTTGGCCGTAACGAAACCTCTGCTGCCCTTTTGACCCATTTCCAGGATTTCTTCTGTCACCTTCTTGCGCGTGGTCGACGTGTTGCAAGCGTCCGGATCGATGGTTGTCTCGCCGTGCCCGAGATTGAGCTCGGGACGAGGGCGATACAACGTGACAGTGCGGATGAGGGTCATTGAGGCTGAGCTGATCTTCTTGCTGGTCCCGTTGGCAACATTGACGTTGACGTAGACTCGTTGACCTGCCACCCACGTTGCGCGATGGAGAGAAGCTGAGAGCTTGACTTTGCCTGAGCCGCCGAGGAACAGGCCCTTTTCGCCCTCTGCAGAGATTGGACGAGGAGCGCTCGAGAGGACGACCGCCGGGTTGAGATAGGGATAGAGGTCAACGTGACGGTAGAAATGAGCAATAGAGCGGTTGCCGCCGTGTTTGTCCTTGAGCTTGACAGAGCCAATAACGATGTAGCGGACATGGGCGGACTTGCCACGGTAGCTGCCCTTGGCTCCCTTACCGATAGGCACCTCCATTGCAAAGGGAATAGAGTGCACGCCTTCGCGACCGACAGAATAGCCCTCTGCGTCGGGCTGCGTGGCGAAGCAGGGCAGCGGCACACGTCCCTCGCTCTCAGGCGACGTAACGTTGGGCGAGCCATGCAGCATGAAAGGCTGCGCGCGCTCATCGTCGCCGTGTACAAAGCCAGCGTGATGGAAGAAGATGTGCCTCGTATCGTCGCCACCGAGCAGCTCCTCAAAGCCCACGACACGGACCTTGGGCTGAGCCAAGAAGACGGCACCTTCGCCGCCGGATGGCTTGCGGATCTTGATCTCGAGGCGACCACGCAGCATACCGCCCTCAACGACCAGGTCACTCTCCAGCAGAACGTCAACGTCAACTCGAGCCTCTTTGCGACGGCCCTGCTCGAGGATAGCAGGCGGTTGTGCGCCGCTAGCGACAGCATTTGAGCGCTGCAGTCCCGTGCTCTTCGTAGGCGATCGTTCCCCGTCGGACGCTGTTGTGGAAGCAGCCTTGCGCCTCGAGTCGCCCAGTAGACGCTGAAGATCGCGAGATCGGCGAGCAGGATTGGCAGAGGGGTTGATGAGCGTACCGTGGCGCTCGAGGTTGACTCCAGACTCCGGAGTCGGTCGTGTAAGGTTGCCTACGCTGCGCGAACGAGGGCGAGATTGTTGCGTGGACGCAGTGGTTGCCGTAATCGGCTGTTGTTGCTGTTGAGCCATCGTGGCGCGGCGAACGGGGACCTCCAGAGGAGCCACCTTTTCTCCCCTGTCCGGAATCGCATCCCCATCGATGTCTCCCAGGTGGCCTGGCATGATGCGTTGCCCTTGCGTAAAGTCGCCATGGTCAGCGTCCAAAGTTACCATGCCCTCACCGCGTTCAGCCCCTTCAAACGCCTTGTACCCTCGCATCGAGTGCATCTTGACCAATGGCATGGACATCGAGTGAGTCATCTGCGAAGACTGCTCTGCGGTAGCGGTAGGAGCTGACTTGGACTGATGACCACCGCCAGGGCTTCGCATCATGCTGGCGTTAGGACCGATGCTGGCTGCACGAGATTGCGTTGTAGGAGGACCATTGACTCGCTCCTCTTCTGGTGCATCCTCGACGGCCGATACGAAGCTACCCTCCGACGCCTGTCTCCCCCGTGGACCTCGCTGCTGTGGCTGCGCCTTCATTTCCATGCCCTCTGAACTATAGACGGCTCCCACACGCAACGGCATCTGCGGGTATGCGCCATTGGTGAATGTCGAAGTGGACGAGGCGTGAGAAGCGTGGGAAGACGCTTCTGAGTAAGCAATGCTGTCATTTCGACTGTGTGGTTGGCGTGCCTGTGCGCTTGCTGGTGGTGGAGCGGCACGCTCGGTGGGTACAGGGCGTTGATGAGCGATCTCGGGGGATGACTCCTCGATGGGGGACGGACGGGACGCTTCGATCTGACGGTCGCTCGGTTCTCGGTAGCCACCGAAACCATCTGGCACGAGACCCTCGCTATTAGGCGTGGCCGAGCCGCTGTCCGTAGGCTCTTTCAGCTGCAGCATCTCGCCCGGCTTGAGCGGCAATCGAGGGCCCTGGCCTTGAAGTACTGGGATCGGACCGCCGTCCCATGACTGAGTCTTGTGGTGCCCAATTGCTCTTCCTGCTGCAGCGTTCGCTCCACTCTGTGGCTCAGTTCCACGATTGAGGCTGGCGCCAACTCTTAGTGAGCGAGAGCCTGGGCGAACCTCGGACGCGCGACCAAGACTGGTGCCGGATGGCACCCTTGCTGCACTCTGGCTTCTCGGTCTGGTTTGTGGCCGCGGAGGGGCTGTGTCAGTGCCACCATGAGCAATTGAGCTGGCCGGAGCAGGTACCGCGCTCTTGGCAAGGTCAGGCTGAGACTCGGAGGCGTATTTGTTCATACCAAGGTTCCTGGCGTACTGCGCTGCGCTGGAGTGGTAGGAGGTGCCTCTCGTCTCGGTCTCTGCAGGCGAGGAGCTGCCAAGGTAGCTTGAACTGGGCGCAGAGGAGTCATAAGCCGAGCTTGAGTCGACATCGCTCATGTTGGCAACGGTGAGCTTGGCATTGGCATTGAGCCTGGGATCGGCAATGGAACGGAAGGTCTCGCGGGGTGATGAGAGGGTAGATGGTGTGCCCTCTGGAGATGAGTAGATGTCCTCGTCCGTGGTGTGCCCTGCTCCGATGCCGAGGACGTTGGGCTGGCCGCTTGCGATACGAACTCTGCGCTGCGGGCTGGCCAAGCGGCCGCCAGATGTGTGTGGGCGTTGTTGACGGTGACCATGGTGGCCAGGAGCAGGACGAGCGTATGCGGGTGGTACCGCTGGTAGACCTTTGCCAGCACCGGCGTGAGGAGGCCGTCGCTCTTGCTGCGAAGATGGACGAGGAGGGGGTGGCTGACGAGGAGGTGGGACGCCCTCTGGCGGGCCAAAGTCGATGCCCAGACCAAACGTCATGTTGGCGAGCTCGGTGGCGTAGCGTGATAGATGGTGGGCTGTGATATGAGGAGGTCTGGGTATGAGGTAGTAGGATGTGGAAAGGGGTCAAAGTGCGATTGGAGTAGGAGAATAGACGGTTAGCTGCTCGGCGTGATCGCCGCCAAGGTGTGAGTTGAGTAGAATCTGGGCCACAATCGAGAGATGCACACCACGGCCGCCTGTGTCTGCCGAACCTTGCTCATCGAAGCTCTCGCCGAGCTCTGTTACAGCTTTCTGTCGCGCTCAAGTCTACCATCTCTCAGTCCGGCAAGTCGTCGTCTATCGTCGTAGCCTTTCCTCGACGTCAAGGCTCTGTCGTCATTGCGTGGCGCTCGCAGCGTGTGGAATGGATTGAAAGTTGACATGTCGCGTCGCTCGCTCTGCTTTCTCCGAGCTCAGCCTCGTTCCATGCATGTCGGTCAAGTCCGGTCCGCGGGCCGGAGAAAGCAACACCAACCACGCGTCGGCGGCAGGCAATGGACGCAGTCCAAGCTGGCTAGCAGCTTCGTACGCTTTCATGGTGAGAAAATGACGCTCTTCGCAACATTATCGCCGATCATCATTGCGAGATTTCTGGTCCTGGTCAGCTTCGCTCCATGAGCGATTTTGAGGCGTGAAAAGGTGACGCCGCTCGCCCGCACAATGGTAGCCGGAAATATCATCTGAAGCATGGCATAGTGTCTCATCAATCTAACGAAGTGCACGAGCGAATGATCTCAATTCCTCCTTGCCTTCTGCGTCTGTGATCTCGTCTTAGCGTGTGCGCCTGCTCGCTACCACCACAGCTTGGCAGTAGGCCTCGTCCGTCGCGCCTCTCTTCCCGCCCACGTGAACGACGCGAGGCGGAAAGGGCCTGGCGTCGAGACTCGAGACGGACGGGAGTGGATCCAAAGTGGCAAATGGGCGGGAGAGCGGCGCGAGGCGGCATACATTCACATCTTCTCTCCTTACCAATTCCAGTTCTCTCTTCCTCACCATTGCCGTCACGCTGGGGCGATACGTCGCAGACTAGCCCCTGGTAGTCCTCATCCGCTGCGATCATGCGGCGCAGCGTCATCCTAGCTGCCATCCAAGGCAACGCGGGCGGCGATGCCGACGCGTCTTCATCCTCGTCGTCCACGCCGAAGGGCATGATACCCCGCTCTGCACCCTCTTCGAGCTCTTTGGCGGCACGCAATGCCACAGGTGGCGGCTTCGGCGCTCTACTGAATTCAAAGCCTTTCAAGACGCCCTTCGCAAAGCCAGCAGTCAGAGGTGATGAGGGCGGCCGTAAGAGGAAGCGCATCAGCTACAAAGGTATGGGTGGAGAGGGAGGCAGTGATGGTGAAAGCGACGACGGCGAAGGTGCTTTGAACGGGAGGGAGGCAGCCTACAAGAAGTCAAAGAAGGGCAAAGACCTCGAGGGCATGTACAAGGGCATAGACGCACAAGGTGTCTCGCTCAACGTCGACAATCGCAAATGGGCTGTCTTCAAGCCCAAAGTGGGCATGCTCAAGAACCGGTTCAGTCTGCCTACCATCAAGACGAAGGACGGCAAAGTAGTCGAGACGTCGCTCAGTCATGCTGCATTGGGCACCCGCCGTGCCATCGAGATTCCACCTCGCCCCCTGTACGACCCGATGGGTGAGCATGCAATTGTCCTCTTTGACCCGACGGTCGACGACTCAGAGGCAGAGAAGGAGAAGATTCGCCTACAGCAAGAGCAGGCAGCGAGGGAAGATGAAGCCAAATCGCAGGCATCAGGAGGGATGCACAAGTCGCTCGCCTCCATCCTCGGCCTCGACAAGAAGAAGGCCAAGATCGTAGAGAAGGTGCCCGTCGTCATCGACCCGCGACTGGGCAAGGTGCTGCGACCTCATCAGATCGAGGGAGTCAAGGTGAGTGGGCACAGGCGCCGGCGGCGGCGACGGAGGATCGCATGCTCCGCGTTTACTCACATTTTTGTCCTCGCCACCATGTTGCGCCCATAGTTCCTCTACCGCTGCACCACTGGCCTCGTCGACGAGAAGGCTGCAGGCTGCATTATGGCCGACGAGATGGGACTGGGCAAAACACTTCAATGCATCGCTCTCATGTGGACGCTCCTCAAGCAGTCACCTCTTCCCGGCAAGCCCACGATCGACAAGTGCATCATCGTCTGTCCCTCATCCCTCGTTCGCAACTGGGCCAATGAGCTAGTCAAGTGGCTCGGCAGCGCTGCACCCGGCACTCTTGCGCTCGACGGCAAGCTCAGCAAAGATGAGATGATTACCGCCGTCCACCGATGGTCCGCAGCCAAGGGTCGCGCCAATGGCCAGCCGGTCATGATCGTATCGTACGAGACGCTCCGCAACTTGACAGAGGTTCTTGGTCAGACCGAAGTTGGTCTACTGCTTGCCGACGAGGGTCATCGCCTCAAGAATGCCGACTCGCTCACATTCACCGCACTCAACATGATCAAGGTCAAGCGTCGAGTCATCCTCTCTGGCACACCTATCCAGAACGACCTCTCCGAGTACTTTGCCCTTCTGTCCTTCGCTATCCCCGACCTCCTCGGCGGCAAGGCAGAGTTCCGTAAGAACTACGAGATCGCTATCCTCAAGGGTCGAGATGCTCTGGCATCTGACAAGGAGAAGGAGGTCGGCAACGCCAAACTCAAGGAACTTGCCGGCCTGGTGCAGAAATTTATCATCCGCCGTACCAACGACTTGCTTTCCAAGTACCTCCCTCACAAGTACGAGCATGTCGTCTTCTGCAAAATGGCTCCCTTCCAACTGGACCTGTACCGCCTGTTCATCCGCTCGCCCGAGATCAAAAAGCTTCTTCGCGGCACGGGTTCGCAGCCGCTGAAAGCCATCAACATCCTTAAGAAGCTCTGCAACCATCCCGATCTCCTCAATCTCGACGAAGACCTGCCAGGCAGCCGCGATCTTTGGCCGGCCGAGTACAACCCTCGCGATCGCCGCGTTGTGCACACCGAATACTCGGGCAAGATGATGGTCCTTGAGCGCTTCCTGCACACAATCCGCGCCACGTCCAAGGACAAAATCGTCCTCATCAGCAACTATACCCAGACCTTGGACGTCTTTGAGCGCATGTGTCGCAACAACCGCTGGGGTAACTTCCGTCTCGACGGAACTATGGCTATTACCAAGCGGCAGAAGCTCGTCGACCGATTCAACGACCCAGAGTCGCCTGAGTTCATCTTCCTGCTCAGCTCCAAGGCCGGAGGATGCGGTATCAACCTCATCGGGGCGAATCGCCTCGTCCTCTTCGACCCGGACTGGAACCCCGCAGCAGACCAGCAAGCCCTCGCCCGTGTCTGGCGTGATGGACAGAAGAAGTCGTGCTTCGTGTATCGCTTCATTGGCACGGGTGGTATTGAGGAGAAAATCTTTCAGCGTCAGAGCCACAAGCAGGCCCTCTCGGCCTCAGTGGTTGACTGCGCAGAGGACGCCGAGCGACACTTCTCTGCTGGCGACTTGAAGGAGCTCTTCGAGTTCAAGGACAACACCGACTCTAATACGCACGACACGTACAAGTGCAAGCGATGCGTTGATGGGAGGCAGAAGATCAAGGCGCCTGCACTGCTCTACAATGACGCGTCGACGTGGAACCATCTGAGGCCGAGCGAGTTTGGGCAGCTTCATGACGATCTGTTGAGGGCAGAGCAGGCCTTTGATCAGGTGAGCTTCGTGATGCAATACTGCTCGCACTGAGTGGGGTAGCGATCAGACGCAAGAAGGCGACGACGGGACAGGAGGTTGGAGAAGGGAGACAAGCTTGCCTGTGGAGGGAGAGACATACAGCGCCACACAGGCGTGAAAGACAGCGATCACCCAAATGTACCAATAGAGACCCAGCTGGCGCTTGCGCCGCGGTTCAAACAGTCAACTTGATGACCATCACATAGCATTGCGACGAGTGAGGTCGGAGGTGCGACATTCTGGCGCGAGAGCCTCTGGCCTACGGATCAGGTCGGGCGAGCTGTGGACAGATAGAAGCGCGTAATTAGCCTCACATTGCCCACAACGTACCAATTGCAACAGCGCATACGCGTACTCACCATGGCAGCCAAGCTCGTCTGCTCTTTCAACACCTTGACGAATTCATCATCACCTTGGTCCAGCGGCCCGTCGGCGTTCCAGATGCGAATGGCGTTGAAGCGCGAACACGGAAGAGCCTGGAGGGAATTGATGACTCGTGGAGGAGCAGCGAAAGCGCTCTTCATTGCTGAGCCTCCACCACTTGAAGCTTGTGCGCCGTGGATGTTGTCTTCGCCCAGGCCAGGAGAAGAAGGTGACTGATCCGGCTCATCAAAGTCGCTTTCCTCGTCTTGGCCCATCTTATCTCCGTCTTCGTATTCATCCACGCCATTCATTCCATCTAATTCTCCCGCATCATCATCATCATCGTCGTCGTCCATAGAAAAGCCCCCGAAGGTAGCCGGAGCCTTCTTGGGCTTGACAGGCTCGGCGGCAGCGGCGTTCCTGTTCCTCCTCTTTTCCCTCCGACGCACAAGGTCGCGGCGCTCTTCTTCTTCTTGCTGTTGCTGTGCAAATGCTGAAGAGGATGATGATGATTGCTCAGCGGCTGTGCCTACGATGCCGGTAGATGAGGAGGCAGTTGTCTGATGATCCTTTTGCATCACGAAGATGTCACCAGCCCACCCATCGGGAAGTGGGACGTCCGTCGCGAAGAGTCTGCGTCCGCGAAAGTGACTGACGAGGGGATCTCCGCTATTCGTGCTTGTGCTGCTGCTGGCTGTAGGGTGACTCGTTGGCGCGCTGAGTTCTGACTGCTTGTGCACTACGAGGTAGCCATCCACGTTCGCTGGGCCCGTGTACTCGATGCTAAAAGGCATCAGGTTAGGACGAGAGGAAGAGGCGGACGTAGACGCTTCGCCGACGCCATTCTCTGCCTTAATTGCTGAGTCGCAGGGCTGCAGTACCAGCGGCGGGGGGAATAAGGAGATGGCCATCGTGGCTGGCGAGCGAGATGGCGAAAGTGTTGGTTGGGAATCGTAGCAATTTGATTGACGCGACACAGCTCTACCTTCGCGAGACTGGCTTTCCACGTGTCCCCTTCCGTTCGAAATGACCTGACCTGACTTGGAAGTCATGAGCCAGTCCCGCCCGCCCAACTTTTCTCCCTCTTCCACTCCTTGATCCTCCTAACCTCGCAGCCATGAACTCGACCGACTTCTCTGGTTCTCTCCCGCCCCCAGTCCGCGGCTCAGCCGCGCGATATGTTCCTCCAGACTCGCAATCACCCACCGACAAGCGCTGGATGCGCGAAGCCCTCCTCATGGCCGAGGAAGCCTTCGATGCTCTCGAAGTTCCCGTGGGATCAGTATTCGTCCGACATGGCGAGATCATCGCCAAGTGTCGCAATCGCACCAATGAGCTCATGAATGCCACTCGCCATGCTGAGCTGGAGGCCATTGATGAGATCCTCAGTCGTTACCCTCCCGAGTGGGGAAAGAAGTTTGCCCTGGATCCGCATGGCTGCGAGGATAATCCGTTCAAGGATACGACGCTGTACGTTACCGTCGAGCCATGCATTATGTGCGGAGCCGCTCTCAGGCAGGTGGGGATAGGCAGGGTGGTATTTGGAGCGGGGAACGAGCGATTCGGTGGCAACGGTAGCGTACTGGGCTGCCACGATGATGATGCTATTCTGTCATCGCCGCCTTACGAGGCTGTCGGGGGCTACTACAGGGAGGAGGCCATCATGCTGTTGAGGAGGTTCTATCTTACCGAGAACTCCAACGCGCCGAATCCGAGGAGCAAGGCTAGGAGAGTGCTCAAGACTCAGGTGCAACCACCGGGCGTGTCTATGCATGGGGTCAACTCGCCTGCCGCGAGGCGTTGATGAGCGGCGACACCGTGGGCGCTACGCATTCACACGCTCAGCTAGATACCACACGCACACAAGCTGAGCACATTCGTTGAGGAGGCAAAGTAGCGGAGAGGCACGTGGTGCAAGATACTCAAGATGTCTACGGGAAATTAATCTGGATGGATGAGAAGGCCGCAAGCTGGTCCATTACTTCCCACCTCGCTTCTTCTTTGAGCCAGAGGCCGACGACGATGACCCTGCTCCACCTCCTGCTGCCTTGCGCGCATCTACAGCCGCCCTCGCCTTCAAAAAGGCTTCCTCATCAGGCTCCGTCTCGCCTGGACCTCCAACATCGTCATCGTCATCATCTTCGCCCTTGGCCTTTTTCCTCTTGGCGGCTGCTCCTTTGCCCTTCTTGCTCCCGCTGCCCTCACTCTTGGCTCGCGCCTCCATTCGGGCAATCATGTCGTCGAAACCAGCGCTGCGTTGCGCTTGACGCTTGGCGAAGAGAGCTTCGAGCCCTGCCAGGTCACCTTCATCGCTATCCTTGTCGGCGGCGCTCAGCTTGGGCTTTTTGCTTGAAGAGGCGGTGGACTTGCCTTTGCCCTTCGCAGCGGTAGAAGAGGAGGAAGCACCATTGGTGCTCTTGCCGGAGCTGCGACTTGAGGACGCCTTGGCTTTGCCCTTCCTTGCGGTGGAATCACTAGACGTTTGCTTCCTCGATTTGCGCTTCGGCCGTTCGTCCTCTTCGTCCTCGTCCCCATCTGTCCCCTCCTCTTCATCACTTGAGACGTCCCCTTCGACCTCGACCTCAGACTCCTCCTCATCTTTGCCCTTCGTGGCTTTGCGCTTCTTCGCTGCAGCAGCGGCGCCGTCCTCGTCTGTTGCCTTCTTGCCCTTCTTTGCGCCACCACCGAAAAGCTCGTCCCACACTCCCAACTCCTTGGCATACTCCTCCGCCTCGCTCGCCTCCTTCTGCGCCTTGACTCGCATCTTCTTTCTCCCACCCTCATCACCCGTACTCTTCTTCCAGCCCGGAAGCTCGTCGATGTCGCCGGCCTTGATAGCAGCATTGATCGTTTGGACGAATCGCTGCTCATCGGCAAGCACCTCGGAGCAAGGCACAAGGGTGAAGATCTCCTCCAAACTACCCTCAGCTTGGACATACGCATCAAGAAGGTCCTGTCTCTCCTCGTCGGAGTGCTGATACTCCTTCTTGAACTTGTCCAGCTTGTCAGCGTCGATCTTGCCGAAGTCTTTGACCCACTCCGTCCAGTCAACATCATCCATCCCCTCGTCGGTCCGGCCTGTATCATCATAGCGCTTGCGACGCTTCTCGTCTGAGAGGACTGTGTAGGCGTAATTGATTTGCTGGAAGCGCTGCTGGAGGTCGGCGGCTGAGGTTGAGGGGCCCGAGGAGCTGGTGGCATCCTTTGTGGCTGTCAGGGCGATCTTGTCTGGGTGGTAGCGAAGGGCGAGCCTACACAGCGTGAGGATCAAGGGTCAGTGGGGGGCCTTGACAGAGCAAGTGCGCTTGTCTCCCCGACTCACTTTCTGTACGATTTCTTGATCTCATCCGCTTCTGCCTCCTTCTCTATACCGAGGGCACCATAGAGATCGACGTCTCCGTCTGGAAAAAAGTGCGTGGCCGGATCTGCGTCCCTCTCCATGCTGCTCAAGGTATGGAAGGGGAGGTGTTGGTGTGGGAGGGGAGAAGCAAGACGCGAAAGTGCAACGCGCCTTGGCCTCGAAAGTGGCGCGCTTCCTGTCTGCCCGCCTGCCCGCCAGCCCGCCCACCGGCGGAACCACTTGAGGCGGAGACGAGGCGGCGATGTGGGTGTGTGGACGAGGCAGTGTTGGTTGGTTGCCTCCTCCATTCGTCCGTCTCAGCATCAATCAAAGATGGCGAGCTCGAAGCGCATCACAAAGGTCAGTGGGGATGTGACTCGCACCTCAGTGGCTGGTCGCAGCTCATCGCTCCTCTTTGTCCCTCTGCCAGGAGCTCGCCGACCTCTCCAAGGAGCCTCTACCGGGCATAGCCGTCTCAGCCTCTGAAGCTAACGTCTACCAATGGCAAGCAGTCATTGCTGGCCCTGCCGACTCGCCCTATGCCAAAGGCAGCTTCAATTTGTCCCTCGAGTTCCCAGCAGAGTACCCCTTCAAGGGACCCAAGGTGCGCTTCGCGACCAAAATCTACCACCCAAATGTGGACGAGGAGGGGGCCGTGTGCTTGGGCATCCTCAAGAGCGAGGCGTGGAAGCCGAGCACTAAGGCTGCGACTGGTGAGCGACCGCAACGGATCTCTCAGTGAGCTTGGACTGTACTGATGAATAACTCTCGTTATGCGACCGCAGTGCTCCAGTCCATTCAGAACCTCCTCTCCGAACCTGACCCGGACGATGCGCTCGTGGCATCGATCGCTGAGCTATACAAGAAAGATCGCCCTCAATTCGATCACATTGCAAAGGAGACGACGAAGAAGTACGCTATGGCGTAGAGGAGAGCGGGGAGCGCAAAGACGCAGGACAGATGGGTAGGGTGGGGCTTGCGACGCGGGAACGTTGGGACACGGGCATTATGGCTGGGCAGCTTGACGAGTGTCAGGACGGCGCATGTACGGAGGTCACGTCAAATATATGAGTAATAATCAACACATGTCAGTGGTGGCTTTCTCTGCTAGCAGTCACCATTGAGATTCTGTGGGCCATTGGTGAGCGGCAGCGACGAGGAGCGTGACCCCGGGACCTCGGCTTCGGAGTCACCGAGGTGGACTGCAGGATCCACCCGTTGCTGCAGGACAGGAGTGGAGTCGAGTCGAGAGATGAGCAAAAGTGGCCTGCGACGTTTCGCTTCGATTCACACTCACACGGTGTGGAGTAAGAGAAGACAAGGATAGCTCAGCCGGCTGTGCACCATCCCGTCGCACTCTTGTTTTCTCTCTTTCTCCTCTCATCATCAACACTTCTGTCGCCGCCCACCATGACAAGCGCTGCCTCATTTCCTCGCAAGTACGCTGTCACCGTGTACGGCGCCACAGGCTTTACGGGAAAGCTGTGCGTAGAGTACCTTGCGCAACATCCTCAGGGTGACGCCTTCAACTGGGCCGTCGCGGGTCGTTCGACTCAGAAGCTTCAGGCCCTCAAGCAGCAGTACAATCTTCCCTCGAACGTGGGTATTCTCCGCGCCGAGAACTCGACCGACGATGTCAACTCGTCGGGCCTCAAGGAGATGGTGCAACAGTCGGCCGTGATTCTGAACTTGGTCGGCCCTTACGAGCTCAATGGGTCCTTCCGCCTTGCAAAGCTGTGCGCTGAGCTCGGGACGAGCTATACGGACCTCTCAGGCGAATCGAAGTTCAACGCACGCCTCCAATCCGAGCTGGACGAGACGGCCAAGAAGAGCGGATCCATCATTATCCCTTCAGTCGGATACGACAGCATTCCCCTCGACGTCACTGCCTACCTGGGCGCAAGGCGAGTCCGAGAGCTTGCAGCGAAGAAGAGCATCGATCTTGCTGAGCTTCAGGTCAAGGCGGGCAATTCGTGCATGGGTGGATTCTCTGGTGGGACGTTTGCTAGTATGAAGGAGATGGCAGGGGGATGGCAACTCAAGCCCGCTAAGCCGTTGGCTATTGCAGATGCGTGCAGTGAGAAGGCTCCGGAGAAGTGCACCTCTGCCGTCATTACGCCCAATGCAACGTGGATCGCTCCCTTCAAGACGTGGGGCACCATCAATCCTCTTGGGATCCACAACGCTCGAGTGGCCTACCACTCTGCCCGCCTAGTCGACGGCTCCTCCTCTACGGAAACGTACGGCCCCAACTTCAATGTCGTGGACTGTGTGATACCGCCCGGCATGACCAGTCTCCCCTGGCCCATCGCCTTCCTCTTCGCCCACATCATCGCCAGCATTACAAAGATGGTCTTGCTCGTAATAGACCGCTCGCAAATGGTACGCAACTTCGTGACCCGCTTCATGCCCACTGGCTCAGGGCCCAGTCGCAAGGTCCAAGAGGCTGGCTTCCTCGACCTGCGTGCGTTAGCTGTTGGCTACCCAGCCAAGTCGCAGCAGAAACCCGTAGCGAGTGTCGCACGCTGGTTGATCAAGGACGCTGATCCAGGGTACAAGATGACGTCCAGGTTGGCGGTGGAGGTCAGCCTTTTCCTGGCGCTGGCCACGGGCGAGGCAACGCAGCCTGACAAGGTCAAGGGGATGACGCGCGGTGTGAGAACGGTGGCTAGTTTGGGTGACGAGGCCCTTGCTACGTTGCTGAAGAGGTTGAAGGAGTTTGTCGGCATCAGTGTTGAGGTCACTGACTGGAACGAGGGTGGATTGGGAAAGAAGTTGCTTGGTGCGGGTGGGAACAAGGAGAAGCTTTGAGTCAGGGCAAGCAGAGCAGGAGGTCATCGAGGATGACGGAGGGCAAGGGACGTGTCGCTGAGGCGTGGCATTTGGATAAGGTAGCACAAGAATATCACAGATTATCGACCTCACCGCTCGTCCTTCGCATCATGCTACGGGTATGATCCTCTCCACCTCTGCATCTCCATCCATCTCCCCATCGCGGTCAAAGCGACTCAAACGGTCGGAAATGTGCAGTTTCCCGCCACCAGCGCCGGCGTCGGCATTACCGTTCTCGTCAACCTGGGCTGTGGTCTTCCTCCACTCAGGATGCGAGAACCAGCAGTCATGTCGCATACAGCCGCTGCCAAACTTGCAGGGCTTAGCACCTCCTGATGAGCCGTTGGGCGTCGAAGCGCCGCCGTCCAGAGGGCGATCGAGGGCGAGGGGTTTCCCATCTGCGCCTCGCTCCATCGCCATGTCCCCATCAGCGGCCTCACCATCTACCATCTCTGTGTTGATCTCCACATCACCTTCGCTCTCGTCTTGTTGCATCCCCGCCGCTTGTCCGTCATTCTGTGTCGCAGGTCGCAACAATCTCGCCAGCGCAGGGCTAGGTGCCGGCTTTCCTTCTGCATCGAAGTGTGCGTACCCGCATGAGGCATTGCTGCACTTATCCGCAAAGCGACAGGGCGTCGCAGTGGTATCGACCGCAGCTGCGGCGGTCTCTGCCGCGTTACGACTGCTCTTCATTTGCGCAAAGAGCACAGCGGGACTGACGTGGCTAAACCCGCACTCCTTGTTTGTGCAACCCACCCCGTAGAAGCAGGGACGCTCGCTCGTGATCACGGGGTCGTCTGCGGTGGCCGTTGTTGACTCGCCCGCCCTGCGACGTGCCAGGGCGGCGCTGGGTGATGGGTGGGAGTAGGCGCATGTCGGGGCGGTGCAGCCGAGGGACCAGCGACAGAGGGATGTTTGTGTCGGTTGAGTGGGAAGCGCCGAGCTGGACTGGGTTGACTCAGCGGATGGCGGCGGCGCGTTGTTGGGCAACATTGGGTCAATGCGCGAGAAGAGCGTGTTGGGCATACTCGAGCCGGCCGAAGCGGGGCCCGTAGGTACGAACGCTGCCGCGCGTGGGTCGGGGACCCCCGCTCTTGCTAGAAGACTCAGCCCGCTTCCATTTGGAGGTGCTTGATGGCCATTGCGGCCATTGTTGCGAAGACCTCTTGGTGGCTGAGCAGCTGCGTTCATGGAGCGAGCGAAGAGCTCGCGAGGGCCAGTAGGCACTGCGTCGGGGGCAGTAGGAGCAGAGCCACGTATTCTGACCTCGCGGTGCGGCGCTTGAAGTTGCTCGTCATCCATAGCCAGCCTTCGTTCTCCCACCTCGTCGCCTTGCTGTCCTCTGCCTTCCCTCATCGCACGACGTTCCCTCCCACTCGTCCCTGCGGCGCCCAACGCTGAATCGAAGAGCTCTCGAGGCGGACGAGGAGCGCCGTATCTTGAGTCGCGATCTCTTGGTCCACCACGATCCTGTCTGTAGCCTCGTCCGTAGCCACCGTCGTCATTGCGCCCTTCCCATCCACCTGCGCGGCTGCGCGAGGGTGGCGACTGGGAGCGTCTGCGCTGCAGCTCTGGTGAGCGAGAGGAGCGACGCAGCGCTGCCGGTGGCGGTGACCTAGTATCGGCATCCACCGCAGCATCCATCGACACCTCAGCCTGCGGTGGTCCTGCCTCTCCTACAGGTATTGACGGCCCTGGCTCACCCCCGCTCAGTACCCTCTGCGCTTCGCTCCACAGCCACTCCGTGAAGCTCGCCTCGTACGTGTCCGCCCCAATCAGATCTGAAAGCTCTGCGTCAATTTGTTCCTTCGCCTTACTGTTCGCTAGCATGACCAGGATGTACTCGGCCATGACGGGGTCATCCTCTGTCGCGTAGCCCCGCGAGGCGAGGTTATGCTGGATGGAGGTTTGCAGTGTGGCTGAGAGAGGGGAGCGGATGTCAAGGGGAATGGGTGAGTAGGATGAGGAGGACATGATGTTGAGTTGAGGCGGATGAGGAAGAGATAATGTCGTGCTGTTGCGTAATGTAGTGGGTGACGCCTCGACGAGATGGATGGTGAGGGTCGAGGGTCGATGCGGATTGGAATGAAAGCAAAGTTGCTCAAGTGTCGTGCGAGGAACGCCCCGCCCTAGTCGTCTCTCGTCGACTTTTTGGCCGAGCGAGCGCCTCCATCCGCCCCTCCGTTCAACTGAACAGCACAAGCGTTGCAGGCATAGCGACTTTTCGCTGTATAAATGTCGAAGAGCGCAGCCCGCTCGCCGCGGCAAGGCGATGCTAAACCGTGTTACTCGCCTGGGCCGTTTTCATTTTTGCCCAGTTTAACATTCGTGTTAATTTCGCAGAGTGTCAAGCATCAAGCCGAGACTTAAGCGACTCCAGGGAGCGGATTAGCAACCCTCTCGTGTGGAATACACTCTCATGTTGACCACCCGCTCGAGCGTCTTAGTGCCCTTGCTTTCTGTGCGTTTCAACCGCTCAGAAAGTGGGCCGGAGGCTCGGACATACCTTCACCATTTCACCATCTTTATGGTCCTCAGGGAAAGGGCAAGGTCAAGAGGCGGTCGATGCTTTTACTTTTGGTATTGCTCATTGCTCAGTGATCTCCACGAGTCGTTGCACCTCGATCCCTGTACTCGTGCATCCCGCCCACACCAGCATCGAAGCGCGACTCCTCGCCTGCTTTGAGATCCCACTGAATTCCCGGTATGGGCTGCTGCGCCGCTGATAGTTCGTCTGGTCGCACGCCCGCCCTCTGCTGACGAGCATACGTCAAAGCTGCCATGCCTCGCTGTACCTCTGTGCGGCTCTCAATGTAGGCGAGGAAGCAGCCGGAGCCTGTGAAGGTGGGCGAACAAGGAGGAGAAGTGGTTAGTCCCGGCGTATGACAGCTAGCTGAGCTGCTGACTGCTGCCCCGCGACTCACCAATCGCTGTCATCACCGCAGCATTTGGTGAGAAGCCGAAGAAGCGGCGTGAGAGTACGCCGGCTGGATGTAGTGAAGTAAATTGAATGCTGGGTCTCAGCAACATGCTGCTACGAGTGAACATCGTGCCCTACCCAACTCACTCAGTATCCCAGACAGGACCCCGGTAACAGTCGCGTTGATTTGCGCCTGCTTGTTGACCATTCCCACCTCTGCTGCGCTCAGCACCTTGTCGCGCGACTCTTTGCCCTTTTGGATCTCCTCCGGTGTGGGAGGGATATAGGAACGAGAGGCCATGTTGAGAGCGAGAAGAGGGAGCGTGCAGCGTATGCCGCTGCTTGGCGGTGTGGGTGAAGGGGCAGAGTCTCCAGTGAGAGCGCTGTATGAGTAAAAGTGAAGCTGTCGCTCGCGGGATTGCTGCTGTGAGGTGGTCGCCCGGTGAGATGGAATCGATTGAAGGAGTGGAGCTAAAGTCAGCTCCAGGGTCCAGTAGCTGAGGCCCGTGCATTGCTGCCCCACTACCGCCCCGCCGGAACGGAGGCCGACGACTGTGATAAACGGGAGCAGCTCGTCGTGTCGAGCGGAGGCTAATCAGTTCACTTTTGTCGACTGCGAGTCGAGGTAATTGACTGCCGCTCTCGCTCCTTTTCCCGTCTTTGCTTCCTTCTCTTGCATCATGGGCCCACGCTCCTCCTCATTCTCATCCCTCGGTGACGCAGGGTCCGGCTCTGAGTCTGATCTTACGGACCTGGACGAGATCCAGCCGCCGCCGACGCCGGGGCAAGCAACTGAGCCAGAAGACGACAGCGGGGTTCACCTCAACAGCGCGATGGACGCGCCTGGCTCGAGCAGAAGGAGGAGCGGGAGACCAAGGAGGAAGTCGCAACAAGCTGGTGATGTTGGACATGATGATGCGCAGAACGAGGAAGGTCAGCCTGCAGCGGCGCCCTCTCAGGCAGAGGCGTCAACTTCCAGGCGTCGCATCAAGGTGAAAGAGGTCACCAGGCAGGGCTCCACCGCAGCTGAGGAGCAAGGTGATGCTGCTACGACTGAGACAGCGGCGAAGCCAAAGAAGAGCATCAAAGTCAAGCTCAACGTCGATCGTAGCAAAGCGCAGCAGCAGCAGCAGCAAGTCCAGCAGGCCGATGGCTTTTCACTGGATGCGGCTCCTCAAAGTGGTTCCTCATCCCTGCGCGACGAGCTGAGAGGCATGGCAGACAGTGATGAGGAGGACGAAGAGGAAGTGATAGCTCCAGTCAAGAGGAAGATGCGCAGGCCGCGCGAGAGCACCAGCGGTGCGGGAGGCGACCACGATGATGACGAGGGCGGCGACATTTCGATGAAACGCAAGAAGCGCAAGCCAGAGGATACCTCGCGGGGCTCTGCGCTCAAGAAAGCCAGGCGTAGCGACTACGATGACGCAGATGCGCTGCTAGAGAGCGACTCGGATGAGGAGATGCAGGATGTCGCTAGCAGTGAGGGCGACTACGAGGAGGACGAGAAGAAGACGTCCGGCCGCTCAGGTAGTGGCAAGAGCTCCGCCAAGAAGACAAGCAATTCTTCCACGAAGGGAGTCAAGAGCTCGGACAGCACAAAAGGCAAAGCAAGCGCCTCAGGCGGCAAGGCCAAATCTGCTGCTCCTGCAGGTAACAAGAAGCAATTATCAAAGGCAGGCGGCAGCGACAACGACCCCAAGTCCGCAGTAGGAAAGATCAGAGCAAGCGCAGCGGTCACTGCGGCAAGCGGGCCCTCGTCCTCGTCTCCGTCTCATTCGGCGGACGGAGCAGGCGGCTCTTCTCTCTCTTCTCCCATCCCTCGCAAGCCGCAAGGACAAACAGCACCGGGCGCAGCTGCAGGACAGCCACCACGCCGTCCAATGCCGCTTCCCCCCATGAAGCCTCGCGGATCAGATATGTGGGACTCTCTAGTTGGGTCATCGAAGCCTCGCCCTCAACCAGTACCGCCAGCTGCGGCAAAAAAGGAGGGCGACGACGCAGCAAAGCAGCAACAGCAGCAGAAGCCCGCCGGGCCTCGACCTCCCCGCCCACCACCTCCGTCCGCCTCAGCCCTTCCGCGCCCATTGGGAACAACGGGAACTCCTAGCACCGGCGGCCCGCCTCCACGTCCACGAAGCCACCTCTACGGCCCCGGATCTGCCTCAGCGCACAACTCCGGACCAGCAAACGGTACCTTCACCGTGCACATGACTCCTGGTCTCAACGGCCAACATTGGGACAAAGCAGCGTATCGCCAGCTTCGAGCCTCAGAATGTCACTCCTACTCCAACCCGGAACCTGCCTCCCTCTTCAATCTACTGGAGGATGCCGAGGTCCTGGCCAAGTTCGAAGAAGAGTGGCGCGGGATCCGTTATCCGAACTTGTACGGCGGCAGGGCCGCCCGTGACGAGCATGCCGTTAGTTCGAGGCATGCGCCGCCAGACACAACTGCACCGCTGCCCCACCTGGAGCTGTTTCAGCCCTGCAAATACACGCAGTATGGTTCTGGCAGGCTTTACGCTGATGTGTTGAAGGGGAGGAAGGGAGCTCATGCTATGGCTGCTGCTGCACGTGTGCCGGACAAATCGGAGCAACGGGTTGATCGGAGGGAGGGCCAGTCATGATGGAGTTCGTGATGACGCGGGATGGTATCTATCCTCTCTTACTCGCAAGACAATGCTACCTGCGATACAGGGATGTTGTGCTCCCTTCCTCGTCCCGCGATGGCTACGCCTCCTGACCATAAGCCCAAAGCATCATCCCTCTCACCTGCACAAAGCCCACGTTGAGCACCGGATGGGTCGGCAGCACCTCATTCCTCGCGCCGTCACCCTTCCCCGAACCATCATGATGGCCGAGCACGATCTTCTCCCTGCCTGGCGCCAAATTAAAGCCCAGCATTGACGAGAAGACCCTCCGTCTTAGTTCCTCGTTCTCCTCCTTCTCTTCTGCACCCTTCCAACTCTTGTAGCAGAACTCCCTCGTCTCCCTACACGGCCGGACAACATGTTGCGCAGCGCTCAGCCCTGCCAAATTGTAGCATGTGTGGTACGCATCCGCCTTTTTGCCCGGCTTGTCCCTCAGCCCTCCCTCTGCTGTCGAGGCTGCTGCTTCGGCTGGGGTAGAGCAGTCCGACGGGATGGATTGTGCGACGCAGAGAATGTAAGCTTGCAATGCTGGGCGATCCCACAGTTCCGGTATCGTGAGAGGCGCTGCTGAGGGCGAAGCGTTCTTGTGTGACGTTGTAGTCTCCTTCTCGACCTGCTGTAGTGACTCGACTACGCCCCACATCCCTGCACCTGAGAACCAGGAGTAGCACCCATCGACTAGCTTGTTGATCCGACCCTTGTAGCCACCACCTTGTGATGGGAAGGGACATTGCAAGCCGAGAGTCCACCGGGTCAGCTTCCGTACGTCAAGACGTTGTCGGCGTTCTGGCGCGGTGGACGACGAGGAGGCGCTGGAGTGAAGGGGGTCTTCGAGGAGAGAGAGACCGAGGTAGGCCGCTGCAGCACAGAACGCGTAACCGCCGTGCGCTTCTCCTAGTGCTGGGCGTGGCGAGGAGTTGTCGAGCTGGAGGTTGGGGTTGTACGTCGGGAAGGAAGTTGAGCTTAGCCCACCTTCGTAGGATTGGCAGCTGCGAGCGGGCGATAGTGAACGTCAGCTTCCTCTTCCTTGAGCGTCGAAACGATCTACTCACCTTGCCAAGAAGTCACTCATCCCTTCGAAAAGCTCTCTCGTTCCCGTCCCTGTGAGCGTCGCAATGCACCAAACGCAGTAGCTGGCCCTCACGTCGACCTCCCCACCCTCATGAACCGTGAAGCTCCCATCAGGCTGCTTGAGCCTCATCATCCAGGCGTACAGCTTCTTGCGATCGATCCCATCCCATCCTGCCTTGCCCAGCTTGGCGAGGGTGGTCTTGCCCGCAGATACCTGCTCACACTCTTGGCGGGATGGAACAGCTCCCGGGCCGCCTACGATGCACAAGGCGTTGATTGCAGCATAGGTGGCCATCAGGTGGCCGATGTGGCCTGGGCTACCGCCAAAGCCACCCTTATCAACGTCTTGACAGCTCAGCAGCGTGCTCACGGCTCGCATTTTCAACTTCTCATCAACCGGGTGCCCGAGAAGCGTGTACGTATGAAGGCTCCAATAAAGCAACCAAGGCCTCGTCGAATCGAAGGCCACATAGGCTGCAGGGAGTGGCTTGGCTAGGAGCTTCCCGATGAATGCTAGGTGGGCCTTCCGCCGCAGGATGGGGCCAGGGGACACATCCGGTGATACAGTAGTGTAGGGCCGGAGCACATCGTGGATGTCGGATTCGACGTATGACTCCTCGACAGAGGTCGGGGTGGGGTTCGCCTCGTCGTTGAGGGGACGGTGCGGCAGGGAGAGGAGGGTGTGGAAAGGGTCCGTTGAGGTGGCCATGATGGGCGAAGGGGGTGACAGGAATGAATGCAATGGAAAGATGCGAAACTCGCCTCTCTCTCTACCTTGACACTGCTTCAAGCGGAAAGTGGGAAATGTGTTCCTTTGTTCGTCGAAAAAGCGCCGCCTCCTTCGCTCCGTCGGCACGCACGAGCCAAGTCGAGGGGGACGGACAGAGCTGCGTCGATGACGGAGACGGAGACGGAGAGAGAGAGCCAATGGCACGCGAGTGAATTGTCATCTTCCAACTCACTCACCACCACTCCATCCATTGCTGCGCAGCGCATCTCATGCCACCCCGTGCCTCGACCTCCAAAGGTCCCCGTCGAGACGATGATTACGTCTACGACGACGATGAGGCGGATGACTTTGTAGCTGGCGGCGGCGGCGGCGGGGGAGGAGAGGACGACGATTCGGGCGATGACTTCCTCATGGCAGATGACGGCGACTTCGATGATGGCCGACACTTTGCTGCTGCCCGCCGTAAAGCGGCCAAGTCCGGGCGGGGTAAAGCATCCGCAGCCGCAACTGCCAAGAAGAAGGGTGCTCTTGGTGGTCCAAGCAAGGATGCCGGCAAGTCATATGCATGGGAGTCAAGCTTCCAGCGCTCTTGGGATGTTGTCGGGGAGGATCAGAGTGGGAGCTTAGAGGCATCGGTAAAGCATTTGTTGGCGCAAGGCAAGAGGAAGAGGGCGGCTAGGGAAGAGAGGAGAGTGAGGAGAGGAATCATCAGGCACCTGGTCCTTGTCATTGATGATAGCGAGAACATGAACGAGAAGGACGGCGGCAGAGGGACGAGGTGAGTAGCCACAGACAGGGCTAAGACTGAGCCACGCTCGAGGCAAAACTCATACCGCTCCCTGCACGCACACACGCCCAGACTGGACCTTCTTCTCCCCATAGCTCGTCGCTTCGTCAGCGAGTACTTTGAGCAGAACCCCATCGGCCAGCTTGCCATCCTCGCCATGCGCGACGGAGTTGCAGACCGGCTTGTCCCCATGGGCGGCAATACGGCTGACCACTTGGCCGCCCTCTCCCCTCCTAATCGTAATCGACGGCTGGAGCCCCGCGGCGACCCAAGTCTCCAAAATGCTCTCGAGATGGCTCGATCCACCCTCGCGCATCTTCCGACGACCTCTAGCCGGGAGGTCCTGCTGCTCAGCGGGAGTTTGACCTCCTGCGACCCGGGAAACATTCATCAAACGGTCGCTGCACTCAAGGCAGCGGGCATCAGAGTTGATCTCATCCACCTTTCGGCAGAGATGAAGATTTTGCGCGATATCGCCCAAGAGACGGGCGGGACGTTCGGGGTTGCCTTGAATGAGGGGCATCTGGAGGATCTGGTGCGGGAGGGCGTCCGTCCGAGGGAGATTGTCAAGAAAGAAGAGTCCGCGTCGCGACGGGTTGGCGATGAGGACGAAGATGGCGAGGACGACACGGGTGCCGAGTTGATGCAAATGGGCTTTCCGCTTCGCTTGCCCACACATGCTCCTCCGACTCTGTGCGCCTGTCACGCCAAGCTCTACCCGCCGTCAAGCAACAACGATTTCTCTGGGCCGTCAGCAACATCCTCAACCGGTGGATCGGCGAGCGCAGGTTTCCTCTGCCCCCGCTGTGGGTCCAAGCTCTGCGACGTGCCTACAGACTGTGCCGTCTGCGGCTTGACCGTCGTCATGAGCACACATTTGGCGCGCTCCTACCGCCATCTGTTCCCCGTCAGGAGATGGGTCGCAGTCAGCTGGGAGGAGCTAGCTCGACAGCGTGCGGCCAGGAGAAGAAAATGGCAAAGAGCCTGCTTGGGGTGCGATGAGGTCTTTCCGCCACTGCCGGAGGAGTATGTGAGAGCGGTTGAGAGTCGGCAGAGAGGTGAAGAGGGGGGCGAGGATGAGGTGATGGATGCGGGCGGTAACGATGGCAGCAATGCGCAAGTCAACGGATCCAACGACAATGGTCAAGGCGAGGGTGAACAAGCAGGTGGAGGAGCAGCGACGCTAGCCACCTCGTCACGATACGAGTGCCCAAAATGCGGCAGCCACTTTTGCCTCGAGTGCGACAGCTACACACACGAGGAGCTGTACGTCTGTCCAGGATGTGGGTGAGCGTCATCATTTCATATCATCATCATTCGTAATCGCATCATAGCATCGCAGCACCGCCTATAATCATCGTATCACTCTGCATCCAACGGGCATCGATGGGGCTGCTCGTCCACCTGAATACCTCCCCTCCTCGGATGATCAGCATCAGGGAATGGGGTCACCCATCCTCCTTCCGAGACGGGCGTGCTCAACCACAGCCTGAGCAAATGTCTACGGGGATGCGGAGGCGGGTGGTCCTTGTATGCCGTCCTGGCATGGAGAACACTGCTGTCCGACACGAACTGGCAATCCCCCACCTCAAGAATCATGTGCAGAGCCAGCTTCTGGGCCGTCTCCTCCAGGACCTGCATAGCCTCCTTCTGAGCGGCGGAGAGGGGAGGAATCTGCCCCGCCTCGACGAAACGCGTGGTCGACCACAGGTAGTACGGGTCGATCTGCACTGTCAAGCGATTATCGGGCTGGCCCTTCACCAACGTCGCGATGCTTCTCTTCATCCACGGGTTCTGTCCCTCCTTGCTCGTCGAAACCTCGCCCTTTCGATCAAAGTACCAATTGGGCTCGGCGAGTGTTCGTGCCACATCTGGTCGGTGGGCCTGAAGGTGATTCCAAAGGGCGTGAGAGGAGACCACGTCGCTTTCGCCTCCTTCTAGGGAACGTGCTAGGCAGCAGAGACCGATGAGCCCGCCCGAGGAGTCGACGTGAAAGTGCTGACGGGCCGAGGTGCGATAGATGCCTGCCGGTCACGATGAAGGGAAATAGGTCAGCGCCTGGCAGCGTTGTTATCCTCAAGGTGACAGGGTACCAACGAATCTTGTCAATATTGTCCCCAGTAAATTTGTCACCCTCGATATCTTTGACGTGCCCGAGAATGTGTCCGCGTCCATTTTGGCTCACACTGTTACCGAGGTAAGCCCCAACCATTAGGTAGGCGGCAGCCGTTACCTCGATCGGCCAGCGGTCGACCGGGAAACCCTTGAAGACGTAGAAGCCCGAGCCGTGTAAGATCTTCTGGCGGAGAGAGAGAAGGGTTGATTGAAGGGAGAGGGGAAGGTTGATGGTGGCCTGTGGATACGCGGAATTTGCCATGTCAGCCGCAGTGTCCCTGATACGGTGGTGCTACGTCGTGCTCACCCTCTCGATCTCCTCGTGAGGCCTGCCACTTGCCACCCAATCCTTTGCTGCTGTCTCCAACTGGCCGATCTCTTCTTCACTCCAGCGACGGATCCATCGCTCCTGGTTCTCGGGCTTCTCGTACTCCTCTCTCGTCCATACAGTCGGTCCCTCGATTTTGGTGGGCAGCTGCTCGTAGGGAGTGATAAGGGAAACGTCTGTGTCGTATTGCCCAGAGGTGAGAATGTTGGCCAGAGACGAAACCTCAGCGCCGGGAGGTGGTGGTACACGGCTTCCTGCCTGGCTCTTGAGGGGGTGAGTGTCTCCTGCGGGAGGGGCAAAGCTAGGGGCTGGCGGTGCCGTTGCTACAGGTGCCATGGTCGAGTCAAGTCAGATTGACAGCGAGGAATGGTGGCAATGAGAAGTCAAGGATACCTCAAGCTCATCTCAGCATATTCTATCTCTTGTGCGGCTCATGAGCAGGTCAGCCGACATCATTGCACTTCGCCTTTCCCCCCGCTCGTGTGCCATTGCCTATCGATGGCGATAGGATTGCGCCATCGCTCGTCGACCATGGTCCGTGCCTCTCGAGGCGAGAGGGCGACAGAGCCAAGCTGCCGTATCTCCGCCCGCCGCCTCGGCCTGGGAATATCGTCGAGGCTAAAGAAAGAATCGGGCTCAACGGGGCTCCTTGAGGGCTTGATGGCTATGAGTGGGAGCCCGATTGCTCAGCGTCTAGGGCACTGCGACGTTGCAATGATGTCGTCGGGCTGTCGTTCTCGTGACTCCATCGCAAATGTTGCGTGGCAGAAGTGAGACTCTCGCCCTGGACACCATCGTCAATGCTTGACGGACCCCGCCACCCTCGCGGATCACGTGGCTGGCCGGCCCGCCTCACGCCCAGACGCGTTGGTGAGGCGAGTCCAACTGGGCGGCTCGGCGTGAAGTCGTATCCGTCTTGCCTTTCCCGTCATTCGCCTCGCACATCTCAATCGCGCTTCGAGATGCCGCCAAAAGGCTCTTCATCGAGAGCTCGACAGCCATCAGCGTCCTCAGCATCGGCGGCACCCGCATCATCTGCATCCGCATCATCGAAAGCGCGTGGCGGCCGCGTCGGGAGACCCAAGAAGGTCGTTGTTGAGAGCGAGAGTGGGAGTAGCGATGCCGAGGATGAGGACGGACACGACGAGGGTGATGATGGCGAGGATGATGCGCGTCGTCGTGATGCCAGTCAGCATGGTCTCGAGACCAACAATCACACGGCGACAGTGAGGGCATTCAGCCAGACGAATCCTCTCATTCTGGACGAGGACGAGGAGGACGAGATGGCGTTGAGATCGCCTGTCAAGCCCATCCTCGCGCCACGCGTCCAAACAGCCGCGTCCAAGAAGGCTTTGGGCTCCTCATCAACGAAAGCAAAGTCCTCTTCCTCCAAGCAACCCGCATCATCCTCGTCCTCGTCCGGCGCTGCTGCGAGACGCCCGGTGTTGGGCGCAGCAACCTCGAGCTCGCAGAATGCCAGCAGTCAAGACCCTACGGGTGCGTCTGAGGCTAAGCCTGCTCGCAAAGGCACTCGCGCGCCCAAGACGAAAGCTGCTAAAGCCAAGTCAACCAAGGCGACCACCAAAAAGCCCGCCGCCTTCCTCGACTCGAGTGAGGACGAAGCTGTCGTAGCTGGTGTCTCCTCATCAGCAGACGAGGCCGATGCTGCTCCTCAGGCCCCACGGAGCGCAGCCGGTGTCAGTATGCCCGAGGAACAGATCCAGACATTTCTCGATGGCTACGATCTCGACGCGGCCAATCGGCTCAGTCGGGCCCGCACCCACCTAGCCGTAACTCTTGAAGGGGCGCGCTCTCAAATGGCCACAATCCTTTCGCGTCTACCATCGAGTGCGCGAGGCATGCCGCTGCAGGAGTTCATCGAGGCGTATTCTGCTGAGGTGAAATGCATCGTTAAGGGCGTCGTAGGGAGGACGCAACAACAGGAGATGGGAGACCGAGATGGATGGGAGGAGTTGAAGCGCAAGAGGGCTAGAGAACAGGAGGAGGAGAAAGCAGCCAAGAAGGGAAAGACGGCTAAGAAGGCTGCGCAGTCACCTGTGAGGCCGGCCACAAAGGGACTTAGAGCAGCCGGCCCATCGTCGCGAGCCAACTCCAACGCGACCGCATCGAGCTCAAAGACGCCGGCTCCCGCTTCGGCGACCTTCTCCCCGACGCTGGAGAACGCGCCCACCATGCCTCCCTTCCCCTCCTCCTCGACGTCAGCAGCAACACCAGCGCGCAGACAGCCGCCAAAGACGGGGCGTCCTTCTCGTCTGGCAAGAATTGGCGAGTCAGTCCAGCTCTTCAGCGCGAGCGGCAGCCCCATCATGGGAGTTATTGGCCCCAACGGGCAGTTCCAATTCATCCAAGTCGATGCAGGGCAAGGAGCAGTGGCGGAAGAGGATCCGTCCTCTCCGGTTGCACAGCAGCAGCAGCAAGTTCCCCGACGCTTGGCATCCCAAGCTGGCCCCTCCTCATCGGCAACGTGGCGTCCCCCAGCACCTTCACACCTACAACCTCCCTCTTCTCCAGCCGCAACCAACAGATCAGGCTTCTCCCTCCTCTCCTCCTCTTCTCCTGGAGGTGCCCCAGGATCACACGGCGGTGAATCAAGCATCGAGCTTCCCGACGCTGAAGCGGAGATGGAGCGCATCATCGCAGCAGAGGAAGCGCGAAGACGCGCACAGCGTGCTGCTGCTGCCCCGCCTGGCAATGTTACGACGCTCAAAGGCAGGCCATTCGGAGGCAGGGCTCCATCCACCTCGGCGCTGAGACAACCTTCGTCCTCTTCTCAGCCAGCCACCAGCTCACCCCTCCGAGGTGGGGCACACACGGCTTCCTCCTCGTCTATGAGGTCGCGCTTCGGCTTGGGCGGAGGCGGCAGTGTCAGGTCTTCGAGCTCTTCGCCGAGCAAGACTGCCGGTGGAGGGAGGAGCAGTAGCACTGGAAGTGCGAGTGGGAGCAGTGGGCGTGGCAGGCCGGCGACAGCCGGTGCCGGTGTGGGAGGCGGGAAGGGAGGACGACTTGAGACTATTGAGAGCAGTAATGATCTGGCCGGGATCGCGGCTGGGCCGGATGAGGTGGGCGTGAGCAGCGGCAGTCAGGGTAGCGGTAGCGCTTCGTCGAGGGGAGGTGGCGGGCAGCAGCAGCAGCAGCAGCGCAGCGGTGGTGTCGGTGGAGGTCTGTCCTCGATGATTTCCAGGTGGACAATCAGGGGGAGCAGCCCGAGGAAGAAGTAGGAGCGCGCAACGAGCAACGCTGCACAGCACGAGGACCAGCACCAAGGACTCTTTCATTCATGACCGCCATGACCAATTGCAATGCCTATTTTGTGATGCCATTCCTGATTCGCACGATGCCTTAGCGCCTTGATCGCTCTCTTTCCCTCTCTCTGTCCCTGCCCGCTTCCCTCTCTCGGTATCGATCATCGTACCGCCCATCATCGTCACGTCGATATGAGCGTCGCGAGTTGTGGTCATCGCGGTCTCGCCTTCGCCTGTCGTCGTCGTTGTGTCGATGATGTCTTCCACTCTCATCCCTGTCGTCATCGCGATCGTCTCGCCGTGAGTGTCGTGGCGGGGGGCTTCTTGAGGATCGTCTCGATGAGGACGAAGAGCTGGACTGCAGCAGCCTCCGCTGAGGAGTCGACGAGCCTCCATTACTCCGCACATCGTCACTCTCCTCTCTATCTCTCCTCACGAGCGGCTTGTAAGCCTTATACCTCTCTCCTCGGTGCTGTTGCTCCTGCCTCGCCCTTCCCCCTTGGGCACCACTCGCTCCTCCTCCTGCTGCACCAGCTCCGCCAGGAATCCTCTCCTTCGCCCCCAGCCCTAAAAGTGCGCTGCGTTTTACCACCTCTCTGCTACTCGTAGGACCCTTGCCCCCTTTGCCGGCGCCCTGACCCTCCTTCCATCCCATCCCACGTAGCAACGCTTTCCCGAAGTCCTCGACGGGCGTGGCTGCGTAGTCCTCTAATGTGGGCGCATCTGGGCGGGTCGAAGCGTCCTGCCTGAAAGCGGCTTCCTCGTCTAGAGGGGGTGAATGGGCGAGAGGGATCGTCCGCCCGGAGTTGAGGTTTGAGGAGGTGGAGTCGAAGCCGTTGGACATGAGGGCTCGTCGCGCCGCTGCGTCGTCATCGTCTTCATCGACTTCCATGGACATGGCGGATGAAGCTGGCCAGGGAGGAGTCTTGTCTCCCTCAAGGCCTTGTGCTTGACGCATGAGGGCATCCATCTCACGGCGTTCTTCCTCTGCTCGACTGAGGGGCGCGACGCTACCTTCCGCCTCGCCCTGGTCATCGCGGCGTCCCCCGCCCATTCGCTGGAGTCCAACCTTCTGCTCACCATCGTTGATCCTCTCTGGCCCCTTTGCTTTGTCTGTCGTAGTCTCTGATCGAGTCCTCGTCCCCGTCCCATCCCCCTTGTACTGGCCCAACCCTAAGCGACGCTTCCTGTCCTCTCTCCAGTCTCCCGCTCCATTCGACTTGACCAAAGGGATAACACGAGGTCCACGCTCACGATCATCGCTGCGATTGCGGGACTCTGCGCCAGCGCGACCATACCCTGCAAGCTCTTGTCGTGAGCTGCCACCGCTGCCCCTATGCGATGAGCGACCATGGTGGGCGTCGACGTCGTTGTCTTCGTCATCCTCATCGAAGGCGCGTCTGCTGAGGCCAGATGGGGCTCGTCCATTTGATGCTAAAGGGCTCGAAGGACGGCCATTGCTCGCTCTGCTGCTATTGCTAGAAAATGAGAAGCCTGCTCGTCCTGACGAGGAGGACATGGCTGCGCAGCTAGGAAAGCTGATGGGGAGTGGATGTCAAGACGGAAACGTAGCTCGAGGTGAGAAATCGCCCTTCTCGTCGTCTCCGCCTCAACTCCACCTCGGACCGACGCGAGCGGAGCATCAAGGGTCGAGGCAGCAACAATCTAAGGCAAAGATATCGCGCTCGACGTCGGCCAAGACGGGGTAGCATGATCATCCATTACAACTGCGGATACAAGTCGTTCGTCTAGCTAAGGTCAGGCTCCTCCATGATCCCCTTCCTCACATTCCTGAGCAGGCTCGCCTGCCAGCCAACCAGCCTCTTTGTTCGATCATAGTCTTGTACGCTGTTTACGACCAGCCAAAGCATCGATGAATCAGTAATCTGCCTCAATTATGCACGGACATGCGGCACAACCACTCACCGCTCATCAAAGACATTGACGTCGCCTTGCTCACACGACTCGAGGACGGAGTGGAGGAAGCGTCCCTCCATGGTGGTGGGAAAGGATGGGTCCTGTTGGGCGTAGAAGCCCATGGCATTCCCGCATGCCACGTAATCCTGAACGCGGAAAGGATAGAGTGATCTCAGAGTCAGTCGAGAGGCGCAGCTGAGAGGCTCAATCCCCCTTCCTCTACCTCCAAGTCAGCGCTACTCACCGGCAGCGCCAGATAGCAGAGCCCCGCATTCAGGTAATAGTCCTTGACCGAGTACCTCGTCAGATTCGAGTCGAGGCTCATCTGTGCGACCTGCTCCCATCGTTCGATTGCACGCTTGTAGTCGCCTACGTCTGTTGCAAGCTGCGCCGCTTCACGATAGCATCCGGAGGCCGTGCTGCGAGGGCGCAGACGATCAATCACGGTCAGCAATCGAAGAACAGAGCGAAGGCGGACGTCGAGCGCATCTCACGCGGCGGCTCCCTCCTGAATATACCATTCTGCTGCCTGCTCGTAGCTCTGCAGGGCCTTCTCCGGGTCGTGTGCCTCATTTTTGTATAGCTCGGCGATGCCCTTCTCCCTGTCTGCTGCTTGGCGAAAACGTCCCTTTTCGATAAGTATCTGTCTGCAGCGAGTGAGAGAGGTGACGGCGACTGGATGGCCAGAAGGCAAAGGGGGGGAACGGGTCAGTCAACGATGGGAAATGCAGCATGTCCAGAGGGAGCTGGCCTGCTCACGCTCCGGTCTGGTCATCTTGAAGCACTTGCTAGCCTCAAAGAAGGTATTGGCCGCATAGTCGGTCTCTCCCGCTTTGATCTCCGTCTCTGCAGCCTTCATGAAAGCATGACCGGCATCGTCGAAACGGTTGGCTGCGCGAAACTTGTTGGCAGCGGCCTTGTACAACTCTGCGGCTTCCTCGAGCTTGGTGGACGAGGAGCCGAAACTGAAGAAGCCTCCCGTGGACTGAGCGCGCTTCTCGGCGGTCTTGAGGAGCTCTTCGGGCGAGGAGGAGGCCATATTGTGGGGGAGGAGTGGTGGTGTGGGGGAGAAAGGAGGATGGCTGTGCGCTGCCGGAGGTTGACTGTTGGTGGTGGAGCACCAGTCCAAGCCACGATCCATCGCTCGGCCCCCTGGCTGAGCCCGTTCCGACTGTGGCTCCTCGACGCCCTCGACGGCCTCTCTACGCGGAACGCGAGTCGCGTTCAACGATTCGAGATTCGAGGTCAAGCAACACCTCAGCATCCACTCCTCTGCAGCATCCCCTCATTTCCCCTCTCAAGCCGCCACTCAGCATGGCAGCAGCAGTCCTCCCACCAGCGCGGCCACCACCGCCACAGATGGACATCGATGGTCTTGACGGGGACGACACGCTCGACATGGCCATGGAGCAGATAGATGAAAAAGCAATCGAGCGAAACGACAGCACAGAGCCAATGGCCATGCTTGCCTTCTACAAGCGTCTCCTGCCCTTCAAGTCCCTCTACGTCTGGCTCAACCGAGATCTCCCACATCAGCCTACAAAGAACTTCACCAATCGCGAATTCGCCTTCACCCTCCTCAATGACGTGTATATCCGCTACCAGTCCTTCTCCAATTGGGAGGAGTGGAAGAAGGAGGTCGTCCGCCTCAATCCTGCGCGTTTTGAGATCGGTCCAGTGTATACCGCCAAGCCGAAAGATAGAAAGATGCTACAGAAATCGGTCTTTCGCCCCGTATCACGCGAGCTTGTAGTGGATATCGACATGACCGATTACGATGCTATCCGCACGTGCTGTTCAGGAAAGGGAATTTGCAAGCGCTGCTGGGCTTGGATCGCCATTGCGGTACAGGTGCTGGACGAAGGGCTGCGATCAGATTTTGGATTCAAGCATCTCCTTTGGGTCTACTCGGGGCGACGTGGTATCCACTTGTGGATCTCCGACAAGGAGGCTTGCGAGCTGCAGGACGATGCGAGAAAGGCGATTGTGGGGTGGTTGGAGGTTGTCAAGGGCGGGGCGCAGCAGGCTAAGAAGGTTGAAGGCACGACTGGGTCCTTCAACAAGACGCTGCATCCTGCGCTGAGGAGGGCGATCGGGAAAGAGGGGGAGAATGGACCCCTCAAGAGCGCCTTTGTTGAGACCGTGCTGAGGGATCAGGACTGCTTCAGGGCAAAGGAGCAGTGGGAGATCTTGCTGCAACTGTTGCCGTCCTCTGAGAGCGACGCCATAAACAAGCTGCGCAACAAGTGGGAGGGCTCGTCGCGGTCATCAATGTGAGCAGATACGCGCGCGAGGGTGTATGAGAAGTCCGCCGAGCTGACCCATGCAACGTCACCTCCTCTTACTCGCAGGGACAAATGGTCCGACATCTCCTCAGCAGCCGCCAAGTCAGGCGAACGCACCTTCAACAGCGTCTGGAAGCCCGCGATGGAGGACATCATCCTCCAGTACACCTATCCCCGCATCGACGCCGAAGTCTCCAAGCACCTCAATCACTTGCTCAAGTCCCCCTTTGTCGTCCATCCAGCTACGGGCCGAGTCTGTGTGCCAGTGGACCCAAAGGAGGTGGCTGACTTTGATCCGGAGAACGACTGCCCCACCGTTGCGCTGCTGTTGAGGGAGCTCAATGAGTGGCAGAGGACGCATGGAGCCAGCGGTGGCGAGGTCGGGAATGTGAAGGGAGATTGGGAGAAGACGAGCTTGAAGAAGTATGTGCAGCTGCTTGATAGGCACTGTGCTGCCATCTACAAGGAGGCGGCGGCCAGGAAGAGGTCGACGCAGGCCTTTTCGACTGACTTCTGATCAAGCTGCCCGTCAGAGGAGGCACAGAGTATTTGGGTCCCATGGCTTTCTCGTTCATCATCATCACTTCATGTTCCGTATCAGCTACCCTTTTTCCTTGTAATCATAGCCCGTTTCAGCATACGAACCTCGATTATCGCGATAGCCCAGACCATCTCTGCGTCTCACCGTACGCTTAATGACTCGGCTTTGCCACGCGACGTCCACCTCTCCCAGCCCTGCGCGCGGGCGGCATTCGAGTCGCCCTCGGTGCTTCCTCGTCCGCTTGGTGCCCGTCGCACGACTTTGTCCGCCACCACTTCCCTCGTTATCAGTACCACACCACATCATCACCATGGCAGACTCAGAGCCAATGTTCGACCCTTCGCTCAAAAAGAAGAAGACGAAGAAGGCAGTCGACTTTTCCGGCCTCGACGACGGCGCAGACAATGCCGCGCCCGCTGAGGAGAGCAGCGCTGCTGCAGCCGGTTCAGCTGACGCCGCTGCTGGGGGCGACGACATGTTCGGCGGCCTCAAGAAGAAGAAGAAGAGCAAGAAAGCCATCCCTATGGACCTCGACGATGTTGCTGAGCCCAGCACCGGTGCGGCCGACGCAGAGCCTGAGGCAGCGGGTGCGGCTGCTGATGCTGCGCAAGAGGATGGAGGCGATGCAAATGGCGCTGGAGGTGACTTGGACTTTGGCGAGATGAAGAAGAAGAAGAAAAAGTCAAAGAAGGCCGCCTTCGACATGGAGGCGTTTGAGAAGGAGCTGGGAGAGGGAGAGGGCGGAGCTGCTACACCGGCAGATGGCGAGGATGCGACGGCGCAGGGTGATCTGGGCGACGACGTCTTTGCCGCCGATGATGGCGACGACGGTGCTGCTGGTGGCAAGGAAGAGGCAGAGACATGGCACGGTACCGACCGCGACTACACCTACCAAGAGCTGCTCGGCCGCTTCTTCAACGTCCTTCGTGCGCAGAACCCTGCCCTCTCCGGGGACAGGAAGAAGTACACTATTGTCCCCCCTCAGGTGGCTCGTGACGGCTCAAAGAAGACCTCATTCGCCAACGTCATCGACATCTGCAAGCGCATGCATCGCCAGCCGGACCACGTCATTCAGTACCTCTTTGCTGAGCTGGGTACTGTGGGGTCCATCGACGGGTCGCAGAGGTTGATCATCAAGGGAAGATTCCAGCCTAAGCAGATTGAGAACGTACTGAGGAGGTACATTGTCGAGTATGTGACTTGCAAGACCTGCAAGAGCCCGAATACGCTACTGTTGAAGGAGAACAGGTGAGTGAACGCTCTGAGGAGGCAGCATTGCGCTATGGGGTTGAGAAGCTGACCTTGACCGTCTCGCCAACGCTTTCAGGATCTACTTCATGAAGTGCTCAGCTTGCGGCAGTCAGAGATCCGTCTCGGCCATCAAGACTGGTTTCCAGGCGCAGACCGGCAAGCGTGAGTATCACGAGTTCTGGCAACGGTGTGCCTTTACGCGGTTGCTGACCCCACTCCATCCTTCCCCACACCTTGACAGGCTCCAAGATGCGTGCGGCTGCTTCATAGATGCGGGGATTGGTTCATCTTTGACATTCGTACTGTTGGAGGCAGCGGAGGGCCGCCACGCAGCATGGCGACAGCGACGGCAGACTACACGTTGGAGACCCGCTGTACACTTGCCTTGCACGCTGCTCACTTCATCACATCATCATCGCGACCCGATAGCTCTGCTCGCCTGCGTGTCGATCATCTTCCCTCTCCTGTGCGCGCATGATGACAGTCTGACGCCGAGCTCACTCTCGCTCACTTGGTCTCTTGATGTATGGCATTATTTTTCACAAAGTCTTGTTCGCTCAACCCTGCAAGATCCTCTGTGCTACCCTCTCCTTGAGCGTTGAGTAGGCGCTCATGATGGCTGCGGGAGCGATTGGAGCAAGGAGGGCACGACGGTGTCAGCAGCTGACCTCACGCCATGACTGAAGAGGAAAATGAGTACTCACTCTGCTCGTTAATCTGAATCTCCGTCGCGTCTGGCCTTGGTCTCGAGACGCGAGATGCAATCGTCGCAGGGTCCGTCTCGAGGATGATGCTGAGCGAGAAAACAAGTACGAGGCGAAGAGAAAGAGAGTCAGTGACCAGCTGTGACAGGTGCTAACAATTCTGCTAGCATCTTCCGCACTCACCCATCATCCACCGCCTCATCAACCGCCAACGTCACCAAGTCCAGATTCTCGAGCAATGTCCTCTTCTCCAAACCCTGTCCAGCAAGGAGCATCCCAATTGCCTCCCAAAGGCTCGACAGGAGTGACGAGACCATCAGCTCATTCTCCTCTGCCGGGCTGACCACGACGAGATGCACATCCAGGGTCGACTTCGAGAGGAGGAGGTGCGAGTCCAAGAGCTGGATCTCCGTTGAGCCGCTGCTACCGCTAGATGAGGAACCTCGCTTCGAGACCTTTTCGAGTATGCTCTTTTCGAATGCGCGCTGCTCTTTCAGAGTGGTGAAGGGGTTGGCAGCTGTGAGTTGACGAGGGGCATTGCCGGCGCTATGATGCGGTGTTGTAGTTGCTGCACCTGCTGTCGCCGCTGCTGCTGCTACTGCTGCTGGAGGCTGGTAGTACTTGGCAAGAATGCGACTCCCTGATGAGTCGAGAATCAGTAGCGCCGTGACCGAGTAGAGGGTGAGGTTGGTCATAGCGAGGGGCTGGTGAGAGTGTTGGTTGCGACGGTGAGAAGGAGTTGCGACACTGGCCCTTGGAGGCGACACGGCCTGGCTGGTGCGCATCTCCACGTGGCGCGTCAAGCGCTCAGTCCGAGCTCAGGAACAAAGTTGGCCATCCAGCAGTTGGCCCACCTTGGCCTCCTCAACACCACTTCCTCGCCTGCACGGCTCCCAACACCCCCTCTAGTCGCCCATCATGGCAGAGCGTAAAGTCCTCTCCAAGTACTACCCGCCGGACTTCGATCCCTCGAAGATCAAGCGCGTCAAGCGCCCGCAAGGTGGTCAAATCGTCGTCCGCTTGATGGCTCCCTTCAGCATGCGCTGCAACTCCTGTGGCGAATACATCTACAAAGGACGCAAGTTCAACGCTCGCAAAGAGACGGTTCAAGGCCAAGACTACTATGGCATCCGCATCTTCCGCTTCTACATCAAGTGCACGCGCTGCAGTGCTGAGATCACTTTCAAGACTGACCCGAGAAATACGGATTATGTCGCTGAGCATGGAGCGAGTCGCAACTACGAGCCTTGGAAGGAGGGCAAGGAGCAAGACGAAGCGGATGGGCAAGCTTACGACGACGATGATGACGATCCGCTCGCCCATTTTGCAGAAGAGGAGCGCCTCCGCGAGCTTGAAGCGCAGGGTAAGAGTCGCGAGGATGCGGCAGCCAAGATGGTCGAAGAGGGAGCCGACCCGATGGCTCTGCTTGAGGCAAGACAGCGCGAGTCGAAGCGTGAGATGGAGATGGAGGACAACCTGCGAGACATTCGATCACGCAACGCCAAGATGGACCGTGTGGATGCAGGAGACATCATGGACAGGCTGACGCAGAAGCGCGCCGCGAGGGATGAGGAGAGGCGCAGATTGGATCCTGAAGAGGAGGAGAGGCGCAGGGCTGAGGAAGAGGATGAGTTGCTTGTCCGCAAGTACTTCAGCAGGGCAGAGGATCTGGGTGGGGAGGAGGAGGAGAGGGAGTTGGAAGCCGCGTTGAGGGGTGGGGGAGCGGCTGCAGACGATGATGACGACCAGAGCTCAGCCACTGGTCCCTCAAGCAGCGCCTCCCCTCTTCCACCCGCGGCTAATACCAGCAACGGCAATGGCAGCGGTAAAGCAGGCGTAGTTGTTAAGCGCGCCCTCGCCGACACCGGTGACGACGACACAGAGCCAGAAGTCACCAGCCTGCTCAGCGAGCGAGCCAAGACGCTCCTCGGCTCTACGAGCGCATCAGCAGCATCACCACCGCCCTTGCCCATGCCGGCAAAGAAGAAGGCAAAGAAGGGCAATGCGCTTGGTATTGTCAGGAAGAAGGTGGCGTAGAGCCGCCACGAACGACCCATTTCTAGCTTGTTGTACTCATACTATATCCAATCGCTTAATCGCTTAATCGTCACCACCAGCTTCCAACCAATCCCCAAATCCGTCTCTCCTCTTCCCTTCGTCATCTTTCCCCTTGCCCTCCCCATCCTCCACCTCGTCGTCATCCTCCGCATCACTCGCTCCCCCTCTGCCACTCCTCCTGAATCGCACCTTGTTCCCTTCGGCCAAAAATGCCTCCAACCTCCTCTGTGCAAAGAATCGCCCGTCCATCCTCTTGACACACTCCCTCGCGTCCTCGACCCTCTTAAACTTCACAGTAACAACCCCCTCCGGCTCCTCGTCATACAACGTCACGCTAGTCACTGCGCCGATAGCCTCGCACTCCTCGCGGACGTCGCCCTTGAGGTCGAGAAGGAGGGACGGATCCTCCTCGAGCTCAGAGAGGGTAAAGATGCGCTTGAGGATGACGAGGCGGGATGTTGGGTGGGCGTATCCCGCGCGAATCCCTGAAGAGCGGAGCGAGGCCGATTCCTCGTCGTCGCTGGCGGAGTCCCAGCCCGAGAGCTTGTCGGCCATTCGGGCGTAGCGTTTGGCTGCACGCTTCTTGTCGGCCTCGGTCCGCGGTGGTGGGCGCTTGACGTTTGAGCTTGAGGCTGAGGCTTTGCCTGGGTCCGCGGATGACGAGGCCGTTGCGCTAGCGGATGAAGAGCTCGCAGCATCGTTTGTCTTCTCCTTTGCAGATCCTGTCGACCCCTCAGCCCCCTTCTTAGCACCCACCGCGTTGCTCTGCTGGCCCCCACTCGCCTTGGACCAGTCCGCCATCTCTACCTTCATCAAAGGCTTGCTCTGCCCCTCTGCCGCCCGCAAGCACGTACCATCCAACAGCTGAATGGCCAGCTCGCAGCTCTCTGGCTTGAAGAAAGTGACCAGCGCCTCGCCCTTGAACATGTCCCCTGATGCCGGGTCGGTGTACAGCTTGATTCTCGGATTGCCCGCGTCGTCTTCTGAGATGATGCCGTAGCGTGAGAAGACGGAGGCAATTTCCTCTGCGGTTGCATCCAGGGGGAGCGAGGAGATGAAGAGGGAGGAGTTGATGCGCGGGCGAGAGGACGCTCCGCCTGACGCGGCACCTGAGCCTGATGGAGAGCCCGCCTTGCCGTTGCCTCTGGCAATCTTCTGCTCTCTCACGACTCCGGCTTCGTTGACAGGCAGCGTACTGCTTGTCGGCTCCCCACTCAGAGAGTTGGGATCTGTAGTTCCCTCCTGCTCAGCCTTGCGCTTCTTCTTGTTCATCCTCCTCTCCACAGGAGCGGCAGGCTGCTCTTCATCTACGCCCGAGACTGCGTAGGCATCTTGCTGCTGCTTGAGCTCGTCTTCGTCGATGATGCGGCGCCAAGTTGAGGTTTGGTCGTCGTATTCGTACTCTATGCCCGTGGAGAGGTCCTCGTATTGCCATTTGCCGGTCGTCTGGTCGAAGTGCACGTTTGAAGCGGCAGAGGAGGGAGCTGAGCCACTCGCTGCGGATGGCGGCGGTCCTGATGAGCTGCCGCTCGCTTGTCGATCTGCCATGATAATTGTATGGTGGTGAGCAAGACCTCCTGTTGGATGGAACTGAGCGAGCCTTGTTCTCGCAGCCCTCTGGATCTCTGTCCGCCCTCAACTCGACTCGACTCGACTCCACACGCCAAGTCTGCCACGCGAGTCGGAGCCGTCCGCCCCGCCAACGGGAGGCAGGTCTCTGGTCTGTGAGCCAGGGGCCACAAGGCCGCTCAGCCAATCACAACGAGCTGCATTCCTCACCATCACAAACCACCTGCGCTGCCCATCATGAACGGTCGCGGGGACCATGTCCCTCGTGTGGGCAACCAAGAGTCCCTCTACCGCTCGGCGCAGATGTCCCTCGTTCAGATCTACATGCCTACCGAGTCTGCTCATGCGGCCGTCACTGAACTTGCGCAGTTGGGAAACGTCATGTTCAAGGATGTGAGTGCCAGCGCAGCGAGATCAACAAGATGCTTTGGCCACTGACATCAATGGCCCCTTCCTCTGCACAGCTCAACCCAGATGTGACCCCCTTCCAGCGCACCTTCGTCTCTGACATCCGTCGCCTCGACGAGATGGACCGCCGTGTGCGTTTCCTCCAATCGCAGATGGAGCATGAGAAGGTGCCCGTCCGCCCTCTCGAATCGGCCCTTCCCTTCCTCAACTTCTCCACTGGCGGTCGACGTGGCCCTCTCCAGATGGACGAGCTCAGCACAAAGCTGCGCGAGCACGAGGATCGCATCGGTCAGATGAACGGCAGCTACGAGACGCTGCAGCGACGTTTGCTCGAGCTTCAAGAGGCTCGTCACGTCCTTCGTGAGACGGCCGTCTTCTTCAACCAAGCAGATGGCAGGCATGAGCACATCCGCACCAGCACCGATGACGACCATGCGCCCCTTCTCGATGACATGGAGACCGGTGGCGGTCGCGGCGACAATGACAGTGGCTTTGGAGGTCCTGCCTTCGACCTTGAGTTCGTCGCAGGAACAATCGAGCGCAGCCGCATGCCCACTTTCGAGCGCATCCTTTGGCGCGTGCTCAGGGGCAACCTCTACATGAACTATGCCGAGATCGACGAGACCTTTGACGAGCCTGGCAAGGAGGAGCCTGTCCGCAAGAACGTTTTCATCATTTTTGCCCATGGGCAGGAGCTCCTCAACAAGATTCGCAAGATTGCCGAGTCCATGAGTGGTACTTTGTATCCCATCGACTCGTCATCGGACAAGCGCGAGGCTGCGCTCCGTGACGTCCACTCGCGCATCGAGGACCTGAACAATGTCCTCTTTACCACGTCGGCTACTCGCCGCACCGAGTTGGTCAAGATTGCAGAGACGCTGAGCGCTTGGGCAGATGTGGTGCGCAAGGAGAAGCTTGTCTACGCCACGATGAACAACTTCCTCTTCGACTCGCGACGCAAGACGCTCATTGCAGAGGGCTGGTGCCCAACCTTTGCACTTCAGTCCATCCAGCTGGCTCTGCAGCGAGCAGCGGAGAATGCGGGCACCAATGTGCCTCCCGTCCTGCAGGAGCTCAAGACCAAGCAGACTCCTCCGACCTACCAGCTCACCAACAAGTTCACCGCCGGCTTCCAGTCCATCGTCGACGCCTACGGTATCGCTGCGTATGGGGAGGTCAACCCAGGTCTCACGGCAGTCATCAACTTCCCCTTTCTCTTCGCCGTCATGTTCGGCGACATAGGCCACGGTCTCATCATGACCCTCACAGCTCTCGCCATGGTAGTGTACGAACGACGCCTGTCCAAGCTCGATGGAGGCGAGATCTTCGACATGTTCTTCTACGGTCGATACATGATCTTGCTCATGGGCGCCTTCTCCGTCTACACTGGATTCATCTACAACGACATCTTCTCCAAGTCGCTCAACCTCTTTAAGACGGGCTTCGACTGGCCCGCCAACGCCACTGGCACGGTGGAGGCCCAGCCCAATGGCAATGTCTACTTGATGGGTCTCGACCCTACATGGCATGGCGCGGACAACAACTTGGTATTCACGAACAGTATCAAGATGAAGATGTCCGTCGTCCTCGGTGTGCTGCACATGTCCCTCTCCATCTGCACGCAAGTCCCCAACTTCATCCACTTTGGTCGCCCGTCATCCATCATTACAGAGTTCCTTCCCCAGATCTTGTTCCTGCACTGCCTCTTTGGCTACCTCGTCTTCATGATCATCTACAAATGGTCCGTCGACTGGTACGAGACGGATGCCACGGGCAACCTCTTCAGGAACAACCCGCCCTCCCTTCTCAACGCGCTCATCTACATGTTCCTCAAGCCTGGCCAGGTCGAGCCGGAGAAGGAGCTTTACTCGGGTCAAGCATTCGTGCAGACTGTACTGCTTGGTCTGGCGTTCATCTGTGTGCCGTGGATGCTGGCCGCTAAGCCCTACTTGATCTGGAAGGAGAAGCAGCGCACCGCCGGGCAGGGGTACAGCCATCTGACGGCCACCGATGAGGACGAAGAGGAGCAGCTTATCAACGGCGCGGGAGAGCGTGTTGAAGGGCACGGCAGCGGTGGTGAGGGTGGTGAGGAGCATGGCGAGGAGTTCGGAGAGGTGGTCATCCATCAGATCATCCACACCATCGGTACGCTCGCTGCGAGGCGCACACTCGCGCAAGTTCAAGCTGACCTCCTTCTTTGCCTTTCCTCGCACAGAATTCTGCCTTGGCGCCATCTCGAACACGGCCTCCTACCTGCGTCTCTGGGCCCTTTCCCTTGCCCACGCCCAGCTCTCCGAAGTCCTCTGGACCATGACGATCCAGAACGTCTTTGGGATGACGGGCATCACCGGAGCCCTCGCCACGGTAGCAGGCTTCGCCGTCTGGTTTGCCGGCACGATCAGTATTCTCTGTGGTATGGAGGCTCTCAGTGCTACGCTGCACGCTGTGAGGTTGCAGTGGGTCGAGTACATGGGCAAGAGTTTCATTGGCGGAGGCACGAGGTTTGAGCCTTTGAGCTTCGAGCAGGAGTAGAGGGAAGACAAAGGCAGGACATGAGCGGGGAAGCGAGCGAGCGAGCGATATCGTGGCTCGCAAGCAAGCTCGAGTCCATCGTCCTCGTGACCCTTTGCCGGGCGGAGTGTTGCGCCCCACCCTCAACTTCGTCTGCGCTACGCTACGCTATATTTGCCGGCAATGGAATTGATTCGCAGTATGCCTCGGCCCTTAAGACGCTCATGCAGCGACTCTTGGCACAGCCCGATCTGGTGACGTCGAGGATGATAACGCCGCGCCATGGCCAGACTGAGGATCTGGGCTCTCTGTCGTCGTGACCAGCCGGCTGTTCTAGCCTTGGAGTAGCATGGGAAAGCTCGTTGCGATGACGTCGGGCGAGGAATGGCGCGATCTGAGGAGATGGACTCTCCTCAGCCGTGTCTTCCGCAGTGTGGTGCTGATTGCCATGATCGGGAAGACACGGGACGGTACTTCCCCACACTGAAGATACCCTTTCTCACCAGCATAGTGTTCCGAATGACCCCCCCTTGGAGGTAGTCTCCGGCTGTGCCAAATTGGAGCGCTTGGATCCCAGCTGGCTGGACTAGCGTCAATTAGCGCGGGGATCAATGCCCGATCGGCGCCTCCATCACGCACGGGAAGGCCACGCGCTGCCGGCTGGGCGCATCTCAATCGCGAGACCACACAGAAAGACACAGATGTCTTTCTGCGATAGCGAGTGATATTGCTAGTCAGAGGTGTTCAGCCGGGCATCGCGTTAGCACAGCTAGGAGGAGATATGGACGACGCTGCGTTTCTATAAGATGGAGTGGGGGTTGAAGTTCGAACGTGCAGACGTCTCCTCCAGATTCCAAACACCCTTCCTACTGCCTCACCTTGATTGAGGGGCAACACAACGTCACTTGCGCCAACGGTCGCCGCCGCCTTGATCAACTGTACCGCAATCGCCTGGAACTCGCCTCATCGTCACTCTACTCTACTGGTATCATTATGGCCCCAGCTCTCGCACCGCGCGAGATGAGTTGGGAAACCAGATTTGCTCTCATCTACTCCGCAGTGAGTCCAACTGACCTACCCAGCACACGCTCCTTCACTTTGCTGACGATATGTCAAGCTCTTTCGAATAGCCCTTCTTGATACTTTACGTGCTGGCCGTTTTAGGCATACCATTGATCCGTTGGTTCAGCCATCTCAACAGGAGATCAGCAAACGGCTACGTCGACCCCTGCTGTATGCCATTTGAGAAGTGGGTCAGGACCTTCTTCACCGTCTTGTTTGGCCCCTGCTTGCTTCCTTTCTGGATCTTGAAATGCTGCTGGGATGACCCTCCCTCCTGCTTCTACTGGTGTAGAAGGACTCGCGCTCATCCTGCACACAACACTGCGGCCCCACCTGCAACCGAAGAGCCCGAAGTTATCACCAACGTTACGCGGGTCGACGACATCGAAGCTGTCGCGGCCGAAAGCAGACGTTCAGAGACGGCAAGCGACGAGCCAAAGCCGCCGCTGATGGAAGTTCCTCCCCCGTACGCACGCTGACGAAGGTGATTGTAGTAGTCGGACAAGTGCAATGTTCCTTTGCAATCGAAAAATACCTTCAATGACATTGTATGAAGATCCAGCTGTCTGTCGCAGCGTCTCGGCCATACTCATGAGCAATCGTGATGCCTCATCGCCACGGCATCGGGCTTTTTTGGACCGCTCTTCTGTCATTGCCCTCGTCGCGTGCGAGCGAATCTCACGCAGGAGGCGATAGCGTAACTATCATGGAAACGTGGTATCATTGCGCCCTCGTCTTGTGCTGATCAGCGGCTGTGCTTCTTTCCAGAACGGAGACGCCCGGCCTAGTGCTCGTCTAGGTAGTGCCAATGGCAGTAGCGTGGAATCAATGCCCGATCGCTTGCGTCGCGGGCAGGGCTAGATAGCAGAGTGCCGCCCTTCAATCACAGTCCAGAAAGTGAGCCGGCTCCTATTTCCTAGTCTATGAGATCGATCGACAAAAGCAGTGGTCCAAGTTCAAAAGCGTACAAAGGGTACGCTTCAGAGCTGGCTACCGCGGTCCCGTGAGAATAAAAAATACACCTCACCAACGCAGCCTGAACACCTGACACCTCACCAACGCAGCCTGAAAACCTGGCGACTTCATCTTCCTTCCTGGTCATTTCCCATATCATCTCATCCTGTCCTGTCGCACCATCATGGCGCCAGCGTTGGAGCCTCGAAAAATCGATGACGATACCCGTTTCATCCTGTACATGACTATGGTGAGGACGTTCCCGCATGCTCGAGAGCAATCGAATTGAATGGGCGCTGACAATGATTACTTTGTCTTGTGCTACAGCCCTATGCGGCAATGTACACGCTCTGGGTTGTTGGTTTCCCTCTGATCGCATGGATCGAGCATCTCAATAGACGGACACAGAACGATTACGCCGATCCGTGTTGCTTCCCATCCTGGATGGAGACGGTTGTATGGAGTGTTGTTTCTCCGTGGGTGGCCCTTTTCAAGATTGTGAGGTGGATTGTTACCAGACCGATCGTCGTCGTTCAGTCCTGTCACTCTTGGTGCAGAAGGACTCGTCCTCGACCTCAGGAAGAAGCCACCGCTCCCTTGGCGACCGGCGAGGTCGAGATGGTCAACAACGCCAGACACAGCGGGGACACAGAATCTCTTGCCACTCATACATATGCCGCGGTCTCGACGTCACAGGCAGAGACGCCGGAGAATGGATCGTATGGCCCACAGATGGCCGCTCCACCGCCGTATGCAAACTGATAAGGCGCAACGTAGTGCGTGCCACTCCACGGATGCTTTGCTTGTAAATGACATGTCTTGCTTCTCATCTGCAGCCACCCAATCGCATGTGCAAAAGCTGGACGGTGGACTCAAAGACGGCACCGTGACGCAAACTCTTCCCCTCGACGACTTGCCGCTTCTCGTTGTGAGCACTGCACAAGCCGTAGGATGCTTTCAAGGGGGCCATCGAGTTGCTCTCGGCTCGCTTTTAAACGTCAGACGTCTATCGAAGCAATGTGTCGCGCTCAGCGTCGTACAGGCGCTTCCTCACCTTTCGGGTGACGCGTAGACGCTATGTCGATCAAGAGCCTCGAACGTGACTTCAGTCCCGATCTGCTGTTGGACTTCGCTGACGAGCAGAGCGTCCGAAGGCTGCGCTCAAGATCGCCGCCCTTCTAGCGAACAGTCGAGCGACGTCGTGCTTGGAGAGGCTGCAGTGCCACAAGGATGGCGACGAGACGTAGCAAGCGCTGCGACGAGGCGCTAGGTACCACTGCAATAGGCATGCGATGCGACTGGAGCCATGGCGACTCGCTTGACCTGCTTCCTCGCTGAAGCTGAGTCGGACCGCTGATCTTTTCCTGGCTCCACCCGGCGTTCTCGTCACTTTTCAAGAAATTGATCACAATTTTGGATCGTCTGGACAAGCAATCACGTCAAGGCAGCACACATATGGTCAAATGTGGCGTCGCTCTTGGCGCGCTGTCGTACGATGAGAATGACCGGACGTGCCGACGCGGGTTGACCCGGTCTACGATAATGTGGCGCTCCGCGGGCAGCATTGCCGCTGTAATGCGAGGCCGGCCGCCGTCGCTATCTGATCATCAAGACATTGGAGGTTCCGGAAGCAGAGATGGCGGAGCTGGAATGGAAGGAGGAAGGAAGGGGACGCAGGTGGGACTGCCCACTGTTGAAAATCCGAGCTTGTGAGAGGGCATGTATTTACGGCCAGGATGGTCTGCTGATTGCCTGCCTAGCCGTGGGCCCCGATACTGTAGACTCGGCAGGCTTTGCTGTGTGCCTGCTGTGCGAGCTACAGTAGCTCAATGTAGGAAGATCTGATCGATTTGATCGCACACGCAAGGCCATCGAGTGCGAAGGAGCATTGCAGCAACTCGGTCCTGCAAACGGGGCCAAATTCCTTCCGTACATCGGGCGGGTGTTGTATCATTCTGCTTGTGGCTGCCGTCGATCCCTGCGTCCACCGTTCGCCAAGACGGTTCGTTCTGACGGCGGCGGGAGAGGACGGAAGAGGGAGTGGAGCCGGTGGCCGGGCCGCATCGTCCGCGCGCTTTCATTCGAGGAAGAAGACGAGAGGCGGCGGAGCTCAGAGATTGCTCTCATATCTGATTTTGCGCGCGAGAAAAAGCGACAGCGAGAGAGGGCCGAAGAGCAGCCGCTGCTAGGGCCGATCTGCCCGTCTTTCCCACCCAGTCCGTTCGTCGCATCGTTGCATCACATCCTTGCCAGCAAAGTTCAGCGCATTTCACTGCCGTTGCGTGCCTTCCCAGTCAGTCCAGACCCACTGTCCAGCCACCAGCCAGCCACGCACACGACCGAGAAGTAGAGAGTGTGGCGGCGCCGATCCAGCTCCACCACCCATCGACATTGCATCGCAGCGCAGCACATCGCAGTCACCTCGTTCGGCAGCATCGCAGAGCAACTGGAGGCCTGGCCATTGAATTCCACCCTAGCTGCCTCAAAATTTCCACTAGCCAACGACTGGCTCATCTGAGCCTACGCCTACATAACCAGAGACGACTCCTCCCTTATCTTATCCGAAATCGCGCCCATCTCTCCTCCATCTTCTTCTTCTTCTTCACCAAACGCCATCTCCCAAGATGTCGACCGCTGCCACCGCGACCGGCGCCAAGGGCGAGCACCTCGAGCACCAGTCCACAAAGATTGCCCCTCCTCCTTATGAGAACGGCTCTGGCTCTAACAGCGTCAAGTCCGACTTCTACATCCCCAATGCCGACGACAAGCCTCCTGGCGTCCTCAAGGCAGAGGCAGTCAAGGCCCTGTCCGGTTGGCAGCTCTGGGTGGCCTACATCGGTATCGGCTTGACCTCGTACGTCTACTCGCTCGACAATGGCACCACGTACGCATACCTTCAGCAGGCTGCCCAGGCCCAGAACTACTCGCTCTACACGGCCGCCTCTGTCATCCAGCAAGTCATCATCGCCATCGGCAAGCTCCCCATTGCGAAGCTCTCCGACGTCTTTGGTCGCGCTCAGGGTTACGCTGTCAGCCTCTTCTTCTATGTCCTTGGTCTCATTGTGAGTAGCGCACGCGCCCGCCGGCGACGCGTCACGGTATCAGCAATACTAACACCTCCTGCCGCACAATCGTAGATCCTCGCCGCCTCGCCTTCCTTCTCCGCCATCTGCGCCGGTCAAGTCTTCTACGCCATCGGCAACACGGGCACTCAGATCATGCAACAGATCGTCGTCGCCGACGCCATCAACACGCGCTACCGTGGTCTGGCTACCGGTCTCCTCTCGCTCCCCTACGTCATCAACTTCGCATGCTCTCCTCTCATCGTCGGTCATCTGGGAACCGCCGCAAACTGGAGATGGGGCTACGGTATGTTCTGCATCGTCCTTCCCGTAGCCATTGCCCCCATCATCCTGGCTCTCGGCCTGGCCCAGACTGAGGCAAAGAAGAAGGGCATCGTCGAGCCTCACCCCTACGTCAAGATGGGCTTCGGCAAGGGCTTCATCGCCTTCTGCAACGACGTCGACGCTGGCGGACTCTTCCTCCTCTGCGCCGGCTGGCTCCTCATCCTCCTGCCCCTCACTCTCCACACCACGGCTCCCAACGGCTGGCAGACCGGCTACATCATCGCCATGTTCGTCGTCGGTGGCGTCTGCTTGATCCTCTGCGGCCTCTTCGAGGCATTCATCGCTCCCGAGCCCATCATCCGCAAGCGCTTTATCACCAACCGCAACGTCCTCATTCCGGCTATCGTGGGCTTCTTCGACTTCTACTCCTTCTACCTCTCGTGGTCATCGGCATACTACTTTGTCGTCATCCTCCGTGGGTGGAGCAACAAGGATGCCATCTACTTCAGCAACGCCCAGTCCCTCTGCCTCACCGTCTTCGGTATCGCAGCCGGCGCGCTCAACATCTTCATCAGGCGATACAAGTGGACCTTCTTTGCCGGCTCGCTCATCCGTATGCTCGGTATCGGACTCATGCTGGCCTACCGCGGTGCCGGGGCCACTACGGCACAGCTTGTCATCCCTCAGGTCATCCAGGGTCTCGGTGGTGGTATCCTCGGTGTTGAGCTCAGCGTTGCCTCTCAGGTCTCCGTCCCTCACCAGGATGTGGCCCTCGTCACGGCACTTGTCCTCCTCGTCACCGAAATCGGCGGAGCATGCGGCACGGCCACCCTCGGCGCCATCCAGACCACGGCCATTCCCTCACGCCTTGCGCAGCTCCTGCCCAACAACCCCACCGCCGCTAGCGCCATCGTCCTCTCGCCTTTCACGGCCACGATGACCTACCCTCTCGGCACGCCCGAGCGCGACGCCATGATTGAGGCTTGGTCCTTCTACATGCACCGCGTCCTCACCGTCGGTATTGCCCTCAGCGCTGTTCCCATCGTCTTGATCCCGCTGATCAACGACTACAAGCTCAACAATAAGCAGAACGTCGTCGAGTGGTCCGAGGAGGGCAAGCCGATTGAGAAGGAAGAATTCAATGAGAACAGGCTCAAGAAGTCTGACTCCATCAACGGTCACACTTGAGCGCGCAGGCGATCCTACCTGCCACTTCCCTCCCTCGCTACCCTTACCTCTCTCACCCTTTTCCTTTTTACCCGGTTCTCGTCTCTCGGCCCACGAATCAGTCCAATGTCACTCTCGTCGTCGTCGTAATTTCACATGCTCATATTGCAAAGAAAGTTCAGTGCTTCAAGATGGTTGTCGTCTGATTGCGATTTTCTCACGCCCCGCGCATGGGCATTATGAGAGTGGGAAGAAAGGCTTGCTCGATGTCGTGTGGGTGGGTGTTGCTTTGCCGCGTCCGTGCGCGAAATCCGTGGGAGCGCTATCTTGGCTCATCACCAATCACTCCTTCTCATTCTCAGAGTGCGGACTTCTTTTCCTCTCTTTGATTCCGACGATTCCGACGAAGTCTCTCTCAGCGGAGAACGAGAGCCTCCATGAGCAGCTCGACATCAGCTCAATCGAGCAGCAAGGCTCCTCTTTCTGCAGAGGAGCGCAAAGCTCTCCTTCAAGCAGCTCTGGACGCCAGGGCCTTGGCGTATTGTCCTTACTCGTCAGTTCAGCGCGGCGGCCAACTCTCCTCGCCTCTCACACGATCTCCCTTCTAACAAATACCGTCCCTTCCTCGCTGCCAGTAACTTCCGCGTAGGCGCCTCCCTCCTCCTCGGCGACGGCCGAATAATCAAAGGCGGTAATGTGGAGAATGCAAGCTACCCAGCGGGAATCTGCGCCGAGCGTTCTGCCCTCCTTACAGCTCAGGCTTCCTGCTTTCCCCCCACAGCGGCGACTAGTTCTGCAAAGAGTCCACTGCAGGGTCAGATCAGGGCAATAGCCGTTTCCTCTGACTTGCCCTCGAGCCCTTGCTCCCCTTGCGGGGTTTGTAGGCAGTTCATTCGGGAATTCTGTGAATTGGATATGCCCATCTATATGGTTTGGGGGGAGTGGAGGGAGGAGTGCGAAAGCGACGATGAGGTGGAGGGGTCAAAGACCAAAGGCAGGATAGTGAGGACACTGGAAGAACTGCTGCCATTGAGCTTCGGGCCTGAGGAGTTGGCCAGGCCGAGAGATGCAGCGAGATGAGGAGCCGACGAGACATGTGTAGGGGAAGAAAGGACGCAAGGCTCAATGGCACGCATGGTTCTCTCTATTACAATGATGTCATTTTCGTGCGTCTACACTCCGCGCCCTCACTTCCTCGCGATCTTGATCGTCCAGTCTCCCCTCACAAGTACCTTCGGGTCCTTGATAACCAACCTCGATGCAGTCCCCTCTGCTCCTCCCTTGGTCTTCTTCTTGGCCGGCTGCGCCGCCACACCAGGCGTAAATGTCGACGAGATAGCGCCTGCGCTCTTGCTGCCACCCGAAATGTCTCCGCTGGCTTCAATGCTGAAGCTGACCTGCTCATCCCCGGGTAGACCGAGGATGACCACCTTCTCAACGCGCACGTCCTTGATTGCTGTGGCGAACTCGTTGGAGGCGTCGTAGGGCGGGACGTGGCTCGCGTCGGTGTTGCCCTTGGTCGTTGAGACTGCCGAGCTTGATCCTGCAGCCTCTTGTCGCAAAGCTGCCTCGTCACGGGAGCGCAGCTCGTACTCTCCCTCCTTGGTTCGCTCCAGATCGAATCGCCTCCAGACATATGCTCCAGTCTTGTAGTGGTAGGTCTGCCCATCGTCGAGGTAGAGCACGCCAGTTGCGCTCTTGCCCTCACCATCCAGCGCCACGACGAGCGTGACTGGATCCTTCCATCCCAGTTCGGCTGCCCTTCTTACCCTCTCCCTAATGGGAAGGATGGACCCACCACGCTGCAAGAGAGGGGCCGTCTCGTCCAGCGGGGCAGGCACATCTACACGTCGCGAGGCCTTTGCGCCAGCGCCGCGTCGGTAGACTTGTTGGGTCCAGTAGTGGTAGTAAGGCTCCTCGTCCGCCAGGTAGACGTCCACGCTCGTCGCTCCCTCCTTTACGGCGGGCTTGACGAGTAGCCCCGAGTCGCCGAGGTAGTATTGATCATCGATATCCAGCCCTTCCTCATCATGCGGAAAAGCGAGGAACTGCGGCCTGAGCACGGGTAGTCCACTCCCCTCATCCGCCGCTTCCCTAAAAGCCGTAGTCCACACAGGCAACATACTATATCGCGTCCTAATCAACCCGCGCACATGCCCCCTGTACGGCTCGTCGAGCAAGTAAGGCTCGCGGCGCTTCGTGTCAATATGAGCATGAGCGCGGAAGAATGGCTCGAAGATGCCTGCTTGGTACCAGCGGACCAACATCTCTGGGGAGGGATTGCCGAAGAAACCGCCAATGTCCGCGCCGCAGAAGGACATGCCTGCTACATTGTTGGAGAGGATCATGGGAACTGAGACGGCCAGATGCTCCCATGTGCCGAGATTGTCGCCTGTCCAGATGGCGCCCTGCGTGTGTGCGAGGTGAAGAGGGTCAGTCGGTGAAAAAAAAAAGAGCACCTTGTCACGGCGGCGCGTCGGTACTCACGTATTTCTGAGTCCCCACCCACCAAGAGCGACTCAAGACAAAGGGTCTGCGCTTCTCATGCTCCTTCTTGCCCTCCCTCTCCTGCAGCCCCTTGAATGTCCCAGCCTGGAACAGCACGCCGTTGATGTTGTGGATATCACGATGCTCCCACCCACCATGGTGAATGACATCCTTTGGCGAAGTGATCTCCGGCCCGTTGAAAATGGCAGGCTCATTCATATCGTTCCAAACGTGGACATTACGAGCGTTGGCCTTGATCGGGGTCGAGGAGAGGGATCCACCCAGCCTGAATTGGCTCGCCCACCAGGTCGTGGCCTTCGGATTGAACATATCAACCCAGCTCGCCGAGCCGGACCAGCACCATCCCTCATACTCTCCGTCGCCCTGCCTATCCTCACCACCAGGCAGCTTCACGAGTACCTTCTGATCCTGAGCCTCGCTGTATAGCCAGTACTCCTTTGAGCGCTTGAAGTGCGGGTCGAGGATGATGACCAATTTCCTGCCTCTCTCATTGAGGTCGCCAACCATCTTCTCTGGATTGGGGAAGTTCAGCTCGTCCCAAATGCCGTACATATGCTCCTTGCTGTACTCAATGTCCAGCCACATGACGTCCATCGGGATGTCCGCCTCGTCAAAGCGCGCCTGCACATTGAGCACGTCGCTGTCGCTATTGTAGTTCCAGCGACATTGATGATACCCAAGGGCGAAGGTGGGCGGAGCGGTTGATCGGCCGACTAGCTCGGTGAACTTCTGGATGTTTCCTGCAGGAGTGGGAGAGAGCATGACGAGAAGGTCCAGGATTCCAGATTCTGCCATCCAGTGCGTGCGGGCACTCTGCGCATGACGATCTACATCGATCCACGTTTCGGCGCCGGAGAGGAAGAAAGCACTAACGGCCTCGTCCTTGTTCTGGGCGTGGACCACTGGCACTGAGCCGTAAAGACTCATGGGCGAATCGTAGTCGTACTCGAAGACGTCGGTGTTCATCAGTCTGTACGGGTCTGTGAAGTCTCCCTCCTTTGCACCACGCGTGTCGCGCAAGTTGAGAGGAGAAGCATGTTCTGGCAAGCCAAAGAGGTGAGCTTTCGCAGGGAAGGTGAAGTCGAGGGAGAGGGCCTCGGGACCTTTGGGCTTGGTATCTTGGCGCCCTGCCCAGCTTTCTTCCCACTCGCCTGGGTCAGTCTGCTCGAAGTCTGCCCAGGCTGTGGCGAGGTGGGGTGGGTGACCGGCGGAGGTGAGATTGGAGCGGCGCGAGAGGACTAGCTGTGAAGGGGCGTCGATGGCGGCCGCAGCGTCGTCCTCTGAGGCTTCGTCGTTCTTGTCCTCTTGCTTGGCCTTCTTTGCCCTGAAATGCTCCATATGCAGCAAACCGCGGTCATTGAGCACAATCTGCTCCCTCCCCTCGCGCAGGAAGGTCGCCTTGAAGGGGCGATGGACAATCTCGAGGCTCGCTCCCTCGTTGCCAAAATGCACCACAGTCTTGCCATCATCATTCTTTGCCATTTCCAACTTCAAGCTCCCAGGCTCAGCAGGCGCGAAGGGTCGGTCGTAAGCCCACTTGGCTGCCTCATCATAGCGCTTCCATCCATTGTACCTTGGTCCCACCTCATCCATCTGAACGCGGGCGGTCCCGTCTGCATGGAAGATGAAGCGTGCCTCAAAGTCGACCTCGGGGTACAGGGCTGAGGTGATGGGTGCGGTAAGAGTCGCCGTCTTCTCGTCGAAGGAGAGACCTGAAGCGGGCAGAGAGTAGGGCGAGACGAAGGAGGTCGTGTTGGCTGCATAGGTGGAGAGGCGGCGAAGACGACGACAGAAGGACGAGTCATGGCATTTCTTAAAGTCGTGTGGGCGGACGGCCAGTGATGGTGAGGGCAGCGTCGATAAGATGGCTGCGACGATGGCGACGACAGCCAGTGTCCATGCCTTGCTGAGAGGCATGGCTGTCTTCGTCATCCTGAGTGAGTTGTGGGAGAGATGTGGAAGAAGGCAGAGACGCGAGGTTGCTCTTCCCGTCCAGCGAAGCAGGTCAGGGCCAAGGAGCAACTTCGAAAAGCGTGGGACCGTGCGCGAGAAGAACACAAGGCCAATCGAGTCGAGCAGGACGTTAAGACAAGACAGTAAGGCAACAAGTAAGGCAACAGAGTCCATCTCCTTATAATAGGCGAAGCAAGTCTATCCTTCTCGTAGCAGCTCAGATCTTATCCAGGTGCTCACTCTTCTCAAACTTCCTCCCTTTGACCCCCTCCAACCCTTCCCCCGCATAGCTCACCAACGGGCTAACCTCAACCTCCACCCCCTCCCCCAGCTCAGCGCCCGCCTCACGCAACCACTTGCCATGCAATGCAAGCAGGTCCCTCCTACTCGTCTGCGGATCATCGCTGCCCGTATTGGGCGCATTCTTGAGCGGCGAGAACTCCTGAGCGCGCGGTACCTCGTGCACGGCCAAGTCGTCGCAGAAGGGGAAGACGTCAAAGATGAAGAGCTCCAGCTTCATGCCATTGGGGGTGGTGGGCTTGACAGCCTCGCCGCTCTTGGAATCGATGGTGGGAATCTTCTTGCGGGCGATATGATAGGCCATCTCGGCTTCGAAGCTGGGCACTTGCTTGGAGAGGAAGTCCGTCGTGTAGAAGTGGTTGACGATGTTGGCCGCCCTGAACTGGAGGTCCCCACTCTCGTCACGAGCTTCAGCCAGCTCAGAGGGGATCTCGCTGTACTCTATCACGTTCCACTTGTCATTCTTCATTGCCACGACGCCCACGCTCTCCTTGGGATCCGTCTTGATGACAGTCTTGACGCCTGCTTGGACCGGCTTGCTGATGCTGATTCCGAGGAAGGCCGGATCGCCTACTTTGACTAGGCAGTTGTCCACGCCATAGCAGTGCAGGTACTTGATGCCGCGCGACTCGAGGGCAGACACAACGCTGACTGTCGCCTTCTCGTCGATGGGCTGACGCAGCGCGTTGTACAGGCCGCCGTTGCCGTCAGGGGCGGTTGCGATGCGTGACTTGGAGTCGAGCATGATTTTGCCGTCCATTGTAAGGCAGGGGAGGGTGCCTGCGAGCGAAACGTGACCCGATCAGTAGCTGCTCACGCTGGCAATTACGCTCGCATGCCCTCACCTTGCTCGAAAAAGATGATGTTCGCTCGCTCGAGTCCGAAGTAGTTGTTCTCAGCGAAGAAGTCTTCGGTAGGCTTCCTCGTGGGGCCACTAGTCATAATGAACCAGGGTACGACGACGTCTGACTGCGTCTTCGCGTGCTCCTTGGCCACCTGCTGAAGGCGCAAGATACGCTCAGCCTGCAGCTGGAAGAGGGACTTGTGCGACGGCAGTCCAATGTCATAGCATCCCTTGGGTGCTGATGAGCCAAGACGAGTGCCCTGTCCACCAGCAAGGAGAAGGACGCCTACCTCGCCTTTGGCAATTGCATCGAGACCAACTGCAGCGTACTTGCTTGATTCGCTGGACACAGCATCGCCTGAGGTCTGCACGGTGGAGGAGGCCGGCGGAGGACCAAGCTTGGCTGACTGCTTTGCAAGCTCGGCAGCTTCCTTTTCACCTTGGACAGCACGCTTGTAGATGGCATTCACGCGCTCGACGTCGAGTTGAGAAAGTCTTGCGGGGAGACAGGCGTGATCATGAGCGACAGGCTGGCGGCACACGTGCGGGTCAGGAACTCACTGCTTGGCGAGGTTGCCCTGTTCCTCCGGGGAGATTTCGTCCCAGAAGGCAAAGAGGTGTTCCTGCCCTGCCTTCTCGTACTTGTTTCGCAGTGCGCCTACGTCGATGAACCCTGGTGTTGATGACATGGTCGGTTGTGGTCTGTGATTGAGAAGAAAGAAAGGAAGGAAGGAAGGAAGAAAGCAAGCCAGCTCAGGGTCTTCCGCTGTCTCAGACCCGAGTGTTGGACTCGCCCTCGCCCTCTCACTCCCGCATGTGGATCGGCACGACGCTCGACTTGCGCTCTGTCCGTTGATTCCACCAAGCTTTTCTTTCCAAGTTATCAAGCCACTTCAATTCGACATCCTGCTCCCGATCTGAGGAAGGAGCTTGCAACCATGGCGAGCATGCAACAGCTGCAGGATGAGATCGAGGTCGGCATCATTGGTATGGGGGACATGGGACGGTTGTATGCTACGAAGCTCGCTGCCGCAGGTTGGAGGTGAGGAGGCGCCTAGTCTCGGAGGATTCCGCATATATGCTCACACCTCACTTCCTCATCGCCCAGGGTCAATGTATGCGATCGTCCAGAGAACTTCGAGACGCTCCGCAGCGACTTCAAGGACACTCCCTCGCTCAATGTCTTCCGTGATGGCCATCTCGTAGCTCGGCGCAGCGACCTCATAGTCTATTCAGTCGAGGCAGCCCTAATCGACAAGGTGGTCGAGCAGTACGGCCCTTCAACGAAGCTAGGCGCCATCGTGTCTGGTCAGACATCAGTCAAGGCTCCCGAGCACAAAGCCTTCGAGGCACATCTGCCGGCGGATACTTACATTGTCTCATGTCATTCTCTCCACGGCCCAAAAGTAGACACGCAGGGCCAGCCTCTCGTCCTCATCCAGCATCGAGCTCCCGACGAGAAGTTGCGACTCGTCGAGCAAGTCTTCTCCTGCTTCCAGTCGCGCTACGTTTACCTCTCGTACCAAGAGCACGACGTCGTGACCGCCAATACGCAGGCAATGACGCACGCCGCCTTCCTAGCAATGGGCACAGCCTGGCGCTGCAGCGGGGACTATCCCTGGGAGACGGACCGCTACCCTGGTGGGATTGAGACGGTCAAGATCAACATCATGATTCGGATCTTGTCGGCCAAATGGCACATCTATGCTGGTCTGGCGATTCTGAACCCCTCGGCGAGGGTGCAGGTGACCCAGTATGCCAAGAGTGCGTCGGATCTGTTTAAGATGATGTTGCTGGGTGAGGAGGAGGCGATGCAGCGACGGGTCTTTGAGGCCAGAAGGAAAGTGTTCGGGTGGGCGGATCACGAGTACGAAGATGGCGTCGCTCCCAATGGCGAGGCAGCTTCAGGCGTAGAGGTGGTAGCACCGCCTGTTGCAGGGCCATCATCCTCATCCTCAATGCAGCCGGCAGCACAGCGACGCACTTCTCGCAAGCCCTTCCTCATGAGCGACACGCTCCTAGACCGATTCCACCTCGCAGCACGCAAGGCACTGGGCGATGGCGAAGAGCCTTCAGCTCCTCCACCGCGACCACCAAATTCTCATCTCTCCCTGCTAGCCATCGTCGACTGCTGGGCAACACTTGGTATCGATCCCTATGCCCACCTGGAGCTAGCAGCCACTCCCGTCTTCCGCATGTGGATTGGTGAGTCGACTCCCTAGACCTCACAGCGCGACACGTCGTCTCACTGATCCTGCTCCTCCTCTCTACCTCTGTCTCGCCAGGTGTCTCCGAGTATCTCTTCCGCTCCCCTACCCGTCTCCGCCAAGCCATCAAAGCAGGCATAGAGGACACGACCTTCCGCAGCGATGACACTGAGTTCGTGGTCGCCGCAAGAGGTTGGGCAGAAGCGGTGCAGTTTGGCAACTTTGCCCACTACGAGTGGAGATTCAAGGATACGGCCTCATTCTTCCAGCCGAGATTCGATGAGGCTAACAAGGTGGGGACGGAGATGTTGAAGGTGTTGACTGCTTGAGGCGGGGAGGGATCGTGAACAGACAACGGACGGGGGAGAGGCACGTCAGGCAAAGGGAACGTCTATTTGTTGGGTCCTTGTCATCAATGAACAATCCACATTCAACCACCCCGCCATCCTTCATGCTCTCTTCCACCTTCCTGCATCTCTGCCACCTCGCAGACCCTGCCCTCACGCCCCCTTGTAGCTGTACCTCTGTCCATCGAGTCCCCTAATCTCCCTCTCCGATCCAGCAATGCTCCACTCGACCAACAAGTCAATCAGCAATGCTCCCGGCGCAAGGGCCCACCAAGCCGCGTTGGTGAAATTGCCCGCGCCAAACACCATCAACGGCATGGGCAGACTCGTGACCAAGAGCACGCCCAAGTACACCAGTCTCGGCGCAACGCTCGCCAATCCAGGTCGTTGCGCTGCCGCCGGGCTAGTAGCGGGCGTCTTAGAATTGACAGACTGGTTCGTCGCACTGCTAAACCTCAGATCCTGCAGCGAAGGGACAAGCCAGCCAGGCGCAGTCCCGTACAGGTGGGGCTGAGGAGCAGGAAAAGCTGCGGGCTTTGGTCCCAACTTAGCCAGGCCGAGCAAGTCTACCGTCTCCCTAATCGCACCCACGACGATGATGCCCTGGAAGGCGAAGAAGAGCATGTAGATGGGCCCGGCAGGCAGATAGATGAGATCCTCATGCGTGCCCTGGACGTGGTGAGCTGCCCAGAATAAGGTGAGGTGGTTCTCCGGGTGTGTACCGGCGATGTACGCCGGGATGGGGGTGAGGTAGGTGATGATGACCAGCGAGAGGAGGAAGAGCGTCGCATAGCGGTAGATCTTTGCAGACTTGTCGTGCGAGGTGCGCAGAGAGGTGATGATGGCACGTTGCTCTGCTTCGTCCAATGGGGAGGCTTCCGAGGCAGGCTCGTCGAGGACGGAGAGGGGGTCGTAGTGCTGTTGCGATGGAGCGTCAGGGTCGTCCGACGGACGAGCGGAGCGACGCTGGACGCCTGACATGGTGGCAAGCGTGAGGAGGATTGAAGTGACGAGTAGGGAAGAGGGAGAAGGAAGGCTTGGCAAGGAGAGGAGAAGTGTTGCTTTGAACCCAATCGAGTGCCGGCACGCTCGCGCCTCTCGTCTCTCGTCCGTCCGCCATCTTTTTCGGCGCTCAGTCCGAAGCTCCACGATTGCACACTTCTTCGTACCACTCGGCACAAGCAACTTGCAGCATCAAGCCGGGACGACGAAGTTGCACCATTCGTGAGGATGGACGCTTCGAAGTACGATTCACTCAGCCCGGCAGAGAAGGAGGCGCACGATGCTGCGGAGCGAAGGCGCGAAGCTGAGGAGCAGGCCGCCCTGCCTTACCGCTGGACGCAGGCTTTGGACCATGTCGAGGTGACACTACCACTCCCCGCGGGCACAAGGGCTAAACAGCTCGATGTAGCCATCAAGCGCGCCTCCTTGCGGGTAGGCCTGAAAGATGGCGAAAAGACCGTCCTCATGGCCGGCGATCTTCCCAATCCCGTCCAGCTCGACGATTGCACCTGGTCAGTGGATAGCGCTGCCTCCTCGTCCACCCTCACCATCCACCTAGAAAAGGCCAAGCAGACCTGGTGGCCTCATGTCCTCACCTCCGACCCCAAGATCGACACGACGAAGATCGTGCCCGAGAACAGCAAGCTGAGTGATTTGGATGGCGAGACGAGGGCTATGGTGGAGAAGATGATGTTCGATAATCGACAGAAGGAGATGGGCCTGCCCACCAGTGATCAGCAGAAGCAGAGTGAGATCTTCGAGAAGTTCAAGCGCGAACATCCGTGAGTAGCCCACTCATTGGAGCGGCTCAATGGAGAATCGATGGTATATCTGACCGAGCAAGCTTGCCTCGCAACCGTGACAGGGAGATGGACTTCAGCCAGACGAAGGTGGGGGGTAGCTTCGGTGGGGACTTTGGCCAGTAATGAATAGACGATATCCAGATCATAGCAACAATCCTCGCCCGTGCGAGCCTCGATCCGCTCACTTGGAAGCCCAAGCCTTGCCCACACCATGCCGCCTCAAACTGCCTCCCACTGCCCCACCCATCTGATACTTTGCCTTGAACGCCTCATGCTTAACATTCTCTGCCAACTTCCTATCCTGCCTATACCCAATGTCCTTGGCTTCGACACTACTCTCTGCAGCCTTGAGTCTAACAGGCCTACTCCCAATGTAACGACCATTCATCTCTTTCCAAGCGCGCAAGTAGTCCTCCGGGTTGCTGAATGACACAAAACCATATCCCCGCGCTTTGCCATCGAGCTTCTTGCGGATCACTCTGGCCTTGACGAAGGAGGGGTATTTCTGGAAAGCCGAGGTCAACAGACCGTCAGTCACATCGTTGCCCAGGTCTCCGACGAAGAGACGTTTGTGAGCGGGATCCCATTCGAGAAGGGTGGGATCCTAGAAAGGGAAAGCATGGGGTAGACGACGGTCAGCTTGCTGTCGCGTTCACATCTCGCAGCTGTGTTGCTCACCTCGTAATCGCCGTTCGGCCCTTTTCTGATGACCGTAGTGCGATGCTCCCCTCTTTTGAGTGATCCAGCAAGTGCATTACCCTGCGCATCTCTTGCGCCACCCGTGATTGCTTTGCGGCGCTTCTCCTCTACGGTCTGAGCTGCGCCGCCAGCAGCGGCGGAGGAGGAGGTGGTGGCAGGGGCGGCGCTGGTGAAGATGTTGTTCGTTGGAGCTGCAGCGGCAGAAGAAGCGGGGTATGCTGAGGAAGAGGCACCGCCTGCGCTACCTTGCTGAGGGTACCCATACGTTGCATAGTAGCCATTGTAGTCGAAGGCCCAGTTGTAAGCCGCTGCATCCCAGTAGCTGTGCGAGAGCGTGGCGAGAAGAGGGAGGGTCAGCGAAACATTCCATGCTAGTCGATCATTTCGTGACTCACTAGAAAGGCGCATAAGGATCGGAAGACGATGAAGCAGCAGCGGATGACATGCTGGAGGACTTAGAGGTTGAGGATAGGATCTCAAGGAGCAAGCCACACGGAACTGGATCGATCGACCTTGGACTTGCAAGGCGGACTGAGCGCAGCCGACTCCGCTTTGACGCTTTGACTTCACTCCTTCTCGAAAAGCTCCCTCGAACCATTCACTCAACCCTCTGAGATCGCCCAACATGGCGTCTCCCATCATCACTCTGCAGCCACTGAGCGCTTACACCTTTACTACGAAGGCGCCGCAGCCCGAGGAGGGTGCGTGACCTCTTCTCGCCTCCCTCGTACGAGCATCTAGCTCACCTTCACTTCTGCCCTCCTTTCGCTCCAACAGACCCCTCCGTCTCGGCCCGCCTGCAACGCCTTCAGAACAACTACGAAGACTTCGGCATGAGACGCTCTACAGAAGCTGTACTCCTCGTCCACGAACATGGCCATCCGCACGTCCTCTTGATCCAGGTGGCTTCCTCGTTCTGGAAATTGCCAGGAGACTACTTGCGTCCGGGCGAGGATGAGATCCAAGGGTTGAGCGATCGACTGGACGAGAGGCTGATGCCTGATGACGGGATGGACGGTGGAGAAGAGAGCGGCAGAGGTGGATGGGATATCAGTGATTGCATTGCTACATGGTGGAGGCCGAGCTTTGAGACTTTCATGGTGAGCACGAGCCCAACAACCAAGCAGATTAAGTAATGCGCCGAAGCTGATCCGCTTCCTCATCTTTGCCTCGTAGTATCCTTACATCCCACCGCACATCACCAAGCCAAAAGAGTGCAAGAAGCTCTACCTCGTACAGCCTCCGCCGAAAGGTACGCGCCGCTCGATGTACTTGCCCTTTCTTGCCGGTACTGACTCCATCCTTTTCTTGCCCCCTCCCCTGTGAACAGCAACCTTCGCCGTCCCCTCGAATCTCAAGCTACTCGCCATCCCCCTCTGCGACCTCTACGACGGCTCGAACCGCTTCGGAGCTCAGCTAGCGGCTATCCCGCATCTGCTCAGTCGATACCAGTTTGTTTGTCAGGACTGAGACGTGCACAACACAGCAGGCTGGTTCGCTCCACAATTTAGATGTAATTGTACGCTTGATAAAAGACCCAGACTAGGACGAGACGTCTCGTACGATGTTGCGGGAGCTACTCATCAGCCATCCTCTGCAGTCCCTGCTTCCCCCTCCTGCGCAATGCCTCTTCCAAACTACTCCCATCCGCACCTCCATCACCCATGACCTGCTCCCTCTTTTGCCTCATTAGGAAGTCGGGACCCATACCACCCTCGTCCCTCGAAGCTGCACCACCAGCGCGTCGCTCTGCAGCCTTGCGCAGTCGCTCGTCACGCTCTGCATCTGCTTCCTCCTCTGCGCGGGCTTTTGCCAAGTAGGACTCGCGTGACTCCCGCATCGCTCGAGCATTGCTTTCCATTCGGGCAAGGGCGGCTGCGCGACGCTCCTCGGCACTTTGCTCGAGGGGTCGGCTGTTGCTGTCGTTGCCCGAGGTGATTGGAGGTGAAGGTCGACGTGGAGGAGAGCGTTCCCGAGCTGGAGGTGGCGGGCGGCGATCTTCGTGATGTCGTGGCGGAGAGGGCCGGCGACGCTCCTCGTCGCGACGATACGAAGGACGATGACGATCCTCGTCTTCTCTGCGATAGCCTCTCGAATCGCCATTCCGGTAGCCGTCATATGGACGGCGATCGTCGTACTCGCGGCCGTTGCGAGGGCGTTGATCTCGTCGATAGTGGTCTTCTCTGTCATCGAGATGGCGTGGCGGTGGAGAGCGTGGCCTTCTGTCGTGCCCATTGACACGAGGAGACCTCTCGTCAGGGTATCGTCTCGAGCTGCCTGCTCCCCTGTCTCCTCGCTCTTCTTCGCGACGTCGGCTGTGATACCTGTCCCCCCGGTCGTCATCGTCGTAGCGATGGGGGCTTCTGCGCCTGTCGTGGTCATCCTCGCGCCGACTACGATGCCCACCATTGTGCCTCCTCTCTCTCTCCTTTTCCCTCTCGTCTTTCCTCCGTCTCTTATCCTCCTTTCTCTTTCTTCTCTCATCGTCTTCGTCACCTACGTCCAGGCCCGCCGCCATCCTCATCTGCCTCAATCTTGTCGGATCTTTCAGCAGCGCCTGATACGCAGCCTGCTCCTGCTGCTTGATAGCGAACATTGGGTCCTCGCGAATCTTGGCCGCTAGGTCACCTGCTGAATTCACATTCTGCCCAAGAGCTTGGAATGATCCACCACCAGAAGAAGAAGAAGAGGCTCCAGCACTATGCTTCGCGGCTCCCTCGGCCTGCTGCGATGCCTGCTGTTCCCTCGCCTTCTTCTGAATAAACTGATCCACCCTCTTTTTCCCCAACAGGTACTCCTCCAACTCCCCCTCACTCGGCCCTTGTCCCCCCGCCCCACTAGGAGCAGCATAGAGCCAATCGACCCTGTCCTCCCTCTTCTTTCCCCCGGCTTCCTCTTGGAGACGCTGCAGCTCTTGCATCTCGCGCTCTTGGTCTCGTTCCCGACGGAGCTCATCGAGCTTCTTGCGCTCCTCATAGGCGGCCTTTTCTTGCTTCCAGACCTTCTCTTGGTTGACACGGAGCAGCGGATGCCACGACTTCTTGGCGTTGAGGTCGCCGCCCATATTGGGCGAGTGTAAAGGGACAGAGGGGGCAGAAGGTAGAGATGACGGACGGAGAGAGAGACGAAAGCTCAGCTGCACACCCGCCCGCCACTCCGCGTCCATCGATCGCCTCGTCGTGCTGACGTAATCCACCCTGCTCTCACTCTACCCCCCGTACTCTTCCATCGATCAAGCAACAGGATATTCGATTTTCAAGTCGACAGAGATACAGCACATCAGACCCTTTCCTCGCACTCACTCATGCACCTCAATATAGTTCGCTGGGAATAGACCCTGATCGCCCGTACGCTCATTCACCCCCGACCACCACTCATCGCTCGGGTACTCTAGGTCGACAATCTTGTCTCCCTCCTCGAACGTGAGCTCGTTCTCCTCTGCAGCGGCATAGTCGTACAGAGCGACGGCGTAGGGGCCGCTGGGCTCTGCAGGGGCCGCAGGGGCGGGAGGAGCTGCCGGTGCTGCTGGTGCCGCCGGCGGGGGAGGAGGCGGGGGTGGAGCTGGGGGTGCTTCCTCTTCTTCGACCGCAGGGGCAGCAGCAGCAGGGGCCGACGGAGGCGGCGGCGGTGGTGGCGGGGGAGGAATCTCTGCCTCTGGCTCCGGCTCGACAGGTGCCGCAGGTGCAGCCGGTGGGGGCGGCGGAGGTGGCGGGGCCGGCACAGCCTCCTCCTCCTGCGCACTTGCGGGTGCCTCAGCCGGCAAGAGCTCGACGTATTGCGCAGGGAAGAGGCCCTCCTGCCCACGCGCATCGATACCTGACCACCAGCCTTCGTCCAGCTGTTGAATCCCAGTGACGATCTCGCCTTCAACTAGGGTGATCTCATTGTCCTCTGCAGCATCATATGCGTAGATGACCGTTGCGCTTTGGCCGCCGGCATGACCGCCTGCAGCAGCGTCAGAGGCAGCCGGTGGGCTGCGAGCCTCGGTGGTGGCCTCGTCGAGATGAGTGGCAGCCAGATCATTGGCTACAGCGCCTACGGAAGCAGGCGCAGGCGGGGCTGGAGGAGCGGCGGGAGCAGGAGGAGCGGCTGGCGCTGGCGGAGCAGCAGGGGCAGCGGGTGTCGCTGAAGGACCACGAATCGTTGGCGCTGGCCCCGCAGCAATCGCATCCCTGGATCTCTGTTCCTCCGCTTCCCTCTCCTTCTTTGCCTGCTCTTGCCTTTGCGACCAGGTCAGCTTTCCGGGGCCGCCGCCAGAGCTGGGCACACGACTGCCAGCAGGGGGCGTGTCGGCTGACGTTGGGGCCTGGCTGAACATAGCCATGCGGTCTCCAAGCTTGCCTGGCTTGGCGAGCTTGACAGGCTGGTACGCTGTCCCAACTGGCTTGATGCGATCATCGTCGTCTACGGGCTTCGAGGCGGGAGCGGCGCCTGCCGCGGGCGTGGGCGCTGGGGGAGCTGGGGGGCTAGCTGGAGCAGGAGCAGGCGGGGCAGGCGCCGGCGCTGGCGCGGCCTTGGGGGCATTGACGGTAGGCGCGCCCATCGGTCGAGGAGCCGGCGGAGGCGCCGAAGCAGCAGGCGCTGCGCGGATATTTGCGAGCTCATTACGCGCTGGCGTGTACGAGGATCCGACTGGGGCGATTGGGTCTGGCTTAGACTTGGCGGCTGACTGGAGACCCTTGATGTCTGGTGTGCCAATGGGCTTGTAGCTGCTACCAACGGCAGTGATGGGCCCGCCGCGCTGCGTGTTGGCTGCGTCGCCTGCCGCAGAGTACTTTGAGCCTGACGAGTCGGTAATGCGCTGTCGAGGGGGTAAATGGTGAGCAAGGAGGTCGTCTGGCTGAGGAGCTATGTGGAAGCGTATCTCACTTTGATGATGACGGCGGGCTCGACATCGCCCTCTCCGCGTGCTTGAATAGAGACGTGGTAGCCAGAAAGAACCTTGGCCACCGTTGCGGAGTGAGATGCGAAGAGTCCTCTGCGAGCAAGCAAGCAAGAGCGTATGCATCCATTAGCTCTCACGACCCTCCTTCTAGGAAAGTATCAATGGCCACTCACTTCTTGTTCTCCGGTACACCCTCTCCACACCAGTTGATCAAGACGAATTTGGGGAGCTGAGTATTGGGATCCTTGACTCTCGCATAGGCATATTGAATGCGTCCATCGCTGAACTCCTCCTGCAAGTAGTCGAGGTCTCCCTTCTCGCAGACCTGCACGCGCAAGTCGTTGGAGTTCTTCTCGTAGGTGAGGACGAGATAGTCTCTCTCTCCGTCGAGGACTTGCTTGTAGGCCTGACTGATAGCCGGCGAGGAGAGATTGACGCCCAGCGACATTGTGGATGGGATGATGGGCGGGAATGCGAGGAGGAAGCCAAGGCTGGCGTCGTCGACCGCGGGGCTGTGTTGCTTGCTGCTGGTCTGTGTGCCTGCTTCTCCACCTCAGGGCGGCGGCGGCGGAGGCCATGCTGTCGCTCAAGATGCGTGCGACTCCGTTCCGGCCCAAAGGTTGCTCAGTCCGCCGCCGGCTCTTGGGCGTCGATTTCCAAAGTGGCGCATTTGTCACGCCGATTCTAATCAACCAATCCAAGTCACCATCATCATCTCTGACTTCCACTTGATCGCATCGCTGCCAACATGGCCTTCTCGGGAGCTTTGGTGAGTCCACGAGGCAATGAGGCCCATGCTGAGCTGTACGGCTGAACTTGTCCCTGTCCTCACGCGCAGACGCTCACCGACCTCAACGACTATCTCGGCCCCTCACAAGCATGCATCAAGCCCGTAGAGGGTAAGGATGCACCTACACCCGAGCCACTCGATGACGAGACATCACGCCTCAATTCAGCTCAGACTCAAATAGCGGTTGAGTCATCAGGCGTCTATGAGACCAGCGTCAACGCCACCAGCGCCAACGGCGAACCTTCCTCCTCGAGCTCAGCTCCACGCGCCCGCACCAAGCTCGAGGCGGCTGAAATCTCTCTCAACGACTGTTTAGCATGCAGCGGCTGTGTCACCTCTGCTGAGAGTGTGTTGATCGGCATGCAGAGCCTCGAAGAGGTTCGCAAGGTGGTCGAGGAGAATGCTACCGTGGAGCAAGCCGCGCAGAAGAAGATCGTGGTGGCCAGCATCGCGCCACAATGCCTCGCATCCCTCTCTGCAAAGTACTCCCTCAACGCGGCTTCGAGCTCAGACAAGACTTCTTTCATCCCTCTGCGCTCGATCCTCGCCCGCGTTCGCTTCTTCCTCAAGGACCGCTTCGGATTCGAGGCTGTCCTCGACACGACGTTTGCGCGACATGTGGCGTTGAGGGAGCATCGCCGCGAGTTCCTTCAGCGCAAGGCTGCGGGCAAAGAGAAAGATGGACAGCTCCCTATGCTGGCAAGCGCGTGTCCTGGCTGGATTTGCTACGCAGAGAAGACGCATGGCGAGCTCCTGCCGTTCATCAGCAGGACGAAGAGCCCGCAGCAGGTTGCAGGGACGATGCTCAAAAAGGATGCACTGAATGGGCGACGACGCACGACATCTTCAGCGGCATCCGCGTCGGTGTACCATGTCGCGGTCATGCCATGCTACGACAAAAAGCTCGAAGCCAGTCGGGCGGACTTTTTCGATGAGGTCCTTGGCTCAAGGGATGTGGATTGCGTGATTACGACGGGGGAGCTGGATAGACTCATGATGGAGGAGGGATTCGATATCGCACAGCCCGTGCCCAATGAGGGGCGCGATGCTGCTGCCCAAGAGCAGGACGATCTAGGCATCCCCACCCTCCTCGATCACCCGGGCAGCTCCTCAGGCGGTTACCTCTTCGACCTACTCGAGGGAGCATGGCGCGATCACGCTGCCGAGCACGCCCGCTCCTCTGCATCTTCGCCACCGCAACTCAGCACTCGCATCGTTCGCACATCAGACTTCACGGAGTACACGCTCCGCTCCCCTTGGACGAACGAGATCCTCTTCCGCGGCGCTCATTGCTATGGGTTCCGCAATCTGCAGAACTTGGTCAGGAAGGTGCAGAAGCAGACTGGCGTCAGGAGTAGGAAGGGCGCCGCTGCGGGCAGTGTGAATGGCGAGCGGGTGGGGGCCGCAAGTAGGGGTAGGGGGGTGTCGAAGAGGGGTGGCGGGATGATGAGGAGAGGCAGAGGGGGTGCAGCAGGTGTTGCAGCGACTGCTAATGGAGGTGCTTCGCCGGAGGAAGAAGAAGAGGCACGAGGTTACGACTACGTAGAGGTCATGGCCTGCCCGAGCGGATGTGTCAATGGTGGTGGCCAGATTCGTCCGCCAACTGGCGAAGAGTCGAGCAGCAGCAGCGGCGGGAACAACGGCATCTCCATGGCCATCTCCTCCGGCTTAGTCGAGTCGACCGAAGCGCAAGTGGATGCGGCACCAGTTCCTCCTCCTCCGCAGACGAACGGCAAAGGAAAGGGGCCACTTGCCAAGCTCGACCTCGATCCTGAGGGCTACTCCTCTGGATGGAGTACCCCGCGCACGGACGTGTCATCGACCGGAGGCATGGATGTGGACACGCAAGAGAAGGAGGAAGCGGCGCTGAAGCAGGGGTGGAAGGGGACGAGTAAGGAGTGGGTAAGGAGGGTGGAGGAGGCGTACTGGAGTGCCGGTACAGGTGAAGGGGAGATCCAGAGGACAGGGCCTACAACTAGTGGTGAGGCGTTGCAGGCGACCCTTACACGTCGACGAGAGGCGAAAGCGCTGGCATTGGGCGAAGCTGTTGACAGTTTGGCAGACGAGGTGGTGAGGGACATGATGGCCGCTGAGAGTGGCAATGAGGATGAGGAGGAGCGACGCTGCCGCCTGCTTCGCACAGATTATCGTGCCGTGCAGGACGAAGCTGTTAGCGGTCTGGCCGTGCAGTGGTAGTCGCCCGGATGTGCATGCAAAATAGAGATACCAAGTGACACATTATCATTTGTCTTCGATCTACGCCTTCAAGAGCTGCACACTCTGCCTCGCGTCCATGAATAGCCCACCCGCCGTCTCATCGACGTCCTCGACAGCGATCTCCTGCCTGCCCTGCAGTCTTGCCAGGATGCTCGCCGGCGTGAGCAACTGCAACGCAAACCTCAATGAGGTATTAACGCCCTTCTCCGTCAACTTCTCCAACGCCTCTTCACCTACGACCAGTCCCTCCGTCTTTGTCCTCAACCTGAGCACCTCCCTAATCTCATCTCTCTCGTACGGCAGCGTCCTAACAATCATGCAGCGATCAAGCAGATCGAGCGGGATACCATGTGGGCTGACGATCCCCGTGTTAGAGCCTGGCCCGTCGTACTCGGTTCCTCGAATTGTGGATTGACCGCGGTTGGTTGCGAGGATGACGTGGGGGCTGATGGTGGATTCGAGGGCGCGATTCAGGTAGGTGAAGCATTCCATGTCGAGCATGTGGACCTCGTCGATGAAGAGGACACCGGGGACGAGCTCGGCGATACCTTGCTCAATGTATTTGTTGACAACCCTGCGGCAAAGACAGAAATGATGTCAGCAGGCTCGCGCAACGGTGAACGTAGTCTTGGAGCGTTGCGCCCACTCACTTGTTGATCTCGCCACGCAGCTTGTCCGTGATCTCGGTACGACGGCCCTTCACCAGCTGACCCACGACGGACATGATGTCCTGGCCACCTTGCGGCTTGGCATTGGCCATGTCGAGATCATGGAGCGTAACGTCCTGCACAACCTCCTTCCTCTTGTGCACCTCCCCCTTTGGGAGGGGCACGTACTCCTCTGCCTCCAAGTCAAACTCGGTTGCGTACGCATCCGACCTTCCCACCCTCTTGACTGCGCCCGTATTCGCCTCAATGTAGATGACGTCTCCAACGCTGACGCGTTCCTTCATGATGCTCTCGTAGATGGACGGGTCGAGGCGCAGTTGCTTGGTGCCCTTGACCGTCTTCAGCGCAATGACTACGTGGCTGATGGTCTTGCCGTATCCCGAGAGGGGATTCTCCGTCTCCGTGGGGGTCAACTCAGTGATTTCGCCCTCGTATACCTGCGTGACGGCGGTTAAAGAGGTCAGAGCTGATCTCTACCAATGCACTGCTGGATGTATGCGCCCACTCACCTCTTTGATCTCCCTAACGCGCAATCCAATCGCCCGCCTGAAGTTCTCCATGAGAACCTCCGTCTTCTTGACCTCGGACGAGTAGACTTCAGATCCAACCATAGGACAGAACGGCACCTTCTGACCCAACTCGTGAGCAACACCGAGGGCCAAGGCAGTCTTTCCTGTACCGGGGCCTCCAGCGAGGAGCAGAGCCTTGCCTGCGAAGCGCTTACCGCGGATGAGGTCGAGTACGAGGCCGCAGGCCTGCGATAGATGAGACAGAGCGCTGATCAGCTGCTGTGAGTCGCTTCTCATCCTGCTGTCATCGTCGCTTGCTCACCTCTCTCGCCGTCTTTTGGCCTACGAAACCATGCGCAGCCTGCATCGCCGTCCCATCGTCCGCCAATCCCAGTCCCTTGATGTGGGAGTGAGCGGCCACTCGAGCCTCTCGTGAGCCGCCACTTCCTCCACTTCCCGAACCGCCTGCTGCTGCCGATGATGTAGCCTGTGTGACCTTCATCGCGCGAGTGAGAGGTTGTGGATTGATGGGTATCGCGAAGAAGTCGAAGTCGTTGGACCACTCCCGCTCCGCCCCTTGGCTCGACGAGCGGATGCAGCAGAGAGACACGAAAGGCCACGCGAGCGAGAGATGGGCGGGCAGGCGGCTGAGACCCCTCGCGAGCCACACTTTGACGCGTTTCTCTCTTTCTCCCCAGACGTCAATGAAGATGCGCAATTCGACCCTTGCACAAGACGGATGGCATGAGGCGACAAGAGAGCCTTACTTTAGCATCATGCGGGAGCCTGCCGTCACGGCCCGCCCTTTGTCAGGCTCTGACCAGGCAAAGTTGCCCGTCTGCCCGCGCAGCACCTTGCCCCGTCGCTGATGCCCAGCTGATAGCGGCACGGCGGCCCGAAAGCGCGGTATTCAGGAGGTGGTAAACGAGATGAGGGAAGATGACGGCCGGTCTGTGGAAAAAGCGACGGCGACGGCAGGAAAGCACATCGGCTTCCTTCCGTCCCACGCTGTGTGTGTGCCCATGTATTTGCCATTTAAGAAGGGCCAACGTCGTGTTCAGACGACTGATCATTGCCTCCATCCTAACCATTCGCAATCATGTCCGTCCATCCAGTGCACCTCCCATACCTCACTCAATCCCCTCCAGCCTCCGTCCGCTGGGAAGGCAAGATTCACGATGAGCTACTCCTCCCGGACTGGATGCAAGGAGAGACGGGCACTCAGTTCACACGAGACGCTCGTACCTACCTGCGCAACTTGGTTCACTTTACTCTGCAAGACGACTTCTACAGACAGATGTCGGCAGCAAGTGCTCTAGGCGCTGCGGCGCTGCTGTTCACTTGGATCAAATTCGGCATGGCTGCACGCTCGTCCGGCTTCGCCCTCGTCACCAAGAGGCAGAGGGGCGAGTCAAAGGACACGGTCCGAATCCTCAATGTAAGCTCGTCGCGCTCCCTGACTCAAAGTATGGTCGACTGATGCAGACCTTCGCGCTCGCAGCCCATCTTCATCACTTGCCTCTTCAGCACTCTGTTCACCGCCCACGCCTTCACCTCCCTTTGGATGGCCATCCGCGGGCACCTCTGGCACACCTCGCTCAAAATGTACGGCCTCTTCATCTCCTCGTACTGGATCTGGTTCCTTATCGGCACTCACCTCTGGATCACCTCGCACTTCTTAACTGCCCTCACTGCCATCGTGCCTCGAGCGACTGGTAGCGGCAACGATTCGCGCCTCTCGCGCGCTGGCAGGAGGATCGGCCACGCCTTCACCTCACAGTACGCGCTCGTCCTCCTCTATCTCGGCGTGCCGCTCTTCATCCTCTCCTCAGCCGTCGGGGCCAGCTCAGCCCTGGCAGTCCGCTGGGCGCAGACCTACGATGACTGGACAAGCCTCGACGGAATCCTCCTCCTTCTGCAGGGCTTCGTAGTCGAGCCGCCTACAGCGCTGCAAAAGATGGCCATATCCAGCTCATGGAGTAGATGGGTCGAGGCGTGGTGGCTCGTTGGGGTCAATTGTACCATCTGGACCACTTGGTCTGCGCTACTCCTGACATACGAGGTGGTGGGCGCCGCCGTGGTTTTGGCCTATTTGAGGGATCAGCTGAAAGGGGAAGAACGCCACCACAAGGTGTGCGAGACCGAGCTGGCGATGCGACGTGCGCCACAGCAGCAAGCGGGCGATGCAGAGCTGGAACCAGCGAGAGCTTCATCGCCACTTGACGGCGCATCTCAGGACGTCAATCCCTTCGCCGGTGGCAGCTACGACGCTCCAGCCTCAATCGATGTCCCCGGTGCGGACGCCGTAGATAAAGACAAGCAAGGCGCCAGCAGCTTCGTCGACGCCTACCCGCCACCCCTTCGCCCGCCACGTCCCCCAAGCACGGCACTCAGTATCGCCTCGACCACCCACACCGCTTCCCAGCTGTGGCGCCCACCCTCGCGTGTCTCAGTCCTGACAGAGCGCACTCTGGAAGAGACGCGCGCGAACATCGCAACGCTGCGAGCCACTATCCGTGAGGTGGTCTGCGCCGCCTTTCTACCGCTCGTTCCCGTGACTCTGGTGCTCACGATGAACCTGGGCTGGTTCGCCTCCCATGCGGCCAAGGCAGCAAAGAGCGGCCCGGATGAGCTAAAGCCTCTTAACGTCAAGTATCATGAGGTGGCAGCCTGGAGTATCTTGATGGCTGTCTGGGCGAGCATTATGGTCGGTGTGTTCGAGCAGGGAGCGGTCAGGCGATTGGTGGCAAGGCGATGACCGTGGCTCACGCAGGGTCTTCGATCTCAATACTCGTGTATCAGAATGACTCTTTGTGATTGTGGCAAGCGATGATCGCGTTTCTTTTGTATCCTACTTTCCCCTTTCTCAGGCTCGCTCTCCAACAACGGTGTTGTCCCTGATCTCCAAACGGTCGTGCAGCTCCTCCGCAAGCTTAGCAGCGCGGAGCCCACTGGCGAACATACCACCAAAGGTAGGTCCCATACGGGGCACGCTCTTAGCCTCGCTGATCTCCATTCCGCAGCAGATGATGCCAGGGAAGATCTGGCTGGTGCCGTTCACGATGAGGTCCTCGCTACGACCCTGGTCGAGGGGAGCCATCTCACCCATCTGGAGGAGGCCAGCGTTGGCCAGACGCTTGACGCTCGAGGCGCCGAAGGGTCCATCGTGGCCAGTAGCGCTGACCACAACGGGGGCGCTGATGGTCTGAGGATCCATGCAGCTCTGCAGACCGTGAGCGAGGGTGACCTGCGTCCAGTTGGACACGATACCGCAAACGCGAGAGACGCCCTGCGGATCCTTCTTGACAATCAAGTCCTCAGCAGCAGTAGCGTTGTACAGCTTTACATTGGGGAGTGCAATGAGCTTGCTGAGGAGCGTTGAGGTGAAGAGGGCAGCGTGCTTGATGACGACGTAGGTGCCCTCGTCATCGTAGGGCACGCCGATCTCGTCCAAGAAGCCGTTGGCGGGCTTGCGCACAACCATGGCGCTGAAGAGCTGGCCGCCCAGCCAGGCGCCACCACCGGGAGCCACGCCTGCCTCGACGACGGTGACGAAGAGGTCGGGGCGAGACTTCGCGAGGCGATAGGCGCAGGTCAGGCCAGCGCTGCCGGCGCCGACGACGATGACGTCCGAGGTGGCGGTGCGCATCATGTCGTTGAAGTAGCTGTGCAGAGGGCGTTGAGAGGAGGGTGGCGAGTCAGAGGGTGGTGTGCGTGCATGAGAGTCACATCAGTCGTTGGCTGCTCACCGAGCTGTCATAGCCCTGCTGACGTAGCTCTCGTGGATCTCGGCGAAGCGGTAGTTGCCATTGTAGTCCTCGACAGGCTCCTTGCCAGCCTGAATGGGGAGGTGGGGCTTGTAGCTAGCCAGAGCGGCAGTGGCGGCGTTCTGCTGAGGGGCAGCGCCGTTGGCATTGAGGCTCTTAGTGGGGACAGGCATGTCCAGGCTCGAAGGAGCCGGCACCGAAGTGAACGAGGCAGAAGGAGGAGTCATGGTGGGCAGTGCAAGCGGATTGTCGATTGGAGAGCAGGCATGAACGCAATGCCACCGACTTATATACGCAACCCAGCGTGGATCCTGCCGCCACTGAGGTCTGTCCACTCTGACTGACCTCTCACGCCCGCCGTGAAACATCCTGGGGCACCAAGTCTCCCGCCGACCCCAGGGCAACAGGATTCTCTCCCTCGTAGACGGCCCTCTGAAGTTGACCGGCAGCCTCCTCGAGCCTCTTCGAGCAACGAGAGTCGTCTGCTGCCGAGGCCGGTACGTTACGCGACGCTACGCCCTTCTCATCCTTATCACTTCTTCCTGGCCTGCGGGCAAGCAGTGTCTGCCGACAGCACGGACCACCACGCGCGCACGGAGCATGGCCGTTGGTCCCAAAGGGTTAGGGTTGCCAAGTCGCCGGCAATGGGGCACTTTGGGACTCTCACGCTAGGCCCCTAGCTTGACTGGTAGTGAGTGCTGCCGCTCGCTTTCCACGGCCAGGTACCTGCGACCCACGTGTGGCGCGCATGGCCAACTTGACGGCCAAAACGCGGGAAGTCAACGGCAGAAGGGGATGAGGCGGCAAAGCAGTCGTTCAGCGCGCAATTAAGGTGGCTGGTGCGTAAGCAGGCAGGGGCGTGGGAGCAGCGACGCAACAGTCGCCTAGCCATCTACCCTCTGCCACCTCAGGCAGCACCTGATCGACTTTGGAATTGGGGAGGGAAATGTTCGTCGAGTCACAAAGAGGCTGCCGCACAGACGTTGCAGTGGATTTCAATTAGGGTCTGCCTGAGGGCGAGGCGCCGCACGTCGCCGGCGGCCTGCCTGTGGCAACCGGGGCTTTTGTGACTGCGAGTGCGTGCGCGTGCGCAAGCGAGTGCTCGTTGCGTGATTTGGCGATGCAGCCATGTGGTTGGGAGAGTCGGCCCCAGCGCCGCTTCGTCCGCTCACTCGCGTCAATGGCCTACTTTGCCCGCTCTTTCCTCTACGCATCTCGCTGTACTGAACAAAGGGACCACATTAAATTCATCTGCCCTGCGCGAATAGCCTCACATTTACCTCAGCCCGCCTTGCTTCTTCTGAGGTAGGGAGGGGGGCGAGTGCGGATAGACTATCGAGTCGAGATGGAGCAATCGACGAAACGAAAGAGAGCGTGAATAGTAAGCCAGCAGCGGCATTCTCGCAGACAGTGCGCCCCCACATGGTCATAAATAATCCACCCTCGGATTCCAATCCGATCCCGAATTCCTCTGGTAGTAGGCCTCAAACTCGCGCCTCCTGCGAGTCAGGCTCTTGGAGCGCTCCCTTTGCTGGCGTGGTGGACCGTCCTGCTGATGATGCTGAGCAGGAGGATACTGCGAAGAAGTTCCATTTGTCGATGGTGCCCTGAAGGGCCTCGATCTCAAAGACGAGATGCCTTTGCCTGTGCTAAGCAGGTCAAGCATGTCCGTCGTGCCGCTTGACCCTGAGTACGACGTAGCGGCAGAAGTCGAATGTGCGCCTTCGATGGGAGTAGTTCTACGGCCAGCGCTGATGCTCGCTTTCGGGTCATCCGCCCCAACCAAGCCTTCGATCTCTTCTCGCTCCGAGCGCACAGACTCGAGGGACTCAACAGGCGGCAGGCGGATGGAGGTGACACGACGGGGGGCGAGGCCGTCTGAGGGAACTCTGCGTGGGTATACCGCAGTTGCTGCCGGCAGGGTCAACTTGGGCGAAGGCGCAGGAGCATTGAGGGGCGTGCAGCCCGACGAGGCCAAAGGGCTGGAAGGACAAGGGCGAGGAGGAAGGCAGTGCATAGGCCTCTCGGGCGTAGATGGCCAGATAGCGGGAGAGCCTGCGAGTACGGCATGTGCATAGTGCGGTGCAGCGGCAGCCGCAAAGACGCCACAGCCAGCACTGTTGCCTCCTCGCGAATGAGGGCGACTCTCGCCGTACTCGTTGTTGCCAGCGCTTGCGGGTCGCGCAGCTCCTCTTTTGAAGGCGTGGCGAAGCTTGCGTAACCCAGAGGAGGGCGTGACTGGCGTCGCGCTGTTACTGCTAGGCTCTTGGAGAGGCACGGCCAAAGCAGAGGACGACGAAGGAGGGGGCAATGGCGGCGAGGGAAGCGCTGCTGCTTGCTGCTGTATGGCGGCCACCACCTGCGTGGGATAGTCGTAGCTGCCGCCTCGCTGCGTTGGAAAGCACCCGGAGTTTGACGTCGCCGTCGACCCAGTCGTGGCTACCGCACTACTGGTGTTGCTGGTACCAGTCTTCACCTGCGAGCCCACATCCTGCGTCGATGGCTGACGTCGCACTCTTGAAGGACGCGAGCGGCTCCCGACAAAGACGCTTGCCAAGGGTGGAGGAATTGCGGCGCTTGCCAGCACATAGTGAGCGGTTGAAGACTGGGGTTGAGCAGGACTGCTCGCCGTAGCGCCAACTCCAGCCAAATTTGGGCTCCTCGAGTAGCCAGAGATATGTGTGGCTTCAAAGGATGAGGAGATTGAGGTCTTGACGGACACGCGACGCGCCAAGCGACTGCCAGCGCTATGGCCGCTACTGCCCGAGCGGCTGTCGCTTCTCTTGGAGAGCGAACGCGAGGCAGAGCACGAGGAGACAGCGGAAAGTGATATGGCCGATGCGGCGGGATCGGGTATACCGAGCACCTTGAGCGCCTTTGACTTGGAAGGGGTGCGTGGCGCCATGGTCGACAGGTCAGCGTCGTCTTCTAAGTCGGCGCCGTCAATCTTCCACTGGGCCGACTGACCACGCACAGCAGCCACACTATTGCTGCAAGAGGCAATAGCGCCCTGCTGTGGCTGCTCCTCGTCTTCCCACGGGCAGACCTCGTTGAGTGGCTGAGCGACGGGTTCGGGCAAGGCATGATGCGCGAACGAGGCAGGCGTCGTCTCTGTCGTCTCATTCGACTTGCCAGACGTCTGTGTGTGCTTGCGACGTAAAGGCAGGGCCGTCGTAGACGGTAGCTTGCTGACCATCCCGCTTAGTGAGCCGACGCTCGATCCTGAACGGCTGTCTGGTGTGAAGACGGAGGAGTTCGGGTTGTTGTGGACCGGCAGCGGCAGGCATGAGAATGAGTCGCGGTGGTGGCGAAGCTTAGAGGTGATAGAGTCGGTAAAAGATGTGCGAGAAGACGGACGCTCACCGAGGTGGTGCTGTTGTAGATCGGGAGTGGCGACGCTGCGTTGCGAGCTTGGATCGAAGCGGCTCTTCATGCTGCCTGCCGGCGTGATGCGACCCTGGAAGATGTCGACAGCGGGATAGTCACGGCCGGCCACCTGCGGCGTAGCAGAGCGTTGAAGATCGTTAGCGGGCGTGAAGCTGCCCTCTTTGCTTGGTGTACCTTGTGGACCATCGGCGCTGCGGATGTTGCGGTATTTGCAGGAAAGCGAAGCAGGCGTAGCTGCTTGAGTGCGCGCTTCGGCTCGCAGACTGGCCTTGCTTGCCTTGCTCTCGAGCTCTTCGACCCGACCCAGGCTGGAGCTTCGCATGGCAGAGCGAGCCTCTACTCGTGCCCGAGCTAGAGATTTGGCTGTAACAGCAGGTGAGACGGATGGCTGGATGCTGTGCTCCTCACGGTCAGCGGCATCTCCTTTGCCACCGACCCAGTCGAAGCAATGTTGACAATTTGGGCACTGCACCACGGCAGGTATGGAAGGAAGTGTGGCTGATACATCCGGCTTGGAGTCGGCTAGAGCTGGCGGTAGAGACGCTGTCTTGGCGACGGTGAAGTTGCACATGACAGTGTCAATGGTGAGCTGCGGTCGGGAGCGGCGGATATTCAGGGAGGCCTCGTGGTGAGAAAATTCCATGCCCGGCACACAAGAAGCTAGGCCTATTTGTGGAACCGCTTGGACCCCAGCTTCGACATAGTGCTTGGCACCGCGACCAACAAGAAGAATGGCGTCGGTCCTAGCAATCGACTTCTTGGCAACTTGAACAAGCTGGACGGGCGTAGAAGGTGTCTCAGCGTCGCTCACTGGCGAATGCGAGTCGCAGCTGGCACCACACGAATGACTATCTTGCTCGTGCTCGTAGTAGTGTCCGTCATCGCCGTTTTCGCTGCCGCTATCGCCTAGGCAGGCCATGTCGCTACGGTATGAGTCAATGGACCAGCGGGCATCCTCGCCGGTGGAATGCGAACGGCAGCGAGCGGCGAGGGCGGCAGCGGTGCCAAAGTGAGCTTGCTCTGCGCTGGCGCTGTGTATCTCATCCTGTGGATCGTCGTCACGGCAGTACACTTGCTTCAGGCTCGGCGCACGAGGGCGCGCCTGGCGTTCGAATGCTGCCAGCGTTGCCACTTGAGGGAGCACGAGGGGTCGAGAGTGAATTACCGGACTTCGGCTTTGCCATGCATGGGTCTTGTCGGTGGTCGGCAACGGATCATTGTGAAGGTCGATTGGTGGCATTAGGTAGGCACTACTGCGGTCTGGCGTGGGTCCCGAGCGCACCATAGCCGCTGCAGATGGGCTTCGGGAGGGCGTCCAAAAGTCCTCCTCGTCGCGGCTTGCGAATGAGTCGGTGGATGGGCGTGAAGGTTCGGAGGCGTGACGAATAGGAGCTGAGTCTCCTACACATTTGGTCTCTGGCAAGTCCACTAGCCTTCGACGGGATCGGCGTACGTCGGTCTCCTTGGGAGTGGTCGCCGTACTCGGTATATCGTAGAAGCGCTGAGCAAAGAAGCGTGGCGTCTCGGCGCGAGAGCCCGCGCTGCGTTGAGGATCGCTGTGGCCGCAACTTCCTTCGCTGTTGCCACCAGCGCTTGGGAGTCGATGGGGACCGCCAGTGACGGTGCTGAGGTTCCTGGGTGCCTCCTCAGGCGTCACAGCGCCACCCACGACTGCGATGGACGTTGGGGAGTCTATGACCATGCGGCCAGTGCGTAGCTGACTCTTGCGCCGACCGTCCGGAAGCAAAGGCCAGCTGGTATTACTGCGCATCGAATCGTTGCTGGGCCGCGACCCGGGGAGGATGCCTGGGGAGGGCATCATGCGGCCACAACTGCTCGTCCTGCTATCGCGAGAGGCAGGTCGATGTTTCGCCGCATGCCCATTACCCGTGTTGATTGAGAATTGTCGATCAGATATCCAGCTTGGCCCCGTCTTGCTTAGCACGAAAACGCCAGCAGCCGCAGCAGCAGCTGCAGCCCCCGATGTAGAAGCAGAGGACGACGAAAGGCTCCCTGTGCTCCCAGCGCCAAAGTAGCCACTACGCTGCCGAGCGGCTACAGCAGCGGGAGAGGTTCCGCCAGAGAGAAGGCCAGCACCCCCGTCACTGCCACGCTCGTCGCTGTATCGGCAGGCCATGCCGTGCTGTTTGCACCAAGAAAGACAGCGACTGATATGGTATCAAGAAGAATGTGCGTTTGCGTAAAGAGGACAGGAGGGCAAGATGATACAAGACGGCTGCGACGATCTTGGCGGGCGATAGCGATGACGGCGGTCGATGGCGGCGGACGGCAGCGGCAAAAGGGGGCGGGCGGATGGTAGGCGCCACGATCCGCGCTTCATCAGGTGAGTTGGCTTTGCCCTCGACCCGGTGCTTCGACGCGGCAATCAGTCGTACTGTCCATCCGACGACGATGATAACACCCCGCTCGTTCACGCGCACACGCTACTTCTATTGCCGTCGGGGAAGATTCCTTGTGCCTGACGATGTATGTTTGCCGGGTCTTGCCAGTCAAAGCTCAGCCGCTGATCCTCCCGTCGCCATCGACTGTGATGCCGTTGGTTGCTCAGGGGCTCCCCCGCTCCCGCTCCCTTCAGCCATTCCGCCCGCTCGCTGATCCGTCGTGACATCCCGTGAGACCTTGTGATGCGCTTGCGGTGAGATCGGAAGACGTTGAGCCACCTCGAGTGGTTGTTGCGCCGGCACACCACCTTCCGGCACGCCGAGAGCTGGCGTCGGGTCTACACGCAATTCTTGGCCATGCTGGGCGGGGGAATGACGAGGTGGAGCAGCTGCAGCACTGCCACCGAGGTCTGGGCGACGTAGTGGGGGAGGCGGTGCATGATGATCTTGCTCTCGTGGAGGTGGGCGTCTAGGCGGTGATGCGCTCGGCCCAGCAATAGGGTAGACTTCTTCTCGTGGAGGTCGATGTTGTGTCATATGCGGGCCACCGTAGCCGTTGCGATCTCCTTCCCGCTCTCGATGGTTTTGCTGAGGATGCTGGCGTTCGCGAGAACCATGGCCATAGCCATTGGTATGCGGCTTGACGTCGCGATCATCGTAGTGTAGCGAGGCTTGGTGACGGTGCTGCATCTCCGCAGCGTACTCTCGCTCCACACGTTCGCGTTCTCGCTCTTGTTCGCGTTGATGCTCACGTTCACGCTCGCGCTCTCGCTGACGGTGATACTCCCGCTCCCTCTCGCGTGCCTCCCGCTGCTCCCGCTGTTCTCTTTGTTGCTGCTCCCGCTGCTGTTGATGATGATGCTGGCGCTCTCTTTCACGCTGTTCGCGCTCATACGCGGCAGCTTGCTCTGCATTGTAGAGATCTTCGGGATGAGGGTGCTGAGGGTAGCCGTGGTGCTCAGGGTGCATAGCGCGCTCGTCGTACGGATAGCCTGGTCCGCCGTAATAGCCTTGCTCTGGCCCCATTGGCGGCATCTGCGCGGGCATGTGTTGCGGCGGCGGCGCCTCGGGCATGACTTGCATCCGCTGAATGCCCATCCGCTCGAGATCGTTCCACGCTTCAAAGTCCTCGAGTCCTCGCAGATCAGGCAAGGCGATGTGACTGCCAAGTGTAGCGAGCTCCTCGGCCTCCCTGGCTGCTCTCCTGCGGCCTACGACACCCTTTTCACGATCTGCCTTGGCGGCTTGAGCTGCGGCTGCTGCGAGATCAGGGTCGCCGATGAGCTCCGTCTCGAAGACTTGATGGCGACGTGAGGGGCGAGGGGCATCGAGATTGCGCTTCTCGCGTTCGAGCTTGCGCCGCTTCCGGCTGATATCGTCCATTGAGTCACGTCGTAGCTCGGCAGCACCGTAGCGCCAGGTCATCCAGGCTTCGCGCTCTTCTGCCGCTGCCATCTTGGCGAAGTGGCGTTGCTCCTCTTCGAACCACAGCTCGACCTACGCGGGCAAGGACAGGAGGGATCAGTCTTCCCTGTATGCAGCCTATATCACGCCGCCTACACTCACTGTACGCAGGCGATGCTGCCTTCTCGCCTCGATCAATGCTGTGAGGTGGATGAGCTCCGGATGAGTGCCGTCAAGGATCATTTCGCTCTCCCGGGTGACCTCTTCCATGCGCTCAATGTAAAGGCGGTCGCGCAGCATGGCAAAGTCGATTTCGATCTTGGTGAGCGCGTCCATGGCTTCCGTCCGGCGGAGGGCCGCCTCGTCTTGATCTTCCTCGGGCTCAGGGAGCGGTGTGCCCGCTGCGGTTGCGCTTGCCTCAACGGCGGGCTCTTCAGCGGGCTCCTCTGCTGGCTCCTCTTCGCGCTCTTCTTCCTCTTGCTGTCTTTGTGCCGCGTCGTCCTGCTCCTCCTCATCTTCCTCGCCCTCTGCCTCTGCGCTTGGTTGGCGTGACGTGCCTCCCTCGGAACCAGGGTCCAGGACGATCTGCGCGCCCAAAAGGCTTGCCTTGCGTGCCCTGGGAGTCAACTTGACAGACGAATCGGGCAGGTCGGCCGGAACGGTATCATCCGCTTCTGCTTCGCCATCTGCGTCGGCATCCGCATCCTCGTCATCGTCCGGTCCCTGTTGCTCAGCTTCTTGCGCCTCGATTTGCGATACCAACGCGTCCAATCCACTTGGGGTCGCCGCCTGCTCCTCCTCTTCCTCCTCCTCCTCGTCCTCTTCCTCTTGCGCGATGTTCTCCCTCTCCTGACGAGCTCTTCGTCCGCCAGCGCGCTGTGCGGGGGCAGATGACTTTTGCTCTTCCTCTTCGTCATCCTCGTCGTCGTCCTCTTCATCGTCATCTGCCTCATCGCCCTCATCACCGTCTTCTCCTTCCTCGCCTTCCTCACTGTCGTCTTCTCCTAGCGCATCCTCGGAATCGCTGGCGTCGCTGGCATTGTCTTCATTCTCTGGAGCGTCGGACAGATCGCTATCGGATTGGGAAGGCTCTTGTGTTGACTTGGCTGGCGAGACAGCCGTCGTTGAGTCTAGCAGAGCCGAGGCAGCAGCGGCTGCGTCGTCCATGTTTGCGTCGCCGGCGTCCATGTTGGCGTCTTGGGCTCCCTCGTCGTCGGATGGATATGGCAAAGGCTCGGTCTCTGCGTCGGATGTGGGATCTGTGGCCTTGTCGCCAGAGCTGGAGGGCATCGCGCGCCCAGCGTCGTGAGCAGGAGGTGTGAGATCGGTGGTAGTAGTGATGAGGGTTGGTTGCGGGGTTGTTCACAGGTGCGTGCGCGAACGACACACACCCACCGGCGAGCGGATGGAGGGCGGCGACGCTGCGAGCGTGTGAGGGCGGACTGGCGCGACTAAGGCCGCGGGGCGACTCTCGAATCCATGAACGCAAACCACGTGGCTGGCGCTATCGCGTCGTCGATCTCCTCGCTCCCTCTACGAGCCCCCTTCCATATTCTATTCTCTTCGCAGCAGCGCCGTACGTCTTCGGGAGATCGATGCTCGCCTGATCGATCACACGATGAGTTGGGCGTCGAAGGTCTGCAGCTCTAGGACGCTGCGCCCCAAGCTCGGTGTCCAAGACCCTCGCGTGGGCGCTGGCTGCTGGCTGACGCGCAGTGTGACGTCGAGCTCCACTTGACTTTGAGGTCTTCTGAACCCTGAATGACCCACTTCTTCATCAGACGTCAGGGCATATAAGCAAGGAGACGAGCCGGATCTGCGTTCCCTTCTTTCAACGATATCAAAACAAAGAACTTAATCCCTCACATCACCACTACCACACCAAGTGAGCCACAGCCGCATTGGCCAATTCCTCATCTCCACCCGGCGCTGACCACCTCTTTCCTCCCCCTCTCCAGTCACCGACATGTCCGAGGCATTCGCAGGCAAGTCCAACGCCCAGATCATTGACGAGCAGTCGGCCGACCTCGACCAGAAGTCGCGCGGCCAGACCGGCGAGTCCTTCAACCCCCGCAACACTGCTCTCAGCGAGGAGTCTGGACTCAACGAGTCCGGTGTCAATGACAGCAGCAAGTTCCCTGGCGTCGAGATCCAGCACGGCCGCGGCGGCATGACCGGTGGAGGCGACGAGGTGCCCATCCGTCCCGGAGAGGGAGCGGACGGGGACCAGATCGAGTCGTCGAGGCGCTACGAGGGAATTGGCGGACCGGAGGACAAGAGGGCGCAGGAGCTCGCTGACAACCCCGGAGGGTACGACGCAAGGCCGAGGGGAATCGACGAGGTCCCTGACAGGTCCAAGGCAGAGGTCGTCCCCATGACTGAGGGACAGCAGCTCGAGGATGACCAGGAGGGCACCGCGCGTGGCTTCAGCATCAACTCGTAGACGAGCGAGCACGCAAAATGAAATCAATCATACTGAAGAGATCATTCTGGCTTGACTGATATCGTTGTGTCTTGATTTGATGTCTTGGACGGTGCGTGCTGATCTGACGAATCGCCCTCAACACGATCAAGATCAGCACGATCAAGATCAGCACGACGCGCTTGACTCACACGTTGCATTCTGCATTCTACCAGTAGCCCGTACAACAATGTCAACCCTGTAGCTCCTCACTTGCCCGGGCCGCCCTTCCCATTGGGGCCCGCGCTACCAGTCGTGGGCGCCGTCGACGGCCTAGGCGAAGGCGATGGAGCTGCCCCTCCCTTGCTCGCATTCGCGGGCGTCATGCCTTGCACGCCACTGCCGCTATTCGTGCTGTTCGTCGTCCCCGTGCTCGTCGTCCTCCTGCGACTCTTCGCCTCATCAGCCTTGAGCAGCTCTTTGACCTGCTGGAAATGCACGTCCACCCCAGCTCCATCCTCCTCGTCAATGAGCAGATGATTAGCAAAGGCGATGAGGTAGGCGTAGCGAGCGAGGTAGTTGTTGAAGACGGTCGACAAGTGACGACGCTTCGCTGAGCCGACGGGAGCATTCTCTGCTCGGAGGCGGGCATCGTAACAGGCGACACGCAGGTTCTGTACTTGATCCATGCGGTCGACGGCTTCGTCTACGAGGAGCTTGGCGAGCTTGCCTTGGGAAAGGACGCCGACGAGACGAAGGATGATGCGGTACTCGCCGTTGAGGAGAAGCTCTTCCTCGCGGTTGTCCAAGAAATCCTTGGCTCCCGTCATCCTATCACCGGCAACGCTGCCTGTGGTGCTCTCGCCTCCGCCGCCGTCAAGAATGACGCTGTCGTCCCCGCTGAGCACACCGCTGGCAGTCAGATCGACTGCACCGCCTGGGCCAGCGGCCAAGATCTCGTCACGATGATGGTGCACCGTGCTGACCAAGGCAGCGATCACCATACCGGTCGTTGTTCTGCCCCTTCCCATCTGACAATTGAACGCAGTGGCCGCTCCCTGCCTGAGCGCGGTCAACACTCTCCCTTCAATAGCCTTGAACACCCCGGGCAAGGGTGCCTGCTCATCTGTGACCGCCACTCGCCCGTAGTCCACCCGGTAACCCTCAGCCTGCACCATCGCGTACGCCTCGGCGGGGGTGAGGACGTCCGTGTTCGGGTTGCGTAGGCTCTCCCAGACGGGGATGATGTCGAATTTGCCAGGCTCGACTTCCACTTCGTCATGCAGCAAGATGCGGCCGTCGCGGCGAGCGGCTTCCTCGATCACGTCGCGCTTCAGGGCAATCTCTTGACGCTCGACCGTTTCTGTGGTGATACCAGTAGCTTCGAGGTTGGTGAGGGGCTGGTCGGCGAGGCGCAGCACATGCGGACGTCCGCGCACGTAGACGACGGGCTCTTCTCGCAACGAGGTCCATACGACAGTTGTGTCGCCCTTGGGCCCGGCCTTCATCTTTTCCAGTCCTGCCCTCAGTCCGTCAAGCGTCGGCATCCCACTGCCCCACGTCGATGATCCCTGCATTGACAGCTTCCCTGGTGTGGACGGCTCAGCATCTGGCGGGCCGACCAGCAAGGGCACCTGCCTCAAGTTGGGAATCCCCTCGATCTGGGAAAGGTGCACCTTGGCGATGCCCGAAAAGAAGTCGCTCTTGAGCATAGTATACGCAGTGAGGATGGCGCCATCACGATGCGCAACCACGTCGTCCACCTCGGACGCCAAAGCCATCCCATCCGCCGCCTCAATACCTCCCTTGCTACCCTGCGCATTCTGCTGCAGCGGCGTGATCAGTGCCAGGCTGACATTCTCAAACTCCTTGCTAATCGTCTGCAGCACAGGTTGACGATGCACAAAGTCCTGGAAGGTGGGCATATCCCCCACGATGACGTCGGGTTTGGTCTGACTGAGGTACGACTGGAAGAGGATGAGCACAAAGTATCGACGCAAGGCTTGGCAGCCTGCATGGATCTTGGCTTTGCGCTGCGGATTGTCGTCTCCACCGTCCATCTCCTCGGCTGCGAGGCGGAACTCCTCGATCGAGTCGCGGAGGTTGGTCACGGCGGACCCTTGGTCGATGGCCTCGTCGACTGCGCGTTTCACTTCGAGGCCGTGCGGGATGACGCGGAGCAGACTGTTGATGAGATGGTAGGAGAGTGGTGGAGGGCGGTGCTCCGCGGCGGGAGAAGAGGGCTTCGCATCGTCGTTGGCAAGCAGCAAGAGCTCCTCGCCTGCATTCCCATGCTCGCGGAGCCATTGAGCGATGAGCAGCACGATGACTGAAGCCAACGTACTTCGGCCCCGTCCAAGCTGACAATTGTTCACGATCGCCGAATCGCGACAACGCAGTACGAGCTGCAGGAGCGCAGTGAGGTCTTCGTAGTCAGGCGGCTTCTCCGCCGTGAAAGGAATACGCCTGAACTCGAGCTGATCAACACCGCAGATGGCAGACCCGTCGCGCTTGACCTCGGTCGACACCTTGCCCATCACGTCCTGCAACGTCTCAACGTCATCGGCTGAAACCTCCTGCCATTGCGGGTAGATCTCGCCGTTGGCGTCCTCGGAGTGAAGGAGGAGACGTCCGTCGTTCTGCTGCAGCTCATGAATGACGTCGGCCTTGAGACGGTCTTCAAGAAGCTGCAGACGCGCCCAAGAAATGCCACCATATGCTTTGATGTTGCGCAGGGAGAGCGTCGAGTCACGCAGCACCATGGGCCGGCCGGCAACGTAGATGAGCGGCTCTTCGCGCAAATTCAGCCAGTAGCAGGATATCCTTGCGCGTCCCTTCAACTGGTCGCCAATACTCTTGAGCGCATTGCGAATCCCATCGACCGTCGGCTGCCCAGTAGCAAAGATGGCTGTCCCTGCGATCCGCCTGAAGTTGATGGCTCCACGAACGTCAAAGACCGCAGCGTCCGACGGGCGGTCACGTTGCGCTTGCCAGAGGTCCTCCTTCAGCAAGGTACCAGGTCGAAGCACGATACCTGAGCGCAAATTGCGGACATGGTGATCTGCAAATTCGTCACCTGCTGCTGCACGCTGCTCCTCGCTGCTGTTGCCGGCCGAATCCTCTGTAGCCATGCGTAGGTGCGCCATACCGCCGGCCTGATGCGCTCCCTTCCCACCACCCCGACGCAGCTGGCTCAGGTCAGCCACAGGATCAAAGAGGTAGAGCTGCTTGCCCTTTGAGCGGATCCGCTGAATGGTGTTCCAGATTTCGGAGCGACGGGTCAGCCAGCTGGCGAAGGAGTCTTGCGGCGTGGCGGCCGTTCCATCGATGGTATTGACGTACGAGGAGAATGCGAGGAGGAAGAAGTACTTCTCAAGAGCACGAACAGCCTTGTCCAGATGCATGGCCGCCTTCTCACTGCGGCGCACCCCGCCGTCGTGCCCGTGATGTTGGTGATGCTGACCAGCTGAATCTGAGGAGGAACCTGAGCTGACCAGGGCATAGCTGGCTCGCTCGAGAAGAACAGCTTCTCGCAGGTTCGTCAGGTGCGCGGCTGAATCGATGGCCACATCCACTACAACCTTGTCATCAATTCCAGCGTCGAGAATGCCGCATAGAGCACGGATGACGCTAAAGTCTCCGGTCAATGCTCGGCGTAGCGCCTCAAGGAGGTCTGGGTTGGCCAGCATGAGCTCGACTGGAGAGCTAGAGCCTGCCGTACCCAGAAGCTGGACCAGTCTCAGTAATGCTTGAGCCTGAGCCTGCTTCTCCCAAACGGCTCGCAGGCTCTTTGCCATCGACGAGTCGGCGCTGCCCTTGATGCCAGTACTTCTTCTTTGTGCTTCTAGAGCCGGCGAAGTGACAGCGGTGGCTGCCAGGCTAGGACTGTTGGCCGCACCGGATGAGTTTGGATTGCTAGGACTCATCGTCCCGTCGGCCAAGTTGAAAGGATCAGGATGGCCACGCAGGATCCACTGTCTTCGCCTGACGATCTGTGCCGCTACCATAGCGAAGGTGGTTCGCGTGACTCCCGCACCGCAGTTGGCAACGACTGCCGACGTCTCAGGGTCGAGGGACTGAAGAATGCGCGTGTATGCATCAAGGTAGTTGTTCTCTATGGGTTGGTCAGGCGCGATTGGTACGCGATGGTAGTCGCACGCCCATCCTTGACTGCGTAGATCCTCGAAGACATCTCGAACCGTCTTGACGGTCTCTGTGTCTACAGCGATCCAAGTCGGCTTGAGCTTGGGCTCGTCACCTTTTCCTTCTTCCTCATGCACCATGATCAGGCCGCCGAAGCGCGCAGCCTCGCGCAGGATGTCGTCCTTGAGCCTGCCCTCGATGGCCTCCAAGTTGTCGGCACGAGACGAGAGGGAGAAGGTGTTAATTGGGCTCGTCTGCTCGCGGAGTACAAAGGGTCGAGCGCCAATGTAGATGCTACGAGCGAGGGACGGAGAAGAAAGTTGAGTCAGATGCAGGATGGAAAGGTAGCTTCGCATGTGCGCCCACTCACATTGGCTCTTCACGGGTACAGACCCAGACTGTGGTCTTCTTCTTGGCCTGCTGAGTAATGGGACGCATATCAGGAGACTCGATGGGCGATGCGGCCTGTTTATTGAGCTGATGCGACGCCTGACGCGAGACTGGCGGTGATTTGAGCGTCATGCCGGATGGCGTCCTCTGCCATGGCCTCTTATTTGCAGCTGCTGCTGGAGGGGGTGCTGCGCCCAAAACGGCTAATATTGTGCGCAGACCCGTGATAGTGGGCTGAGCGGTACCATAGACTTCAAGCGGTGCATCGGCTTTGCGGAAATTCGGAGCACCTTGCAAAGACAGATCGAGCTTCGTGGGGCGAACGCGCGTGCCCTCGAAATGGTCTGTCTTGAGGACGAGACCTCGAGTCAAGACGCTACCTTGACGAGATCGAACGACGTTGGCCTCTCCTGCCTTTCGAGACCATAGTGGCGACTTTGATGCTGGGCGAGCTGCAGCTCTGTTGAGTGTAGCGAGGATGGAAAGATCGTCCGAGGGTCGAGGCGTAGGAGCTGGGCGAGCTTCCGTCGTCTCTGAGTCTGGCAGCTTGACATTGGGCGGCGGATCTGCGAGGGAAGAAACATCTGCGCCCGTGTTTGCCTGGTCAATAGGCGCAGGCGGGTCGAGCATTGTGGTGATTGCCAAAGCGAATGCTTATCGGCGAAAAGAGGAAGTGAGTGAGGCCAAGATTGGGACGCAGCCTGCCGCGACACGGAAGACGGCGTCCAGTCCAACACGCAGCACCGCACGGCCCTCAGTCCGCCGTCCCCGCACCAATCAAGCTCCGAATCACTGGCAGCTTCAACTCCTTGACTTGACTCCCTTCACTCCTTTAGCCCGGCGCCACTGCTGCTATGCCACGCAAAAAGGGCAGCAAGGGAAAAGTAAAGGGCAAAGGCCGCACCAAGGATGGCAAGCCCGTACGGTGGGAGAAGACGGACTGGGGAGAGGATTATCGAGTGACGCCGATGCCATTCGAAGAGAGCGAAGGCAGCCTGGCATCCTGGAGCGAGAATGATGAGAAATGGTCTTTTGTCGATGTCTCGCAGCTCGAAGCACAGCTGCAAATCAACGAGGAGGGCGAATCCGGCCCTCCAGAGTACGAAATCGAAACGATCCTTCGGTGGAGGCGACACCCGCGCAAGGGCTACACGCAATATCGCACCAAGTGGAATGGATTCAACATTCACTCAAACACGTGGGAGCCAGAACAATGCTTCAGCAAGGAGGCCATGGATGAGTTCTGGGAGTCAAGGGGAGGCAGGCCAGAGGACATTCCTGAGCCGGACAGCGGGGATGATACACCCGTTCTCGATGAAGACGATACCGATCGACAAAAGTACGAAGACAGCTCCGTTGGCGTGGATGCCAGACGAAGGCTCAGGCTCGAATTCAGGAGGGATAAGAAGCTCTTCAGAGAGTACAAGCGTAAGAAGGCACAAGAGGAGCTTGCGGAGAAGCAGCGCAAGAGGCGCGCTCAGGTGGTAGGGTCGGATGCGGAGGACGACTTAGACGACGATGACGGCGACGTCAGTATTCAAAGGCCCAAACCTCGCGCTCGAGCAAGTCCAGGGACAGACTCAAAAAAGCGCAAGCGCGACAGCCCGGAGCTCAGCAGCGAGCTGAGTAGCGGCCCCTGTTCGGCATCGGACTCTGACCAACCAATGGCTCGCAGGAGACCGCAATTGGCCATTGCAGAGCCGACTGTGAGGCCAAGTTCAGCAATCGCGTTGGCAGCTGCAGCCGCTACACCTCTGTCTCCTTCGGCGTCACGACCTGGCCTGCCGCGCATTATCAGCGAAGAGGTCGAGCCAGCGTCGCGCTCAAAGGATACGCGAACCGGGTCGAGCGCTCAGAGTGCCACAGCTGAGCGGCGATCAAGCCCTAATAGCTCGATCAGACCGCAGCCAAGCGTGGCACCGGTATCCAAGCCAGCTTCTACTAAATGGTCCACCCAGCACCATCACCGGCCCCTGGCCAATGCGAGTGTACGTGAGCTGGAGAGGCTTGCGCGAGAAGCAAAGGTGGCAGGTGCAGGGGCGACTAGCACAGGCAATCCCGCTAAGAAGGCGAGGCAGGCATCTCCGCCTAGACAAGGGACACAGCCTCGGTCAGTCCAGCAGAATGCCATTGCCGGCCCCTCCTCAGCACCATCATCGGCGACTAGCCCGCCCGGCAGCGGCACGGGCAATTTCCTCGATGCAATTCTTCCTCCCCCTTCAACCTCCAACGCCCAAGCAAAAGGTGCCTACATTGGTGCCCACAAGAACCGAAAGCAGACCATGATGCTGGAAAAAGCGCCTGCGGAGCCCTTGCCGCAAGGCCGATTCCGGGGAAGAGGGCCGCCGGTGAGGCCGCCCCCTGTGGCGCCTTCAGCTGCTGTTGGCACTGGGCTCAGCGGAAGTGGGAGTGGGAGTGCTGGACAACAGCAGCAAGCAAGCTCATCTGCCGGTGCGCAGGGAGCTGACAGGTCGGTGGGGTACCAACAGCGGCAGCAGCAGCACCAGACACGCTCTGCACCGCTCGACCCACCTCGGTCACCTGATCAATATACACCAAGAAGCCCGATCGGCGCCGGCGATGGGGATCGCAACACCAGCTGGGGAGCACCGGCGGCAAGCAGGGATTCTCGTCGTCCTCTCGAAACACCTGCGGCCCGTGGAAGCCCTCCAGCCTCTTCGGGGTCTACACCTCCAGTCTCCCCATCTTATCACCCTCCCAGACCATATGCGCTCGTCTCCCCCCGCATGGAGCATCGGGTCGCTACAGGGGCACGTCATTCCTCCCCCGTCGAGCGCCGTCCGGGAAGCGGCAGCGGCAGCAGTGTCAGCCCCATCGCTACTCGCCCGCCTCTGCAGCCTTTCGGCAGCACTGCTGCGCCTTTGCGCGGTTCGAACGAAGCCACTCTTGATCCAAGAAGAGCTAGGAGATGGGGTTCACCATCCGCCGGGGTGACAAAGGCTAGCGCGGCGTTGCAGGAGCAGCAGGCAGCAGGTCATGGACAGCCAGAGGAAGAGGCAGGCAGAGAGCATCAGCCTCGCCGTCCGTCACCGCCCTCTCAGCTGCCACTATCGAACAGCTCGCCCCCTCCGCCGCCGCCTGATGATGATGGACCGCCGCCGATGTCGCCAGAGATTGTCCCGCAGTCGGTCATTTCGGCGGGATCTGATCCTGCTGCAGGACTTTCGGCTGCCAAGACTGTGGCCGCCTCCTCCGCTCCTCCAGCTGAGGGAGACGCTGGAGATGAACAGGCAGACGCCGAAGCGGCCGAGGTAGAAATGGCGACCCTTTCCGCTTCACCACTCCCCCCTGGTCCTCCTCCTGGTCCTCCGCCTGGACCTCTTCCGCCTGCGGCTGCCGCGGGCCAGAGCGACGATATGGATATCAGTGCGGACGAAAGCCGCGACAAGCAGACGGAAGCGGTCTCTGGCTCCAAAGCGGTGCTGCCGCAAGCAGAGCAGCATGTCCCGCCCTCTTCAGACCAGACCCACAGCTCGCTCCCCGCCAAGCCGCTACCACCCCTCAACATCACTCACGTCCATCGCGCGCGGCCCACGCCTAGCCACATCACTCGCGGCTCCCCTGCACCGTGGCTCTCCGCCAGCAAGAGGGACCCTCGTCTCAAATCTCGCGTCGTAGTAGCGAAAGGAGGGCCACCGCCTTGGATGCCTCGATCGAAGTGGACTACTGGCGCTGCTGAGAATGAGGAGAAGGAGGAAGGAGAGTTGGATGCTGATGAAGATGTTTCAGCCGCAGCGCCTACTGCGCTTGGGGCTCCGGAGCCGAGAGCGACGGCTACGACTTGATGTGTGCGAGCAGGTCAGGCACGAGGTGGATGACGGCGATGGCTGTGGTATTGAAGTGAGGCGAAGTGACGATGGCGAAAAAGGGAAGGAGGCACAGAAGGAAGGAAACATTTCGACAGTAACGGTGTGATAGCTTCTCAGGAGTCGCTACCCTTCGGGCGCCCCTTTTTCTCTACTCCTCGATACCCACTTCACGTCTTGATTGCCTGGCTCTCGTCCCTTTCTCTGTATCCTATTCTGTCCTCTTTCCATGACCATCTCGACCCGAATACCAAGCGCTTTCCCACCTCCATACCCGCCTGCCAACTCTTTCAGCGATCAAGCACCAACTCCTCCTCAAACTCGTACCCGTCCAAACTATGATCGCCACGCCTTCGTCGATCTTCTAGTGCTGCGTGGGTGGGGGGCCGCTGACCGTAGTTGGAGGAGGAAGAAGCTTGTTCGCCGGGTGAGGCGGAGGGACTGGATGGGGCAGAGGAGAGGGCAGTGGAGACTTCAGAGACGGCACGTTTGGGCGCTGAGGCTACGGAGGCGCCGCGCTTGCTCCTCGTGGCCGAACCGCCTTTGTCTGGCTTCTTCGTGGCTCGCGACGCAGATGAGACAGCCTTCTTGCCCGCAGCAGCGCGTGATGACTGGCTCTTCGCGCCGACCTTGCTGGAAGCTTTGCCTCTCTTGGCGGTAGCTCTTGCCTTCTTGTTGTCGTTGCTCTTCTTAGCTGTCTGCTTGCCCTTCCCCTTCGCCTTGTGTACAGGGCTCGTGACAGGTGAGGAGGACCACGTCGGGCCGAGATGAGAGTCGTCTTCCTCATCCTCATCGTCAGGGTCGTCCGCGAACCTCGCCCTCTTCCTGTTTGTCCGCTTCTCTGGCGAAGCTGCCTTCTCTCTGGCGGCAGTAATGCCGGCACCCTGCACGTAGCGTCGCGGCAGCACTTGGTCGAGGAACTTGTCTACACGCCACTTTTCTGGGGCATTGACGTCACTGCTGCTGCTGGTGCTGACCTCGTCGCTGCCTTGGGCAGCCTTGCCACGCGCGGTGGCGCGTCGCGAGCCTCGTTGTACCGCTGCTCGTCGAGGAGCGGCCTTCTTCTCTTGCGCCGGGAGAGCCTTGCCTTGCTGTCCCTTTATCCCCTTCTGACCTCCTCTTGCTGGCCTCTTGCTAGTTGACGGAGCAGCATAATCGTCCGTATCGCTTGAGCTGCTGTTGCCCTCTTGATCCCCCTTCTGTCTTTTGTCAGCGGCACCTGCTGCAGGGTCGGACGAAGCATCGTCGGCTGAACCCAAGATGCGCCGTAGGATGGCATCATCGTCATCGTCTTCGTCTTCGTCGTTTCTGCTCTGACCAACGTTCCCTATAGCGCGACGAGTACTCGTGAGTACGCCCAGCACGTCGGGCATGTCCTCGTCACCGTCTTCACGGCCCTCTTCGCGTACCTCTTCCCGTCCCGTACCCTCCATCTGCAGCTCGTCGCTGCCGTTTCCAGTATCATCACCAATCCCCAGCCCTCCCTCTCGAATCGACCGCAGCGTCTCATTTTGCTTCTCGATCATCTCCTCAAAGGCCGTATCCTCATTCCTGTCTCCAGCACCCATGCCTTCAGGCACCAACGCCGCGTAGCCTGCGCTCACCATCCTCCTTCGCTTGATGCGCTCTTCAGCTCGGAAAAATCCAAAGGGGTCTTGTGAATCCTCAATGTCCGCTGCAGTGTCTCTCCTATCACCGCGGTCTCGGCGTTTGTGTTCAGACCTAGGCTCTCCGGCAATACTGCGGCGCTCGCTACCCTGTCCAGCCTTGTGTGCCGAGTCGCGGTCGCGACTACCAGCAGGTGTCCTCGCTGCTCCCTTGTGATGATACAGCTGACGCTGTTGCGAGCTGCTCCTTGCTGCCTGACTCGCGCTGCGAACGAAAGCAGCAGTCCTTGCCTCCTTCGTACGCGCTACCTCCTCGTCCGTCGCGTCGGAGGGGAGCTGCAAGTGTCGACGGCTTTGGCTGGTGGCAGAGTGGGAGGGGGACTCGAAGCGTCGCTTTTGCCCTGTAACTGAGCCTGAGCCGCGTCGCTGCTGCTCATGAAGACGCCGGCGCTGTGCTGAAGAAGAAGGCGTGCCTCCTCCGCTTGCCTGCATTGCGAAGAAGTCCGGCCCACGATCACCCGGAGAATGGAGCATCTGCTCGTCGAGGTAGGATCGACCTGGTACTGGAGTCGAGGCGCGTGGGACTCCCTCCCTCATGCGACCGCGCCCACTGCTGGGAGTGGCTGGACGCTGCCGCTGCTGTTGCTGCTGCTGCGTTTGCAGGCTTGATGGAATCGCGGCGGGGACGGGGATTTGCGTACGAGCCTGCGTGTCCCTGCTTTCTTCGACGTATTCATTTTCAAAATCGTCTGAGTCCGCACTGCGCTCCCGAAGCGGTGGCGCGTACTTGCGAAGCTTGGTGGCTGAGGCAGGGCGGCGGATTGGTGAGGGTGCAACCTTGGATGGCCCGGCTGCTGCTAACTTGGGGTGGGCGACGCGGTGCCGATTGATCGGCGTGGATGTGATGGGAGGAGGAACAGAAAGCTGACGGAGTTGAAGCTCTGCCTCGTTGCGCAGCGATGGTAGTGGCTGCTGCTCTTGGCTGTCGGCGAGCAGAGCTGCCTCGAGGTCGCTATCAATGGACTGGCGCTGGTCCAGACTTTGTACTCGCGCGATGCTGCCGGGGGTGAGAAAGCGCTGCTTTCCTGGTGGGCGTGGCTCTAGTTTTGAGGCTGCTACTTCACGAGGTAGTGGCTGCTCCGCCTCTTCGCTTGCATCTTGACGACGTGCGATATTCGTCTTGGTAGCCAAGGGAGTTCGCAAATGCGAGGGCGATTGTATGCCACCGCCACCCTTGGCAGCGGCAGCAGCACCGCCTTTCGCCACCGGAGACGAGCGGAAGGCGGCGGCCTTGCTTCTGCTGCTCGCCCTCGTAGCTCTAGGAGAGCTTCGAGCGGCGGGCATGAGGTCAGCTGGTGTGTATGGTGATGAGGGGGATGATAGTGGTAGAGTGGAGAAATGTGCGAGGCGGGAGCGGAAGGGGATGATTGGCTGCGAGTTGATGCGCGTCGAGCCCATCTTGCAGGTGGACGGCGCACGGGCGTCGAGATGAATCAATCAAGGGGAAGATGGTCGTGATCCGGAGAGCTGGGATGAAGGGATGAGGCGCGAAACTCTTCATTCACTGTGTGAGGCGACGAAGAAGAGGAGAAAAGGTGGTAGATGAAGCTGACAAGACGAAGCTGGAAGTGGTCCACAAAATGTGCTGCGAGACCAGACTCCAATCCCCTAGCTCTCTTACTCCCACATCCTCCCCACACCCACAAGTCTCCTTGCCCCCTTGACGATCATTGCAAAGCAGACCAGATTGCCCGACCACCAGAAAGCCGTTCTGAGCACAGAAGCTTTCTTGTCCTTAATGGCCAAGTAGCTCGCTCCATATCCAGCTCGAATTCCTAGATACGCAAGAGCGAAGGCATTGATGTGGGAGACTCCCGTCATGAGGGCAAACAGGACGGAGGAGGCGAACAGGGGGAAGTGCTCCATGCTATTCTCGTGGAGAGCCTGGTTGCGGTGAAGGAGGTTGAGCTGGGGTGGGGCGCCGGGGGGGGAAAGGAGGTCATGACGAGTAGAGCCATGATGCGGTCGAAGGCAGCGATCAGCGGGTTTCTCCCGTCTCAGCCTCGTCACGCCTGGCAGGTCTCACCTGTTCCCTCGTGATCCTCCCTTTCCTCATGTACTCCTCGCCTTTATCCGCAATATCGCGACGAGGGCTCGTGTTATCGTCCAGCCCGTACTTCTGCTTTAGGTAGCGCGCCGAGAAGACCACATGGCCAAGGACGAAGGCGACGATGATGGCCGAGCCTGAAAAGGAAGATTTGCGACTCCAGGAGCTGATGTCCCCGAGGAAGGACGTGCTTCTGGTAGGGGCAAAGAAGTGAAGAGTGAGTGGCAGAGGCTATGAAATATGCGCACTAAGCGACGTACAGGCCTGACATGATGGGATTGTGGAAGTAGGTATGGAAGGAAGGAAGGGCCACGAGACGCCGACGCTGAGGGACAAGCTTCAGTACGCATTAACGCACCAGGTGCGTCGCGCCAGTCACGTTTACATACACACCGGCGAGGCCAAGCCAAATTACTCTGTATTTGATGATACAACAAGATGAGAAGCAGGACTGAGAATGCGAGTGATTGCAGCAATGAGACACCGGCCAGATGGTAAGCCAAATGCACGAGTCGGTGAGTGTGAGGTGGAATATGTCGCGCGGTGGGCTAATGGAGGAGTGGGGGAATGATATATGAACAGGGGTTGAAGGAACGGGAGATGAATGAGCTCTAGTCCCGCTAGCTACCGCCTCTAACTGTCCTCAGCAGGCGGCGCTGAAGGGTGTGGGCGTTCGTGCGGTGCGAATGGGGGAGCACTAGCCCTTACATCTGTCGGCGCCTGCTCCTCTGCGTCAGCTCCAAGTGCAGGCGCAGAGGGTTGCTGTGCGTCCTCCCCTCGCTGATACACAGGAAGGGCCTCAGGAGCGCTGCCACCGCTGCCATGGCCGTCTCTCGCTGCATACTCCGCGGGCGATGAGGCGACGAGAGCCAGCTCAGCCTCGGCTTCGCGTTGCTTTTCTGCTGCTCGTGAGCTGAGGGCGGGAGGTTCAGATGTGGGGTTGGTGCCCTCATCAACATCGGCAGGCGGAGCGCTAGGCTCTGCCGCTGGCACGCCAGCAGGTGAGCGTGGAATTGACGTCGCCGAGCCGGACCTGCTCAACGTCGGCGGCTCACGCAGCGTTGCGCGGTGGTATGGCTGGTCGAATGGCGAGTAGTGTTGCCTATGCGCGCTCGGCGGTGCAGGCAAGAAGTCGGCGCTGACGTTTTGTTCGCCTTTGCTCTTGCCCTTGCCCTTCTCGTTGGGATAGCCGCGGTGCTCGAGGTCAGCTGCAGACGGCTGCGGTGGCAATGCCTCGAAGGCGCTGTCACCATCGTGGTCGTCGCCGAGGTCGGGAGCAGAGGGCGCTTGAATGATTTGCGGAGCTGAAGCGCTCGTCGAGCCGCCCTCGTACTGCGGCGCGCTGGGCACGCTCGTTGGCGAACTGGCTGCGGCAGCCAGAGCGGCGAGTCGGGCCTTGTCATCGGTAGCGAGATGTGCGATGCCATCCTCAGCCGTCAATGCCTGCGAAGGGCCAGTGGTAGTGACGACGTTGTCCTGCCTCTGCAAATTGGCCAACACGTGTGCAGGCACCTGTGGTGAAGTTGAAGGCGCTCCCCCAGTTGCACCCTCTTTCGAGTCCCCTCCGGTGAACTCGCCGGCCAAGGGTCGGTGATATGTTGGCTGCGATGTCGGCGCTGGCATAGGAGGGGGAGGTGGCGGAGGAGGCGACGAAGCCGAAGGAGGGTGGATGTATGCTGGTGGCTGGTTGATGTCGACAGCCTCGTCTGCCGCTTGGATATCGCTTTCATCGAGAGCAGCTGAGTGGTCCGCCTGTCGATTTGATGATGAGGGTCGCGATGTAGAATGACGAGGCCCTGACGATGATCCAGAAGCCGACTGTCCTGTCTCGCGTGACGACACGGGCTCCGCTGCCGTACCATCGTCGTATTCTACCTCAACTCGATCCTGTCTTGGCCCTCCCAATCGGCTGCCTCGCGATGCTGCCCTCCTTAGCGACGACCTTGACGATTCTGTCGAACGCCTCGAAGCGCCCGCCTCGTTCGCCGCCTGCGACGACGAGGTGGCACTACCGGTGCGCTCCATGCCCGGTGAGGATCGAATCCACCTCGATACCAACCGCTTGCTCAATGCGGTCGACGATCCGCTACTTGTGCCATCCGCTTTGCGCCTCCCTTTGCGTTGCATGGAGCCATTCTCTTCCTTCTCCCTCGCCTCCTTCTCGCTACCCTTCTTTTCCTTCTTCTTTGCCCTATCCCCTGACCTCATCTTCCGCTCCTCTCTCATTCGCCGCAAAGCTGCCTCGTCCGAGTACTCGTCGTCGTCTTCCTCGTCTACGTCATTCTCATCGCGACGATCGCGGAGGAAGACGGTCGCCCCGATGATGAGGACGATGAAGATTGCGAGGAAGCACGAGGTGATAATGATGGCTGCGCGTTAGGGGAGGTCAACTAATGGTCAGCCTCGCCTCTCGTGGCGGATGATTGAGAGCACTATCAACTCACCTTTTCGTTGGAACCAGACGCTGCGTGATTGGTGAGTCCAACTGGCGGGAAGAGTAAGGAGTGCGTATGATGAGTCGACATGGCGCCTTGTTCCTCGCCGAACAGCTACTCACTCTGCGATGATGCCACTCGAATAGGCAGCTGCTGCTCCGACTTGTCTTTTGCCTAATCTGCTAAGCGTCGGTGTTGAGGTGGTACGAGAGGGCGTAGCGGGCGGCAACAGCGTGTCTGCCCTCATCAGGTTGCCAGACGACGGGCGGCGGTTAAGCTTATCGCTGACTCCTCTTTGCTCGTCGAAGTCGTAGGCACGACCTTTGCCCTTGGAATCCCAAAGTGGTGATGGGGGAGCCGCTGCTGCGCCTTCGTAGAGGTGAGAGGCAACAAGAAGATACGAGCCGACTGATGTGATGACCAAGCCAGCGCGGCGAGGATTGTCGGCTTTCATGCTCCTTGTGGATGAATGTTGCCGCCGCGGCCTCTCGTACGAGAGTGATGATGATGGCGACGAACGTGTTGGTTGCTGCAACGTGCGATATGAAGGGCCCGCATCGAGATCATCGTTCGAGACAAGCGGCCCGTTCACGCCGGCCCCGTCGCCGCTATGCCCACGATGATAATGGTCATCATCGACGCCGCGAGACCGCGGTACCCGCGGCGGCTTTGCACAGCCGGACCGATTTGGTATCCTCGATGGACCAGCGACTGGGTCCATCTCGGCGCGAGGATGGCCGAAGAGGAGGGTGAGAAGGAGAAAGGGCGAAAATATGCGTTGCCCGTCGCGATGAGGATGATCAGAGGAGTGGTGAAGTCGTTAACAAATGTCAGGGAGAGGCGTGCCACCCACGCACCCACGAGCGAGGGGGCGATCGCATCCCCGCCGCCGATGCTGCTAGCTCCTGCCTGCCTGCTTGCTTGCCTGCCCGCCCTGCTAGGCTGCTTGCCTGTCTGGCTGCCATTTCCAGGGCGTGTCGACGATCGAGCGGCGCGCCACTCACTCTGGTTGCAACTCGAAAGAAGCCGCCGCCGGGGTTGAGGAGGCCCAGGCACTACGGGGCACTTGATTCCGCCGGCGAAGCGGAGCGCTAGTCAGCATACACCGTGGCCTGGCGAGGGCGATGACAACGACTCTAATTTCAAAAATATCACCGCGACAAGACGAGATGTCAAGGCAGAATGCGATGCGATGAGATGGCATGATACGAGGTACAAATTACGCGCTCGTTCTAGCAATGGATGTCATGAACCGGTACAACAGTTGGTGCGTAGTCGATGCTGCGCACTTCCTCCCAATTCTCAGGAGGCATCGATTGGGCGGGAGCATCGCGCCAGCTTAGACGCACAACGGTACGGTCGGGGTACTGGTCGACCTCGATCGACTGCTCCTGCGTCGGCCCTTCCTCCTCCAGCAGAGCCTCTAGCGTGCCCTGCCTGGGACGACATGGTCTCCAGACACCTACACGCGACGAGAGGCGACGGCCAATGGACGGCCTGGGCGGCAGGGGCGGCCGTGGATTGTCTAAGACGACTTCGCGCGTGACGGCCTCGATCTCGCGGATCGATCCGTAGTTGCGAGTAGGAAAGTAGAATTCGGTACAGTTGGGATTGAGTTGCGTTGAGCCAGTGCATTCGGGCACGGGCCCGTCGCTCAGCTGCACACGCTCCATGTCATCGAAAGGGTTGCTGCTGTGAGCCTCATCGTCAATGGGATCGCGGAACTCGATGGCCAAGGTACGTTCTCCGCTGCTAGAGTAGCTGCTGCTGCTGCTGTCCTCAAAGGAGTTTTGAGCGTCCTCGTCGCGTTCATCGTCCTCAAAGGCATCCACGTCCATGGTGTGAGCTGCAAAGATGGCTTGAGCGCCTTCAAGCTCCTGGTCGAGCCCGTCCAGGTAGACGAGGAAGTCGCCCAGAGAAGGATCAGGGATCGGGACGTCGTCAAGGAGTGACGAGGAGGAGAGGCAGAGGTTCGGCTCAAGGAGCGGCTGCAAGTCCTCTGAGCGGTGACGTCGTAGCGTGAATGGCCTAGAGAGTCGGGTCATCGTCTGAGCTGCCCATGAGCGGCGACGGGGGACTGGTGGACGCGCAACCGGCTGTTCGTCCGGTAGAGGTACAGCAGTGATCGGCTTTGCTGGCCACCTTGGGAGCCTTAGTCTACCGAAGAGGCGAAGGGTGCGAGGGGCTTCAAGAGTGTCGTCGGGCAAAGGTGCTGCGATGGCCGGTGATACGGCCCCGCCGATGTCAGGGAGTTCGCGGTAGCGGCGTCTGACGATGAAGGAGGGGTTGGCGGTGCGCTTGCGGTCGGGACTGACGAGGCGAGCGAAACTGTTCAGGAACATGGCGGCAAGAGGTATGGAGGGGAAAGGTGTTCGCGCAGGGCGAAGCGTCGAGAGCGCGCTCATATACCCCTACACGGCATCAATCGTCGATGAGCCCGAACAGGTCGTGAATACTACCGAAGGGACCACCATCCGGGAGCAGGCTGTAGCGAGGTAGCTACGGAAGCAATAGCAGCCGCAGTGGGGTCAGATTGCGAGACCGCATGGTGAGACAATGTGCCGCCCGCACTCGCGCAGCTATAAGACATGTAGCAGCCAGTCGCCACCCTGTCCAATGTCCCACAGCGCAATTCCACCTGCGCCGTTACGCTCCACGACATCCAGTCTCGCCTCAATCGTCGCCGGAGAAGGCCAAATCGCGCGTCGGTACCAAGCCAGCGGCGCTTCCGTGCCATCAGGCCTGACTTGAGTCTTTCCATCCTCTCGCGCCTTGACGTAGTCGATGAAGTTCTCTCCTGATCCGTCGTGTCTGCGAATGAGGGCCTTGTTGTTCGTCAAGACGTCGATCAGCTCAGAATGAAGGAAGGGTGAGCCCACGGCCGGCATGACCGGGTAGAGGGCGCGTCTTTCTTCTTTCTCGGCGGCTTTCGCGCGAGACGCCGCTTGCGCTTCAGTGTTGTTGTCTTTTGATGCGATGGGGCTTGTGGGTGGGGTGACCAGCTGCGCTTTCCCTTCGGAGTCGACCCAGCCGATTGGGTAGGAGTAGCCGTAGCACGCTACGCCGACGAGCAGTTTGGATAGGATGCCAGAGGAGGAAGATGAATCCATGTACGTGGGCGAAAAGCCGCCGGCAAAGCCATCATGCGGCATCTCGAGCGGTGCGTTGAATCCTTCAATGTTTCGCTCAATCCAGTCGAGCGGGGTGTTGGGACCCCAGGTCCTTACGCCGTCTTTGCGCAGGATGCTTTCCTGTTTGAGGCTGGCTGGCGGCTCGAAGGCGGCGCCGTTCTGGCCGAGATAGTCGTACGTCATGACATGTATGGCGTCGGCAATCGATACGAGGCCGGAAACCCCCTGCATGATAATCTCGTTTGCTTCGGGCGTATCTCCTCGCAAAGGCGGAAAGACGACGACAAGCTGCTTCTTCTCCTCATGAAGTCGCTCAGCGAGCAGGCGAATGGGCTCCTTGAGTGCCCAAGCAGCTCCTGTCTCGAGTACTACGCCGTCATAGCCGCGTACCATGACCTCTGCGACGATGGCCTCTGCGAAGCCCATCCCTTCAATGGTGTGGGAGAGGAGATGTCGGAAATTGTCTGAGCTCCAGTCATTGGGCGCGAGATGGAAGCGCGGCATAATCTTGACTGCGGACAAGTTGCCTGCGGGCTGGCTCAGACGCTTGTACCAGTCTACCTCATCCTTGCTCGGCGGGCCACCCAGCGCGCGGTATCGCTGGTAGTCATCGCCTCCTGCATCTACGGTGTACCATACGGGGCTGATTGTGTCGAGCTTGCCGCGGTAGTCTTCAGCCAAACGATAGCCGTCAGTATGCCACGGTGTGACGTAGGCAAGAACGTCTGGCGGGGGTCGGGGGAAGAAGATGGCGGTCAGAATTGAGTTGCTACCAAAGCCTGTCTAAGCCTCGCCCCTGAGCTCACTGAGGTCCGGATGATTCCTCGTGTGGTTAGAAGCTTCTACTGGCCCACGCCTCGAGGCAGCGAGGATGGTGGAGCGGGAAGGGTGGAGAGAGTAGACGGACTGCGAATTGACGAAGCCAGCGGTGACCGCCAGCAGCGCTATGACCGCGGCGAGCATCGTCGTCGTGTTGAGGTGACGCAGCATCGTGTGAGGCCGAGACTGTGCTGCCGCTGCCGCTCCTCTTATCACCATCTCACTCTGCTCCTTGCTTTGCTGTTGCTTGCTTTGCGCTGTACGTGACTAAGCTTCTTGTAGGCTACCTGGTTGCCTGCTTGGCTGGCGCAGGCTGAGAAGAAATGAGAGCCGCGAGACGGATAGAGCGCAAGGGCGAGCCAGTCAAGCAGGGTGATGTGGCGCTAAATCCATCGTGGCGCTGAGACTAAAGCAATGAGCGGCAGCGCAGCCGCGAAGAGCGTCGAGCGTCCAAGCGTCCAAGCGTCCAAGCGTCCAAGCGTCCAAGCGTCCAGGCGACGGCATACACTGCATCGTGCGCCAAGCTGCAAGGCCAGGCCACGCAGGCCACGCAGGCCTGGCAGGCTACGCAGGCACACACCCAGGGCGGGCAAAGGCAAGGCGAGGCTGTGGACTCGCGTGGGGATGGGAAACGGACGGACACCTCTCGACTGACCGCTGCCTGCATCCATCCGATCAGACCACCACGGCGGCAGCTGCGCAAGAGGACCAATTCAGGTGCTGCTTCGCGGTCCACGTCGCCCTGCGATCTCATCGTATCCTATTCTCATACAATCTCCTCGACCATCGTCGCGATACACAACACCTTCAGCGCCTCCACCGCGATCTAAGGCCTTTGACCATCCTGGGTGCAACTGGGTCGAGGGGCGAAGCTTCGCCCATCTCTGCCTTCTTTTCATCCTCCTTCGACGCTCTACGTGGGGCGCAGCGTCCTTTGCCTTCGCCCAGGCGGCAAGTCTCCAAACGGATTGCGGCATCGGCAAGGCACAGCCAAAAGAGGGCTGTAAAGACGGGCTGCTACAAGCGGCGACGATAGCTTCATTGCATTTGCGCACGTCCCTTGGAGGGAGGCGACGCCAGAAGGTGTTCCTCACTCAAACGCCCTCGACTCACGCCGAGATCGGGGTCTGAGTCCTCGAGAAGGTCGGGGTGCGAGCTGAGCTTATTTGCTGGCCAACAACTCCAGTCACGACGTGGTGGCAGCAGCTCACCACGCCGCTGCTCCCACGACGATGGCTGCTCGCTCGGATGACATGGTCACGACGCTGCCGGATGGCAGGCCGCTGATCGACAATACGGGCCGGCCCATCAAGCGCAAGAGGCCACAGAGCTGTGATGCCTGTAGGACGAGGAAGACGCGTTGTATTGTGCCCGTTGGTGAGGGGCTCGAGGCATCGGGGGATGTGCGTTGTCTCTCGTGTCGCTCTGCGGCCATCGAGTGTTCGTGGACCTATGTGCCGAAGCGTGAGCACATCAAGGAGCCGTCACGTAAAGCAGCAGAAGCTCACCATCTCTTCGCCTCACGCTCATAGGCCCCGGTCCTCAGACTCATTTGAGTGGCAATGGTGCAAAGAAGAAGTCGACGGACAAGATTCCAAGGGACGCATCTCGAGAGGCGACCAACGGCGCCGGGCCCAGCAGCGCAGCAGCCGGTCCTCCAGGCCCGCCAATGATGCCAGCGCTTCCTCCTCCGCCTGTCCCTCCTCACATCGCTCATCCCGCTCATAGAAGTCCTCATTCGCATCAACTCCCCTCTCCCCGCACCTCTGGCTTCCTCGAGGCGGCGCAGATGTCGGCGCACTTTGACAATCCGCCTCCAAATCCATTCCAGCCATCTCAGTACGGTCTCAAGCATGAAAGCCATCCGCACCACGACCACCATCCGTCCTTCCCTCCCATGATGCCACCTCCTTTGACCGGCGCATCTCCATCAAGCTCATCGCCGTCGTCGAGGGCCGGCCGACCTCCTCCACCCATGGAGCCACGCTCAACGATGGGATGGACGTCGAGCCCCGGAGTGACATTTGAGCTTCCGCAGGGTCCCTCTCCTTCGGCCCATCGATTTGCATCCAACCACCACTCTCCCCTCGACTCGACGACGAGAAGCGGTGATGGGTACTCGCCCTCTTTTCCTGGTTTCCCACCTCCCTTTGGCAGCAACAGCGGCCACAAGAGGCTTAGCAGCAGTCAACCGGGCAGCCATACGATGAGCCTAGGGCCCTCGCCCCCTTCTAGCACATCGCGCCCCAAAGCAAGGCACCTGGGCAAAGTCTTTGCAGCCCCCATCGACCGACCTCGGAGCCTAGACGACGTAGCACCTCGCGCTACTTTCCTCTCCATCATCTCCCTCTACTTCCACCACCTCTACCCTTTGATGCCCATCGTCCATCAGCCTTCCTTCTCTCACGATCTCATCACGCGGAGAGACGAACGGGACGTTGACTTTCTGTCATTCGTCCTTAGCCTCACGGCCTACACGCTCATTCAGTGTCCACGCTCCGTTATACCAGCGCCCTGGCCATTTTACCGCAAGTTGCATCAGATCTGCCACTTGACCTCTAGAAGGATGCAGCTCGACCGACATGCTACGGCAGATCCTCCTACGCTGACGCAGTGTGCTACGCTATACACGTCGCACATCTATGTGGGGTCAACGGGTCGCACCTTTGCCGCCAATGCCATTCATGGGGAGCTGGTACGCACAGCATTCTCCGTCAATCTGCACGACGAGACGAGGCCGCTACCCACAGCGACGGGTGTGCCGGCAGGAGGGAGAGCGCCAGGAGCTCCCGAGATGACGGAGATTGAGCGTCAGCTTCGTCGCCGCATGTATTGGCTCATCTACGGGAGCGACAAGACGATTTCGATCTTAAGCGACGAGCCCATTAGTTTACGGGATGCCGACACGACGGGCGTCGAAATACCAGTGGCCGTGGACGACGACTGTCTGTATCCACACAAGGTCGGCGAGCAGCCTGCGGAGCGCGGACCCAGCATCCTCTGCGGCTTTGTGGCTGTCACGAAGCTGCATCAGGTCATGAGCAAGTTGATGGAGAATTTCAGGAGCGACCGTAAATTTCCGCCTGCTAATGCAGAGGCGACTAGGAGGAAGTTGCAGATGGCGCGCGACATCTTGCGCGAGATTCAAGTCATCGTGGCGGGCATGCCTGAGCCGCTGCAAAATCCCAGCTTCGAGCATACAGAGCCACCACCGCGCCCGCCTGGAGGTTTGCCAGATCTCAGCATGCCAAAGGCGGGGCCGTCGTCATCATTGTCGTCTTCTCGACCTCAGCCTCCGCAATTGCCGAGCTATGGAATTGCTGGCGTCAATTCGTTGCTGCCCTTCACGCCATGGCCTACGGGGACCTTTGACGAGAACGGCCTTCCTATTCCCAGTGCGGACGGAGCGAGCCAAGCGTCAAGCTCTGCCGCTGCGTCGCCCACGGCACCCTGGGCCAGCATGAGTACAGCAAATATGTATTCCACCAACGGCTGGGGCGGCGGCCCCGGCGGGAGCAGCAGCGCTGCCGCTGGGCCCTCCTTCAGCGGCAGCGGTACAGGCGGTGGCTCACCTCCACCGGGCAGTCCCCCCTTCCCACCGATGGCCCAACTCACAGCCGCTCGCGAGCAAGTGGTCGCATTCCGCCCCTCACCCCCGCTAGCAGACCCGGCTCGAGCGCCAGTCACCATCTTGTCGGGCTTCGCAATCTGTCGTGCCAACATCCTCGTCACCGAGGCAATGCTGCGCTTCGTCCTCGTCGACTACCAGGAACTCCTGCGCGGCTACCTCAGCCAGCAACGCATCGCCGAGGGCGAGGTCAACCAGCCTGGCGCGGACGACGAGGACAACAATGACGAGATCGAGGAGGCGGCACGCACGTTTGCCATCGCTTCGCTGCCCTTTGAGAGCTTGGAAGCGAATGGGCAGAGTCTTGTGCTCAAGCTGGTATTTGTGGTTTCCAGTCTGCTCAACAGGACGAGCCACTCCAGTCGGGCGTTTGGGTATATGAGCGATTTCTTGCAGACGTTGAGCAAGCTGAGCGAGAGGAGGACGCAGGGGGATGACGAGGCGGGGAGCGATGATGAGAAGGAGGCATGAGCGTGCGCGAGGCGAGGACAGGTGGGTCGCGAGGCGAGGCAGGGAAGTCACAAGTAGGCGGCGCTGGTGGACCTCATCTTCTCCGATCATCCTCACTCGATACCGCGTCGGCCTCGGCAGGCACAAGCTCGCTCGCCGTCCACGCACAAGACTCAACAGAGACGATCCTTTGACGACGCTACCAGCGGTCTTCCCATCTTCAACTCCCTACCTCACAAAGGACAGCACACGAGACACGAAGCAAGCATACGTCCAGCAGACTAAATCCACCACCAAAATCCAGCGTCACTCGTTCCATCACTCGGTTGTTCGTCGAAGACACGACGACAGCCCGCAATGCAAGCAGTCGCTCCTTTGCCCATTGCTCATTGCGCCTACCCCACCCCTGATCCAGCTTGGCATCGCGACGCCCACTCTGTTGTAATCTCTATCTATCATCTCTACGACATACGTTTTTATCCTCTTCTCCCATGCCCCTGCTGCTGCGGGAGAGCGTCTGTTCCTTGAGACTCTGCTCCTGCGCATCGTCTAGCGCATCGTCTCCCCTGCTTCGATTGGCACGCCATTCGTGCCGACGAGGAGGACCACCGTAGTGCACTACTGCCACGCTCTACTCGCTCTTCGTGAGGATAAATCATATAGATCGCACGTCGTCAGCCTCGAGGGAGGCGAGGATAAATGGACAGGTGGGGGCGGAGCGCGACAGACGTATGACACGGGGGAAGGGGTGTGTGGCATCGAGATGAAAGAGAGAGAGCGGGAAGAATAGTCAGGTTCAATGTTCGCACCGTCCTACTCTTGCCCGAACCCAACGGTCTCCTCGACGGCAATGACCAGCTTCTGCTCCAGCTGCTCCATGGTGGTGTAGGGCGGCAGGTCCAGTCGGTTGAAGCAAGTGTGCGACTTGGGCAGCTGCGAGGGGTCACCAGCCTTTTCGATCGTAAAGCGACGCGGACCATCACTGCCCTGCAAGTCCTTGAACCCGTTGACCGGGATCCTCGACGTGCCCGTTGTGAACTGGAGTAGGCGACTCTTTCGCTCAGGAGGGAAAGCGCGGACGACCTGCCAGAACCATTGAACTACATCGTCCTGCTCGGTGAATCCTCGGTAGTCCGTGAAGCGCTTCCAGTCGTCGACGTCGATCTCGCTCATACCGCCGATGAGGAGCTCCAATTCACGCTCGTCGAAGACGTTGATGAGGTCTTGCGGGATGAGCTCAGTGAAGCCCGATTGGAAAGCGCGGAATTGCTCCTCTACGCGCTTCGAGATACGCCACTCGGTCATCAAGTCGACGTACTCGCGCTTGTTCTCGTCGGTGACAGCCTCGTTCTCTCCGCCAGGGCGAAGCTCCACGGTGACCATCTCGCCGAACTTGTCCTCGACGGCGGTAAAGGTCTCGTCTACCACGTCCTCGATAGGGTTGTCGAGCATCCACTGCAGAGAGCGGTGGTAGTCTGCGTCCACGCTCTCCAAGTCGCTGAGCGTGATCTTCTTCTTGAGGATCATCTTGTAGAAGGAGACGATGAAGTAGGCGTCGAGGAAGCGACGGTGGAAGATGGCGAGGCCGAGGATGCGGCCGATGAACTTGAAGTAGTTGAGATGCTCGGGGTTGATGCCAGAGTGCGGGTTGATTTGGAGCGTGTAGTTGTCGTGGGCTGAGTACTCGAAGAGGCAGTAGAAGGGGTTGAACATCTCGTGGGAGAGTAGGAAGAAGAATCTGCGAGCGCGGAGAGCACCAGGAGCGAAGCGAGTGGGGCGAGGCGTAGCAGCGGCGCGAAGTGAGGGGATGAAGGAGGGGAAGGAGGCGTTCAGTCAGCATTCGCATGGCTCGCTACTGTGCTCGTGTGCTACTCACTCTCGCGAGACACCGCCATAGTCGAGACCGTCCTCTCCATCGAACTTGATCATCAGCCTCTTTTTGAGATCGTTGGGCTGCTGACGCATAATCTCGGCGTACGAGTCTTCGAAGATGTGCGTGCGGCGAACTTTGACGTGGCATTGCCCAGGAATGGGGCGAAGAGCGGGTTGCGAGCCTGCGAGAAGCGGGTGCGAGAAGAGAGGTCAGCGAATGAGCGTTGGTAGAAGCTGTGTTGTCCTGAAGCATGGGGAACGCACGGAAGTAGATGAGCTTGCGACGGAAGTCGCGCTTGTACTGCGGTACATTCTGGTCCAAACTCGAAGGCAAGCGCGGGTCGTCCCACGTCGTTGTCTTGGTGTTGTGGTCCACAAAGTAGACGCGCGCCGTCGAGGTGAGGCGCATCTCCCAGCCGCTGGGCAGGGGGCCGAGCTGCGAGACGCTCTGAGGCTGGACAGTGACGTTGTTGCTGTTGGGACCCATGATGCGGAGGATCTGCTGACGACGAGGGTCGACCCACGTTGTGGTGCGAGTGTTGTGGTCAACAAAGTATGGGCGACCCTCGGGCGTGTTGCGCTGCTCCCACCCAGCGGGGAGAGGCCCTGAGCCGGCTGTGGTGGATGCACCGGACGCTCCTGCGGGCAGAGCAGAGGGGGTAGAGGTGCCTGAAGGCGTTGAAGGGCCGGGTGTGGATGCAGTCGTGGTGCCCTGAGGCTGGGATACGACTCGGCTTCCTCCATCGACGCCAAGCATGTCGTCTGCGAGGGTGCGATTGTTTACTCGCTGGCGCTCTGCTGCCGTTGCGTTTGCTTGGTTGGCGCTGGTCGATGCGGTGGGGCGCTGCCAAGTCGTGGATCGAGTGTTGTGGTCGACGTAGTAGGTGCGGCCGAGGTGGTCGGTCCTGCGCTCCCAGCCAGCAGGCAGAGGGCCATGCTCGTCGCTACGGTTGCCGGCAGCGGCGGCGGGTGGGCGAGGGGCAGCTGACGTAGCTGCGGTAGAACGACCGCCATCATTGCCGTTGCTTTCGGTGCTGTTAGATGCGGGCATGTTGGCAGACGATGAAGAAGCAGCTGCTGCAGCTGCAGTAGCAGGAGCGGCTGAAGAAGGAGTCGATGAGCTCGCAGAAGTGTCTGCCGTTGAGTTGGCAGAGCTCGTTGCGGGAGCGGCAGCAGATGACGAATTGTTTGAGATGCGAGTCGACGTGTCGGTGTTCAGGTCGACGATCTGCGCGCGAGTGGGCAAGGGTGTCAGTGTATGTCATCACAGGGGTCTCAGCGCTGGCACCAACTTACCAGCTTGCCGTGCACGACCTCAGCGTTGTTGGACTTCTTAAGTTCCCTTGTGAGGAGGATCTTGCCGCCGAGCTCGAGATCGAGTACATCTGCCACTCGCACATTGATGACACCCAAGAAACCCTGATGCTGCTTCTTGAACTTCTTTTGGTCGAAGACCTGCACAGCAATGACACTCGAGTCGGTGACTGTGACATCGAATGAGTCGTTCCAGTACGGGTTGAGCGTCTTTTTGATGACGCTCGTGGTGTTAGTCTGCTCGCCGTCTACAGTGACGATGGCGAATGGGTCGGGTAGACGAAAGACGTCGCGCTTAACGAGGCCATCGGCGGCGACGATGCTAACTCGCACCTTGCGAGAGACGGGGCCGCCGGTGCGTGCTGACATGGCTGGGCGTGAGGGGCTAAGAGCGAGGATGCGAAGGCGAGGAGAGCTCTGACTCCTAGTCCTTGCTACAAGGGAATTGGAGGGACGGCCGAGTGGAGTGGATGAGTACGAGGTTGAGTTCGATCCAATGGTATCGCCGCCCTCGTCGTCGACGTCGTCGCCGCTGACCGCTCGCTGCCATGCGTCTCGGGCCATTTGCCTGCCTAACCACGTTCAGACCCGCGCCACCTAGTCACAGCCTCATCCTTTCGCCCGCTCGCCCGCCAGAGACAATTCCGCCCGCCCTTACTCCCGATCCGACCCCTTGGCGGCGCGTGGCTCCCACAGCGTTGAGTGCTCGGCGCTGCTCTGTGCCCGCTCGCATTCCTGCAGCCTTGCAGCGACGAAGGGGGGGCTAGTCTAGGACCGATCGCATGACTCCGAGGGCGAGGTGCGAAGACCGGTTCTTCTTGTTTTCCTTTGACGACCGGCCCTTCCTCCTTATCACCAACACATCGTCTTCAACTTCATCTCGCGCTGCCGCTCCAACATGTGCGGCATCTTTGGCGTTCACCGCATCCCTGACCCGGCCTCGTATCGCGGCCGAGCCCTCCAATTGAGTCGCTGCCAGCGTCATCGCGGCCCCGACTGGAGTGGCTGCGTCGTCACTGAAGACTCGGTACTCTGCCACGAGCGCTTGGCCATCGTAGGCGTCGACACGGGCGCCCAGCCCCTCGTCAGCGAGGATGGTAAGCTCGTGCTCGCCGTCAATGGCGAGATCTACAACCATCGCCTCCTCCGCAAGAACCTCAAGGACCCCAACGCCTCATTCAAGACTCACTCGGACTGCGAGGTCCTGTTGCACCTCTACGGCGAGCAAAAGGCTGCCGAGGAGAAGGGCGAGGAGGCTACGCCATTCGCCTCTCTCCTGGACGGCATGTTCTCTTTCACTCTCGTCGACACTAGCGTCACTCCCTCGCGCATGATTGCCGCCCGCGACCCCATCGGCATCACGACCCTCTACTACGGTCGCTCCTCAAAGGTCCCCGGCGCTGTCTGGGTCTCCTCCGAGCTCAAGGCCCTTGAAGGCGAATGCGACGAGATCCACGGCTTCCCTCCTGGACACTACTGGGACAGCTCCAAGCCTCAGGGCCAAGAACTGCAACGCTACTACAACCCGCGCTGGATCAACGATGATGCCGAGGGTGCTCCTCGTCCGACTACACCCGCGGACTTGAAGTTGATCCGCGAGACGCTCGAAGCTGCTGTGCGCAAGCGTCTCATGTCCGAGGTTCCCTATGGCGTTTTGCTCTCAGGTGGTCTGGACTCGAGCTTGATCGCGGCCATTGCGGCGCGCGAGACGAACAAGGTCGCAGAGGCGCAAAGGCAGCGGTATGAGCAGAGGAAAGCCTCGCGACAGGCAGCTGCTGGTAATGATATCCCTCAGGATGAGATGGAGACCTTGGCAGCTTGGCCACGTCTGCATTCGTTCTCTATCGGGTTGCCGGGCGCGCCAGACCTCATTGCTGCGCGTCAGGCCGCCGAGTACCTGGGGACCGTCCATCACGAGCACACCTTCACTACCCAAGAGGCGCTTGATGCTATCTCCGACGTCATCTACCACCTCGAGACCTTCGATGTGACCACTGTCCGCGCCTCCACCCCCATGTACCTTCTCTCCCGCAAGATCAAGGCTATGGGAGTCAAGATGGTTCTCTCCGGCGAGGGGTCAGACGAATTGTACGGCGGATACCTCTACTTCCACGCCGCTCCTAACGCTGATGAGTTTCATTCAGAGTGTGTCAGTCGAGTCAAGAACTTGCACACTGCAGACTGCTTGCGAGCTAACAAGGTGAGTCGATGCGCGTGATCAGCACTGTGAGCGGTAGTACTCACGCCGCCTAACCCCCCTCCCCCCCACCCCGTCTTCAAGTCAACGATGAGCTGGGGCCTGGAGGCCAGAGTTCCGTTCCTCGACAAGCAAATGGTCAAAGTCTCCCTCGACATCGATGCAAAGGAGAAAATGTTCGCCAAGGGCAAGGAGCAGGCTATGGACAAGAACGGCAGGCCAATTATGGAGAAACACATTCTGCGCGAGGCTTTCGCCCTTACGCCTGAGGGCGATGACAAGCCTTACCTGCCCGACTCAATTCTTTGGAGACAAAAGGAGCAGGTGAGTGAGGCAGCGAGCGAACGACGATCTATAGCTCGTATTCGCAGCCACGGCTTGGAGTGGGCGGAAGTGGCCACGCGAGCGCTCGGTGCAACGCACGAGCCACCGGCTTTTCTCACGTCTTCGCCTTCCTCGTCGAGCATCTCGCTGATCACCATCTCTCTCTCTCTCTCTCTCTCAACCTCATGCTTTCGAAAACCCAGTTCTCCGACGGAGTGGGCCATAAGCATATAGATACGCTGCGAGAGCATGCTGAGAAGGTCATCAGCGACGAGCAGATGCAGAAAGCCGCCGAGCGATTCCCTCATCTCACCCCCGACACCAAGGAAGCCTACCATTACAGAGAGCTCTTCGAGGCCCATTTCCCTTCTTCAGCAGCAGCATCGACGGTCAAGAAGTGGATTCCGAAGAGCAGCTGGGTAAGTTTACTCGGTTGATTCTGATCTGCCTAGCACCGGCGACCGATTCTATTGCTGACCATTGGCCCCCACCGCTTGCCTCCTACTTCGCCGTCTCCGCCTCAACAGGGCGTTCCTAGCGACCCAAGCGGAAGGTAAGCTCCATCTGTCCATTCTCGATCATTGTTTTCATTTGCTGACTCATGACACGCTTCTCTTCCCACTAGAGCGCAAGCGATCCACACTGAGCACGCCGGATGGCAGGCCGAAGCGAGAGCTGCGAAGTAAAGGGGAATTATGAGCGAGCCGCAAGTGGGTAAGGTGAGGAGTGGAACATCAGCAGCAGCAGCAGCAGCACGCAGTCGATCGTGACATTCTGCGCTGCTTCTCCTCGTAAAGGCCACTCGCGAGGAGGAATGCCTCACCGCTTTCGACCGACCCATCACTTGATGCTTCAATCGTTTGACCCCCATAGATGTGTCATCATTCATAATACAAGAATCAATGTACAATCACAGGGACTAGGCAGGTTCAAGCGAGAATACGTAACAGGTTTCTCGCTGCGTTCGCATAGTAGGTTCGCAACCACCACTAGTTTTAAAAAGGCGAGGACCGATTTCAAGGTGCTCGTCGCTCTCTGAATTGCCTCGGAGGTACTTGAATGGACGGTAGAGGAGGCGAGCGTTGTTGGCATAGTACTAGTCAAATGGGTTTAACCTGTCGATGTCGGCGAAGTGCAAAGGCAGTTCGAGTCCGCTCGGATCTCGGTAGAGTCCATTGCCCACGTACCTGGCGATGGCAACGCATGTTGACGTGAAGAGAGAGTATGGGCGGTCAGTGAGGAGACACGCGTGTGATGCATAGCACAGCACTCACCGCGATGATACGATCTTGAGGAGCTGTGCGCTCGTCAAGTCACCATTCTTCCAAGTCCCACGATGGTTGGCCCTCAGGGTCTCCCCCCGTGCCCTCGCCCATTCCGCCAGCCACGCTTTGTCTGCCTTCGTGAGTTTGTAGGAGGAGGGCTTGGCGACGAGGAAGGCCTTGGCGTCGAGTTGCACCGTTGCGTCTTTGGCGATTTTTCATAATCGCATGATGAGACTGTCCGTGGGGAAGCCGCTCTTGACGAAGTTGCAGCCCTTGCAGACGACGTCGACGTTGTGACCTTGATCAATCACGCAGTACTTGCCGTCCAGGCGTCCGGGTACTCGGCGATCCAGTGAGACGTTGAACGGGAAGTTCGCTTGTTCCCGGATCCTCTCGTCCTTCCTCATCTGGCGTTCAACCCGGCTGAGCCTGTGCATGGCCAGCACAGAGCCGCAGTGCTTGCACTTGCGGGTACCTGCCAGCACGAACTTGAAGTAAGCGTACGAGTCCCTGTCGGACCAACAAAGATTGAGGCATTAGCGAGCGCGCGTGGTCATGACGAGACAGACTGAGCTCACTAGGTCTTCCTCCGCCATTCGTCGCTGCTCCGCTTCAGGCCGTCGCGCTTGGCCGCGTCTTGGCACGCGACCAGCAGGAAGTACCTCGCACCCTCGTAGACATTGGTGAAGGCCGACTCGCGAGCCCTCATGTCTTGTCCACGCAGGCGCGAAGCGTCTCCGAAGGCCTTCAGTTGGCGCTCGTCGAAGACATCCTGCTTTCTGACCTGCAAATACCGTCCAGTCGGATTTCGTCATCGATGGAGCGCAATTCAGACCATTTCGGCCTGTGTGGGTCGGCTTCAAGGATGGTGTCCAACATGTACGTGATTTGGTGGTGCCCGTAGGCCGCACGGAAGGCCTCCCTGCCCATTCGATTCATCGCAGCACGCAGCGCCGGGAGCTGAGTGGGCAAATGCGCGGCGCACTTCTCCGTGTCGACCCTGTCACTCCTGGCCTCGTTAGGGAACATCGTGGGAGGGAAGACGGACCTGATTGGGATGGGCGGACCGGAGTTGTGTGCGAATCGCGAGGCCAGCTCGACGACTTGCCACACGGACTCGTGGACGGACGAGCGGGGCCAGTTCCTCTTGAACTGTTGCGAACGAGGCTTGAGTCAGCAGTGTCGCTCATAGCGTGCGCGGAAGCTAGTGTCAGAGGGCGGTCCACCGCACCCTTACCGACACTGTCGCGGCCTCGCATTCTGTCAGAAGCTTCTTGCGTGCCTTGATGCGAGTCTGTTTGTCGTCCTTTGCATCGCCGCAGCGGCCAGCCCACATTCGGTGTTGCTCAGACCACGGTATCGTCTCAGAAGCCAGGCAGGTGTCCTTGCGCATTCGATAGTACTTGGCACCTTCTGTCCCGATCGTATTTATGAGCAGAGCTGACACGGTTGACGTCGGCGAGGCAGAGCGGAACGACAAGACCGGAGACGTCGAAGTAATGGCCGTTTCCGGCGTACCGCTCCCGAGCGAGACTGTACAGATCGCCGGCCGTCATGTTGCCTGCTTTCCGCTGCCTGCTTGTGAGATTCTCCTTCGATGACATACGCTGCTCGGCCCATTGCCGCAGGTACACGTCGTTTCGCGGCCCAATGTGCGGGCGGGCCCGAGGAGGAGAGCAGAGGTTGCCTTTGTCGTCGACCCGCGTGTCGGCCTCGTCGACGATCTTGCCCATCATGACCAAGAAGTTGTCGACTTTGAAGCCGAAGTTGGTCATGTCACAGCCCTTGCAGCACTGCGAGGAGAGGAGCGAGGAGATGTGCGTCATTTGCGGCCAGTCGCAGGCTGTGCGTCGGGCTCAACTCACCACCGCCAGGTTGTTCAGGGCATAGTGCCCTCCCAAGCGCCCAGGGTCTCGACGGTCGAGCGAGAGGTTGAAAGGGAAGTTGGCTCTTCCCACAGCGCCAGAGGCCTTGCGCTGCCTGACGCCCTCCTTTGTGAGCTGCAGCATCGTCAGCTCGACGCCGCAGTACTCGCAGTGGGCCCCGCCGATGACGTGGCGGAAGGCCGCGTAGAGGGTCCTACAAGCGCGCAGACAAGAGAGAGCGAGGCCAGTGAGCGATTGTACCGTCAGCGGGCGTACTAGTGTGCAGTCGGACCGTCCGTTCCGTCGCCTCGCTCCTATCTCCCGTGTAGACTCGTCCTCCTCTCTTGTCTCCTCACGAATTACTACGACTTTGTCCTTACACGTAGATGCGCTGTCACTCACCCGACCAGCTGCTCCGACTCCTGGCTGCCCTTCTTGGGGCCTTCTTTGTCGGCGGCGCCACGGCACAGCACCCTGAGAATCGTCCCCTTCGCCGCGTGCGTCGCCTTGAGCGGTGCGTTGGCGAACGTCCCCTTTGCCCGGAATTCTTTGCCTCTCTCCTTGGATTTGGCCGCGAGACGCTGAAGCTGCTCCGGAGTCAAGACGTCCGCCTGGGTGACGGGGGCTTTCTTCTCGAGCTCTGCCCACTCGCTAATTGCGCCCCCACGCTCGCTCGCCGTCAGCCCTTTAAGCTGGCGCCATCCAGCCTTGTTCATGTCTTGGAGCAAGAGAGCGTTCAGGATGTGCGTGAGCTGCACGTCCTTGTAAGCCGCCCTCAGTCCTGGCGTGCCCCAGAACTTCATCGCCCCGCGCAACGCTGCTTTCTCGTCCCCAGATCTTCTTGACACACAGTTGCGTCGACTTCAGCGTCACGCTTGATGACGTCGTTGGGGAAGAGGAGGGGAGGAAAAGCTGGCGGATGGGCGGGAAAGGGCCGGCGATCAGAAAGGGCAGCCTCGGCTGCGTCTAGTATCTTGTTGATGCTTGGGTGCCGCTACGGGTACCTGCGCCTGAAGCTCTCCAATGTGTGGCTGCGGGAGCCCTGTGCCCTGCTGAGGATGCCTTCGAAGAGAGCCAGCCTTGCTGCCTTGTCGTGGTTGTGCATCTTTGTCTTATATCCGTCCGGAACATGCCCGACCCATACTGACTTGCAGGTCCCCTCCCCCAGACAGGTATCCGCTCGCTCCGACCACGTCTCCACGCTGTCTGCGAGAATGTGCTGGCAGCGCTGCAGGAGATGGGCACTTCCGCAGGGCTTGTTGAAGATGGCAGCTCGATTCCACAATACCGTAGCAGAGAGGGCTCGCGGGGGTAACGGTAGGCCGGAGATTGAGACAGCTTGCCGATGGTGATCGAGGGGAATTGAGACTTGATCGCAATGACATATCGAGATATTCGCATGCCCTTGATGACAGCTCATCTCCCGTCTTGCCTGCATCTGCGCGTCTTTTCACGGCCTTGCGGCCAAGACCGGAGAGGAAGGGGCCACTGAGCGAATGCAACGCACCCGGCGTAGAAAGCGGTGCAGTGTAGCGGCGGGGCGAAGAGGAGTGGGTGTCAACACTGCCTCACTTGAACGTCAGATGAGCTCTGCGTTCTCACGGGGAAGTGCGACGGTGGAAGGGATCGTCTAGGGTCCTACCGCGATGAGGGCGGCAGTAGCAGCATGATCAGTGAGAATCGGCCCTGCCCCTCGCTGAGGGCGCACTGCATCATCTGAGCTGCCTCACGTCTTGCTGGATCTCGCTACCGGCGGCCTGAAGTCCCTGTGCACGTGATGATGGCTGAGCAGGCAAAACAGGGAGACTGATGGTCAGGCATGCGGCGCTGTGACACTGACATGCTTCTGTGCTTACCTGGTCGAAGCCTTAGGCGCAGGCCGCGAGCGAGAAGGTTGTGCGGTCATGGAGCGTGAGTTGAGGGCTGCTGTGCGCGACTCGCTAGCATCGAGCTACACTCACGAGTCGTCCGTAATGGAGCCGGCCGCGTAGTACTGCGCAAGCTCGTCGTTGCCCTTCTGTCTGCGCACCGCTGTCTTGACCGTCTTGCACAGCTTCGACCTGGGGCCCGGATCGTCACGGAAGTTGATCAAGGCTTTTGCCCTGCCCGAGCGCTTGAGCTACTCCTTGCTTCGAGAGGGCTTTCATGACGACAGTGGTAGGAGTGGCGTGGTCTTCGAGGGGCGATATTCCGCGCATCCACTCTGCGGTAGCCATAGCGTCGGTCTTTTGGGTTGTTGAGCTTTGGCTGGGCTAGACTAGCCTGCGCTCAGACCCCCTCTTTGCCCAACTAGCTTCTTGAGCCTGACTTTGTGTCCTCTTCAGCTTCCTGTCTTGTGATTTATCACTTTGAATCGATGTGCTTCACTTGCCATGGCTTGTGGATCGACCTTGTAGGGAGGGGGAACGCTAGACGCGGGGCCACGGAGGCTTGCTTAGCATGAAGTCACGGACTCAAATCTACTGATCTGCTGCGCAGCTTACCATAAGCTTTGCGTATCCGTTTCCACAACAGCAGTAGCGTAGCATGGTGGTGCTTCGCAAGGTCTCTTGATGCTGATCTCGCCTCTACGCCTTGGCAGAGACCTGCCTGATCTTCATCAGGTGTGCGAGTAGAGAGGGCGAGGCAAGATGAAGAGACAATGGGGCAGCGATGCGAGTGCTTTTGGCCTTCACTGGCGAATCAAGGCCCGCGAGCCGAAGGCCCGCGAGCCGAAGGCTCGCGGGCAGCGTGGTGAGTTGCGGAGGTCTCTGCGAAGGCGAGTTGGGGAGTGGGCGAGAGGTGATACGAGGGGTAGAGACGGAGAGATGGAAGGGATGACAAGATTGCGAGCGTGTGTCGTCCAGCTCATCGCCAGCGTCGTCGCGAGGGCAAAAGCGGATGTGATACGTCGAGAAAGATTGCGCCCAACATCGACGGTGCTCCGTGCCGGCCCGAGCGCAGCAACAAAGAGGCGAGAGTGACCGTAAGAGCGACGGCAAGAGCGATGGCGACAATCACTCGGAATGCTGCTCCGAAGGATTCGAGCAGACGAACCGTTCCCTCGCTGCTGGTGGCCACCTGTGTCCGGCACATAGCACCGCCGACCAGGGAGACTCACCTTCTGCAGACTACGCGAAGGGCAGCTCTTGTCTTCTTTCCCCACGATGCCTACTCAGAAGGAGAGAGACAAGGCGGGCGCAATCGGCGAACGCAATGGTATTATGATACACGCCTACCTCTTGAGCTCACAGCTCATCGTGCCCACGTCTCGCTCCATGACTTGCCTCGCTCTCTTGACTCTGCTCCTGCTCATCCCCATCCCCGTCTCGATTTTGATAGAATCGCTCTGCCCTCTCTGCGAGGGTTTCCCTCTCCACCTGCCCCGGAGCACCAGGGACTGGCTTTGGTCTCCACGCCTGGCCCCTTGCTTGGGCATTGAGCTCTGCGAATACGCGGGCGGCTTGAGGTTGCTCCTCCGCTCCACCTTCAGCAGGCACAGTCTCGCCTCCCTCCTCGCCGCCGCCGTCCGCCTCAGCCCCGCGACCCTGCATCCCCTCAACGAGAGCCGCAGCTAGCCGGTCGAGCCTCGCCTTGCGACGTTGCGCCATCACGCTCTGGGCGGCTGAATCTGTTGAGTCTTGTGTCTGCGCTTGCGCTTGCTCTAGCTGCTGCTGCTCCTGCCCTCCGCTCGCTCTACCTCTCATGCGGTTGAGCTCCGACTCGATTGCCCGAGCCAGGCCCGCTTGCAAATCTTGAGCCTCGATGGGAACACCTTCTTCGCCGCGACGTAGTCCCGCTACTCCAGCAACAGGCTGCCCTGCCTCGTCTTGATCGAGTATGTGGACGCGGACGCCGTCATTAACAACAGCGGCTCCGTCTTGTTGCGCCTGTCCTCCAAAGAGGATCTTCGACAGCAATTCCTCCAGCCCCTCCTCTCGCCCAGCACCTTGAGCTTCGCCCTCACGCCGACCCTCACCCCGTCCCACCAGCTCTCTCAACCTTTTGCCCGCTCTATGCCTCGCTTGCAAATGCTCCCTCGCCGTCGCCTCTGGGTCACCCTCCTCCTCCCGCCCCGCAGCGCGCATCTCTGCCTCCTGTTCTTCCTGTGCCTGCATCCAATCGGCGGCCCAGCTGCCAATCGGCTCCACAAGGGCGTTGCCCTCTTCGTCCCAGTCCAGCGCGTAATACTCGTCGGACTTGAGGGCGGTGGGGTTTTCGGCGGAGGGAAGCCAGGGTGATGTGCTCGTCGTGTGCAGGTATGCGTCGCGGTCCTCTTCGGCAGGAGCCGAGGTTTCCTGCTCTGCGACGGGGCGATCCTCCTTATCAGCTCCTCGAGACGCTTCACCACGCTCTGCATCCTCCACAGCTTTGACGGTCTCGCCCTCGACGACGCGCCTACACTTCCACTCCCCAACCGCTTCTCCACCCTTTTCCCCGCCACGCTCCCTGCCAACCTTCAATTCCCTTTCTCTACAGATTAGACCCGTCTCCACGACCATCACGTAGCTACACGTCGTCGTCTCCTTGATGAGCGCGATCCTGCTCGCCGAGCTCGGAACAAGAGCAGGATTACAGTGGTACTGCACCTCGACGTTGCGCGGCTGATCGTTGATGTCGCAGAGGGTGCCGTCTGACCAAACTTGGCTGAGGTAGCGTTGCTCTACGCCCGAGGTGGCGAAGCGGATCGTTTGCATCAGCTCCGTGCCATTGTCGTCGTCCAAAGAGACATTCGAGGAGTCGTGGTCGTCGTGCGATCGCATAGTGGACAGATCGCCTCCACCATGATGATCGGCGGTAGACCCCGAGCGTTCATCCCATAGTCGCCCGCCTACCCGTTCTAGCTCCCTCTTCCACCTGCCCAGCACGTATGCGTCCTTGCTCGGGTCTTGCGCTGGCACTCTACCCGGACCCACTGTTGCCTCGATAGCTTTAAATTGGCGCACGCTCTCACCGAAGCAGAGAGAGTACGTGAACCAGTCGAGAGTATGGTAGAGGCAGGTCCCCTTGAGTGGTGCGAGGAGGGACAGTCCCGACTCGATGACGCGATGGCGCTCAGCGAGAAGTGTGCTTGGGGTGAGAGTAGACTGTACATCAAACGCGCCACTGGACGACGAGATTGCTGGCGGAGTAAGGGAGCACAAGTGCGCCTGGCGCGGCGAAGAATGGATGAGCATGTGATGCTCCCCCCCCCTCTCTCCCTGCTCTGCATTCCATCCCGCTAAATCATTGCCATGTGCTTCGCGACTCTTTGCGAGCAACGCTGCTGCCGTTCCATTCGATACAGTGGCATGGTCGTCGAAGTGCACCTTGAATGCCGGGTGAGCGAGGAGGTCAGAGGGAAAGCGTTGCGAGGTTGAAGAGGAGAGGCCCATCGAGGGGGCTGGCTTGCCCAAGCGGAGGGCCTCGGCGTTCGCTTGCTGCTGCAGCAGGGCTGCAGCGAGGAGCGCAACGAGTGCTGGCCACGACAGCATAGCGGGCGTAGTGGCGAAGTGATGGCGAGCAAGCCAAGACGGTAAGACGGTTATGCGGGCGAGCGAGCGCTCAAGCCAGGCTCCACGACGGCCATGCGCTGCTCGCGTGGCTGGTTCCGTTCTTTGGACCCAAGTTCGGACCGGAGAGGCGAGCAAAAGTTGAGGATTCAGCAAGCCTGAATTCTTCGACTACCGTACCACCACACACCTCGACAACAACGATGGCGTCGCAGCAACGAGACACTTCGCCCTCAGGCTCCTCTTCCTCTTCCGGCTCATCAGCCAGTGGATCCGCCTCCCCACCTCCTCCATCCGCGACGCCCTCCTCCTCCCGCCCCCGCAAATCCCAGTCCTCTGCAACGCACGAATACGAACCGCCTGAGGGATACTCACTTTCCGATCTGTCGGGCAGCGCATTGCAGCACGATGCTCTCGCAAACGGTGACAAGCAGGTGTGGCTCTTCAAGCTCCCCGAAGGAGTGAACGCGGCGGATCTAGATGGGCTGAAGCTCAATGTTGGAAAGAAGACGAGGGCGGCTTCGCTGCGAAACAAGGAGGATGCGTACCGATTGGTAGAGGCAAAGGGATCTTCTCCGGCGTCGCAAGATGCACGCAATGCTCAGGCGGGGCACTTGGAGGGTAAAGCGAAGCGGGAAGGGAAGAAGAGCCAGCTCGTGGACCAAGAGGAGGACGACGATGGAGCAGCCGCTTCGTCTAGCACAGTCGCGCCGGGGGCGTACCTCTACCTCCCTACTGGGCCACGCAGCGTCGGGCAATTGCGACAGAGCAAGATGCCGATTGCAAGACGATTTGAGCTCTTGCTGGACGTGAGCGCACCCGCTGCCAGCACGGCTGATGAGCAGGAAACGTCCTCTTCCAAGAAGACGAAGACGAACGGCGCCCAAACCCCTGCGGAAGCCCGCATGGCCAGCATTGAAAAGCATCGTCGCCTCAAAGGCTACTTTGCGCCCGTTGGGGCAATGTACGATGTTGCCGCCGCAGAAGCCGGGCCGCAAGCCGCAAGCGCAACGACGACAGCCACTTCGACGCCTGCCAAGAAGGACAAGAAGCGCAAGAAGGGCGAGGTAGAGGCCGCCGAGAAGGAGGCAGCGGCGGCTGGAGTGGCACCAGCAGCTTCGCCGTCTCCGCGAAAGGACAAGAAGGTCAAGAAGGAGGAAGCGGGGGACAAGGCGAGCAAGAAGGAAGCAAAGGCAGAGAAGAAGGAGAAGAAGAAGGAAAAGAAGGAAGCAAAGGCGTAGAAGGGCGAGAGCATTGCATGCACTGCAGTCTAATTGCAATCCAGCTAGGTGACATCGACAAATACCGAGCAGCTCTACCTTTACATCCTTTGAGCGCGTCTAGGCCTGAAACAACTCGCCCAGCTGCTGGATCGTATCCTCCGGGCTCGTCACCGTATGCCCTTTCGTCCTCTGATCCTCAAAGATCTCGTAGTCGTTGCCGCCTTTGTACGTCTTGTCGCCGAAGAAGTGAATCGTTTGGAAACCGTCGTCCTTGATGTGGTTGAGGGCGTACGTCTTGTCCCATCCGACAGGGAAGACGTCGAATGAGATCTGCCCGCCGATGCTGTATGTGAGGCCGTAGTCTGGGAACTCGCGCTGGAGTGCAGCAATGAAGTCGCGGCGGATGTTGTGCTGCAGGTCGTACTTCTCGAACTCGATTCGCTCTTGGATGCTGGCGACAGCGTGGGAGGAAGGCTCAAAGGTGGTCAGTATCGCGAGGTAGCCGTCCTCGCTGATCTCTTCCCCGCGCTCACGATGCGTTCCTCCCGATGGGCGAGACGTTGATCATGCCTGCTCTGAACTCGATGAACGTCCCCCTCATGACCGGAATTTCCAGCCCACTGATGTATCTCAAGCAGAACTTGACCAGCTTCTGGTACTTCTCCTCACCCAACCAACCCAAGAAGCTCTGGCTCGCCAGCTCTTTGCCCATCTTGTACGCTGTCAGCCCATTCTCGGCGAAACCATAGTCGAAGAGGTCCACGCAATTGTAAGGCTCAGCACCGGGCAGCTGCAGCTGTTCCTGGATCTTTGGGAGGTTAGAGCCGCCGACGAAGCCGATTGCGCATTGCGTGCGGAGGTGCTGGAGCGTCTGGAGCATGGCGGGCGAAATGGATTGACGCGCGGGGGTGAGCGTGCCATCGACGTCGAAGAGGCAGATTGTCGTTGAGCGCGGGCGCGAAGCCAAAGGTACGGGGGCCGGAATGGGAGCGGACATGTTGGGCTTTGCTGTGTAGTGGTGAGGAGGAAAGGAAAGAAGAGGGCGCAAGCAGCAGCGTGAGAATGTGTTGATTGGCTTTGGCTCGAGGCCCGCTCTCGCTCATGCAAGGCAACCTTGCTCGGGCCAGTGCGAGGCGCTCTGTCCGCCCGTCGCCTGTCGCGATTCGGCCGCGGCGCGTCTCGCCCTCGAGTCGAGGTGGAAGTGGGAGCCTCGCGAGCGGATGGCATTCATTCGCTCACTGCACCTTTCCCAAGTCACTACCCTCGCATCCTTCCATGTCAAGGCCTTCGCCGCAGGTGCATCGCTCTACGGGCGGCTACTCACAACAGCAGCAGTACCGTTCAGCGCAACAGCACCCGCAGCATTATCCGCCTCGTCGCCTCGATGATGGCACAGAGCGTGAGTCGCTACGCTTCGTGCTCTTGTAGAACGAATGTAAAGCTCATCTTTCTCCGATCGCACCCGCACAGCAAGCTACCTCACGCCGCCTGGCCCCTGCAATCGTCTTCTCCTCGCTCTCCTGTCCCCCTTTCGCGAGGAGATTGCATGGTCCCTCTCACGCCTCATCCACGCATCCAACTTCCACCCGCACCACCTCATCCTCTCAGAGTGGTGTGGGCTGGCAGACCGGCTGATCAGCTTCGTCGATCGCTTCAACAAGGCAGCACGAGGAAGGCCAGGCTGGGAGACAGATGAGGAGGAAAGCGTTCTTCGACAGTATGACCATTTCGAAGATGAGGACGACGAGGAAGGCGACGAGGAGAGCCAGGGAGCAGTCGTCCTCGCGCAGCAGCCCACCGTCTTCGACCCACGCCGCAACCCTTCACACTACTTCATCCTCAACGCGGCCGTGTCCGCATCTCTCATCCTGCGCAACTGCTCAGAAACATCATCAAACGCCGAATGGATCTCCAAGCTACACGACGTTGCCCGCGTAGCCTACGAGATCATCGCCCTCCCTGAGGACCTCTTCGGCTTCGAGGATGGCACGGACTTGAAGGAGGGGGGAGAGGTGGAAGAGCAGATGCGCTTGGAGGGCGTCAGAGAGATGAGACTCTACTGGGCGGAAATCGCTCAGACCTTGGCGCCCAGGATAAGGGTGTACCATCGTGCGGAGCTAGCTAGATTCGCGGATGGATCGGTCAAGAGGATGCCCGGCGCGATGATCGCCGCTTCGTCAGGCACGATTGATGACACCGAAGCCTCGCCTCGCCATTTGCACTCTTCGGACCGCCTCTACGCGCACATGGTCCTCCTACTGCACACCACCTCTGACCGTGCTCTTCTCCTCGCCTCTCTCCGCTTCCTCGCTATCCTCATCTCCGCCTCATCAAAGACAAAGCAGGAGATCTTCGTAGAGCGTGCAGTTGATGTGGACACTGGAGGGATGAGCCCTGGCATCGTCTCGCGCTGCAAGGAGCTCCTGCCCCTGTACGACCTCGACGAGCAGCTCGCCGAGACTCTCATGGACTGCTTGGCCGCAACGGTTGATGTGGTGGTGGAGAAGCCCAACCCCAAAGCATCGAAGGCGTCGGACCAGGCCGCGGCCGGCGTGCTCGGGCTCGAAGTCGACGACGAGGAGCCTGAACTCCGTCGCGAGTGGCCAAATGCCCTCAAGCTCATCTCGCCCGGAGACAGCAGCTCCAGCCGCGCACAGCTTCCCTCTCAGCCCACTGCAACTATCCTCTCCCGCATGCTCGGCATCAACACCACCTCTTGGGATCGCACTACGAAGCTACAGCCTCACCCGCACCAGCAGCACGTCCTCCGCTACATACCCAACCGCGCCACGCACGAGCGCGAGATCGTCGCACGGGCTGACCGCACAAATGCGGACGCTAAAGCACGCTGGCGCCGCCTGCGGGAGATGAAGGCTGAAGGTGGGCTGGTTGAATACACAACGGCTTCGGAGAAGATGGCACTGGCAAAGATGAAGGAGCCGGACCGCGTACAGGAGTGGTTGAAGATGGTCACGAAACTCGTGCCCAATCCACCAGCGGAGACGGGCGCGTACATTACGCAGATGCAAATCTGGACGAGCTATCGCGATACATTTGAGCCGCTCGTCAATGGGAGTCAGAGAAGCGGCGGTGAACCTTTGCCGCCGCTGATGGCAGCTGCCGACGTCATTTCGAGCGTGACGGCCTATTTGCCAGGCACGCAGGCCATCCTTCGACCCGAGGAGGATGTGCGAGTTGGGGGACAGAAGTTCATCATTTCGGGCTTGGAGGGGAATCTGCGCCCTGAGGTCAGACGATACAACTGTCAATGGCGGGGATGTCCGCAGCCTGCTACTGATACGAGGGAGGGGCAGGGAAGCCATATTGACGCGCATGTTAGGCACGCAGTTGGTGCAGGCCAGGGCAGAGAGGGTTGTCGGTGGGCGACGTGCGATTACAAGTTGCCTGGAGGAAGGGTGGAGAGAGGGGACAAGGCGATGACGCTTGCAGGACATGTGAGGACGCATCTGCCTCAGCAAGAGAGCGCAGCAGCGGCAACGAACAAGGCAGAATCCAGCACTGCTCCTGCGAGCCTCGAAACAGGCTCGGGCCGCCAGGTGACTCTGAAGCGCAACGCCTCGTCCACCTCTACCGACGTCTCAACCCCTTCAGCCCCGCAAACGCACCACCTCCAACCAGACGGGATCCACGCACGCTCTGCCTCTCGCCCGTCACGCGGCACAATCGAGCGACAACTCACCATCGACTACAAAGTGTATCGCACCCCCTTTGACCCCTTACGCAATGAGGCGCATGGTATTGCGGCGAACGCAGCGCGCATTTTCCTTGCAGCAAGCAACATGTGTAGGGTAGTGTTGGGTGAGGGAGACGATGCTGACGAGGAGGAGAGTGATGAAGAGGCAGAGGGAAGTGAGGAAGAGGGTGAGGGAGGAGCAGGCGGTCCGAAGGGAGGCAAAGGTGTCAAGCGCGTAAAGCTCGACTTTACGGATCGACAACAGCAAGCCAAGTTCGGTATGCCATTTGTCCTTCCCAAGAACTTCCAGGCTACCGTCGCAGCGGCGGTTGCCGCCCAGGCTCAAGCCGAGGACGAGGCCGCTGCAGGTGAGGGGGACGCAAGCATGGCGGACGCCGCCAGTATCGCCCTCGGCCCTGGGCAAGGATCGACCACGTTGGCAGCTCAGTCCCAAGTGGAGCTTCGCAGCGAAGCTCAGGCCGCTCTAGGTGAGCTGCAGGCCGTTGAGGACCAGCTGCTAGGCTGGGCCGGGTGCAATGACATTCTGGCGAAGGATCTGCTCGAGACGCTGGATAATGTGGCACGGACGAGACGTGCGCGAGTGAAGGGCAAGGGGCCGACGCAGAGGGTTGGGAGATAGAGATGGAGGGAGCTGAGCTGTCAATACTAGATCCGCTTGTCATCCCTGTCATGATTGTGCACGAGCTACGAGTGGTCGATCGACTTAACGATGTGATGAGAATTTGGCGTGACCGTAACGTCCAGGGCTCCAGCGGAGATGGATGCTCAAGCCGCGCCCGTCTCGCCTCGACCCTCGGTGCGTCAACCTGGCCTGGTTCCGTCCCCCTTTGCCCTCGTCTCCACACCTCACCGAACCCCACTATCACCAGCCTCAACCACTCGTCATGCCCATTCCCTTGGCACTTATCGCCTCCGGCTCGAATATCATCGTCGAGTCGCACGACGAAGGCTCTGATCGCTTCCTCAGCGCCGCCTCGACGATCTTGACGCGCATCCCGCCCAACTCGAGTCGACTCTCTTATGCCTTTGAGGAGTGGGTGAGTGTCAAGATTCGCTGCGATTTTGATAGCAGTTTTACTTGCGCTGTTACCGAGGCGCAGGCGCTGATACTCTATCTCCCTGTCTGCTCACCCACTCTCGCAGCTCTTTCACTACGTGAGCGAGGAGGGATGGGTATATCTCTGTGTTGCTGATGGGCAGGGAGGGAGGAGATTGCCCTTTGCGTTTTTGTCAGAGGTGCAGAAGGAGGTGTGTACGACCAAGGCGATGCGAACAACTTCACGACCACCTGAGGCGAAGCTGACATGCTACTGGACCTGCCTCTTCGCCAACAGTTCCTCTCTCTCAACCCCACCCCTTCCCCCAGCTCCCCCGATGCGCCGCACCTCGCCCACTTCGCGCCCACCCTCCAAGCCCTTCGCAAACGCTTCTCCTCTTCCCCCGAGTCCGACCCAGTCAAAGCTGCTCAAGCGGAGCTAGGTGCCGTTCGCGACATTATGACGCAGAACATCGAGCAGGTCCTCTCTCGCGGAGAGAGGATCAGCTTGCTGGTGGACAGGACGGGCGAGGCTGCGAATCAGAGCACGGCTTTTAGGCGTAGAGCCAAGGGCCTGAGGAGGACGATGTGGTGGCGCAATGTCAAGGTGATGGGATTGGCTGGATTCTGTGCGCTAGTGAGTTCAGGAGGAGGCGAAATACCATGCAAGGTGGGTGGAAAGCTGACGCATACGTCCTCCTCCCTTCTCACCCGCAGGTGTTCCTCCTTTTCCTGTGGTCCGTGTTGCACGGTTGAGGGTGTACACTGCCTCGTTCTGCTAGATGTGTTGACGATCGTCCTTGTCCCTATCCCGAGTAATATACCACCATCTCAACCAGCTTGCTGCAAAGCATACCGTGCCCTCCCGCTTGAAGTTGTCCGCCCGTCGGCCGGCGAGGAGGCCGAGGTTGAGGTCCTGAGGTCCGAGCGCGACTGGGGGCGGGAAGAGCGATCCAACACTTCTTCCTCCCTTGACTCACCTTTCTCTCGTCCAACAAGACCGCAATGTCAGCTGCGCCTGCCAGATCACGAGCGCCTGGCCCACAGACCGTCAAGGCTGTGCTGTTTGATAGCGATGGGTTGCTCATCGACTCTGAGACCATCTACACGGACGTGGTCAACGAGGTGCTCAGGCCCTACGGCAAAGAGCAGACTTGGGAGATCAAGGGTAAGGGCGGCGGCGGCGCCTGCTGCCATCCCGTGTGGTGGCGATGCCCAAGCTGACCACTAGTCTGATGTACGTCCCCAGAACGTCTCATGGGACGCAGCGAAAAGGAAGCAACAGAGATCCTCCTAGGCGCCCTCTGGCCTCCCCGTGCCGGGCACGATGAGAAGTACGACATCGCTGCTTGCCCCTTCGAAGTTCCCACTTTCCTCAAAGACCGCAACGACCTCCTCCTCAAGGCTTTCGAGACCGTCAAGCCTATGCCTGGCGCTCAACGCTTGGTTGCTCATTTGGCCAAGCACAAGATTCCGATCTGCGTGGCTACGGGGTCGAAGAAGCCCAACTACGAGATTAAGAGTGGAGCCAATCCTGAGATCTACAAGCATTTCGAGGGGAGGGCGATCACGGGGAGTGATGAGAGGCTGAAGAGAGCTAAGCCTGCTCCGGACATTTTTCTCCTGGCGGCGAGGGAGGGACTTGGATTGGGGAAGGCATTCGCTGCCAGCATCCGAGATCAAGGGGAGGAGAATGACGGGCGACTGAAGGGCGGAGAGGGGAGTGTGCTCGTCTTTGAGGATGCTACGAATGGCGTTGAGGCAGCTATCGCTGCTGGGATGCAGGTGGCGTGGGTTCCGGACGCCAATCTGCTCAAAGTCGTTGGCGAGGATATTGGAGCGACGGTCACGCTCAAGGGTGGGCTGGAGGATTTCAATCCCGAGCTGTTCGGGTTGCCGCCCTTCGAAGACTGAGACGTGCAATGCAGTGGTATTACAGAGAACAAATGAAGAAACATCTACAAAAGCGAGCTTGCTTCTGCTCACCTTCCTTCCGCGGTTGATAGCGCCTGTTGCGCGACATCGTCCCCCTGCTCGCTCACTCTCCGCGCATGCTCTTCCACACCCTCGATGGCCTTCGTTGCAATCTCGGCGAAGATGGGAAACGTCTGCGAGTCGCGATATCGCTGCATGAGGGTGCGACTGAGGAGAGTGCCTGCGGGTGTGGCGCTTTCCTTTGCCACGGCCGTCTCAGGTGTTGACGTTGCTGGTAGCGATTCAGTCACATCGACGCCATTCGTCGCCGCTGATGTTGATCCTGTGGCTGCCTCGACTTTCTTGACGGCCCCCTGTTCTCCTGCACTCGCGCCCTTTGCCAATGCAACCGCCTCGTCCTTGGCATCATCCAGCACCCTCACCAACCCCGGATCAATTGGTATCCTCCCCAAGAACCTGATGCCCTCCCTCTCAGCGAGCGCCTGCCCACCACCCTTTCCCCACACATTTGTACACTCAGCACAATGCGGGCACACATATCCACTCATGTTCTCTATCAGCCCCACGACTGGCAGCCCGACCTTAGAGCAGAAGTCGAGTGAGCGCAGATTGTCCGCAAGGGAGACGGCCTGCGGTGTGGTGACGAGGATAGCGCAGGGGCTGAATGGCCGGAGGTACTCCATTAGAGAGATATGCTCGTCGCTCGTACCTGGGGGCGTATCGACGATGAGGTAGTCAAGCTCGCCCCACCTGACGTCCCCGAGGAACTGCTTGATCATCGCATTCTTCTTTGGCCCTCGCCAGACGACGGAATCATTCTTGCCCTTGAGCAGCATCGCCACACTCATGACGGCCAAGCGTTGTGAGGCGTCCACGTAGGCTGGTAGCCAACCCTGTGAGGATTGAAGGATCTTGGCTCCTTCGAGACCGCACATTCGTACTTGGGAGGGCCCAGTAAGGTCAAGATCGAGCAGGCCTACGCGTTTCCCTTGCGCAGAGATGCTGAGGGCCAGCTGCGTTGCAACGGAGGACTTGCCAACGCCTGAAGCGTTGGAGGGGAGGAAGCGGTGCGTAGTCGCGTGAGCTGCGCTTGAAGACGACTGGACGTTGTCTTCGTGGCGTGGGCGCTACTCACCACCCTTGCCGCTCAGCGAGCAGATGATGTTCTTGATCTTGCCATTACCGAAGCGGCTGAATATCTTTGGGTCCACTGCGGGCTGCTGTGAAGAAGATGCAGCTGAGGATGCCATGCTGTGATTGATCGAGACGAGTGGTAAGGAAAGCGAAACGATGTGCTGCACGGCCGGCCGTAAGAGCCGCGAAATGCGCTCCGTTATCCGTGCTGACATAAGCGATGCCACCACTCCACTTGTCGGGCGACCAAGAGCGAACAGCTTGCCCTGGCCTCCTGACATCAACACAAGTTTGCAAGATGCAAGACAAGTAGCAAGCCATAAGCTCGATGTCACAGCGTCGCTCCACGCGCATTGCAAGCAGTCGAACGATCAAGGCTGAGGATGATGCCGGCCAGCATGTCGTCGAGCAAGTGGTCGTCAAGGCTGAGCCGGAGCAGGATGTAGAGCTGACCGTGAAGCGACGCAAGCGTGGTCGCGGCAAAAAGCGTCAGGCGCCCGTCAAGGAAGATGCGACGACAGAAGGCGAAGTCGGAGCAGCTCAGACTGTGGGGGTCGAGTCCGGCGAAGACGTCAAGCCTCTGACCTCGTCCGATGATAAAGCGTCACCCAAACGTCGCAAGATCAAGAGCGACTCCCCTCCCGTCCTCGACGCCCCCGACCTACACGCCTTCGCCGACCGCACACACTGGGTGGGCGCTCACATGAGCATCGCTGACGGCGTGGAAAACAGCATCGCCTCTGCCCGCCGCTACGCCTGCGAGGGCTTCGCGCTGTTTCTCAAGGCCAAGATGAATTGGACTTACAAGCCCCTCGCGCAGGAGAATATCGATCGCTTCAGGCGGTGGCTCCCTGCTCTTGGGTACACGGGTAAGAGGTGCTTGCCACACGGCTCCTACCTGATCAATTTGGGCAATCCGAACAATGTCAAGCGGGCTCAAGCCATGGATAGCTTCCTCGACGATCTGCGAAGGTGCGCCCTGCTCGGCATCTCGGTGTACAACTTCCATCCAGGCTCCGGCGTAGGCGAGTGCACAAAGGAGCAAGCTTGTACGAATATCGCCACGTGCATCAATGAAGCCCACCTCACACTCGCAAAAGAAAACCTTTCGTGCCCGATCATTCTACTCGAGAACATGGCAGGTCAGGGTCAGCAAGTGGGGCGATACTTCGAGGAGCTGGCAGACGTCATCGCCCAAGTCAGGGACAAGGGGAAAGTGGGCGTCTGTCTGGACACGGCGCACGCTTTTGCTGCTGGGTTCGACATTCACACCATCGCAGGCTTCAACGCGATGATGGCCGACTTTGACCGCATCATCGGTGCGCAGTACCTGCACGGCATGCACCTCAATGACTCCAAGGAAGCGCTTGGGTCTCGCAAAGATCGGCATGAGAACATTGGGCAGGGGCACATCGGCCTGGCGCCCTTTTGGTGTATCATGAATCAGGAGCGCTTCGCCGGGATGCCTCTGGTGCTCGAGACACCTGCGGCGAGCTGGCGGGTATGGAAGGGGGAGATCGAGGCTCTCTACGAGTTGCAGGGGCTGCCGGAAGAGGAAGGGGCGTGGCGGGGGGTGAAAGAGAAGTTGAAGGCATTGAGCGAATTGCCAAAGGAGATGGCGGGGACTGATATCGCAAAGGCCGGTAAGGATGCACAGCGGGCTGCGGAAGGATTGCCGCCGAAGCCCTACAAGGATCAGAGGACCAAAGGGGAGGGGGACAAGAAAGGGGCCACGGGCAAGACCGCCCAAGCAAAGGTGAAAAAAGCTACGGCAGTCAAGAAGGAGATATTGAGAGGGCAGGCTTTACAGCACGCCACGGACGAGCTTGCCATTGACAGGCCTGCCGCAGACGGTGGTCTCGCACCCAAGAGGAAGAGGAAGGCGCTGTGATCTTTCGAAGAGGGGACGCGGTGATCTTTGACGATGCACGTTGAGCACAACTGATACCATTTTCATTCACGCAGCATGCCAGATCTGTGCTGCACCCCGCTCAAGAGCCGGCGGTAGGGCTGCGTGCGGATATTCTTCCTCAATCCAGCAATGTGATGTCGTGAGGGGTCCTCGTAGAACCCTGCCGTATGAAGTGATCGGATGCAGCGCGTCTACGGCCTCCACCTGCCTCATTTTATTGGAATCGGCAGTCAGTCGGCAATGGCAGCCGTCGATCTCCAAACGCACCTGCCGAGCTCGGCACCGCGGCGTGACGGTGCAGACGTGAATAATGGAGCGACCAGTGTGAGTGACCGTCGAATAACGCCCATCGATAGCATTGGCAGCGCATTCAAAGACGTCGCAAAGCTGGTGCTTGCTGCTGATGTCGTTCGTGCCCTGCCAAGCTCACCTCCTGAGTCGCCGGCTTGTCTGACTTGAATTCAAGCGCGACCTCCGACCGCGTCCACGCCGGCGACGAGGCTGTGCCAATTTTTGCTGCCCTTCGCAGACTGTCAGGACGATTTTCAAAGACCGCGCCGACCGCTTCTCCTCTCTCAGCGCTCGGCGGCCGCGGAAACCAATGACGTTAGAGACGGTCTGCAATGCGGGGGCGACTAAGCTCTCAGGCTGGTCTGCGCTGCAGGACGCCGACGATGCAGCACAAGCAAGCAGCAAGAGCGTGGAATTCCTGCTTTAGCCTCGGCCAAGAAGCCCGTACGATCCCGCCGCCCGCCCACGGCCCCTCCATTGCTCGCTCGCTCGTCATTGCCACTGAGAGAGCAGTCAGCGGTCCAGGAATCCGAGCTAGTCACAACTTTCTTTGTTACCACATCACATAAACATCTGTCGCGACCCCTTCGCATTTTCCATCCTCTCTTTCATCCATCGTATTCATCTATCCTCACGCGCCCCGACATGAGGAACTTCGCAGCCGTCGCCGGCTTGACGGCCCTCTCGGCGTTGACCGCCAACTCGATTGTCCTCCCTCAATCGGTCGGTGACCAACGCTTCGCCGCTGATGAAGCCGCTGCCGCGTCGTCCCAGAACGTCAAGCGTTCCACGAACGATGGCGTCTTCGCGAAGCGCAACCAGGGCGAGTCGATCCGCCTCGAGCTGAACCACTCGAAGCGTCAGCCTCTCGACAGCATGGACAAGGTCAAGGAGTTCGCCGCCAATCAGAAGGCTTACGTTCAGCAAAAGTACGGGAAGAAGAAGGCCAGCGACGCCGAGAAGAGGCAAGTCGCCGGTCTCGTCGACTACGGTCAAGACTCGTGAGTACGCCACTATTGCCTTGATGATGTGGAGGAGTGGAACAGCACGCTCATTCCTATCCTTCTCCCCGCTGTAGCTTCTACTTTGCTCAGGTCGCCGTTGGTACGCCCGCGCAAAACTTCAACATTATTCTCGACACCGGCTCTAGTGACTTCTGGGTGACCGACGCTGACTGCAGATCAAGTCAATGTGCCGACGTCGCCTTGTACAACACTGGTGCCTCCAGCAGCTCTGTCCAGTCTCAGACGCCTTTCCAAATCCAGTACGGCTCAGGCGCTGTGCGCGGCACCCTTTACGCGGACACTGTAGCCCTCGCTGGCTACACCGTCTTCAACACCACGGTCGCCGGTGTCACCCAGCTGGCTACGGGTACGCTTCGCTCCCCCACGTCGGGCATCATGGGAATGGGCTTCGAGCAGCTTGCCACCTCTGGCGCCACGCCCTTCTGGGAGGTGCTGGCCAAGTCTGGCACTCTTCAGACGCAGGCGTTCACTTTCCAGCTGCAGCGCAACAAGATGGCAAGTCAGGACGCCCTCAGTTCGGGCGGCGTTTTCACCTTGGGCGAGATTGATGGCAATCAGTACCAGGGCGACATCACCTACACGAACTTGCCGAATAGCCAGCGCGGACGAGCAGGCTACTGGGCAATTCCGCTGGACAATGTCCAGCTGAATGGCAATACGATCAGCACGTCCGGCCAGCTCGCCGCTATCGACACGGGCACAACACTCATTGGTGCTCCGGAGGATATTGCCGACCAATTCTACTCGCAGATTCCCAACGCTCAGCCCGTCAACGTCGGTGGTGAGCAGGGTTACTACGCCTACCCGTGCGACACGAACTTGAATGTCGCATTCACCTTCGGCGGAAAGACTTGGAGCATCAGCTCGGCAGACTTCAGCGGTGGCACTGTTGCACAGGACCGCTCTGGTCAAAACTATTGTTTGGGGGCTATCTTCGGAGCTAATTTGGGCAGTGGTGCTCCCGAATGGATTGTCGGTGATTCGTTCCTCAAGAACGTCTTCTCCGTCTACGAGTACGAGCCTACGCCGCGCGTCGGGTTCGCTGAGCTCAAGAACGGCCAGGCCCAGAACGCTCCCGTCAGCATCGGCCTCGTGCCCTCGGGGACTGCAGCCAACAGGCAGCAAGTATCGCCCGCTAGCTCGGCCACCGCATCGACCGGCGGTGGCGTCGGTCCGCCGTCCCTCTCCGTCGACTCGGCTGCGGCTACTCAGACCAACATCGTCGGTGGATCTGGCCTTCCCAACCCGGTTGCCGCGAACGCGGTAGCCACTGCTTCGGTGAGTACAGTGCGGAATGGGAAAGAGTCAGTGTAGTGTGACATTGTGGCAGAGGAGGGGGGCATCTCGCTCTCCTTTCTGCCGCTTCGTTACGGTGCCAGGCTCAAGTGGCTGCGAGCAAAAGCACATTCGCCTGACGAAGCGCTTTCCATCACCTTTCTCCTAACCCTCGAACATAGAATCTGACACCCTCATCTTCCTCCCCTGCTGCCGCCGCTGCGCCAACTTCCTCTTCTCCCCTCCCCTCTTCCGCCGCCGCATCCACACCTTCCTCCTCGAACCGCTCGACATCGACCGCTTTCGTTACCTCGACACAGCCCTCCCTGACGACGGGCACCAACTCCCTCAGCGGCAGTAACGCGTCGGGCGCCTCGCGCTCCGCACACACTGGTGCACTCCTCCTCTCGGCTGGAGCGGCCACGCTCTTCGCTATTGTCGTTGGAGGCTCGCTCCTGTAAAGTGTCAGCGGGCCACACGACAGTTCATCAGTCAGCCAGCCAGTCATGAAATCGGACACCACCTCCTCGTCTTCTTGCACATAATTATGTCTAGGATTACGTTTCTGTGGATTTGCAACGATAACATTATCCCTCTCTCCTTCGGCCTGCAACTACGCTGTATCCTGTCGTTCTCTCTCGCGCTACCTCTACGTGCTCCGTAGCAATGCCAAATAGCTTTTCCAGAAAGTCGACATGCGCTGATAGTCTGTACAGTAAGCAGTGAGGCGTGATGCCGCCTCAACAAAATGCGCAGGTAGACATACGCTGTCAACGCGTGCCGAAGCCGCTGACCATGGCTCCGTGCAGTAGTACCGCTCGAGGTGCTGATAGTCGCCGAAGGCTGCGAAGGGTCCTCCGCGCCTGGAGCAGCAGCGCTACCTTGTCGTGTGCTGGCGATGAAGCTAAGGGCCCGGCACAGCGACTTCTGGCCAGGCCATGCTCCGAGGAAGCATCTTGAGGCGCTGCCGGCGTCACCAGGCTACCTCAGGGCTCAGAGGGGCTCATATCCTCCGCTTCCCCTGCCACTGCTTCCTCCACCCGACCCACCAGCGATAGACTTCCACGCATGTCTTCCAGCGTCCTGAACAAGGTAAGGCGCCTCCCTCCAGAAGTCGCGATGCGGGATCTCGTAGACGCCGTACTTCTGGTGATTCTGGTAGGTACCGAGTACGAAGTAGATGATGAGACCCATGATAATGCTGCATGCGCATATAAGCAGGTCGAGTGAGTCTTGATCGAAAGCTTCGTCAGGTGAGCATCGCCCAACTCACAGGAAAAAGAACCAGCTAAAGAACCCCCATCCCCCTTGTGCTGGCTGCAGCGGGTTCGTCCCATCCCCAGCCGGGTCCCCATCCTTATCCTTCGTGCTCATGGGGCAAGCGATCTTCGTCCTCCAGCTCACCTTCCCCTCGCCTTCCATTAGATCGTACCCCTTGAATGTCGGTTTGCTTTCCACTGACGCCGAGGGGTCACATGACATCTGTATCTCCAATTTCTGCCGTCTTCCCGCGTACTCCGGGCCTTTGAGCTCTAGTGTCCATTCTTTGCCGTCGGTCGATACGTCTTCCAGCTCATAGCGATATGCTGCCCCGTCGCCGTAGAAAGGGATGATCTGGTTGACTACGTCGTCACCGCCTGCTGAGAGTTTGGAAGAGACTCTTTGGCATACACGCGTGCCTGAGCCACAGGATTGGTCGGAGGGGAGCGGTTTGCACAGGGAGAGAGCGAGGGAATAGGTTGTGATGCTCGGCGGGGTATCGTACTTGGCTGATATGATGACAGGGTCGAGAGAAGAGAGAGAGGAAAGGTCGTATTGATTGGATCCGAAGGTGAGGGGTTGTGCGCAGTCCAACGCTGCTGCGCTCGCTGTTGGGGCGCGACGTGTGAGTGGATCTGCACCGGCCATTGACGCGAGGAGCAGGATTGATGCTTGAGTGATTTTGGACCGTCTCGAAGGGTTGGATGAAGTCATGGTAGGAACGGGCGTGAGAGGGCGGCCGTCAAGGTGGTGGTTGGGAACGAGAGCAAAGCAACGCACGGACTTTGGCTCTGCCCACGGCCAGTCCGACTCTGGAGCTCCGAGTTGGAGATCGAGTCGAGTCGCTTTGCGCGGGTTTGCTTGCCCTGCTCCCGCTCAAATTTGGTGCCGTACGACAAAAGCTTCGCCTTTCCGCGTCCTCACCATCATCAGCATACAGTCATGTCACAGTCAACACAGCCAGTCAAGCTCAATGACGAGCAAATCGACGATCTCCTCTACTGTGCCCGAGCAGGCGAGGTCGAGGACCTCGGCGCTTACCTCGACGAGCTGGTACCGCCGTCCACGCAGGGAGCCGTCAAGGTGAAGCAGGCTGTCCTCGCCCAGGTGGTAGACGGGTCTGGGAATGGCATGTTCCATTATGTTTGCGCGAATGGACATCTGGGTGAGTATGATGATTTCTTCAAGTCTGTACGCACGTGCTGACACCAGTTTGCCGTTGGTGTGGCAGATACCTTCAACCTTCTCTCCCCACTCTCCTCCCTCTCGCTCCTGTTGCACCAGAACTCATCAGGCAACACGCCACTGCATTGGGCGGGCCTCAATGGTCACTTGCCACTCGTCAAGGCACTTGTAGAGAGGATAGAGGACCTGGAGAAGGAAGACACAGAGGGAGCAAAGGTGATCAGGGAGAAGCAGAGGGAGGAGGAGATGAAGAGAAGAGCAGAGAGCAAGAGGAAGAGGAGGCAAGAGGCGGCGAAGCAAGCTGACGAGGACAAGAAGAGCGAGGCGGCGACGGGCTCCTCTGAGGACAAGAAGACGGCACCAACAAATGGCGATGCCGAGCTGGATGACGATGAGGAGGATGATCCGCCAGAGCTGTCCCTCTGGGACCTGCGCAACAACTTCGGTCGCGGCCCGACATCAGAGTCGCAGATGAATGACCGCGAAAATGTCGTCCAATTCCTACTCACAAGAATGGCAGCAGGCGGCGGGGCTGAGCCGGCAAGCACAAAGCCGGATCAGGAGGATGTCAAGGAGTTGGAGCAGAAGACGAAGGAGGCCTCATTGGAGGACAAGGATGGGGAGGCGAAGGGTCAGGAGAAGGACACCTTATCTTGATGCTGTGTGCAGCGAGCGCCAGAATACACTCCAGTGACTTTTGCCACGCCCTGACAAGAGGTCTTCCGGCCGCCAGAGACAAGCGATTTCGCCACTCTCGAACGCGCTGTGCTAAATAGATGGTGATATCATCAACAAGAAGCTGCTGCTACTGCGAAGAGGTGCTGCCTCAAGAAAGGTCAAAGAGAAAAGGCCAGATGGCGGCTATGTACAAGCTATGTACAGCGGATAGGTGAAGAGAGTGGAGTATGCGCTATGTACAGCGACGTGAGAGTAACGGCCTCTGCCGCTTTCACACATCCCTTCCCTTCCCTTTCCACCGAGCCGCCGATGCTGCTCCATCGCCGTTGGTATGCTGCCACTCGCCGCCGGGGGGAGGTACAGCAATCACCGACTCGAGCTGTGCGCCTCCGCCAGTAGCGCCGCTCGTCGCGCCAGTCTGCTGTATCTCGCTGGTTGACGACGAGGAGGGGGCCCAGCGGTAGCCCGGCCTCTTGAGCGGCTCGTCCGGCGTGAGGCTCGATAAGGACGGTAACCCATCCAAGCTGCTGCTCGTGCTCCCACTTCCACTCGCCACAGCACCCCACGGCCTGAGGGAGGAAGCCCAGCTTCGATGCGAGTTCGCACTGGCACTGCGCAGTGGCACGCCATCTTCGTCGATGATATTGCCCCACCTGTGCGCCGTTGCGCTGGGCGCTTTGCCATCCTCGAGGTCGCTGAGGTTCGCCATTGCTGCTGCAGCTTCGTCGCTCCCGCTCTGTTGTTGGCGTTGCTTCCTTCGCTCCCTCGAACGTTCACGCTCGCGCTGCCGTTGCGTTTGTGGAGGCTGCGGAGTCAGGGAGCGAAAAGGGCGGGACGTCTTGCCGAGGAACCCTGAATCGCTAGCGCCTGCATTTGTGCTCGGAGTCGATGCCAGGGAGGAAGAAGTCGAGGGGAGCGTCGACGTCGGTGTAGACGGGACGGCCCCCGAGGCGGCGGAAGCTGCAGCAGCCAGCGCTGACTGCAAAGACGAAGGCGTCGGAAGTCCCCAGCGACGCCCCGTCGGAGTGACAGAAGCGGAGGCGGAGGCAATTCCGCCTTGTGTTTCGAAGTCGCGATCCTCGAAGATGAAGTGAGGTGGGCGCGGCGTGGAGGCGCAGCTACTTCCACTCGCGTCACCGCTACTGCTGCGTGCAAGAAGTGGGAGGGCGATGGCCCCATCGCTGCGAGTCGCACGTCGTCGTTGCTGCTGTGATGAACCCCATCCGCCAAGCCAGCCTCCCAGCCAACCTGCGCTGCCTCGATTTCTCTTCGCGATGGCCTCGGCGCTGGATCTGCTCATGGGCTTCGGCCGTCTACTCGGCGCTATTGTCCCAGCTAGAAGCGTCGCATCACTATCGCTCTCATCTCCACTGCCATCCGGGTCTCGTCGTCCCCCACCAGCAGTCGCAGCCCTCCTCCGTCTTCTTCCCGCCGCCGAGCTCGAGTACGCAACCGACGCAGCTCCTTCGCCGCGTCTGTAGCCCCCGTCCTCCTCCCCCTCTCCACCCTCAAACAAGGTAGCCAACATCTCAGGGCTCCTGCTCGCATTTCCGAACTCTTTTATCCTCTTTACCCGCACAAACTCCTCCTCCGACACGCGCGAGTTCCACAGCATGGCCAGAATCGTAAAGAGGACCAGACTCCCCACAATTGTGGCGACCAAGTCCCGCTTGGAGTCGTTTGGGATCAGTGGCAGGCGTGAGATGTAGGGGCGATGCACTTTTGGCTTGAGCATCGTGAGCGCTATGCCATCGTGATCATTTTTGGAAGCAGAGGCGATCCATTTCCAGACCTGCTTGGAGGAGGATAGGAGCTGGCTGCTCAGCCGAAGTAGGGCAGGTTGGGCAGCTAAGGAGGATGGGTCTGTGCCTGGCGGTGGCGGAGGTGATGGTTGCTGCGACCACTCTTCGGCGAGAGCGACTGCTTCTGCGTCGCTTGACGAAGAATGTGTGGGGTCTTCCGCCTTGAGCGTCCAGCGATCCGAATGTGAGTGGCCAGCCTCGTCGTCCTCGCCACCTGAGGCAGAGGAGGGTGGGGACGCTTGCGTATCGTCGCGGAAGCCTCCATGGTCGCTACTCTTCGCGGCCCCGGTCTTTCGCGTCGACTTCCTCTCTGGCCGACGCTCGCTGGGCATGTTCGGATCAACATTAGGCCGCAGCCCGGCATCGTTCCACGAGCTGCCGGCCTGGGGCATGCCCGACTTGAACGGAACTTTGTGCCGCAGTCCGATGTCTGTCAGGTATGGAAAGGCGTCTGGCGGTGGAATCTGTTGCTGCTCTTTGCCTTTGCCCTTGCTCGGCCCCTGGCCACTACCATTGCCGTTATTGCCGCCGGCTATCGACCCCTTTCCCACCTTGTCTTGCTCCTTCGTGGGTATCAAAGAGTGCGAGGATGAAAAGTAGATGGGATCCGTTGTAGGCTGCGCTGGTGGCCTCTTGCCTCCCAGCGCATGGGCAGGAGGCGGGAAGTGGGAGTCGCGCCGCCGCGGTGAAAAGGGAATCGCAGCGAGAGACGACGTTGAAGGGCGATGGGTATTGTACCGCAGATCCGTGGCATCCACGCCGCTTGTCGAGAGGGCGAGAGCGATGAGAGCGATGACGACCGCTCGTGAGCGCCTCGATCGACGCCGTGGTGCTGAAGGCGAGGGCGCGGCAGGCATGTAGCCGCTACTGCTCGCTGCACCGTCCGCCGACGCCATGCTGCTGAGACGACGACAGGAGGTGCGAGTGCGATCGGTTCGAATGAGCCTATTGCATGGATGTGTTGTGAGGCAGCAAAGAAGACCTTTGGCAGGCCAGGCCGTGAGAGAAGGTTGCGTTGCGAAGTACTAGAAAATAAAAGGGGCTGAGCCGATCGCGGATCGCTGACAATTGGCCGCAAGTTGATGTTGGCGGCGGAGGCGGCGGCTAGAGCAGCAATGAACTTCAAATGCTCGTTCGGGGCGTCGTCGCCGCTGTTGATGGTGCCTAGAGCGAGAATAGATGAGAAAGAGACAAAGAAGGACAAGCGTGATGGTAATGAGGATGCAGGAGAGAAGAGAAGCAGAGATCCGAGGCGGCTGTGTGCCTGAACCCGGTGGTGGAATTGTCGTCGTCTCGTCTCGTCGACGATCGTCGTTGCTTGAAGCCGCGGATCGGCAGGCGGGTGCGGGCAAGCGGGCGAGGGCGCACGAAAGGCTCACGGGTCTTGCTCGCAGGAGAGTGAGCGGCTGCCGGGCGGACGGGGCTGAGTTGAGAGTAGAAAGTGGATGACTGGGAGAATTGCTTGCCGGAGAGCACACAGACAGAGTAGCCTGCCTGGCCTTCACGTCAGAGCCGTCGGTCGGAGTAGAGGAGGAGCATACAGCCACCACCCGCTTTGCATCGATCACTCAGGTCAGCTACCAGCCTGCCGCCGGGTCACCGTCGACGTCAACAGAGAACAACACGTACGAAGGAGTCTGGCCGTATCAATGCGTGCGTGCGTGCTTCAGTGAGTGAATGTGCACACCGCAATCTCCTCGTATCCACGACGAGGAAAATGAGCTTTCGGAGGATCACGGCGCTTCCATCATGAATTGCTCGCGAGTGGAAAGAAGAAAACGGGTCGGGCATCCGGGCTCGCCTAGGCTAGGAGGAAGACAGCTCTGGTTCGCAGAGTAGATGTGACGGGGCGTATGTAGAAGAACCGTGATCACTGGGCGTCGTCGCTCTGCTATTCATGGGCACACGTCCGAGCTAAGATTTGCTCCTTTACGCCGATGCGCCGAGGAGCGCAGAGCAAGGCAAGAAGGCGAATGAGAGGCATAGCGCTTGCACTGCTTCGACAGCGGGACCGGCGAGGACTGCTGCATTGCGCTTTGAGCCGGCGACTGCATCCTCACAACAACGCCATCACGCCAATCACTGATAAGCTACATCGATTTCCTTTTGACAACGGCACGGCAAGAAGCCCTACGACGTAAAGTAGGATCCGCTGTTGACGGGCAGGACACAGCCGGTGATTTGGTTGGACTGACCAGCATCGGCCAGGAAGACGTAGGCCGGGCCTGGCGAGATCGCGGTAGGCGAAAAGGAATGTCAGCAATGGAATGGTCAACGAGATCGTCGTCTTCTCGCGCCTGCTCACCCTGCTCAGCCGGCTGCGAAGGCCGCTGCCATAGCAATGCTGGCTCACCAACAGCCCATCCTTCCATCGACTCCCCTGACCTTGACGCCGGCTGCAGTGGTGTGACTACCGGTCCAGGCGCAACCGCATTGACGCGGACCCCCTTCTTCATGAGCTGCCCAGCCATACTGCGCGTAAAGGTATCGATAGCGCCCTTCGTCGAAGAGTAGTCCACCATCCCCAACGACCCCTTCCTCGCCGTCACCGAGGACGAGTTGATGATGCAGGCCCCGCGGCCCAAGTGAGGGATAGAGTACTTGGTGAGAGCGAACATACCCAGCAAGTTGGAGCGAACAACGCTCTCCGCCTGTGCAAGGTCGACCTGGGAGAAATCCTTGCACTCGATCTGCTTCGAGGCGTTGTTGACCAGAATGTCCAATCGCCCCCACTTTTTCAGGTGCTCGTCCACTACACCCTTTGCTGCCTTCTCATCCATCAGATCAGCAGGGATGCAGTGCATTTCCTTTGATCCCATGGCGTTCTTTGCGCACATCGCAACGATGTCGTCTGCGTCTTTCTGCTCGGCAGGGAGGTAGACGATCGAGACATTGGCGCCCTCTCGAGCGAACATGAGGGCGACCGAACGGCCGATGCCGCTGTCTCCCCCGGTCACGATAGCCGTCTTGCCCTTGAGGCGACCATTACCGGCGTACTCTTCCAGGTACGGCTTGCCGTTCTCGTCCCACTTCTCGAGCTGGGTGTGAGAGGCGAGAGGGTCCATCTTGGCGTCTACGTGAGCGTTGCGGGATGAGGGTGAGCAGGAGGTCGGGGAAAGCGGCTTGAGTGAAGCTACTCACCGAGGCCAGGTAGATTCTGCTCCTGTTTGTTGGGAGCATGGTTGGGATACGCGGTCACGACGTCGTTGTCTTGTCCGGCCATGGCGATTGAGGTGCTTTGCAAGGTGCCAAGGGTGAATGTAGAAGTGGGAGCACAAGAGGCACTAATGGAAAGAAAAGGACGAAGACAACGTGGACTCTGCCGACCAGTCGACAAAGAGGGACATCCTTCTCGCGGCAGATCAAGGTCAGGTGGACGTCATCGTGGCTCCTCCCCGAACTCTGGCAAATGCATCGTGACCTCTCTCTGACGAAATCGGAACTTCTCGTCTGCTGCAAGGGTCCACAGGAAAAGGCGCCTCTTGAATCTTGAGTGACTTGGCTGACTTGACACCGTGGGACCCAGTCGTTGAGACCCTGAACGAATGAGGAGGTGGAGGAGGGGCTGGACCCTGTGCCACGCGATGGGTGGAGCGAGCTCGACATTCTTCCTGTCTTGCTCACAGGTCGGAGAGATCTGAGCGCTACCACTGATAAGGCACTATCTGGATCGCAGATGGTCAATTTGGCCTTACAAAAGGCTCGCGTGCTCTCTCTTTCCCTTTGCTCTCTTTACAGACTCGACGATCTCAATCTGAAGCCCAAGTTCACGCGGACATAAATGAGGGGCGTTGGGAGGGGCAATTCTTTGGGTAGGCAGGTGAGACACTCGTCCAGCAGGACAACGATTGGTCACAGCTTCATGTGCTGCTACTAGCTTCTTGCTATGTTACCGCGCCACTCTGAGCCATCTCGCACCGCTCCTCGCGCCATCGTGAGCCTTGCTCCTCACCGCCAAAGCACCTACCACGACCTAAGTCGGTCGCCGCGTGGCTGCCGCCAAGTAGACTCAGGCGACTTGATCGGAGCGGCGGGAGTCGCGGCGAGTCAAAACGGGCTTTGGGGGCAGAGCCCAAGCGCTCTCTTCAGTCCTCAGATGACCGATCCGCCGGAGCCTGGCGCTGTCAAGCCTTCTCGTGACTCTATTACGCCTAAATCGCCACGTCACGTACGTCACGTACATCGTACATCGGGGGTGAGATCGCTCCTTTGATCACTGCGATGAGATGAGGCGAAAGCGCAAGAACGACGATCAGGGTCCAATGGGACAGCCCGATGTGGCCCCGGAAGCCGATGTGGGAGCGCAGGAAGGAGTCCAACCGGGCGCTGTTACCCCTGCTACTTCGCAACTGCACAGCTTTGCCCCTCTGTCATTGGCCTCATCAGCCAAGACCAAAGTCGCTGGTGGTGGGGGTGGGGGCCCCACCTCCCCTCCATTGTGGGGCCGCAAGCCCACGTCCATCAGCACGCGCACCTACGATGGACCTCGCAGTGTGGGAGATGACAAGCTTGTCACTCCCTCAGCCACAACCACTGACGGGCCGCCCTCCCTTTCACCTCCCACCGGAGGCAGCTTTTCTGGTATACCCTGGTTCACGCCTCTCGTCCCCTTCGCATCCGGTCTCCCAGGTCGCCTGCGCTTGCACCTCTCCTATGCTATCCTGATCATCGCAGCCAGCTCAAACGGATACGATGGTGCGCTCATCTCCTCGCTCCAAGCCCTACCAGCATTCAATGACAACTTGGGCCAGGGCATCTCCTCTGCCTACAAGGGACTCATCATAGCGGGCATAGCGCTCGGAGGGGTAGCCTTCTTCTTCCCCGCCGCCTATCTAGCCGATAGGGCGGGTCGACGATTCACCACCGTACTGGGAGGAACGGTAATGCTGGTAGCAAGTGTAGTCCAAGCCTTTACGCACGGCGCTGCCGCCTTCCTCATCACACGCATCTTCCTAGGCGCTGGTCTGGCATTCACACAAACGAGCGCCGCCCCCCTGTTAAATGAGATTGCCAGCCCACAACATCGCGCCGTGGTTGGGGCGTTCTACAATGCGCTCTACTTCATCGGATCGATCACAGCCGCTTGGGTTACATTTGGGACTCTGGCGAGCTTGAGATTCAACAATTGGGCCTGGAGAGCGCCATGTCTTGTGCAGGCAATTTTTCCCCTGTTGCTGGTAGCAGGTGTGCTGGCGGTCGTGCCTGAGTCGCCGCGCTTCTTGGTCAGCAAGGGAAGGATCGAAGAGGCGAGAAGGGTGCTCGTGCATTTACACGCAGAGCGACACGACGGCTCAGGGATAGGCACTAGTGCAGCGTACGCCGAGGAGGAGCTAGAGGCAATCACCGCCTCCCTGGCTCGGGATCGCTCCAACTTCTCCTACTTCGACTTTCTACGCTCACCGGCCGACCGTTGGAGACTGTGGATCATCGTCTTCGTTGCCCTCATCGTGCAATGGGCTGGCCAAGCTCCAGCCTCGTACTACCTGTCCCCTATCCTAGGCTCGCTCGGCATCACAGACCCTCTCCAGCAGGCGGGACTCAACGGGGGTCTACAGGTGTGGAGCATGATCACCGCCATCACGGGCGCGGCGGTCACAGAGCGTATCGGTCGACGTTCCCTCTGGCTCACGAGCCTAGGGGGCATGCTTGCCTCCGAGGTGGCGTATACGGTCAGCTCCGCCGAATTCCAGCAGGACGGCAGTCATTCCGCTGGGTTGAGCGGGGTGGTGTTTCTCTTCCTCATCTCGGGATTCTACTCCCTCGCCATTACGCCTCTCGCCTTCCTCTACCCAGTGGAAGTGACAACCTATCGTAATCGGGCACAGGGTCTGGCGCTGAACCAGTTCCTCGTCTTTTTGCTCGGAGCCTTCAATCAGTTTGTCAACCCCATTGCCCTGGACGCTATCGGATACAAGTACTACGCCGTCTTCATTGCGCTGCTCGTCGTCTTCATTGGGGTGGTGGTGTTCAGCTTTCCGGAGACGAGGGGGATGGGTGAGTTGGAGGAGATTGAGAGGGTGTTTGAGCAGGGTTGGTCTTTGCGCAACGGGCGCGGCCTGAAGAAGCGGGACCTTGATGCCAGCAAGGAGGCGAGCGGAGAAGCGGCGTCTTCGTAGCAGCGACGGGAGTCACACTTCCTTCACATGTAGCATAGTTTCCTTAGTGATCATAGCATTTTGTCAATAGCAGCATCGCCGCAGCGATTCCCTATCATCTATAGCTCTTCTTCTCTACTCTTCACGATCCGCTCAGGGCTTAGGAAGCTCCAGCTCCTTCTTCCCCTCACCCTCTCCAACAGTAATCCTCACTGCGCCATCCACCTGCGCCACAATCTCGACGCGCACCTTCTCCCCCTTGCTCTTAGCCTCGAACGCAACCTCAGCTATCCTCTTCTTGTCCGCCTTGACAATAGGCGTCCTCTTCTCCTCAGGCTCGTCCTCCTCGTCTTCCTCATCGTCCTCATCGTCCTCGTCGCGCTCACGCTGAACCTGCTCGACCTTGACGTCTGCAGTGCCCTCAGCGAAGGAGAAGAGGGCAGGCCCGGCCTGAGAGGCGGGGAGGGTGTAGACGCGTCGTGCGGGGAGGGCGGTGTGGGCAGGGAGAAGAGTGACGAAGAGCTCGCCGTCCACTGCCGCAGGGCCGGAGTGGCCGTTTGATGCGCCAGAGGCGGGCAGGACGAGTCCCAGTGGCCTGGTGGTAGTGGGAGCCTGAAGGGATTGCACATCCTTAGGCGGGGCGGCAGGGAGGTCAAGGAGGAACTTGCGCTCAGCAGAGTCTTCAGGCGCAGCAGCGATGCATGACGCGTGGACAGCGCATCCCCTCGCGATGACCTGGTCCGAGTCGATTGAGTCGGTCAACTTAGTCGCGCCTCCCTCGGGGAAGAGGTGAAGCAGTGTGTTGGTGAGGCCGGGCAGACGGGCCGATCCACCAGCAAGGACCACCTCGTCTACCTGGCAGGGGTCGAGCTTAGCCTGAGCAAGGGCTTCCTTGACCTTGCCTACAATCGCATTGTATACTGGCGCGGCGAGGAGGTCGAGGCGAATGCGGTTGATGGGTCCAGAGAAGTCAACGCCGTCCGCGAGCGACTCGACGGCGCACTGGGCCGACGATGAAGCGCTGAGTGCGCGCTTGGTGTGCTCGGCCTCGTTGCGCAGCTTAGCCCAAGCACGGGCGTTGCTCTCCTCGACGGGGACCTTGGTCTTCTTTGTGAACTCCTTGGCGAAGTAGGAGACGAGGGCGTCGTCCACCTGCTGACCTCCGAGGCCGGCTTGGGTGACGGAGGAGAGGAGGGTGTAGACGCCTGAGCGAGCCGCGAGGACGGCGACGGTGGTGGAGGACCCGCCTACATCGACGACGGCAAGGTTGCGGTCCAGCTCTGTGCCGGGGGCGTAAGGAGCAGCCTCGATGCCATCCGGGTGGGCGGGGAGAGAGCCTCCCTCACCTGGGGCGGTGAGACCGTAGGCGGTGACAGCGGCAGCAGGGGCGGGGATGACCTGGAGCACGATCAAGCCGGCTTCTGCGGATGCCTCCTTGAGTGCTGCAATCTGCTTCGAGGAGTAAGAGAGGGGCACCGAGAGGACAGCTCCGGCAATGGGGACGCCAGAGAGGAAGTCCTTTGCAGTGAGGAAGAGGGAGCGGATGTAGCGTACGGCTACGTCGTGGGCAGAGAGGGTCTCCTCCTTGCCCTGAATCTCGACCTTGAAGGAAGGAACGCCCTTGTTGTCGATGACGGGGGCAGATGAGCGCTTCATCTCGGAGTCGCTCAAGTCCGAGTAGCTGTGGGTGTGAGCACGAAAGGCCAGAGGTGAGCATACACGCAGCGAGAGGGCGGGTTGGAATGACGCTGTAACTCACGATCGGCCAAGCAAGTTGGCAAACTTGTCAATGACATTCTGAGCATTCCTGACAAGCTGAGGGGTAGCCTGGTTACCGATGTAGACCTGGTCCTGATTGAATGCGATCCTCGTGGCCAGCTGCCTCTCTCCATCCTCGTTGGCAATGACATCAGCGCGGCCATGCTGGTTGATGGCGGCGATGGACGAGAAGGAGTGGCCAAAATTGACTCCGATGACTGCCGACTGTGACATGGCGGCAACGATATGTGATGGTGGTGGTGGTGGTGGTGATGATGAGGAATGGGAAGCTTAACCTGCACGCACCTCACGCCCTCCGCTGCCTGCTTCTTCTCAATTTCCTCGCCTCGAAAGCGCGGGCCCAACTCGACTTCCAAGTTGGCTTTCGCCTGTCCGCTCTGACCCTCCGTTCCGTCGCTGCAGAAAGTTGAATCGAGCCCTCGAGATTTTGTGAGGCTGAGAGAATTGCTGAGGGCTCTTCCCGTCAAGGCACTCTCACTCGCTGCTCATTACCACGCAGCAGCCCTCTCACCATGCCTGGGCCCCAGCCGTCTTCCTCATCGCTGTCCCTATTCTGGGATCTGGCCTCCCCTCAAGAGGAGAAACGCATCGCATCTTCCTCACAATTGGTGTCCACTCTCCTTGGCCAACAGTCGGCCCTCGTGGCCACGACGTCTCGCAGCACGCTCGACGGCGATGACCAGCCGCCAAGTGATGCGGACGCAGCAGACATCGAAGCCTACCTTGATCGATGCTTGGCCTCGGAAGTCAGCTACTCGCTCCGTCGTCTCATCCGCGGCCTGGCTTCGCCGCGCCAACAATCGCGCGTGGGCTTCGCTGTAGCCCTTACTGAGCTCCTTTCTAACCTCACCACCCTCGTACGACCCGGCCATTTCCTGACACTGCTCCGCAAGTACTCGACCCCTTCAGGCAGTATAGACGGATTCGAGCAGCGCAATCTCCTATTCGCTCGCCTCTTCGGCGTCCACTCCCTCGTTCGCTCCGGTCTGCTGCTCAGCCACCCGCAAGCTTCACCACAAGAAGTAGCTGCTGCCGTCGACCTGCTCGTTGAGCTGGGAGAGACAAAGGCATGGATGCGCGAGTCGGCCGCATGGGAGCTCGTAGAAATGCTGCAGGCTGCGCAGGCTGAGGGATCAAGCTCGCGGCTCAAAGATGCGGTCATGAGCTCCCTCGGCGCTTACGCTACAAGCTCTGATATTACGCCAGAGAAGCTCGCCCTCATGCTCCAACTGCCTGGCAGGCAACATCCCAATCTCAAAGCTAGCCACCCTCTCAGCTCAGCCAACCTGCCCGCAGTGGCCAAAATTCTGCGCAATGCTTCCTCCAGCCTCGAGAAGGAAGCAGCAGAGGACGCTGCCACTAAGCAAGATCGCACAGGCGCACACAACCCTCGCGCTCACTTCGTCTGGGACACCATTCTCGCCCTCTACGCCTCTGGCTCGACAAAGGGCGCAGCCCCATTCGGCGACTTCTGGCGTATCGCAGTCGATGACTCCCTCTTTGCAACAAACGCAACACCGGAGCGCAAATCCTGGGGCTTCCAGATCTTTTCCCGCGCCCTCCCCCTCCTCCCTGCTAGTGACAAGCCTTTGCTCCTCTCCCCGAATTTCATGCGTACCTGGATCAACCAGCTCGCCGGAGGAGATCGTTTGCTGCACAAAGCGGCCGTTCAGGCTGCGGAGGTGGTCCAGGCGACTGTGAAGGAGGAGCCCCGCGCAGGCTTCGCCCTCGTCGTGCAATTGCTGGGCAAGCACGGCAACCAGAACTTCGACAAGTTGACCAAGACGAAGACGATCGAGGGCTTGTTGGGGCAGATGGATGGCGAAGGGGTGGATCAGTACGTTCACTACGTTGTGGAGAGTATCTCTTCCTCCCACGAGGATGCGAAGCGTCGTTGGGGCCTGGATCAGCTGCTGAATCTCGTACGCAATACTGCCGTACCGACGAGCGACGCTTGCGTGGAGAGCATCTTGAGCTACCTGGTCGTTGGAGGGCTCTTCGCCTGGAAGAAGCCCCCCGCGAAAGGCCTGTTGGCTTTGCAGCCGAAGCCGGCTTTCAGTGACGAGATCCGCGGGCTTTGCAGGTCACGATGGCTTTCTTGTCTCACAGACCTTATGGACCGCACAACCGCGCTTGGCACCGAAGAGGGCAAGACACGTAGGGTGCAAGGCGTGGACTCTAAAGGGGTCCCGTGGTTGCGAAATGCGTGGAATGGCCTACAGACTATCTCGAAGGACAGCAAGAGTTTCTCTTCGAGCCTCGAAGACGAGACAGTCAAGGAGGCTGTTGCCAATGGCGAAAAGCTGCTGATCAAAGTGCACAAGAGCAAGAAGGAGCGATCAGAGGCCTTCGAGACGTTGGTGATTGCCACGCTCCTCTACATCTACGAGGCAGGGCCGGAGGATGCGAATGACCTGATCACCCAACTTACGGACTGCCATGAGCGTCTAAGCGCTCCTGCGACTGCCGTCGCCAAGAGAAACGACGAGGAGGAGGAAGAGATCTCGGGCATCGAGCTTCTTCTGGACTATCTCGTCGGCCTGCTGGAGCGCCCTTCTGCTTTCCTTCGCGCGGTGACAGAGCACGTCTTTGCAGCTTATGTCCCCGATATGAACAGGGGGAGCGTCGAGCATTTGGTTGATCAGTTGGGCCTGAACGAGGAGCCAGAGGGTGCGGAGGGTGAGGATGATGAGGACGACGAGATGGAGGACCGTGAAGAGGCCGGGGAGACGAGTGAGGCTACTTCGTCCGATTCGGATGATGAGGATGAAGATGACGAGGACGATGACGAGGAAGTAGACGAGGATCTCCGCAACGCTGTCTCAGAAGTGCTCAAAGCCGCCGGCATGGCTGACGAGGACGAGGACGAAGATGCGGCAGACCCGGATGCCGAAGGTGTAGACAAAGACGTCGCTCGTCCCCAGGTCAACGGCGATGACAGCGACAATGAGTCCGTCCCGGACCTCACCGACGACCAAATGATGCAAATCGACGACCAACTCGGCGACATCTTCCGTGCTCGTCTCCAGTCTCGCAAAGAGACCAAGGAAGCCAAGGCGGAAAGCGTCGCGTTCCAGCACAAGGTGCTCGACTTGCTCGCTATATTCGCCAAGCGAAGATCGAGTTCTGCGGAAGTGCTCGTGCTGGCACGGCCGTTGTTCGTCCTTGCCAGCGAGGGTGACGACATTGATCGCTCCTTGGCTACAAAAGCCGGTACGGTGCTGAGGAGCAGCATCTGCAAGGCCAAGGAGATGCCTCAAGTGGACGAGGATGGGCTGGAGGGCGTGCTGGAGGACCTGGAAGCCGTACATGGACTGGCCAGACGGACTACATCCGGCGACCTTGCCTCGCTGGCGAGCGTTGTCAACCTCTATCTCACTCGCATCTGCCTCGGCGAGGCAGGCGACGAACTCAACGCAAAGCTCATCAGACTCTATGAGGAGACGCTCAAGGACTTCCTGACACGCTCTGCCTCGCAACTCAAGCCCTCATTCCTCCTCGATGCGCTGAAGCGCTTCCCACGGCTTGGCTGGCAGCTGCGCTCTGTCCTACTCGAGGGTTGCTCCCTTTCTGCTTCGATCAAGGCCTTCAGACAGCAGCAGGCGTTCCAGATGCTGCTCGCCGTGCTCAACCAGGCGGCTGGAGCTGTGGAGCTGAAGGAGCAGGTCGTCACAAAGGCGATGCCCGAGGTGGCTACTGTCGTCTTCAGCTCAATTGCCTTCGCTACGGCCTCGCACTCTACCTCGAGTGAGGGCGGAGCGAGTGCAGGCAAGGTGAAAGAGCTTCTCAAGTTTGCCCTCCAAGCTGTACGCCTCACTCAGCGTGTCAGCGCTACCACCTCATCCCCGGAGGCTGTCCGCTCGGTCTGGAAGCCGACCAAAATCCGCGACGCTCTCGAGACGATGGGGCAGAGCGAGCAATTCAAGCAGTCAACATCGCTGCAGGGCTTGCTGAAGCAGATGTTGGCACTCGTAGAGGGCGGCAGTGCCAGCAATGGGGCTGCGAAGGGCAAGAAGAACAAGGACCGTCGTAATAGTGTGAGCGAGGCGAACGGAGTCGAGGAAGGGGCGGTCAAGAGCAAGAAGCAGAAGGTGAATGGTGATGCTGCGAAGGCCTTGCAGGGAAAGAAGAAGCAGAAGAAAAAGGGGCAGGCTGCGGCGTAGGTGTGAGGCGGTGATGGCATTTTTGTTCTCTTGCCGCAACTTCAGACGCATTTGCATTTGGTACCCTGCTCTCACTTCGGCCAATAATCGCACTGAGTGAGCTATGAGTGAGTTACTCACGCGACGCCTTTCCTTCATTCACGCCATGTGACTTGGGTGACGATGGAGCTAGTCTCCATTCATAGCTCACTCAATTGATCTTGTGATCACCTCGTGGCGTGTGTGCATGCAGCTTTTCTCTCCCGCCACCCTCGCTCTTTAATCAAAGCTTTCCTTGATCTACTCCTTTCTGCTGCGAGGCCATGCTATGCCATGCGGCTGCTCCCGCTTGCTTGCTCTGCTCGTTCTCGGAGAGGGAGAGGTGTGAGGACGAGTGTGTGTGTCGCGCGGCTGGCGACGGGTGAATCCAGAGTTGAAGCGTCGACGGCAAGCGGCAAGGCGAGGCTGCAAGCAAGGCAAGAGCCGGGGCGAGGCCGAAGGAGAGAAAGAGGGGGCGCTCGCGCTCGCGGCTCTCTGCTCAAAGCCCGCCCGCTTCCTTGCCCGACTGGCTGGCCCCCTCGTCTCCTCGCCAGAACGGACGAACGGACGAACGGACGACGACCGACGACTCGAGTTGAAGCGCCTCCTCAATATCGACGTTGTCCTCACCACGCACGCACGCACGCACGCACGCAAGCCCGCCCTCCCCTTCTTCTTCTCGACCTTCCCTCACTACCAATCGCGAGCTAGCGTCCCTACTCCCCCGCCCTTCCACGTATTCTCCTTCCTCCTCACCACCTCATCCTCCTCTTACAGCGGCCCGGCCTTGAGGCTCGACGACACAACTTCTTCTCCTGTGTCTGCGCCCTGCTCCTTCGCAACCAAGCGCTCAGGAGTCTCATCGTGTTGAGCCAGCAACCGCAAGCAGCATAGAGACCAGCCGCATCTCGCTCGCTCCTCTCCGTCGATAGAAGCGCACTGTACTTGGCGATCGTCGGAACCCATCACTCGTTGCCTGTCGTCGCCCGCGAGAGGCGCCAAAGTCAATCCCGCTCCTCATCAACAGCCTCTCCAACCTCCTGACTGTGGTCTTTGCGCCGAGTCTTTTGCTGACACGGCATTGCAACGACGATCGCAGCCTCGACGTCAAACGCCGCTAGACCTTCCGACGATTACGACGACAAGACAGCCCCGTTGTCGCATTCATCCTAGCCTGCCCACCACCATCATCATCACCACACCGCACCGCCCAGCATGAGCTCATCACACACAACACACAGCTCAGGCTCCAACATCGTCGGCGTGCACTACCGCGTCGGCAAGAAGATCGGCGAGGGCTCCTTTGGTGTCATCTTCGAGGGCACTAACCTGCTCAACTCGCAGACGGTAGCCATCAAGTTCGAGCCGCGTAAGAGCGATGCGCCTCAGCTGCGAGACGAGTACCGCACCTACAAGATCCTCGCTGGCTGCCCTGGTGTGCCGCAGGTCTACTACTTTGGGCAGGAAGGGCTGCACAACATCCTTGTCATCGATTTGCTTGGGCCCTCGCTGGAGGATCTCTTCGATATGTGCGGGCGCAAGTTCTCCATCAAGACTGTGGTGATGACTGCCAAGCAGATGATCACGAGGGTGCAAACGATTCACGAGAAGAACCTCATCTACCGTGATATCAAGCCTGACAACTTCTTGATCGGACGACCGATGACCAAGGTGAGACTGCGCGAATCTGAAACGTGGCCGCCTGCCCAGTCTGCGACCCACACTGACCATCATTGCTATCCCATCGCGATCGGCAGGGAGCCAACATTGTCCACGTCGTTGACTTTGGCATGGCAAAGCAATACCGCGACCCAAAGACGAAGCAGCACATCCCGTATCGCGAGCGAAAGAGTCTGAGCGGGACGGCTCGTTACATGTCCATCAACACGCACTTGGGGCGAGAGCAGTCAAGGAGAGATGATCTCGAGGCATTGGGACACGTCTTCATGTGAGTGCGCGTGAGGAGGTCAGATCTTCAAGGAGGTCTCGTAGCTGACCCCTGTCACCACCGTGCTCGCGCAGGTACTTCCTCCGAGGTGGCCTCCCATGGCAAGGTCTCAAGGCGGCGACGAACAAGCAAAAGTACGAGAAGATTGGAGAGAAGAAGCAGAGCACCCCTATCAAGGAGCTGTGCGAGGGCTTCCCCGAGGAATTTGTGAGCAGACGCGCGTGACGTCGTGGGCGATACGCTCCGAGCCTAGACTGATCCTCATTCCTCCCATTTGGCACGCAGGGCATCTACCTCAACTACGTCCGCAAGCTGGGCTTCGAAGAGACACCAGACTATGACTTCCTCCGCGAGCTCTTCACCAAGGTGCTCAAGTCCTCCGGCGAGCCCGAGGACGGCGTCTACGACTGGATGATGCTGTACGGCGGTAAAGGGTGGGAGGCGGGTACTACACGCGAAGTACAGCGCGAGCGTGAGAGGGAGCAGCGAGACAGGGGAGACAGGGAAAGGGAGCGTCGTCATGCTTCTCAGATCGCGCAGGCTGGTACGACGGTACAGCAGGGTGGGCAAGGGCAGAGCCATTCACAAGGGCAGGCACAGCAGCAACCTCCGCTTACCCGCAATGGGTCCAAGCAGGGCCGCAAGTCGGGCGTGCCTGCGGGATTGGTGCCAGGTGGTGGTCAAGGCGAGCGCAGCCAGACAGCAGGCAACCAAGCTGGGCTGCGTGCATCGCACAGCGAGTTCCATCGGGGCGAGTCCTTTGCTGGAGTCGGGCAAGGATCCAATATTGCCGTACGCGATGCAGCTGTGGCAGGTCTGCCAGGTCAACACAGCCCGCTCGGACGTGATGCGTCCGGGCATGCAGGCAATATGACGCCCAACCACAACAATGCCAGCAATGCAGGTGGCATGGTGACCAACAGCTCGGGTGCGGTCGAGGGAGGGAGGAGGGTGGACGGGCGTGGCCCCGTTGGGGGAATGGCGAACGGAGATATGCACCCGGCGGAGAGGAAGACCTTTGGACAGAAGTTTGTGGACTTCTTGACTTGCAGGTGTGGGGCGTAGGCGTGCGAGCTCTCCAGCAATCGCACCAAGCAAGCACACGCAGCGAAAGCAGCTTCCTCACGGTCTCCCACTCGACGGACTTCCTACCACCGCTTCCTTCAACACCCAACAATGGCCCTCACAGTCGCCTTTGCCTCCCACTACCCACCCTTCGTACGACTTGCCACGACCCTGCCACGACCTATCGACCCACCGAAGAAGCAACAGCATCTCTTCATTTCAGCCTCGCTCTCTCTCTAAATTGCACACGCGCTCATCGAAATCTCAAGATCAATTTCAACAAGCTTTCGCTAGTCTTTACAATCATGAGGAGAAAGCAGCAGCAACAGCGACAGCCAGCAGCAAATCAGCCAGCACTTTCAATCCATCAATCGGCATCCCGAAACCACCGGGGTGTTCAGCCAATCGTCACCGTTACTTCTATCCTACTTCTTTCTTTTTCGGGAGGCGCGAGGCGGACGACGTCGGGCAAGGCTCGATCAGCCTGGACACTACTGCTCGTCAACCGGCATCCCCACGTGGTCGTTTTCGAAGAGGACAGCCACCTGTAGAACAGGCTAGCTGCTCCTCTGCGATATTCAGCGTCGGCATGCCCTGCTCTTCCCAAGCCATTTGCATACCTCCTTTGGCCCCAGCTCTCTTCTCCCTCTTCCCTCCTTCCCTTCATTTCTACTCGTTCTTTCCTCCTTCTCCTCTGTTTGCCAAAATACATTGCCAAAGCTCAAATCGTGTTGGTTTGATTCGCTTCTGGCAAAGGAGCTCCGTGGTAGACTAGTCGTACCCGCCAGCATGGCGTCCCCCGCTTTCGCTCGCGTCCTCAGACCGAAAAAAGTCTCCGTTCCCGCCGCAATTGCCGAGAAAGTTGAGGGCGGAGAGATGATGTGATCACCGCTCGCCCGAGATATCGTCGCTTGCTTTCGTACTACACGCACGCAAGACCAGACTGGGAGGCCAAGCAAGGACTGCTCGCCCGGCAAGGCTCAGATTTTGACTATCAGCCGTGATCAAAAGGCGACGAGGGACCGAGAACGACAGCAGGAGGGAACCATGGCGCCCCACGCTGCGGCTAGCGGTGGTACGCCCGCCACCCCAGCTGGCATAGATAAGGGAGGATCCGCCGGCTCCAGTGATGCTCGTCACAACGGCCGAGGTCCCGTAGCTCATTCCGCAGTCAACGGCCGCAGGAGACTCAAACGTGTCGCAATTATCGGCGGTGGCTCAGCCGGGATTGTTCAAGCCCAGCAGCTGCACCACCTCTCACACGCAGCTGATAGCGAGGTGGCGTTCGAGAGGACAATCTACGAGCGCAGACCTAAGTTGGGGGCCGGATTGTGGATGTGTGACCAAGAGCCGGGGGAATGTATCATCAGGTGGGATGAGCATGGTAGAGGTTGGCCTACCTCGGGACCTTCGGAGGGAAAAGGCGAGGGTGAAGAAGATAGACGGTGGCCGATCGGAGCAATGTACGAGGTGAGCAGCCGATGCACGCTGAGAAGCACGATTGCCACTCACAAGCCATCATTCGCCCTGTCTCCGCTCAAAAGGGCCTCCGTACCAACATACCCTGCGACCTCATGAGCTACAGAGACTACCCTTTTCGGCCTCGCGATGTATCAGGTGCCTTCCCCTCGCGGAGCGAGGTGGAGGAGTACTTGATTCGTTTTGCCGCAGACTGCGAGGAGAGCGGAGCACTAGGCGGCGATATCAGGCTGAATACGGCGGTCACCAAGCTGCGTCGATTACGAGGCCCAGCGCACGACGATGGACAAGAAGGCGAGGGGTCTACGTGGCAGATAGAAAGTCTTGACCTCGAGGCAGGCGTAAGAAGCGTCGACGAGTACGACTGCGTCGTGATCGCAAATGGCCGATGCAATGTTCCCTCACTTCCTCCCATACCTGGTCTGTGGAACTTCACCTCCCCCAATGCCAACGCTCACCGTACCAACAAGCCTTCTCGCAAGCTCCTCCACTCCGCATGGTATCGCACCCCGCATTCCTTCTCTTCCTGCAAGCGCGTAGTCATCGTCGGCAACTCCTCATCCGGAATGGACGTGGCGAGAGAGTTGAGAGGGTACATCGTTCGTTCTGAGGCAGAGATCCTCGGGGGTGGGAAGGAAGAGTGGATTCAGCAGGTGAAGCGGGGTGAGGGACCAGAGGTCATCAACTCGATCGAGGATTTGGCCAAGCCGCCCGCTATGGACTATGATCCTCTCGACGAGCATAGCCCCGCCTGGAGCAAAGGGATCAAAGTGGTTCCACGCATCAGAAGAGTGGAGAAGGACGGGACCCTCCTACTGGAGGACGAGACGCGACTGGAGGACGTGGATGCCATCGTGTTTGCTACGGGCTTCAACGTAAGCTACGAGTTCGTGGACTACAGCGAGGAGCCGTTCGGGAGATACCCGCTTGTGCCAGCGCTTCCAAAGAGGGAGATAGTGGGCGGCCAAGAGGAAGAAAAGGCCCTCCAACGAGCTCGATGCGAGGCTGCGCAGGGCCACGATGCCCCACCTCACACAGCCTCGCTGTCACCCTGGTCAACACCCTGTGCACCGGGCCCTGCCAACTTGGACGACTGGCTACTCCTCTACTCTCCCGACGACTCACTGGGCATACTTGGCCTGCCCACGGGCGTCGTACCCTTCGTGTTCACACACGCTCAGGCGAGGTACATTGCGTCTTATTGGGCGGGGAAGGCGCGCAAGTTGCCTGCATTGAGTCGGAGTTTAGCGATGAATGATCCTGAGAGGTGGAAGTCGAGGATCAGTAAGGACGTGGAGGAAGGAGAGAGAGATGAGAGTGGGGTGAGGGGAAATCAGGGACCGATGCCGCTCGTCTTCGGGTCGCCGAGCGATTTTGATTATGTGGATGCGCTTTTGGAGCATATCGATGGGGCGGGCCATGACCCCACTGCCCAGGGAGGCGAACAGAACAGGGCTAGCACCACAGCCGGAGAGCTACCAGCCGATGCTGCGCAGGCTGAGCGCTATTGGAGAGAGACGACGGAGGCCAACTTGCGAGAGGGCCGCGAGGAGTGGTACCGCGTTAAAGGGTGGAGGCGGGCGCGGCGAAAGGAAAACAAGACGCTGAGAAGGCTAACTCTGGGCTACTAGATGCAAGTCGCGACATTCGACCTTCTTTCTCGTGCTTGTACTGCAATAGAAGCCCGCTCTGCCATGCTTGCCGTAGAATGTAGCTGTCACGCAACGCCACGTGGCTGCCCCTTTCGCGCGCTGATGGGTCGTTGCTGGCTCGCAAGCCGGCCAAGGCCGATGCCGTTGAGTCCACTCTCAAGACGGGGCGGAGGCTCAAGGCTCGAGGCTCGTGGCCCGTCTGGCTGCTCGACGGTCGATGGCCTGGCAACGCCGACTGATCTTCCTCGGCTCTCTCCTCATCATCACCACCACCACTCCTCCTCCATCACCACCACCACCATGAGCTTCCGCATCGCAGCTCAACGCTCCGCCGCCCTTCGCAGCGCTGTCGCCCGCCCGGCAACCGCTGCCCCGGCCAGCGCTGCCTTCTCGACGACTTCGCGCACCCTCCAAGCTGCGCAGAAGCCTGAGCCCTCTGAGCGTGCCGCCTCGATCATCGACTCTCTTCCTGGCAACTCCCTCATCTCCAAGGCTGGTATCGTCACCCTCGGCACTGGTCTGTCCGCCGTCGCTATCTCAAAGGAACTCTACGTCGCAAACGAGGAGACGGTCATTGCTGGTGGTTTCTTGATCTTCGCTGTCCTTGTCGGCAGGATGATCGCCAAGCCCTACGGCGAGTGGGCGTGAGTAGCACGGCGCTCCATGGACTGTACATGATACCGATGCTAGAAGAGAGAGAGAGAGAGAGACTGACCTTGTACTTTACCTCGCTACCGCCTGCGCAGTGACGGAGCCTCCGGCAAGATCCGCGACGTCCTCCTTGGCGCCCGCAAGGACCACACCGAGGCTGTCCAGGCTCGCATCGACTCCGTCGAGCAGCAGAAGGACGTTTCGGCTCACACTTCCGCCCTCTTTGCTCTTGCCAAGGTGCGCCCCAGCGAGCGAGCGAGACTACACTGCTCTGCAACTCGTCACTTCCTTCTCCGAACATTCCGGAGCCAACCGCTGACCTCTCCCCTTTCGTCCTCTACAACATCCCGCTTCTGCCAGGAAACTGCCCAAAACGAGTCCGTCGCTTTTGAGCTGAAGCAGCGCACCGAGCTCGCCTCCGAGGTCAAGGCCGTCCTTGACTCGTGGGTCAGGTATGAGGGACAGCAGCGCGAGGAGGAGCAGCGTCAGCTTGCTCGCTCCGTCATCGAGAAGGTCACTGCCAGCCTCAGGGACGAGAAGACCCAGAAGCAGATCCTTGATGACGCTGTTGCTGAGATTGAGGGGCTCGTCAAGAGCAAGGCAATCTAAGGAGAAGAGATGGACGGATATATGCATGCGCATGGTGGAGAAGAGGAGGGTGGTAGGAAGCAGCAGTGAAGGGAGAATGGTATGCTGCTATGACGGTAGCGGCAAGCTGAGCGTGGTGAAGGGGTTGTTTCCCACCACATCTTCTAGCCATGGGATATCAAGCAGCGGCTAGATGAATATTGATCCACGATCACACGCACGTAGCCGCCTCAGTCGCAGAGCAGTACAGATCGCGTTGCACCCCTGCGGCCACGAGCGGGGCACAAAGCCTGGCCAACTTCCTTCGTTCTGATCGCAGCAGACACTCGCACCTTGCAAGATGCAACGTGGATGAAGTTCTATTCACATTACGGCGGGAAAGAGATGGGATGCGGCTCACCCCCTCTTGACATCCTCATACCGTGGCAGTCCTCCCCCACCCCCCGCCCCTCCTGACGAGCTCGCAGCAGCAGCAGGATGATAGTCGTGCTCAATTGAGTCAACGTCCGTGCGGCCACCACCATTCCCGTCCATCGTCCCACCCGTTCTTCCCGTCATGACTCCTCCCGACACACCCGCAGCCGTCTCTTGCTGCTCGGGCGGCATGGTAACGACGACCTTGTTTCCCTCAGGTGTGGTCCCTTGTAGAGAGCCCCCTGCTACCTTCAAAAGACACTTGCGTCTGATCCCGGAGACATCCTTGTATACCAGGAAGACGTTCCTCCCTACATTGCCCGCCAAACCACTTGCCGCTCGAGCCTCAGGCCCAAAGCGGAACTCGATTGCCTGCGAGGCTGATGAGCCTGCGGAGTCAACGAGATTTGAGAGGGCAGAGTCGAAGCCGTCGATCAGCACGTTGGCCGCCTGTGCTCCTCGGGCCAGTTGGGTACGGAACGCGCCTGGCTTCTTAGTTGGGGTACTGGTGCCGGAGGGTGGGCCTGCGTTGACAGGCTGCAGAGATGGGCTACCAGTCGGACTGCCAGTATACCCTTGGCCGTACTGTCTCTTCTCCCACTTCTCTCTCTCTTGAGCCTGCCACTTCTCCTTCTCTCCCGGTCGCATGCTGGAGGATACGCCGCCCAACTTGCGTCCCGCCCCCTCGGAGGCGTTGAGGATGGCAGTGCGTGCTTGGCCGGAGAGACGGACGACGTGGCCCGATCCGGTTTGGAGGGCTGTGAGGCCGCGAGTGACTGAGGGATGGACCTTGACATTTGAGCGACGTGGGGAGGAGTGGCCGTCGTTGCTTGTTCCTGCTGAGGTGTACTGCAGTGGAGAGGGGGAACGACGCCATGTGCTGGCGTCTTCGTGCTGATCCGTGGAGTAGTCGACCCCACTGCTACTCCCGGCATATCCTGTGTATCCCCTCTTCTCATCCCCATACCCTGAGGAAGGCGAGACATCGCCCATCGTCTTAGCCTTTCCTGGCACGCCGAGGCTGGGACTGCCCGCATATCCTTGCCTAGAGGGGGACGCAGCCCCACTGTTGAATCCCGCATCGCCGCGACTGGTGTACCGATCTGCTGCTCGTGTCATATGGCCGCCTGCCCAGCCTGAGAAGGTGTTCATGCCTCGTGCTATGCCATGAGCCCCGTTCATGAGCCAGTCCTTTTCGCGTTGTTGTGCGGTAGGAGCTGCGGAGGGGGAGCCGGTGGACGGAGCAACGGGGGTGGAAGCGGGGTCGAGGGTGGCGAGGACTGTGGGCCGACGAGAGGTGAGAAAGTGTTGGTCAGTACGTGCACGACTAGATGGAGGTCAGTGCAGCGTGCACTCACCATTTCCATTCTCGTCCTCCAACTCGATATCCGCATGCTGCCGCTGCCGCTGTTGCTGCTCACTACCAGTCGGTGGAGGTACCGCACCCGCACCTCTGTTGGCAGCTTCGCTACCCTTGACCTCCGTCAACCCACAATACTGCTCCAGCACATCCTGAAGCGCCTCTGCCGTCTCTCTCCCCTGCGCACTGACTGGCAATGCGAGGACAACAAATGCTCCAGGAACCTCATCGCTCTGCACCCTAAAGTTGGTCGCATGCGCCGCCCTCTCCAACTGGACTGTATGGTCGCTATGCACTACCACTTCGAAATCTCCGCTGTTACTCCCGGGCTGCTGGACAGAGATGACCAGATATGCGGTAGAGGGATGAGCACCTGGGATCGCCACGAGGAGGACTTGCCATGCCTGTCCCTTGGAGAGGGGGATCGTCTCACCGCTGTATTGCTGGGTGACAACAAGGGGGACATCAGACACGTCAAGAAGCGTTACTGCTTGTGTTTCGCTCGAGGGGGAGGACGTCATTACGGCGAGCGAGTGAAAGAAGAGGAGGCAAGAAGGAAAGGGAAATGAAAGCAGATGAGAGGAGAGCTCCAACCCTCCACCAAGAGACTCTTTTGCTATTTCCTGCTGTGTCCCTTTGTTTCGAGGCTGTGCGGTGCGAGTGGGTGGGTGGGGCCCTGCCAAGCCAAGCCAACACCGCCGCCGCCGGGAGGCGCGGGGAGGCACAAGCCAAGTGCGGTGCAAGCCTCGACCACGAGTTGGCTCCGCTGCGACTGAAATTGGCGTCTGGAGGTGGAGTCGTGAGTGAGTGAGTGTGTGAGTGAGTTGCTCGCGTGGAGCTCTGAAACGGAGACACGGAGAGAGCGCGAGGCGCACGGCCTTTCGGATTGATGTTCAAGGACCGCAGGAGAGGCGGCCAAAGCAACACCTTGTTTCCATTCGTGAGACTCACACGACCTCTCGTAGCCGCTGCGCCGCCAATATGGCTGTAGGCGATGATGGACCAGTAGCGTCGACCTCTTCGCTCTCCTCCATCGCCCAGCCCGTCGTCGCATTTAAGGCCAAGCCCCGCGCCTCGCGCAGCAAATCAAGACAAGAGCACGACGACGATGAGGCGTACGAACCTCTGGCACCTCTATGCGCCTTCCCTCGCTTTGACAGGTACGAGAGTAATGACATGCCTCGGAGAAGAAGGCGACGGGCGTATCTCCATGCCAACAAAGCTCTTGGGATAGCATGCGATGAAGCTCTCGACGACCTCGCCGGGCCGACGGTGAGGCGACTGCACGACTGGATCGAGGGGACCGAGAGGCGAGGCAAGGCAGCATCGGAGTCGATTCCGCTCGCCGCCATACAGTCGCTACTCCCGCAGCCGGTGCTGTACCAGCGTATCGTCAACAAGATCTCCGAGAGCTCCGGCGGCGCAGCCTGGGCCCACCTCTCCCTCATCCAATGCGAAGCCTCAAGCGCAGCCAGGCTCATCGAATCCATCGTGGAGCAGTGGACTTCGCAGCTCCCTGATGCTGCGTCTGACCCTTCAACAAGCAGTACAAGTGCAACTCAGTCCTTTCTCCGGCTACGTAAGCGGCACGCTGCCCTTTCCCCCTCTCAACGCCCAAGTACATACCTCATCAGCCTAGCTGGTCTACCCCAGGCTCCACTATTCTCTACTTTGGCCTACCTCGCCAATCTGCCGACCGATGCAGAGGAGCAAACTCCACCATTCAATATCGCCATCGTGCTGCAATGCGTCGGCGGACCTGCTGGTCTAGACGGGATGGCATGGGAGGACAAGCGCGGCCTCGATATAGACATCATTGACACGGCAGGATGGGACGCCAGAGCCTTGGTGGGCAGAATTTCAAACACGCCTGTCCTGGGCGGCGAGAGTGGGCCGCTCAGTGGAGTGATGCTGCGCGCTGCGTACCAGAAGGCTAGAGTTGCTCAGAGCCCAGAGAAGGATATCGAGGCCGTGAGAGCGTGGTGTGAGCTGGCGTTGCAGCGCTACTTTACTACCTCATTGCACTCTGTGGGTGCTAGTGTAGATGAAAGAGATGATGCGCCCAGTCTTTCTCCCCTCACGACTGAGCACTTCACGTCAGCCTTCTTTGAGCGGCTGAGGAGCAGTCTGGTCCTCTCCCTTGCTCGCCCACGAGAGGAAGACGAAGATGAGGACGCCATGGACCTCGACGAGAAGCAGCGAAGCGACGAAGATGGTCCAAACCTCTTCTGTCTTCCGGAGCGCCTACGGAAAGACAGGAGGAAACTCAAGGCTATGCTGATGGGCAAGGATCACCAAGGCCTGCTTGAGCTATGGCTCGAGAGCCTTGCAGGCGGTCAAGAGGGCTGTGGCGAGCAGGGGCAAGAGCACAACAGGCGACGAGAAATCGGCCTCGAGCTTCTCGCATTGGGCATACCGTCCACTGTGGCGTCCACGTCTATGGCTTCGAGGACGGACGAGCGCGACCTTGCTGCGCTCCGCTACTCACTTGCCACGACCAGCAGCGGGACATCGCTTTCCGATGACGATGAAGCAGTGGAAGAAGAGGCAGCGGCGCGTGTGACAGCCAGGCTGAGGCGCAAACTTAATACGCTTCTCGCACCGAGGCTGAAGACCCTGCGCAGGCCGGCTGATGAGACGACTTTGCAAGGAGAACCAGGCTCGACAGCCGTTGATCCACTCGCAGCTCTAGAAATCTGGCTCGACAAGATTGAGGACTGGGCCGACTCCTCCTCCTCCTCCTCCTCCACTGCCTCTTCTGCGACCAGGAACGATCTCCTCGACCGCGTTCGCGCCCTCCAACAGGAGCTGGCAAGCTGCACTGCGGCTGACTCTGGCTCCAACTCCGCTTCGCCAGCAAGGGACAGCTCTCGCCCTGACCCAACGGCAGTCTCACGCCGTCTTCTCAGAGAAGAGCGGATCCGTTCATTGCGCACCTCCATTGCGGACTGGTACGGAGCCACGGTCCGAAAGCTTGTGCTCAGTGCTCCAGCCTCACAGCAGAGGCCCCTCTTTAGCGACGCCTTCCCTGACGAGAGCGGGGGAGACGCGGAGAGGGTCGCCGGACTGGAAGCCATCAGCGCGGATGGGGCTTGCCCTCGCTCGGCTATCACGCTTGCGCTCGCGAGGCCGGGCGTGTATCTGGAACACTTTGCTGCGGCTGCTGAGGTCAGGGAGGAGCAGGAGCAGGAGCGTGATCAAGGAGTCGGAAAGGAGGTAGAGGAGAGGAGGGAGAGATTGCATAGGCTCAATGTGATGCTTGGCCACGGAGGAGCGGGCAAGATGAATGGCACATCAGAAATGCCGCAGAAGGGTCGAGGAAAGAGGAAGCGTCCTGCCGATGGGCACAATGAGGGTGACAATGGTGAGGACAAAGGCCACCGTAGCTCCGTCTCGCAAGCGCAAACAGATCTGTCCGTCGCCTACTCCCTCTTTCTCGAGGCGGGCGGACCTGGCGGAGGAACGCGTGGGCGACTCGTCAACCTCGACGACTGGTATCGCGCTTGGCTGGCTGTTTGTTCCCCCTCCTCCGGTGGCAAGGAAGACGCGGATGCGCAGGCTCGTTTCGCCCTCGCCCTTTCTACATTGGCCCTACTGGGCTATATCAAGAGGACGACGAGGGGTGGTGGTGGTGGTGGGAGGGGGAGGAAGGGGGAGGCGCCGACGAGTGGGAGGGGAGTGGCGGGCGTTAGGGTTGCGAAGGTTGGGGGATGGGATAGGGTTTTGGGGATGGAGCAGGAGCGTGAGGAGGAGATGCGAGAAGAGGCAGAGGCAGAGGCGGAGTAGCGGCGGATCACGGGGCTTACTGGTGAATGTCATTGGTTCGAATGGAGAGATGGTGACAAGTGGATTGATCCAAATGAAGAGATTTGATCTCATGCCCTGGTCATAGTGGCGCTTGGCCGCGTTGATACGTCAGCTACGCGCTTGAGGACAGGTCTCGAGAGGACGAGCATTCGGAGACGAGGGCTGCATCGTTTCATCGGCAAGCTGGCTACCAAGTGCGTCCTGCATGGACATGTCGCCATGGTCGTGAGGGGAGGATGTCTGCTGGCCGTCAGCTGCCACAGCGAGGGCAATTGAAGCCTCTTGTCCCGCTTGAGAGTCCACTGCGACGCCTTCGCCTCCTCTCTCCGCAGGCTTCATATGCTTGGTCACAATGTCAGGCTGAGCGCAGCCAGCTACACCGCTCGCCTGCTGCTCTTCCACGGCTTCCCCATCTCTACCTTCAGCCGCTCCATCCTCTTCCTCACCTTCCTTTTGAGGCGCGTACAGCTCAGTGAAGAGCTCCATCGCCTCGTACTGGGCAGTCATGCTCCTCTGCACCTTGTCTCTCAGCGCCTGGGTAGTTGCTGATGCACTACAGATCGAGGAAGCTTCGCTGGTTGGCTCAGCGCGACCGACACTGCCGCTGATGGAGGGGACGCGAGAGAGGGTCATGATTGGGATTTGAGAGCAGAGAGTGGGGTTGGTGAGCCCGGAAGAGGCGGCGACGTTGCTGACATGGCGAATGGGACTGGCTGATGTGGCTTGCGATATGTTGAGGTCGGGATGAGCTGGCCGCGCAGCTTCATTGCTGCCGCTGCCGTTACCTTGCCCATGCAGTCTCTTGCCGTCCTTCGTTTCGTCATGGGCAGCGTCGCTGGCTGACGCACCTCCACTCTTGTCTTGATCGAGCTGGTCTGACTTGGTGCGCTCATTCGCACCATCTGCATTGCGCTCACCTGCCGCATCCCTCTCGGCGCAGTACTCGGCCACGCAAGCATCGAGCAATCGTTCAGTCTCTTCGTCGAGGCCGACGTCCTGGCTCGAATTATTGAGGGCACTGAGGTACGAGATGGTATCCGTGTGTGCCCTGTCGCCCTCGTTTTGGGTGCTTGCAGCGTAGGACGGGGCAAAAAGGTGATGATGGCTACCTGATTGAATATGATGGTGGGTCAGACCTGAATGAGAGGCAGCCACGCGAGAAGAGGCGTGAATGAGCTGCTGAAGTAGGGCGGAGGGGACCAGTCGCGGTTGATCATCCTGTTGTTGCTGCTGATGCTGCTGATGCTGAGTGCCATCAGATGTCATCGGCTCCTTATCCTCATCGTGTCGAGCATCGTCGCTTTGAGCATGACCATGGCCGCCGGCCCCGTCTTCGCTTGACATCCGTTCTCCTCGCACCTCGTGTCCGCTCATGGATGTTTCCGCTGCTTGTGCAGCCGCAGCGGCCATTCGCGATAGGATCTCCGGCTTGATACGAGAGAGGACATTGGAGACGTCGACATCCTGGGTAATGTGGGTGAGCGGCTGCTGAGACGGGCGCGATGGCCATTGAGCGCTGCTACTGCCTGCTGCTAGGGATGGGTGGTGAGGGTCGAACATCGAGGAGGCGAACGCTCCGCTGGCTCTCTCATCGACCTCGCCACCGTCTTGTGGCTTGGCTGCCGTTGGCGCCGAGGAATGAGCTGTCGCACGTGCGATTGCGGTCGAGGGCATTGTTAGAGGGCAGTCCTTCCACTCCTGCGTGTTCAGAGTCGACGGCAAAGAGGACGCTCCTCCAGTGCCCCGTTGATGTGGGAAGGTGAATGCCGAGGACGGAGGACGCTGCTGTGCCGCAGGAATGACAAAGGCTGAAGGCATCGAAGACTGGTACAGAACGCCGCCAGGGTATTGGCCTCCTCGCTGCTGCGGCACGCTCTTCCAGAATGAGCTCGGTAGATTAGGCAGGGATGCACCTGAGCTGGTCGCGCCATGACCGCTGGACCATATGTGCTGGTTGAAAACGCCGTCGCTGCTGTCCGCGCTGGTGAACAAGGCTTGCGCTGAATGAAGCGGTACGCCTTGACTTGGGACTGAGAGTGCTGTAGGACGAGGCCCGTCCGACGGGCTGAAGAGCTGATTCGGAGAGGAGGCCATGGCGGCAGCGATAGCTTGTGCCCTAGAGTCGTTCCCTGCGTCTTGTGAGATTGTCTTTGTCTTGCGTCTGACGGCGGGCTTGCGCTTAGGAGTAGGGAGAGGACGGATAGGATCAAGAGCGCTGTCGTCCCCCTCGTCGGCAAATTGAGCCACAGCAGCTGCCTTGCTCTTTCGTGCGGCTGGTGACTTGGTCTTGCCTCCTCGACCCTTCTTTGGTGCGGGTGTCTCAACGCTACTATCCTGTGGCTGCTCTTCACCAATGGCTCCGCCGACCATCAAACCCACTGCTGCTTCATCGGGCGTCTTGCGGCTCCTGGGGCGCTTACGTGCAGCTGGGGTGGCCATAGGAGCTACTATGGCAGGCTGAGAAGACGAAGAAGTTGTAGGGGACTGAAATGGCGAGAGGAACTCTGGCCATTTCACAGTGCCCTGCTCGCTGGCGGTGGGCCAATTCCAGACCGGCGGTGATTGAAGATGCTGAGGCAGAGGACCGATGCTCTGGAGTTTGTCATCGCCGAGTTTGTCAAGCTCGAGCAGCTCAGGTGATACAAAGAGGGAGCCATCTTCGTTGGCGCTGCTTTTCTCGGCTGATACTCCTGCTTGAGGTCGCGAACGCTCGCTAACGGCAGATGCCAGGTCAGAGAGGAGTGAAGGATCAGGCTTGCCTGAGCATGTAGCACTGGAGAGGAGCGGGTAGATGACCGACCACCACTCGAAGAGGAAGCTATTAGGCGCATTGATGCCGCGATTGTCAACGGACCCGATAGCTACACCTTGTGGGTTTTCTTGAACGAGGTGTCTAGCCGTCTTGGTGTAGCCACGCCTGAGCAAGTACTGGATCACAAAGTCGTCCAGAGAGCCCTCAGCGGTTGTCCTGGCCAGGTGGGCGCTCGAATTAGTCTATCATATGCGCTCAGCATCCTTCGCTGGCACTCACGCATCTTGCTCAAGCCGCTCCGTCAGGCCGCCAGGGTATCGCAGAGGCTCTTCTTCCATGTTCAAGGAGTTGGTATATCGCTGCTGGCGGTCGGTGAAGCCTTGCCAGAGGCGATGGCGATGGTAAAGAAAGCAACGTTTCGACGTACTGCACTGCCCAGTATCAGCTCCACCATCAGCATCATCACAGCAGGCTAGTGATTGCGAGCAAGAATGATGAATGAGGAGTCAGAGTGGGGTCGGCGGCGGCGAGAGGGGCGGATCAGCGGCGCCAGGGTAAACGGCTGGTCGGCTCGACGGCCCGCAATCGCACCCTGGCAGCCAGGGCAGCGGCAGTCCAGCCTTCATTAAGGGCGATTGATGTCCCTGACGAATAATCATCACTCAGGGCGATACGGGCGAAAAAGCGGTGTGACCGGACCTACTCAGAGCACAGCCCCGCCCTGCGGTAATTGTTGCGGCAGGGCGAAGGTAATGACCAGGCTGAGCTCGCACGTCGCCCCATCCAAGCCTGGACGACGAGGCTTCGGGTCCTCATGGTCGCCTTGCTGAGGTGATGGACCCTTGACGACCGCGTCATCGGTCACTATCTTGAGGCATCTAATGCCGTCTTGGTAGCTGTGAGAGTGCGGAGCAAAGAAGCGAGCGCGGTGAGGACGGCAAGAAAGATGCGCTAGAGCCTTCTCCGCTTTCCGCTGCCTCGCCTTTTTCCACACGTCACCATCGCTACCACTATTGCGGAGGCAGGCTGCCAAGATGTTGAAGAGCGGAGCAAGATGTGCCAGCCTCGCTGGACCCTCTAGGATGAGCACCCGTCGATTGACCACTTCGTCCCCGCTCTGGGTCAATGAGCGCGGGGAGAGATTAATCCTTGGCATCGAGACGTGGGTATTCAGGGTGATATCGTCCGTGGGAGCGAAAAGGATGCTCGGCCACCGGCTCACAAGACCTTCTCTTTGCCCTCCGCAGCTCATGTGACGACTCGTGCGCTGCCATCGTTGCTGCGCCGCAAAGCTACTCTGCCAACTCGATCGCCTCGACCTCTAAGCTTACCCTCGATGGCCCCTTCCCCACGCCCTCTTCACACAAGCCCGGCCCGCGACTGTTGACCTCAATCGTTAAGCGGCAGGATCATGGCGCTACCTCTGGCATCCACCCGCTAGTAGCTCAACACAATCACATGGCTTCGCTCCCCTACGCAATACGCGAATGCCTGAGCAAGGGCAACATCAGCCCCGACGGCCGGGAGGTCGATGCGATTGCCGTTACGCAAGGTCCAGGGATGAACGGCTGCCTTAGCGTTGGGTTGACAGCAGCAAAGACCCTCGCTGCTGCTTGGGGCAAGCCGCTCATTCCGGTGCACCATATGGAGGCGCATGCGCTCACACCTTTTCTGACAGAAGCTGAGAAGGGCGGTGAGACAGCGTTACCCTTGACCTTCCCGTTCCTCACTCTCCTCCTCTCAGGGGGGCATACAATGCTTGTCCTGGCCAGCGGTGTAGGAAGCTATACAATCCTGGCCAGCACATCGGACGACTCGATCGGTGATGCGTTCGACAAAGCGGCGAGACTGCTCGCGATCCCAACAGACTGGATGCGCAACTCGCCTGGAGCGTCGCTTGAAGCTTTTGCGGCTTCGAGGAGCGAAGAAGGAGAAGAGATAGGAGCCGCAGCGCTGAAGCCATTAATGAAGCATTCGCCCTTCGCAAAGCGGCCAGAATTCTCCTACTCAGGATTGAAGAGCGCCCTGAAGACACGGATGCAACAGCTGGGCGATGGTGAAGCCCCGATAGCCACTCGGCGGGCCATTGCTGCGCTGTTTCAGTCTACGGCCATCGATCAGGTGATAGACAAGGTACGACTTGCTCTCGATCCTAACGAGGCTTGCGATGCAGTCTGGTCCCGCGAGTCTCTCAGCGCGCTGCGTGAGGTTCGGCACCTCGTAGTGAGCGGAGGTGTGGCGAGCAATGGTGAGCTGCGTAGACGGCTCGGCGAGGTATGGAGCCAAGCTGAGGGAAAGTACCTCGTCTTCCCGCCTTTGGCGCTTTGTGTCGATGTGAGTTCACCGCACGGAGTACACGCAGCGATACTGGCTGACGCCACCTCGACCTTTGCTCGCAGAATGCAGCCATGATAGCACACGTCGGCACCCTTCGGTATCTTGATACTCTCGCTGGCGGAGAAGAGCGGCAACGCCAAGCTTTTGGGGCTCTGCCTCGTAGCAAATGGTCGCTGGAGGATCTGTAAATTCGCAATGGCAGGGACTGAACTGTTGTGTAATTGAAACCACCCACTTGCAAAACTGATTGCTGCGCAAGACCGAGCCACGCATCGAGATGGACAAAGGCGAAAAGGGTGATGAGACTCGAGAAGTGTTCGCTGGAGAATGGGGAAGATACTGCAGAAAGCGAGTAGAACGCGATGATGGCGTTGGTGTTGGTGATGATGATGATGATGTTGCTCAATTGGAAAGCCAAGTGATAGTCTATGCTCGGACCGAAACCATAAGAAAGCGCAAGAGCCGTGAAACAAAGAAGACGAAAACTAGCAGAGTAGCGCAGAGTAGCGCAGAGAATCGTGTGATCTCTTTCTCTCCGCTCTTCCCTCTCACCTACCCCTCGTAGGCCAAACAGCGGCAATCAAATCCCTCGCAGTATTAACAATCTCGACGGCCCTGCCCACGATGCCGCCTTCGTCCTCCTCTACAAAATCGTCCGCTAGTGGCACCCTCACGCCTGCCTGTCGATCAGCTCCAGACGGCGCGACGAGGGCGCCGGTGGCCGAGGTGCGACGCGGGATGACGGGCGAGAGAGGCGGGGCGCCTGATACATTCGAGGCAGTACGGCGCGAGTCGCGAGTCGTGTAATAGGAATACTCGTCCTCATCCTCATCCTCGTCGTCGTCTTGCCCGGAATAGGAGCCGTGACGTCTTGAGTGGGCGAGGGCTAGGGTGGGCGTATTGAGCGGTGTGGGCCCACCAGCGCCAGGGGTGGGTGTGGAGCCCATCCCGCTCTTGCTCGACTGGGTCCCAGACTTATGAGAGGCTGGGTCATTGCTCGGCAAGTTGTCGAGATCAACACTCAGCCGCTGCGAGCCGGCCGGAGGGAGCCCTTTTGATGAGCCGGACTGCTGGTCCTTGTTGGCGCCACTGCCACGTAGTGAGGAGGAGGAGCCTTTCCTCTTGGTCGACGCATGGCTGCTGCTCCCCACGCTGCTCGCATCGTCGTCGCTGCTCATGCTAGCGCGACGCGCACCAAAGCTTCCACCGCCGCTGCCAAGATTGTCAGACGCGTTGTGGTACGTCCGCTGCTGACTTCCCGAAGGACTCGTGCTGCTGCTCGCGACGCTACTGCCCCTGCTTGTGCTGCCCCCCGTCGAGGACTTACGCGCCGCCTCCTGAATACGCTCGTAGCTGGCCGACGAGCCGAGTCGCTGCGACGTGCGACCACGCCCCTTCTCCTCAGCTGCGTCGTCTTGCGAGTCCGAAGAGTCGTACGATGTCGCCAAGGCCGAAGAGGACCCGCCCCCGTACGAAGACGATCCCGCGCCAGATGCAGCAATCGCTGCTGCACCTGCTGCTGCTGCTGAGCCGGCTCCAGCGGCTGATACTACGCCGCCGTCATTACCGCCGTCTGTGTTGCTGGCAAGAAAGGCAGACGAAGAGCCCGGAGGCTTGGATGCCACCTCGTCCTTCGGCACGGAATCTTGCGGCTGCTGCGAATTGCGCCTCTTCAGAATACTGCGAGGCTGCGCTGGTACACCGCCCGAAGACGAGCCTGATGAGCCCACAGCAGAGCCGCTGTCGCTCGAGGACTGCTGGCGAATGTCAATGTCTCCTTCGCTTGAAATCGAGCTGCTGCGCTCCCTCCCTCCAGCACCCGCCTGCGACGTGACGATTGACCCCGACTCATTCCCTCCTCCCGTGCCGCGGTCTGAGAGGTAAGGCGCATTGAAGTAGTCGACCGATCCTGGCTGGTCGTCATCCCACATGCTACGCTCCTCAGCGACGTGAGGCTGCGAAGAGACCTTGAGTGCCGAGCCTCCGCCCACGATCGACGTCGCAGGTGCTGCGCTGCCATTCTGCTGCTGATGCGGCATCGTCGTGAAGCCAGAGGGATCGACGACTGCGGGCGAGGGAGCAGGGTAGGTGTCGCTCGTCTTGAGACGAGTGGGCGCAAGCTTGGCGATGATGGCTTGATGCTCGCTCGATGGACTCGACTGGCGGCTGGACAGACTCGCCTGACTCGCGCTTCTCGGGCTGGACTTCATTGTGAGAACGTCGCCTTCTTCTCCAGAGCTCGTGTTCTCGTCTGAATGGGTACCCTCATCCTCCTCGTCATCGTCATATTCGCCATCTGAGTAGCCGTACTCCTCCTCTGGATAGTCGACCGCAATGCACTGATCGACACGCGAGTTGAAGCTGATGTGACGCTTCTCCTCTGACCCAGCAGTAGTTGTCGTATCTGAGCGCTCGAGGCTCGGGTGGTTCAAAAGGCGTGCGCTGGCCGGTGGGCTGCCCTTTGCGCCCTTGAGTATCTTGCCGGCCAGATTGGTATCCGACTTGACTGAGGCAATCGATACCGTCGTCCCTATTGGTGGTCTGCCCTGAGGCGAGGCGTCTCTGGAAGGCGCAAATTCGGGGTCCATGTGCACCTCGACGGCGGGCGAGGCTGCGCGTCCCGGCGTAGTGAGCATCTCGCCGATGGTGCGATGCTTGAGGATCGACTTCTTGGCCGAGGAGTCGTCAAGGTCCAGACGATCTTGCGTCGAGGCGACCTTGGGTGGGGGAACGGGGTCGGCATGCTCATGCAGAGGACCGTACAGCCAAGTGACATCGCTGTCTTTGAGCCTGCGAGGGTGCGAGGGAGAGAAGAGGCGATTAGCAATGGCGAGTCCTGTTCCCAAAGCTGTACTGACCAGTTGAGAGTCTCTGGATTGATGGTCTTGAGATTGCCTCGCTGCTTAGCCCATGTCCTCCAGCTGGCATTCTCCAAACGCACGCCGTTTGCGATCTGTTCGAGCGAGCGGGCGAGCCAAGACGATATCAGCGAAACCCTCCCACGCCCTCGATATCTCGCAACTGCTGCTCACCTCGTTTTTCCTCTTCGTCATTGCCTTCCAGCTCTGCCACACATCTTCTTGAGCCCAATTGTGCGAAAGATAGTCGACGCAGATGGAGGGCATCTTCTTTTCGATCTGCGCATCATCCGGAGCGGGCGTCGCAGCGCTCACGCTCGGATACGGCTGGGGCGCAGAGAGCATCGTGGACAAGACGATGCGGCGGCGCCGATGAGGAGGGGAGAGATGACGAAGAGATAGGAGCGTAGGAAATGGGCGAGCGGTTCAGAGAGTGCGCGCGACCCTCTTGCCCTGGCTGTATTGCGGTTGCAGGAGCCACTGAGTCTTCGATCTCAAGTCGAAGGTGGCGAAGAGAAGGTCCGTGAGGGCGATTGCACCTCAGTTCAGTGCCTCAACGTTGAAGCTGGAGGGAAAGAGAAGGCTCAATTTGGATGAGCCGTGCGAGAGGGGCAGCGCCGGCGGCGTCGATGGCGGCTGCGATGAGGCGGATGCTGATTGCGATGTGACGCTTTGCGTTGACCGGGAAGTGAAGGCGGAGCGGCCCTTGTCTTGCTGGTGCGGATGAAGTGGAGATGCGCCTTTCGAGATGGTGGCGACGAGGAGAACGGCACAACGATGGTGTACAACGTCGAGAGAGAATGCGGGAGCGGCGGGTGCGTAGTCGGCGTCGAGAGCAAGCAAAGGCGGCAGGGCGCGCGTATGAGCGGAGCAGGGCGACCTTGCTTGAGATCGACGAGGATGAACGAGAGTGCGCGAACTGGGTCGCGGCTGATGCTTAGCTCTCAACTTCGAGTCGTCGAAGAGGCGTGGTAAAGAGACAAGAGATTGAGCAGCGAGTGCGGCGGTGGCTAGCTGGTGAGCTCGAGCCTTGGGTGTTGGGAGTCCGTCGTGCCTGAGCTCTCATCGAGCTCGTCGCTGCTGCTGCCGCTGCTCGTCGCCGTCGTCTGTCGTCTATCGACACTCGACTCGAACGACGTCAGGCAGTCTGACGCAGGCGGGTCCAATTGCGCACTGAGGCGAGGGAGCGCAGAGAACTGAGGTCGAGCAGAGACGGACGGACGGACGGACGCGGGCTCAGTCTCGACTCGAATGCAGCCATTTCAGACTTGCATCCGCGTCGTCAAGGCAAGCCACGGGAGGCCAGCTTGACTTCACGCCGTGTTCACTTGACCTCGAGCTCCACCGAGTATGCGGGCAAGTCGAATCAGGGCCAAGGCCGCTGCATCGGTCGAATTAGCACTCTCGCAGCCCAACGCGCGCGACGAGGCTTACAATGGCGAGTGGGGAGATTATTGCCTGTTAGTAAGGCGAGTCGCACAAATGAGACGCGACGAAATACTACGACGCCAAGGGGATGAGGGCGAGAAGCTATTGTATTTGCGACGGGAGCGAGAAGGGATATTGTCACATCATGCCACTCACGCCGCCGCTTCCCCATCCTTGGCCTTGGCTTTGGCCGGCTTGACCATACTGACCGGCCCCTCCCATCCCACCACTGCCGCCCATAGCATTCCCACCTCCTCCCTGCTGCTGCTGCTGCTGCTGCTGCTGTTGCATCATCATCATCATCTGAGCCTGCTGATGAAACATCACTGTGTGATTGTGAGACAGATAGGGACAGATCGTCAGCATCCCGTAGCCTCGACTATGCACAGGTCCCCAGCCTGTGCGTACTCACGGAAATTCATTCCCAACTCCACCACGGCCGGCATGTTGCCGTACGTATTCGCCCACTTCTGCGCCAGAGTACGCCAGCTGTCCGCACGAGTCGGATCGAAGCTGAAGGTATCAAAGGAGGAGAGATCGCCTACGCTTGAGTCTGGTTGAGGGGGCCAGGTAGCCGACGTGGATTGAGCTGCTGATGATTGAGTGTAGGAGGTCGAAGGAGCTGGCGCGCCTGAAGGTAGGGAGCTTGATTGAAATTGAGCTACGGGCTGATGTGCTGTCGAAGAGGATGCCGCAGTTGGTGGTGGCTGATGATTCTGTTGCGTATACTGCTGAAGCGCGGTGAGCTGGCTCAGGTCGAAAGACGGACCAGCCGTGGCGCCGCCGCTGCCGCTCGTGGCTGCTTGCTGATGCTGCTGCCCACGAGCACCTGTCAAGCTGTTCAGCGAATCCATGAAGCTTTGTGCACCACCTGCTTGGGCTTGAGGCTGGGTAGATTGTTGCTGCGGTGCATTTGCGCCTAGCAAGGCAGCCAGACTTGCCGGTAAACCAGGTGCGGCTCCAGTTGACGAAGCTGCGCCGCTGCCACTCGCCGTACCGTACGCGCCTTGCGGAGGATCACTTGTCGGCGTTGTGCTTCGGTTCAGACCTGTGATTACCGCGCCCACGCCGTCGCGAACGTAGAGAGCAGCAGACGTGGACGTCGCACAGGCGAGGAGGGCGGGCGCGGGCGGGCATGCGAGAAAAGGAAGAGAGGAGAAAAGGGGTATCGTATTTAGTGACTTGAGCTCTAGTGGTATGATGACGTTTTACTGGTACAGCGATTGACTTGGTCGAGCGATGCAGTGCTTGGCAACGGAGGGCCGCGATTGACGGCGGCAGGCAGGCTTGGCCTGAAAGGGTCCGAGGAGAGGTGATGTCTAGGTGCTACGATGAGTCGCCATTGGGACTAGCCCTCACCTCTTCCTCGTCCCGTACCGACATTGACCGTGCCATGACCGCCTCTTCAGGCAGTTGCTGCAACAGCGACTGCTCCTCCTCGCCGCCTCATTGTCTCTCCCTGCAGCTGCCCATGGGTATCTCGTATACGATAATGACCTTTACCATTGTGCCCATCATGCAGTCCATTATCAAAGACAGGACCTGGTGTTGACCGTCTTGACTCCACGGCTCTGACTGAGTTTGCTACGCTTGACAGTAGACTGGAGTCGAAGGTCTCCGCCTTGCGCCAGATGTCGATGACCTTGATGACCTTTTCCTGCGGGCGTAGCAACGCATGTGGTCAGCTGCCTGTACCCAGGACCTCAGCATCTCAGTCTCGCGCCGCGCACCTTCTGGTCCGGCCTGACAGTCTTCGCCGTATCCTCCGCCACTTCCTGCACAGCCGTGGCCATCTCCTTCATGAACTCCTTTGCCGCCGAGACAAGGGCCGCCTTTGGATGCGCGGCCTTGGCTACGCTAGGGAGGACCGTCCCGATGTCCGTGCCTGCGCCATCCTTCTTGATGATGTCCCGTGCATGCCTGACGATGGCATCGAAGAGGTACAGAGACACGATTTTGGAGGATGCCGGGGCCCCAAGGTGGAGCTTGAGGAATTGTGATCTGGCTAGTTGAGCTCGCTGCATGCGCGGACGAAAGGTGGTAGGTGAGTGATCCGGGATTTCTAACAGCTGAAGGTAGCGCGCGCACTTACGTCGAGACACCTCGCCGAGGCCTTCTTGACCGCTTCGACCCGGCTCGACGAGAGCTTGTTCGACGCGATCGCCTCCTTGACGACCTTCTTGAAGTCCTCGATGGCCGACATCGCGGGGCAGTGTGGGCGTTATCACCACGCGCAACTGGCCGCGAACTTGTGTTAGGTGCAGCACGCCCTCGCGGACGCTGGGAAGCCGTCGAATGCGTGCACGATTGCTGGTAAGCTGATAGTGTAAAATGGATGCCGGGAAGTTGGAGGACAGGACGAAACGCTGACCGACTCGACGTCTTGCTCGAGGTCGGCGGCATCTGCCCGCTTCCGGTCCGATACGCGAAGTCGACTCGACCTCAATTTGAGCTCAGTCCGCCCTCTCCAACTCGCGGTCTCTGTCCGCCCGTTCGTCTTACCATCCCAATCACCAAGCCAACTCATTGCGCACTTCGCCAACCAACAGCCTCGTCTAGCCGTCTCAAGCTCATCTGCTTATCTGGTCATGCCCATCAGCCAATATGCAGACTCGGAGCAGTGGCGTCGCGCTTCGTCCACCTAGTCGATCCGGCTCGTCCACCGGCGGCGCAGCTCCTCCCTTCCCACCCCTAGCATTCAATGATGATCAAGCCTTGAACAGTCGACGTGTCCCTGCGCCAGTCATGCCTCGTGAGCCTCAGATCGGAGGGAGCATGTCGTGGTAGTGACGGAAGATCGAATCGATCAGACTTGTGTAGAGCACCGTGCTGAGTCTGAGCCCGTTGACCTTCTCGTACCCACTCACGCCGCATCAGCAAGAAGCAAGACTCGCCCCCTTCATCTCCACACCCTCGATCAGAATGTCGCGCCTCGCACGCACTCTCTGCAGCAGATCTCAGCTTTACATAACCCGTCAGGTGCAACGCTGGCCTCCCAAGCACAGAAGGGCCAGCATGACGGCAGCATACAGCCAGGCAACTCAGCAACAGCTACTCAACGCCCCGACACCGAGTCCCAATTCCAGGACATTCCGGACGACTTCTTTGCGTCCATAGATGATGAGTCGCTCGCAACCAATGGGCGCTCGCCTATCGCTGCCATCCAACAGCAGCAGCAGCAGCAGCAGACACAGCATACAGACCTGCCTGTGTCCGCTCAACACCGCCCCTCGCTGCCTGCGGCTCTTATGCATGGCACTCAAGCCTCGACAACGAATGCGACTGCTTCCACTCGCCGCTCAGCACCTCCAATGCATGTTCGCTCGCCTCACGCTCGGCGCGGTGTCAACTTCTCCAGATCATCGCCAAGGTCGTCCCCTGGCACGGCTGCCGCTCTTATGCCGCCTCCTCAGCAGCCGCGCGCCCTCACCACCAACAGCCATAGCCAGAATGTAGATCGCGCGCACATCCACATCGTCAGCCAGACGCACACAACCTCGGATGTTGGAGCTCAGCGCCCCAGCTGCAGCGCTCAAAGCGCCAGCAGCCACAGCTCGCCCAGTAGCAGCCACCCTACCACTGCCACAATGGCCGGCCTACCACCGCAGTCCTGCGCCTTCCGTATGGTTCAAAAGGAGCTCAGCTGCGCGCAGGCTAAGAATCGACGCTACCTTGGAGTGATCGAAGAGCTGGAAAGGACGGTCGTGATGTTGAGGGGTCAACGAGGAGAGGCGCCAAGCGGAGTTGGAGGATCTGGTGATGGGTCAGCTGCGCAAGATGGACCGGGCGCTGGATCCGGAGATGGAGCTACTGAGGGATCAGTGGCGGCAAGCCGAGGAGGGGAACAAGATGAGCACGATGAGATTGAGTCTTCCTCTTCCAGTCAACCAGGGAGATGATTGGATTACAAAGAAGCGAAACGATCAGCAAGTCACCATCTTCGTCTTAGGGCCGCCCCACACAAGAGGTATGGCCAGCTGCACGAGTCAGCATGTAGCCACCAATTTCTCTTCTCATGCCACCCTGTCACACATCATCATACCGCTCACACCAATCTCGACGATTTCTCTTCTCATCGGTGACGTGTGCGATTCCGATCAGCGTGCTCTACATTCCATGCTATGCTCGGAGGACTATGTGGCTCATCGCCATCCAGTCGGCCTTCCTGTCTTGCGATCAAAATCGACGACCATCCCGTCAAAAGCGACGACGATGTCCGGGACGTGGATCGTTTCCCAGTCTATGCTGTCATTGTCGTCCCCCTGTTCTTCGTCCATGTCCCGTCCCTCTTGCTTGAGGACAACTCTACCCTCCCCGCCAGGCATCTCCGCCTCCTCTTCATCCCACACAGGTGCCCACCAGCGAGGACCAGACCCCTCTCCGTGACGCTTTGCCTTTTTGCTGCGGCCGTTTACCTGCCTTTGAGACTGCTCTGCAGCGACACCGTTGGCCTGGCCCTTATTCTTTTGCTGTTGCTGTACCCTCTTCTTGGCAACCCATCCCCTCAGCCCCTCCACAAATGCGTCCATGTCCTCCTGGAGGGCATGATGCTCCAGACGATGCGTCAGATCCGTGAGAATGCCCAGCTCGAACTGACCCTCTGTTCCCGCCTTGTTACCATTCGAGGTGCCATTCATTTGAGATGTGGAGGCAGTTCGCGGTAGGCTCAACAGGAAGCTGAGCGCTTGCGAGAGGGAGAAGTGGGAGGGATGTCGCCTCGGCATGAGGCTGTCGATTGTTACGGTCTGTGAGCCGCTGATCAGGGAAGAGGTTGAGGGCGGCACGTGATGCTAAGATGCGTCATCGAAGCTTGTATGGTCAGCTCACGCCTTTCCAGCTTGCTTGCTCGCTCATCGCTTGCTACTTACGCAGTCTGATACGTAGCTGAACCCGTCCACCCTGAATCCCAGACAGCCAAATGAACCTCCGTCCGCAAATCCATGCAGTACCGGCAATGGCGTGACCTCTACTCCTCCGACTCTGAAGGGCGTCACCCCATCAATCACCTTCCACCTCAACGCTCCCACACCCCCTCCCCCAGTTGCCTTACTCCTATCCACCAAGTAAGGAAAAGCCCCCTCCACAACCTTCATCGTCTCCTTGGTCAGATACACATCTACGCAGCTCTGCAATCCTCCCATGGTCCAGGCGCGCAAATTGTCCAACCCAAGAACGGCGTCCGCGTGTCCGTGGGTGAGGAGAACGCCTGATATCCTTCGCGGGAGGGAATGCGGGCGAAAGTGGGTGAGGGCCGAAGGGTAGAAGGTGGGACCACAGTCGATTAGGAGGAGCTCCTCCGGTTCATCTGCCCGCGGCCGTCCACCGCCGATTAGGGCTACACTGGTGCATCCTCTACGATTCTTTGATCCGGGAACTTCGACTGCGTGGCTGCACGCTGCGCATGCTATTGGTTCTGGCTCGGCAGGGCCGGGGCGACGTGGGGTGGTGGGGGAAGGGAGGAGACAATGGATTGCGGGAACTTGGGCTGATGTACCTGTGCCTAGGTAGAGGACTCGGGAGAGCCAGCGCTGCGACGAAGATGAGGAGGAGGACGAAGTTGAGGTGCTAGAGAGCGTGGACATGCTGAGTATGTAAGCCGGGACGGGGGAAGGACAGAGTGGCGTGGCCGGGGATTGAGATGCTGGTTGGAAGGTATCTTGTGAGGCCGGCGTAGCGTCTATTGCTACAAGAGAGCAATCCGAGAAGGTCCTGATAGCTTGAATGAGAGTAGATGAGCAGATCTAGGTGAGAGGACTGAGTGGAGGATTTAGGAAGATTGGAAAGATGGAAAGCGCAGCTGCGTCTCGTTCAAGGGTCCAATCAAGCCACTCGACGGTCCAACCTCGGCCTTTTCCTGGTCCGCCTGTCGTGCGACGCCCCCGCCTGCCACGGTTGTGACTCAGTGTCAGCCTATTTCAAAGGCGAGACGAAGCAGTCCTGCATCGTGCGTCGTCGCTTGCACAGGCTTCTGGGAACAACTATCAGTGCGCAGATAGAACGAGACGAAGGACAGGAGAATAATACAATCGCCGTATGGGCGGGACGAGGAGTAGAGAGGATGGCGAGCACAGCGCTGCTGCAGCAGCCTTGGGCGAGCGTGTCGAACGGGCGCTGTCAGGATAGACGGCAACCTCTTCTGATGCTTGCCTTGCGATAGGCGGCTTACGCTTGCGGTGCGGTGCGATGTAGTCGTCGAGGGTCGAGTCCGGTGCGGTCTTGGAAGTGGGGAGCGTAGATGGGGCAGCGAGATGGGAGGTAGATGCCCTCTTATTGGGCTGGGCGTCGCGGGAAGCCGAGCGTGTGTTCTCGTCCTTCGTACACGCCCATCTGCCCTTCATCGCGTATTATGCCATCACCTCTCCACCTACTCCAGCAAAGTATTCGTGGCCCAGACCTCTCTTGGCGCTTATCCTTCCTGCCGGGTCATACACCAGCATTCCTCTCAGCAGCTCAAGTCCTGCCGCGTCGAGACTGGGCACTGCCTTCGCAAGGCTGACTCCCGCCCACTGCGGGAAGCTCGCCTTGTAGTCAGGAAGAGACTTGACGCCAGGCCAGTCGTTCTCCGTCGGGGTGCCAAGGGTACGGAAGATGCGGAAGATCTCGTCGATTTCCGAGTCGCCGGGGAAAAGGGGAGACTTCATTGCCATCTCGGCGAAGATGCATCCGACGGACCACATGTCTATCGCGGTGCTGTAGTGGCGCGACCCAAGGAGGACTTCGGGGGCTCGGTACCATAGTGTGACGACCTGAGGCCGGGGGATAGGGAAGCTTAGCTCAGTATCGGGGGCAGGAAGTTGTTGTTGGCCATGCTGCGCCAGTGCTCACCTCATGCGTGTAGGTCCTCAACGGGATACCGAAAGCGCGTGCCAGTCCAAAGTCGGCAAGCTTGAGGTTTCCCGCCTTGTCAATGAGAAGGTTCTGCGGCTTGAGGTCGCGATGGAGGATTCGGTGAGCGTGGCAGTAGTAGATGCCGCGCATGAGCTGGAAAGTGAATTTCTGCGAGCGATCGACGTGCGGCAGGACGGCGACAAAGAGGGAGAGTGGATATGAGTGGCCATGCAGCGATGAGCAGAGAGCGAGAGGGAGCCATCGCCGCACTCACGCGAACGATGTCCGGCCCCAGACCATCAGATGAGCCTGCAACGTTGTCCATGTACTTCTTCAGGTCGAGGTCAAGGAACTCAAAGACGAGGTAGAGCTTGGATTCTTGGTGGATGATGTCGTATAGCCTGACCATGCCGACGAATGTGAATACTTTAGCGTCTTGATGAGGGAGAGTTGAGCACCGCGCTGCTCACCTGACAATGTTCTCGTTCTTGAGCTCCTTCAGCAGACTAATCTCTCTGATGGCCGTGCTTGGCACGCCTTCATCTTCTGCTTCGAGACGAATCTTCTTCAAGGCAACAATACGGCCGTTACCTTGTGGTGTGAGATCTCGAGCTTTGTACACGACGCCATAGGTGCCTGCGAGCGCGTCAAGGAGGGAAGGAGTGAGCATCTGAGCTGAGCCAATGCGCGCCTCGATGCCGGGCTCATTCACCTTCTCCGACCTTTTCAATCTTTTGGTAGTTCTCCATTACTATTTGCTTCTGCTTCTGTTGCTGCTACACACGACTTTGTTTCAGCGATTGTTGGATGACGAGGATGAAGCACTCTTTCAATTAGGACGAGGCGGTGTGGGCAAGAGGGACGAGTGCGAGGATGTGTTGAGAGGCGGCGACGGCTCGGCGTGGGCGGACACAGGGACTTGGTGATGGCGAGGGCAAGCGTGTGGTGTCGGCTTGAGTGCTCCTTGATAGAAATGGAGCAAATGTGTCGTTGGCCTTGGGCTAGTCAAGACCAGGATGGAAGGACGAGGAGAAATGGCAAGGTGGTGAACAGCGTCAAGTCTCTGTCCCTCTGTCTGGCTCGCTCGCGAGTGTTGGTTGCGCCTTGTCCTCGACTCGACCCGCCGCCTCGCGAGGCAGACGCGCCCAGCTCCGCTCCGCATTTGACCCGACTCGACTCGACTCCTCGCATCGTGGCTTGCAACTGACTGCGACTGCGACTGCGACTGCGTTGCCCGCTCGTTGCCTCGCTCCACACCGGACAACTTCATAGTCAACCACACGGCGAACAAAGGGACACGAAACACATCGTTCATTATAGCAAGCTTCTATTTTGCGGGGAGTACGGGCACAGTGACAAGTGGACCAAACGAAGCTGATCATATGTACAGGGTATCAACGGGCGAGGCTTTGCCAGGAGCTCACGCCGCCTAAGCAGAGCCTTCGCTGGCGTAACGCTCATGGCTAGTCGCTCGCAGGCTGCTGGCCGCCGTCGAGACGTTCGTCATCGGCAGCGTGGTGACGGTACGCGACTTTGATGATGTAAAGGGCAAAGTGCCAAGCTCAAAGAGAGGTCTGCCTCTCTTCGACGCGGTCGACGAAGATGACGAGGATGGCGCGCTCTTGCCCATTTTCGCTGCACCCGCCGGTGCCCTCTTCCTTCTGCTCCGAGGCCTCGTAGGAGCGCCCTCCCATGCCGTGCCCTCGGGCAGCTTCTCACCCTTCATCAGCAGCGACAGGCTACCAAGATGCGCACTCGCCTCGATTTCGCTCCCTGGCAAGCAGATGGAGTACGGCTTCATCACCGCCCTCTCGCTCAACTTGACCGTGCCCAGCTGCATGATTCTATCGTGGAACAGGTGCGTCTGCGGTCCGGCGTGCTGATTAATGACAGCCTCATCTCCAAGGGAGACAAGGTCGTACTCGGTGATGTCCGAGGAGAGGAGCGTAACCCTCTTGCCGACGGAGACGCCCAATGCTCGGAAGAACCACGCTAAGTACGGTGTACCGACGAGTAACTGAGCAAGAAAGGGCTCCGCGATCGTCTCCCAAGTCGAAGTGACTGCCTCGCTCAGCCAAACGTTGAGGCTCCAGAGCGGCCACTTGGTCTCCTTCTTGCGGTAGTCCCCGATCAGCAGCCACTTGAGCGCGATCGTGAAGAGCATCGAGGGGAGTGCAATCATGAAGAGGTAGAAGAGGGGCAACATCAACAGCGTGTAGACGGCGCCGATACCGTGGTATCCTGTATAGGCGATGTTGAGGGAGAAACCGAGGCCGAAGATGATGATTGCGCGGGGAAGCACGATGCGGAGGCCTTCGATAAGGAGACGGATGGCGATGCGGCCGCGGGAAGGGTTGAAGAGGAGAGAGGCGTCGCCTGTTCCTTCCTCCTTTTGGCGGGCGGGCATGAGCACGGGAGGCGAGCCGAAGCAGGAGGTGTCTCTCTCCAGGGGCTTGTCCAGCGGAGGGGCGATGGACAGTACGCCAACGAGAGAACCGGTAGGGAGGACGGTGCCTTGCGGCAGGAGCGAGGCGTTGCCTGCGAACGCCCTGCTCTCCAGCTTCGTCTTCTTGAGCGTCAACTCGTTGCCCCGCACGATCGTGTCGCCCATGAGGACCGCGTCAGCAACGAAGCTCTCATCTCCAATCTCGAGCAGCTCGAATTGCAGCCCTCTCGCAGTAGACACCTCCGCTCTTCTACCCACCTTGACGCCGAGCAGCCTCAAGAAAGGCACGATGTACAACGTGGCGAACACTGGATGGAGGACATCAAGCGCCAAGTCCATGATACGGTCGACGAACCACTTACGCAGGTACCACGTAGAGTAGACGCGGTATGTGCCCTCGCGCAATCTACCGCCGAGAAACAGCCAGCGGAAGGCAATGAGCTGCACGTAGACGATTATCTGGTAGGCGAAGGCGATCGGGATGGAGAGCACGGCTACTTGCCCCCACATGCCAATGTCGCTCAGATCAACGAGGTCGAAGAGCATTAGACCGGGGATCTGCGGCATGTAGTAGAGGAGCGGCAGGACGAAGACAACGATGAAGGCGTTGCCGAGCAGCATGGCGAATGCCCGCGCTCTGGAAGGGCGAGAGGTTTTGCCTTGCGCTGCTTCACCTTCCTTAATCTCGCGGTCGAATCGAGCGGGAGAGCCGTGGTATCGCTGGAAGGCTGGAACCCGCATCCCATCGGGAACCATGGATAGGGCACCGAGCTCTGCCCCTTCGCAGAGGGTGGCGCCGCCTTCGATGACCGAGTTGGAGCCGATGATGGCGTCGGATTCGATAATCACCTTCTTGAGAATGAGGCGACCACGTTCGACCACACTGGTCATGAGCACCACGTCCGACCCAATGACGACATCGTCGCCTATCTCGACCAGGTCAGCCGCTGCACCAATTGCCATCGCGCCGAGATGTGTGTAGCTCCCAACCTTCGCGCCCATAGCGCGGAGGAAGTGCGGGTACAAGGCCGATTCGGCCAGAATTTTTGTGTTTGCCAAGTTGGCAAATCGATCCGCAAGCCACCACCTGAAGTAATAGACTCCGTAAAGAGGGTACTCCCCTTCCTTTGCTCGACCCAGGGCCATCCACTTGCCGATGACGGCGACTACGCCGAGCAGTACGGGAGCGGAGACAAAGACGCCGTACGTGACTAGGATCGCCCAGCCAACCCCACGTATGTGAAGAATGTAGTCGAAGATGAGGTAGGGTACCAAGATTTCGAGGGACATGAGGAAAAACAAGAAGAGGAGCGGAACGACTTGAGCAATGCCGCAGAGGACGAAGTTGCGCGGGGAGACGGGCCAGTGACTGCCTGTTGTGGGACCCGTGCCTTCGGTGAGGAGCTGGTCTTCTGGCTCTCCAGTGACCGTAGCATCTTCTGAACTGCAAGCATCGTCGTCGCCGGCTGAGAAGCGCGCGGCAATAGCGAGTGGAGTGCGAGCTTCGTAGATATCCGGCAGGCCGATGGAGGCGTACGGCGCGTCGCCTCCTTCGCTCTTGGCTTGGCGGAGCTTGGAGACAAGGATGGCTGCGAGGAGCGAGTGTCCACCTAGGTCGATGAAGAAGTCGGCGGTGGGGCAAACACGCCCTGCTGAAGGGAAGACTGTGGCCATTGTGGTGAGGAGGATACCCAGAGGAGTCGAGGGATCTACGTCATTGTCCGTGACGTCGGTTTCATCGATTGCAACTACCTTGGAAGCGGCGGCCTCCTCAGCTTTGCGAGCAGCCACATCATGCAGCGCCTTCGCATTGATCTTTCCACTCGGTAAACGCGGCATCTCATCCGCCTCGAGGAAGTGGACCTCCTCAGGCCTCATGTACGTAGGTAGGTGCTCAGCAGCCAAGGCGTTGAGCGAGCTGGCATCCTGCGGCGCACCAGGTGCGGTAACGACAAAAGCTTCGAGTCGGGCGGTGTCCGTATTTGGATTGGTGAGGATGACGGCTGCGGCCTGTACATCCCTATGGCCTGAGAGGAGTGACTCAATCTCCCCCAACTCAATGCGGAAGCCGCGATGCTTCACTTGGGTATCAATGCGGCCCAGAAAGGCAATCTTCAGCTCGGCCGTGAGCCTGACTCGGTCGCCTGTGCGGTACAGACGCTCCCCTTCGCAGCCTTGCGGAGCCAGCGGGTGCCGAATGAACTTCTGCGCCGTCAAGTCTGGCCGACCGACGTAGCCTATTCCGACGCAGGGACCGCCGATCGCAAGCTCGCCTTCAACGCCTTCGAAGAGCTCGAGTGGGAAGTCTGATACAGGTCCGCTGTCCTCGGAGATGGGCAGCAAGCAAGCGTGGTACGATGGGAGGGGGCGACCGATAGTCACGGCTGCGCTGGGCATCAGCTCGTCCCATGTAGCCGTCACGGTAGTCTCTGTCGGCCCATAAGTGTTGATGATCCGCAGGCCGGGACGTGCGAGCTTGGAGACCAGAGCGGGAGGACAAGCTTCTCCGCCCAGATTGATGAGCCGAACACACGCTGGCAAGAGTTTGGAGTCCCCATCTGCTTGGGCAATCCCCATGATGCCAATCAAAGTGGGGACCGCATTCACGACCGTGACGCCACGTTGTGTCCAGATGGCGGGTAGGCCGGGCACGTCACGGCATTCTTCTCGGGTACCGATGGCGAGGTGTCCACCGCCAGCGATTGTGACCCACATCTCCTCAACGAACATGTCAAAGGCAGGAGAGAAGCCTGCGCGCGCAAAAACATGAAGTCAGTCTGCGCGTACGTAAACGGAAGGCGGGCGTGTGGTACTCACCATTCCAGACGATATCATCGCTGCTGGTCTCAAGGACGGCTCGCTCGCTTAGTGCAAAGGTCAGGGCAGCAGAATGTGGGATGGCAATTCCTTTCGGCGTACCCGTAGTACCGGATGTGTAGATCAAGTAAGCGGCGTCACTGGGACGAGGACCCTCAGCTTGGGCTGCTGAAGCGGTGCTGTGGCTGGTCTCGTTGAGCTCGGTAAATTCGACAACTTGCAAGCTGCCCGCGGGCAATCTGCTCGCAACATCGTCAGCTCGCTCTCTGTGGATCGCATCGCAGAGGAGAACCGTGGCCGATGAGTCAGCGCAGCAGACTGCGGCTCGCTCTACAGGTACGTCGGGATCAAATGGGACCCACGTTGCGCCGCTGTAGGTGGTGGCGAGGATGGAGAGGAGAAGAGATATGCCCTTCTCCAGCCAGATAGCTACAGTTGGCGCCTCATCACGCGAGGTGCGCCCGCCGTGCAGGCCAGCGAGCTGGGCGGCTACGACGCGAGCAACGCCGTCAGCCTCGGCGTAGGTCAGTTCTTGGAGGTGGTCGCTTCCTTGACATGAAAAGGCCGTGGCCTGAGGTTGGGCCTGCGCTTGATGCTGGAACAGGCGCGGCAGAGTGTTGACGTTGGATGGCGGAGCAGGTGCGACCGCAAGGGCTCCCTCCCCTGTGAGCACCCTCGACTTGTCGAGCGGAAATGTCGTCGCCATCGTCGCAGCTCAGCGAATGAAGTTGGCACGGGACTTCAAATGAATGAGATGATGGAAAGAGAGAGGAAGAAGCAGCCCGTGGCCCTGCCTCGAATACATTTGTGAAATCGACCACTTCATAGAGCTCGGCACAGCCTGACATGGCGACATCTAGCTTGGGACAATGTACTCAGCGGCGATGGCTCGCGACAGGCCACGCTCGATCTGATCAGCTCCGTGCTCCGTGCCGTGAGGGCCGTGCCGAATCCTGGCTCCTTCGTGCTTTCCTTGTGGACCAATCAATGGGGTTCCACCCGCACGTCGCTGCTCCATGTTATGCCATGCCATGCAGTGCGGTGCACCCTCCTCCTCTCCCCTCTTCCCCGCACGCGCCCCTAAGAGCAACGTACGGCAGTCAGCCTCTACCTCCTTCCTTCGCGCAATACCGACGGCAGCAAGGTCGGGGACATTTTTGCGGGCGCCTAGAGCAATTGCCCATGTGCGTTGCGTGAAGGCAGTTCAAGGCCAGACCGTCGAATTGACGTGCGAAACCGAGAGGCTCCTTGACAGACAGACAAAAGGTGACAATTGTTCAAACGTGGCGTCACGCTGAGCGCTGATCGTTGGCACATGAGAATCCTCGCTCATCACGCCATGTTTGGCTCAGGCTGGCAGGCCACGCCCCCTACCCTCGTCGATCCCCAGATTTGGATCCCGAGGTGCCGTTTGACGTGAACTATAACTGCGACACATCGTCACGTCGCTACTGCCGCCGCCGGCACGAGGAGGACGGACCCCCTCCTCCTCTTCAGCCATCGCCTCGTTTGTGTGGACGCTTCGATTGCCGAAGCCGCTGCCGAAACGTGTACGTGTGCCGCTACTTTTAATCCCCGTACAGCCAATACAACGAGGGCGTCCCCCAAATCGAGCTGCTAACGTCTTGTTTGGGGGAGGATTGGAGAATGCGAGCTCGACAACGAAAAGATGAGAAGAAGGAAGAGCAGGGCCTGGAGCTTTGCTTGCTTGCCCTCTTGCCCAGCAGTTTGAGGGAAGGCGGTGCGCAATGCTGGACCAGCACATTGTGGCTTGGATGCTGGCGGCGCGTAATTACTCCCTGTTGTCGGCCAACCGGCGGCAAGGCATTTATTGATTCAGGTCAAGACGCAGGCGACGCCGAAACGGCAACGAGGCAGGCTGCTGCACGTCTGCCGGCCACGATCAGTAGCAGTGAGACGAGCGCTTCTATTCTCGACCAGCGCTTGCTGTCGTCATGGCTAGGCTATGCTGTACGGTCACAGCCTCGACGTTTGTCTCGATCAAAGGGGAGCGCAGGGAGTGACCATCATCAGCATCGACGAATCAAGAAGTGCACAGCCTGAGAATGTCGAGTATTAGGGTTCGAGGGGACGAAGCTGCCCTTCACGTCGAACGACACTGGAGTATACCTCGTTCCTTGCTGAGGGCAGAACGTGTACCAATCAAATCTTCTGGACGCCGGTGATCAATCGATGGTCGGAGCTCGTTTGGCAGTCAATTGTGGACGATGGATGAAGCTTCGCAACGTGGGGGCCCGCCGAGCGAAGTCGGAGCATAGGTACGGTAGTCGAGAGTTTGCGGTCAAGCTCCTCATCACGCCCCGACATCTGAAGAGTGAAGCACGTATGAATGTCTCTCAGCTCTTGAATACCTTCTCAGCTGTTCCCCTACAGGTGAGCGGGAGGATGAGGTAGTGATCATGGTCTCTTCAGCCGCGTGGCTGCTCGCAGCTTGCTGCTCAGCTCAGCCCGAGGCTGTCCCAGTCCGCCCTCGTCGCTGCGTCCCCGTGGTGCGCCTGCATCTGCATAGCCTGACCAACACCTCCTAGCCTTGTCATGTCGTCACTCAAGAATATCGTCATCGTTGGCGCCAGCGGTGGTATCTATGCTGCCCGGGCACTCGAGAAGACTTTACCTAAGAGCCATCGAATCGTGCTCATCGAAAAGAATGACTATGGTGAGCTGTCGAGCGAGCGTACGCGCTGCCGCCTCCGAGCTGATCACTAAACTCCCCTCGTGTCGCAGCGTGGTACCATCCTGCCACCTTGAGGGCTAGCACGATGCCCTGTGAGAGCGCGCCATTTGATTGCCTTTAGCTTCTGATCCCGCGCTGACTCATTCTCAACCCTCAGCCGCGGAGGACCTCGCCTTCCAAGACCTCTCCAAAGTCTTTCCTTCCTCCTCCCAACACATTGTACTGAGTGGGACCGAGGTCACCCACTTGGCCGAGAAGTCAGTCACGATCAGCAAGGAATTCGAAGGCAGCACCACTGTGTCCTTCGAGTATGCCATCCTCGTCACTGGCGCCAACCACTACGCTCCCTCGGAGCCTAGCGACCGATCGAAGGAGGGGGCAGTCGAGGGGCTCAAGAAGGCAATGGCAGGAGCAAAGGATGCAAAGTCTGTTTTGGTCGTAGGAGGGGGGCCGCTCGGTATCGAGTATGTGGGCGAGGTGAAGCATCAGTACCCTGACAAGAAGGTGCGACAGAAAGACACGAAGGAGCGCAACTGCGTCATAATGTTGATTCGTACGTCATCTCTCGCCCCTCGCACAGGTCACCCTCGTCAGCAAGTCCTCTTCTCTCATCAGCGGCTTCAATCCAAAGATGGGCAAAGCCCTCGAGAAGACCATGAAGAACAAGGGCGTCGACCTTCGCATGGGTGCTTCAATCGACGTGCCCTCGGATGTGCCCTCCGCAACGCTCCTCCCCTCGCCGCGCAGCTTCACCATTGTCCCCGCCGAGGGCTCAGGAGACGCCTCACCCTCGGAGGTAGAGGCAGACTTTGTCGTAGTCGCCACAGGCGGCAGGCCAAACACGTCGCTGATCTCTAACTCTGGCCACCCCAACGCCCTCAACGACGTAGGCGCCATCCGAGTGGACCCTGCCACGCTACGCCTCACCGAGCCAGCTCTAGGCTTCTACTTTGCGTACGGGGATTGCTGTGACGCTCCCGGCCCCAAAACCTTTGTATCTATGAAAGGCCAAGCACCCGTCGTCGCAGCTCAGGTGGCATCCTTGGTCGCGGGCAAGGGCAAAGCGAGCAAATCGACATGGAAGGAGCCTCCGCAGATCATGATGGTCAGCTTCGGGCCGAAGGATGGACAAGGCGTCCTCTTCGGGTGGACAGTGCCTGCTTGGTTCGTAGCGCTTGTGAAGAGCAGGGAGTTGTTTGTGAGCTCGTGGAAGCAGGAGTATTTGGGAAAGGCGTAGAGGAGGAGGAGATGGAGAGAGAGAGTGTGTGTGCAATGCTTTCCATTTCGTCGACGTCGTCGTGGTATACCCTCCTGCTGAGGTCTCTTTCTGCAATGGTACCATTCTTCGCTCGCTCAGTCATCATCCGCCTCGATCGTAAAATGCTGACTTGCCTTTGGCCCTTGCCTGCCCTGTTGATTGTCTGGCAGTCCATGAGAGGAGTCAAACAGCACCGCATCCTCATCGAGATCGGCGTGCTCCTGCAGCCACGGATCCTGACTCGCACTGGCAGATGATGGCGCGCTCTTCGCCCGCGGACCGTTGCTGCTGCTGCCGCCGCTCCTCGCAGCTGTCGCTGATCTCTGCTGTTGCTGGTCTCTACCGGTGCCATCCCCACCAGCTCTTCGTTGCCTCTCCGCCTCCTCCATCCTTCTTCCCTCACTGGCAACCCTCAGCTCCTCCTCATCCTCTGCCGTCTTCTCTGCAAACATCTTCGCCTGCGCCACGATTCCAATGTCGACGCTCAAAGAGAACAGCGCGCCGGCCAAGAACTGGAATGGGCTTCCTGGCTTCAAGAAGAGAAAGTAGACTACCTTGAACAGGTCACCTAGAGACCAGCCGGCAAGAACAGACAAGCGGAAGCCGGCGAGGGAACGTCGCTTTTGGTTGGCAATGAGCTGCGGGAGCGGCAAAGTAGACTCCAGGCCCAGGGCATATAGGCCGAGCAGGGCGTTGTACATTGAGGACACGCGGCCGATTGTGATCTGTAGCGCCAGGAGAAAGAGGGTGTAGCAGACCAAGAAGACGATGTAGCTTTCCAAGCTCGTCCAGGTCCAGAAGCCGAACGGGCGACCGCTCGAGGAGCCGTCTGCACGAAGACTGCCGTCGTTGCGTACGCCTAAGAGCGGCTTGAGTCGGCCAGCAAAGCGTCCGAAGGAGTGCTTGCTTTGTCTTGCCAGGCGCGTGGGAAGGGAGACAGGGTCCGTATCCTCTTCTCCGTCGTGTTCGTCTTGAGAAGCTGCATAGCCTTCGGGGGCGTCGAGGAGGGGCATAGTCGGGAAGCGAAAGTCGCCGACGATGGGGGCATAGCCACCCCCTGACGATGACGAGCTGCCTCCCCCGAAGAGAGAGCGAAAGCCAGGGTTGCTGTACTCGTTCGTATTACTTGACGATGCTGTCGCGGGCGGCGGCAGATTCGCGTGCTGCTGCTCTGGCGTCGGCGGCTCGACATTGATCTCAGGCCGGGGGCGAGTAGCCTCGCCATTGGGTCTACCTGGTCTTGCGGGTCCCGGATCGCTCCTCAGGTAATCCTGGTAAGAACTCGTGTACGCGGACGAGGCATAGCTTCCCGGCTGGAATCGCAGCACAAGGCTCAACAGCGCAATCTGTGCAACGACCATGAGGCAGGACTGGACGACTAGGACGAGCTCGTATCGTTCGTGGAACCACCAGACCAAGCGAGCGATATTGGAGAGCAAGACAACGGCGCATACATCCTTGCTGAATCCGGTCGAGTCGCGCACTTTAGCCATGGAGTGCGCTTGGTCTGCGTAAATGAGGGGAGCGCCGACCGCCATGCCGATTGCGGCTAATAGGCCGAATGTCGAGTCGACCATTTTGACGGCGGGCCGTGTCTACACTCTCAGCTGGCGAATAATGGGTGGAGCAAAGGCAAGAGGAATCAGAGCTCGCTATCGCAGCCTCCTTCCGTACCCGCCTTTGCCTCGCTCGGCCCGCTCTCCGTTCCGTCTGCCAAGTCTCAGTCGCGACTCCGCTCTGAGCTCCACGTCGATGCAGCAAGGAGCGGGAGAAAGGAGAGAAAGGGAGCGAGCGGAGCGAAGGAGGCTCAACCTCTTCTTCCTTTCCTCACCTCGTCTTGACCATCATCAACTAGCACTAGTAGCGATGGACGACGCGTGGACCGACTCTGCAAAGGGAGTCTGCCACACGCTCCAGGTCGATGCCTCAGTGGGCCTGCGCTCGAGCGATGTGGCTGCCCGCAGAGAAAAGTACGGACGCAATGAGCTGCCGGAAGCTCCTCCGACACCGCTTTGGCAGCTCATCCTCGACCAGTTCAAGGACCAGCTCGTCCTTATCCTCCTAGCGTCAGCAGTCATCTCCTTTGTTCTCGCCTTGCTCGAAGAGAATGAGTCGCTGGGAACGGCCCTCGTGGAACCTGCCGTCATCTTTCTCATCCTCATCGCAAACGCCACTGTCGGCGTCGTCCAGGAGCGCAACGCAGACCAGGCAATCGATGCTTTGCGCGAGTACTCGCCAGATACCTGCACAGTGCTTCGCGATGGTACCTCTTCGAAGGTCACCGCCCAAGAGCTCGTGCCGGGAGACATCATCTATGTCAACGTTGGCGACAAGGTGCCCGCTGACTGCCGTCTGGTAGCCATCAACTCGAGCTCATTCCGAGTCGACCAGGCCATCCTCACCGGAGAGTCAATCGCAGTGAACAAGTCTCTCGACTCCGTCCCTGACCCGCGTGCAGTCAAGCAGGACATGACCAACATCCTCTTCTCCGGTACCACAATCGTCAACGGATCAGCGGTCGCAGTCGTCGTCCTCACGGGCAAGCATACAGCCATTGGTGGGATTCACGCCGAGATCAGCGAGGACAATGACGACAAGACTCCTCTCAAGCAGAAACTCGATGACTTTGGCGAGCTGCTGGCAAAGGTCATCTCGGTCATTTGCATCCTCGTTTGGCTGATCAACATCCGCCACTTCTCTGACCCCTCGCACGGTGGGCTGGTCAAGGGGGCCATCTACTACTTCAAAATTGCAGTCGCCCTCGCCGTGGCTGCTATCCCCGAGGGACTTGCTGCCGTCATCACTGCCTGCCTAGCGCTGGGCACCAAGAAGATGGCAAAGAAGAACGCGATCGTACGACATTTGCCTAGCGTTGAGACGTTGGGCAGCACGAACGTCATCTGTTCAGACAAGACGGGAACTCTCACCACGAATCAAATGAGCGTCACGCGCTTCGCCGTCTTCGAGTCGCAGGGTCTGCTGAGCGACATGGCCGAGTACCAGGTCGAGGGGACCAGCTTTGCGCCTACAGGCGAGGTACGCGACGCTTCAGGCAAGGCAGTCACGTCTCTCAACCAGAAGGGCTCCTCCGTCGACGCCTTGGCTCGCATCTGCTCCGTCTGCAACGATGCGGATGTTTCTGTCGACGAGCATGGCAACTATGCTGCCATTGGTCAGCCGACCGAGGCTGCGCTCAAGGTCCTCGTAGAGAAGCTGCAGCACAGCGATTCGAGCGTCAACGCCAAGCTGGACTCGCTGCAGCGCAAGGAGCGTGCCTCCGCAGTCAGCAAGGCTTACACTGCTGCCTCTCCTCGTCTCCTCACTCTCGAATTCTCGCGCGATCGCAAATCAATGTCCACGCTCATCAACAATGGATCAGGAAAGGGCCTCCTCCTCGTCAAGGGCGCCCCCGAGTCGGTCGTTGAGCGCTGCAAGACCATCTACACCGGCTCTTCCTCGGCGCCGGTACCCCTCGACTCGTCGCATCGCTCCGCTATCCTCTCCAAGGTGCAAGATTACGGCAAGCAAGGGCTGCGCACCCTCGCTCTCGCCCAAGTAGACGATCTCCCCACCGATTCGGCCGCGTACCGCTCCAACTCCAGCGCAGACTACGTCCACTTCGAGCAGAACCTCTCCCTCGTCGGCCTCGTCGGTATGATGGACCCTCCTCGCCCGGAAGTCCCCGCAGCCATCGCCCGCTGTAGGTCGGCCGGGATCCGCGTCATCGTCATCACGGGTGACAACCAGCCCACAGCGGAGACCATCTGTCGCCATATCGGCGTGCTCCCCTCTGACCCGTCTGCTGACTTGAGCAAGATGAGCTTTACGGGACGAGACTTCGAAGCCATGTCCGAGAGCGAGCAGCTGGAGGTCGTGAAGACCGCGCGCCTGTTCAGCCGTACCGAGCCCTCGCACAAGTCGCTGCTCGTCGAACTCCTTCAGAAACAAGGTCAGGTGGTGGCTATGACCGGCGATGGAGTGAACGATGCGCCTGCGCTCAAGCGCGCAGATATCGGCATTGCCATGGGAACAGGGACCGATGTCGCCAAGCTCGCGGCGGACATGGTCTTGGCCGACGACAACTTTGCGACAATTGAGACGGCGGTCGAGGAGGGCAGGAGCATCTACAACAATACGCAGAGCTTCATCCGCTACCTCATCTCGTCCAACATCGGCGAAGTGGTCAGCATTTTCCTCACCGTCCTCCTGGGTATGCCCGAGGCGCTGATCCCCGTCCAACTCCTCTGGGTCAACCTGGTCACGGACGGTCTTCCCGCCACGGCGCTCGGCTTCAATCCGCCAGACCACGAAGTCATGCGCCACCGTCCGCGCTCTCGCGATGAGCCTTTGGTAGGCAAATGGCTCTTCACCCGATACATGATCGTGGGCACCTACGTCGGCGCAGCCACCGTGGCAGGGTATGCCTGGTGGTTCATGTACTACTCTGCCGGCCCGCAGATCTCTTGGTATCAGCTCACGCACTTCCACCAGTGCTCGACGCTGTTCCCTGAAGTGGGGTGCGCGATGTTCTCCAATGAGTTTGCGAAGAGGGCCACGACGATGAGCTTGAGCATTTTGGTCACCATCGAGATGGCCAATGCGCTCAATGCCATCAGTGAGGTTGACAGCATCTTCTTGCAGACGCCCTTCAAGAATCCGTAAGTAGGCGCTGGCGTCTCTTTTGCCAAAGCAGCACCAAAGTACTGACCGACGTACTCGCTTTATTTTGCCCGCACAGCTTCCTCATCTTCGCCATCGCCCTCTCTATGGCACTGCACTTCGCCATCCTCTATGTTCCGTGGTTGCGCGACTTGTTCGTCATCACGCCCCTCAACTGGGCAGAGTGGAAGGCTGTCTTGGCCTTCTCTGCCCCGGTCATTGTATTGGATGAGGCGTGCAAATTTGTCACGAGGAACTTTGTAAGCCCGCCGGAGGATAGTTTGGTTGAGGGACAAGAAGAGAAGAAAGGCAAAGGACAATGAGGGGTTAGAGGAGGCGGGATGGAGGAAGAAGCAGGAAGGTAAGGCGCGAGAGTGTGTGCTCTTCGCCTCTTGTGCGGTCATCATTAGATCAGACGACCATCTTTAAAAAGAATCAGATGTTTTAGACTCTCTCTTCTTCTCTTCGCCTTGTCCTCGATCATGTTTCAAGCATATCGATGGAAGTCGTCGTGTCGTCTCGCGTCGCTCGGTCGCACGCGGACTGATCCGCTGAGTGGAGAGGGACAGGCGGCGCTCAGCCACGCACGACCCTGTCCCGTCTCCGCGGGGACGACGTTGAGCTTGGCAACATCGACGACTTGCCTCCCTTCCAATTCCAACCAGTCATTAGAACGACCCCTCCTCGTCTCGTCTCCGCAGCCTCAACGAGACGATAGCCGTACATTCTTTGCTGGGGAGAACAGCACTTGCCTGCCCTCATCACCACATACGGCGTGGCTATTGGTGGTCCTCGAGCGCCGCGATATCTTCTCGCTAGCTCCTGAGATCGGAGTCGATACAACATTGTCGCCTCCACGATCCGCATCGCTACCAGCATACCAGTACTGCGACCGTCGAGCCTTTGCAAACGCGTCTCATCACCTCCTCTCCTGGCCCCGATGGCGGCACCTCACGCACCGGGGCCGCCTCCAGGCCCCTTGGCCTCTTCCTCGTCTGTCTCACGTGCGACAAGTTCGAGCAGTATCCTCTCTCCCAATCACCCGACGAACCTACGCAAGCAAGCAAAAGCCTCTCTCGATCCCTCATTCTCAGTACGCTCTTACCTAGGAGCAGCTGCCGCTCTCCTTGAGAAAGCAGAGTCGAGCGATCGCCAGGGGCATTTGGAGCAGGCCTTTGTCAACTACCTCAAGGCAGCCAATGTTGCCGCTTTCATCACAAAGCATCCAGAATGGCCAACAGTTCAGGCGCAGCGTGGTCCCTCGTACTTTCGGTATCAGGATTTCATGCAGAGGATCACAGATGTGATCAGTAGGGCGACGAGGATTGAGGCCACGCTCAAGGAGAGGGAAGAGCGCAATGCCAAGCTACAGGAACAGCAGAGGAGAGCGTCTACTTCTGCAGCAGCAGCAGCAGCTGTGTCAGTGGAGAAGCAGAACGAGGCTCCGCCATCAGAGGTACCACCGCCGCCTGCTGAACCTGGCCCGGCGAAACAGCTGCGCACCACCACCTCGGATCAGGGGGACGCAGCTGCTGCTCTGGCTAGTGCGAGCATCGTCCTTCCTCGGGAGCATGCCTCTGATTCTCGCCCTGGCTCTGGGTCAGCAACACCGCAGCTGCAGGGCAGCAGCGCTGAATCAGGTGAAGCGGCAGATCAGGTCTCTAGCTTGTCCAGTCGCCTGGCTGCCCTCAGGACAGCAGGCGTAGGCGGTGTACCCATGGGAAAGCGCCTCAGTGAGCCTATTGGCTCCTCAAGATCCACAATACCCGAGGAGCAGCAGCACTCAGGAGATGCGTCAATACCCACCGCCTCCGAGTTCTCGGATACGTACCCTAGCCTCGACGACTTTGATAAGAAGATCCCCTCGCCTCTCCCCTCTGCGCCCACATCCGAGCCCACGACACAGGACGAGGGTGGTGCCTTCCCTACGACACCATCGCATGCGCCGGGAACCTCACGCAGGCCGCTGCCCAACCCACCTGCCCCTCCGACTGATCTGGCATTAGGGAGGGACGTGCCCAAGCCCTTCAGCGTGAGCTCCTCATCAGGCGACTCCCCACAGAAGCAGCAGAGCAGCGGCAGTAGCAGCAGTGGCATCAGCAGCGGGATGACCCCCTCCTCCTCACGCCAATCCATCATCGCGGCTCAAAATCGCCCAGCGGCCCTCATTCCTGGCTCACCGAGAGGAGCAGCTGCTCCCCGCGCACGCCCGCCGATTCCCGCACCTCCTGCAGGCAGTGCGCCAGAGACTGTTGGCTCCAAGCCATCTTTGCCCCGCGGCAACCACATCAAAGTCGAAGAGCTCTGGTCCCTACTCAATCCCGGCTTCGAGCGCGTCAGTGCAGCAGGCGAAGACTCCACCGGCTCCAGCAGCGAGTCAAGCCGAATGGTCCGCAAAAGAGGCCTAGACATCCTGCTCCTCGACCTGCGATCCCGCGACGAATACGAAGCAGGCCGCGTAGCCCGTGGCTCGCCGAGTGCGGACTCTGTCTGTCTAGAAGGAGGCGTCACTTTGAAGCGGGGCATGACCTCCGCCGATCTGGAGGACAAGCTCCTTCTCGCCCCACCAGGTGAGCAGACTGCTTTCGCCAATCGACACAGGTACGATGCTGTCGTTCTCTACGACCGAAGTTCCCGCCTGCTCGGGGCACCAAACCCGAGCCAGCCGCAACTGAGCGGGTGGCAGACCTACGACGAGGCGCTGCTGGCTTTTGAGAGGCTGGATACCGTGGTGAAGGCGATCTATGAGCATGAGTTTAACAAGACTCTGAAGGTGGCCCCCTTCTTGCTCGTTGGGGGCTGGGAGAGTTGGAATATCAAGGTGGAGCATAGGGGTGCTGGCGCAGCTGCAGGAGGAGCAGCAGCAGCGGTCAATGGATCAGCGACGAGGGCGTCGAGAAGCGGCAGCGTCAATGGCGGGGCGTCACCTGAGCTCGGGAGGCGATATGGCGACGAGGAGCTGCTCAAGAAGCAGAGGAGGCAGGGATTTGTCATGCCACCTTCTTCACCTGCTCCCTCGAGCTCTGCGGCAGGCTGGTCCTCGTCAGGGTACAATGCACCTTCCATGCCGGCCAAGACGTATCAGTCGCCCGGTACGCCCAGCAGCAGCGGCGTGCCACCACCTGGGGCTCCTGGCTTTCCCCCAAGCGCAGCAGGTAGTAGCTCCGCAGCTTCGGCAAGCACGTCGGCCGGGCAGCCGGGCTACTTCCCGAACCAGCCCTCGATACCCTACGGCGAGCCGCCTAATCACTTGCAGCAGCAGCAGCACTATCAGCATCACCCTGTGGCCCAACGTCCTCCTTCCTCATCAGGTCGCACCTCCTTCGACTACCCGCAGCTGCGCCCTCACGCCTCATCGGCCGGCCAAACAGGCGCCCCGCAGCTACCTCCCGCAGCCGTAAGCTCTAATGGCGTCTCCAACCGAAGCATGACCACCTCGGCCACAGCCATGGATCCTCACCACCCACACCCGCAGCAACGCCCCCCTTCGGGCGCAATGAGCGCTGGCGGGTCGCGCATGGCTGTCCGTCCCCTTCCATCCTTCGACTCCCTCCGCATCGGCCTCACAGGCCTCAAGAATGTGGGCAACTCCTGCTATCAAAACGCAACATTGCAATGCCTCTCTGCTACCATACCACTCGCCAAGTTCATGCTCGACGGTTCATACCGACGCGATATCAATGCAGTCAACCCGCTGGGCACGCAAGGCGCACTCGCGGAGGCCTTTGCGCATCTCGTGAAGGTGCTTTGGAGTGAGCAGTACACCTTCGTCAGCCCGGTGACCTTCAGGGAGCAAATTAGCCGATTCGCGCCGAGCTTCAGAGGGTTTGAGCAGCATGACAGTCAGTGAGTACCTTTTCCTGCCCCACGATCTCTACTCTCTCACTCGCAGCTCACTAATTACCTTCCACTTTCATCTTTGCTCTTGCAGAGAATTCCTCGCCTTCCTCATGGATGGGCTCCACGAGGACCTGAACCGCGTCGTGCACAAGCCGCCGCCTGTGGACATGACACCGCAGCGTGAGGAGGAGTTGGAGACTCTGCCGCAGCAGGTCGCGAGTGTCAAGGAGTGGACCATCTATCGGCAGAGGAATGATTCGTGAGTGCAAAGGCCAGCGGAGATAAGGGTACTCATGGAGAGACAAGAAATTGACCCCCTCGCCGCCCTTGCTCAGCGTCATCGTGGACTGGTTCCAAGGCCAATTCCGTAACAAGCTCACCTGCCTCACCTGTTCCAAGACCTCTACAACCTACAACGCCTTCATGTATCTTTCCCTGCCCATCCCTTCGCCCTCACACGGGCGCGGGCCGGTCAGCCTGCAGGCGTGCCTCGACGCCTTTGTTAAGGAGGAGATCCTGGAAAAGCAGGACGCTTGGCATTGCCCTAATTGCAAGAAGCCGAGGAGGGCGACAAAGCGGCTCAGTATCTCGAGGTTGCCCATGGTACTGTTGATCCATCTCAAAAGGTTCAGCTTCAAAGGACCCTTCACGGACAAGATCGAGACGCAGGTTACCTTTCCCCTCACGGGGCTCGAGTTGAGCAACTATGTGCCCTCACCCCTCCCTCCCTCCTTGGCAAGGAGCGCAGCGAGGGATGTGCCCATCTCCCGTTCGCAGCAGCCTCCTTTCCTCTACGACGTCTTCGGTGTAGTGCATCACCATGGATCTCTCGGCACGGGACACTACACTGCCTCGATCAGGAATGCAGGGGGAGAGTGGTGGTATGCCGATGACTCGAGGGTGACGGGAGGGAAGGGACTGGCGGAGAGGCAGATGGCGAGTAGCTCGCCGTATGTGCTCTTCTTGAGGAGAAGAGGTGTGTAGAGCGGGAAAGCGGGAACGTAGTGTATGTAGTGGGTTCTCAGCATGCGTAGCATTAGCAAGACGAGAGTGCATTTCAGTCTGCACATTCGTCTCGTTGAGGACAAAATCTGAACATCGACAGCAGAGTCTGAAGACTTGGGTAACCAGCAAATGGAGAGGTCGTGGGCGTAAAGTACGTGGCGTGGCGACAGAGGAGATAGCGTAGTGAGAAGATCAAGAGGATGCCAAGCTAGAGAAAAATAGGAGGCGCTGCGACCAGCCTGGTAGCGTAGAGACGGGGCCGTGACGAGGATACGCGTTCAAGAGCCCAGTCGTCATCGGCTCGCGCCCGTGACGTCGCCGCCTCCTTGTCTGTGCTAGCCCATTAGCCCAGAGAGGCCGTGAGGTAGCTCACTGCAACAATTGAGAACCTCATCCGCTTCACGGGCCATTACCCCCTCCTCTATAGCAAGCGCGGCAAGCGCCTTGGCTCCCTCCTTGGCTGGGCGGTCGAGCACCCTGATCGAGGCGAAGAGATTTTGACCGGCTCGATCTTCGCACCTCTTGCGCCGCCAAGTTTCGAGCAGAAGATCGACAAAGGGCTTCGAGTTGGCAAAGAGTCCGCCAGCGAGGATGAGGGTCCAACCTGATGGGACCTCATTGTCCTCTTCGTTGCTGGCAGAGGCGAAAAGCTTATCTCCGAGATCAGCAAGATGATTGGCCGACTCTTCTACCAGGGTCCGAGCGAGACGGTGCGAACCGTCGTCTTCCTTTTCGTCGATGGTGACAGAGGGACTGCCTCCTTCGCCCTTCGTGGGGAAGGCCCAAGCAAAGACGAGAGGGCAAAGCCTAGCGACCCAATGCTTGAAGGAGTCCAAGGGGTAAGCGTACGTGGCTTGTACTAGCTGCTCAACTGATGCTACACCGAGTATAGCGCAGGCCTGGCGCTCAAAGAGAGAGGCTAAGGGTGATGGCGCAAGGTCGGTCTTGTTCTGATGTCGACGTGAAGCAGATTCACTGCTCCTTGCCCTTTCTTCCTCGTTGCGCAGCAGGAGACGTAGAGCAGAGAGACCGACATGGTAACCTGACCCTTCATCCCCGAGTAGCCAGCCCCATCCGCCAGCTTGCGCGAGAGTGGTAAGGTCATTGGGCGTCTTGATCTTTGCCTGGGGGAGTGATGCTGCCATTGCGAGCTCGTCAGGGATCATGTCGAGGCGGCATGACTGGCAGGATACGGGATGATTGGAGCCGCAAGCGAGGCATTCGCGGGCGCGGTCTTCGCAGTCATTAGATCCGTCGTGCTGAGCGGCACCTAGGGCGAAGCCAATGGATCCAGTGCCCGCGATGAGGCAGATTGCTTTGCCAGCTTGGCCAGTGGGCGAGCAGCTGCTGCTGAGCAGCGGAGCGCCGAGCAGGAGAGCGTCATTGCCTAGGTAAAGGTCGCCTGAGATCCCCAGGCCAAGAGGCTCTACCCAGTCGATGACGTGCGCCTTGATCTCCTCTTCAACGGCTGGCGAATTGATGCCCGCGAGTCCAACCCAAAGAGCCCCGCAATTGCGCAAAGGCTTGGCATAGCTCATGCTTCTCCTGACTCTGGACTCTACAGTCTGTCGCCACTTGTGCTCGTCATGATCGAAGTCATTGGCATCGAAGAGCTTGGCATCAGCCGAAATTGGGCTCGGAGGAGGCGTCGCTGAGCCAGGATCATCGTCGGGCGTTGCTGAGATGTACTTGGAAAGACCAGCCCTCGTAAGGACAGAGACAACGGCGGCACGGAGTACGTCCGATGCCTTGACAGGTCCGAGTGCACTGCTGCGAAAGAGGTGGGGTCAGAGCGTGTGAGCTCGGCTTTGTACAGTAACATCCGTGCTCACCGCGCTACTCACCAGCTACCGCAGCCCACCATAACTTCAAACGAGTCGGATCCTTCAACCGTGAGGGTGTCCGTGAAGAGGAGGACTGCGTGGGTCTTAGTAGCACCAGCGTCGACGCAGATGACGAAAGGGCGCCCGATATTGGTTGCCTCAGCGCCTTGGCCGGCTAGCGTCAACGGCATGCTATCACTCCTGAGCGAGGAAACCGCAATGTCGATCGGTGTCGAGATGCGTGGCTGAAATCGTGGGACCATCCTAGTTACTGTCTTTTCGGTGTGCTGTTCTTTCTCGTCTGGTGCTTTGCTGGTATTGATGGTAGTCGTGCAGGTCGGGTGGAGAGGAGGAGATGGGTATGAGGAGGGGAAGGCGATCGCGATCTTGAGGGTCCCTATTGGTAGATAAGGACGACCGATTTGAGGTTGCTTGGTCCTCGTCTATTCGGAGTGGCTTTGGGCTTGGGCAACATCGCTTCTCCAACGACGTCAGCACCAAGCACCCGGGCAGCGAGAGCAGTGGCGGAACGAGCGAGTGGGGGAGGCAACACAGCGCCCACTCCTTCGGTGGAAGCGAGGTCATCTAAGCATTATGGTACCTGACTGGCAAGTCTGTGGCGGTGTGATTACGGTCGTGTAGCCGTCGACGGGTTCTCAGAGCGTAGCGCGGCCCACCGACGACGAAGACGGTGGCGGCGGCGATTGCGGCCGCTACGGCAACGGCGACACACGGTCGTCGCACGGTTGCCCGGTTGCCCTGGCAAAGGGCAGAGCCCCATCACCAGCCCAGCGAGTATCATCGCTTGGACGATACGATGAAGCGGCACCGGGTGGCGTGCTCCGTACATTGGTGGCTCCAATCCATACCCAAGCGAGGGTGAGAATGGTTAGCCATTGCGAACGAGGAAGAATGGATCCTTGATGCTGAAAGAGGCAACTGTCCGGCGTCCAAGGGGCATCCCGTAGGGAGCTTCTTCTTCTTCAGACTTCAGACGGGCGTCCGCTGGGCTTGGCATGTCCATACCCCGTCGACTTAGTAGAAGACTGAACTCTCCATTGCTGGACATTTGGCTGCGGCCTTCAAGGCCCACTAGACTGGGTAGGCTGTAGGCACTTCTCTCCGGCCATGCGCTGAGTTGACATCTCTCCGACGAGTTGACGCTTTGCGTCGCCTTACTTTGCTGCCACGACGTTCCATGCCAGGTAGGAATTTTGAACCGTACTCTGCCGTGCCACAATCCGGCGAAGGCGCCGCCGCTGTTGCTCTGGACACGGATGAGCGTTGCCCTTGCCCAATCGATCACGACATCGACCATCGCGCCGCTCACCATTGTGCCAAGCGAAGCGAGCGCAATGATCGTGGCGAGACGATAAGACAACGCTGCTGACCGTCCTCGTATGCCCTGCTCACCGGCAGTGATTGGCAGCTGCGCCCGGAGCGGGCCGTGGTAGTAATGGTCGAAGAGGACCCTGTTACGGCACGGCATGGCAGTCCCGCAGCCCATGACTGCGGAGCTCACGCCGTCAAGGGCACAAGCGTGACATCATCAGACAATCACTTGCCCATTCTGCTTCACCAGAAGAGGTGTTGGTATCGATTCTCGCAGGCGAGCCTTCGGTCATGGTACACCTCGAAGTCGTCGGCTTCTCGTCGCATTGCGACATGCCGACTCTTGTTACCCTTCTCGAGGTCGTCATTGTGGTGCAGCTCTTGCGCTACTTCAAAGACTAGACTCAGGGCAAGCATCGCAGAGCTCTTCGATGCCCGCCTGTCCGCCAGTATGGCCCATTGCTGCTCTCAATATCTTGTCGTGGTAATGCTGCTCGGGTAGCCAGCCGCAGCCCCGGTCGCCATGAGGATGCTCTCTCTTCCTTGAAGATCGTCAAGTCAGCATGACGGCGGTAAGGAGGCAATCACACTGCCTTGATCACCGCCATCGGCACGCGTCATCGCATCGCTATGCAGCAGGCAGAGAGATGATTAGCCATCCCCGAGGCGCAAGGCCGTTTCTCTGCTCTCTTGACGGTCGAGTAGAAATTGAGGTGGCTTGGCCTTGGTTCCACTGCTCCGGCTTCCGCTGCAGGATTTCTTGACTGAGAGACGCAAGTCAGAGGGAAGCCGCACAGCCGGCACGTCAAGATGCCGAAGAAATCGCCGTCGTTGCCGAGAGTGGACGTTTGAGAATCGATTGAATGACTTGAAGGTGCGTTCCGCCATTGCAACTTCTTTCTCTTCCTCCTTCACAGCCACTCTCTCTATCACACGCTCACTGCTTCAATTTTTTCCACTCTTCCTCCCACCATGCCCTCACATTCGCCGCTCACGGCAACGGCAGCAGCCGGCCTGCTAGCCACCGCCCTCTTCAACTCTGCTTCTGCTTCGTCTTGGACTCTCACAGACACGTACGACGCCAATTCTTTCCTGCAGACTTCCTCATGGAACTATTCAACAGGCACTGACCCGACACACGGGCTTGTCGTCTATCAAAGCGCAGATCAAGCCAAACAGCTCAACCTGACCCGCGTAGAGAATGACCTCTTCTACATGGGTGTCTCGACCGTCGAGGAGCAGCTGGCCGGTCGTCCTTCCATCCGCATCAACTCGCAGAAGTCCTACTCTGACGGCATCTATGTTCTCAACGCCACTCATATGCCCACGTCGTGCGCCGTTTGGCCCGCGTGGTGGACTGTTACGAAGAATCTGGACAGCTGGCCGATTGGCGGGGAAATCGACATCATTGAGAATGCCAATGACCAGTACGACTCGAACCTTGCTTCCCTCCACACCAACGGCTCGTGCATCCTTCCCGAAGCCAACAATGGCACGGGCATCATCGCCTATCAGGACTGCGGCGACTCCTCGACCGGCTGTCGTATTGAGATGAACGGCACCACGGGGGCCTCGGCATCCAACACGGGCCCAGCATTCAACAAAGCCGACGGCGGCATCTACGCAATGGAGCGAAGTCTCGGCTCCACAGGCAATGGTATCCGCGTCTGGTTCTGGCCGCAAGGCTCTGCCCCCTCCGATCTTGCCTCGGGAAGCAACTCGGTCAACCCTGCCAACTGGGGCAAGCCTGGCGCCCAGTTCGCCATCGCAGACGAGTGCCACGCCGACTTTGGCGAGCACCAGATCACCTTCGACATCACGCTCTGTGGGGACTGGGCAGGGAACACGTACGAGCAGACCTCCTGCGCTAAGACGTACGGAGCCTGCAGTGCGCAAGTAGGATACAACGGGTCCAGCTTCAATGAGGCATATTGGGCTGTTGATTCGGTGCGCGTTTTCAGCACCGGGGGCGGCACTGACAACGCAGCTAACTCTGCCAACACCGCCAGCGTTTCTGCGTCATCCGTGTCGGCGGAAAATGCCAAGGGCGGCAATGGCAGCTCCTCAGGCGCCATGGTGGCTGCGGTTGCCCTGCCATGGAGCGTAGCGGCCCTCGTCGCCGTCGTGTCTGCTTGGACTCTTGTCGCGTAGCATCGGAAGGATAGTCAGCATTAGACTCTCGTATCTGTACATACCCCACGTCGGATCGTATCATGCACTCACGCAACTAGAATCAAAGCAAATAGAGCCATTACTCGAGAGCCAAGAGCAGACTCGTACCATCGAATCTAAGGGGCCCGTGCACGAGGGCCAATCGTCCAACACTTGACTTGAGTCCGCGTTGGTCTCCGAGTTGCCCTCTTTCCATCTCCGTCCATCTCTTGTTATCGCCAGGTCTCCTCCTCTAGCTCGCCAGTTCAGTGCCATCGTGACGGTCACCTATGTTGTTTTCCCCTCCGCAACCAGGTCAGGAGCCTGCGCCTCCCTCGCCCGCATCAACAGCACGACCAGATAGGGGCTTTGTTTTTTCTTTCGGTAAAAATGGCGGTACGGCGCCATCCAAGCCATCTCCCAAAGGAGGGATTCTCAGCCTGCCACACTTTTCGCTCTTACAATCTCTCCAAGCTGAGGAGCAAGCAAAGCTCAAGCTGAGCAAAGTCGACTTCTTTCGTGACGCCATTCGAATTCGACATTCAGTGCTCCCTCAAATTCTCCCCTCCGTATTAGGCATCACCCTCTGGTCTGCCCTGATCTTCAGTGCAGACGCCTTCTACGGTCGACAATGGAAGACGTCCTCAACCATAGTCCAGCCGCTCAGTATCGTGGTTGGTCTGCTGCTGGTCTTTAGGACGGGAACATGCTTCGAGAAGTGGAATGAGGCGAGAAAAGTCTGGGCTCAAGCGGAGGCTGAGGGGAGGAGCTTGGGGAGGTGGATCTGGTTGAATGCTGATATCTCGGTGGGTATAGGGGAGGGTAGAATACAGGAGAGTAAAATGCAGCACAAGGTCAGCATGGCAGATACCCTCCTGTCGTCGTCGTCGTACGACACGGCTCGCTCCACTCTGCGCCCCTCCACCGCCTCGGTCGGTGCTAGTCGAGAGGAAGACTCAGGCCTCTCCCACGGAATCGAGGTGTACGCCCGTCGCCTCCGAAAGAAGACCCGAGCGATTCGCCTACTAAGCCTTTTCTTCACTGCCCTCGCCCACGAGCTGCGCGAGGAGTACGGCGTCGGCTATCCAGATTACGAGGGCGTGCTGAGCGAGGAGGATTGTCATAGGTGGGAGTCAAGTTGTGCTGTCTTGCAGCCCTCACACGCTGCAATGCACTCGACGACGGGAAGCGGTGGGGAGGCTTCATCATCAGGATACGACTTCAGCACGCTACGTAGCCTCGCGCCAGACTCGATGGGTACGGTCAAGTCGATGGGCCGTGGCAGGCGGCAGCAACAGCAGAAGCAGCAGAGTGAGCAAGACGTCGAAGCGGGGACGACGGCAGATCGCTCTTCGAGTGCAACAGGCTGGTTCAGGCGCCGCAGCCAGACCCCCAGCGCTGCGAGCCACCCGACCGTTGCGGTTAGCGACGCCGACTCTGGCGAGGCGACGCCGTTGCTCCGAGGGACAGAACCACTGCCAGACGCAGGTGCATCGCTGCGTCAGCAGGAGGAAAGCTCCTCATCTCAAGCACAGCCCATCATGCCCCCACCCAGTCTCGCCTTGTACTCCCTCCACCAGCTCAGCCTGTACCTCACTGCCGCCCGAGCGAGCGGGATGCTCGACCTCGCCGGCCCGGCAGGCTTCAACTACAGCAACACCTTGATCTCCTCCCTGACATCAGCCCATGCTTCGCTACACCGCATCAAAGCAGCAGCCATCCCCGCCGCGTACGGGATCCACCTCAAGCAGTGCACGGCCGCCTACCTGCTGGCCCTTCCTCTCACCCTCGTGACGGAGCTAGGCTGGAAAGTGATCCCCTTCGTCACGCTGGTGGCAGTGACGTTGCTGGGCGTGGTGGGGATCAATGGAGAGCTGGAAGTGCCCTTTGGCGATGATGCATCGGATCATAATTTGGGCCTGTTCTGTGCTGCTTTCAGGGGGGAGATAGAGTTGCTTGTGCGGGGTTCCGAGGAGGGGGTAGGGGATAAGGAGGAGATTTGTGGGTGAGCGTGCGAGAGGCGGCAGGCAACAAGTGAGCCCCATCGCATGATCCGTGGGCTGCTTTGTCGGTAATAGATCGAGTCATGTCATTCTCGAGCATCTTGCTTCTCGAAGAACAGTCCTGCCTTTCCTCCTCTCTTTCTCTCTACGAAGGGAAGTCCATCACTCTCGCCCGCCTAGTGTCCACCGCCATTCTGCGCCTTCCTCTCCTCCAACACGCCGGCCATCCTCTCCCTGTTGGCCTGGATCGACTCCGTCTTGTATTGGATGAAGGCCTCTTGCCTCTCCTTGAGGCCGTGGAAGTAGTAGCCCAAACCGCCGAAGGCAGTCATGAGCATGGCGTGGCCGCCGAAGTCTGGACGAGAGAGTGAGGATGGGAACGAGGACGATGAGATGATGAAGAGGAGTGAGGGAAAGAGACGGGATAGAGGTGAAGGATTGCTCCGGTCAGTAGGTGGATCGAGGAAGGCAGAAAGTCAATGAGGAATCCGCGCTCTCGACTACCCACTGTCAAAGATGTTTCGCTTCTGAATCCCGAGCTGGTAGCATCGCGTAAGGAATCCGACGCTTGCCCAACCGAGAACGCTGCCTACGACCATGTTGGCGATGGCGAGATGGTGGAGTTGTATGAGTTGGGTTGTGCGGGGAAAGATTGGGAATCCAGAGGGCCGACGGCGGCGAGGTTGGGACACTGGATCTGGTCTAGCAGGCTTTCTTCCGTTCCGTGAGTCGAATCGAAATGGGTGGCCCCGACTCAGCTTGGAAGGCGAGTGAGTGCAGTGCGGCTAGTTCCGGCCGTCCAACCAACACTTGGCAGCTCCTCCTCCACTCTCCTCACCATCACCAACTCATCAGAAGATGGCAGCGTCAGGTAGCCAGCAGTCATGTCCACTATTACAGCTGCCCTATGACGTCTTTCTGGATTGCCTGTTGCCCTACATTCCGACTGCAGACCTGGCCAGACTACGACAGGCTTGCAAGACGCTGCAGCAGTGGACGGACAATGATTTCATTTGGAGAAGGCGCATACAGGGTGATTAGCAGCTCGAAGTCGCCTCGTCGACGCACTCACTGACATCGTGACGCTTCGCAAAGACGACTTCAACTTTCCTCCTCACGCCTCGGCCCGAGTCACCGGCTGGCAGCAGCTCTACCGGGGTCTTTCCTCCCCCTCTGTCTTCGTTTGGGGACAGAGCGATCATGGCCGCCTAGGCATCAGAGAGGGCGATATTGCGGATGAGAAGCTGAGAGGCCTCGTCTTCGATCCGGCATATACGGCTCGTGGACTGGGCGGCGCGCCTTTCCCTCTGAGGCTGGATTACCGCCGACCGTCAGAGGGGCAAAAGAAGGAGAGCCTCGCTCATCGTCTCGGCGCGGCCAGTGGTCGCAAAGCTGTCAAAGACAGCGACGGTGTAGGGACGCCCATCAAGGTCGTAGCTGGAGGGTGGTCATTCCATGCCCTGACCTCAACGGGGCGCATCCTCTACTGGGGTCAGATGGACGGGGACCTCTTCACTCACGAGGAGATCAGGGCCGAATCTCCTGCGATCATGGACCTCTCGTGTTCTAAAGATGGCCGCATTGTCAGAGTCAAGCAGCTGTCATGCGGCAGAAAGCACGCAGTGTCTCTGACCGAGTCAAGTAGTATACTCGAATGGAAAGCGTGGGACGGCGTACGAGTACATGACGAGCCCTTCGCGCCCCTCGGCGAGGGAAGGGCAAATGTGGTGCAGCTCGAGGCCGGATGGGACTTTACTGCTGTTCTCGTCGAGAAGCAGCCTAGCGGAGATGCTGAGCGGGCAGACACTGCTTCAAATACCAGCCCGCAATCCCACATCATCTACTGGCACACAGACTGGGTCTCCACCACCGGCGATCCGCCGACAACGCATTCCCAGGGTGCGCACGGCTCACCTTCATCAAGTGACTCCGAATTTTCAATGAGCAGATGGCGCGATGTTCATCGTGTTCTACTTCCCGCTCTTCCTACCCCGCCAGAGGAAGTTGCAGAAGAGATGGACATCGACTCCACCGAGCAGGCAGCAGAGGCAACAGCTACACGTGCGCCGCAGCATCAACGCATAGCACAGGTAGCTGCAGGCGAAGATTACGTGCTTGCGCTCACTTCTCACGGGCTAGTCTATAAGCTCGACGTTTCACCCGTCGCACAAGGGCAAGTAGGCGTAGACCTACACAACAATGACGAGCTGGCCCGCACGCGAGCGGCGAATGCACTAAGGCGGGCCTTCGATGAGGCAGAGAGGGAATGGCAGCTCATGGAACACTTTTGCGTGCCATCACGAATCGCAGCGCTCGCAGCTTTCAGCTCAGGGGATGGGAGGCTGGCTGGGCTGGTGAGAGATAGAGAGAAGTTGAGGATCAAACATATCAGTGCCCAATTCCGTACCTGGGCTGCCTATTCTACCTCTTCCACTCCTCAGGACGATGAAGCTTCCAACGACGATCACGGCGGTATAGTTCTCCTGGGCAAAGGAGACTCCATCTCCTCTACTGGTCCTTCCGTGAAACCTGAGCTACAAGGTATCGGCGTGATCAAGATCTCCGTAGGGGACTGGCATTACGGCGCGCTGACCACTTCGGGGAAGGTGTTGACGTGGGGCCAATGGAGTCAGGGAGCGCTGGGCATTTGGGATAGTTTGCCGGTCGCACCTCCGCAGCCAGAGAGGCGCAGGCCGCCACAGAGGATCGGGAGCATGGTACCCCTGCTGGGTGGGAGACATTTCAGAGTTGGTCTGGCTGGGGCGCGTGTAGGAGGGCCGCAGGGAGGTGGACAGCCGCAGGGGCAGGACGGAGGCGATTCGTCCAGTTCCTCCAATGATAGGCTGGCACTGCGCGTTATACCTCATCAAGGGGTGGAGCGACCCACGCAGGTGCGCTTTGATGGAGATGAAGAGAAGGTGAAAAGGACTTTCGTGTTTGATATCGCCTTCGCTGGTGAGTCGGCGCGTCATCAAGGGCCCTCTCATTGAGCAGTGCGGTGCTGACCGGACTTCTAACGTGCCTCGTTCAATCCTCAGGTTGGCACTCAGCGGCCATCGCCGTTGATTCGCGCCTTTTGCGAGGCGGCCGAGCTGACGAGTGCAAGGGAGAAGCAGACCAAGACGGCGAGAGATTGGAGGAGGTACGTTGAGGCTGGGTAGGTGTTGCCCTTGACGAGTCTTCAGAAACGAGTGTCGCCGAACTGACCACCATATGCGCACGCATCAGGATGACGGGCACGGCCAGCAGGATGATGCGACACTCCACAGTGGCTTGCGTCCCTCGGCATCTCCCAACTTCCCTGTGGCGCCACTCCTCTCGCCCTTGCCTCCTCAGCAGGGTCGATCAGTCACCTCGTCCGCCTCCACCATCCCAGCTGTCCCGCTCTCCTCGAGCTTAGGCACCGCGCCCGCAACACTGCCCAACGCTGAACGACGAGCAAGGTCGGCAGATGCACCCGCGAGTGACCCGGAGCAGCAGGCCTCCCTGATCTACACCCTCTCCCTTCTCTTTCTCCTTTTCGGATTGGGGATCGTCCTCCTCCCACCAGCCGGGTCAGCTTGGCTGAGTGACGACAACGACGGCATGGACGGCAGCATGGGGGAGACGGTGGTGATGTGGCTCACCCGGCTTGGCTTTTGTGGTTTGTTGCTTGTACCCGTCTATCTGTACGCGACGATCGCCAGGTGGGTAGGGGAGAGTACGGGCCGCGGTTAGGGTAGTGTATATATAGTCATAAAGTAACGAGCAATGTCGCGATGCATGATGGTGGGTGGTATTGCTATTGAAACGAAAGGAAGCTCAAATTGAGCGCCAGATTGATGATCCTTCTCCTCTCTTCTCCCTCTCCCTTTCAATGATCCCCTCCTTCCTCCTTCTCATGAGGTCGCCATTTGGTCTCACTCCTCCTTCGGTCACTTCTTCGAGACGAAGAGATTTTCGCCGCTGAGCAAGACGGCGTTGCTAGGTAGCGATGGTGGTGTCAATTGTGCTGTCCTGAGATGGTGTCGAAGTTGGGGTGCTAGATGAGATAGACATATGCGAGTCTCGTTGTGGCTTAGCCCATCGTCTTCCTTCTCATGGCGACCGATCGCTTTACCGTGGCAGAGCTGGTTAACTTGCCTTTCCCCTTGATGCCGGCAGCATCGCCGGCGGTCGAAGAAGTTGCAGCAGCCGGTTCATCACGTCGCAACCCCTCCTCCTTCCTCCCGTCCATCTCATCAAGCTCCTCAATTGCGCCGACCTTTCTTCCCCTGCCCGCGAGCGGCGGCTCTGACTCTATGCCCTGGAGAACCCTCTTCTCTATGATCTCTGCGCGTCGCTGCAATGCCCCTGGAGTCGGACTGGCTTCCTCCCTCTTCGTCCTCGCATAGTAGCTTCGCTCCGGCAGGAGAACTGGGGTGCGAAGCTTGTAGGGGGCGGTGCTTGGGAAGGAGGGGAGAGAAGCGCGACCGCGGATGGCTGCTTGGATCGATGGCCTTCCCGTCTTGCTAGCACCGGCTGCGACGCCCTGTGCGTGAGCCCGTAATTTGGGCCTGGGTGGACGATTGCAAAAGAAGGCGCTTAGTTCCTCGTCGGACGTGCTGGGCTCTTCGTCTACTTGACGGCCTACTAGGGCCGGCGCGCTTGCTCGGCCTCGACGACGAAGGACCACCATACGTGAGCCGCATGCACCGCTGCTGTGTCCGCTACTGCTGCCCGCTGCTGCTGAGCTTGAGGCTCTCCTTGAGGTCTTGCTGCTGCCAGATTGGCTGCTGACTGCCTTCGAGCTTCCTGCCTCGCTGCCGCGGCTGTCTCCCCCTCTAGACCTCGATGACGCCTTGCGCTTGAGGAGACGCTTAGCTAGCGGTTCCTCCTTCTCTGACGGCTGCTGCTGTGGCGGCTCTTGCGGTGGAAGTGCCCTTGATGCTCGACTGCGAGTGACTGGTCTGTTGCTCACAGCGACCTCTGCTTTCTTGGACCCCGCGTCATTATCATCGTCCTCGTACACCAGCAATCTTCCGTCCCTCAAGAGCATTCCAGTCTGCCTGTCTGCTCCTCCGCAGCCACTTTGAGCGTGGGCGATGCTCCTGCCTGGGTGATCAGCCGGAGGGGCTGGACGTGATGTGCTCGCCGTGACGAGCGCATGCAGCGTGGAGGGAGATGGCGGTGGCGTGAGGCGGCGCGACTCTGAAGGCGAGGCTGAGGCTGATGGGACTGACGACAGAGAGGACGTAGCGGAGGATGCAGATGAAGCTCTCGACCCAGCCTTGCATTGAGGATGTGCGGAGGTTGATGCTGATACGCTACGTGAGTTCGTGGTGGCTGAACTCGACGCCCGCCGGGACGCCTGCTCGCTGAGCATTGTGGGCGATCTCTTGGGCGCTCTCCTTTGCCTCTTCGCTGGCACGACGAGAGCTGAAGTCGAGGCCAGGCTGTCTTCGACGATGCCGTCCGCATCCGCACTCAGTCCGGATGGTCTCTGCTTCAGAAGACCATTGAAGCGCGTGCCAGGCTGGGAGCTAGGGGGCGCCTGTTCACCTTCAAGCTCAACGCCAGCGATCTTCTTGTCATCGAACTGCTGCTGGCCTTCGAATGGGCTAGAAGGCGGCGTGGGCTCTTGCTCCTGAGTGCGGCCGCCCTTGTCGTGGCCATCGTCATCGAACATGCTGAGCGACGAGGCAGTTGAAGGAAGTGACAGGCAGGACGATGCGGACGAAGAGCGGGATCTCGACGTCTTTGATGGTCCTGCTCCATCGAAAGTGCCCATATCGAGTTGTTGAGCCTCAGTGTTGGCGGTGATGGCGAGTGAGTGGGAGGCAGAGGGAGAAGGAGAAGAGAGAGGGCTGACTGAGCTAGCGCCGTTCCATCCCTGATTTATGGCGAAGGACGAGGGGCCAAGACTGCGGAAGCGCTTGACGCTGGGACCAATAGAAGAGCCGTATACTCTCTTGATCTGACTGAGCGTAGGTGCGATGGAGAGGGGCCAGTATCAGCTATGGGCATCCTCAGTTGGACGCGCTGAGCAGAAATGACGCTCACCCGGACGAGGACGATGAAGCTAGCGGCTGTCGTGAGCGCGTCGCTTTAGCTACCATGACTCGACGCTGTCGCCGAGACTGCGGCAGCGAGTAGTGGCGGATGCTCGATCAGACAGAGCTACGATGACGAGTCAGAAAGGCGAGAAGTGAAGCTGACAAGAAGTCCGTCAGCCATGAGGGAGCTGCCTCAATGCCACTCGCGAGTTGAATGACCGCTGCCAGTCCGCTCGTGTGGCCCGCGTCGAGCTGCAAAAGGGCGACGCGTTTGGGCCTGAGACGAGCGGAAAGAGCACTTTGCTCCCCTGGTTATCCATTCATCCGCGATCAAGCCGCCGATGAGCCCTTGACAGGCGGCCGGCATCTCGAGGGCTAATCAGCAGGCAAGGGGATTCCCATCTCCTCCTTTCCCACCCATCACTTGCCCTGAGTAGCATCGACAGCCCCGCTCCGCCCTCTCCAGCCCATCCGGCATGGGCTGCTCAATCTGCCTCGATGCCTACGGCGATGACGACGATGTACGACCCGTCTGCCTCCCCTGCGGGCACGTCTTCCACGGCAACTGCATTACGCAATGGCTTCAAGACGGGCCCGGTTCCAGCAGTCACGCAAGACGAGGCTGCCCAAAATGCAAGGCCAAAGCCAAGAAGGACGACATCACGCGCCTTTGGCCAGACGATGTCCATGATCTCGATCGACTCCTCGCTGAGCGCAACGACCCTGACTCGCAATGGGCTGCCTCACTGGCTCATCTGACGCCGGATGAGGCAAAACAGCTCCTTGATGACCTCGTCGACTTCCAGTGTGCCGCTCAGCAATACGTACAGGGCGTACTCGGCGTCAACGCCGTATCTACGAGGGCAGCGGGGAAGAGGGTCTTCAAGCTGATACAGGACAAGACGAACAATCCTGCTGTGCATCAGAATCTACAGGTGAGCAGCAATGCGTGGAGCACTCAACTCTCTTGGCTGACCGCCCTTACCCTTTCTGCCCGCTCAGACTATGCTCACCAAACTCGAATCCTCTATCCTGACCTTCGACTACCAACTCTCCCGCGCGTCCAAAGAATCTGCGGTTCTCAGCAAGGGCAAAGAGCAAGTTGATCAAAAGCTCGCCCACGTTCGCAAAAGGCGCGATGAGGTACAAGCTCTGGAGAAGGCTGTGCAAGCAAAGGAGGCCGCAGTCGCCAAGTCGACCCAGACGCTTCAAGAGGCACGCGCAGCCTTCCATAAGCAGACGGCAGGGTGGGAAGCTCATGTCAATGCTGCAAGGAAAGAGGTGGAGAAGTCCAAGATGGAAGCACAGCAGGCTGCTGCAGATGCTGCTCGTGCGCGTGTCGAAGCAAAGCAGTGGGTTGCCGCCAGGCAGGTCGAGTTCGAGGAGCTTCAGTCCAAGATCGATGAGCGAATTGCCGCTGCAGAGGCTAGGAGAGACGATGCGGAGAGGGAGAGAGATGCGCATCGCACAAAGGAGAATGAGATGGCTGCGCAGATGAAGGTCATGCAGGAGAAGATGGAGAAGTGGAAGGGCTTCGTGGCGAGTGAGAAGCAGAAGCGGGCGGATGAGAGGAAGAGGTTTGAAGGTGAGCGGGCCAAACTGGAGAAGCAGCTCAAGCAGGCCAAAGCGGCTGCAGCGGTGGCAGCGCCGACTTTGATGGGCAGCAGCAGCATCAACAACAACACAGTGGCACCTTCACCCTCATCTACGGCGCACAGGAGGGGCAGTGCAGCCTCTCTCTCCCCTACATCGATGCCTTCGCCATTCATCAAACGCTCGCGGGCGGTCGCTGGCTCGCCTACACATGAACACCACAGCGCCAATGCCCACGCCTTCGACAATGACGAAGAAACATCCCCTCGACTGGTCTTCCTTGACTCGACGCAGCGTAGCAACCGCGAATCAGCCCCTGCAGCACCTGACGCACAGTCGTCGAGCAAGCCTCGCAACCCGTCAGGACGATATCGCCACCGCAACAGTAGCAGCGAAGAGGAAGACGACGACTTCGATGCGCCCATGCCCGGATTGCGTTTCGCTCACGCTCATCGACAGCACAAGGTTGAGCCAGAAGGTGGCTCGCCTCGTCGCAGTCGCCGAAGTGAGAAGAGTGTGAGCAGCAACGTGCCTTTCGGGCGAGTGGGTGGGGCGACGGCCCCAACCTCAGCATCAGCAGCTTTAGCAGCATCAGCATCGGCATCGCAAGTCCATTGCACGAAGATTGCCCCTCTCACCGCGAATCTCGCCACTGCTGGCGTCGCCGTATCTCCTCAGCCTTCATCAGCATCAGCAGCAAGACCGAATTCTAGAGGCCCGTACTGCAAATGTCACGACTGCCGTGCAGAACGTCATCGTGATGACGAGCAGCAGCTGCAACACCGCCAAGAGGAAGCAAAACGCGCGCAGACCCTGCCACTGGCTCAGCTTCTGGGAGGCAAGGGGGCGGCGGTTGTTACGGGACCGAAGCATAGGCTGAGGGCTTGATGCGTCGGAGCTGGCCTTTCGCCATCCACGCTCAAGCCGCAAGCCCTCGTTTCCTCCATCTGCTCTCTCTTCCCACCCACACCCTTTCGAAACACGTCGTGGCACTTTGTAGAGCATTCACTCATACCTTGACGTTCATTGAGCGCTTCTCCCATGCAATCCAACCAAGTCCATTCGAATGCGATCCTGAGACCCGCAGCAGCGACTCTCTGTGTAGTTTAATATGACCTTTGAATTCCCAGCGGCAGACTGACCATGGCGGGCCGATCGACAAGAGAAGGCTGAGGCAGGGCGAGGCTAGCCAGCGCTCCCTTGACTGTATCTTTCCCGCAAGGCCACCACTGCTCAATTCATCCCATCCTTTACTCCTTGTTAGCCTGCTGGCTAGCCTGCAGCTTAGCATAGAAGTCGTCTCTGCGCTGAGTCGACGGGAGGTGGTAGCCGTACCTATTGGGCGAGGATCAAAGGGGCGTCGTCCAGCGTCAGCGAAACCTTGATGCAAAGCTGGTTTGAAAGTAGAGCTCGTGCTCACCAGAAAGCGTAACCGCAAGCAGTTCCACCGCCGAGGGCGACAGAGAGGTCGAGAATGAGCCTCTTGCGCATCTTTCCCGTGATGGGGGCGACTGCTCCGACGGGCATGTTGAAGGTCTAGTGAAGGTGTGTTTGCGCGGGTCCGTAGGAAGGAAGCAGGATTTCTGCGCGGGGTAGAGAGGTCGAAGGGGGGACTCGTTCGTGTTAGTAGAAGCAAGGCATGGCGTACTCTGATGCTCTGATGCGTGACGACACTCACGTCGCTGATGATACGACAGAAGGGGCGAGGTGGTAGTGATGGTGAGCAATCAAAGCGTCGGTGCTCATTGTTCCCCTCGTTCGCGCCTCGGGGAGGTCGGACTCGCTGATCGCCTCCGTCGACTCCCGTTCCGAGTCGAGCGGCGAGTCGAGTCGAGTCGAGTCTCACCCAGCCAGCCACATTGACGGACTCTCGGCGGGGCCAGTCGATGGGCCGGCGTCGACGTGCCGCCGCTCATCTGGAGGCGGAGACACTCTCACGTCACTCTCACCGCCTCACGACGCCTCGACCACGATCATCACCTTCCACTTTCCACTTCAGGGGTACCACCAACATCTCAAATCGCACGCATTGTATCAACACAAAACCACAGCCTTCACCTCGCAACGCATACAACCTGTTCATACGACGTCGCCGCCATCATCGCAGCCTAACCCGCGTCACTCGCAGGGTCCAAGTCAAGTGGAGCATCCTAATCGCAACAGCATTGTAATCGCACCACTATGGCTTACGTCCAGCTAGCAAAAGCCCTTTACGACTACGAGGCGCAAGCAGAGGATGAGCTCACCCTCAAAGAAGACGATGTTCTCTACATCCTCGAGGCGGACGATCCAGAATGGTACAAGGCCAAGCTGAAGAGTGAAGGAGGCGCTGATGAGCAAGAGGGGCCCGTGGGACTCGTGCCTGCCAACTATGTAGAGGAAGCAGAACCTATGCGATTGAGCAGGGCGCTGTATGACTACGCGGCACAGAATGACGATGAGCTGGATATTGCCGAGGATGAGCTGCTCAGGGTCTACGAGACAGATGGGCTGTGGTTGCTCGTCAAGAAGCAGGGGGATGATGCGCTGGGGGAAGGCGGTGTAGGCAGGCTAGGCTACGTGCCCGCAAACTATGTCGACGAGGTAGCAGCAGTAGACACAGGCGATGCGCCAGAAGTCGAGGAGGAGCCCTCCTACTCGTCAGCACCAGCACCTGGCGCTGCCGCCATCCCAATGGCCCCGCGCAACACGTCCACCGCAACGCCCGCAATCGACAAGACGGACGGCATCAAAATGTGGGCAGTCTCACTCCTCGATGCTAAGAAAAAGAAGAAAAAGGGGACCCTTGGCATAGGCAATGCCGCTCTTTTCTTTGCCTCCGAGTCTGACAAGACGCCCGTTCAGAAGATCCCCGTTCTCTCCATTACGGCGCACGCCATCGAGAACAAGGGCAAGCAGCTCCACGTCGACTTGGACGCCAGTGCAGGCATCGAAGGGAATGCGATGAACTTTGTGACGGACAAGAAGGAGGCGGACGAGATCGCTGCCAAGCTGGATGAGAGTAAGGAGAAGGCGGAGAGGATGTTGGCGATTGCGCAGGAAGCGCCTGAAGAGGCAGAAGAGGCTCCTGCAGCAGAGGAAGAGGAGGCTGCTGCTCCACCTCGCTCGACTCCAGCGCCACCGGCTGCACCCGCCGCACCACCTGCCCCACCAGCACCGCCTGCTGCTCCAGCATTCCAGCCGCCTCCAGCTCGAAGCACCGCCATCCTTCCTCCGCCAGTACGCAAAACAGCAACCAGCCCCGCCCCTCCTACTGCTACTGAGGATTCGGCGGCTGCTACCAATGGTCATCCTGCAGCCCCAAATGGCGACGGCGAACCTGCAATCGCGCTCTATGACTTCGAAGCGCAAGGCGACGATGAGCTCACCGTTGCGGAGAATGAGAGCCTTACCCTCGTGGAGCGAGAGAATGACGACTGGTGGAAAGTGCGCAACGCCTCTGGCCAGGAGGGTGTGGTACCGGCAAGCTACATCGAGGTCGCAGAGGCTGGTGCCACCACGGATGGGGCAGCTGGAGGCGCAGCGGCGAGCGAAGATGTTGAAGCGGAACGTCGTCGTCAGGAGGAGGCTGAAGCTCTCGCCGCCGAACGAGAGCGCGAGCAGCTCCTCGCTGCAGAGCAACGTCGCAAGGAGGCTCGGGACAGGCTTGCCCGCGAAGCAGAAGAACGGCGACGTCGCGAAGCGCTCAAGGCTCAGCCTGCGCCAGCCCCACCCAAGGTTGCCCCTGCCACCACCTCAGCAGAGAATGCTCGCGCCGCACGGGACGTCAAGATTCCCGAAGGACGCTCTGCCCCCGCAAGGCCGAAGGAGGCTGGCAGCAAATCCAAGCCTGCCCCGGGTCGCACGAGGGTATGGCATGATCGCTCTGGTCAATTCCGAGTTGAGGCCGAGTTTCTTGGCTTCAATCAAGGAAAGCTGCGATTGCACAAGATCAACGGCGTAGTCATCGAGGTGGCGATCGAGAAGATGTCTCGCCCGGACATTCAGTACCTGGAAGAAGTCACCGGCAAGCAATTGATCCCTTCCAGCCGTCGCAGCGGCGGCCCTTCCAGCTCAACAGCAGTAGGAGCTCCCCTCTCCACCCCCGTAGGCGGAGATCCGCGCCAATCAGAGCGAGAGCGAGAGCGTCGCAAAGAGAAAGAGCGCGAGGCCCGCCGCAGGGCCGAGGCTGGCCGCGGGCCGAAGAGGAACATCGACTGGTTCGAGTTCTTCCTTGCTGCCGGTGTGGACGTGCATGATTGCACTCGCTATGCTGCTGCGTTTGAACGAGACAACATCGACGATACGGTGCTGGAGCACATGGATGCGAGCATCCTACGCAGCCTAGGGTTGCGAGAGGGTGACAACATTCGGGTCATGAAGCACATTGAGCGCAAGTACGGTGCAAGACGCGCTGCTGCCGGTGGAAAGTCAGGGGGTGGAGCAGCGGACATTGACAAACAGATGAAGGCGGATGAAGAGCTGGCGAGAAAGTTGCAGGAGCAAGAGAGGGCTGCACGACGCGACGCTGAAGGGTCGAGTTCGCAGAGCCTCTTCTCTGGGCCTGACGGATCGCTCAAGAACAACACGAGGCGAGGTCGACCAACGCCCAAATCTACTACCGATACCTCCGTCGACGCAGCCTCCATTGCAAAGGCCGGCGAGAGCCTCTCGCGCGTGTCGAGTCCGCCTTCAAGGACCAGCACAACTAGTCCGCAGGTGGAGCGCAAGAGCGCCAAAGCGGCGGCACCGGCAAGCAGCGGATTCGATGATGACGCCTGGACACCAAGGCCCAGTAGCGCCAAGCCGTCTACCCCTGCGCCTGCTCCCGCGCCAGCCGCCTCAGCGCCAACACCTCCTCCAGCTCCCCCCGCCCCAGCCAAAGCTCCAACACCCCCACCCGCACCCGCTGCGCCTGCCGCCCCTGTAGAGCCAGCCAAGCCAGCCGCGGACCCCAATTCAGCTCTCTTCGACAAGCTAGCAGCAATGAAGGCTCCCTCAGCTGGAGTGGATCGCCCAGGCGCCAGTCCGGCAGGGCAGTCTTCCTTCATGTACAATGGCCCGCGAGGACCTATGGCTCCGGTACCACAGAACCAGGGTCTCCTCCAACCCTTGGTCCCTACGCATGGGACAGGGCAGTACGTGCCTACGAGAGGCGGCATGGGCATGCAAGCTACAGGTATGGGGATGCAGCAGACTGGGATGGGGATGCAGCAGACGGGGTGGGGTGGGATGCAGCAGCAGCCGACTGGGTATGGAGGCTACGGTCAGCAGCAGCCTACCGGGTATGGTGGTGGTATGCAATCACAGCCTACTGGATGGATGGGCCAGCAGCAGACGGCTATGCAGGGCACGAACGTCTCTGGTTTCGGCGCTGGTAGTGGTATGGGCTCTCCCCAGCCTCCCGCTCAGCAGCAGCAGCAGCCACAGCAGACAGGACAGAGCACCACTTCCAACGGCAGCTCTAACGCCACAGCAAATGGCGGAGACAAGTACGGCGCTGGCAGTATCTTCGCCTCCATGAAGAGCGGCACGTTCGCGCAGGGCGACAATGCTAAAGCGCAGCAGCCTCAGCAGGCTCAACGCTATGATGCGCTGCGACCTCAGCCTACGGGATGGAGTCCGGCGGGAGTGCAGCAGCCCCAGGCTACAGGGATGGGCATGGGCGGCTACGGTGGTGGAATGGGACAGCAGATGACTGGCATGGGCGGGTACGGCATGGGCATGGGGATGCAGCCTCAGTATACTGCTCAGCCTGGTATGGGTGGCTTCGGGCAGCAGCAGACGGGACAGCCGTATGGCCAACAGCAGGGCTATGGAGGTGGGTACGGAGGCTATCAGGGGTATTGAAGGGATTGACGAGGGTAACGATGCTGATGATGATGATCACGATGGAAATGAACGAATTCAAGGCGGAGCTTGGGCTCCACGCATTCGGTGTAATGCGCGATCTCTTCCTCTTACACTTCACTTCAATTTTACGCGTTTCCCTGACTTCACGATCTGGTTAGACTGGCGCTCGCTCCCTCGCTCGCTCAGTCGAGCCACGGTCTAATCTGAACCTTCTTCCCTTTCTCTGGTTCCCACTCGCTCGACTCACGGCGTTTCACGCCGGTACCTGCGACGGCGCCCCCGGCGGGGGCCACCCGTTCCTGCGTGATGGCGCAGCCAAGAAGTTGCTACTCTATCACGAGGTCTTGGTCACGAAAGCTGCTCGCCCGTATCGATTGGCGCTTTGTTTGCTGGCCAAGCGCGCTTAGTGAGCTAGTGCGCTAGCTGTGGGCTGTGAGGCGATTATCTGGAAGAGGACAACGGGAGACCCTTTCAGTGCCGCGGCGCCCTCGACGGAGGGCAGCTGCTCCCCGCCTGCCGCCTGGGATTGGTGAGCAACCTAGGCTGGGTGTCGAGCAGAAGAAGGATTAGCATCATCCCTGTATCACATGATCATCGTCGCAGCGCAACGCGGTCGTCGTGACTTCTTCTCAAGAGTCTGTGGTGGCGAGGGCCTAGTCCTGGCCGAATGAGTGAAGCAAAAAAGGCGCGGCACGTCTAGCCTGCCAGGTGTGCTGCTAATTCCGCGCTCAAGCTCTTCGTCCGTCGTCACACTGACACTGCAATCGAGCTTGACGGGTGGTGGTGCGACGATTGACGGGCACGCTTTGTTTGTTGCCTCGAGCTCAGCACGAGAGACGGTGAATCATTAGTGTTTAGAAGAGAGAAGGGTTTTGCACCAGTTCCTACCAAGCTCAAGGTCCCTCATTTGTCGACGATTCATTCCTCTGTCCGTTTCGTTGCGTGTTGCCGTATTGCCGTCTTGCCGCTGCCGCTGGCTGCCGCCTGCCTTGGGCGCGACCAAAATGGAGGCCCCCCCTTGCTCGTCCTTGTAGCGCTGTTCCTGGCGTCGATCTCTGTCCATCAAGATGCACAGCGCCCAGCCGCCCAGCCGTGCTAGCGTGCTTGCGCTGAATCTTGGGAGCCGTTGCCCCGCCCCGCGGTCTATCGGTCAGTCGTAGCGCAGCCAATGTCGTGTCGAGACTGTGGTACCGAGGTGGTGGTGAGTGTTCTCCTACCTCCTTCCTCGGCCGCCTCCCGGCTGTTCGTTGCTCGCTACTCTCGCTCTTCTGCCCCTCCTCTGGTTCTAGTGGCCGGACGAGCCCCCTTGCTGCGTGAGAGGGAGAGAGCGAGATGACACCTTGCGTCGCTCCCCTGCTGAGTACTCGCTGTCTGACATTAGCCGTCAGTCATGGCTGACGACGTCGACCAATACATGACATTGACTTTGTGTGCGCGCGCGCGCTCGAGCGAGCAAGCAACTTTGCTTCCACTTGGTCATGGTAGCCGTCCTCGCCGCGGTCGGTGGGTTGACTCTTTCAACGGCTTCTTCTCCTTTGCTCGTTGCTATTCCTACCTTGCTCAGGGCAGCCACTAGCTGCTGCGCTGCGCCCTCTCAACGCCCAACCTTATGACTAGCTTCGACCTGCCATCGCCTCCGCTGCGTCGTGTCTGAGCGCCGCCCTACCACTCTGTCAATCTGCTCCGCCTCTGTCTCCGTTCTGATCCGCGAGTGAGCGAGGTGCCTTTTGGCCCTTGACCTTGTGATGTGTGTGTGTGATGGGCGGGTTGCTGCCTTTTCGCGCTCCGACGCGCTGCCCGCCCTGAGTTGAGACGCGGAGAGAGCAGCAGCAGCAGCAGCAGCAGCAGCTAGAGTAGACCACAGGAGCAGCAAATCGAGTCTGTCGAGTTGAGAAGCAGGCCAAGCAAGATCCACAGCCAAGCAACTGCCAACCAACCTCGTCAAAAGAGGAGCACACGGCAAAGGCGGCGACGAGGACGAGAGGCAGGCAAAATTGCCGTCTGGCTGCTTCTCATCTCCCTATCACCATCTCCTCTTCCTCCTCCCCCCTCCTCCTCACGAGACATAGCAGCGGCGACCAGCGACGACGGCTACTGCCCTGCCTACGACACAAAGTAGACTCGACCACGGACCGACGGCGAGAGAAGCAATACCGCTCGGGCCTCTGGCAGGAAGCGAAGGCCGCGCCTATTGATACACTCCCTGTATCTCGCCTTGGCATACACGACGTCTCTGGCTCCGTCCGTCGACGTCCTCCTCGCCATCATCCCCGTCGAGCAACTTCTCGTCCATTGATACCGAGGCGACGAGCAGCTCTCTTGCGCTGCCGACAAAGTCTCTCGTCACGAGCTCCCTACCCGCCGCTCGCCTGTTCCAGGCACCGGCCTACGGTCCGTCGTCCGCCCTTGTCTTCAGGCACGATAGAGGTTCGGCTGGCTGGCCATCCATTCACCCGTGATCACCAACGTTGAGCGCCCTCGACGCCCTCACAATCCACATCGGACCGCCTTCGCGTCTCCGTCGCCGCCGCCGTCGCTGGCTGATCCGCCGCGACTTGCACCACCACGTCGACGTCGATCAACTCCTCCCTCCTCATCTTGACATTCGCAGCCTCGCACCTTCGCTTTCCTCTACCCGGCCGCGCCATCATCATCTGCGACTGCCGCGCCTGCCCGCTGAGCTAAGGAGTCCGCCTATCTCCCTCGCCATCCTCGTGCAATAACCGCCCGATCCTTTCACTTCGTCCTTAGCCCGTGCTGGCCCAAGGTCCCTGGCTTACTTGCCGCTCCCGCTTCCTCTTCCTCGTCGGCCGGTGCCGCACCTCTGCTGTTCTGCCACGTCGTCGGCCATTGATCCATGGCCATGGATCACCATGATCGCGCTGGCGGCCCCATGGCGTTGTCCAATAGTGCGAGGCCATCGATGGACCATCACCACCACCACCACTCCTCACTAGCTACTCCTCAACAGCCTCATTATCATCACCACCCGCAGCACCACCCGCAGGTCCCTTACGACTACGCAGCCGGCAGTGGGAGTGCGAGCGCCAGTGGCAGCGGTAGCAACAGCCCTAGCAGCACTCTCGTCCGCTCCCAGCAGGCGTCGCAAGATTCGGGCATGTCTAGGCGATCAGCTGACATGCTAGCCAGACAACAGGCAGAAGTGGGCTCTTCATCCTCGCATTGGCAGCAAAGCGTTCCCTCAGATTCATCAACTGGCGGCCCAAGCGCGTCGTCGTCCATGCATCGCATATCCGCAGTCGACTACGGTCGAGTGCCCGTGCCCAATGGTCAAGGTGGGGCTGGAATCAACTACTCGCATCCAGCCATGCAGCAACAGCTGCAGCAACAGCAGATCCAGCAATACTACGCAGCTCAGCAGCCGTCGGGGATACCCTCCGCCAGCCCTTCGATGATGACGGTTCCGCACGTTCGACCGCCGCTGAGATCAAGGACGTTCGGGTTGGGCCGCAACCTGCGCCCACAAGAGGACCTCGTCGATCCAGCCTTTTTCCCCGGCGGTATCGTGCCCGCAGAGGCGGTTACGCTCCTGGGTACGGGCGTCGATCCAAAGACGAAGCAGTGGCCTAACTTCAGCGTCGAGCTCAAGGCTCCCACTTTTGACGAGAGAGGATACCCCGTGTACTCCGGGAGAGCAGCGGGCATCAAGGGCGAAATTAGAATGAGGCGATCGGATGTGGCTGATGTGGTCATCAAGGTGCGTTGCTACTTGACCAGGTAGAGGAGTAGTATACTAGTGAGCATCTCAGACTGACATTTCCACTGCTTTACGTCGCGCTCGCACAGATCTCTGCTCACACCACGAGCGGTTCTGCAGCAGCCGTCTGGGACGGTGTGGCTTTGCAGCCTCCAGAGAGCGGAACAGAGCGAGCAGTGTTCCAGACTGTAGAGAAGGTGGCATTCGAAGAGGGGAGAGTCGAGGCGCCGACACCTGGTTTACAGCCGATGGAGGAAGCTGACAGCGGGGATGCGGTCCACATGATTCCATTTACGCTCAATCTGCCAGTCGGAGGTAACACGCGCATGGTCGATGGCAACGTGGAGACGGTCGCTGTGGCCCTCCCGCCGTCATTCGAGATGTCCTCAGAACAGGACGCCAGAGAAAAGGCAGTGCTGCGGAATACTGCAAGCGCGGGCACAGGCTCGAGTGGTCGAGGCAGCGGTGATGGACAAGGCAGCGGAGGAGGTGTACCGCCAGGTAGCGGGGCAGCCAGTATCAAGACGAGCAGGACAAAGATGACCGCTCTCACGCTGAGAGATGCCGTGGAAAGTGGCCTGCAGCAGGTGTATCGCATCGGCTGCTTCTACCGCATCACCTTCACTCTGGTCAGGCGCAAGACGTCGGGAGACCGCAGTCGCAAGTCGTCAGGGTCCTTCTTCAGTAAGGGAAAGAAGAGTGCAAAGGCCACGTCTCCCTCAGGGTCAGCAGGATCAACAGCCACAGCGGGCAAGCAGGGCAAAGGCTCAGATACCATCTCGATCCCCTTCGTCTTCCTCGGCGAGCCGACACAGCTGCCGCCCCCACCGGCAAGCCTCCCGCCATTGCGGCTCAGTATCCTATCCACGCCGAGCGTGCCATTGGCTCGCGGCTGGGAGTCTGAGGTGGTGACGGCCAAGTGGTCCGGCATGCTACTCAAGGCACTCAAGCGCAACGTGGAGCTCGAGCTCTTCTTCCCGGCGGGAAAGATCATTCAGGCGCCGAGCGTTATCCCCGTGCTGCTAGTCATCCGGCCCGAAGATCCCGAGCTGCTTCCGCAACCCTTTTCGGCAGCTTCGCCCGTGCTGGGCTCTCCAAGTCGGTCGCATCCTGGCTCGCCGAGACTCAGCAGTGCCTTGTCACGAACGGACGATACCGCGGTCGGCAGTGATCAGCAGGTTCGATCGCCACCGTATCTGCAGCAGCGAACGGCCAGCGGCAACCATGTCCCGACGAAGAGCTCCCTGGCGCAAGTCTCTCGGGCGAGTGAGGATGACGAAGAGCAAGAACAGCTCGACGACGGAGATGACATCGGTGCTAGTCCAACGCAAAGCAACGCTGGCGTCTCGCCCTCAACGTCGAACCAGGGGAACTCTCTGTCGCGGCTCATTCGCTCCTCCCTCTCGATCACGCGGCCGAACAATGCCAATGACTCAGCGACCTCGTCGGGAACAGGGGCAGCGGCAGGACGACCAAGCATGGACTCAGCTGGCGGAGCTCCTTCCTCGCCGCAAATGTCATCGTCGCAGCAGAAGCCCTTGAAGAAGAAGTCATCCCGCCCCTCATTCGCCTTTGGTCGCAATCGACCCAGCACTGCTCCCTCGACGACGGGGAGTGATGAGTCGCGCACCGGCACAGAGACATCCTTCACCGTCCGCGGCGGCGGTGGTCCGGGCTCATCATCCGGGTCAAGCGGTTCCCCCGTCGACCTCCCCGCCCTCGTACGCGTGTCGTTGCTACAGAACGTCTTCTACTCGAGCAGCTCGGTCAACGAGACGCCAAAGAACAAGCGCCGCCTCGTCAGCGTGGCCGACTTGGAAGAGGTGGACTACGCGGCCATTGTGAGCGCGCGAGGTGGGGCGGTAGAGGGCACGGATGTTGCTTTGCAAGTAGAGGAGGCGAAGCGTAAGGGTGTGCGCGTGCTTCGTGGGCTGCTCAGGGTGGGAAGGGAGGCCACCCCGTCCTTTAGAGTGCAGGGCATTGAGCTCAAGTACGCGATCAAGGTCGACCTACTCCCTTTCAATCCAAGGACGAAGACGCGTGTCAACGCTACGCCTTCGAGCCCTCCGAGGACACCACCTGGTCGTCCGTCCATTCACGCCGCCTACGCGCAGCGTCCAGGTCAAGCGCACCAGACCAATCCCTCCCTCTCCTCCTCTTTCACCGCCTCAAACTCGCTACAATGGTCTCCATCCAAGCAGGGCGGGCAATCAGTGCATTACGACCCCAGCCTGCCTAGCGTCCCTTCTTCGACGCTCGGCGGCTTTGCTGGGGCGAGCGGCATCGCTGCTTCTGAGGCTGGATGGACAAAGAGGAGTCCCTCGGACCAGACGGTCATGGCGCCTGAGATGGCAAAGTTGAGCAAGACTGTCGGAGCTTTGTGGATCAATGTCAGGCTGGTGAAGGGGAGGGGCGCGATTTGAGCACGCGGCGCGATGCGGCCCCACGCCACGATACGATACATGAGCTTTTCGCGTAGGGACGCTGCTGTCATTGATTCAGTACTCCTCCTCCGCAGCTCCTTCTTCCTCTTTCTCGTCCTATTTCCATCCTTCCATTACGCCCGCCTCTTCTTTCTCCTCCTCCTTCTTGCTTTATCGAGCGCTTGAATCTTCTCTCTCCTGGGTCTCTTGGCCCCTTTCTATTATCCCTCTTACCCTTCTCCGTCGCTCGTCCGCTAATCGCCCATGTTAAGCCCATCTATTCATCTATCTAGCTTCTTCTCCTCCTCTTCTGTATCGCCTATGCTGCGATACTTTGAATCTTTGAAGAGAATGAAGACATTATCGCCTGCCTCGTTCTATGTCGCTGGTGTCGTGCGTGGGGAGTGGTCGTTGTGTGATGGCGAAGGATGCGGCGGCCCTCTGCTCACTGGAGCGCTCCTCACCTAACCCTACTCTCGTGATCGAGCTAGAGGAGTCGATTGTCCTCGTACGATACCATCTTTTGACGTCGAGCCAGCGACTCGCTTCCTCGAGATGACGGGCTGGCCCGACTGCCCGCCATGCCAATCAATGCGAGGAGGAGGACGCGATTCCATGTGTGAGAGAGGCTTGACAAGCGGGCGGGCGGGCGTTGATCTCCTGCATCTCGCCTCATGTCCGCCCGCGTGAGTGAGTGCGTGCGAGGCGGCGCAATCAACACATTAGAACTCGGGGAGAAAGCGCCAACTCTGCTTCTTTTCTTTCTCCACCACACTCACTCGCTGCTACCAGGCAGGGCTGAGAGCTGAGCAGAGCATGGTCGCGACCAACAGGGCCTCACAAGATGGCGAGGAGCAGGCCCGTCTTGGAAAGCAGCAACAGCGTCGTAGCGACGATACCATTCGCAGGGCTTCGCGAGACAGTGACAGCGATGTAGATGACGACGATGAGGATCTGGCTAAGCTGACTACCTCGACGCAAGACCTCAATGACGATGAGGAGGGGCAAGACGCACTCGATGATCGCAGGCAGTACGAGAATGGCGTCAATGCCTCAGCAGACGAGGACAAGACCATCTCCACCACCCCATCTCTACGTCGCACCCGCACCTCCCGCCGTTCCCAACCCTCCGCTCTCCACCGAATCTACTCCATCAGCAAAGAAGCTCTCCCGACACTTCTCCTCTCTCTTGTCTCCCTCATCTTCTCAGGCGAAGTCCTCGTCCATCTCTCCCGCTGGCCCGTATTCCTCAAAGTGGACAAGCTGTTCATCCTGATCCCTATCCTTCTCAACTTGAAGGGCAATCTGGAGATGAACTTGAGTTTGAGGATGAGCACGAGTGCGAATATTGGTGAACTGGACATCAGGAGGACGAGGAGGACGCTGGTTGGGGGAAATATGACGCTGTTGCAGGTGCAGGCCTTGATCGTGAGCGCTGGGGCCGGGGTGGTTGCATTCTTACTAGGGGTTGCAGCGGATCGCAAGGGGACTAATATCACCAGCATCACTCCGGCGACCGCGTCAGGGACAGTATCAGCGACATCAGCACTAGCAGCAGCAGCAGCTACAACTACCGCAGGGCCAGTACTCCAACCTCGCCGCATCATCCACCACCACCCTAAGCCCCCGAGCGATCCCACGATGCGGCTACGCAACGGCTACTTCGAGTTCGTCCTCGTCCTCGCAACTGGCATGCTCTCAGCATCTCTCTCCTCTGCCATCCTGGGAAACTTCATGTGCGCCCTAGTCGTCATTGCACGACTTTGCGGTGCCAACCCAGACAATATCGCCTCTCCTCTCGCTGCCAGCTTGGGGGACCTACTCACCCTCACGCTCGTAGGGCTCGTGGCGAGCAGCTTAGTCCGCTTCGAAGGCACAGGCCTAGCAACAGTCATCTTCGTCTGCCTCGTCGGGGCCTGTTTGGTCTGCTGGCTCGTCACACGACGCAACAGCTACGTCAAGGAGCTCCTCTCCTCGGGCTGGGTGCCCCTTATCCTGGCCATGTTCATCTCCTCTGGCGCTGGACTGGTGCTCGACTCGTTCGTGCAGGAGTACGAAGGCTTCGCACTTCTTGTGCCCGTGATCACGGGCTTGCCGGGAGCCTGTGCGGCCATCTTGGTTAGTAGGACTACGACGTGCTTGCACGCTGGGAAAGGGGAGGTCGCGCTTCGAGAGTCGAGTGGTGGGAGGCAGGGCAGTGGAGGATTCTTTTCACTTGACGCTCGCTCCTCAACATCACAACCGGGCTTCTGGGGCCGTGTCTATACGACGCTCATCACGCCCTGGCTTTCCCCTCCAAGCGAAGGTTACCTCATCCCCTTTACCCTCCTCGCCATCGGCCTAATAATCGAGGTCCTCTTCCTCGTTCTCACTTTCACCACGGGCCAGCTCACCTTCGGCTGGAGCTTCGCCCTCACCTTCTCCCTTTCCTCGCTCGGCGCTCTCGCCTTCTCCTTGGCACTGGCGCATGTCATGACCATGGAGCTCTGGAAGCGGGACTATGATCCTGACATCTACTGCCTGCCTTTCGTGTCCTCTATCGTCGACGTGGTGGGACAGGCTTTGCTCGTCATGGCGTACGCGACCGCGAAGGGATTGGCGGGAGATGTGGTCAAGGCGAAGGTGTGAGTAGACGAGGGGCAACTCGCAGGTCATCCGGCTCGAGCGGGTCAAAGCATATTTCGATCTTTCTTCATGTATTTCTAGTCAACACAATGTCATGACGCAGTCAACCACTTTTGTCGTCACCATCGTGTGTCACTGGCCTCGCCTTCTCCCTCGACCTCTCTCCCTATCTCCCTCGACCTCTTTCCCTATCCCTGCCCTAGCTATGGATGGTCTGGAAATTAAAGTGTCGTAGCGGTGGTAAGAGTAAAACAACAGATAGGACCATGGAAGCGTATCAAAGCTGGATTGTGAGCCGAACATGGGGTTGAATGCTGGGCCTGGCAGAGGTTGTGCGTGTATAGCCGGGCCCACCGGTAGACTATGATGGGTCGCTCACTTTACTTGTTACGCCTCTTCCCGTTGCCATTCGCATGCCCATTGCCGTTTGCAGCATGGCCATTTCCATTCTCCACCGCCGTGCTACTCGCCGCAGAGCTCTCCGGGGCAGCCCGGTCAGCCGCCTTCTTGGTGGCGGTCAGGACAGCGCTGTCTCGCCTCTTCTTGGTGAGCTGCTCGTTCTGCTGACGAAGGTAGCTGCGCACGAAGAAGCGAGCGAAGAGGACCACGAGTGGGACGAGGTAGGCGGTATTGAAGTGCAAGGCGAGGGAGGCTCCGCTGGACTCGAGGCATTGGTCGGAGTGACGGCCGACTTTGGCCGCTCGGGCCGTGGCCAGGGTGAGGAGCTCGGAGCCTGCGGCCCAGGAAGCATCGGAGGCAGAGGCAGAGCCGGTGGAGCTGCGGAAACCCAGCTTGACGAGACCAGCGGCGACGCGCGTGGGGTCGAGCTTGGTGATCCAGTAGAGGTTGGTGAGGACGACGCCGGAGGTGATTTGGGCGATCTGAAGCGTAGTGAGGTTGCGCTTGAGCGTGCGGGGGAAGGGCAGCTTCATCGTCGAGCAGAAGTAGTAACTGTATGAGGGGCAAGGCAAGGAAGGTCAATGACGCGGCCGAAGATGAACAAGTAGACGTCGTGCGGACACTCACGAGTACATGGCCGTGTGCACGCCCGAGTTGAAGGCTACAAAGACCCAGACCGCCTGGCTCTGGTACCTGTATGCGATCCACATAGCAAGGAGCGCACCAGCGTGGTGGTAGGACTGCAAGTTGGACACCTTTTTGCCCTTGAGCACCAAAATAATCGAGTCGACCACCTCGTAGTACTTTGAGATGTAGAACAACCACGCATACGGGGCAAGCGTGACCGTGTTGGTCGGCATAGAACAGAGCGAAAGCTTGACACCGTCCAGTCCCGCAGCGCGAGCGCCGACGTAGAAGAAGCGCATGACGACAGGAACGACGTGGTAGAAGGTCCAGCCGGAGTAGACGGCGAGGAAGGCATTGTGCGCCACAATGCCCCAGCGGAGCAGGGCTGCCAAGGGCGAGTTGGCCTTAGTGAGGTCCTTGGACTTCTGGCTAAAGAAGAAGGCATGATTGGCGCCGTGAGCCACAATGTAGTAGACGATGCTGAAGACGATGGGGACCCAGGCTTGGAGGGAGGCCTCGTAGAAGGAGTTGGGGACAATGTTGCGCAGCACACCGGGCCATTGCTCGGGCCCAGGTGGGTAAGGCGAGATGGTGGTGCTGCTCAGTCGGTCGGAGAGGGTGCTGGAGGTGACGGGGTCCTTTGGACCGACGCCCCTGAGGAGGAACTGATCGAGTAGGGTGGCTGGCATGTTGATGATGAGACAGGTATGTATGTAGGGAACACAGGTTGGTGGGGAAAGGAAAGAAGGGAGCGAGGGAGTCGCTGATGAGGGCTAGGCGACTATATGCTGCGTAGGGACGACTATATGCTACGACCGGTCGGACCGCTTCTTGTCGTTTGTAGTCCAAGCCCCTAAAGATAGCTACTTGCAAGCTTCGTCACAGAGGGGATCGATCGAGATGAGATGAAAAAAGGGCGGGGGAGCAAGAAGAAATGAAGAAAGGAAGCTCTGCTCCCCACCTCGGCATGAAGCTCGAGCCTCTCTACGCTCCCGCCTCCCGCCTCGCTCGCTCCACACGACATAAGACAAGGCGGACGGCGGGAGCGGAAGTAGCGGCGAGCTGCAGCCTCAACGCCTCTTTTTTTCGCTCAAAGAAATATTTGGGGCGGCTAACGGTTGCAAGGGCTTGGCCGGACCGGTCATGATGAAAGCCGATGCACCGTCTCGAGAGAGAGAATAACGACGCCCACATTGCTGTCCCATGACCTCCTCTCGAGTGGATAAGATACGGCCGATCGAGGAGCAGGCCACGCTAAAGGGCGCGGATTTGCCCTCGTCAGGCAGGTCGTGGTCCAGGTTCCGCTGCCTCTGAGCGGGTCAAAGGATAAGGGCACAGCAGCCTAGCCGCAAGGCCGCTTCGCTTCCCTCCACTGCACGCTAGCGATGGACCAAGGAACGAAACGATTGGCGTAAGCTCGACCTTGCGATGCTCAGCAGTCGTGTGAATCGACGACGCGTTTCCAGACGTCCGCTTTGCGACTTGTCGAAATCATGTCACAGTCAGGCCTGAAACTTATTCTCCTACTCGACTTGACGATCAGGGTGACATCTCTGCCTCTGCCCGTCAATAAAGTGACATGTCTCAGCCAGGACCCTTGCCTTCTTCGCATTGCCGATTTCGATGGTCTGTGCGTGATTGCGATAGTGCGAACGTGGCCGTGTTGAGCAGCTCGACGAGGGCCAAAGGGTCATCATGGAAGGCCTTGCGTCGCTGCGCAATCATTCAATTTTGCCCACGTCATGGACCAAAAAGAGACAGGACTCGACGACACTCATCCTGAGGGATATCGACCCTGGCACGATGGTGACGGGGGAGAAGCAGCAAGCCACGACGCTCCAGATGCGCTCCTGGCGGCTGATGGGGACGATCAGTCGCGCGACTCAAGGTCAAAGCCCAAAGAGTGCCTCTCTTCGCTTGCCTCTAAGCTACACCTCGGCCATCAGGAGCAAAATTCCCCTTCCTCCTCCTCCTCGATCCCACGACCGCAGACACGTCGACACCACTCTCACCGTCTCCGCGACCTCTGGCATGTCCACAGCGAAGCCCTTGCTGACCTCTCAGATTCCACGCTCTACCCCGAGCTCGACTGGGATGCTCACTTGAGAAGAGAGAACACTCTCAGCAAGGCTGAGGCCGATTCTTTGCTTAAGCGCAAGGAGCGCATTGCACAGTCGGAGGCGTTCCGACAGCTCGCGGGCGTGAAAGAGGGAGAGGTAGTGCAGCCCAAAGATGTGCCTACAGTCAGCTTGGGCGGGTCAGGCGGAGGGTACAGGGCTATGCTTGGATTTCTTGGATTCATCGAAGAGTTTCAGAGGGAAGAAAGGTGAGCCGCGCCAGCGGTTCCTTCATCCTTTGCCCGCTGACCTCCCTTACATTTCTTGCGCAGTTCCATCTGGCCCCTCTTCAGCTATACGTCTGGCGTGAGTGGATCATGTTGGACCCTCGGCACCCTCTATACCGTCGGTCGCATGGACGCAGCGTACCTCTTCGATCACTTCGCCCTTACCTCTTCTCGACACCCGCTCAGTCTGGCCGCCATAGATGCAGTAGCCCGTTCGGCAAAGGGGACGTACTTTCAGCTTGGGCCCCTTCTACAGAAGTTGCACCTGAAGCACCTTCATCCGGGCCCCTTGGATTTATATGGCACGCTCTTGACTAGCCATCTGTTGCTCAAAAGCAAGGACGAAGGGCAGGAGGAGGAGGAGCCCTGCTTGAAGCGCGAGTGGTACCAATGGTCCCGCGTCTTCGAAAGATGCCGTATCGATCAGGGAGAGCAACCCCTGCCAATACTGACTGCGGTCAGGCATGAACGTCCATGGAAGTGGGTATCCTCGTTGCTTCTAGGGCACAATGGCCGTGAGAGCTGAAATTGCCATTTCTTCACGCCCGCAGAGATTGGAAAGCCCCTGGCGAGCAACCTTTCGCCTCGTCGAACCACATGTCCGCCGAGCACCAAGCCGCAGGCTCGCGCACCTGGTGGCAATGGTTCGAGCTTTCCCCCCTCGAATTTGGCAGCGATGAGCTCGAAGGTTGGATCCCTGCTTGGTCCTTCGGGAGACGCTTCGACGGTGGCAAGTCCACTCAACGTCTACCAGAGCGTTCTTTCTCCCTCCTCCTAGGTATGTGCACCTCGGCTCCGGCCGGTCCTCTCTCAGCGTGGCTACAGACCCTCTACCGCAATCTACCTACCGGCAAGTTCGGCGATTGGCTGAGGAAGGAGACAGACGAGTGGACTGCGGAGCACCCTGAACAGACGGAGAAGATCCAGGCGCACCATCCAGTACATGCGATGAACGAGGCTAATCCTTTCTTCGGGGCTGAGAAGAAGGAGGGGAGGGGAGAAGGCTTCGAGAACTCGCCGAGGATTCACCTGATCGACGCCGGGATCTCGAACAATCTGCCGCAAGTGCACTTCAGACCTGGCAGAGAAGTGGACGTTGTGGTCATGTGTGACTACTCGAGCGATGTGCAGAGCGGAGGGGCGGTTCAGCGCTTGGTGGAATACGGGAAGGAGAGGGGTTACGTGGTCAAAAAGGCAAGCGCGGATGGCGAGCGGGCCACGAAGGGTGGTACCGGCGGTGATGCGGCATCGAGCGAGAAGCACGACGCGAAAGGCGATGAGCACACACCTACTGCCGAGGAGATAGCGCAACGCTTTGCAGGCCAGTACGCCCAGACACTCACGCTCCATCCGACACACACCGGCTCAGGCGCCGCCGAGACCAGCGCCGTGTACAACTCTCGCCACCAGCCGCAGCTGCTACACGAGCAGACGATGGTTTACCTGCCGCTCCTACCTCATGCCGTGCAGCCTGGCTACGACCCCTCTACGGCCCCGTTCAGCTCTAGCTACAATCTGACTTGGACCGACGAGCAGGTGCAGACCATTCGAAAGACGGCTCGCGCTTGTGCTCGCGAGGGCGTGGTGGCGGTCAGGAGCGCAATACGGGCAGCGTATGAGAAGCGGAAGAGCGAGAGGATGGATGCTGAGGCGAGAAGACGATACGCAACGCACGCTGGAGCAAGCTAAAGGCAAGGCAGAGCGGAAGACGTGGTATACCAGATCATTTAATTGAGCAACAGAGACAATGAAGTAAAGAGTGTGATGCTGTCCTTCAATCGCGGTTGCCGAGAAGCGACAGTAGTGGGAGGAAACGGTCCAAAAGAAAGTGGTGGTGATCTGTATGGTACTGAACCCGACTGTGACATACTCACGCGCGCTTACGCGTCCATCTTCTCCTTTGCCACCCTGACCAGCTCCTGCGACGCCTGCTGAAAGGCCTGGCAGATGGTCTCCGGCAGATTCCCCTCCTTGAACTCCCTCACCCCATCGCACGAGACGGCCAAGCTGAACTCTCCCGCGTAAGAGATGGCGCCCATCGCGAGAGTGGATTTGCCTGGCGACGAAGGCGGTAGAACGTGATACGAGAAGGCCTCGTGCTTGCCGAAGCTGACTGGCTTGGGGGGTCCGGGCACGTTGGTGAAGACGTTGTACTCTCTGTACGCTGACTGGAAGATCTGCCTCGCGATCGGGTAGTTGGGCATCATGAAGAATCGTCTCTTCGCAAATGCACCAAAGACGTCGTACCAGATCCCGGGGAGCTTGGAGCGCTTGATCCTGTTCATCTCGCGATTCACCTGCATCAGCAATGACTCGAAGCCATACCTAGACGGCTCGTGGAAGCGGAACCAGGCGATGGCACCTGTCGTGTAATTGGCTAGGCTCCAGTCGCCTTTTGGTCGCTTGGAGATGGGAATGAAGACGGCGATGCGCTTGTCCGAGACCTTCTGACCATGCTTGGAGGCCATGGTCTCCGCAGCGATACGCAGCGCACGACTGAGCAGAGCGCAGGCAACGTCGTTGAGTGACAGATTGACCTTGTCCGTCGAGAAGGCTTGTCGGATGAGCTTGATGTCCGACATGGAGATGCCGTCCGAGTGAGCGTAGAGGCGGGTCGAGGGTCGCTCATTCTTGCCCAGCTGAGCGCCATAGCGACGTACGGCGTCTTTGCCTGCAGAATCCGGGTAGGTGAATGCCTTTCGCTTGCGGAAGTAGAGGCCGCGCACCGTGTGCCACGAGTGGGAGATAGTCCCACCCACCGTGGGCTTGACATTGCGCGAGCCAATCTTCTTCTCCTGCTCCTCGCCATCGGACTTCTCGCGGACTTGCTCTTCTGTCGTCTTCTTCTGCTTGGCGCTGGCGCGGGCCACCTGCGAGTCGATCTCCGCTTGTTTACTCTCCACCGTCACGCCAGTAGACATGGCCTCGATGGCCGAGTGGTACGACTGGATCATGCCTTGCCCATCGGAGAATGCATGGTGGATCTTGATCATCAGCGCCGAACGGGCGCCTCCGGACGTATGCAGGCCGTGCACGACCGTGGCCTCCCAAAGGGGCTTATTGAAGTCGAAGTGGGTGCCGAGACAGTCGCCGCACACGTCGTAAAGGTCGTCGTCGCTGCCGTCGTTCTGCGCCTTGACGACGCGAATGTTCTGCGCTACGTCGAAAGTCTCATCAACGCGCCACTTGGCTGGGCGGAAATTGCCACCGGCTTTGAGACTCTTGGAGTAGCCTGTCTTGCGGCCTGGGTTGGGCGAGGAGGACGAGGTGGACGAGGTGGAAGTTGCCTGACCCTTGCGAGCTGCCTTATCCTTCTTTGTCGCGTCACTCGGGTTGAGCTCACAGACGTAGCGATACTTCGGGTACGCCTCAGCCAGCTTCTCGAAGAAGTTGAGCACCGTATCATAATCGAGCTTCGTCTTGAAGAGGTAGACGCTGAAGCATGCCGTTTGGTAGCCAGCATCCTCGAGCATGAGTGCGAGATTGTCGATACCGGTGAGGGAGTAGATGCGGCCCTTCTTCTCGAGGGGGACCGACTTGCGCTCGCCGTGAGATGCTGCAGCAGCGCCTCCAGCTCCAGCGGCAGCGGCAGCTCCACCAGCAGCGAGGGCTCCGGTTCCAGCGTGACTCTCGTCCTCCTCGTCTTCCTCGTCCTCTTCCTGCTCGACAGGCTCTGCAGCAGATTCGCTCGGCTGCCCATCCCCATCGTAGACAGGCGCGGCAGCTGCGGCCTTGTCCTTTTTGGCGTAGTTGCGACGTCGCCCTTCGCTGCCAATTGGAACAGCCGCCACGGGCTTGGACTTCTCTTTCTTCGACTTGCTGCGCTTCGCCGGCTTCTCAACGACCTTCTCCGTGGGCTGCTTCTCTTTTTTTGCAGGCTCAGCATCGTCCTGAGCCTTCTTGGCTCCCCAGCCTCCGAGGCCAAGAGCAGCCATGAGGCCACCTGCGCCCGCTGCTTCCTTGGCTTTGGAGTCATGCTCCGGGTCAGCAGGCTCCGCTGGCTCTTCGTCAGCGGGCTCCTCGTCAGCGGCGGCCGCCTTCTCTGGATCCCTTCCCCTCCTTGAAGCAGGAGGGACAGCAGCGACGGGCGCAGCAGCCACATCAGCCTCTGTCTCCTTCTTCCTCAGTGCCCTCGACCCCCTCTTGCTACGCTGCGTCTCCGGCTCTTCCTCCCTTGGCTTGTCAGTGACTGCAGCTCGGGATGGCGGAGGCGGCTCATTCGCGATCGTGCTCGTCTTCCGGATGCTATCCCTGTTGTTGCGCAGCGAGTCACGGTAGCGGCTCTCCTCAGCGGATGTTGCCCCTACTGACTCCTCGTCCCCAGCCGGCTTGTGGGTCCTCCTCTTTCTGCGAGTGGACGACCTCCTTACCGCGGATGCATCGTCGCTGGCCGGTGGTGGAGTCTCGCGATGGTGCAGACGATCCGTCTGGATCTGGGAGGAGAAGCGCTTTTGCTGTTGGCCTTCGAATTGGCGGCGGATGGCGGCTCCTTGCTCTGCTGCGCTTCCTCGATTGTGAATGGGTTTGGACATGCCGAACGCGGAGGGGTGGAGGTGGTATCGATGGAGGGTAGTCAGTCAAGGAGGTATCGACCTCAACAGGGCAGAGTGTTGATTGATGGATGAATGGAGAGCAGAGATGGTTAAATGGATGGATCACAAAGCACGAAGTGCTCCAAAGCACGCCCGATGATTGGTACGGCCCTTTCCCCCCGGCTACTCATGACGTCGAGGAGCGAGCGCTAGTGAAAGACCGTTTCCGGAAGACTGGGCGGCGGTCCGTGAATAGGAGAGAGAGCAAGGCACGAGCAGGCGCGGCGCCTCAACGAACCCGCGGACTGCGAGTCCAAAGTTAAGCCAGCTGCTTCGACGCAAAGAGCGTCCTGCCCTGACTTCTCTGGCCCCGCCTCGCCTCGTCTGCCGAACCTTGAGCGAGTGAGGGCAAGTGAGCGGACCAGATTCACTTCATTCACGCAAGCGTCGCGGCTTAATGGGTAGCGGCGAAGCGTAAAGTGGCCCGCTTCGTCCACTCTCGTCGTCATGAACGCATCATCATACTCCTACTCCTAGGTGTGGCGACTTGGCGGCTTCGTTGAGCTAAGGGCAGGGCTACGTGCTCAGATTATTCGCCCGAGGGTCCCGCCTCGCAAGACTGACCGCCCCGTTAGCCAGCCCTGGCAGTTGGTGGCTTGAAGACACTTTCATTGCTTTGCCTCACTATCGGCCGTTGCATCTCTGGCCATCTCAGATCGCACGCTCATTCACACGGCAGCATTGTGTCGACAATTCTGATTGAGCCTGGTTTTATGATGAAGATGGCGTGCGTGGTCGTAGCTCACGGTGATGAGCTGACGGAGAGAAAAGTGTTACAAGGTGATGATCAAATCAAGGACAAGGGGGAGGGACAAGAGGGGATGTGGACCAACGACTAGAGAAAGAGGCGTGCTCCCTCGCTGCATCAGTCCCGGTGCCACCACGTTCGTCGACGACAGTACATCAAGGCCAGGCTCCAACCCTTTTGCCTCTAGCCGCCGACGTTGCGATGATGCTAGGGACCCCCGTTAACTCGAAATCCTCCTTAAGCCTTGCGGGCGGCGGCGCGGGCGGCACGGGCGGCCGACGAGCGCTGCTTCTTCTCCTCGGTGCGCTTGGCGAGAATCTGGTCGTACTCTGCCTTCTGCTCCCTCTGTGCCTCGGTCTTCCTCTTCTTGAGCGAGCGCAGGTGCCTCTTGCGCTGGAGACGCTGACCAGTGATGAGACGCTGGATCTTGGGGGCCTTGGTGTAAGGCTTGGCACCCTCCTTCTTGGAGGTGACCTCACGACGGATGACGAATTGACGGACGTCGTCCTTCTTGGACAGGTTGAAGAACTTGCGGATGTGGTTGGCACGCTTGGGACCAAGGCGCTTGTCGACGGTGGACGCGGCGTCGGTGAGGCCGGGGATCTCGTTGTCGCCCTGCTTGACGACGATGAGGTGGAGAGCCTGGATGTCCGAGCCGACGATGCAGCCACGAACCGACTTCCTGCGGCGCTCACCAGTGCGGCGCTGACGGTAGCACGACTGGCCCTCGCCGAGGAGGAGGCGGACACGGTTGGGGAGGAGGACACCCTGCTTCATGGGGAAACCCTGCTTGTCGTTACCACCGCCGATGCGGACGACGTAGCCCTTGAACTCGTCACCGAGCTGGTCAATGGCGACATCCTGACCCATGCGCTTCTCCCAGAAGACGCGGGTCTTGAGGTCGTCGTCGATGGAGAAGCTCTTCTGAGCGCCCGTAGCGGGGTTGGCGAAGTTGAGCTTCATGATGCTGTGCGGTGAGGAAGAGAGGGGGTGAATCGTGTCAGCTATACGGCTCAACGTTGTGCAAAGGGTCATGAAGCACAACACATCGAGAGGTGGGCGAAGAACTCCAGCATATGAGCGAACCTATGCTGGCGTGTCCCACCGGCTGCCAAGTGGCTGCGAGGTCTGCTCTCATCTCCCTTTCCCTCGTGCCTGCCCTTCTATCATCCTGATCTCCCTCGAATGAGGCCGTCCTTCTATTCTCTTCATCAAGGCGTAGACGACATTGCTTCGCTGTGTATGCGCCTGCCCACCAGTCCTTCCTCCCTTATTTCCCCTCCTTCCTATCCCTCTGCGAGGAGCATTGCGCATGTAGACGCAATTCTGTCTGCTCCCTTGCAAAACAGATGATGACGATGATGATGTGACGCTTGTGCGTAGACACTTACGAAGTCGGCGTAGGGGAAGGGGGACGATGGTGATGATGATGAAGGTGATTGAGAATCTCTCGACTCATTCGAAGGCTGGCCCTCGCCGTCGCTCGTCGTCCAAGCCCAGCGCGTCCGCCCGCTCGTCCGCCCAGCTCCAAGGCTCTCGTCCTCGCCCGCCCCGTGAGCCTGGCTGCCGCCTGCCCGCCCTTGGACGGTTTGCTTCAAGTCGCTCCGCCGCGGTCCGCAGGATTCGGATCCGTCGACTGGCCTGTCCATCCCTCTTCCGCCCACTCAGCGATTCCACACCAAAGTCGCTGCGAGACGCCGGGTCGCACCTTCTTGTTCCTCTTAGGAATCCAGTCACCGGCCCCCCCTTCAACAACAAAAAACAAACACATCAAGAGTGAGTATAGTGCGAGATGTTCAAAGGAAGGAAGGACGGATGGTGCAAGTTTGAGAAGCTGCTGGCGTGAATGCAGGCCTGGCTGAAGGAAGGGAGAGATGATGCTGCAGCACTCCTCGACCGATGATGGACGCGTGACCCATGCTACTCCAAGCTTCAGTAGCTGACCTGCTCTATCTCTCTCACTCCCCACCCACAGTGATCATCCCCAAGGCTGACCGCAAGGCAATCTACGCCGCCCTCTTCAAGGAGGGTGTCCTCGTCGCCGAGAAGAACTTCGAGTCTGTCCACCAGGAGCTCCAGATTCGCAACCTCTACGTCGTCAAGGCTATGCAGAGGTGCGTGCGAGCGTGATGACAGCATACGAAAGATCAGTCCGCTCACACCCTCGATCCCTCTTCTCTCGCACCCGCAGCTTGACCTCTCGCGGATTCGTCCACACTCAATTCAGCTGGCAGTGGTACTTCTACACCCTCACCAACGAGGGTCTCGAGTACCTCCGAGAGTACCTTCACCTCCCCGCCGAGATCGTCCCCGCTACCCACAAGCGCCCTGCTCGCCCGCAGCGCGCTGTTGGCGGTGGTGCTCCTGGCGCCTACCGTGCCCCCCGCGGCGACCGTGCCGAGGGTGGTGACCGCGGAGAGTACCGTCGCCGCGACGCTGGCGACAAGAAGGGCGACCAGCCCTCTGGCGAGTACCGTCCCCGCTTCGCCGGTGTCGGTCGCGGTGCCCCTCGCGCCGAGTAAGCGCAGCAGCGTTCGAAGAACCAACCCCAAGGTCTCGCTCCTTCGTTTGTCTCGCTCGCTCCCCTCCTCGAATCTCTCTTGGGCGTCGGGCAGGTGCCCTTAGAAGGATGTCCGGTGCACACGTCTCTTCCCTCTCTTACAGGGGCGGAGTATTGCATCTCTTCACGCCCCTCCAGCTTGGATTCCTCACCCAACAACCGTACCCAGCTTCAGCCTAGTGCTAGTCGCTGAACCATTCCCATCGCCTCCTTATTCACTCTTCGGCTCTTGCTTCTGTCGCTTTCGCGCAAGCTCGAATCAATTCAATCTTCTTTCTTACCCCACCACCATTACCAGTTTGAGTGTGAAGACATTGTGGATTGATCATGTTGCGCAGCCTGTGTGCATTGGTCCTCACCAGCCGGCCGGCCGTCGGTATCTTGCACACGACTCCCCTGCCTGGAAGATGTCGAGCATGATCTCTGCTCTCAAACCGTCTATCACAGCCAGTTGCAGCCCTATCATCGTCGTTGTGCCATCGAATCTAGTCCTTGCCACTGCTCCTTCGTCCGCCTTCGTCCGCCTAAGCCAAGCGACGAGAAGAAGTGGCCAAGGCGAGGTTGAAGCGGTAGCGTCACAGCGCAGCGTCCTTGGTTGCCTCTGGGTCGCACAGCCGTCCCGTCGTCACCCAACGTCTCACAAGACGCCCGCTCGCACGCACACAGGGCGGCGGCCAGGCGGCGGCGGCGGCGTCGTCGGCGGCACGTCTCTCGCCTCTGTCTTCGCGCGGGCCAACCCGCCGAGGCAGCGCACTCTTCCCAACATATTCTACCCTGGCTGCACACGCAACGCACGAGCAACTCCTCTTCCTTCCCATCGATCCAACACTATCGCATCGCTTCCCCTTTTCTAATCAGCTCATTACCAACAACAACATGGGTGGGTGCGAGCTGGAGAGAGGCAATAGCAAGGCTACGAGCTGATGGTCTTCTGTGCTTGCCGACCCCCGCCTCGCTATCATCGCCGCTGCTGCCCCTCCACCTCCTCTTGCTCCGGTCCTTCCCGCCGCATTGCTTCGTCGCCCTCCTATCGTACAGGTCTCATTGACATTGCTCCCGCTGGCGTCGTTGCCGGCAAGGACGTTGTACGTATCGCTGTGTCCAGAAACGCAGCATCTATCGCCGGGCCGCTGACTTCTGTCTAATCCTTCCCCTTCGCCCTCGCGCTCGCCCTCGCCTCCGCAGTACAAGGTCTTCGACTACGCTCGCCAGAATGGCTTTGCAATCCCCGCCTTCAACGTGACGTGAGTGCGAGCACGGAATACCATCAGCCTGCCATCGAAACATTGCCTGACCTTCTACATATCACCTCGCCGCCAGCTCATCCTCGGTCGCCAACGCCGCCCTCGAGGCCGCTCGTGACGCCAAGAGCCCCGTCATCCTCCAGGTCTCTCAGGGTGGTGCCGCCTACTTCGCCGGCAAGGGTGTCGCCAACGACAAGCAGCAGGCCTCCATCGCCGGTGCCGTCGCTGCTGCCCACCACATCCGCAACATCGCTCCCCTCTACGGCGTGCCCGTCATCCTCCACTCTGACCACTGCGCCAAGAAGCTCCTCCCCTGGTTCGACGGAATGCTCGACGCTGACGAGGCTCACTACCAGAAGACTGGTGAGCCCCTCTTCTCGTCGCACATGCTCGACCTGTCTGAGGAGCCCAAGGAGGAGAACATCGAGACCTGCAAGAAGTACCTCGCCCGCATGGCCAAGATCGGTGAGCAAGCGGAGCGACGCGACATCGTCCTGACTGACATAGCTGACAATCTCTCCGCTCTTCGCGCGCCCCCGCAGGCATCTGGCTCGAGATGGAGATCGGCATCACCGGCGGTGAGGAGGACGGCGTCAACAACGAGCACGTCGACAACGCCTCGCTCTACACTCAGCCCGAGGACATCTGGGACATCTACCGCGAGTTCAGCGAGATCACCCCCAACTTCTCCATCGCTGCTGGCTTCGGTAACGTCCACGGCGTGTACAAGCCGGGCAACGTGCAATTGCGCCCAGAACTGCTCCGCAAGCACCAGGACTTCGTCAAGGAGCAGATTAAGTCAAAGGAGGACAAGCCCGTCTTCTTTGTCTTCCACGGCGGTTCCGGTTCGGAGAAGAAGGACATCACCAACGCCGTCTCGTACGGTGTCGTCAAGATGAACGTCGACACCGACACCCAGTACGCCTACCTCGAGGGCATCCGTGACTTTGTCCTCAACAAGAAGGACTACCTCATGAGCCAGGTCGGTAACCCGGAGAAGGGCCCCGACGCCCCCAACAAGAAGTTCTACGACCCGCGTGTTTGGGTTCGTGAGGGTGAGAAGACCATGGCTAAGCGCTGCACCATCGCTTACCAGGACCTGGGGTCTGCTGGTAAGCTCTAAGCTGGCAAGACGAAGCTGTAGTGGACAGACGAACAATGGCTACGAGAGGGGCAGAAGAGAAGAGATAAGCAGAGGGAGAGGGAGAGCGCCACAGGCGTAATGGGTGTCATCGCTGTCTTGCCCATGGCTGCTTCGTTTTCCTTGGCGTGCCACCTTCCGTTGAGAGCTCTTCTCGATCTGTATCCTAAATAAAATAGGGATGCAAAAGAAGCAGTTAGCAGTAGTGAGATCAGCGCCGCATCCAGTCGTGTGAGTGGTAGTAGCCATGAAGGCGAGGCTATGGTGAGCACGCGCAGCTGTTCCCTGTAGCTACTCTGCAGCCAGAGCAAAGTGAGAAGGCTTAAACTGACATGGCAGAGCAAGCCATAGCAGAAAGCGTAGCGAGTGTTCAAATTCGTTGTATTCGCTCGCCCTTCGATCTCTGCGTCACGATCTTGTGCTTCTTCCTGCAAGTTGCGGCCAGCCATGACGATCACGAGGGCTGCCGAGAAGTCCAAGTCGTCGACAAGTGCCCAAATCAAGCTCTCCCCTGCGTGCGTAACGTGCTCGTGCTCGTGCTCCTTTGGCCGTCTCGATCTCGTGCTCTCTTGCTCTTGCTCTCGCGCTCGTCGGTGCCAGCCAATTCCATTTCTTGCCGGTCGTCTGCTCCTCCCTGCTCGCCGTCCTCGCGTCTCGACTCGCGCTTGCACCCTGCTGTGATGTCGTCCCTCGCTCGTCTCGTGCCGCGGACGGGGCGCAGCTTTGGCCGGCTCTGCCTCTCTTGGCTGGCTGTCGATTCGAGTGCAGTCATGCGGCGCGGGTTTTGGCTCAGCAGGGAGGAAGGGGAGGCGGGCGCGAAGTGGCTGGCGGCTGCTCACACTGCGTGGCTGCGCCCGACTTGACTCCTTCCTGGCAGGCGACATGAGCTTGAGAGCCTTGAGCACCACCGGTCCTCGGTCCTCTAAGCTTCCCAACGGCTACCTTCATCTCATCTCACGACATCCTTCCCATCCTTCCGACCAGCTGACTAGCTTCAAAGGCGATCACGTCGACGACGACAGTGCCACTCGTCGCCGCTCAAAGGGTGATGCTGAAGAGAGAGGCGTTTGATCGCTCCTCCTCTTTGGCTCTCCTTGCCGTCTGGCCTGCTCCCTTCTTCGATGGCGAATTCCGCTGCGACAACGACGTCTTCTCCAGCAGCAGGCGCCGTTGAGGCCAAGAGCACCACAAGGACAATGGCGCCGCTGCCAGAGAGAAGGGCGGGGTCCTCGCGAGTGCGTAGGTTGCCCAAGCACCTGCGATCCCCCTCGCCACCCCCAGCCTGCTTCACTGCTCCATCAACGACAGCAACTTCAGCAGCTGCGCAAGTTCAGCCAGCTTCATCCACATCTTCTTCTCACGTAGCGACATCAGCAAACACCACTGCCACTGCCAAGACGGCTGGCGGGACAAGCAAAAAGCGTCAGACATCCGTCACTCTTCTTGACCCCAATGAGACCAGCGGGGAATCTCGCAGACGCAGGTGAGTCCGACGGTTGGACCCAAGTCGCAGTCAATCCAGCGTACTGATCACTTTGACATTTCCCATTCGCTCCCAGTCGTCCTTCTGGAGGCTCAAAGCCAAAGCAGACAGCAGCAGCAGCAGCGCCGCAGACCCAAACGACATCCAAGGCCAAGGTACGACTCGCAGTCAAGCCCATCGCCGACCAATCCACTGGAGGCTATGAGTCCGACGGCGGCCGAGCAGCGCCCGCCCCAACTGCAACAAGAGAGCATGATTGGGACGCACACGCCGAGGTGGACACCGAGGCAGACTTCGATGCCATCGCGCCGCCTCCACTCATCTTCCAGCGCAGCAGTGTCTCCCATCGCTCCTCTGGTCGAAGGACGGCTGGGGCCGGCGGTTTGGTCGCAGAGCGCAAGCGTCCTGCTGCTCGTACCTCGTTCCGCCATGCGAGGACCAAGAGCATGCCCTCAATGGGCGCTGCCTTGCCTGTCTGGCAAAGGCAGAGTCGGCCCTCCCTCGAGGTAGAGCAACAGCACCACACAGCCACCCTGGATGACGGCCATATGTCCACCGCAGACACAACGGACGGCGAAGATGAGAACGACTTTCACCGCGCAATGTTGGACGGCGACTTTGACGACGAGTATGGCTGGACGTCCGCCGGGGCCATTGATACGCCCGCAACTACGCCGCGCAGCCCGCAATCGACTTGCGAGCCGCTCTCTGCACTGACAGAAGACGGCAAGGACGAAGCGAGCAACAGCAACACCGACAAGATGGTAGCGGACGCACAAGCTGCAAAGGCTGCATCAGAGCGAGCTGCCCAAGAGCTTCACGACGCCGTTTTTGCCCGCGCCTTGCCATCTTCGTCGAGGCGCGTACGCTCTCATGCGGGTGCTCTGACTTTGTCGCTGCCCTTCGATGAGTCGCCTTCGATCAAGAAGGAGCAGCACGATGATGACGAGCTGGATCGTCAGCATTCAGCCATCGCCCGCTTCTCGACCCCCACGCTGCGTCGTACCGCGTCGAAGGGCAAGCTCTCTCAGCTGCAGCTGTCCGCCTCCCGTCCAAGCGCCGTCAAACCTCACCCAACCAGCCAGGCCGACAACGAGACGACCTCACCCACGACCTCCCCGCCCATGAGCCCCACACGCGCCCTCATGGGTCTAGCAGCCCCACCACATAGCAAGGCCTCCCTCGGCGTCTCGATGTCGATGACCAGCAGCCCCTTCCTCGCTGCCGTTCATCGATCATCGCTCAGCCGTCCTGGATCACCTCTCCCCACATTCAATCTGCCTGCTGCGGTGACGACGAGTAGCACCCTCGGCCCTCATCATTCGCCCGCTACAGCTGCTGGGGCGACTGCCGCCTCGCCCGCATCGACTCACCAAGACCTCACCGACGTCTCCCCCTTCCCTAGTGCGAGTCCGCACGGCGCCGAGGATGGCAGGGATCTCGATGAGGATGAGCTTGATCTCGACGGCAGTCGAAGCGCAAGCGTGGATCAGGAGGATGGCTCTTCGCCCATCACAACGTACTCTTCTCCCGGTGCGGAGCACGACGATGACGAGGCAAATGCGCCGGCTGTCTTCGGCCTGCCAGAATCGATGGATATGAGCGCAATCGATGTTGCATATGGGGGAACGGGCATGGTGGTGTGTGAGGCTGAGCCCGAGCAGGAGGAAGAACAGAAGAAGGACGCGAAGGAGACGCAGGAGGTCGAGGCTGAGCACGAGGTCGAGAACGAAGCTGAGGACGAGGGAGTCGAGGTGGTGGTTCAGGCTATCGCAGAGAAGACGCCCGACCGACCTACGCGACGAGGGCTGCGAAAGGGCAAGCGCTGCCTTGAGGCTGCGCAGGAGGAAGAGGACGAGGAAACCAGTAGCAGGAAGGCTGCTCGTTCCCCTTCGCCAATTGCAACGCCAGCAGCAGCCTCGCCCCCTCCACCACTCAAGCGAAAGTACAGCTCCAAAGCTGCAGCTCAACGAAGCACGCCCCGCCAGCAGCAGCAGCAGCGCTCTCGCGAAGGCAAGACAGCGGCAGCTAGCCCAGTGAGCTCCTCCACCTCTCCTTCGAGGACTATGAGCACTCGTGCGACCACAGTGGCGGCAGGTGGGAGGGGCCGTCGCTCCCGCGGCGCGTAGATGGCTTTTAGGAGAGGCCAGGGAGAGAGAGAGAGAGGCTATCCAGCGACGTGATGATATGCAGATTGTGATGACGTTGAACGACAATTTCGATTGAGAAGAAGAAGATATTCATGTAACAATAGCAGAAAATATAAACAGACACTTCCCCACTCCATCGATGCGAGCGACCGACTACCTCCTCGTCTGAACACCCTAGCTCCAGAAGCAAGTACAATGACGCTTCCATCGGCGCGACGTCTGCAATTTAAAGCTTCAGGCCAGACAATATGCCTTCATCTCGTCGACTTCGAAGTCGTATCGATGGTAGCGAGCAATGATGGCCGCCAAAATGTATACGAGGCGGCAGCGCGCGCGCTCGTGTGCATGTGGCCTTGCTGCCCTTTGTTCCGCTCCGCTCTCGCCGACGTCGATTCTCTTGAGCGGCTCAGCTGCGCGGCAGACCAGCCACGGAGGGCCAAAGTCGACGAGACGCGGATCTTCTGCCTAGTCGAGGAGCAGCGGCGTACAATTCGCACCGTCTTCCTCACTACCACCATCACCCTCCCCCCATCATGTCGAGCCGATTCTTCCGCAGCACCAGCGACTCCGAGTCGTCTGAGTCTGGCTCATCCTCCGACGAGGAGGTCATGAGCGACTCCGATGAGGAGCAGCAGAAGAAGTCGCAGGACAAGAAGAAGAGCACCGACAAGCCAGCTGCATCATCTGGATCAGCATCAGCCTCAAAGGCAGCACCCGCCGCTGGAGGAGCAGCAAAGAAGAGTCGCTTCCTCAAGTCGGCAGATAGTGACAGCTCTGAGTCCTCCTCGGAAGAAGAGGAGGACATGAGCGACTCGGACGACAGCGACGATGACGATGATGACGACGACGATGACTCGGACGACTCTGATGCGCCCGCAAAGAAGACGGCCGCAAAGGGTGGAGCCGCACCTGCCAAGATGTCGCGCTTCATGCGCGGAGGAGACGACTCGGACAGCGATAGTGATGATGGAGAGAGGCGTACTGTAATTCGTTCAGCGAAGGACAAGAGGATGGACGAGGTGGATGCCGTTGTCAAGACGATTGAGAATGCGCAGAGGATCGATGATTGGGTGGCCATTTCCAAGGGTGAGTAGCGATGCGAGGGCAATCTGAATACCGGGACATCTGGCTCATTATTCTCCACTCTTCCCCTTTTGCTCGCTCAGAATTCGACGGCCTCCTCCGCCTTCACGACCGCCAAAAGACGATGACCGAGTCTGTTCCCGTCTCCTTCTACCGCTGCCTCTCCGGCCTTGAGACGTTCCTCAATGAGTCGGTTGCAGCAGGCAAAGGCAAGAAGATGAAGGCGCCCAACGCAAAGGCCATGAACGGCATGAAATCGAAGCTCAAGAAGGCCAATAAGGACCACGAAGAGGCACTGCAGCGCTACAACAAGGACCCAGAGGCATTTGAGGCTGAGTTCGTTGCTGCCAATGCACCCGTCAAGGCTGCACCGCCCGCTCCCAAGGCTGCTTCGTCTGCTGCTCCGACCTCGACGGCTGCCGCTGGTGGTGAGCAGGAGGATGACGCTTTCCAGACTGTGGGCAAGGGCGGTCGCGCTCTCGCCATTACATCAGAGGGCCTCTTCAAGTCCCTCGCTGCCGTCATGGAGGCTCGAGGACGCAAGAGCACCGATCGCTCTGAGCAGGTGGCCATCCTCTCGAAGCTGCTGGGCGTCGCCGAGTCGACCTACCAGCGCCTCCGTGTCCTCCTCGCCCTCATTGCTGCTCGTTTCGACTACAACTCGTCAGCCAACGCCTACATGCCCCTCGAGATGTGGAACGCAGCCCGCACCGAGGTCGATCAGCTCATTGCTACCCTGGTCGCCGACCCGTCGTACGTTGTCAAGGAGGAGACGGAGGACTACGATGACTCCATTGACCGTGTTCCCAACCAGGAGGGCGAGGGCCCCGTCGTTGCTGTGCGCGGCAGCATCATCTCCTTTGTTGATCGACTGGACGACGAATTCACCAAGCACCTGCAGAACCTCGACCCTCACTCGACGGAGTACCTGGAGCGCCTCCGTGACGAGCGATTGCTCTACGCCACCATCGTGCGCGCACAGACCTACCTCGAGCAGGCCGTTCGAATCAGCGCCGCTACGGCGCAGGACGCCCTTGCTCGTGTCATCATGCGTCGCCTGGAGCACGTCTACTCGAAGCAGTCGATCATCATTCAAGCCCTTGAGCAGGCGAGTGCAGCCTCGCAGAAGGAAGATGCAGAGAAGCTCGCCCAAGTTTCAAGCTTCCCCATGGGTTCGGCAGTCTCTTCCTCTTCCACGGGTCCTGCTCAGCTGGTTCGCAGCCTGTGCGTGCACCTCTACAAGGCTCCCGGCCTCGCTGGTGAGCGTTCTCGCACTCGCGCAATGCTCTGCCACATCTACAACACGGCACTGCATGCCGACTACTACGTGGCGAGAGACATGCTTCTCATGTCTCACCTCCAGGACTCCATCTCCCTTGCGGATGCAGCGACTCAGATTCTCTACAACCGTGTTGTCGTCCAGATTGGGTTGGCAGCGTTCCGCGTCGGTCTGGTCAAGGAGGCTCATGCTGCGCTCTCGGACATCTTTGCTACGGGCAGGGTGAAGGAGCTTCTCGCCCAGGGTGTGCAGCGACCGAGCGCTTATGCTTCTTTGTCGCCCGAGCAAGAGAAGTTGGACAGGCAGCGTCAACTCCCCTTCCACCTGCACATCAACCTCGAGCTCCTCGAGTCTGCCTACCTCGTCTGCTCCATGCTCCTCGAGGTACCGCACATGGCTCGCGCAGGCTCTGACCCTGACCAACGTCGCCGCGTCCTGTCTAGGCCCTTCCGCCGCATGCTGGACTACACCGACCGCCAAGTCTTCTCGGGCCCTCCCGAGTCGGCTCGCGACCACATCATGCAGGCGACCAAGGCTCTCCAGGTGGGCGAGTGGCGCGAGGCTGTCCGCCTCGTCAGCGAGATCAAGATCTGGAAGCTCCTCAGCAGCGTCGAGACACCCGCCGCCGCGGGAAGCAGCGCTGCTCCTTCCTCCCGCGGAGGCGAGGAGTCGGTCAAGGCTCTCCTTGCTCGCCGTATCCAGGAAGAGGGGTTGCGCACCTATCTGTTCAGCTACAATGCCTACTACTCGTCGGTCAGCCTGCAACACCTGGCGTCCACTTTCGACCTGCCCCTCGGTGCAGTGCGCTCCATCGTGTCGCGCATGATCTGGCTCGAGGAGATCGCTGCCAGCTTGGACAGCGGTGCTGGCGGGCAGCCGGTGGTCGTGCTTCACCGCTCGGAGGCGTCGCGTGTGCACCAGCTGGCACAGACCCTGGCGGAGAGGGCGAGCAGCATGTTGGAGCAGAACGAGAGGCTGCTCGATGCCAAGCTTGGAGACGGACCTGGGGGCCAGGCAGGAGCTGCTGGTGCTGGTGGAGCGGGTAGAGATCGTGAAGGAGGCGCGCAGCGTGGTGGTGAGGAGAGGAGGAGAGAGGGTCGCAGAGGTGGAAGGGGTGGACGTGGTGGTGGAGGACGTGGACGCGGCAGGACACAATTCCAGGCTCTGCCGGGCCAGGTGGCTACTGGGAGGGCGTAGAGGGGCCACTGTCTACGACTCCATCCTATCTACCGTCTTCGCTATCAAAATCATTTCCTAGCTTCTATCCAGAACTTGTGGGTGTCATCGAGACCGAGCGTGATAGCGATCACTAAGCGGCCCCTTACCTTCGTGCTTCCATCACTGCCTTCTTTCCCCTCCCCCCTTCCCGCCTCGATATTCTTGGCCTGTGTGGCCTCGTCTTCCTTACGCGTAGTGCCTTGATCTCTCTCGCGATCTCCCAGGAAACCCCCTCCTGTCCAGTCGACTCGCGTGCCGACGCTCCGCCTTGCTCTGTCCTGCCGCTCTTGCCGGGCGAGCAGGCGAGGAGGCTTGCTCGTGCGAGCGGGGCGACCCTTAATCCGGGGACGACGGAGGCGGCGAGTCGGGGCGGCAGTAGAGTGTCGGCGAGAGAGAGAGGCGGCTGCAGTGGACTAATCGTAGCGAGTGAGTGAGAGGGCCATTTTGTTTTGCCTCTCTTACCATCACCTCACCGCCCCCTCTCTCCCTTCTCACCACCACCACTCCCCAGTCCCCACTCCGACCACCTCTCCATCCTCTCCCGAGGACTCTTTGATAGCGTTCAGCTTGTCTCGCTCCACATCGTCTTGCTAGACGCTCATCACACCGCCACGCACACTTTTCGGATAAAGGAGCCGCGAGGACGTGTCAGAGACACTCCTCTTCTGGCTCCACCTCACCGACCTCATCGTCTCAGCTGCTTGACGTGGTGATTCACTCAAAGTAGAAAACACCGCTTATCATCACCGCTGTATCGCGACGCAATCACCTCTCCCACCCGGCGTCGCGGACTTCTCGCAATTCTCAACACCTCCACCCATCAACACCCGCCCGACTCCTCAAATGCTCATGTCCTCCACTGGCCTACCGCGCTGTCTCCCCAAGTCCCTCACTCACCCTACCGGCATCTACTTCCTCCCGCCCGCTCAACGCGTTACTCTCGCTGAGCTCGAGGCAGCTGACAAGCAATGGCGCGCCTTGCGGGAGGCGGCTTACATGCGCTCCTGGGCCGAGGATGCTACGCTCGTGGGTAGCGCGAGGTACATTGCTGCCGGTGGAGTAGCAGGGGAAGGGCTGGGAAGGAGGACGAGCAGCGTTATGAGTGGAGGACAGCAGCAGAGTAATGGTGGGAGGAGGGGCACGGCGCGAAGGAGGAGGAAGGCACTCTTGCGTTTTTTGAAGAGCTGGTAGGTGTGGCCAAAAAGGCAAGGCTAGAGCGCTAGTCTGGCCGTCAGCAGGCAAGTAAGTCACGAGGTGTAGGCGACCTTGGAACTGCCTGAGGCCCACATCCACCATCACGCCAATACTGGCCAAGACAGCAGCCCCCCTTCGCTGCACTCAAAGATCGAAGCTTCGTCGTAGCCTCGCACACGCACAAGCGTCGCAGACACAAGCGTCAAACGCCGGCACGTTCATGCCAGGCAATGCGAACACGTCTTGCAAGGCGCCATCGTCACCAAAAGCCTCTTTACTTCTAGCGACAACCCCCATCCTCAAGCCCACCGTCAAGTTCGCCCGTAGATCTTCCTTCTTCCCACTCCCCATTCCCTCCTTTTCTTTGCTGTGTATAGATTTCTTTCCTCTCCTTCTCGCCTCTTTTTCTCACCACCCGCCTCCCCATAGAGCTCGATGAGCCCCCACTTGACTTCAATCCATCTTCGCCTAGCCCAACGCGGTGAAGAGCAGACCGAGTGGTGGCAAAGTCAGATAAATTATTCGGCGGAGATGCTGGTCAGGCAGGAAGCAGGGAAAGCAATGAAGTCAAAGACGATCACGATGGCGCAGGTCCTTCCCCTTCCTCTTCGTCTCCTGTTCCCCTTCGCCCTCCTTCTCCTCCCTCTCCCTCTGCACCTTCATCTCCCTCAATCTGTTCGCATTCCGGTCACAGACCTGCTGGCTCTGCTCTGTCCAGAGTTTGAGCTTCTTGATCTGTTGCGGGTGCACGACGAGCGCGCCGAGGGAGGTTTGATGACGTGCTCCACGAGCCTCAATCGCCCATACGCCAGCCACGTCCGTCTTCAGGCGGAGGACGATGTGCTCTTCGCCGGGCACGAGGAGGCTGTCCCTTCTTATCGGATTGGCCAGGTCGAACGAGGGCTGAGCGGAGAGCCAGGCAGTCGCGTTGCTGATTGGTCCTGAGCCACGACGTACGATATGGGAGGGCGGGCCGTGCAAGTGGATCGAGCTGGCGAAGGGAAGGTGACGTCAATACGGCAGGTAGACGGAAGAGACACTGAGCAGCTGGCACGCACAGCGATTCCTTGTCCAGATTATTGATGACGAGATCGTACGCCCATTGGTCGTCTTTGACTTCGAAGAGAGGCAGGCGCCCAACATCTACTATTTCGGAAATGCTGCCCGTTCGCGCGGTGGTGGCGAGCACAGGCGGGCCCACTAGGTGCGCGTTCTCACTAAGCGACGCAGTAGCAGCTCGCGCGTCGTGAGCTGTGCCCACCATCTTGATCAGTCCATGTCTGGCATTCAAAATCCCCAGCGCCTCTCTATCACGATTCGCGGGTACTTGCTTTTCAATCACAGGGATGAGGACAGGGTCAGGAAAGTCGGCGCACCTCCATGGTATCGGGCCAGGCCAGTCCGTCGTAGCCGGCAAGGCCGGCAAAGTGACGCGCAGACGGTCTCGCGTGCGCTCATTCTCGTCGAGCTCCTCTGCTCCAGCAGCAAGCAGCGCCGCATGCTGAACCGAGTCGTCGATGATGTGCACCGCAAGGAGGCCCGTCCTGCTAGGCGCGGATTCCATGGAGGGGAAGCACGCAGGGTTCAGCATGGAGCGTAGCCAGAAGTCCGTAGGTCCTTGCTGCCTAAAGTCGACTATCACGTCGTAGCGCTGCCCTGCGCTGATGAGCAGTCTCTTCATTCGGCGACGCACAAGGTCCGTCCCGTCCGCAGCGATCATCTCTGCGTGTCGGCCATCGAAGCTGACGACCATCGAGGCCGTGGCGATGATGCGGAAGCGAACACGCTCGCGCTTGACGAAGAGGCGGCGTGGGTTGAGTCGGTTGAGACAGTACGGCGAGGAATGACCAGGAGGGAGGAGGGTGCAGTCGAACTGGCCTCTGCCGTTGATCAGCGTTGACTGCGGACCGTGAGTGGTCTCACTAGCTGCGGCCACGGCAAGATCGCTTTCGTGGTCCCAATCCTGCAGCATCAGTACTCGCTCAGAATCGTAGTCCCTCCTGCGCCTGTAAGCCTCCTTCCTGCTTGAGTGAACAATGATCGGGCCTGATAGCCCGCCGCCCATCTGCTCGCCTACATGCGCATGCCACCAGAACGTCCCTGCCTGACCTTCCAGCGGGATGGTGTACGTCTGCCCTTGACCAGGTAGCAAAGAGCATCCAGTCAAGCCAGGGACGCCTTCTGGGTTGGCCATGCTGGCCGAGGTCTCGTTGAAGAACAAGCCGTGCCACTGGATAGAGATGGACTTGTTATGCAGGTTGCCAGTGAGGTGATTGTTCACCGTCAACACCAGTCGATCCCCTTCATTCACCTCCACCAAGGGGCCTGGCATCTGACCATTCACTGCATATACCATTCTCAATCTCCCATCAGGTCGCGCAAGTCGCTCCGTGACATTGAACATGAAATGCCTGACTCGAGGTGCGGCGTGCACGTCGAACCTTTCGTTGAGCCGATAGCTGGGTGCCTTGATGGGTGGATCAGACTGCCGAGCTAGGTCGTGCAGCGTGGGACCTTGCCACATGAGCTTGTGCCCATAGAGGTAGAGGGAGAGCCAGAGGGTTAGGTATCCCATGAAGGCAGGCACGAGGATGTGCGCCCACCGCATGAGGTGTGAGTGCGAGAGAAGCGTGCTGGTGTTGTCGTCGTGGCGCTCTTTCCTGAGTGGGAAGAGGAGCTGCGGGAAGAAGAGATTCGACCCTCGTGGGCTGCCTTGCTGGCTCGGTGACTACCTCATTGCGGGCCGCTACCCTATTACCCGTTACCCGGGCACATTGTAGCGGCTGGATACTGCCGGCGGCGTGAGCGGTAGAGGCTCGGCTCGGCGTTGCGTCACCCTTTCCCACTTCACACGCACCTTTCAGCCTACACAATCAGATGACCTTGACTCACGCTCTACTCTCTGTTCTTGTAGCTTGCCCCGCACGGGATGACGAATTGTCTGCTGGCCCTCACCCTGACGCCATTGTTGCCGCCGCCGCCGCCGCTGCTGTTGCCGTCGAGGGTGCATCTACCAATGTTCCTAGCTCAACCCGTGAGAGACTCTTGCTGGAACGAGTGCGTTTGCTCAGCTACTGCCATTTTGACTTCTCACCAATTTACTCCACTCGTGCTGACCACCACTCTCGACGAGCTGCTAGGCCAGTCGCGTACGGTAGCAGCGAGTGCGAATCAGCCACTCTCCCCTGCCGTGCCACGCGACGCGGGTTCGCTCGTTCCTCTGGCCCGCCCCCTCGGCCGAGGTTTCCTGGCCTCACTGGCAAGTGCCTCGCCTTTATCTACTATCGCCGCACGCAGGGCCTCGGCGAAGCGCCCGTCCGATTCTTTCCATCCGCCAATCCGCTGCGCTGCGCTCGTTCTCCTTGGCGACCCTCACTCGCAGCCTGCCAGTGCTCAAGCCAGCCAGCCAGCCAGCCAACGAGCCTAGCACGCCCTTTCCCCCCTCCCCGTCCGCCTTGTCCGGCGAAAGAAAGTCGAGCTAGGCATCCCGAGGTAAAGGGCGAGTCGCCGCTTTCCCGCTTTCATCCTCGTCCTGGTCCTTCCTTCGTCGTTGTCGCATCGTTGCGTTGGGACCTGAGTCAAGTCTCAGAGAGAAAGAGACCGGACGACTGACCGACCGAGCGAGCGAGCGACTGAACGAGCAAGCAAGCAAGCAAGCAAGCAAGCAAGCAAGCAGACGACGAGGAAGAAGATCTTGCCGCCGACGTTCCACTCTTCATCGACTACACCGTCATCCTCATCATCATCCTACGCAGCCTGCAATCACCTGCTCAGTCTAGCTGCTAGCCAGATCACTAGCACCAAGTTGTGCTCTCGCGCCTGTACTCGAGCTCGCCATGAATATCCCGTGGTATCCTACTTCGGGACCAGGGATGGCATCCTCATCCAAGGCCACAGCATCATCGACACCCGCTCACGATGGCGACGGCACCATGTCCCCCTTCTTCCCGCACGCCCGCATCCCCACAAGCTACGAAGCAGCGGGAAGCAATGACGCCTCATCCTCGAGCGACGCCTCCTCCCTCCCTACGCCAGAAACAGCAAAGGATGCTTGCACCTTGCTGCTAAACGTAGCAGCAGGCAACGCCCATCACCAGCGCCAGCAGATGGCGTCTCATCGAGGAGCAGCTTCTCATCGCGACTTGCACGCCGGCGGATGCGACGATGCCAACCTGGTGGACGTCCTGTTCCCTCGTCAACACGGACGCAATAGCGGTAGCACTGATCAGCACCATGGAGACATCTGTGGCGTTAGTGGCGCGGGAATCTCGAGTACAGAGTGCGACAAGTGTGACTTTAGCATCCTCGACGACAGCAACATCACCCCTGCATGGTGCTCTGAGCCTCACTGCTCTGCTGCTACCACTACATGCTGCGAGGCGGATCATACTGTGACGGGCAACAATACAGCAGCGTCGACGGCTGCGGCGTGGGGTGCTGCTTCTTCGGCGGATCCCTTTGTATGCGACTTTGCGCCTCACAGTCACCTTCAACACTTCGATGACTGCTGCGATCCGCACCATCACTCCATCCCTGCTACAAGCTGCCCAGACGCACACTGCTCCACCTCTGCTGTGGCAGCCACCAACGTCTGCCCAATCGACGGTGAGCCAATCTGCACCGATCCAGCGTGCGACGAGGTAGGCGTGGCAAGTGCCGATGCTTGTAAGGCCTGTGAGCATCCCTCGGTGGAAGGTAAAGCCAACCCTCCTACGATGGACGAAACGATGCAAGCGTTCTGGAACTGCTGTACAGGCTGCCCTGACGGTAGCGGGAATCTTGACTTTGAGGCTTGCTGCAGAGCATTGGATGAGGCAGGGCATGCCGCACATTGCCATGACAGCCACGCTACTACGGCAACGACGACGACTGCGACCGCGACAGGCGGGACCACGACGCCGAATATCTTCGACGACTGCCAATTCATGGTGCCACATCAGCATGACCAGGCGGGACTCTGCATCGATCCGTGCTTGACGCATCAGCATGCTCAGCCTCATGCTCACCACCAACACCACCATCCGCATGGCCAGCAGCACCAGCCGTACAGTGCATCGCTCATGCACACATGCAAATGGGCAGACTGCTCCTTTCGCTGTGCATCGCAGCACGATCTCTACCAGCATGTCAATGATGTGCATCTGCAAGCCCCGAGCTCAACAGCGACGACGAGCAGCGTATGGCCATCCTACGGCGCGCCCTCGACTTCTGCGACGCCAGCGGCACCGGTGTGCCAGTGGGACTCGTGCAACACGCAGCAGAGCGCGCTCTTTACTGGGATGGGCAATGATGCGGACCCTCAAGCCGCACTTCTCGAACATCTGATCCAGAGTCATCTCGGGCCGCTGTCAACGCCGGGGCCACATCAGCACCAGGGAGCCGCGTCGAATTGGCCAACGCATCCCATGTCCAGCTTCTCACACGCGCCCGCCTACCCGCATCCGCACCATCAGCTTCAGCACCACCAGCACCAGCCGCACTCGCAGCTGCAGCCAAGTTGGCGTCACGCACCGCCCCACGTCAAGGGGCCTGGCATTCTGGCGCACGGCCCCTTCAGCAGCTCTGCGAATCAAGCCACGGCCTCCACCTCCTCTCTAGCCGCCTCGCCAAGCACATCTTCTTCCTCCTCAGCCATGGGCGCCGTCTCTCCTCGCACGCCCACCACCTCACCGCTCGATCGCGCCGTGGCAGCGCCGAAGCCGACCCCTCGCGCCACAGGCACAGCCAGCAGCAGTGTCGCCGCTACTCCCTCCAGCTCACAATCCGCAGCGGACGATCAGCCCGTCCCCGACGGCAAACACCCATGCGGCTGGATCAACTGTTCCCTCTCCTTCGGCAGCCATGAAGCCCTCACAAACCACATCGCCTCGGTGCACATCGGCGGTGGAAAATCCTCCTACACCTGCGGCTGGGTCGGATGCGATCGTGCGGCCGAGGGCAAAGAATTCGCACAACGCCAAAAGATTCTGCGACACGTACAGACGCACACGGGGCATCGCCCCTTCAAGTGCGAGACGTGCGGCAAACGTTTCTCCGAAGCCAACACGTTGAGTCAGCATGTCCGCACCCACACGCGCGAAAAGCCCTACGCATGCGACTACCCAGGCTGTACAGCCCGCTTCGCCGTAGCTGGCTCCCTTACGATCCACAAACGCTCCCGTCATACCAATGAGCGACCCTTTGTGTGCGAATGGCCCGGGTGTGGGAAAAGGTTTGCTGAGAGTTCCAACTTGACGAAGCATAGGAGGACTCATAATGGTGAGAAACCCTTTGTGTGCCAGGAGTGTAAGAGGGCTTTTTCGAGGCCTGATCAGTTGCAGAGGCATAGGAAGGTGCACGAGGGGAGTGGGTTGCATACCGGCGCGCACGTTGTGGATGGAGTTGGGGTTGGTGGTGGGGGCGGAGGGGGAGGGGAGGCGAGTGTGAAGAGGCAAAAGATTGATGCTGAGCCGGTGGGGATGGGGATGGGCATGGCGGGTAGCGGAGCGTAGAGACATCAAAGATGGGAGGGAGGGGAAGAGGAGAGGAGCAAGACCATTTGCTAGGTCTTTTTTTTGTACGTGATACCACCCATCCTTCGGTCTCTCGAACTATTCGATCAGATCAGTGAACCCAAGTCTAGTGTACGAATGCAATTGACCGCCGACCCGTATGCTGATGCTCATCCTCGCCTTACCCTCTCGTTCAACGCTCGCTCGCTCACTTGAACAGCAACTCCTTTACCGCACCAAAAGCGGCCTTGAGTCCACCGCGTTTCTTCTTCTGCTGCTGTTGCTCCTGCACCGTTGTCTCTTGTGCTGCTTGTGTTCGTGCCTGTGCCTGTGCTGGCGCTGGCGCTGGCGCAGCGGACGAGGAAGCTGCCGCCGGAGCGGCGTAAAGCTCGTCGTTGAGGTCTAGGCTACCCTGTTGGGCGTGCTTACTGGGCGTGACTTGTGCCGAAGCTGGTGCTGCGGAAGCGATTGCAGGGGCCGCAGCCGCAGCTTGGTTCTGCGGCTCAGTTGGGGCCTGAGGCTGTGCTGCTGGGGCCTTGATTTCTTCTTGAGTAGCAGCGGGAGCAGCGACAGTGATGGGGTCCTTCTTTGCAGGCTTCTTCTCCTCCTCCGTCTCAACGACAGGGAGAGTCTCCTTTTTCCCCCCCTCGCCACTGGGCCCAACAGCTTGGGTGGGCGCCTCAGCGGGTGCAGCCACCTCAGCCGGCCCAGGGGCTGGGGCTTGAGGGGCCGCCTCTCCGCTCAGAGGGGCGTGAGCCGTGGGAGCGGCTGGCTCTGCGCTTGAGGCGGGAGCAGCTGAATGCTCTGGCTTGGCCTCGGAGACGGGGGTAGCCTTCTTCTCCCCCTCCTTGGCTGACGCCGAGAGGGCAGCCGCGGTGGTAGCGGCGGCGGCCGAGGCAGCGGCAGCCACGCCGGCAGCAGCAGCTGCGACAGGAGCTGCCTCCTCCTCCTTCTTCTTCTCTCCCTGTCCAAAGCCCACATTGCCCATCAACTCGACGAGTTGCTGATCTGCTGAAGGGCCCGAGGCCGAAGACTCGGCATGGGCGGCAGCACGAGCGCTCTGTGTTTGCGAGTCGACTTGCATTTCCGATGCGCTTGCCGGGAGTGAGGTTGAAGGGGGAGCAGTGTCCGTCGTGGCGTGGACGGGGGCGGGGTCGGCCTTCTCCTCCTCCTTGATGGCTTCGACGGGCTTGGAAGGAGCCGAGTCTTTCTGCTCCGTCGAGCTGGTGTTGGCGGCGGCGGCGGCAGCAGCAGCGCCGGTAGCAAGGGCAGCTGCTCCTGCGGTTGAGGCGACGATGGGCGCTGCTTCTGTCGAGGATGGAGCGGTGGGCGCGGTAGCTTGCGCTTTGGTGTCCTCTGGCTTGGTCGCTTCTGCCTTCTCCTCTTCTTCATCTTCCTTGTCTTCCTCATCATCTTCGTCGTCCTCCTCAGCCTCGGACTCTTCTCCCTCCGGGTCCAGCTCGTCCAATTCATCCAGAGCATCCTCATGTCCATGCGCTTCGAGCGCCTCCTTGATGCTCGTGATGCACTCGTCATCCTCATCCGCCCAGTTTCCGTTGATCTCCAGCTTCGTCAATGCACTGAGATGACGCTTGATGGCGCCACCCAGCGCCGCCAACCCTTTACGGTCAATATCATCATACTGCAGCTGGAGCGTCTCCAACTTTGTGTTTCCTCCCTTCGCCAGCGCCTCAGCAACCAACATCCCTCCCTTGGGCTTGAGCAGCATGTCGCTCAGGTTGAGCACTTTGAGCTCCGGCCAGTTGGGCAACGCAGCCGCAATGGCCCTCGATCCCCTCAGGGTGGCCGTGTTGTCCTGCAAGTCGAGTACCTCTAGGCCCTTGCACTGGGACAGACCACGGGAGATCGCCTCAATTCCCTCCATCCTGATGCCATTTTGGAACATTCTCACCTCCCTCAGCCCACCGTGCTTTGCAAAAGCTTCAGCCCAGAGGGGCGCAGACCCATTTTCGAGGCGGTTGCGTCCACAGATGACTGTTCGGAGCTGGCTAGTGCCGCCTTCGGACTTGATGGCTTCTGCTGCTTCGATGAGGGCCTTTGCGACGATGGATCCACCAGTGACACCGAGACCGTTGTTGTTGAGTTTGAGGACAGAGTAATGGCGATTTGTCTTGAGGAAGTGGACCATGGGCTCAGCAGATCGTCCGCCGAAGGCATTGTCGCTTAGGTCGAGCTCGACGAGAGCCTCATTCTCTGCCAAGGAGTCGCAGAGAGCCTTGAGCGCTTGTGGAATCTCGCTGATCAATCGACCAGTGAAGATGTCCGCAAAGTCTGCTATGCGCAGCTTCTTCTTTGTGGCGAGGACGGCCGCCAAGGCTTCGCATGCTGGTACGCCTAGGGTGTTACCGCCAAAGTGGACCTCCGTGAGATCGGGAATGGCATTGAGCTCATCGAGATGCGGTTGAATATCCGCTGCGCTGTCGAGCTTGAGATTACGGCCGGCGATGCTAAAGGACATCGTGGCTGTCGAGCTGAATTTGGTGATGTGAAGAGGAGTAGTCAAGAGTTTTGTGTGTGGTGTTGGTCTCGCGACCTGGTGCAGCTCACTCAACGTCGATCTTGCGCGGCGCAGAGCCAAATCAATTCGACCAAAGTCGTCTGTCTCTCCATCCGCTCAATTTGCTTTGCCGGTCCGACTGGCTCTCACACTCAGCCCGCTCTCCGCCGGCTCGTGCTGCTCTCCACCGCGGCTCGCTCCTTTCCATCCTCAATATATGCCAACAATGGCACGCATGCCTCCGCCCTACTTTGGGCAGGCGCTCGCCAGCAACACGGTCTCCTCATCCTCTTCGCAGCAGCCAGCAAAATGGTCTCGCTACCTCCTCACGGCCGCCACGACGTACTGTGCCGCTTGGGGACTCTACTACCTCGCTCAGGACTCCCTCAGACGCAGTACAGTTAGGAGGAGGCGAAAGCGTCATCATCGCAAAATCAAGGGGGCGAGCGGCGTTGATGAGCCTCGAGGCGACGGCGAGTCGTCCATGGCCGTCACACAGCAGTCGCTCAGCAGCGAGGAGTGCGCCGCTATCGAGGAGCGCTTTGCCTCTACCTCCATCTTGGGGCGCTACGTCAACCCTTTCCCTGAATGGAGGGAGCAAGGCGTATGGGAATTCATCGTCTGGAAGGGCCTATACTTCGCCACGCATTTCAGGTTTAATGCTGATGGAGGGATCAAGAAGAGCTCGCAAGAGAGAATCATGAGTAGATTGCAGACGACGCAGCCGAACTGGGCGAAGCATAGGGGGCCGAATACCAAGAAGAGGGGAGTGAACAAGGGCAACAAGGGAGCAGCCGCTGGCTCGGGTTCTGAGCCTGACAGCTGGGATGAGTTGAGCGAGAGCGAGCTGCGAGCCTCCAAGGCTGGGCCACAGCGCTCCCTTAAGCCTTCACAGTCGGATCTGGCGTACACCTGGTGAGCAGCGCGATCAATACGATTCAAGATTGAGGCTGACCTCTACTCCTTCTTTCGCACTCAGGATCGGCCAATCGACCTTCCTCCTCACCCTCTCCTCTCACCTCACAATCCTAACAGACCCAGTCTTCGGCGTCCAACCCATCCCCTCGCTCTTCTCCCCCACTCGCCTCAATACAACCCTCCCTGCGACACTGGAGGACATCCTGTCCCACACGCACATTGACGTCGTAGTAGTGAGTCACAATCACTTCGACCATTTCGACGCGAGGGTGGTGCCGTTGTTGGGCGAGGACACCAAGTGGGTCGTGCCGAAGGGGATGGGCAGGCTGTTGCTGGCATGCGCGGCCAAGGCACCAAGGGAGAACATCTTTGAGCTGGATTGGTGGCAAGAGGTGAAGATCCCCACGGGCGGCGATGGCGAGGACAAGAAGAGTGACGTCGTCCTTCAGGCACGAGCCCTCCCCGCCATGCATTGGACGGCTCGCACTGGCCTGGACACCAACCAATCACTCTGGTGCTCCTACTCACTGGAATTGCGCAGCGCCACCACCTCTTTGTCACCCCACCTCTTCTTCTCTGGCGATACCGGCTACTCGCCTTCACTGTACCGCAGCATCGGCGCCCATTCCGGGCCCTTCGACGTGGCCTTCCTCCCTATTGGCTCCTACTCCCCTCGTTGGCATATGCGACCCCAGCATGTCAGCCCTGAGGACTCGGTAGAGATTGCCAAGGATATCAGGGCGAAGAAGGCTGTCGGGATGCACTGGGGGACGTGGATCATGAGTGATGAGCAGTGGGAGGAGCCGGTGCAGAGATTGGAGGGGCTGGTCAAGGGGAGCCAGTGGTTTGAGACTACTGGGTTGGGAGAGACGAGAGTTTGGCGGGCGCAGTGATGATGCAGTGGATCGATCGTATTAGAGGTAGCTGTGCGTATGTCTAGACGTATTGATAGATGTCCTCCCCTCTCCCCGACCTCACGTCCTCGTTATGCAGAAATGCAGCGACTTGATCTCGTGGGTCTGCTCCCCGTCTGCGGTCCCATCACGACGACGTTGCATTCCCTCCCCCTCCTTTATCTTGGCATTCCTCTTGGGATCCTTGCCACCCCCTTCAGCAGCCACACTGTGCACCTCGGAATCACAGCGCCACTTGAATCTTTGTGCCTCGCCTCCAGGTACGTCGATCCCTTCAATGCCCACCTTGCCCTGCTCCGCCAACAATTTGAAGGTCCGGGCATCGTGACGGAAGACCTCACTTTGCGGGTCTTCCCCCTGCTCGTGCTCGCTACGTGCTGCGGCGGGTTTGCTGCCTTCTTGACGTTTGACCACGTTGTAAGCCTGATCGCAGCCTGTCTGCCTACCAAAGATTATCGAACCAGGACGACGTGAGAGAAGGTAGTCCAGAGCGGCGAGACAGCGCTTTTGCGCTGAGAGGGAGAAGAGGTGAAGGAAGCTGCGGACGAGCAGAGGGGATGATTAGCAGGTGTAAGCTCTTCGTCACTAGCATGAGCGCCTGAGCGCAACGTGCACGCTCACCTTCCCAGGAAAATAACGTCGTACCCCTCTCCCCCATCCGTAAGTTTCTTCAACCTCTCCAAGTCCTCTCTCTTGAACACATCGGCCTCAACCCACTTGACCCCTTCCAGTCCTCCCTCCCCCTCCCGATCACCAAACAGCTCGAATCCAGCCCTCATCAGACTACCCAGCAGATCAGAAGCAACACAGCGCTCCGCAGGAATCCCGGCTCGACCTAGCACAGGGTCGCGGGAGAGAATGGCACGAATGTCCTGCCCGAGACCGCATCCTAGGTCAAGAAAGGTGGGACGACGTGTCCCTCCTTCATCGTTGCGCAGAAGGTCGAGAGCTCGCCCGTAGGGCTCTTGAAATACCATTCCCGGCACCAAGAAGGCGTACGCTGCCAGACAAGGGTATTGCGTCTCGAGCATGATCTTGTCGCGCGTCTTGACTATATGCTCCACCAACTTGCTCTCTTGAGCCTTGCGCTCCTGCTCATCGGCGTCGGCTTGCTCGACTAGGCTGTAGAGGTCCGGTCGCGACCATCGGAAAAGAGCGAGTGTCTCGGGGTCCAAGGGTAGGCGAGGAGTGGGGACGTACAATTGCCTGATGGCGGAGGAGAGAAGGTGGTTGCGATGGTCGGGGGATGGCGGGCCGTCGAAGCCTTCGCCACCTGACGAGGATGTTGGAGACATGGTTGCGAGATGCTCGAGAGTGGCGGTGGTAAAGAAGGCGAAGTGCAAGCTTCCACAGCCTGGTCCCTCTTCTTCTTCTTATGGCTCCCGAGGCCGAGCACCGGTGCAGGTTGCTGACCGGCTTGTATGTACCAAATTCGAGATGCTGACCTCCATTTCAAGCCTCGCGAAGCTCTGAGCTCCACCTCCGCCTTTTGCCTGCAGCCGAAAAACGCCATGCGATCGAGCCGCTGCAGAGCGAGACAAGGTTTGACGGCTCGCTGACCGAGGTACCGTTCTCTGGGGAGCTTGAGCCTCCAAGTCTCCAAGCCTTCCAGCGACGAGCTCGATTCGATGATCTGCAATATCACAGGCAAGGGTGCCGCATCGCTCCCTCGACATCGTTGTCAAGTCAAGCACTCGCTTGTGATATGTCGCTCGACGTACGTGGAGATTGAGGCCGAGCAATGCGTTTCTTGGGCCTCGGGCCTCTGCATGATCACTGAGCCAAAGCCACGCCGCGAGCGGTACGGCGGTACAGTCAGAACCGCGGGAGCTGGAGAGCATCGCCGAGGTTGCCGTCATGCCAGGGTGATTGGCTCGCCGTGCACCGCCGCAGTGGCATGGCCCAACGTAGCATGCAGTGGCAGTCAGATCAACCAGGAAACATCAGGTGCTCGTCATTATTTCGCCTGCTCCTGCTCCACGTGCGGGGCCCATCTCAGCGAAGCCAGTACACAGCGCTTCGCCCTCTCCTCAATTGACCCCATGTCATCGTTCTGGTCCTCCTGCCCATCATTTGCCGACTTGTACCAAGCGCACTTGCCCGTTTCTCCACTCTGGACATTTCGTTCTCTTACGCCGCCCATCTCCTCATCTGGCACAAGCCTACCCATGCCGGACATACCGCGCTCGCACGCCTCAAAGAAACGGCGTACGCAAGGAATACCAGAGTGGTATCCTGCCGCGACTAGTACGCGGCCATGCGTACGGGATATGAGCCGCAATATGGAGTGTATGAGGAGCGGGTGAGATGAGGAAACCCAGAGCGTGTCTGCTATCAAGAGTCGATCATATCCTCCTGGTTGAAGGCTGAACAATGAGAGAGTGGCAAAGGTCAGCCAAGAATAGTCCAGAGAGAGATATTGAGACGAATTGGTGACTCACCTTAACAGCTCGTGTTCTTGCGCCTCGTCACCCCAAGCAAGGCCGCGCACCATGAGCTTTTGCTCATCTTGCTGTGTACTCTCCTGGTCACCTCGCCGTGAGCGCCTCTCCTTCTCCTCCAGCTCGACATTGCCCCTCAAGCATCTCAGTATCCCCTCATCAGGATAGTCCGTCACGACACTTCGTCTTGCTCCCATCCTCGCTGCTACGAGAGAGGGCAGACCCGTACCCGCGCCCAGCTCCAGGGTCGTCTTGCCTCTGACGTCCGCCCAACGTGACGACGCCGATGACGACGGAGAGGAGGAGGACGAAAAGGACGGGGAAGACGAGAGAACGATGTCGTTGGCCAGCTCCCAACCTGCATCCCACTGATAATGGGCGAAGAGCTTTGTATTCACGCCATCGTGGTTCGGAATGTTGTAGGTGAGTGACCCGACCGAGCCGGAGGAGGCAAGGGGGCTTGATGGCAGGAGTGGGTGCGAGTAGACTAGACGCGATCCAGGCGTGCCTCTTGAGGGCGTGTGCACGTCGAAGAGGGAGGAGAGGGAGTCACTGAAGAAGGAGAGGCCCGTATCCGCATCATCATCTTGCTGGTGTTGTCTTGATCTTCTTGAGTCTCCCGCCGTCATATTCCCTGTACCTGAGGTCAAAGCGAGCCTGCTTGCTATCTTGACTAATGTCACCGTCAATCTTGAGCCAATCTCGCTTTGCCTTTACCTCCTCGTCTCAATCAACACCAGGGTCCAAAGTCGTGGAACAGGAACAGGCACCACTTTTTTTCCCGCGGTCCGGCTCAGTCACTCTCTCGGCCTTCTCGCCGGATGAGAAAGCACACACAAGCAGCGCCCCGCACGCGTTGGATTGAGAAGAAAGCACACAAGTAGCGCAGAGCCCCTGCGCTTCGACCTTGGGACTTCCCCACATTCCCGGACCCACCTGACCACGCAGAGCGTCCTACCTTTTTCCGCTCTTCATTCGCTTCTTCTTCAGGTGATTATCCATAGAAAAGCCTTCATATCTATCTAGAGCATCCTCCAGCTTCCACGAGTCAGTCATGACCTCCAGCACATCCGAGCCAAGTCGCGATCCTCCGCTCGCGCCAGGACAGAAGGTGGAGCCCGTCAAGCTCATCATCGATACGGACCCTGGCGTGGACGATATCCTCTGTAAGTAGACCGGAGCGGTACCATCGAAACATGGCCTGTAGAGCAGTCTAATACTCTTCTCTCCGCCACAGCCTTCATCCTCGCCCTCTCCCTCCCGCACGTAGACCTGCTCGCCCTCACCCTGACATTCGGCAACACAACCCTCGACTATGCGCGCGATAACGTGCTGCGACTCTTCGGGGTCTTGCGCAAGCAGTATGAGGCCTCGCCTGAGGGCAGCGCAGAAAGGGAAAGGTGGGGTCGCCTGTTTGGTCCAGAGGCGAGGAACAGGGTCATTGATCTAGCCCTTGGTGCTGAGGGACCCTTGGGAGGCAGGCAGCGCTTTACTGCGTCTTACTTCCATGGGCGTGACGGATTGAGCTCGGTAGCTTTCCTCAAAGACGACCCCTTCCCGCTGCCCGTACCGCCGCCTATGACCGGCCGCAGCAGCGAGGTCGAGGGGACGCCTTACGTGCCAGCTCCTCTCCGCCTCTCTTCGAGCGACTCTGCCTCCACTCTGCTCTCGCACCTGCGCAACAATCCGCCCAACACCATTCGCATCGCGGCCATCGGTCCTCTCACCAATTTGGCCCTCGCCTGGCAAAAGGATCCGCATACGTTCGCTCGCGTTGGGCTCATCTCCGTCATGGGTGGTGCCCTCGATGTACCGGGGAATACGGCGCCTTGCTCCGAGTTCAACACTTATGCTGACCCGTGGGCCGCTAAGGTGCTGTTCGAGGAGGCCGTGGGACATGAGGCGCTCAAGGAGAAGAGAGGACAGAGGTTGCCCATTGAGCTTCTCCCGCTGGACATCACGGGGAGGAGCACTGTGCCCTACAAGAGGTTGATGAGTGGGGGAGACAAGACGCCGTTGAGTCGGTTGTGAGTGCGCGAGCCTCATTCAACAAGCGCTTGAGCGACTGTCTGCTGACCTTATTGCCCGGCCTCCTTCTCACGCGCAGCATCACCTCCATCCTTGCCCATCCCCGCCAAGTGACAAATAGCTACGCCCCCTCCGCCTCCTCCTTCGACCCTGCAGTGCACGACCTCTTCCAAGCGCACGACCCGCTTGCCGTGGCCCACGCCTGCTTTGCCTCTCGCTCTCAAGCGGAAGGCTACCACTCTGCACCTTCGCAAGACGCGGTGCCTAACGAGCGCCGCAGCGAGGACGAGGGGCGCGGCTGGTGCTATCAGGAGCGTCACTTCGCCGTCGAAACGGAGGGGACATTAACGCGTGGCATGTGCGTGGTCGATCGACGTGCTCATGGAGAAGAGGGGGAGAAGAAGGCGAAAGGAAAGAGCAGGGCAGAAATTGTTGCCGAAGAGGAAGCCAGGCAGGCCAATGGCGGCGCCAAGATCGACGAGAGCGAGAGCGCTACGGGTACGCCCGGACTCGTGAGCGTGGTGACAGAGAGCCCTGCAGAGGGAAAGTGGTTCCCGGACGTGTTCTGCTGGAGCTTGGGGTGCTAGAGGACGCCCGTCGTCCAGCCGTCTTTTGCATCGACGGACATCACACTGGATACGTAGAGTCACATCGTCGCATCGCACTGGAATAGCACCATATCGATTAGAGAGGTCACGAGGATGAAACCGCCACGAATCCCTGAATGACTCTTTCTTCCTCTCGGTGACGCTCAATCCACCCTCCTCCTTCTCCCCTCACATTCACTTCGCCTTCGTTGCAGGCAAATGCAACCTACTAGCCAGCTGTCGCGCCTTGACATCTGGCGCCTTGCCAAACGCCTTCCTAACATCAGGCCCAGCTCCAGAAGTCCCATAACCTCCCCTCTTCCCAGCGCTACTTCCCGCGCCGATCGCTCTGCGCTGCTCTTCTCCGAGATACCCAACGATGTACTGCATGCTTCCCCATTCGATGATCTTCTTCTCCAGCCAGACGAGACTGACGGGCTTCTGCAGGAAGTCGTTGCAGCCTGAGGAAAGGGCGGCTACCTTGTCCGAGTTGAGGGAAGAGGCTGTCAGCGCGACGATGATGACGGAGGCGCGGAAGGGGGTAGAGGCCGGGGTGCTCAGGGCCGTGTTGGGGGTTGTGAGACTTGTTGACGAAGCTGAAGAGGAGGTGCCGGTTGTGGTGGTCGACATTCCGTCAACGCCCAACCTGCCCTGTCCACCAGAAGTCGGTCCACCCGAAGGACTGGTTGGCGGCACGACTCCCTCACTCATCTCGCGTCTTCTGATCTCCTTCGTTGCCTCAATACCATCCATGACGGGCAGCTGGATGTCCATCAAGATGAGATGGAAACCACCAGTAGCCCATTTGTCCACCGCCTCGCGTCCGTTGACGGCGACTTCGGACTGGATGCGCTTGCGGTTCATGAACTGCTTCAAGATGCGCTGATTAATGGGGTTGTCCTCAACGATCAGCACCTTAATGGGCGGCAGGACTTTCTCCCGTACTGCGGCTCGACGCGAAGGAGCGCCGCGACGTGTAGTTGGGGCGAACCCTGCGCCGATTAGGAGGCCAGATTGCGGTTGCGCAGATGGACGAACGCCAGAGGAGGGGCCCGCGCCAGTGGAAGCGGCGGCTGTTGACGCTGCTGCTGCCGAGGGAGGAACGCTGACAGGTTGTTCGGGCGAGGTGGATTCGTTGATAGCATCGTTCACGTTCGCGTTGTCATGCTCTGTGCGCTCTGCCTGCCGCGAGGCAGTGGCAGTAGCGCCTGGCTGAGGGGCAGTTGAATTGGCCTCATCAGCGCGTCGGCTCGCGGATACACGACGCACGACTGGCAGGGGCGGTGTAGGCACAGCGGGCGACGGACCTCTGGACATCTCAATGCCCTGCTGTCTCCTGACATCGCTATCCCTACTCTCCTCTCCAGCAATTGCCTGCAGCGATGTCGACGCTGACGCTCCTGATGACTGCGGCGCCAATGATGCGGAAGAGAAAGGCTGAGAGATTGGCGTGGCCAGCGGGGGCGACTTTGCTGCAAGTACTTGATCGATGCCCACCTGCGGCGAGAAGAGGGTACCTGGTGGCGCAGACTGCCAGTCCGTTGCTGGGGAGCGGGCCGTGAGCAATGATGACGATGTCGATGGACCCGCTGAATCTTGCCCTACGCCGTTCCTTGAGGCCAACGTTGGTGGTTCAGCGGTCGTGCCGTCAGATTGAGGCGACTGCTCATCTCCGAGATGTTCCAAGTTGGACGATGTCAAGGGTGTCACTTGCCCACTGTCAGACGCTGTCCCATCAAGCTGCATACTGTTCGCGCCCTCGGAGGAAAGACGTCGTTGCCTCTCAGAAGGCGTTTCGCCCGCCGTGCCCGACTCGTCCAGGATCTTTGCCAGCGGTCTTGCACGGGGAGACGTAACAGCCGCGGTGGACGCATCGTCTTGCACATCCCCACCGGCGCTGCCGCCAGAGATTCGACGTCGGAAGTTGCTCTGGTTGCTGCTTCCTGCACTTCCACCTGCACTGCTCGCGCTCGCGCTGCTCGGGTGCGGCGAGACTTCGCCCGACTTATTCGGCGAGGTGCCATTACCACCAGCCCCAATCGCAGCAGGCGTATTCGCTCCCCCACTCCCTCCCCCACGCGAGGCGCCACTTCTCCTCGTCCCCGCGCTCCCGTGACTGTACGCACTGTTACTTCTACGACCCAGCGCGGGCGGCTTGATGGGCTGAAAGAAGATGCCAGCGGGCTTCCCATCGTGCGACTGTATCATCATCCCGCTCGCTCCTCCTCCACCTCCTGCGCCCAGACCAGTTCCGAGACGGGCTGCCGTCTCGCTGAAGTATTCAAGAGCTTCTACCGGCATTGGACTGCTCGAGCCGGTGGACGAGCGATGTGATGAATGGGAAGACAGGGGTGGTGCTGGGGTGAGGAGGTTGCTTCCGGTGACGGAGGGGGAGGCGGAGGTCGAGTTCGAGGGGGAGCCACGGCTGCCGCCACTAGTGCGCAGGGCGTGGAGGACGGGGGAACGCGACTGCGGCTGGAGGGTGGCCCCCGCTTGTGAAGCATGTTGCTGCATTGTTGGGCTCGCAGCCTCCTCTTCATTACCACCCTCTGAGCTGTTGCTTCTCGACAGCTCCTGACGCAATGGCGTAGGGAGGGACGGCGTGCTGGCCATGACGGACGCCGGATCTGTGCGAGGGAAGTTGGGGATCTTCATACCTGGTCCACGCCTGTTCGGAGATCGTCGGGGCGACGTGGGAACATTGGCGCTGGAGCGTGGTGGCGACGCTGGCGTCGCTGCGCTCCATGCTGATTGCTGAGATGGCGAGGAGGGAGCCGACTTCTTTGACGGTGAAACATCTTGTTGTGGAGGTGCGGGAGTGTTTCCTTTGCTTTCGTGCGAAGGAGAGGCTGCGGCGGACGTACCCTTCGTGTTCGTCGATGACCGCGTTCTTGAGCCCCACAAGTGCGGCGAGCTCGGACTGGTTGCGATAGGCGTAAAAGCTGCATCGACGAACGGTTTGCGCACGGCTGTATGCAGGGCAGTGAGGATTCGGCGGGCGCCGGCTGGCTTAGGGATGACAACTATCTCGGGCAGGAGAGCGTTGGCGGCCACATCGCTGGGTGTGGTAACATTGCTGTCACCCGGAGCTTGCACGCCTCCTTCGAGTAGGCGCTGTACCAGATCCTTTATCGAGCGATAAGTGGCGAGCGACGAGAAGAATATGATGGCCTGCGTCGCACTGCGAGGCGGGGAGACTGACGTTGACGGTCCTCTTCCATCCAATGGAAACTCGGCTGATGCGACGGCTGCCGCATTGTCCGGGTGAGGCGTTGTCTGCCCCAACGCTGTACGTAGGATGGGAAGGGCCGATCGCATGCGCAGGAGCTCTTGCTGTAGCACTTCAACGTCATCGTCGATCATGAGGAAGGAGAAGGCGGGCATCTCGTCGCCGCCGCCGCTGCTGACAGCGCTCGGCGAGGTGGCTCGCACGGTGCTGGCGTTAGAGTTGGCTGAGCCTGATGTGGTATTGCGCTCCATAGGGACGGAAGACGGCTGCGCTGAGCCTGCTGGTGATACGGGGGCTGTGCTGTAACCGCCATCTGGCTTATCGCCGAGCATGACGGGCACACCGGAGACCGGATCCAACACGGCTTGCACTTTATCGATCTTCTCCCCCGCAGCGTCGCCTGATGAAGAAATCTCCTTTGCCAAGTCCGACTTGTACTCCACAAGCGCCGGCCTCCCATCGCCCCCAGAAAGCGCAATGGCCGTCTTCGCCGGCGTGGTTGCAGCTGCTGCTCCTCCTGGACCCTCACCGTGATCACCGGTCGCAATTCGAGTCACTTCACAGCCGAACCGCTGTAGGAGATCCGTGAGACCAGCGGCGAAGGGGCTTTCGCTGTCGGCGTGTAGAGCAGCGCGCTGATCCTTGAGCTCGAACGCGGCAAAGTTGCTCAGCTGGGTCGGCGTGGGATCTTCTGCTAGAGAGGGGCGGGAAAGGTGGGGGATCTTCTCCTGCGCGTCGGTCTTGGTAGTCACGGTCGACGTGGGCGCGCCTGGCGGGGCCAGAGACGCGACGATGGACGGGAAGCTGAGCCTGCCTTTGAGCTTCTCCCCATCTGCTACCGCCCAATCTGCGCCAGCCAGCTGGAGCATGTAGCCTTCAGGAGCAAAGAGCTCGGACCGCGGAGGCATAGCTCCAGATGGCGTCTGAGTTCCTAGGGCGAAGGCGATCTGGTTCTTCTCGAGGAGCAGATCCACCTCTACCGTCGAGCCTTTCGGGGAGAGGTCGATGTAGCGCGACATGGTGTGGATAAGGAGGCAGCGCACCGCTCCTACATCCCCATTGGCCATAACTTGCAGCTGACTTGCTGAGCTCGTGGGGTTTGACGAGTTGTCTGAAAGGAGCACAACCTCGATGCCTTTGTCCGCTGCCTGACCAGAAACAACGTCTGCGGCTCGTTGCACCAGCTCAACCAAATCAAAGCTACTTTCTCTCGATGGCTCGCCATCAGAGGGATGGGTAGCTACCCTGCCACTGATCCAATTCAGCCCTCTGAAGGCCTCCAATACAGCCTGGACGGTTGCGACTGGTACGTGAAGGCTGGTCGCGGAGAGCATCTCTTGCGACTCCTCGAGGAGGTGGTGGGGGATGGTATGTAGGAGGTGAGAGATGGGCAGCTGAAGTGTGTCGAGTATGTGTTGGGCTAGAGCAGAGGGGGAAGAGAGGTCCTCGTGCAGAGGCGATGAGGAGGAAGGTGAAGGGACCGAGGTTGTATGCCGGATCGAGGACGAGGTAGCAGAATGCGACGCTGCTTGGGGGGATGCAAGACCGTTGCGCGAGGTCGCAGCTCCCTCATTGTACGATGATGTCGCTCGCTGTGATGGACGAGGATGTCTCAGATCTCCCATACGATGACTCAATGGCGTACTGATGGAGCGATGCACCGTTTGCCGCGGCATAGAAGTATGATCATCTGGGTGCGCCGGAGTAGCAGGGCTTTCGCTACGATCGTTCACGACACTACCACCCTCCCTTTGTGTCGAAGAGGATGGAGGAGAAGGGGACGGAGATTGAACTCGAGTAGTGATCGGAGGAGTAGGAGTTGGGGAAGGGCGCCTCGTCGGTAGGCAGCCCATTGCTGCTGAAGAGGATGGGGATGAGGATGACGATGGTGGCAGGGCCGCTTCCCCGTTGCCGTGTATGCGCGAAGACTGAAGAGCCGCACCCTCTTCTTCTTCCTTTTCACCAGATCTGAATTTACTGCTGCTAGCCATGCCTTGAGCAGCAGCAGGCGGAGGGAACACAGGGAGCGATGGAGTCGAAGCGGAGCAGAGATGAACGAGCGGCAAGATGGCTCATCGATGCCGGCCCGCTTGCCCGCCTGCCAGTCCGACTCGCAGCTCCGCCCGCCCTCGACGGGAGGACGACGCGACATCAATCAAATCGAAGCCCTTTGCCCGCTTGAACAAAGGATCAGGCCGAGCAGATCGCAGACAGATGGTAGAGAGAGCTTCTCAATCAGACGATCGCGCCGGGTGATTATTTGGCTGAACCATGAACTTCATTTGCCTCCGTCCTGCTACGACAGTTTCGCCGCCTTCTGCCCGAGCGAGTCCACCACGTTACTGATATGACGCAGCGCCTCGAGGGAAGCTTCGTACGTCTCCTGTTGAATGAAGGCAGCATGTAGTCAGTGGTCGTGCTCCTTCCTCCCTTCAGTGTGTTCGCACTCACATCCCTGCCCCTGTCCTCGAACACGATGAGACTTCTGTTGCTCTGATCCAGCACACCGGCAAGCGTCTTGTCCAGGATCATCTGGCTCAGCTTGACCTCCACCTCCCGTACTGGCTGGCCGACAGAAGAAGCGACATGATCGATCTCGACCCGAGAGTATGGCTCGATGATCCTAAGGAGATTCTGCTCGAGGAGAGTGTCATACAGCGCCGAGAGGTGGGCTCGGATGATGGGGTCGGCGGAGAGTTCTGTATGAGGGCGAATGAACGTATCGTGTAAGCAGTCAGGCTCAATCATTCTCGAGTACTCCTTCTGGCGGATACCTACCATCCTTGTACTCCTTCAACGTCTTCTCGAAACCTTCAAGACTGCGCTTCTCATGAGCCTCCGCCACCTTCTGCATCGCCTCAACATCCCTCCCGATGCCAGCGTACTTTTGTGCAACTTTACCCTGAACAATAGCCGTCACATCCTCAGAAAGGTTGAGCATGACCTTGCAGAGAAGCATGTACTTGAGGGCTAGCGGGGCTTGTTGAGCCTGCTTGCTCCCACCTCCTCCTGCCCCGGCTGCAGGAGCGCCACCAGAGTTGGCCTTGGCCGCCGCCGCATTGCTCGCCGCAGTGACGGCTGAAAGACCCTCGAGAGTCTCGAAGAAGTAGGAGTACGCCGTAGCATAATCCTTGTCCTCCGCATGAAGGATACCCGACTGCATATCCAGCTGAGCCTGTAGCGCCGGCGGGCAGTAGATGGAATTGGCCGACGTCCTAGCCGACGTCAATGACGCCTTTGCCTTCTCTGCATTCCTGATTGCATGATTGACGCGAGACTCCAGCAGATGCACCTCAGTCAGCATAGCCTTATCGTCCAACTTCTTGAGCTCGCGCAGCAGCGAGTCGATGAGGGGAAGGGCTTCGCGGAACTGACGCGTCTCGTAGTAGAGGGCGATGAGGCGGGTCTCGAGGTTTTGGCTCAGGAAGATACGGCGAGAGGAGCGGGCCCACTCGATGTTCTCCTTGATTGTATCAATTTGGATCTTGGCCGAGTCAGGGATATCGGCGAAGAAGTCGAGGAGGGAGCGGATGAGCTTGGCCGTCTTCGCCTTTGCGATGGAGGCCATGAAGGTGCGGGAGGAGCGGACTGTTGCTGCTAGCTGAGTAGGGTTGCGGGTGTCACGGTAGAGCTGACCAAGACGGAGCAGGGCTTGCTCTTGCTGCTTGAGGGCATCTTCGTCGTCTGGTTTTGGCGGGGTGGAGAGGATGGATTGTAGGATGGACTCGCCGCGGGACTGATCGCCGGATGCGAGTGCGGCATTGGCTTCTGCGAGTGTAGGAATACTGCCATTAGTGGCAGTCGGCTTGGCTGTTGATGTTGAAGCCATGCTGAGCGAGAAGGGCGAGTGATGGTTTCGAGGAGTGCGAGGAGAAGGAGCCAGTTGGACTCGTTGAGTGGGTGTCGAGTGGCCCAAGCGGAGGCGCGCGGAAGGGGAGACGAAGGGCTGACGACGCCCTCTTGACGGGGCGAAGCTCCACTCGCGATCCAACTGACCTCGACAGACTTCAACACCTTCTCCCTTCCTCATCAACACGACCGGCTGACTACCCGCAAACATGTCATCGAGCGAAGACGTTCCTCTCCCCATCCCGGACATTACAGTCCAGCAACACCTCTTCACTCTCGTCTCTCCTCGTTCCACCTCAGCCCAGCAGAGCTCCGCCCGCGATGCAATCCTCGCTGCAGTCAAAAAGGACAAGATGGCTCCCTACTACTCGTACCTCTTCACCATTCCAGAGATCGCCGCCTCTCCGAATCTCCTCAAGAAGGACAACTCCTTGCTGACCGAGTTGCAGGAAGCCAACAAGGCTGATCTGGCTGCCTTCGACGAGGAGGAGAAGAAGAACGAAGAGGAGGAGGGAGACATGGAAGTGGCAGCTGTCAAGCGCAAGAGGGCAGTCTACTTGGCTCAAATCGGCGACAAGGAGCAGGGACTTGAGGCCCTCAAGAAGCTGTCCTCCAGCCCATCGGTGGGCGTAGGATCGAGGATCGATCTGGCCATGGCGCAGATTAGGGTTGGGTTGTTCTATGGCGATGCCCATGTTACCGCGCAGAGCATTGAACAGGCGAGGATGTGAGTGCGCCACCAAATAGCTCTGACAGAAAGCATTGCACAGAAGCTGACTTGGTCCCCACCCCTTGCTCGCACGCAGTCTCATCGAGAAGGGAGGCGACTGGGATCGTCGTAATCGCCTCAAGGTCTACGAGGGCCTTCACCTCCTCTCCATCCGTGACTTCAAGCGAGGCGGGCAGCTCTTCCTTGACGCCCTTCCCACTTTTACGGCCACAGAGCTCATCAGCTTCCACGACTTTGTCAGCCTGACTGTGCTCTCGAACCTGTTGAGATTGGGTTGGGAGGGAAAGCGCGCCGAGCTGCGCAAGAAGGTCATTGACTCGAGTGAGGTATTGCAGGTAATCGTGAGTGAGCGCAGCGATGCGCATAGTGGCTATAGAGCACTCCAGAGCTGACCGTCCTGCCTTTGTTTGCTCGCGCAGGACGACATGCCCCACCTCAAGTCCCTCTCCACCTCCCTGTACAACGCCGAATACTCCACCTTCTTCAAGTCCCTCGCAGAAGTCGAGCAAAATCACCTCCTCCCCTCGCGTCTCCTTTCTCCTCACTCGCAGTTCTACGTACGCGAGATGCGCATAATCGCCTACGGCCAGCTTCTGGAGTCATACAGGTCGCTGACGGTCGACAGCATGGCGAGGGAGTTCGGCGTCAAGAAGGAGTTCATCGATTCGGACTTGGCGAGGTTCATTGCGGCAGGGAGGCTGACGGCAGTCATCGATAGAGTTGCTGGAGTTGTCGAGACGAGGAGGCCAGACAGCAAGAATGCGCAGTACGCTAGGATGATCAAGGAGGGAGACATTGTCTTGAGTGAGTAGCGACCGGTAAGAAAGGAGGAAGATGAAGAGCATACAGGCTGACAACGTACTGTTCTTCCCTTTGATCCGCTTACAGACTCATTGCAGAAGCTCAGCAGGACAGTGCTGTAGATGACGAAGAGATCAATACAAAGCAGCTGTCATCCTCTCTGTCTTCCTCCTTGTCGCCTCTCGATTGTGAATGCGTGCATTGGCTCTGTCGTGAATCGATGGGCCGTGCGCTCTCTGCGTCGGACTGGCGTCGATGAGGCGGCGGCGTCAGCGAGATGTCCTGTTGCCTTCCTTCTCTCCCCTCCAATATCCTCTTACTTGCCCCTTGCCGCCCGCAATGAAGGTCGTCGTAACAGGCGCCTCCGGTCTACTAGGGCGAGCAGTCTTCTCGCACCTCACCGCCCTCGATGATGGGTCGCACCAGGTCTCTGGCCTGGCGCGCTCGCGATCGCAGCCGCCGCTCACTCAACTCGACCTTCTGGACAGCTCAGCCCTTCGCTCCCACCTCTCCTCTTTCCAGCCTGACGTAATTATCCATTGTGCAGCGGAACGTCGGCCAGATGTAGTAGAGAAGGAGCCCGAGCGAAGCCAAGAGTTGAACGTCGACGTTCCCGCCAGGCTGGCGGAGATGAGCAAGGAAATGGGGTTCCGCCTCATCTACATCAGCACAGACTATGTATTTGATGGAAGCAAGCCGCCATATACTGTGGAGAGTGAGCCGAATCCTCTGAATGCGTATGGGACGAGCAAGTTGCTGGGAGAGAGGATGGTCAGGGAGAAGGGCGAGGAGGGGAGGGTTACCTGTTTGAGGGTGCCTGTATTGTGAGTGTGAGCCAAAGGATGAAATGACCTCGGGAGATGACTAACACCCTCCTCTCGTCACACATACACAGATACGGCCCTACCCTCACTCCCACCGAATCAGCAGTCAATGTCCTCACCACGGTCATTCTTCCTCCCGCGGATCCCAACAAGATGATCAAGATGGACGCCTACGCAGTCCGCTACCCAACCAACGTTCAGGACGTTGCTCGCATCCTTGGCAACGTCGCAAGCCTCTCCCTGACCAAGCCCCTCCCGCCCATTCTGCACTACCAAGCAACAGAGGCAATGACCAAATACGACATGTGCAACGTCTTCTCGCGCTTGCAGAATCGTCACTCGCCCCCACTCAAGGAGACGTCCGTCTCCCACCTGGACCCGGAGTACGAGGTTGACCCGGTGGCTGCTACTGCTCGCCCGAGACACTGCAAGATGGACACGAGTGCATTGCAAGAGTACGGTGTGGATGTGGGACACACGGAATTTGAGGAGTGGTGGTCGGGGGAGATGGAGAGGGAGAGGGGGAGGGAGGAAAAGAGGTTGGAGGAGGCAGCCAGGGAGGCAGAGGCCGCAAGGCGAAAGGCTGAGGAGGAAGAGAAAGAGAGGCAGAAAAAAGCAGAGGAGGCGGAGAAAGAGAGGCGACGCCTTGAGGAGGAAGAGCGGCAGAGGAAGGCGGCAGAGGAGCGACAGCGCGCCGAGGAGGAGGCGAAGGAGCAGCAGAAACGGGAGGAAGAGGAGAGGCAGGCGCAAGAGGCAAAGCAGGTCGCCGAAGAGGCTGCGGCTGCTGCTGCTGCTGCTTCATCTGCTACCACCGCTACCTCTCCTACATCCCCAACCTCCCCGAGTAAAGAGGATTCTTCGTCTCGCGACGCACCCGAGGAGGCCGTAGTAGAAGGTGACGAATCGCAGTCGGCCAGCCGCGACCCAGCCCTGGGTGCCCCAGCTCGCGAGCAGTCCCCACACCCGTCCTTCTCCTCCCTCCGAGCAAGGCCCACCCCACCGGATGTACGCAGCCCTTCAAGCTCTCAGCCCACATCGCTCCGCAATGCCGAAGGGGTCGTGCAGCCCCCAGTCTCACTTGCCTCGCAGCCACTCGAGCGCGTCGAACAGGAACACAATGAGGCGCCGCCTACGCCGCCCAAACCGGGCAGGGGCCCAGCATCAGCCGCCATGGACCAGAGTGTGTCAGAAAGCTCCTCCGCCTCTACGCCGCAGGGCTCTCAGACTATCCGGCCTAATCCATTTAGGCAGCCGCCTGAGATGCCTGCACAGCTTGACATCGGGACGCAAGGTGGTAGAGCGGGACCGGATGAGGATGAGGAGATCTACGGTCAAGCTTCGCCTCATCCTTCAAGGGCGCAGAGGGCGGTGGTAGAAGGCGAGCAGCAAGATGGGGAGAGAGGAGCCTTCCAGAAGGGGTATGGTGAGGTCAAGGCCGGCCTGGACGAAGCCACAGGCAACGCTGACGCTGCGACGTCAAGCCAGTTGGCCGGGCCCGCTCAGCCCACATTTACGATCAAAGTCGGCGACCCGCACAAAGTCGGAGACCATCTCGCCTCAACAGGGCACATAGTCTACACTGTTCGGACCACCACCAACTCGCTTCTTTACAGATCGCCGCAATTTTCCTCCCTCAGGAGATACAATGACTTTCGCTGGCTGCATGCTGCACTGGTGCACAACAATCCGGGTATCATCATCCCGCCTGTACCCGAAAAGGTTCGCGGGCTTATCAGCCGCTTCTCACCAGATCTGGTCGAGGCGCGCCGTCATGGGCTGGAAACTTGCGTGAACAAGATCTGCGCCCATCCGGTGCTCTGCAAAGATGAGGACCTGCGCCTCTTCCTAGAGAGCGAAGATTTTGCCCGCGATGTGAAGCTGAGGGATGCGAGAAAGGGCGCTGTGCCCACGCCGGAGCAGCGGACTTGGATGGGATGGAGTGGGACGGTTGGAGTCAACAGTGGAGTCAAGTATACCGAGGGAGATGAGGTGAGTATGTGGGGCGAGTGCAACGCTACGTACACTGTCACGAGCACTTGCTGACCCTGCTCCCTCGTTTGACTCGCACAGTGGTTCGACGCGCAGCGTGCCTACCTGGACTCACTGGAGGCACAGCTCAAGCACATGGTGAAAGGGATCAACGCCCTCTCTTCGTCACGCAAGGAGCTTGCCGACTCAATTGCTGCCTCCTCGCATGCGCTGATGATGTTGAGCGGCTCATCATTGTCCCGCTCCCTGTCTGCTGCTTTCGCCGGCTTGGGTGACTTGCAAAGGAGAGCACAGGAGCTCGAAGAGGTGCAAAGTGATCGGTGAGCAGCCTCGCCTTCTTGCCTCCCCCACTTCGTAATCACTAGGCTGACCATTCGTATCTCGCCCGCCACTCGCAGCGACATACGCCAGTTCGGCTCCGTCCTTTACGAGTACGAGCGTGTCGTAGGCTCAGTCCGCAAAGCCTTCTCGTCCCGCATCGACTGTTGGCACCTGATGGTCAAGTCAGACGAGGAGTTCCGCAAGGCCCGCGTGAGGCACGATCGGCTCAAAGGTTCCTCTTCCAACCCAAACGGGTACGACTCTTCCTCCTCCGGCGGGGCAGGCGGGTCATACCATCACTTCCACCAATACGAGGAATCAGTCCGCGATCTTGGTGAGAGCGAGACGAGGGCGCTCGAGGCGAGGGCGAGATTCGATTTGGTGGGCAAGAGGTGTAAAGAGGAGATGGCTAGGTTCGATCGGGAGAGATGCAAGGATGTCATGCGGGCGGTGGATGAGTGGTTGTCGGGGATGTTGGAGAGGAGGGAGGAGCTGCTGCAGGAGTGGGAGGAGTATGCGCGCAGATGTCTTGGTATTGAGCTGGGTGATCCGCCGCCGCCGAAAGAAGGGGAAGAGGAGAAGGCCGTCGATGCTGCTGCTGCTGCTCCTGCTCCTGCCACCGCCGCAGATGCCGCAAAGCAAGCTGAGACCAATGGCGACGAAGCGCAAGCGAAGGATACTGCCAAGGCTACAGAGCAGGGACAAGATCCAATCGCTTCGAGCACAGAAGAGACCGCAGATACCTCGAAGCCGCCAGCAGACGTCCAGATTGTCACTACCGAGGCTAACGACGATCAGAAAGCCACGCAGCGGGTTGAGGACGTCCCGCCGCCTAATGAGCCGGATCAGTCCGGCAGGACGCAAAGGCAAGCCTCTTTGGAGACGGTTGGTGAAACTGGCGTTAGTGGGGACAGCGTACTGGCGGACACACGGCGGGACACGGAGGAAACGAATGAGCAGCCGGTGCCTGACCGAGATGGCGCTGACGCCGCCACAGAGAGGGAACAAGCTGCGGCCGTCGTGCCTGACGTGAGCAGTACGCACGGCACGAGCGGTACCGAGGGCGAAGATCAAGAGACCAAGCAAGCGGAGAACGCGGGTCTGGCTTCGACACCTCCCTCGTAAACAAAAGCAACGACACAATGAAATGACGATCGAGACGTCAAGATAAGTAATTGGGACAAAATGAGCGCGTCTATGATAGCGAGAGCGAACATCAGTGAGAAGGCGCGGCAAAGAGGCTCTGCCTTCCTCGACGCTCGTGATGGTGATGGCGACGCATCTCACGGCGCTGATGCTCGGCATCAGCGTCGCGCTCCCTTGCCTTCTCTTTCTCCCAATCAGCCAGCCAAGACTTGACCGCAGCGATCAGCTGGTCCTGCACATGCTGAACGCGCCACGGCTTCGTAACATTAGTACCAGGCACGACGCCGTACTCGTCATCGTGGTGGATCCCATCTGGAATCAAGATCGTCGGCCTCTCGAGAGTGTTAGGCCGGGTACCTCCATTGGCGTAGAGCTCCGAGTGAGCGCTGACCTCACGCCAAGGGTCGAATTGACCATTGACCAGGGCGAGGCGAGGCATATCGATGCTGAAATTGCCGTGCGAGTTGAACCAGGTGTTGTTCGCCTTCTCCGCCATGGGGAACCTGCCGGAGGGCCCAACCGCGTAGTTTGTCTTGCAGTATCCGCTGGCCGTCGCCTCGTCCAGCAAGGCCGAGACGACCTGGGGCCCGCTCGGGGTGAGCGACCCATTGGCTGTAGGCGAGGCGGTTTGGAACTGGCCAAATTCCATGCAAGCCATGTAGAACCAGACCCACCCGTCATCCAGCTCTTCGGGGGGTGGAACGGGCTTATGGTCTATCTCAAAGCACTTGACTGCGCTGGAGTTGGGTCGCGACACACATGAGTCGATCGATCTGGCACGACATATACCCGCGAGACGAAGCAGCTCCTCGGGCACCTCTTCGGGTGTGAGGCCTAGCTGCTCTCGTTGCTTGCGTAGCGGCGCAACGCGCGTCTCGTTCGTCACGGCTAAGTCGAGGAGGTACTGCTCAAACTGTGGGGCGTGAGGCTCATACCACGAGTTGCCTTGGTGCTGAGGTGAGCCAATAGGTCAGCAGTGACGCTGCTTGGACGGTTCAGCCTCCCACTTACCCAGCCAAGAGCCGAAGTGGCAAGGAAGGCGAGGGATAAAGGATTCTTGATACCCTTGAGATTGAACAGCTCGAGCAACTTGGCAAACTTCTTCTGGTCAATGTTGGTCTGCTTGGAACCGCGCGACGGCTCAGGTGCGACGATCTTGTCCATGGCTCGGATCGCGGCTTGGAGTCCCTGAATGGCAGTGGCATTGTTGCCTCTCGCGATCTGGTGGTAGTAGCCATAATTGTTCCTCACGCTCGCCACAACTCCGGAAGAGCTGATAGCCCCGTAGACGAGCTGGGGGAAGAGCTTCCTCAGGTGAGCCACTCTGGCACCAGCGTAGCTTCCGCCGTACAGGATGATTGCAGCAGAGCCAGTCTGGGCCGTCAGGTCCTCTTCGACGCCAGTGATGTTCAGATGCTCAAAGAAGGCGACACTGTCCGCTAGGCTTTGCTGGTAGCGGACGAACTCGAACTGGTCCGTCGTCCAAGTCTTGCCTGGGCCTAGTGCAGAGCGCGGAGGGTGCGAAGTGCCAAAGAAGCGGTTCTCAAGGACGATGCCTATGCCGCCTGCGTGCGTGCAGATGGAAACGCGTCAGTTCAATACTACGCCTCCGCGAGCTACCTTTCCTTCAGACTCGGACTGACCGGTCTGCTGCGCAAGAATGTCAATTATTCCATGGTCCAAGATGTTCAGCCGTTGCCAAGCGCTCAGCTCCCCATTGTCGAAGATATACACAGGACAGGGCTCTCCCTTCTTCCTCTCGCTGGGCTTCTTGTAGTGGCGCAACGTGTAATAATATCGCTGAGGAAAGGTGATGTTGTTGCTGTTGCCGAGATGGTCAAGAGGTTGCGTGAAGTTGGCTTCGATGATATCCGCGTAGGGATTGTTGGAGCCATCGTCCTTCTGGTCGTAGCCGCCTGAGGCGTGCGGGCGAGGAGCGTAGATCGTTTGCTGGAGCATGCGCCAGCCGCCGTATCGAGGGCTGCACGAAGCAGGGAGAGAAAGTGAGGGGTCCGAGGTCAGTAAATGTCCAACGCGTCGCCGCGGAGGCTCGCCATTACTTACAGCGGCAAGCCTTGAAGGGCAGTGGCACACTGAAGAAGCGGCGTGCTCACCAGCAGGAAAGCAGCGAGTAGGGACAGCATATGTTGGAGAAGGATCGTGGATAGGCGAGGGATGATCAAGAGGAGAGAGACGGAGCGCAAGGTGCGTGAGCAAGGGGCAAGAAGGGACTGGACGGCCAGATAGCGCAGAACCAAACGCTACCTTCATGACGGATGGAAATCAAGGCACGGCAATTGCGCCGACGCTTATGAGCGTGTCCCTCTGTGGATCCGTATCTTCTGTACCAGCCGCCGGCAGCGATGTCTCAAAGAAGATGGGCGGCGTTCGGGCGGACCAATACCAATCAAGGCTTGACGGCCCGCCGCTGTGGCCAAAGGGTAACAAGTGGTGCTTACTGATGGATTGGTCAGCAATCTGAACTTCTCGAATACAGAAGGGTATGGGGCCGTGAGTCTATTATGAGCCATTGAAGGCAAATCTGCAATGATGGCTCTGGCCCTCCTCGACGGCCCGCGTCGAAGGACTAGCGACTCGAGCTGCTTGTCAGCTACAGAGATAACAGCTACTTCCTTGGGCTCTCACGCCGACAGTTCCGTCGGAGCCCCCTCACGAGACCCCTCGCTACGATGCCCCGGCCACTGACTTAACCAATGAGCCGTAGCCTCCAGCATCATCTTCTGCGCCGCCTCTATCGCGAACGGCTTCTTGACGGTCGAGTTGGGAGGAGTGTTGAACATCTCCTGGTGAGGGAGCAGAGAGAGCGAGAGGGACGCCCGGTCAGTTCGGATTGTGGGTAGCCTGGCGCCACAGACACTCACCCAGTGGTGGCCCGCACCCGGCGTGAGGATGAAGGGTTCGTCCAGCGTATTGCTACGATCCCCGCCGTGAGCCAGGTACTCGGAGTGGACGCTGAGACTTCTCCAAGGATCTTTCTCTCCGTCAACCCACCCCAGCCTGCTCTTTCTGATCGTAAAATTGCCCAGTCCATTGAAGAAGCGTCCATCGGGCTCTTTTGGCATATCGAAGTGCTTGCCTTTAGGAAAGAAAGCAGGATCATCACATTCTGCTCTTGAGTACCTGAGGTCGATGAGACTAGACAGGACCTTTGGACCCGCAAGGGAGGCGGGGAGAGATGCAGGAGGTGCAGTGCGATACCACCCGTATTCGGTGCATTGTTGGAAGACGAAGGCCTGCGTGCGATCAGACGAACAGGTCAGCCAGAACATGACGCTGACCAGAGTGCGTTCTCACTTTGCCCTCATTGAGTTCCGGATCAGGCGTTAGCCACACCTCTTGAGTCTTGCGCCCAAAACAAGCGTCCGCCGAGCCACCGTCATTCTGCCCCGTGCAGCCATCAACGACATTCTGCCTCAGCCAATGGATCAACTTCAGCGCTTCATCGTTGAGCTCGCCCTGCTTGAATCCGAGGTGAACAGCTTGCTCACGCAGCGAGACCAGATCTTTATCCTCGGTGTGCGCCATCGCGTTCAGGTAGGCTGGATAGGTCGGGTCAGGGTCGATCCATACTGCGGTTTGGTGCTGCGATTACGAATACGAGGGCACCAGTCAGCAAATCATTGCAAGGTTCGCTTGCCTGACCGCTACCTACACCGTCGAGCGGATCGCGGGCAAGGGAAGCCCAATCAGCCGGCTCGGTCATGTTAGGCACGCCAGCCAGGGTGAGAAAGGCGGCCAGCTTCTTGCGGTCCCGCTTAGGCTGTACGGGGCCCTTTGCTGGTTCGGGAGCAAGGATGGCGTCGATCGAGGCCCAGGCTGCTTGCAGAGATTGGACGGCCGTGACATTGTCGCTGCGAGCGATGGTCCAGTAGTAAGTGTAGAAGTCAGGCAGGGCGAGAATGGGGGCAGAGGATGCCCAGGCGCCAAAGACGCTGCCGAGAAGGGCGCTCAAGAGGGGTTCAGCGTTCAAGAGAGTGGGTGAGGCTGTAGTCTACTTCACTCACAGCTCTGGGTATTTTATCCTCAGATGCGCCGCTCTTGCCCCAGACAGCGACCCGCCGTAAACGATGACCGGCATTTGATCTACGTCGGCCTGATTCACGCCATCGAAATGCATCCCTCCGCGGATGAATCGAGCCGTATCCTCCAAGCTCTGCCTATGGGTCAACCATCGCATCTCATCCACACCCCACGTCTTTGGTCTGCCGTCGAAGGCTGTCAAGTTTGGATAGCTCTTGCCGTAGTATCGATTCTCAAGCACAATGCCTATGCCGCCGAAGCTCTTGGTGAAGTTGGAGATTAGGTGCGTATCCAGCATCGTCAGGCGCTCCTCCGCATTGAATTCTCCAGCATCGAAGAGGAAGATTGCGGAGGGGGCTGCGCGGTGCGAGCGCGCGCTGTTGGGGACATAGTCTGCTAGAGAGTACCAGTAGCGCTGTTGAAAGGTAAGGTTGGTCGTGTGGTCGAAGTGATCTAGCGTCTGCGTAAAATGGCCGGCTCGGATCGAGGATTTGTTGGCGGTCGCCGCTGTACTGCCCTTTGCCGATGCGAGGGTGAGGATCGAGGGCAGGATGATCAGCGGACTCAACAGCATGATGGATACCGAGCTGGCGGTGAGTAAAGGAGACGTCTATCGGATGAGTCGCTCGTCAGAAGGGATACGGGCATATTTGGATCAGCGAGCTTTTGCCGTGCGGTGCAAGGCTGTGTTCTCTGTCATATTTCATGTCCTTTGACATAGGCAAGCGATTGAGCAGCGGCTCGCTATTTGTTCGACGGATGGCAACGAGGGGAAGTTGTTGGGCAAGAGAGAAAGGTAAGAAGCTGTGACCGTCGGGGGCGGCCCGTGCGTCGCGTGGACACACTCTTGGTCCGCTCTTCGTCAGGTCAACGGAACAAGCGCCCAGTCGGCGGCTGGAGATTGCGGACCTCGTTGCTGTCCCAACCCTCATCTCGAGAAAGTCAGCGACTGCGCCTTCTCTCTCTCGCTCCTTCTCCACTTGATGCTCGGCCTCGCCCGCCAGCATCGCCTTCTCAGCACTCCTTCCCGCCTTCTGTCCCTCTCCCACCTCGCCCTTCTCTGCCTCCACCGACCCGCTCAGCACCACGCTGCACGCTTCCTCATGACGACTCCCAGTCACCTGTCCCCGGCGCCCGGCTGGGACATCAGCAAGAAGCCCTTTCCGCCAGCCCAGCGTGGTGACCAGGTCGACACCTACAAGAGCGCTGCGCAGGGTGAAGTGAAGATCGCAGACCCGTACCGCTGGCTGGAGACGCCGCCCAACCAGAGCCCAGAGACGAAGAAATGGGTCGAGTCTCAGGCCGACTTTGCGCAGTCGTACATCCAGCAGTTTGAGGGGCGAGACGAGCTCAAGAAGCGTCTCGAGGCTAGCTTCAGTTATGCGCGATACTCGTGCCCCTCTTTGAAGTACGATGGACGATTCTATTACAACTTCAACTCTGGGCTCGAGTCGCAGAGCCGCATCTTCAAGGCAGACCCGAAGCAGATTGATGAGGTCGAGAAGAGGGGTAGCGCAGCAGACGCCGGACCGCCAGGAGAGGTCTTCTTCGATGCTAACAAGCTCAGCAAAGATGGCACTGTGGCCTTGACGTGAGTCCCCGCTAGCATGGCTGGTATGCGGCGGTGGTCCCCAACTTACGCCTTTTCTCTCCCCCTCATGTCCCGCATACAGCGTTCTCTCCTTCTCCCACTCTGGCAAATACCTTGCATACGGCGTCAGCAAGTCAGGATCAGACTGGTACAGCGTCTATTTCCGCTCAACGGACAAGCCCTTTGCTCCCACCGAGTCCGCCGTAGAGGAAGCCGACAAGGGTGGCAAAGATCGTCTGGCCGACTCTCTTTCTGGGCTCAAGTTCTCGGGAGTCACCTGGCTACACGATGACTCTGGCGTTCTTTTCCAAACTTACCCTCCGCCAGCTCAGGCCGCCGACTTGGGGAGCGACACGGATGCCAATCGCGATGCGCGACTCTTCTACCATGCTATGGGCTCGAAGGGAGGGGACGAGGATCGCCTCATCCTCGGCGTTGACAAAGCCCATCCGAACGGCATGTGGGGAGCAGAAGTGACGGACGATGGGAAATTTCTGTTCATCTCCAACAGCGAGACGACCGACCCGCGCACGAGGCACTTCGTTGCGGCCCTCAACGAGGACGGCTCGATGCCCAAGGAGCTCAAGTGGCTCTGCGTGGCGGACAAATTCGACTTCAATCTAGGCCTTCTCGCCAATGACGGCAACAAGTTCTACCTCATGACGAACAAGGATGCTCCGCGCTACCGTATCGTAACAATGACGTTTGACCCGGCGAAGGCCAAGGCCACGACGGAGCCTTGGACGTTGCCCGTTGATGATTCGGTCAAGATCGAGGAGCTTGTTCCGGAGGGGCCGGACGGCGCCGTACTGGGCTCGGCAACTGTGCTCGACAATGACAAGCTGGTGAGTCTGCGCGCATACCTACGTGAAGCTGAACAGCTCGCTAACCTCCCGTCCCTTCCCTGCCGCTCGCAGCTCCTCGTCTACTCGCGAAACGTAATCGACGAGCTCCACTTGTATGACCTCACCTCCGGCAAGCACATCGAGCGTCTCCTGCCCAACCTCGTAGGCTCCATCGGTCAAATCAGCGGCAAGCGAGAAGACACGACCTCCTTCGTCTCGACCTCCTCCTTCGTCAGCCCCGGCACGATTCATCGTCTTGAATGGGACGGTGGCAAGCGCGAGCAAGCACCGCGAGTCAAGACGCATCGCGAGACCAAAGTACAGGGTATCGACCCGAATGACTATGTGAGCGAGCAGCGCTGGTTCACCTCCATGGACGGGACGAAGATTCCCTGCTTCATTACGCATCACAAAGACACCAAGCTCGACGGAACTGCTCCTGCTTGGCTATATGCGTATGGCGGGTTCCAGATCCCCCTGTCGCCCGGCTTCTCGCCCTCGATGATGACCTGGGTCAAGTCCTTCGGCGGGGTGCTGGTGTGGGTGAACGCGCGTGGTGGTGGAGAGTTTGGTGAAGCCTGGCACGAGAGCGGGAGGAGGGCGAACAAGAAACAGTGAGTGCTTCAATACTCCCGCCAGAGTAAGGGGTATGGACGACACGCTGACCGTGTCCCTCCTGATTGCGCGAACAGCACGTTCGAAGACGTCCTCTCTGGGGCCAAGTACCTCGTAGACGAGAAGATTGCAGCAAAGGGCAAGATCACGATCAATGGCGGATCCAATGGTGGGCTCACCGTCATGGCCAGCCTGAACATGGCCAAGGAGGAGCACGGCATTGGTGCTGGAGTGGCTGAAGTAGGAGTTCTGGACCTGCTTCGCTTCCACCGCTTCACAATCGGAGCAGCCTGGCGAGCAGACTACGGGGACCCTGACGTGCCGGAGGACTTTGACTTCATTCACCCCATCTCCCCGCTGCACAACATACAGCCTCCAGGAAGCGGTCACGCCTACCCGGCGATGATCTTCCTTACCGGAGACCACGACGATCGTGTTTCCCCGCTGCACACATTCAAGATCGTGGCTGAGCTGCAGCACCAATTGAAGGAGAGTGAGCGACCCATTCTGGCTAGGATCGATCTGGGCAGTGGACATGGGGCGGGAAAGAGCACGCAAAAGAGAATTGAGGAGACCAGGGATAAGTACGCGGCTGTCGCTAGGGAGTTGGATCTCAAAATGCAGGGGTGAGCGTCGGCGGTAGAGAGAGTGGGTGAGGGCAGTGTTGCCTCCTTTGTGAAGCATTGAAAAGCATCATCGTCGTCAATCGTCTCATCGTTCTTCAATCAAACATACGACCTGTCCCATCTGTATTTGCGTCAGTACAGGATGGCCCGCCTACTTCTGCTCCAGATCCGTAAAGTCAAAGATGAAGGCGTCCTCCAACAAGGGCTTGACGAAGTCCATGTACTCCAAGTGGACGGGGTCCTCACCAAGGTAGTAGGCCACGTCGCGCTCGTTGGCGAAGATGGCGATGAAGATTTGCTGTTTGCGAGGCGGCGAGGAAACGGAGCAGGCAGGAGTGGGGGGGAGGAATTCACGGGAAAGGTCAGGGATGACTTCGAGCGCACAGCCACGTCTTTGGGGCACTCACATCGTATCCATGTCCCTTTCCTTCTGGGCTCACGTTGCCCTTTCCCGCCTTCAAGTCCAGAATGTAAGGCTTGCCCTCCTTGGTCTCGCAGCTAGGCTTGAGTTGGAGGAAACGATCGTAGGCCTCCTGTCGCTTGGCGGCGTCCACGTCGGAACGGTACTTGAAAGATACAATGTGCGTGTAGGGCATTTTGAGCTGATTGAAGGTGGGCGTCCGAGAAGTGGGAGGAAGGAAGATGAGATGGATCAATCCACGAAGCAGTGCGGCTGACGAGTCAGGGCAGGAAGAGAAGAAGAGGATAAAGTCATCTGAATCTGAATCTCGAGCCGCCGCACGGGCCGCCGTGTGGAGTTGGCCGAGATGAGAGTCGCGTCGAGGCGTGGGGGAGGGAGGGAGGTCATGCAAGGCAATCAAGGTGCAGCGACACCTCCTCGTCCTCCTTGATCACGCTAGCCATCATGAGGACTCTGAGCAGCCTCTCGCTGCTATGGGGGATTGTCGCACCCTCAGCATTGGCATTTGATGCCTTCCGCCTTCCCAACCCAGTCGCAGACGGCTGGCTCCGCATCCGTGAGGAGCCTACCGTCCTTCAGCATGGGGAATACGTCTCCATGGATTTCGATTTGAGTCAAGGCGATGCTTCTTTCAACTCGACTGCTTCCCACCCGTACCCAGACATCGTCGCGGGCACCTTCACGCAGCCTCTCGACCACTTCGACGGTTCAACGAACCTGACCTTCGAGCAGCGCTACTGGTACTCGTTGCGCCACTACAATGCCAGCCGAGCCCCTGGCACCCCCAGCCCAGTGTACGTCCTCGACTCAGGCGAGACGAATGCTGAGGGCAGGCTGCCTTACCTCGATCACGGGATCGTGGATCTGCTTGCTTCCAAGACGGGCGGCATTGGCGTGGTGCTAGAGCATAGATATTACGGCAAGTCGTACCCTCCTCGCGAAGCTTTCGGACCAGGAGAAGGTTGGGGCGTCGACGAGCTGCGATGGCTGAACAATCGTCAGGCCCTTGAAGACTCGAACAACTTTGCACGCCACGTCAAATTACAAGGGGTAAGCGAGCCCATGAATAGCAATGATCAGCCGTATATCGCCTACGGCGGCTCGTACCCCGGGGCACGAGCGGCTCATTTGCGTGTCCTCTTCCCCGAGGTGTGGTACGGCGCTTTCGCCTCATCCGCAGTCATAGCGGCAGTCGAGTCCTTTCCCGAGTACTTCTATCCCCTCGCACGGGGCATCAATACCACGGCAAGCCAAGCATTACAGGCAGCCGTAGCAGCCATGGATACAATTCTTGCTCCTGAGCCATGGAAGGGATCGAAGCAGCCCAACAGGGACGAGGGCAAGACCAAGGCTCTACTAGAGCTGGCCGGTCTCAAAGGGCTCACAGAGCCAGCGGACTTTGCGCAGCTTGTTACCTTGCCGCTCGGGGAGTATCAGAGCGTCAATTGGGACGACAAGATCAGCCCGCCGGACTTTGCGACTTTCATTCAACGCATGGTTCACACGGACGAGAAGGCGCTTGCTCCTCTTAGAAGCAAGGCTAAGGAGCTGGGCTTGACTGAGGAAGCCCTGCCGGATGAGGCGCTGCGGCTTATCAGCTACCTCAGGCGGACGGTCATTGATCCGTGTATCTCTAAGAATCATACAGCCGATGAGTGCTTTGGCTCGGCGGACTACACAAGCTTCATTGAGAATAAGAAGCTCACGAGCTCCAAGGCGTGGATGTTCCAGGTGAGCATGCGAGAGAGTGTGACAGTACCACAGTGACATTGAGCTGACGCCTCGCTCTTCACTCCCTGGCTGTAGGTCTGCACTCAATGGGGCTACCACCAAGTTGCCCCACCCTCCTACCCACCTAGCGACCCACCAGTCTTCCACTCTGGCGGGCCGAAGATGCTCTCCTCCCTCGTAGACCTGTCCTACTCCTCGGCCTTCTGCCGACGCGGCTTTCCACCAGGCAAGCATTTCACCATCCCCGCCCGACCGGACATTGACGCCGTCAACTCGCTCGGCAACTTCAGCCTCGGAGCTCACACCGACAGGCTTGGATTTATAGATGGGGAGTTCGACCCATGGCGCCCCGCTACGGCGCACAGTGTTGACTTTGCGGGCGTCAAGCAGCGGGCGCATACCCTCGAGCGACCTTTCTTGCTCGTGGCGAATGGGACGCATCATTGGGATGAGAATGGGCCTACCAAGGGCGGATCGAAGCCTCCGGGGCAGGTCGAGGCAGTCCACGCCGAGATGATTAAGGCAGTTCAGCTGTGGGTCAGAGGCTGGAAAGGGAGGAAATCTGCCTGATATAGACTATCTTTAATTATTATGCGGACAATGCTATCATCCCATCCCATCTATTGCTGCCCTTGCTTGACCGTAGACAGGTGTCGTCGGTCGTCTTTGTCCTTGGCCATGGCCCCGTCCTCGCCACGCTCTCACCCGCGCCGCCGCCTGTCGCTCGCGCCGCGTCTGGCCGTGCCAAATTGAAGTCGAGGCAAAAGAACAGAGGTGGCGCGTCGTGGCCGTGGTGAAGCGCGCTCGGCGGATGAGGCGACGATTGCCATCCGCCGTGTGCGTGTCGGTTCTCCATCGCCTCTCTCCCCCTCTTCTCCAACCAACACTTTGGCGCGACAAGACCATCTACCTTTCATCTCATCGCACCACTCGTTCACTCACATTGTCGCCTCTCGTCGTCCATCGCCATGGAAGACGTCAGGATGACCAATGTCGAGCAGAACCAGCACCAGCAGCCCTCGACGTCAGCCTCCTCTTCCTCTTCCTCAGCAGCGCAGCCGTCAAACGCATCGCAATCGCAGTTGCCTCCCTTTGCTCAGCGTCTGCCTTTCAATGCCACCCAGCAGAGACCTGGTGTGCCATCTGCTGCTCAAGACGCCTACTCCGCCTCGTCATCGGCGGCAGGAAAGCCCAACAGCGCAGGCAACGGGCACGCTCCATCCCCGAGCGGCGCCGCTCCTTCCAGGATGATGGCTTCAGCATCGCCTTCCGGCCCAGCAGGGGCGCCCACGAAGCAACAGTTGCCACTCTCGTCCTCTGCCGGCGGTGTTCCACCTCGTCCTCCCTCCCCACTTGCAGGCCCAGCCCCTCTCGTCTACCTTGCCACGTACTCTAATGTACCCGTCTACGAGATCACCATTCGCGGCATTGCCGTCATGCGCCGACGCGCTGATGGCTTCCTGAATGCTACCCAGATCCTCAAGGTGGCAGGCATTGAGAAGGCAAAGAGGACAAAGATTCTCGAGAAGGAGATCTTGACCGGCGAGCATGAGAAGGTTCAGGGCGGGTATGGAAAGTACCAGGGGACTTGGTGAGTTAGGCGTGATGAAATGCATTGACTGCTCCTGCCAGGCAGCTGACCTTTCTCTTGCGCTCGCTCGCCAGGATCCCACTGCGTCGCGCTCAAGAGCTCGCAGCGACCTACAACGTTGCTCACCTCCTGCGACCAGTCCTCGAGTTCGACCCGCGTACCGCAGATTCGATCCCGACGGCTGGGCCGAAGCGTCGTCCTAATCCCAATGCGCCGGCCAACAGCGCTCTCTTCAAAGGTGCAAATGCTGGAGCCAACGCGAACGGGCCTCGCAAGAGCTCAACGCCGACGAAGGGACCGAGCCAGCAGCCTCGTGAGTAGAGCATGAGGAACAGGCTGAGATGATGCCTGCCTAATGCTGATCTTTGCCCACCATCTACCTTGCGCCAGGCTTCCTCACGCTTCGAGCTCCTCCAAGCGATGATGCTGCCGGCCCTTCAGCAGCATCGACCTCCGCAGGAATCCCACCAGGCTCGACCTCGACCATGCGCCAGGCGCTGTCCAACTATTCCGAGTACGGCTACACACCGCAGGGCGTCCCACTTCCTACACCGAGCAAGAACAAGCGCACAGAGCCGGACGAGGCCAACTCACCCAGCGAGCAACAGCAATCGCAGCCTTCAAAGCGCCCTCGCGCAGATATTGGTCCCTCACCGGTCAAGGACCTCGCGGCCCTGGTTAGCCCCGAGTCGTCATTCAGAGGAGCCTCACATCCGCGCCTACATCGCGTACCTCTAGGCCCCCCAGACGAGCTGGTAGGGAAGGCAGGAAATGCACGCTTCGCAGATCGACCACAGCCTGTACGCTCAGAGGACGAGGGCGAGAAGAGGATGAAAGAGCGACTCGTCTCCTACTTCATGGAGGACGAAGGCGAGGATAGAGCAGCGCAACAGGGCACGCCAGTCGAGCGACTCAACACAATCCTCAATGAGCTTCGTGCCGCGGTCAGCCTGGGCGGGGCAGCCTCCTCAAATGACGAAGGCGGACCTGCCCCGTGCATTGACTTGGTAATTGACGACCACGGGCACACGGCCTTGCACTGGGCTTCAGCGCTCTGTCGACTACCCTTGGTCAAGACGCTCGTGGCACTCCCTACCTCGGAGGGAGGCGCCAACCTCTTCGCCGGCAATGCAGCAGGCGAAACGGCATTGCATCGCTCCGTCCTCGTCACCAACGCATACGACGCCTCCCTCTTCCCCGACCTCCTTACCCTCCTCTCCCCTACGCTCCACACCCGAGACTTCAAATCTCGCACTGTCCTACACCACATCGCTCTAGTCGCCGCTCTGAAAGGTCGTGCCACCCCCGCAAGATACTACTTGGCGTGCCTGCTGGAGTACATTGCCCGCCATGAGGGAGGCAAGTTCAGTGCAATCGTCGACGCGCAGGACGATGATGGGGAGACTGCATTGGGGATTGCGGCTAGGCAAGGGAACAGCAGCATGGTCAAGATGTTGCTCGAGGTCGGTGCGAGGAAAGATTTGCCTAATTGTCTCGGGCTCAAGCCGAGCGACTGGGGCATCGATGGCGGGCCCTCGACCTCCACCAGCAACGCAGCATCGAGCTCTACCGCTGCCGGCGACCTGAGTGCTCAGACCCGGGAAGACCTCAAAGAATCGCGCAGCGATCTCGTCACGGCTCTCATGCGCCCGCCCGCTGCACCTCTCCAAAAGTCGCAAGACGTCCTCGATCAGCTCCGCTCCATCCTCGACGGCCTCTCCTCCACCTCCTCCGCCGAGCTGACAGCGAAAGCTGAAGCCCTCGCAACGGCACAGAGCCACTTGCAGTCTGCCACGCGTGAGCTCACTAGCAGACGCAAGGCGGTCAAGGGCAAGCAGGCCGAAGTTGCTTTGCTACTCGAGAGAAGGATCAGGGTGGGCAATCTGAAGAGACGACTGGCGAGAGTGCTGAGTGGAAGGGCCGTCGCCGGGGAGGAGAAGGGTGGACAGCCGGCCCTACCGGAAGTAGAGCAGAGTGTCATCGACCAGCTTGTGGTGCGACACGACAGTGGGGAAATGAAGCGCGACGAGGATGGACTACTCGACTCTGTCCTCGGCACAGTGAAGGACAGCGATCCCCCTTCTGCTATCCTTCCATCATACCGCTACGCCACCTCCTACCTCACCCAGCTCAACGCGACGCTCCGCACTTCCATCACCCAATTGCGCTCCGAGTCGACCCTCCGCGAGTCACAATGTCGTCGCGTGGTGGCCATGTACTCTCGCATCGAGGAGGGTAAAGTCGAGGCCATCCTCGACGACTTGGTCAACGCCGTCGAGACGAACAGTGATGTGGATCTGGCTAGGGTGGCCGGCTTCTTGGCCAAGCTGGGAGGGAGCGCTAAGGGAGGGAGGAAGATGGGAGCAGGCGAACCCTCTTCATCCCCTCGAAGAGGGGAGACTCATGCGGCGTGAAGACGTTGCGCCTCCGCCTACAGAATGATCATGGCCACGGCGTCCAGCAAGGGCTCGAAGCTTCACACAGTCTCGCCGGCGCCCCCAAATAGCGAGGCTTTGCTCAGTGGCCAGCTTCGCTTCGCTTCACCTCACCGCCTCATCATCTGCTTTGAGCTTGTACTAATACAAAAGAGATTCCATTCGACTTTTTGGATAAGTCGTGCTTGCCTACAGTGGGACGGGATTGCGCGGCGCAAATCGCGTCACGTTTTGGTCTTGCTCGCCTACCTGCGTTGGCCTGGAACCAGGCGGTGCAATGGACTTTGCCTCCGCTCCGAAGACGTGATGACGGTCTCCTACGCTTCGATCATGATCAAACAAGTTGCTTTGATGAGCTCGATGAGACCATCGGGGCGCAGCGCACTGATGCCTTGCTGGCAGACTTCAGTGACGGCGAATCTCTTCCTCTTGTCGGAGGTAAGGAGAGCACACTCATACGAAAGACTGATTGAAATATGGTGACATTGAACCTCGTGCGAACCAAAGTCTATAGGAGAAGAAAGCAACCGAGCCCGCAACAAGGGCTGGAATATTATACGAAGTCCAAGGAGCAGCCTTTCGGCGCTCTACTTGGCCGGGCACGCGGCACCATCGACGCCATCGAGCTGGTACACCTTGACGTAGTCGACAAGCATACCCCTGTCCTCGGGAGCCTGGGGCCACGTAGGGTACCACGAGTCCTTTGCGTTCCAGAACTCCTTCCTGGCATTGTCGGCGTTGTTGCTCCAGGGCATGTCGTCCTCGTCGAAGTAGCCGTTGGTACCACCGACGGCGACGGACATGATGAGGTAGAACTTCTGGTCAAAGGGCGCGGCAAGGGAGTTCTTGGGCCAGGGGTCAGAGTAGCCCGTGCCGTTGGAGGAGACGGTGGGGAACTGACCCCGCTCCCAGAAGCTCTGGTCGAACTTCCAGGAGAAGACCTTGCGCGTGGGCGTGTCCACCCAGGTATAGATGCCCTCCGGTGTCCACTCGAGGCCGAAGGTGTGGAATTGCTGGTTGTACCAGTTGCGGTAGAGCTGGTAGACCTTCGACGTCTTGAGGTAGCGATCTGTCATGCTGTCCAAGCCCCAGTGGAGGGTCGAGTGCATCACATTGTACGTGTCGTCGTCCTTTGACTTGATCAGGTTGCCACGAGACTCGAAGATGTCGATTTCACCAGACTTGGGCCAGGTACCGTATACGGATGATTGGGGCATCATCCACAATGCGGGCCAGATCCAGTTGCCTGTAGGCATCTTGGCACGGATCTCGACACGGCCGTACTTAATTGCCGTGCTGAAGTTGGTCATGAGGCGGGCCGACTGGACGGGGGGGAGGACGACGCCGGTGCTCGAGTTAGATGCGACGGCGCAGTAGACGTCGGAGGTGTTGGAGGAGGTGCAGGTGTTCGAGGCAGTGAGATTGAGGGTGTAACCGTTGGTGATGGCGCCCTCACCAAGCGAGTCGGCGGTGAGAGTAGGGACAATGTAAAGCTGGCCATCCTTGACGTAAGAGTTGTTGGGCGAGGCAGTCGTGTACTCAAACTCGCCATTGCCGAAGCCACCAGTTTGCTGCTCGTGGAACCAGATCTTGTCATTGATCGTTGTGCCCTCGAAGTTGTCCTCCATGACGAGACAGAAGTTGTGCTTCTTGACCGAAAGGTAGCCCGTAGCGACAAGAGCTGCAGCGCCAACAATGCCGAGGCAGACGGCGACCACGAAAGTCCAGTAAGCCTTGCGGTCGGCGCGCTTGCGGGACTTTTGGCCGACCCACGGCTTGTAAGGCTCCTCGCCATCGCGCAAGAGCTGCGATTTGAACATCTTGCGTTGACGAACGGGCCTGTCGCCTCGTTCATGGCTCGCGGTGCTCACACTTGACGAGTAGAGGCCACCATCACTGCCGCCGAAAGGGTTCTGGTTGGCGGAGAGAACGGGGCTGTTGTTGCCGGGAGTTGAGGATGCGAGGAAGGCGCGACGGTTGTTGGGGCCAGGTGTGCCCATGGGCGAGGAGAGGGCCGAGTCGAAGTAGCCGGGCGCAATGGATGTGTGGCCCTGCCATTTCTGAGCGCGCGAGCGAGAATGCGGCGTCGAGGTGCCGGAGGCTGGCTGCTGGTGTTGCTGATGCTGCTGCGCCGAGCCCGCTGAGGACGAGGCGGCAGGGGGAAGTGGAGTCACGATATGCTCCGCCTCCGAATTGTAGGCGTAGCCCTCGAAGCTGTTGGCTGACATCGTGGCTAGTCGAGGGGTGTAAATCGGTAGTGGTGCGATGGTAGGATTTAAGATCGACGAGGGACGAAAATTGACGTCTTTTGATCCTGTCTACTTGAACGATCGCCCTATCGTCTCTGCCACGCCCGAGTCGCGGCCTCTTCCTTGCTCAGCCACCGTTTGGCCGTCGAACTGAACGTTCACCCTTGGTGGCTGACGATGGTCTGCTGCTGCGTGACGTCCCGTTGCCCGCTTGGCTAGCCCTCTACTCGATGCATCGAATCGCCTCTTCTTGGAACCTGTCTCACGTCGAATATTTCCATGGCAGGCGGGAAGGCAACGCAGACACCGCTCCTTCGGAAATCGCAGTTGGAAGGCATTGGTGCTCGATAGCGCCGGCAGCGCAAGCACGCCCGTGCACGCTTGCCTGTGTCGCATCATCGCGTCGTCTCGCAATCGCGGCCTCGATCTGCCCGCTTGTCTCGGCCAGCAATCAGCCAAGCAATACAGAGAGGACCGAGGTCTGGGCACATCTTACCTTGCATGAATCATCGATCCCATTTGCTTGTTTGTTCCTTCTCTCGGGTCTGCATAAGAGCTTCACGGACGAGAGAAGAAGTGAGACGATGCTTGTGAGCGGAGACACGGGTGAAGCGACCATTCTGCGGGCGCTAGTCCTGCCGCGCTTTCCCTTTCTGCACCCAGGCTTGACGCCGGGCATGCGGGTTGGCCATGACCCGCATGAAAAATCTCCCGCTGGTCTCACGGCAACGAACTTTGGACCGGAGTAAGAGTGCTCATGGACTCCGGAGCGGCGCAGCGGAGGATTCAGATGTTCTCGCCTATCGTGCGGCTTCGCCTGGCCGTGATGGCCGGTCGTCTCATACGTCGACGCGCTTGATGTAACGGACGCCAGCGGAACAGACGCGCACGGACTAAAGCAAGGCTTGGTCGCGTATGGACCAAACAAAACAAGCGTGCTATCATTGGCCAATAATTGAATGACAGATTAATTGAAATTTGCGGTCACGATCACTCAAGGGTCTGAGCCTCTCGAGCCTCGGCCTCGCTATCGTAAGCCGCCTGTTCTCCTCGCTCGTCGCCTATCAAAGGTCGCCTGCTGTAGCGTGTGGCGTTCAGTAGCTCGTCGCTCGTCCTGATCGCTGGTCGAGATGTTGTCAGGCCGGCGATCAAAAGTCTGCCCTGCCACCGTCGTGCCACCGTATCTTGATCACTCTCACATTGTCGTCGCGCTTAGAGTGCAAACTTTATGTGCTGGGAACATTCCATGGATTGGATGAATAATAGTACAGAGGGGAAGAGAGAACGTGACAAATCTATCCAGAGTGTGTGGTGGTAGTGAAGCGCAATTGAATACGAGGCCCGCGCGCGCCATTCTCGCTCAGAAGGAGAAGCGCAGCAGCTGGGGGTTGAGGGCGATGTGGTAGAGAATGTGGCCGCCAGCCAGCCAGATGGGGCAGAAGAGTACTGTGGCACCGCCGTGCAGCTGCCATTCGATGGGAAGCAGTGTCGTTGAGATGATGATGAAGCCGGCAATGGTAACCACGGCGACAATCAGCATGCGCCAGTACTTCTTGAAGATCGCAGGCAGCTCGATGAAGAAGTTGGAGTCGTCCAGAGACTTGTTTGTAGATCCCCAGGTCATGTTGTAGCCCAATGGATGAGCCAGAACGGCCGTGAGAACATGGTACGAGAGGCCAGTGAAGAAAATAAGCATGAAGGGCAACCACATGAGATGCTCCTTGAGCGCCGTGCCCAGAGAGTACCAGCGACTGCGGAACTTGGCCATGACCTGGCCAAAGAGGTTGAGACCATTGAATACGACGATGACGGCGACGAAGATGCGGAAGGGCTGGATAAAGGCCTGGCTGAGAGTAGGTGCAAAGTAGCCCTGAGCGACGGAGAGACTGATGGTAAGGGGGAGAGCGACAGCGATGGCGTAGTAGGAGAAGATGTACGAGGTAGCGCAGAACTTGTAGTGGATGGGAATGCCCTTGGCCCACATGAAATTGCGGTAGAGAGGGGTGATGGGACCACGCCAGATGTCCTTGATCGGTCGGAAGACAAGCTCGGAGACACCAAAGGCGTACTTCTGCCATCGGTTGAGCTCATCATCGCAGGTAAGCGAGACACCCTCTTCGAAGGCTTGGTTGGAGTAGGTAGCCCAGCGGACAATGTAGCCCTTCATGAGCAGCTTGAGAGCCATCTCGAAATCCTCAGATACAGTAGTCTCGGCCCAGACCTTCTTGACACCGTCTTCAGGGTCGACCTGCGCGACCTCTTGAAGAGCAGACCAGCGGAGGAAGGCGTTGTGTCCCATGAATGGAGCGAGGTCACCGTTGGCGACGACCCAAGAGATTGCGAAGTTGACGGTGCGAGTGAAGAAGGCAATGCCGGCCTCAAAGTAGTTGTTCTTGGTCACCTGCATAACACCAGAGCAGTGCTGGAGAATACCGACGTCGGGGCACTGGCTCATCTCTGAGGCGGCGTCGAGGAAGCAGTCGGTAGGGACACGAGTGTCACAGTCGATCATCAGGATGAGCTCGCCGATGCGAATGTTGCCAGAGCCGCGGGCCAGAGGGTGGGCAGCAGCGAGAGCCTCCTGGAAGGCCTCCTCGTAGAGTTTGTTCTCGTCGGCCTCGGTCCACTCGGACAGGTCCGCGGGACGCCTCTCGACGAGAATGTTCTCAACGGCGAGGGAGACGGCGCAGGTGAAGTTGAGGTTCGAGGCCTTCTTGAAGCGACCCTTGCGGATGTAGCCATCGACGTTGTGTCCAGGGCGAGCAACCCAAGCAACTTGGTTTCGGTCATAGTAGTCCAGGCGGCGTTGGCGCTCTTCCTCGCTGACAAGGAGGAGACCGTCTTCTGAGACGAGAATTGAGGCGGTTCCGCCCTGGAGCTCGTAGGTCTGGATGGCTTTGTTGAGGGATTCAATGGTGGGAGCGAGGACTTCCTCGAGGTCCTCCTTGTACACGGGCATCTGGATCGTGACGTGCGGCAGGACACCGGTCATGCGCTCAGGCGCGACACCAGAGTAGTAGCGAGTGTTGAGGGACATCTGACGAATGGGGCCAAGAATTTGGAGAAGACCGCCAATGATGTTGTCAGAGAAGAAGAGGGTAACCATGAAAAGGGCAGGTGCGGCGGCGATAATGGCGAGGCGAATGTAGTCATTGTCGACAGCGGTCTCAGAAATGAGCGCACGAATGAGCAGAGATACGATGACGACGTTGAGGGCAACGCCAAGACCGTGGTGAAGCGGCGCGAGGAGAGGAGTGTCGCGTTCCTGGTAGGTAACGAGCTGCTCCGGATCGACGTTCCCTTCGCTCTTCTCGTCGATCGTGGGCTGCACCGTGATGAGACGCTCACCCCCAGCGGCGCGACGAGTGCCCTCAGTGGGGACCAAGTTGTGCTGCGACGAAGCTGCTGAGCTGAGGGACCCGCCGGAGTTGCTCATAGGAAGGTTCGACTTATTGCCCGTGGCGCGCTCCCAGACGAAGCGAACCATCTTGGCGTCGATGGCGCGAGCGGCTGTCATGAGGTCTTCGACCTTGTCGGCCCAGACAATGAGCCTGGCCTCGGGGCGGACGAAGGCAGCGCCCTGTGCCTTGCGTACCGTGGCGAGGTCCTCGATGGTCTCGACAACTTGAACGCGCTCGACGGCAGAGAGGGCAATCTCGGTGGTTCCAGGTGTGAGGGTGTGGGTAATGCCGGCAACGACGGTAGAAGTGATAGTGCAGGCGGCCTGTGCACGCGGCACAAGAATGTGATGTCAGAGACGCGCTCGGAAAATATTTAATCCCGTGTTCCCTGCGCCCACTCACCTCGCAATTCAGTACCGCGAGGGCGTTGATCCAGGGGTCCATGCGCGGGTCCTCTGACGGGCACGAGACATATTGGCCCTTGGAGAGACGGAGCGCGATACCGTTCCAGACAGTAGGCTGGTCAGAGAAGAAGCGCTCGCGCTGAGCATAGCGGTAGAGCGTCTCTGCCATGATGGCAAAGGCCGTGTGACGCTGTTGAGCAAACTCGCCATCCCATGTCTGGTCGGCATTGAGGACGGGCAGGCCGCTGTCGAGCTCGCCAGCCTTCTCTTGTGGCTTCTCGTCAATGGGCGAAGTGACGGGCACCTCAGTGGCACCCTTCTTTGTCAAGCGTTTGAGGAGGCCGGACATGGCGATGGAGGTGTACGGTGGTGAAGAGGAGGGAAAGTTCTTGGAGGGGGACGTGAAGGCAACGTCGGCGTCCTCTTTGCTATATACGCTCCTCTCGCAAGAGCGACGGCAGATGCAGCGGTAGCTCTACACGTCGTCTCAATCGCTCGTCTCTGTGCGCTTACGGGTTGGTTTCAGGTGGCTGCGCCTGTCAGAGTGTGACTGAACAAACAAACACTGCGAGTCGATGCCGCCGTTGGACCGCCCGTAGACCTTGGCAAAGAATTTGGCCCTCTTGCCCTTCGATGTGCGAACGAGGCGGCGGCTGCAATGCAAGCCCACGGGATCGGCCTCAGCCATCGCCATTACCCGTCTTCTGTCTCGGCCAATGCTTTCCACCTGAGGGAAAGGGTCTCGAATGACCCCTGCGTGCAAAGTTTGACAGTCAATCAACGACTGAGATGCGCACGCACAGGTGCAGTGCTGGCTGAGAATCGCGGCGATGCCCTAAGACGAGCGATGATGAGCTCTCTCAGTAGGGCAATCTGCGCACCATGCAGTAATGGCTTGGCCACGATATCGCGGTGACCACGGGTGGTCGTACGACGATCGAATACTTCCGCCCGTAGCGTGATGACGCTTGCATGCGATTCGAGGCCCCGCTGCAATCGATAATCGAAGGGAAAGAGGCAGCGGAGTCGAGCCGGCTGGAAGCGAAGGAAGCATCGATGAGCGACGGCAACGACGGCAGCGGGCAGATAGCGCTTTCCCTCGGAGTGCAGCCGGGTTGCCACTCAACCCGGACCGGGTTGCACTAAGCAGCGGGCCGCTCCTGACTGTCACTTCACCGATCTGAGACTAGCGGACAAACAAACAAGACCAGCTAAGCTGGCCCAGGCCGCCATGCGCTGCGATGCCGACCTGAAACAGCGGCTGGGCACTCACTGTCTGAGCGTGGTTTCACCATCGTCCAAGCGCTGTCGCAATACCCTCGCCTAGCGTCGCGTTGCCTTAGCCCAGAATCCTGAGCATCCTTTCGCCCGCGTCGCCCGTTTGCCCCTTCGACGCACGTACGCAATCTTTGCTGCTTGGCTACCTGCGTTGGCTGCCATCGCGATCTGCTTGTTTGTTTGACAGCGGGCAGCGGTCTCACCCATTTCGATTGCAGCTCAGTCGCAACACAGAGGAAGCATCCTTGCATCGGGTCCTTTGCGCGGGTTGGTCCGCTGTCGGACATATGGAAAGTACCCTTGTCTGCAAGCCTGCTCGATGAATCAAACCTGCGGTGTCTCAGCCGCCTGAACCAATCATCTGGGAAAGAGTGGAGTCTTCTACCAGATGAGAGCCTCGATCGACGACGGCACGATCTCAATTCACGGCCTTGATGGGTAGTGCCGGCTCAAGCCAGCGCTCAGCGACCGGCACCCATGGACGATGACAAAAAGACAACTCGAGTGTCCCCTTGCCCTTATCTTCGACGTACTTTTCCCCCGTCGTTCCCATCATCGTATTTCCTTCTCGAGTATCCTTCCTGGCCTCCGTGCTACCAGTTCACCTTCGCTACCATGCTCGCTCAATATCCGTTGGCCGAGCCAATTACGCTTTCCCCTCAGATGCCTCGCTCCAGCTCTGACAGCGACAATCGATACCAGCACCACCTCAGCTACGGCGGCATATTTTCAGCTCCGTCGATGAGCTCCAAGTCCAGCGACTCGAGCTCGCGATCGACGTCGCAATCATCCACTGCGCCATGGACACCCTCGACGCCAGCTATCTACCAGTCGCAAGCCCCGCTACTCCCCGCTCTACCGGTGGGCGATCAACCTCTGCAAGACAACAAGGGCCTCGCAGACTACTATCTGCAGTCGTTGCTACTCTTCCAAGGGAACTCTGCGCCAAACCACCTGGCCACACCCTCAGCTTCGTACAGTCAAATCCACCATGGCTCCTCATCACCATACACCGCCGAGTCCCAGACCATGCCGAATTCGCCCATGCCTGCCACACCCACAACGCCGTTCCAGCCATCATACTTTGCCTGGCCTACGCTGCCCGACACGCCCGCAACTCAGCCTCAGTACATCCAGCAGCAGGAGCCTTACTCCTCGCAAAGCAACCATCACTATCAGCAGCCGCAACAACAGCAGTCTGGCGTCGCCGGTCCATCAAGGCTGCCAAAGTCATACCACCAGCGCGCCACGTCTGACCCTGTCGCGTCACCCGCACCTCGTCCTTCTCGTAATGCCGCATACCAGACTCGGGTGCGCGAGCAGCGTCACGCCCTGCACGTCGTCCTCACGGATGCAGCTGTAGCCTTCTGCCGTACCGAGCCCCGCAATGCCGCCGACCTCGTCGCGTCACCATCCCTCCTGGCAGGCATCCAATCGGCTATGGACTGGCAAACGCAAGACGGAGGATCTTCAGCGGCCGTGTCCGAGGAGCAAAAGATGCGCTACAAGCAGCGTGAACGATGCGCCGAGGTCAAGAACATGTACAAGCTCAAGATGGTCTGCCAACGCGCCGTCGAGTGGCATCGGGAGCGCGGCAGCAGCGGCGGTGGGATTGTGCGCCCTCAAGATGAGGAAGCTTGGCAGAGATTGCGCAATGTCTTCATTGCCTCCCAAAAGCTTTGGCCTCTTCTCCTCGCTGCCGAGAAGCGACTCGACTCGGCTGTTCTGGGTACAAAGGCCGTTGAGGACGGCTCGAGCATTTTGACCGAGTGCTTGGGCCTCGTATCGCCGCGCGCGTCATAGAGATTTCCGAGAATACCGATAGATGGACCCTTGTTCGTATCGTTTTGCCCCGTTCGTGTAATTATAGAGTATTTGTACCGTTGTATCGGATCAATCGTGTGAGACGTGGGGTCAAGGCAGGGACGTGATGACGCTCGGACCCCTTCATGCCGCGCGACACCGCAAAGCGCAGGGGGGACAGAGTCAGAAGATCGGTAGAAACATATGTGTTTTCTCGCTCTCTCGCTGCATGTACGGGAAATTGATACCATTTTGACAGCATTCGAAGTGACTGAAGGGGATGAGGAGGAGCGGCAACGGTGACACAAAAGGAGAAGGGAGCGGTGACCTGTAGAAGAGAAAGTTAGGCTCTTCGCCTTAGGCGACGAGCTTGTAGCCACGCGAGTAGGTAACGACGACGTGGTTGACATCGTCGCCCTTGTTGGTAGCCGTCGAGCCGTCGGTACCTTCCGAGTACAGGGAGCAGGTGTAGGTGACGGCGGCGCCGTTGACCTCACCACGCCAGATGTTGAAGAAGTTGCAGCCTGCGAGATGTGGAGAAATGGGGTCAGATACGATGCATCATGTGGAGAAGGCGCAGAGGTCCTACGCACCCGTCACGCTCTTGCAGAAGTCGTTGCAAGCCTCAGGGTCGTAGCGCGTGATAAATTGGTAAGTCAGGTACTTGCCGGTCTGAGTGGCGCCGTACTGGGTCTTATCGCCCAGCTGAGGAGCAAATGTGAGGTTAGTGCCCGCGGGCGTGTCAACCTCGAACAGACTCGAAGAGGAGGCGAAGGCAATAGAGTTTGAGATGGCGTTGGTCGGCCCGTTTTCGTAGAGTTGCTGACCACCACGGTTGGTGAACTGGCTTGCAGTGGGCACGTCACCGAAGAGGACACACTTGCGGTTGGATTGCTCGCTGAAGACGTGGTCCAAGAGAGGGTTACCAGTCTCGGTGTACATGTTGATTGACTTGCAGCCATTCGTGGCGTCACAGAAGTTGAAGCACTCCTGCTGGGCCTTGCTGGCGGACGTCGTGTTGGATACCACCTTGTAGGTGAGGTAGGCGGGCATCTGGACGGCGGCCGTGGAGTCGACGGTGAAGGGCAACTTGTTGTACACAGCTTTGTCGGTCATACCGCGCATGACAATGTTGCCCTTGTTGTAGCCTGGGAAGGCGCGTCTCTGAGCATCGCTGGTCTGACCAGCCGTGGCGACGATGTCCGACGTGTTGGAAGCCGCGACGACGGGCGTGACCTCCTGAGCGGGAGGGGCCCAGGTGGGGGCACCAGCAGTCTGATTGGTGTTGAGGAGAGCCGTGAAGATGTCAGCGTTGGGCGTGACAGAGGCCGAGGCGGCTCCAGCGAGGGCAACGGCGGCGAGGGCAGGGAGGTAGGAGATCATGTTGAGAGTGAGAGTGGTTGAGGATGTTTTGATGGGAACAAAAAGGATGAAAATCTCGGGTCGATGCCTGCCTTATGTATCCGTCATGAGCCCGCCCCCATCACCGTCATTTTCGCCCGTAAGCCTACGGTGGCGGTGCTCTCTCGGTGTGAAGGTGTGGGGGTATGCGCGAAAAAGGCAATATGGATCGGGCGATGAGGAGAGATGGCTGCGAAGACGCGTAGGATGTGACTGCCAGACTGCGCAACGCCTCGGATGCACGAGGCTTCACGCGTCAAGCCCCCTGCCTCGCCATTTACCTTCCCTTCCCCACGCTCAGGCACAACGATTGTGATGACCCTAGCCGGGCATACCGAATCTTGGCCGTCGAATGCATAGCCACTTCACTTTTGGCCAGGCTGAGCCCTTACAAAGCGGCTCAGGCGGCACCATTGCAGCGCTGCTCGCCATCGCCAAGCTCGCGGACTACCGGCGGCGACAGGTAGCGCTCGCTGTCGTTGCGCGGCTCCGAGCAGTCGATGTGGCGTGGCGTGGCGTGGCGTGACGGCATGACGAGATCTTGTGATGATGAGCAAGCATTGCGGCTGCAAGTATCTCGTCCCTCCATGCCAGCAGGGTGTGAAGGGGAAGTTCCTTCCGCGTTCTGAATGTACAAGTCCCGCTCCTTGTCGCGTCGACGACGTCGACGGGGAAGCCGGAGAAGGTCACCGCACTCAGCATGTTGCTTCTCTGTCGGTCTCGCAGATAGCATGGCGTCAAGGCCGCTCGCTTCTTCTCTGCTGTGACTCGATGAAGTAGGGACAGGCAGCGGCTCCTCAGTGCCACGGCTCATTCGCCAACACCAGGGCGGGCTCAAAGCATGCATGCACCCCAGGTTGAGCATCTCAGATCTCTTCTCGACACCCGAAGTTGTTGGCCAACGAGTCAGCCACAGACTCTGCGAGACCGAGCTTGGCACCATCAATCATCTCCTGCCCACGGGGCGACGCACCTCAGACGACGGCACAGCCACCCGTAACGATGGAAGAGCAAGTCGCTATCCTTCGTGGCGGGGCTCCAGGCGCGCCCGACAATAGCGACTGAGCTTTTTCGGATGCCTAGGCTAAATGGAGGATCTAGAAACACGGCAATACGGCAGGCGGAGTTCAAGTGGCGTGCGGAGTCATGATGTCTGCTTATTCTGGGCCCTTTGCTATCGTGGTAGAAGGGGTGGGCGAGGAAGCAAGGCGGGACAAAGAAGGACCTCGGGCGGCGGGAACAAGGCCGGGAGTCCGCCACGTGGTGTACCGACCTCAATCCCAGCACGCCGTGGTACTGGACTCGGTCACGCCACGCTCGAATGGAACAGCCGTGGGCTGGAGTCGCCCCTTCACGTCTAAGATCATCATCGCTGTCCACCATTCCATCGATAGACTCCGGAGTTGTGCTGCTGAGCTACTATCAGGCGGGTCACACGATGCAAAGGATATGTCGGGAAATTGCTACTTTTCTGTGCTACCACGGGCTCACGCGCCGCCCAGGGACTTCTCCATGTCCATAATCTCCTTGAGCTCCTCCGTAAGCTTAGCGACCTGCTCCTTGCTCGCACGAGGCAGTGGTCGACGGGCAGGTCCCAAGTTCAGGAACGCCTTCATACCGTGAATCCCACCCTTGGCTCCCGCCCAGTCCCCCCTCGAGACGACGCCCTGCAACTTCTGAGCCTCCTCGAGCTTGTCCCACGATCGCGAGTCCTGCGCAGCCTTGATCGTCTCGTAGAGGCGGACGCAGGTGCGCGGTGCGAAGTTGGCAGTGCCGGCAATACAGCCGTGCATGCCTGACATCATGGCGGGCAAGAGGATGTCGCAGAAGCCGCCGAAGACGATGAAGCCCGGGCGCTTTGCGGACATGGCCTCGACGAGGCGTGCGCCCTTGCCGATCATGGAGCAGGTAAGCTTGGCGCCCATAACGTTGGGGTGCGATGCAATATCGATGAGGAGGTCCGAGTCGAGATCGATGCCGGAGGCGCAAGCAGGGAAGTTGTAGATCTGCGGGTGTGAGTGTATCAGGGTGTAGGGATTGATCAGCGGCTGATGGAAAAGTGGGACTCTTTGCGCGTGGCACACACCATGACGGGAACGGGCGAAGCGTCAGCCACGCCATGGAAGAAGTCCTTGAGAGCCTGCCTGTCCTTGGCAATGGCCCCACCGAAGTAGCCCGGCGTGATGACGATAACCATGTCGGCGCCCGCAGCTGCAGCCTCCTTGGAGTGACGGATCGTCTCCTTCATGGACCCGGTACCAGTGCCAGCGATGAGGGGCTTGTCACCTGCTGCCTTGCGAGCGCTCTCGACGAGAGCCTTGCGCTCAGAGTCACTAAGGTGGATGGCTGTGCGGTTGACAGGCGTGAGTTGGGTGGCGTCAGGAGATAGCGCCACGATGGTATTGCATTCCCACGCCGTTTCTCACCTTCTCCATTGGTTCCCATGACCACGATACCGCAACCGGCATCGGCGACCTTGCGGACGTGGGCCTCGAACTTCTGAAAGTCGATCTCCTCATTGTCGTCGAAGGGTGTGATGACAGGCACATACATGCCACCTGTCACGGGACGAGGGTTTGCTGATCGGGCCATGGTCGTCGTACGAGGTGGAAAGCAGTTGATGGTCGGAGCGAGGAAGCGGGAGCAAGGAAGCGGAAGCTAAGAGGGGCGACAGATGTTCTGGGCTCAACGATATGCTATCTCGGCCGGTGGCTGGTTTGGTGCGCCTCCTTATCAAGTTGTTTCTCGTTTCGGGAGGTGAGAGGAAGCGATATGAGTAAGTGAGAAGGATAGGGATTCGAGTTCGATGGTCCACACCGATCACCGAAAGGCAGGAGCAGCCGGTACGTGGAGTCGTCGGCGCCAGGGAAACGGCGGTCAGGCGGTGTAGAGACGGACAGACAGAAGCCAGCCAAGGCGCGAAGCGCGAGGCGCGCGGCAAGCTCACTTACGCATGGGTCACCTGTCGCTGTGCGTCGCCCCTCCCACACTCACTAAGCCCGCGCCGCTCGCTCGTCCCTTCGGGGCTGGCTTGGAGCAAGCCACGGGACTACCATGATCTGAACATCGGCCAGGTAGCATTGCTACAAGGTGGAGATAACAGCATCAAAGGAGAGCATGGAGAGCGATTGACACTACTGCAAAGTGGCTGCATCGTGCTGTACCCCGCCATGGCGGGCAGCGCGACAAAGTGACAAGCCGTCGAGGGACAAGGACGCATGTTGGACGTCGGCTTCTTCGCTTTCCTCGTCGGCTTCGCCTGTTCGGGCGTGGGCGGAAGTCAAATGTGAGCAATCGCTGGGCTGGCCTCTTGGCTCTTGCAGTGTGGGGAGCCGATAAGGGGAGATCCGCCCAGGAACGCCTCGTCATACGACAGTCAGTCGAGACAAGCCGCATTCCAAAAGATATAAGGAGAGCAATTCAAGACGGGGCCTTAGGATCATCCCTCATCTCTTCAGAGACCATCGAACAGCCCTCAAGGCCTTCACTACCACCACTCCTTTTCAAGAACAACAACTACATCCATCCAACCCCCACTTATGCAAATGTCCCACTCCGACGCCCCCTCTGAGAAGGATATGCAGGTCAAGGGCGATCACATGGTCACCGACGAGGAGCTGGCGCCCGTCGTTTCGAGGGCGCCTACCCAAGTCTCCCAGGTCTTCTCGACCGACACCGTAGATGGACCTGACATGCGTGGTGTCTCATGGTGAGTCACTAGCGGCGCGGGACCCCACACTCATGGGAGCAAAGGCTGACATTCAGACGCGCCTCGTACAGGTTCGGTGCAGCATGCTTGCTCTTCAAGGTACAATTCGGTCTTGGTGTCCTCGGTCTGCCCAAGACCTTCGACGCACTCGGCTTCGTCCCTGGCATGATCATCTTGCTCCTCCTCTGCGTTGTCTCGACTTGGACCGGTCTCTTCATCGGCAAATTCCGTGAACGCCACCCGGATGTTCACTCGGCTGGTGACGCTGCTGGTGTCCTCCTCGGTCGATGGGGTCTCGAGCTCGGTGGACTTGGTCTCTGGCTCTACTACACGATTGGATACGGTGGTACGATTCTCACCTTCTCCATTGGCATGAACATCATCACCGGCCATGCCATCTGCACTCTTGGCTGGCTCGGCATCGGCGCTGCCATTGCTGTCATTGGTGGCATGTTCACTCGTACTTTCAAGCTCATGCAGTACATGAGCTACGCCGCCTGCGCCTCGATCGGTATCGCCGTTTGGATCGTCGCCATCGCTGCCCTCGCTCAGGACCAGCCCGCCGACGCACCCGCTGGTGAGACGATCAACAAGGACATCCAGGCCATCAAGAGCGCTGGCTTCAGCGTCGCCCTCTCTGCCATCTCCACTCAGGTCTTCTCCCTCGCCGGTCACGCCGGATTCTTCTCCATCCACGCCGAGATGCGTCACCAGCACGAGTACAGGAAGGCTTTCCTCACTTGCCAGGCCGCCGTCTGCGCCAACTACATCATCATCCCCTGCATCCTCTACGGCAAGGTTGGCCAGTACATTGCCTCGCCCGCCCTCCGATCCGCCGGCACTCTCATCGCCCAGATTGCCTACGGTATTGCCCTCCCCGCTCTCGTCTTCTCGACCTTCTTCCAGGCTCACTTCTCGGCCAAGTACGCCTTTGTCCGCTGCCTCCGTGGTACCAAGCACTTGCAGTCAAACACTGCCGTCCACTGGATCACTTGGCTCGCCATGATGGGACTTGTCCTCGTCGTCGGTTTCATCATCGCCACCGTCGTGCCCTTCTTCGGTGACCTCATCTCTCTCTCGGGTGCTCTGCTGGGCTCTACTTTCACCCTCACCCTTCCTGGCGCCCTCATGATCTACGAGAAGTCCAAGGACTACGATGGCTTCAAGGGCTACCTCGCCGCTCTCAGGCCCGGCAACGGGCCCCTGCGCCGAACCATCTACTGCTGGGCAGCTGCGCTCACGTTCATCGGCGGCCTCTTCGTCACCGTTGGCGGCGTCTACGCTACTATTGACTCGATCATCCAGTCCTACGCAAACGGCACCGTCGGCTCTGCCTTCTCGTGCGCCGACAACTCTGGCAACTAAGCTACTTCCATTCCCTCGCAATCGGTCAATCCTTTGCTTCTCGTCATTGTCTCAATAACTCTTGTATTCTAGATCAACCTACCCTCACGTCTCATTACGAATCGCATGAATCTTCTCACTCAACTCAAGACCCACGCGTGACCCGGTGGTTCGAGCTAAACTGCGCACGATCGGCCTGACAGGATTGTCCGCTCTCCCTGAGCCCGACGAACTAGCTTCCCTGCCTCAAAGAGAGTGTCATAAGAGAGTCGTCATGTGGCGACCCCGCATTCGATCCAGACGATTGCGGGGCAGTCTTTTGTGTGTGGCGATGCACGCCTTGCTTTGTGGGGCCGAAGGTCATGTGCATCGAGAGAAGCAATATTATCCTGCCTTTGCCAAGAGCGTCAACGAGCCACCAAGGCCAGCCAGGGCTCTGAGCGCTGCAGGTCTCCCACCCACAGCGGACTAGCCCCAGCTCGTGGCTTTGCGTGGAGTGGCGTCGCATCTTCTGATCGGCGTCGGCGTCTCGCACGCGACAGGGACGCCCGACGTGAGCGTGGCGAAGATGGGAAAGAGTACCGCTGCACGCTGCTGCCGTCGTATCCATACGCGGCTGACGCTCTATAGCCTGCCGACGACGCTCTACCCACGCCTCGGTCGTATAACGTTCGGTGGGTTCGTGCGTGCGGGGGCTCCTTATCTTCGGAGGTCAGAGTAGCCGCTCATCATCGGTCTCCTAAACGGCTCGTCAGCATCGCCAGAAAGCCGTACCCGGCTGCTCTGCGCTGACGCTCCCTCTTCTTAAAGACTAGACGTCTAGTCTCCTCTTTCCTCTCTTCTTTCTCTTTCACTGTCGTTGCCATCGCAGCCGCCATGTCTTCCTCCGCATCTGCTTCGTCTTCCACTACGCTGCCCCGAGATGCTCCCTTCCTCATCGTAGGAGGCGGCGTCTACGGTGCCTCAACGGCGCTGGCCCTCACTCGTGCCGGCTACACCAACGTCACTGTTCTCGAGCGCTCTGCTGACGGGCACTGCGCTTCTGATGCGGCCTCCAATGACCTCAACAAGGTCGTGCGAGCAGACTACAGCGACCTCAATTTTCTCTCCCTCGCAAAGGAGGCCATCAGCCAATGGCGCCAGGACCCCATCTTCTCGCCCTACTTCCACGAGAATGGTTGCCTTTACCACTCTGGCGTGGGAGCCGACGCCAATTCGCCGCGATTCCACACTCACGTTGAGCGTGGAGTCCGCCTTGCCTCGCGCAGCGAGGATGCCATGCTCGAGCTCGCCCGCAAGGACACGCCCCTTCCCCCAGTCGCATACCCCATCAAGGAGGACAAGGATGTCCTCACCGCTTTCCCTCCCGCTCTCAAGACGAAGCTCGGCCATGGCCTGACAAAGTTTGGCGTCAGTCAGACGGGCTACTTCAACCCGCGTGGAGGCTGGGCAGAGGCTAACACCGCCACTCGCTCGGCGCTCAACGAGGCGCAGCGTCTAGGCGCCAAGCTGGTAGGCAACGCCCTTGTCACTGAGCTGATTCTGGACGGCAAGAAGACAAAGGGAGTCAAGACGGCAGACGGCCGCACCTTCATGGCTGAGAACACAATCATTGCTGCCGGCTCGTGGTCGCGCATCCTCCTCGAGAAGCTTTTGCCCAACTCGTCCGTATCCGGCAAGCTCGCTCCTGCCTCCCACTCGGCGCAGTGCGTCTTGATGCTCAAGCTCACTCCCGAAGAGTGCGCCGCCTTCGCCAACGGGCCTATCATCACCAATCTCGGCACGGGATTCTACGTCTTCCCTCCCAACCCCGACGGCATCCTCAAAGCCGCCATCCATGGTGATGATGGCTTTGCCAACCCTGCTCCGAGCTTCGAGCCGCAGTGGTCCGAGAATGGCCCCTTCCCCTCGTTCAAGGACGGCACCGAGGCCTCGTTCAACGGCGCCCGCCAGCCTACAAAGCACGGCAAGTCCAACTCGGTCACCTACGTGCCAGAGGACAAGGCTGAGCAGATGATGGTACAGCTCTTGCGCCTCTACCCCTTCCTGAGCAATGTCGACCGCTCGAGGATCTCGTCTCGCATCTGCTGGTACTCGGACACCCACGACGAGAACTGGATCATCGACGAGCACCCTGACGTGGAGAACCTAGTAGTCGCAGGTGGTGACTCGGGACACGGCTTCAAGTTCCTTCCCAACATTGGCCGACTGATCGCCTCTCGCGTGCGTGGTGGAGTCGCCTCAATGGCGCCCCTGACTGAGCACCAGAAGAAGGTCTTCTCATTCAAGCATCACATGGAGCTCGCCGAAAGGGCAGCCAGGGGAGAAAAGATCCAGACGGCCGATTCTGCTAGGAGCCATGGTGGTGACCCGGCGGCTGCGAACCCCAACTGGAGCAAGGGCCCAGCGTTCACTATCCCTCAGGCGAGGTTGTGAGCGTGTGAGCCGTTTTGGCCGTGTGGACTTTGTCTTCTTCTGTCATCTGTCTATAAGCGTGGTTCAGCGTGGGTATCTGATTTGGTTTTCAATGTTATCACCCATCAAGCATGAAATGAGACGGGCTTGCGTGTGCGAGTCGTCCGCCTTCAAGCAGCAAAGGAACGTTGGGAAAGCGATGTCGATCGAAGAACATCAAGATGCGGGGGCCAAGCCTGGCCAATCCGCCCTCCCCATGTCGAGCGACACTTCTCCGCCTCTGCCGCTCGCGTGGCGCGGTGCGTTACCGCCCAGCCTAGGTCGTCACCGCCTCGAACAAAGGGGAAGCACCATTGGCGTCGCTGAGATGAAAATCTGGCGTCTATGGTAGCTTGTCTGCAGCACGAGACGATGACAATGAAAGTCTTTGCCGCTAGAACTCAATAAAAAAATGCATACATGAGATGAGGGCTGGCTACTCTCCTCACCCACCATCACCTGCAGCCAATAATGTCCACTTCACCGCGTCCTCCTCATCACACTCGCTTGGCCCTTCTTTCCCTTCTGATCAGCGCGCTCACGCTCGCTCTCTCGGTCTTCATCGCGCTCGTTCTCCTTCCGGCCGCCCTGTCCATCCCTCCTCTCTTCCTTGGGGCACGGCCCTCCGCTACATTTGTGCGCCTCAATCTATTGGCCGCCACGGACGACGATGTGCGAGAGACCCCGATGCTCAAGCCGCGCCTTGCGACTCCTACTGCAGTTCAAGCGGGATGGACCCTCGTGACGGCGTCAGGCAGTCTGGTAGGGTGCATAGCTAGTCTTGGCCTGCTCGTCGCGCGATGCCAGCGACGTCGCCGGATGGCGAGGCTGGGCCTGGCCTTCTTCTGCGTCGTGTTGGGTGCAGCGTGGGGTGGTGGTGAGTTTGCCCATCCCCACCGATACGCTCTCTTCTCCTGCACCTTTCGCTGACTCCCTTCTGTCCCCTGGCCGTAGCCCTCATGACCGGCATCACCCAACTTCTCCTCCTCTTTATCCCTCGCGACCGGCTCATCTCAGGCTGCAAGGCCATCATCGGGCCCGCAGGATCCGCAGTCGAGGCGGCGAAGTGCTCCAAGAGGCTTTGGGTGCTAATGGGGGTGTATGCTGGCCTGCTGGTCGCTGTGGGGCTACTGGCTGGAGCATTGCTGGAGTGCGAAAGAAGGATTTGCAGGAGGTTGCAGAGGATGGGAGGTCGTGATGCTGAGAGCGTCGTGTTGAAGAAGGAAAGTGGCGACGGCACAGGGCAGCGAGCCGTGAAGTTTGTTGACGCACCAAGGAGCGTGACGCTGGAGATGACGGCTCTTCCGAAGCCGATGCTTCGCATTGACTGCCAGCAGCTCGTATCGCCGAGGCGCCATCCGACCATCCTGCGACCAGGGTCGATACGGTCCGCCTCTACGCCGACCATGTCTCCAGGCTCGTCCTTCTCCTCCCCTGGCACGTTGATCTGGTCGGGTCCGGCGCATTCTACTCGCCCTTCTTTCTCTTCTTTCGCAGCCACGCCGTCAACGACATCGACTTCTACGCTGCGCAAGAAGTCGCCTGCCCTGTACTCCGCTGCACCGACTGTATACTGAAATCCCTCTCTGCGTCACTTTAATCAATTTCTGGTATCACCCTCCACGTTTTCCCACCAGATATACCTCGCTCCTTCTTGCTCCCTGTCCCCTCCGCTTGCCTCCCTCTGCCGGCCAAGCACGACCGCTCCCCAGCCGAAAGCCCCTCCTTGCCCACCCGCCGCAGCGGCCGATGCGATCGAAGCAGATCGTTCTGCTTCTCCTTTGCGCTGGTGTCCTTTGCGTTTGACTTGGCGGGACCGTTTACGACGCGCTGCTTTGCCCGTCAAAGGGGCGGACGAGAAATTGTCGTCGTCGTCGTCGTCGTCGTCGTCATCATCATCGTCGTCAGACGAGTCATCCGTTGCTGAGCCTGAGCTGTCGTCGTCACTCTTCTCGTCCATCTCGTCCTGATCATCCTCCCCTTGCTTGCCTTGACCAGCACGTTGACCTGACCGGCTCGCCGGAGTCTTGCCCTGCCCTAGTGCCAGTCCGAGTCCGGGATCTTGGCTCCTCCATCTCACTGGGCTGTCCGTGAAGCCCTCGCAAGATAGCATGGCCCACGGCGCTCCTTCCTTCTTCAGGTCTACGTGATCTCGTACTGCAGCCTCGATCGCAAGTAATATGCTGGGATGCAAGAAGCCTGTGAGCGTGATTTTCGTAATACTCCCCGGAGAGCGTGGGCTAGGTACTGTGTAGGCGTTGTTGTCGAAGTGGGAAGGACGATGGTAGGTCTTGATGCTGCGGTGCGGGCATAAGGCGTGGAGAGGTCAGTCCGAGAAGCTCCTTGCTGCGCGTCACTCTGCCGTCACTGACCACTCAGCATCCCTCTCGACGAGGGCCTTCCACTCTGCTAGCTCTGAAAGAGACTCGGCCCAGTCGTCCCAGCTGAGTCGCGACTCGCCTCCTTCTTCGCCCTGCCAGCCAAGGCGGAGCAGTGGCCACTCGTGCCCTTGCTCTCCCTCATTGCCGCTCAGCTGTGGCACCCAGACGTCTTGCAGCTCTTTCGTGTCCATCTCAGTGGGCAATTCTCCATCTCTGTCCGGCCTGACATGCTGTGGAAATTCTATCCTCCGCCCACTCTCCGCCGCAAAGCAGAAGGTGAAGCAACCACCTCTCTCCTTCTCCCACCTCTCGAAACACTGTGCGACTCGCGTCCAGCCGGGCTTTCCCGGCACGAAGCTAGGATCGCACAGAGGTACTTCGACGATGTACCTCTCCACAGGCCCAGATTTGCGATCCCCTGTTCGACCGCTCGCGCCTATGGCGTAGCGTGAGGGGCGGCCTGTGAGGCCGAGTGTTTGGTAGGTGGGCTTGGTGAGGGAGAGGATGAGGAGGCCTTGCCCATCCAGGCAGATGACATCGTCGCTTTCCAGATCGCCGGTGCTCAAGGCCACTAGGCTGGCTCCCTTGATGTATTGCGTGACGAACTCGGGCGAGAGGAAGACGCGTAGTGAGATGCGGGCCATTACTGCTTGCGAGGTCGAGGCGATGCTTGAGATGGATGTCGAGAGAGAGGAGGAGGAGGAGCTCGAGGTAGGAACGATGATGCTGAGCTGTGATGGTAGCAAAGGGTCAGTCTATGCATGTTTGTTCAACCCTTCTCGCCGCTACTCACTCTATGATTGAAAGGATGCGCCTCAACGGTGTCCGCGAATCTACGCTGCGCAGCCTGCAACGCTTCGCTCCCTTTGTGCGCAGGCTCCACAACATTCAGAACCACCCTACCTGGCGTCCTCTTCCTTGACTTGTCTCCCCTCGCAGACGCCCTCCGCCTCTTATGGCTGCTGGGTGCTGCGAACATGGCGTCGAGCGTTGATGGAAGAGGGGCACCAAAATGCTTGCACCTCTTGCCGCCAGTCCGCCCTTTGCCTGTCCGTCGTGGAGGAGGCAAGCCTGCAACTTGGTCTGAATGGCAGGCATTGAAGCCGCGGCTTTGATGGCTCCGTCCGCACAGACCCGTTCGCCGTTCCCGAGACACGAGCGTCAGGTCTCGTGTGCCAAAGTGAACGCTTGAGGCTGCATTCATTCAAGGCTTTCCACCACTCACTCACCGATAAACTCGCAATCATGGCCTCACCTCCTCCTATCCCCCGTTCCTAGATTCCCCTGCCGATCGACATGACCTCACAACTGACAGTCCCTGAGCTGCGGGATACGCTGTCCTCGCTATCCCTGTCCTCACAAGGCAAGAAGGAGCAGCTTCAGAAGCGTCTGCGAAAGGCTCAGAGGAGGATTCGGCTGGCTGAGGAGGCGGCAGAGAGGGGAGCGTCAAGGGGTACAGAGCAAGATGATGATGTATGGAGACCAAAGTATCGGCGATACTTGGTCCTCGATGTAGAGGCGACTTGCGAAGAGGCGATTTACAGGGGAGGACCCTTTGTGTATCCTAACGAGAGTGAGTGCGCGTGGGCAGGAGGGTCATACATTGCGATGGCCTATGCTAAGATCCTTCTCGTCCCCCTCAACAGTCATCGAGCTCCCCGTTGTCCTCTTGGAATGGCGAGACGCGCCTGCGCCCTCGATACCCAATTCCACCTCCGCCTCCGCCTCCTCCTCCTCCTCCTCTCCCAGTCAACCGAGCACCAAGAGCGCAGGCCAACTCCACCTCATAGACGTCTTCCACAGCCACGTTCGTCCTATCGCCCGCCCACACCTCTCCGACTTCTGCAAAACTCTCACCGGCATCGCCCAATCGGACATCGATCGCGCTCCAAGCTTCACACAGGCGACTGTCCAGCTCCACGACTGGATGGCCGAGCATGACTTGCTTCAACTGAATGCCGAGGAAGATGACGAGTCCAGCTCATCTTGTGCCTCTTCCTCTTCTTCGTCCTCGAGTTCTCCGGCGCTCACGCCATCACATCGCATCTATACATCGCGCCTTCGCAAGGATGTCGCATGGGCAACGCACGGCGCCTATGACCTGCGCGACTTCCTGCCCAAGACGGCATGGCTCAACCACATGATGTACGGACCTCCGCGATGGTGGGGTTCAGGGCCACTTCTGGATGTAAGGAAGGCGGTGGGAAAGTGGGTGCAGCGATCCGTTGCGATCAAGGTTGCGAAGGAGGAGGGGAGCGGGAGCGGGACAAGCGAGGGAGAAGGAGTTGCAGCAGCCGTAGCCGCGGTTGTACCACCCGAAGTGGCAGCTCCGGCTACATTCAGGGATGGTACTATCCCTGCCCTTCTTTCCGATCTGGGACTCGCAGCATTCGAGGGACGACTGCACAATGGTTTGGACGATACGAAGAATCTTGCGCGAATATTAGTCGAGTTGAGCAAGCGGGTGGGAAAGGAGATGAGCGCACCTCCACCTCCCATCAGAGACGGGGGAGCGACAAATGCTGCTACTGGAAGCGGCATAGGCGGTCGAGAGACACCACCACGCTGTGTGTCTCCAGTGCCCTCTACACCTCCGGCGAAGCTGGCGCAATTGCCGCCAGCAACGCCGCCTCCCAACGCACCTGCCGGGCCCAAGCGCTGGCTCGCAGCAAACAAGCAACGTCTCCTCGCTTCCACTCCCCCACCGACATCTCCAAGGGCGCACGGGCGTGGGCATGGGCATGGGCATGGACATAGCTCATCCTCCTCCGTCTCCTCGACCACCTCGATCACCTCGCCCTCACCCTTCCCCTCCTCCTCGTCCTCAATCAGCAGCCCGTCTCTCCCGCCGGCGAGCTACTACCTCGAACCGAACTACACCCTCCCGGATCTCCCTCCCCCTCCTACACCGGGCGACGAAAAAGAAGCAGCGGCGAGCAAGAGCGGGTGGCGCTACTACCCGAAGAAGTATGCGTGGATGGGGAAGAAGGTGGGCATTGTGAAGTGGCACGTTGTTGAGCGTGAGGGGATGGAGGACGGGGAGGATGAGGAAGCGAGCATGACTTTGGCGTCTGGTCAGCAGAGGAATGGGATGCAGATGGGGAGGAACAGATAGGGAATGGGATACGATATCAAGATGATGCTGGGATTGAGTGCGTGAGTGGTGCGAGTGGGCTAGTCGTCATAATCATCATCGTCGTCCAGATCGAGGATGATATCCTCATCATCCTCATCGTCATCGTCGTCATCCTCCCCACCACCCCGGGCGAAGCGCCATCCCTCTTCCTCTTCCTCCTCCTCCTCTTCTTCTCCCTCGACGTCCTCCAACTCTTTCTCCAGCTTCTCCATCTCCTCCTCCTCATCCAGCTCAACAACCTCCTCACCCTCCTCTTCCTCACCACTGAAATCGATGCTCACCACCCCGCTGGCAAAGAGCCAACCAACTGTACCGAGGAGGGCAGTGCCGATCCAGATGTATCGTCCGATGCGAAGGGAGGTGGGCTCGGTGTTCGCAGCAGAGCCTTTGGTTGAGGATGCGTCGCTGGAGTGCCCGCCGAAGAAGGGGATGTAGGAGCTCCATGACCTCTTGAAGGACGAGGATGAAGGGGCAGTTGGCGCCGTCGTCGAGCTCGAGGGAGCAGCAGCTGCGGGCACGCTGTCGTTCTCGCGAGTCACAGTAGGCAGCGTCTCCCCTTCTTGCCCTCCTACCAGCCTTCTGCCAACCCAGGTTTCCCCCTCTCGGGGCGCGCAGAGACTCCACCACTCTTCGCTTCTGCTTCTCACCCACTCCCGCAGCTGGGCGTACTCCTCCAACTCGAGCAGCAGATGAGCCACAGGATGGCTTCGTAGCGCCTCGAGCGCTTTAGGAGCTGTGCAGAGCAGGATTGGGGCGAGAAGGGAGAAGAGCTGGACCTCCGCGGGTGAGGGTAAGGAAGTGGTAGGTGAAGGGTGGGAGGCGAGCCATGAGACGACCGGGGCGAGGGTACGACGTGCGAGGCCGGTAAGCTGCGCGAGTCAGCAAGGGACAGGGTCAGTAATCTTCCAGCATACTGAGCCAGTCTTTCTGAAGAAGAAGGGCAAGCTGCTACGTACCCTCTTTCTCTCAAACTCATCACTCCACCCCTCCTTCTCCCTCCTCCCAAACCCCCAAAAAGCACTCCGCGAAGGCTTGCCTAACTGCACCCTCTCTGGTCCCTCTTCTCTCCCCTTTCCCATCTCCTGTCCCGCCACTCCTCCTCCCTTCTTCGATGCACTGCTCTTTGGTCTTCTCCACTCCTTGGGCAAGGACTGCTCGACCCCCTTTCGTACGCTGTGCGGTAGTGAGCGAGAAGCGGGGAAGGGGAGATGGGATGCCCAGCCGGGGAAGGTGAGGTGGGAGAAGATGGGTTCGTATGGTGACGAGGTGGCGGAGGAAGAAGAAGAAGAAGAGGCTGCGCCACCGGAAGAAGAGCCGCCGGTGCTGGAGGGGAAGAGAATGGAGTAGACGAGGGGCTCGATGTGTCGTTCAAGGTAGGCGGAGAGGGCTGCTTGTTGCACGTCTTCTTCTTCTGCTGCTCCTTCTGCTCCCTCCTTCTCGCCGCTGGCAGACGGGGAGCGCCTTGCCATGACCCATCTCTCCATCCCCTTGACTCCCTCAGCTAGCAGCACTCCACTGCCGCTCACCTCGAGACGGGGCAAGGACTTATGGAGGAGGAGGTTGGGCGGTCTTACGCAGAAGGACGTGGTTGGGCATTGCGTGAGGAGGAGGGTTGCGAGGTAGAGGGAGGATGGATCGAGGAGCGGGAGCGAGGGGTGTGAACTGGGTGAAGGGGTCAGGGCATAGAGTGTGAGAGATGGTGGTCGAGAGGCCATATTGGCGGAATGAAGGGAGAGGCCAAGGTGGAGAGGAGGGAAGGAAGGAAAGTGCGGGAGGCGGACTGAGGCGAGGACAGAGGCGGCGGACTGCGAGGTGGGCCAGAACACACTTTGGCCAAGGGGCGAGCAAGGAGGACGTGGAGATGCGATGGCATTGGTATTAGTACAGAAATGAGACAAGGGCGAGGACAAGGCGTGGGAAGGCTGATGGGTGCAAGACGAAGCTCAAAAGCCCGCCGGGTTGGTTCGCAAGCTAAGCCTGGTCCATTTGGGCACCTGGCGGCGTGAGGATGAGAGAAAGGTCAATATATGCTGCGCGATGGAAGACAAACAAATAGCGTCTGATGCTCATCGAACAAAGGGACAGCATCTTCCGCTGTTCCCCATGCGAAGCACATCCATCTTCTCGACGGTACCCACCTTATGCACACTCTTCCTGAATCCTCTGCTCGTCTTGCTGAATGTAGTGTACTTGTCCTTCGGCGGCATCTCTGCCTCGGTCGGCATGTACAGTGCCCTGGTTAGAGGCTTGCATTCAACTCCACTGGCCGCGATGGTTGCTACGACGTCGTCAACGTCACGCAGCCTCTGTCGGACACGGGACTTGCGAGGTGTCGAAAGGCGCCATGGATTTTTCCTGCGTCGGCGGCGCGAGTGGGGCACGGGAGGGTCAGCATTTACAGAATGGAATGGCTGAGAGCAAGATCGCGTGCGCACCAGAGGAGGCCGCCCATTGCCACAGGTGATGGCTTGAAGATGCCGAACATGATTTGCCTCGAGGTCGTGTGGTGGTGAGATTGGAATCCATCGTTGCAGCTGCCTCGAATGGCCCTCAGTCCGCCCTCAGCCACCCTGCGCCGGGTCCGATTGGGTGCCGCGTGGGAGTCGACTGACTGGACGTCGTCCACGCAAGCGACGCTCGAGCCATCGTCGTCGGATGGCGACAACTTCAACTCGATCCACCATCATCTCCACCCAGAGTAGTCAATAGCCATGTCAAGCAGGCGATACGATGGTCGCACGACGGTGAGCGTCCGCGTGGCGTTTCCTTTGCCCCATGCATCACATGCTGACCTGCCTTGCTCCTGCTCCTGGTCACTCGCTAGACCTTCTCGCCGGAGGGCCGCCTCTACCAAGTCGAATACGCAATGGAGGCAATCTCACACGCAGGGACCGTCATCGGCATCCTAGCCAAGGATGGCGTAGTACTGGCGGCGGAGAAGAAGGTGACGGGCAAGTTATTCGAGCAGGACAAGAGTAGCGAGAAGATCTACGTGCTGGGAGAGTGAGTGGCGCGATCATCCTGGAGACGGAAGCGTAGACGTACTCATCCTCGTGCCTGCCATCCTCGTTCGCACAGCAACATCCTCGGTGGCTTCGCTGGCGTAACATCGGACGCCAACACACTGGTCAACTACGCCCGCAATACTGTCCAAAACGTCCTCCTCTCCTACGACGATGACATCCCCGTGGAGCACTTGACCCAATACATGTGCGACCTCAAGCAAGGCTACACTCAGTACGGTGGTCTGCGTCCATTCGGCGTCTCCATCCTCTACGGAGGCTGGGATGCGCATCATAATTTCCAGCTGTACCACTCTGACCCTTCGGGGAACTACAGCGGGTGGAAGGCGACGTGCATTGGGAGTAACAATGGGACGGCTACCAGTCTGTTGAAGCAGGACTACAAGGAGGGGTGCACCACGCAGGAGGCTATGAGCCTTGCGTGCAAGGTGTTGAGCAAGACGATGGATTCGACGGCGTTGGACAGCGAGAAGAGTGAGTGCAGAGCGAGGCGTGGAGGAGTGAACGATTTTGTCAGACTGAAAGCGATGCTGACTCTCTTTCGCCATGCCCGCGCTCCCCGCCCCGCACCACCAGTCGAATTCGCCCACCTCACCCTTTCACCTCGCACGGGCAAACCGCAACCGCGCATCTTCACGGCGCAGGATATCGACCGTCTGCTGGAGCGTGAGGGCTTGGCTAAGCCCAAGGATCCAGAGCTTGAGGAGGCAGCACCTACGGCGGCAGCAGCGGGAGCAGGGCCGGCTGTGTCAGGTTCCAGAGGCGGCGAGGGGATGAATGTCGATTGATACTGAGCAAGCAATGGGCATACATGATATACAGAGCAGACGTGGGATATGCGAGATGAGAGGGCGCAGAAAGCGATCACGCTCTGGCTGCGAGACGAGGGAGAAAGCGTCGCCCACACCATGCACTCTGCTCCCCTCGACCTTCGCGCCACCATTCTGACCCATCTCCTGTTCCCTCGGGTAGATCCATCTGGACCCACATCTCGGCGGCGTCGGCGGCTGAGTCGGACGGCGGTGGCAACTCGTCAAGTTGTTGAAGCAGCCGGCAGGAGGAGAGGAGGGCAGCCACTTCCTCGTCGTCTTCGTCTTCGTCCTTGTCGTCGATGACGACGGCAGAGTCCCTCATCGTCCCTGCCTCTGCACCCTTCTTGACCCGCACGACGTACGATGGCCAGTAGGGTGGGGGTCTACGCTGACGGGCTGAGCTGCGAGTTGGGCTCGACGAGATCGCGCTCGCCGATGATGCTGAGCCGGGAGATGTCCAGCTGTAGTGTCCAGACGACGTTGCTGATCCTCGTCGACTGGGCGTGCCTCGAGACGAAGAGGGCGTCATTGGGTAGGACGATGGAGAGGCGCTCGATAATGAGATGCTTGAGCTGAGTGAGGGGCAATCTGTCGCGCTACTGCTGATGCTGGTAGTAGTTGCAGCCGTCGAGCCGCGTCTCTTGCGGTGCGGCGTAGAAGGGCTCATACTCGCCAAGCCATCGACGTAGATTGCCCTGTGCCTCATACGAGAGCGAGAGATGGAAGTCTCGACTTGCGAGACCCACTCCTCTGCCAATGAGGATGTCGCGCCTACCCTTCTCCTCTTTGCTTGCCTGTCCTTGGCCTTGCTCTTCGCAGCAACAGCGACGACGGCAATTCTCGCACTCCTCCTCGGTACGAGTTCGGCCCTCTCTGCCTGATGTCGAGCTTTCGTCTCCCTCATCTTCCTGGCCAGAGGCGTGACCCGCGGCAAGGAGCCGTCACTAGCCTGTTGCTGCTCAACTTCATCTGCATCCTCCTGCCTGCCTGCCACTCTCTCCTCCAGAAGCTCCTTGCGCCCAGAGTCCAGGCCGGTGAGACCGAGCGAGAGAAGGAGCTCAGCATTTGCGCGTATGTTGGCCTGCCGGATCGATTCATAGTCTTCGTCCGGGTAGGCTTCGCAGTAGAACCAGGGCGAGGGGGATCTCGTAGCTGCTTTTTGCGCAGAAGGAATGCTCTCAGCAGGAGATGGTGGCACCGTCTGACCCCCGCGCGCGCTCCTTGTGATTCGCCGAGGCGTAGAAGGTCCTGCCTCCTCAGACTGCCTCTTGATTCGCCTTCTAGGCACTTTTGCCGGCGTCGCCAACCCCATAGAAGACAAGAGCTCAGCGTTGGCTCTCATGTTGGCCAGGCGCTCCTGCTCGTATGCAGATCCTGCTGCCTCGTCGTCAAGCAGCGCATCCATGCTGAGCAGGCGCTATGAATGGTCTGGTAGATGTCGAGGGAATGATCAACAATGCCTGTGATGGCTAATCAGAAGTGAGTGGGGGAGTGGGGCAATCAAGCATGAAGAGTGGCTCATTCTGTGGCTCCACCGCTCTACTTCCGAAGCGGGAGGGGCCGCCTTCCATTTCGAGCCACGAGATTGACGCGCCCGTGTCGCGTCTTCCGCGTGCCTGAGAACGCCATGACCCCCTGGAGGTCATCGCAGCGCGGGAAGCACTTTGTACCTTGCTCCAACTCAGGCATCGCAGTAAGCACAATGCCGTCAACACCGCTTTGTCGATCCCTCGACTTGTGAGAAGCTTCCAGTCCTGGCCATCTTTTGTCGCAGGCTTGCAGCGATCTCGAGCTCACGATCGCCATGACCTCCTGCGACGTCCTACTCACGCTCGAAGTCACAATAGCATCGCAGTATCGCAGCATCGCGCTTCTAGACCATTCCGTCTCGACCAAGGATTGCGACTTTCACCCCCTCTCGATCCTCAACCTGTCACAACGACCCCGCGTTGCCCACCCCGGCCGGAGCGGGAGAGAGGAAGAAAGCAGGGTCGCGTGCTGCGTGTTTCTTCCTTCCTTCATGCAGGGACGCAGAAACACGAATCCTTCTCGGCGCCATCGGCGGGCCAAGGCGGCCGCCAGGCCAGGGCCTCGACAGTCGAGTCGGGCAGGCAGCCAGTGCGTGCCCGTTCTCGACGTTTCGCGCCTAGCCAGTTCCGTCCGGCAAGCTGGACCTCGACTCTCTCGACTCGGCAAATTGTCAGTTACTTGAGCTTTCTGAGTGGCTCGCAGGGCCGGTCGAAGGGAGAGGGCAGCAAGGCAACACGCAGTCACTTCGCAACTATTAAGCTAGGTTAGGTGTCCATTCGCTCCATACCATCATCACCACCCCGAACCATCAGCAAGTCGTCTCTGTCATTCCTCCTCCCCTCCTCTCACCAGCATAGCATCTGGCCAATCCTCCGTCATCAACGCAACGCCCCGCTCGCATGTCAAACTCGGCCGACACCAAAGACAGCGCTCCCCTCTCTTCCCCGCCGGTCGACGAGACGGCCTTCCTGCCCCTCGCCGCCAACGACGGCGGCAAGAGCACCACCAACGCCTCCGCCAAGAAGATGGATGGCGCTGGTCGCGGCAGTGATGATGCCGCTGCGGCTGCCTTCGGGACCAACAGTGTGGTGAGCACCAAGTCGACATCAAGCACGACGGCGCGCGCGCACACAGCAGGCTGACCCTCTTCATCCTCTCGCCGTCTTCGCACGCAGACCTCTTATGACAAGCACGCAGCTGAAGTCCTTGACGAGGCCGCCGTGGAAGCCGCTGGTCAAGAATCGGGCACGTCGCTGTACATCTGGACCCTCACGGCCATCTCTGCCGTTTCTGGCGCCCTGTTCGGCTACGATACCGGCGCGATCAACTCGGTGCTGGTGCAGGTGGGGACGGACATTGATGGGAGGCCGATGACAGATGGCGAAAAGGAGCTGATCACTTCCGGATTGGCCGTGGGCGCCATCGTCGGGTCCATCCTCATCGGTGAGTAGCAGCGGGCACCATTCACCCGCCCTGTGACGCTCGACTGACGTCGATCTTTCCTCTCGTACCCTTTTGCTCGCCAGGCTACTTGTCTGACCGTCTGGGTCGCAAACGCTCCCTCGTCTTCTGCGATGCCCTCTTCATCGCAGGCGCGGTAGTCCAGGCCGCAATCTCCTCAAAGTGGCCCTTCATCGTCGGCCGTTTCATCATGGGAATTGGCGTAGGCGCGGCCAGTCAGCTCGCTCCCGTCTTCATCTCCGAGATCTCACCGGTCAACGTCCGCGGCCGTCTCGTCACGCTTAACGTCGTAGCAATCACGTTCGGGCAGGTCCTCGCCACAGCCATCGGGGCCGGGTTCGCAAACGTGGCTGCGGGTTGGCGTTGGACCATCGCGATTGGGGCGATTGCACCCTTGATCCAGGGTGTAGTCATCGAGGTCTTCTTCCCCGAGTCGCCGCGCCATCTCATCAAGACGGGCAAGGCGGATGCGGCTGCGAAGGTGCTGGCTAAGATGTATCCCCGAGCTTCGGAGGACCAGTTGCAGGCCAAGGTCGACGTGCTTCAGCGCCGTATCGCGTCTGACACAAAGACCGCCTGGACCAAGTACAAGGATCTGGTCACGGTGGGGCAGCTCAGTCGTGCGAGCATCTTGGCCGCGCTACTCCAGGTTGCGCAGCAGCTCAGTGGCTTCAACGCCCTCATGTACTACTCGGCGACCATCTTCTCCCTCGCCGGCCTCAAGAACTCCACGGCTACCTCCCTCGTGGTCTCCGGGGTCAACTTCGTCGTGACGTGCATCGCCGTCCTCTTCCTCGACCGTTTCGGGCGTCGCAACTTCCTCAAGGTCACGATTCCCATCATGATCTTCGGTCTGCTCTTCAGCACCGTCGTCTTCTACTACATGACTGCGCCTACAGATCACTACCTGCGCGACGGCTTCGAGTATGACAAGAAGTTGAGCTCGGTCATGATCTTCTCGATGGTTATCTTCGTGGCAGGTTACGCCGGTGGGCTTGGCCACGTCCCCTGGAGTGCGGGCGACTTCTTCGACCAGGATCATCGTGGCGTGGGCGCCTCAGTGGGCGCTTTTGCTAACTGGAGCATGAACTTGGTCGTCTCGTCGACCTTCCTGCTGCTCCTCAAGTCGATCACCCCTGCAGGAACCTTTGGTTTCTATGCGGGTCTCTCGACGCTGCTCGCCGCCATCATCTACTTTACGTACCCAGAGACGCTCGGTTTGCCCCTGGAGCAGGCGTGCAGCACCGTCGATGGCGGCTTCCACGTCAAGAGGAGTGAGATGCTGAGGAAGCAGAATGTGAGGATGCTGAGGGAGCGCAAGCTCGGTGGTGGAGCGGGGGCGTCTGCGTAGGCCCCGAGAGAGACAGTGTGTGAGACAGGAGCGGTAGGACGAGATGGGCGTTGGCAGGCATGTAGTCGGCCGGCCTCGCGAGCATAGAGCCACAGACGCTCTGCAATCAGCAAGCACCAAAAGCGAAGCTGCAGCTGTAGTCGCTGCACTTCGATATTACCAACCAATGTTGTAATTCTAATATCCTAATCACCGCCGTATCTTCGTGCGACTGCGACTCTGGTAGTGAGCTCTATGCGGCAGCCGTGTGCGTGCTTGACGTCACCAAGCTCGACCCTTTGCCACGTGGTCTTGTTGGTCGCGAGACGGGCTTCCACATCGGCCGGCGCTTGGCGGAGGCGGCGGATCGAAGCGGGCGGGCAGGCAGGCGTGTGCGAGCGAGTTGAGTTGGATCTTCTTGCTGCACCCTCACCATCAACACCTCCTCGCACCTCGTTGAACCATCATGGCCACATCAACTACTGCTGGCACTCCTGCTGCTCCTGACCCGGGTATGTAAGCTGCACGCGTATAGCTAGGCTGGACTGTGGACGCTGATCTTTCAACACCCTGCCGCGTCGCGCAGCCATCGTCGGCGGCTCCTCGTCGAACAAGGACAACAACGCCGAGCTCACCTACCTCAAGTCCCTCGTCTCCCAGCTCAACGCCAAGATCACCTCGATCGAAGGAGCGGCAAAGAATGCTGCTGCTTCCATCGTCGGCTCTGGCGGCTCCGGAGACGGCGTCCGTATGATCCTCATCGGCCCCCCTGGAGCCGGCAAGGGTACGCAGGCGCCCAAGATCCTCGAGCACTACAAGAACAATGTATGCCATCTCGCCACGGGTGACATGCTGCGTGAGCAGGTCAGCAAGGGGACTGAGCTGGGTAAGAAGGCAAAGGAGATCATGGACCAGGGTGGACTGGTCAGCGATGAGATCATGGTTGGCATGATCAAGGACCAGCTGGAGACGAACAAGAAGTGTGCTGGAGGGTGCGTAGCAGCTTTGTCTCACGAGTCTTGTATGGGACGTACGCTGATCTTTGAATACTGCTCGTGTCGCCCTCGCGCAGCTTTATCCTCGACGGCTTCCCGCGTACCACTCCTCAGGCACAGAAGCTTGACGACATGCTTACCAGCAAGTCGCAGAAGCTCGACCATGCCGTTGAGCTCAAGATCCAGGACTCGTGAGTACGCGGCGCGAAGACCTGAGCTTCCTTGTCTCTTTGGACAGGCGCTGACATCATGGTCCCTCGCGCTCGTGCCCAGCCTCCTCATCTCCCGCATCACCGGTCGTCTGATCCACCCCGCCTCTGGCCGTTCATACCACAAGGAGTTCTCTCCCCCGAAGAAGTCCATGACCGACGACGTCACCGGCGAGCCCCTGATCCAGCGATCAGACGACAATGCCGAGACCCTTCGCAAGCGCCTGGCGACATACCATGCGCAGACTGCCGATGTCACGAGCTACTACCGTCAAAAGGGCATTTGGACCCCTGTGGATGCGAGCCAGAGCCCCGCGGTTGTTTGGAAGAGCATTCAGGCCATCTTTGCCGAGCAGAAGAAGGAGCAGAGGGCGTAAGGCGGAGGCTCCGGTACAGGGAAAGGTGCGGGAAAGGGTGGAATAGACGAGAGGACAGCGTGGCGTCATGCTAGAGAGTATGGGAGCATTGAAGTACGGACGGGCGATAATACAATGCGATGTGATGCGAAGCCATGCAATCCTCGGTGACAATGCTATCCGCCTAGAGTTCCTCGTCGGTCACGCCCAAGATCGTCTTGCAGACGAGGGTCCTCATCTCCTCGCTCCTCTCCTTGCCGATGGCCAGGACCTCTTCGTGATTCGCAGCCTCCTTGTCATCGTCTGGCTTCTCCACCTTCTCGGCGCCAGTCTGCCCGGCGAGGGCCGCCTTCTTGGCGTCGAAGTAGGGCGTGGTGACCACGACGTTGGTGACAAGGGAGAGGGCCAAGACACGCACGCCACACTGTCTCGCTGCGATCACCTCGGGTACGGTGCTCATCCCAACCACATCAGCTCCCAATGTCTTGAGCATGCGACACTCTGCCCTCGACTCGTACGTTGGCCCAATAACGAAGGCGTACGTTCCCTCTGCCGTCCTCTCGAGACTCTTCTCCCCCAGACTTGCAACCGAACGGAAGAAGGCAGTGCGAAGCTCCGTATCGTACGCGTTGGACGTCGGGGGGAACCTTGGTCCGAGGGGGAAGTTAGGTCCTACGAGCGGGTTCAGCGGGGAGGAGAGGGTAGGGAGGGAAAGATGGTCATGCAACGCCATGATGGTTCCGATGGGCAACGTCGGGCTGAGCGATCCTGCTGCATTTGTGACTACGAGTGCCTTGATGCCCAAAGCCTTCATTGTGCGTACGGGGAAGACGCATTGTTGCGGCGTATGGCCTTCGTACAGGTGGAAACGGCCAAGAGCGGCCACTACCGGGACTTGACGGGAGCCTCCGGTGACGAAACCGAATGCGAGGGCGTTGCCGTGTCCTTGGACTGAGGAGCGGGAGAAGCCGGGGATGGAGGAGTAGGGGATCTCGATTCGGGAGGTGAGGGAGGAGGAGAGGGTGGAGAGGCCAGAGCCGCTGCGAGCAAGAGCGTGGGGCAGAGAACAATGTCAGCGAGCCGAGTGGTGGTTGTGAGCGCGTGATGTGCCGTTGATACTCACCAGATGATCCCCCACTTGGGGCGAGCCAGCTCGGCAGGCAAGTGGGATCGAATGTGCTCGACTGCCGATTTGAATTCAGAGGGGAGAAGCGCGAGGACGTCCTCGCCTTGGGGTTCTGTGGATGCCATGCTGGATGAGAAAGATTAAGTCTAGGGTTGGGGGCGACGCTAATGTAGAATACGGTAGGGTAAGGTAAGGTAAGATAAGCCAGGGCAACAAGGAGGAGTGGACGAGCGGAGGCAAGTGTTGGATTAGACTAGGCTACGCGCTCGCTCGCTCGCTCGCTCCTCCCGCGGGATCAGAAGATCGAGACCAGCCCGACATGAGCTATGGCGTCCTGAGAGATCGAGGGAATCGGGGGCAGATACGCGATGTGAACCTGAGAGCAAATGAGAGTGTGACGATGGTATTGCTACATATGACGTCAAAGACAAGACGGAGGTGGTGATACAGAGGCAAGAGAGACGGTCATCAAGGCAGTGGGCTTGTGGGACTGGCTCAGGCTAAACGCAACTTCGTAGCAAAAGCTCTTCGACCTTGGTTCGTAGCTCTTCTACAGGTGTGGGGGATGGCGATTAGCAATTTCCAGAGTATCTCAGCTGCCTCTCTGCTACTCACTGGCTTCTTGAAGGGCATCAGCGTACTCTTCGTTAGCCTGGCGCATCTCCTCGTCAAGAGCTCGCAGCCTCGATTCCTGTGCGAGCGGAAGAGAGAATATGAGTTGAACAGCTGATAGCGACGAGGCTTTCCTACATCTCTCGTGCGTACCTGCTCCTCCTCTTTCCTTTCCACCTCCAACCGTCCAATCTCGTCCTTCATCCAGCTGACCCTCTCCATCAAATCATCGACCAACTCCTGAATATCCTCCTTCATTTGGGCTGGCGGCACCAGTCCCTCAGGCGCGCTAACGCCTGGGCCTGTGTGGATGTGAGCGGGAATCTCTGGGTGAAGCGGGATATGTGTGGAGCTCGAGAGGCGATGCAGTGATGTTGAGGCTATTTGGAGGATGAGGGAGAGGGAGAAGGAGAGGGTTGAGAGGGGATCGGTCTGTTGGAGAGGGGAAGATGTCAGCCGGCTGAGCACGAGGGTCGTGTCCTGTCTGGCATGCTCACCTCCTCGTCAAGCTGCGGCTTCTGAGGCTTGTCAATTCCTGCCGCGCCGTCTGCTGATGTCGAGGCCATGTTGTTTGTCATGATGGAGACGAGGCAAAAAAGCTCTTTCTTTGGCCTCATCTTTCTCCCTCGTCGCGGGCATGGCTCGTGCGAAGCTGCCAAGTCGGGACGGGACGGAGTGACAAGCAGGCACACAGTGGAGCGAGGCAGTCGAGCGCTCGAAGGCAAGTGGGGGTTGATTGGTTGGCTGTGAGTTGCTCAGGCCCGCATTCATTCATTCTCTCCTTGACTTCTTCTCACATCATCTAACTACTCATATCATCAACAATGGCTGCCACCCTCACTCGATCCGTCCTCCCTTCACTGCGTCGCTGCGCCGCGCCATCACCGCTCATGGCCCGCAGCAGCCTCATGGCTCTCCATGCCCGCACCTTGACGACGTCGATGCCCCGCATGGAGATCAAGACGCGCTACACGCCAGAGCACGAGTGGGTCTCCCTCGACACCGAGACCAACATCGGCACCGTAGGCATCACCGACTATGCGCAAAAGAGTCTCGGAGACGTCGTCTACGTTGAACTCCCTAGCCAGGGGAGCGAGGTCAAGCAGGGAGGTGAGTTGGACCAGCCTCCAGCATGTAGTCTTCGAGAGCACATCTTCTCATCTTGTCGTGTTCTTTGCCCGCCAAACAGAGCAAATTGGAGCAGTCGAGTCAGTCAAGGCAGCCTCGGACATCTACTCGCCCGTAGCAGGTACCGTCACGTCGGTCAATGACCGTCTGGCAGATGAGGCTGGTCTCCTCAACAAGAGCCCAGAGAAGGATGGTGAGCGACGAGCTCCTCCAGCGAGGCCAAGTCTGTCTACACTCGCTGACCTTGCGTTTTATCTTGTGATCGCATCTCGACAGGGTGGCTGTGCCAGATCCGCCTGCTTAACCCCTCGGAGTTCGAGACGCTCATTGAGAAGGACGCCTACCAGAAGCTCACCGATGAGGCTAGCGACTAGACTCTTACACGCGCCAGGAAATAAAAGTACAAATCCAATGTGAAGTCTTCAATTTCGCAGCACGGCGCAGAAAGCGATTATGAGAGAGTCGTGGTACACTAGGCGCCAATAACGCGAAAGAACTTCTTGACCACACGTTTGCCTCCGTCCGCTGCAGCTGCTGTGGCCCTCTTCCTGCTCGAAGTAGCAGACGCTTCCTCGCTGACAGCGCGCCCGCTTCGACCGCCGCTATGACTTTCGTCCTCTCCGTCATCCTCATCGTCACTGTCGAGCTTCATGCTGGCGCCAGCGATCAGCCCGACACGGTCATACGCTGCCTCGCCTGTAGGGAGTCCAGCGGGGGCCAGAAGGTGGGCATTGAATGGATTGAGACCCAGGATGTGCGAAGCTTTGCCTGTCGTCGCCTCCACCTCGCCGCCAGAAGGCTTCGCTGCAGTCCCGTTCTCATTAAAAGGGTCGACAGCCATGCCCACGGGCATCGACCTCCTCCTCCCCTTCTTCGTCGTGCCCAACGTCAGACCGTCCGGTGAACCTGGAACGGGAGCTGCCAGGTCGGTGAATGGGGCCGGTGAGGCGCATGCAGAAGTCATGGCCATGCCTATGCTCGTGGGCGAGATGATCAAGCTCGACCGCCTCCTCGCTGCAGCCATCAGGCTCGTTGATGCTGATGTTGCTGCGACAGGCTTGGTCGGGGAAACGTCGTGAGACGACCAGGGGCGACGCAAAGGTGAGCGGGGCGTCCTGGAGGCAAGGGCGCGGACGCTGCTGAAGGGAGAAGTGCGCTCTGATGTGCTTGAGCGTGGCGACGAGGGAGCTATTGGAGAGGAAGTTGCTGATTGCGGTGAGCGACCCGTGACTTGTTGCTGACTTCGCAGCGATGGCGTCCTGAGCCACTCGGGCGAGCCTTCTGGTTCGTTGCACCGGTCCGCATGGTGGCCAAAGACCTCTTTGCCGTCGTCTTCATCAAAAATCCCGCGAGGAGAGCAAGGCGAGGCCCGTATCATGGTCGGCGACTCCATTGGCGAACCGAAAGCGCGTTCTGACGCCTGCTTGGTCGCGAGGAGGATGCTAGACCGTTTGAAGTTGCTTCCCCCACTCCCGGGTAGGGAGAGGTCGAGCTTGGCGGGGCGAGGACGCGGGGTACGAGCTGACTTTGATGCCCTGTCACTCTGGACGTTTGGGTGCAGGTCCACGAAGCCGACCGAGCGTCGACGTTGGAGGGTGGTGAGGTCGCCCGCTGTTGATGACGAAGATGTAGAGGCAGGAACGTGGAATGCGTCCGCGACCTCCTTTTCGGGGATGTGGCGATGAGGCAAAGGTAGATATGCTGGAAGACGGATCATGTCCACGTCACTGTTGTCGCCGTCTGCCTGCTGCTTAGCCTCGTCAAAAGCGGTCGTCGTCGTCCCAGGCAAACGATCAGGGATCAGATTGAGCCGCTCTACCGCGCTATGGCTTCGCTTGACGCGTGGGCGTACCGCAGCCGTATCGCTCTGCTCGGCCCTCGTATCGATGTTGAGACCAGCGAGGAAGTGATCCCCCTGCTCACCGGCACCGCGAAGTAGTTCCCACTGGTAGTAAGGCGCGCCGCCACTGCTTGGGCTGACCACCTCCAGAGGTTTGTTGCCCATCAACAGATTGACCGAGGAGCCGCGCCTCCGCGTCATGGTGCGGCCCCGGCTTGGCGTCGTAGAAGGGGACTCGGGTGCTGAGTTGTATCCGCCTCCTGGAGTGGTAGGCATGCGAGCTGTGGAAGGTGACCAGGCCATTGGCGTAGAGGGGGAGAGGGGGTCAAGCAGTAGGCGATTTTCGTCGCGTTCTGTGCGGCGAGCAGACAGGGCTCGTCAGTACCACTTCTTGCTTCGCTGCACGCACACACGCGCTCACCCTGCTCGTCAAACCACCACTTGCCGCTCGAAGCATCTTTGACGTGCAAATAGCGCTCTCGTCTTTGCAAGGGCGTCTCGCCGAAGAATTGGTTCATCTGACGATGGGTGTCATACTCGACCGGGCGCCAAGCATGGTGCGAAGCGGCGGTGGAAGGCTTTTTGTGCGATTGCGAGCCACTGTCGCTACGCTGCATATGCGCAGCTGAGAGATGGGTTGCCGAGGAGGTGAGCATGTCGATGCCTCCCATGTTGTGAGTCAGTGTGCGTGAGCGAGGAAAGGTCGTCTGAGTGGTCGTTAGTGTGCGCTTCCCCTTCGCTCGTCCAGGAGGTAGCGTGGCAACTGAGGTCGGATGGGAAGGGTAGAGAAGAAGGATTGTCGACGACATCGTGCCGGACGATGTGTGAAGACGGTGCTAGATCTTATGCTGAATGAGGAGTGAAGCTGACGGTGGTCGCCTTACCTTGTCCGTCTCCGACGAAGTGGGTCGTACTGATGCAAAAGAGCGTGCGGCGGGTGAGACGCTCAAGTCTTACAAATTGGGCTGCCATCCTGGCGCAAGAGCGACGAGAGAAGGTTGCGGTAGCCAGATATACGAGGTGCGGACAAAGAAACGCCACGGTATAGCGGTCTGAGTAGGAACAAAGAGGACACGAAAGGCCGGCTCGCTGAGAAGACGCTAGCTTTTTGGGCCGGGACAGTGAATCAGGAGGCGTACATTCGCCGTCCTCTGTCTCCCTCATTGCTTGCGATTGCAGTCACTTGACCGCTCAAGTGTTGTGCGCCAACATGCCCTAGACGAACAAAGGAGCACAACGTTGACGCGCCGGACGGGTGACGCCGTGCCAAGACGGACGGAAGCAGCGGCATTGACCACGTGGCTATTGAACTCGCAGCTTGCTGAGCTCGTTGAGCGAGGCGAGCTAGTGGAGCTCGTGCAGCTTTGACTGGACTTGACTTGCTCGATCAGGCCAGGCACGAGGAGCGACGAAGCGGAGGCGGCGGTGCAGTGCATTGCTGCGTTTCGATCCTTCCTACCATCTTTGCTCTTTGCCTCGTCGTCGTTCGCCGTCGATCCTTTCTTCCTCTCATCAACGTCGCCCGACATGGGCCGCCATCTCATCCAACAGACGGCAACGGTGCTCGCCGGGCCTCACGGATCTTCCGGCGCGCCCATTGTCGAGCTTATCAAGGTCACTGCTAGCTCGATTCTCGAGGTTGTGATCTTGAGCTCGATTGGTTACTACTTTGCTAGGCGAGGGATCATCGACAAGCAGACCCAGAACAAGATCAACAAGATCAATGTGTGAGTGGGGAGAGCCAGTGAGATGGCGAGACAATGGTACCAGCGTGTTTGACTCACACTATCATCCCTCTCTCCTCCACCCGCAGCTCACTCTTCACCCCGGCCCTCCTGTTCTCCAAGGTAGCCTTCTCCCTCAACCCTCGCCGCCTCGCTGAGCTCATCATCGTACCGGCAGGCTTCGTCATCGTGTCGGTAACCTCAGCACTCTCGGCATGGATCCTGTCCAAGATGTTCCGCCTCTCCAAGGGGCAGCGCAACTTCTCCATCGCCTGCGCCATCTCGCCCAACTCCAACTCGCTGCCCGTCGCTCTCATGCAGTCGCTAGTCGCCACGGTGCCGCAGCTTCACTGGGAGGAAGAGGGCGAGCCAGAGGACACGGTCAATGGGATGCTCGGTCGAGCTCTCACTTACCTCGTCCTCTACTCGACGCTTGGCATGTTTGTGCGATGGAGTTTGGGGGCGAAGCTGCTCAGCACCGTCGAGGAGGAAGAGCAGCAGGAACAGCCGCAATCTGTCCTGGGCGGCCAGTATCGTGATGAGCCAGGACAGGCAGAAGAGGGAGGCGCTCGACCTCGCACTGCTCGCCTCGTCGACTACGAGAATGAAAACGGCCAGGCTCCCCACATCCGCGTCGAAGAGCCAGCAGAGGACAGAGGGGGAGCACCAGAGCCCCTGACCGATGGAGGTCGTCCCCCCGTACCTAAGCCCAGTCGCACCCGCTCTGGTCCTCCTGCATGGGCTCGCTCCTTCCCCAACACACCGCAAGGCGGAGCCTCACCGGATGACAGCGTTGACGGGGATCAAGAGGCGAATCTTGCCACACAAACTCGAGACAATGCCAAGAAGGTTTTGCATCGCGTTGTCATCGTACCTGCGCAAGCCGTCTACGGCTTCATGACGCCGCCGCTGTGGGCTGCCGTGTTGTCACTCGTCGTCGCCCTGATCCAGCCGCTGCAGAGGCTGCTGGACAGCATCGATCCGCTTGTTGGAGCACTTGAGAACTCTGGCGCCTGCTCTATCCCTCTCACCATGCTAGTCCTGGGTGCCTACTTCATCGAAGACAAGAAGGCGGTCAAGAAGTCAATGCCAGCAAACAGTGAGGATCCAGCAGCTCAGTCATCGGAGGAGAGCGCAGGCAATGCACAGAGGGGGCGGCAGGGCAGCGCAGACCCTTGGCTAGGCGGACGTGAGCCCGAGGTGGCAGCAGCATCGTCGTCGCGCTCCTCGCTGCCGTGGATGAAGAACCCATGGAGCGGTGGAAGCGTCAATGGCAGCGAATACGCGAGCGAATACGCAGGCAGCGAGGCCGGTGTTGATTCGCGTGGTGAGACGACCCGCTCCTCCACTGCCGCCGCTGTGGGGATGTCCTCATCGTCGATGACCAAGAGCCCAGAGGAGAAGGCAGAGGAGCGCAAGACGACCATGGAGAGGCGGACAATTTTGGTGTCGATCCTGTCGAGGATGATCGTCACGCCTTTGCTGTTGATCCCGCCGATGGCTTGGTATGCCATTGCGACGCGCTACAACGTCATGGACGACCCAGTGTTCATCACCTCTGCCTGCCTCATCATCGGCAGTCCTCCAGCTCTGACCCTGGCGCAAATCTCTCAAACGACGAGCGGGGGCAACAACACTCTCGAGAAGCTCATCTCCAAGACCATCTTTGTCTCGTACGCCGTCCTGGCTGCCCCAACGACGATCCTCCTCGTTTTGGCGGGGCTGCTCATCGCCGAGTACGATCACTAAGCTTCAAAGGTTGTGTATTGTAGTGCTACCTTCTCCCTTGATGCGGATACTTGTGTGAGCTTCTTGTTGCCTCGAAATAGAGATTCAAGCTTGCGCCATTGGTCACACGATCGTCAGATTTGCAGAATTACAGCGTTGCAACTACGGCGAACGCTCAATATGCCGGCAACTGCGAGTTACGCAGACGCTACGAGATAGGGTTCATGGTAGCGCGCGCATCAGCGTGAACTCCTCGTCGGCGTGTGGTGTGCTGGGCCTCGACTCCAGCTTCTCGCTTCTGACGGAACCCCCAGGCTCATGGGAATTTCTTCAGAGCGCTGCCCCCCTCAACCCAACCCCGGCTGCCTTGCCTACCGCTTTCGTGGCATGATGTTCGAGGCGAGGGCGCGGGTGGCGAAGAGGAAGGGGAGCGCCAAGGTCTGGCGAACCTGCCTTCTTTGGCGTCTCGATTGGTCGGTCGGCGTCGAAGTCGTTGCTGAAAGAGGTGAAATCAAAGGGACTGCCAGTCGTGCAGCGTGGAGCTGGCTAGGTGCTGTGGGCTGTGGGCTGGGAAAGAGGCACGGGCCAGGGCAAAAAAGGCAGCGAGCGGGCTTTTGTGTCGTTGAGGACGAGGTCCAATCAAGAGGCGAGGACACAGCGCAATCGGACGGCTTGCTCTTTCTCTCTTTCTTCCCTTCTCCGCCACCACTTCGGCCCTGACAACTACATCAACGCCGCCGCCGCCGCCACGCTGTTGCCGCCCTTGCCTTCTCCATCGTCGTCCCCTGACAAAACGCCCTCCTCCTCTTGCGTCACTGGCCTCCTAGGCATCGACGGCCTGTTCCGTGCTCTACGCTGCTCATCGCCGAGATCGTCGCGAAGTGATAAATCAAACGCTCGACGTCGTTATTGAATCGCGAGGCAGGACACAAAGGACGAGACAAAGAAGACATACCTACGATCCTCTCTGTCACGACCTCATTACGATCTTCACGACCTCTTCACAGCCGCGGGATTGCTAGGCCCCCGATTCGAGACAGCGGAGCATCGAGCGGCCGCGTGAGACAAATCGACGCAAGCCCGCAAAACTCTCACTGCACCAAGTACTGCAGCTTACAACCGCTTGTAGCATCATGAAGGAGGTCAGGGTAGTGATCATGGGTGGTGAGTATGGGCGAACACAAGCTTGAGGATGCTATTCAGGACAGCTCACCCTCCCGTTTTGCGTCGCAGGCGGAGGAGTTGGCAAGTCGGCCCTCACGGTCCAATTTGTTCGCAATGTCTTTGTCTCGACGTACGATCCGACCATCGAGGACACCTATCGCAAGGTCATCTCCATCGACGGGCAACAATGTCTTGTCGAGATCTTGGATACGGCAGGGTGAGTGCGCCGTGCGGAGGACCCACGACTCCAATCTCGCGCTGACATGCTCCTGTCACTCACGCTCCCGCAGTACCGAACAATTCATGGCGCTCAAGGAGCTCTACATGAAGTCAGGCCAAGGCTTTCTCCTCGTCTTTTCCCTTACTCAACTGTCTAGCGTCAATGAGCTCGGCCCCTTGCGAGAACAAATCGTCAGGATAAAGGGTTCCAAGGTGAGTACGAGCGAGCGCTGCGCTGTACGCACGCTGTACTCATCGCAATCGCTGCCATCACGCCTTCAGGTCCCCATCGTCCTCGTAGGCAACAAGTCAGATCTACGCCCGGAACGCCAAGTGCCCCGTGAAGTGGGCACAAACCTCTCACGGGCGTGGGGTAACGTGCCGTACTATGAAGCATCAGCGAGAAAGAAGATCAACGTCGATGAGATATTCGCAGACATAGTACGGCAATGTCGGGCCTGGGAGCTCGTCAATGGGTCGGCGAGCCAGTCGGTCAAGAGCGGAAGGAAGGACAAGAAGTGCGTGGTCATGTGAGGGTGAGCAGATCCGCTCCCACGCTGTCAGCCGCGAACCCTCCCACCATCCCGTCACGATCAGCATGCTCCTTTACCCCCAATCTCTCGCCGCATTTCTTCGTAACGTCTCATCGTTTCATCTTCTTGTACCTTTCTCTCTCTTCCCGACATGAGATACCCGCCTAAGTTCGTTCTGAGAGATCGTCAACAGGGCCTGCTGACTGATCATGGTTCCCATGTCTGCACGTCTGTACCATCATCCTCCGGCCCTCTAGAGGCTCATCCTCATTCGAGCTAGCTGCATTCGCCGGCGCCGAGGAAGTTGTCGCATTTGCTCCTCCCCCTCCACTCCCGCCTCGCCTCCTCGTTGCGATGAAAGTCGGGCCTTGCCCACGATCAGGTGGCGCAGCGGGCCGGCCATGGAGAAACGCAGGGCAGGGAGGGACGCAGGCGTCACGACGCAGACACAGGCAGTCCAGGGTCCTGGTCTGACTGAGCGGAGAAAAGAGGGAAAGTAAAGGGCGCGTGCGTGCCGCTCAGCAGCTCGCACGTCCGGACAATCGTGGATTCGTTGAGTTGGTTGGTTGAGAAGCCCGGCTGTACATTTCCTTTCTTCGTTCCTTTCCCCGCTTTCAAATCCATGCTTCATTGTCTGGCTCAGGCGACTCTTCTTCACCCTACCTCGCGCAACGGCTCGCGCTAGCCATGTCGTTGTCATCATCGACAACGCAGTCGCAGCCGTTGGCGCCATCGCCATCGTCATCGCCGTCGCAGCATGGCCTTGTCCGCGATGGCGCTGCTCAGCGAAATACTGTCACCACCTACTTGATCACTGCCCTCGTCATCCTGTTCACTGTCCTCTTCTTCTTCCGGTCCATCCTCCCTCGTATCATTCGAGCGGCCTCTCGTCACTTTAGCGTCCGTCGCATTGGACCCAGAGGGATTCGCGATCTGCAATGGTCTTCGCCCACGTCATCTACCGTTGTGCGAGTCAAGCGCATATACGCTACTTTCGGCAAAAGCAAGGAGAGGGCTCAACGGAGCTGGCTCACCATCAACGTGCAAGGCGTGGACGTGCGCGTACCCCATAATCCGGATGCAGAAGCCGCTGAGGAGCAGAAGAAAGCCAAGGCTCGAGCTCAGCGCGACAAGGAAGAAGAGGAGGAGCGGCAGGAGAGGGAGCAAGAGGAGCAGCGTCTCGAAGCTCTCGTGCAGGGAAGTAGCGCGGGTCTCTCGAGGGGTACGACGCCTCGCTCCGTCAGCGCAACCACTCCAGCAGACATCGAGCAAGATGGCAAGGCCAGCAATGCTGCCCAGGCTGCGACCCGCTTCCTCCTCGACTCGGCCTACCCCAGGACTCGCGACGCAATCGTCCAAGCTGCTCGAGGCGTCCTCTTCGTGCTAGCATCGGCTCTGCCGGCGCTTGTCTCCATCATTGAGATCCAAGTGCACGCCGTCGAGGTCCATCTTGAGGAGGCCGATGCCGTATTGAGCATACAGCGTGCTGGCATCGAATTCTCCATGGAGCTCGTCTCTATGCGTGTTACAGACAACGAGGGGATCAAGGAGACGGAGTGCGTCCCGACTAGCGAGGGCCTCTATCGACGCTGCAGAGAAATGGTGTCTGCCGTTTCAAATCGTATCAGCTCCTCTGCTCGCGATACGGCCTCCCTCATGACAGCAGGCTTGCCCGCCGGGCGTGCGAGCGCTCGTCTACGCTTGAGCGATTTGCGTCTTCGCGAGGCTAAGAATTCGTCATCAGAAAACGTTCTTGACCTGCCTAGCGAGTCGCAGCTTCATGTTGGCCTCTTGCTGGGACCCAGTCTACGGCTGAGGGGCAAGGAGGCCGTCGAGGTCCACCTCAAGACGTCGGACATCAAGGTTGGGGTTGATGCCCTCTACCGAGTCGTCCGCGTAATCGAGGAGCGCAAGGCCATGCGAATGGGTCCCATGCCAACTGCAGATGGTCTCGAAGACGGCGACCGCTCTGGCCTCTCCAAGCACTTTGTCAGCCAGCGCAAGCAACCCGCAGCAAAGGCTCTCATGGCTCTTCGCGCAGCATCCCTCACGATCCCGAGAATCCGGATCGCAGCATCACCAAATCCAATCGATTGTGACTATGCCCGCAGTATCGATGAGGAGCAAAGGCAGCGTCTACCTCGCCACATCGAAGTGGAGGCTATCGTCGAGGGCATTGGCCTGTCGGTATCTACCAGCAGCCCTCGCGACGCTGCTCATCGTCGATGGCTCGGGTCATGCGGCATCCTCAATCACAAGTCGTTACGTGGCGAGACCCAATTGACTCGGAAGGCCAAGCTGACAGAATATCGCCGTGCTTTCAAGCTCGACTTTGCGATCAAGAGCGTACAAGCGTCTTGCCGGCTCAATGACGACCAGCATCGCTCTGAGCTGCTTCATCTCGGCCAACTCAAAGTGCAATCGCGCTCGACGTGGACGCCCTTTGGCGTTCTCCCCTCAGCGATGTGTGACGGCGAAGGCCCGCCACGCTACTTCGCAGGCGATCCCAACGAGGAAAGCGTTGTGGCTGAAGTCTCTCTGGCCCAAGTGAGAGGCGATGTCAAGCTAAATGCCCTCACTGGTCTGGTTGCCTTTGCAGAGATGCGCCAAGAAGAGCGGCGAGAGATCAGGAAGAAGCTCAGCCTCGACAAGCCGCCAAAGAAGAACAAGGTACAGCTCCTCGACCACGTACCCAAGCTCTCCTGCAGCTTCGAAGTCAAGGATGTGTGCTACCGCGTCGATGCCGGCCACGATGTAGCCATTCGTCCGACCAAGATGCAGCCCCGCCATTCCAGCCTCATCTTCAAGCTGCCAAGCCTCGCCTACGTCGCTCACGGCAACTATAAAGAATCTTTTGTCAAGCGGTCAGAACTCGAGCGTCGAGCGGCTTGGAAGGCTCTGGCAAATGACGAGCTTGAATGGTCTATCATGTCCGACTACAAGAGCCAGGGCCCTGGCATGACCTCGCCCAAGCTTCCTTCGGCTGGCTTCGCGTCATTCGTCGGACGAGTGAAAGACCAGTTCAGCCCAGGACGTGCGCGCAATGCGGACGATTCAGCGTCATCAGCATCGTCTCCGCCGATGACTCGTCCCTCAAGCCCGGCATCTCGACGAGAAGAACCGCAATCGGGCATGTCGATCGAGGAGGCGGTGAGGCAGATGAAGGAGCTGCAGAAGCGCGAAGACGAGCAGCAAAAGAATGAGCGGGATGACGATGGGATCCAGGAGGTCGAGGTGCCCGCAACGACTGCTTCTGGCCAGAAGACAACGCGCCTCATCAGAGTACCACCTCATCTCACCCGAAAAGCTTCGACGGCATCAAAGGACGACAGCACAGCTACGTACGCCTTTGAGTCGCACTTCAGCTGCCCGTCTGTAGAGAGCTTCTTTGTCTTGGCTCGCAGCGAAGGAGGGGATGAGGGCGAAGGTGGAGGCGCCGGTGAGAGCGAGCGCGACGACGAGGGCAAGGAGCCATCTGCATCCGGGCTCACGCGCCTTCAACTTCTGACGGTGACCAATAGTGAGCTCGGCCTTAGCGGCACGCTTCCTGGCAAGGAGGACCTGGCTAGCAACCGCGTCTCGCTGCAGCTTCGCAAGCATCAGACGCAGATCAAGGCCATCGTCGAAGAGATTGACGTCGAGGTTTGGCATCCCAAAGCCTTTGCGTTTGCCCAGACGGTCATCGATGGGCTTCAGGCTGCTCGCCGGCCGTTTAAGGACGAGAGCGACGAGTCGTCAGAGGAGAAGAGCGAAGAGGCAGAGGAGGAGAAGGAGGCAGAAGAGAGCAAGGCGGTCATCGACCGCATTCCAACTGGCGCCGACATCTGGATCTCCATCGGCGGCATCCTCGCCCACATCGGCGGCAGCGACGTCAAGTGCGACCCTCACCTGACTCGAGGCGTCGGCTTCGAGGCAAGACGCATCGTCGCCGAGCTTGCATGCCAGTCTCGAGACGCTGCATTCTCTAACACTCGACCAGATTGGGGACACCGCAGCGCGCTACTACTGCCAGAGGACGTCAAGACCTCTGCCTCTTCCTTGGCAAGTCGTCATGGCAAATCGGCTGTGGGTAAGCTCAGCCTGTATGAGATTGGTGTCTTCCCCCTGCTCGACGTTGAACAAGCTGTCCAGCTCGTCGGACCGGACGGTCATGCTCTGGCCCACGAACCAACATCTAAGCAGACCGACGATGCCGATGCGCCGTCCGTCTTCGCGGACGCTATCTGGGACTTCCAAGAGCGACAGCCTGCATTCCGTGCCTCAGCTCGTCGACGCTACCATCAAGAGGATCGTTCACAGAACTTCATCTTCTGGATGCCCTATTCTGGCACCAAGATCACCGTGCGGCCCCCTGGCGCACATGCTGAGAAAGTTGGCAAGCGCCTTGACGAGGTCACCATCATCGGAGAAGGGACCCGTCTCTTGGCATTCAAGATCCAGCTCCTTCACACGTACTGCGTCTTGATCGCTGTTGCAGCTCTACGCGATCTCTCACCGCGGCATCGCTCACCTGTTGTCAATCCGCCCGAGTCGAAGCCCGTTAACCAGCCTTCGAAAAAGCAGGTGCATCGCCATGAGCCGACGGTCTTCGTCGACTTTGGCATCAGTGACGTCCACCTTTACGTGGATTTGCCCGAGCAGGTCCGGTTGTTCGTGCACCTGCGACGACTGGACGTACGCAAGACGCAATTGAATGGGCTCTCTGTCTCCTTCGAGTCGCTCATGGGCGCAGTCGAGAGCCCGAGGATGCTGGCCACGGAGCTGTGGGAAGAGGCAGCCCGACTGAGAGATTGGACCGTCACTGTTCAGCCTGGTGGTGGACCGGAGGGAAAGCTCAAGGTCACTGTCAACGGAGACGGCGCCACGATGCGCATCCCCTTTGGGTACGTTGTTCACAACATCATCGATTCGGCTTCGGTGGCGTTCAAGGCGACGAAGCAGCTCGTGCATCAATTTGTCAAAGGTGCAGAGGACTCTGCCATCACGCCTGTGGGCGAGGATCCCAAGCACCTGCCCTTCATTGACCTCAATATCCGTATAATGACCATCGAGGCTCAAGACGATCCCATCGAGACGCGTCTCAATATTATCTGGAGAGCTGGTGGCGACGAAAATCGAGCCAGGCTGGATAGAGAAGAGGCGTTTGAGGCCAAGGTCAACAGCCTCACTGGGGTCGGAAGCGGTGCAAATGGCGCTTCGCAGAGCACCATCTCTCTTGACAGCTCTCGATCCTCCTCGATTTGGGAGAACAGCGAGTCTGAGGACGAGGGTGACGGCGAGCCTCGCTCTGAAGCGTCCTCTAATCGCGGCGGCGCCTCCTCTCGCCAAGAGTCTTCACGCGTCTCATCGCAGTTGATCAGTGAGGCGAGGGAGCGTTTGGACGTCTACAACTCCACCAGCTGGATCCGCCGACACGCCAATGCAAAGGCAGAGCAGGGTCGTAGAGAGGACGCTGTGCTCAAGAAGATCTTTGGGCGCTATCCTTCCCTTCGCCAAGCCGTTGAGTTGCCGATCAAGATGGCCCAGCCAACTCGCGCTGCGCCCCTTTTCCGCTCCAGCATGATGCAGATCGCCATCAGCGTAGGACCGACCTCCTTCTCCGAAGACAAGCTGCGCGACTGGCTTCACGAGCAGGGCAACGGGACGCCGAAAGATCTTCCTTACTCACTCCTCGTTCCCTTCCACATGCGATGGCGCATGTCAGAATGGAGGTTCGAGCTGCGCGACTATCCGATCCCGCTACTCCATATCCCGCCCACTCGGTCGGATCAACCCTCGACGATGCCTGCCTTTGAGCTTAGCGGGGACATGTGCATCGCTGAGCACCTGTCAGAAGGCTCTCAGTCGATCCGTCACGTCCCCGCAGTGGTTGTACCTGCTGCAACGGGCCGAGCTGATGCGAAGGAATACGGCATCAACGTGCCCAAGGTCGCCATGCCTGTCAAATTCTACGGCTCTCCAGTCATCGACGTCAACTCGTCGTACCCAACGCGCTTCGCTTGGGGTCAGTCACTGCAGCCCGCGATTCAGGACATGGTCCGAGTCTTCGACGGCATTTCAAGTCCCCCGCACGATCCATCGCCGAAGCCAGGCTTCTGGGACAAGCTGCCACTTGTCCTGCAAAGCAAGCTCCTACTGCGCTGGAGCCAAGATGGCGAGATCCACTTCTACCTCAAGGGCAGCCGCGACCCATACTCGATCGTGGGCAATGGAGCAGGCTGGGTCATGTGCTGGCGGAAAAACGTGCAGGTGCGACTGGGATTCGATAATGAAGACAAGGAGTTCATGCAATTCCTGTCGAATGAGTTTATTCTCGCCATACCTGACCTGCGCGACTACCAAGACAGCGCGGCTACGGGCTTGACGTCTGGCGAGGGTAGCGAGGAGGAGCCTGAAAAGAAGGAGCCGAAGCGCAAGCCAAAGGCCAGCGTCTCATCCAGCTCAACCGACGATGACGCCAACAAGGCACGATCCACACTCGATTTCGGACATCAGCGTTACAAGAAGGAGCCTCACTTCTCCAAGATCTGCCTGCGCCTCACTCACGGGGTACGTTGGGGAGCTTCACTGCGACATGAGCACACCTGTCGAAACGGCAATTGCCCCCGCGATCCTCCTTGCCGCGGCGATCTCTTCCACCGAGAATGTCGCTTCTTCGATCGCCGTCCGCACTGGAGTGTCATTCAGCGCTCCAAAGAATACATGGACACCCTGCCTGAGGAGGAGCGCACCGACTCCTTCTACGGATGGAGATCTGACTTCACGCACCTCGGCATCTCCATCTACTCGCCGGAGCATGGCTTTGAGGCGTACGGCGAGAAATGGGGTCAGCAGCGCGGCGTCAACAACCTCTATTTCTCGCCGTTGGCTTGGCAGCACTTCTGGGCGTGGCTACGCCTGTTCGATAGTGCGATGGGGTTACCAATCCGCCACGGACGTCTGTTCCCTGGCACGGGCCCTCAATCCCCCAAGTTCGGCCGTCAACTGGGCACCATCAAGTACCGCTTCGACATTGCCCCTCTCTTCATCACCCACCTGTACCCTCAGTTCTCGCGCGCGGACTGGGCGCGCGGGGCAAAGACGATGCTTGGCATCAAAGCTCGCCTGGCTGTCTTCCACGTTGACATGCATCAGCGTCAACAAGAGATGGTCAAGGAGAGACCCGAGACGAACGAGAAGAAGACGGGCTACCACAAGCCCTTCTATGAGGCCGAGGCAGACTTTGGCGAGATTGACCTTCGTGCCCTTCTCGGTCGCTTCACCGATGTGTCGAAGAAGCTGGTCCCGCACGACGAGATCGACGCCGAAGATGAATTCGCCGAGTTGTTCGAGGATGACGCGCAAGATCGCAAGCCAGTAGGCGTTGAGAGTGAGTGGCTCGACATGCACGATTTCATCGAGGTCGACGCACTACCACCCGGCGAGGACAATCCCAAGATTCGCCTCATTCCGACCTTGACTTGCCCGCGCTTCAACTTCTATCGACGGTACGACTCGCGGCGAGAGTCGAAAGCGAAAGCCGAAGCGAAGGGCTCCTCGACTCTCGACGAGAAAGACGCCGACAATCTTGAGCGCACCAAATTCGGTAACGAGTGCCCTCAAACGCACACCTGTCTTATTGGTAAGGCGCCCTGGCCGTCGCAAGTACAGAAGCATTTGGCAACGGGGCGTATTGAACAGCTTCAGAGGGAGCTTGAGGAAAGCAAGGCCAAATCGACGCGAGATGACTTGTTCACCCGTATCAAGCTCATCGGAGACTACATGGAGATGCTGAACAAGCTCGAGAAGCAGGAAGAAGCCATCAAGGGTGGACCACCCGGGGCGAATGCAGATGGACAGCAAGGCGAAGGGCCAAGTGCAGACTCTTGCGGCGATGGCTCCATGGACATACCTGAGCTCTACCATGACTGGGAGACGTTTGACGATCGTTTCTTCATTCACAACCCTACGCTCTTTTTCACGAACGAGACGCGCTTCATTCTCTTGCGCTACTACGTCAGCTCCAAGAGGCGCAAGGGATTCATCCACAACATGACTGCGAGAGCGATCTGGAATATCCGCCAACTCTCCGAGGCTCTAGAGAAGCAACCTGACCATCGACCGGGGCCACAGCGGCAAAACACGACGGCCAGCAAAGCCGGCTCTGAGCTTTTGACGGGACTCTTGAACGATACGATGCAGTACGTCGTCTCGGACATCGATGAGCGCAAGGGAAAGGACGCCAAGCAGAACGCTCTACTCGACACGCGAGTAGATCCTCAAGAGGGCATCTCCGACGCTTTCAAGGTACGCCGTGCTAATGTCTGTGTCTTGCTGAAGCCGCAGATTGTCATGAAGAGCCGCGTCGACAACCGCTCGTCCATCATCGTGACGGCCATTCGCACCAGGCTGCAGAACTACGCCATCTTGGATCCGACCGTCACCGACGAAGACTCGGTCAATCGCAGGGTCTTATCTCGCAACTACTTCTCCCTCGATGGGCTACAAGCGTTCTATCCAAGCGACGAGCAGTCTCTCGCTCAATCGCGCACTCAGCTCGTCTACGTGCCTCTCGAGACGCTCGTTGACCTCAAGCTCCAGACCAAGGACTTTGACCGCATCGTCAGCCGTACGGATGCCAGCTTGCGCTACGACAAGTTCAACCGCTTGAGACTCAACGACTCGACGAGGCCTCTCGCCGCCGACCTAGACTCTGCCGACCCGGCCGTTGATCACCTGCGCCATCACATGGACTTGCTGCGAGTGCGCTGCCCACGCTTCGCCGTATCTGCCAACTCGACGCACTTTGGGGCCATGTACAACATTGTCACCGATCTCGTCCTCTATCGAGCACCGTCATGGAGAGAGCACGCCAAGCAGCTCGAAGCTATGCAACTCAGCTACGACTTCAAAGACACCGGCCTGCTGGCTGACGTCGTCGCAAGCCTGCAGATGCGCATTCGTCAAGCTCTCGAGCTCGATGCGCAATACCAATTGCGGTTTGACGAGCTCAACGAGAGAGGCAGGCACGATCTCTTCGACCTCAAGGGGCACTTGTCGGAGCTCGTCGAGGAGCTGCTCCTCATCACCGAGGCCATCACCGCGTCAGAGGATGCCAAGGCTGACGACGAAAAGGACAAGAAGTCTGCATTGAGGATGGAGGCGCATGCGAACGACCTGTCGTGGAACATGATGGGCGAAGAAGATGGCGAGCTACTGGCGAAGCTGTCAATCAAGGGGCCGAGCTTCACTTGGCTCAACAAAGCAGATAACTCGGCAGCCAACTCGCTCTCCATCGTCGACCTTCACGCCGTCAACGTCCACCCGGACGCCTACTTTCCTGAGATCATCACCAAATGGGACAAGGCGCCCGAGCATCGCATGGCCAAGCAGAAGCGCTTCGTCAATGCAATCTGGTCAGAGCTCGCGCCCGTCGGCGGCATTTCGATCGTCGACCAATTTGAGCTTGATCTGCATCCCGTCAAGGTACAGCTTGAGCTCAAAGTTGGGCGCATTATCATGGACTACGTGTTTGGTAGCAAGCGGCGACGTGAGCGCGAAGAACAGAAGCGCAAAGACGAGCTCGAAGAGGGGAGCAAGCAGCGGACAGTGTCCAAGAGCAAGCGCTCGCCCCTGGCCATGCTTCGTGGTAGCGAAGGGAAGAGCAGCGATACCAGCAGCAATAATAGCAGCGGGCATGCTTCGCCGCGCAAGTCGTACGATGTATCGAGCCGTGGCGCTGATGGCCAGGCTACCGATGACGAAGAGCGACCGTCACGTCGCACATCCACGTCATCGGACGGGACGAAGCGATCCGCTTCCTCTGACACCCGCCTCGAGTCAAAGGCGTCTTCGTCGTCGCTCAAGGACAAAGACAAGGACAAGGAGGGCAAAGAGAGCAAGGAGGAAGGTGACTCTGACGAGGATAAAGACCACAGCCAGCATGCCATTGCCAAGCGCAACGCCGACGAGATGAGGCAACGCTCGTCGTCAAACCTGACCTTCATCTATTTCAAGCTCCAGGAGACCGTCTTCTGCCTATCGTACAAGAGCGACAAGGACAAGTCGATCACGGACATCTATGATCTCGTCTTCAGGGCGCCGGATATCGAGTACCGCAACCGCACATGGGCGTACGAGGAGCTCGTGCAGCACATGAAGAAGGACATCTTCCGCGCTGCATGGGGCCAAAGAACGACGATCCTCAAGACAATCTTGTCGCACAGACCAAAGCGACCGGAGGCTCTGCGCAACATTCGTGAGAAGCAGGCGTGGCTGCGCAAGACTTCGTCGAGGGACGTTTCGCCCTCTGTACAGTTCAATGTCGAGCCGCCGACGCCGCAGCGTAGCCGGGAGGGGACGCCGAACGATACCTCCCTGGACAAGAATGCTGCAGCTCCGAGCCATGCGTACGTTGAGAGAGGACCCAACGGCGGCGGTGATGGGGGCAGTTCTGGGGACGGTTCGATTGAGGAAATCGAACCTCAGAATGAGGACAACTCACACCACTCCCAGAACAGGCTCAGCCGCTTCTTGCACAATCATCGACTGACTGGCGGTGGCAACAATCGATCTCAGTCTGGGAGCGACGCCTCAGGCAGCGGAACTCTTTCGCGTGCCTCATCAGCTCACCACGATGGATCTTCGGGCGAAGGAACGACCGCGGTTGCGGAGGAGCGCGAGGAGAATCAAAGGACGGTGCGCAGAAAGAGGGACGAGGACAACCAAGCTACGGTGCGCAGACGACCTGATGATAGTACGGTGCGCAAAAAGGGCAGCTTGGGCTTTTTGAGTATGCAGCGGGAGCGCAGTCACTCGTCTGGCTCGCATCGATCTGTGAGCAGGATGCGAGGCGGCGAAGATGAGCAGCAAGAGCCGGGGAAGGATGCGGACGAGGAGCAAAAGGCAAGGGCGTTGCTGGGCTCCTCGAGACAGTACTGAGAATGAGTGTTTATGACTTTGATGTGTCGCTAATGCAAATGAGATGATGACAAACGATTAGATTTCCGTCACGGCGTAAGGCCCGGCGAGTGGAGGACGCGCGCGAGAGCAACACATCAACACTTGACTCGACTCGCAATCCCGCCCCTTTCCGTCATTCTTTCCGGTCCATTGCAATCCTCCAAGGCTATCAAGAGCGCTCATTCAAGATGTCGGCCCAGAGACGTGCGGCTCGAGGGGCAGACGATAGCCTGACATCGTCGCTGGAGGAGGCTAGCACCAGCGTCTGGAGCTCGTCGAGCGAAGCCGTGGAGCAGTCAGCATCGACCTCTTTCCAGCCAGACTCGCTCCAGGGCACAAGCAGCACGGCAGAGAGCTCAGGGCCAGAGACGTCTCAGGTGTCAGGCTCGGGAGAGGAGGGGATGACGAGTGAAGACGGCACTCTGTTTGACTTCCACTCGTCAAAGAATGAGGAGGGCATCGAGGAGGAAGCGCTGGGCATGCAACTGGGCGAAATGTCTTTGAGTGGCGTTGGCTCGGGGCAACGCAGCGACGAGGTAAGGCAAGGCATGGACAGGCTGCCAGGAGCTTACGACTGACATCAATCGTTCAGCCCGCATCGAGCTCCTTTACAGACTCACTCGAGGCTCAACGCGAAGCGATTCGTCAACGCAAGGGCGGCGGGAAAGATCCAGCGCCAAGGGAGAGCACGCCTGCTCTCGAGCTGCCCATCACCAGGGACAGAAAACAAATCAAGATCGACGTGCCAGGCCCAGCCAAGCAAAAGAGCAGAAAGGTGGTGCGAGGTCCCAACGGCAAGCCCATTTTCATCTTCACCGAGGTAGGTCGACGGGAAGAGGGACGTCTTTGTGGCTGCGGCGCTCAAAATTCCTTCCTTCCGTGTGCAGGGTAATAAGACCCGAGTGATAGGAGCACCGTCCTGGCTCCTTGGTGGCAACCATCTCGATGATCTCAGCGAAATCGATTGGAAGTGGAGCGATGAAGAGGAAGATAGCGGGAGACGCGGCGATCAGGCGGAGGTGGCAGACGATAGCGAGCCGTGATACCGCGGCGTGGGCAGGGCGTAGAAATGCGAGTGTAGGAAAATGCTGCATTGATGAAGCGTGCTCTGTTGTCTATGGTATACTCGGTGCACATTTCACGACCCAAGCCCTCTAGGGTCCTTGATCATTACGCCTACCCTTTGCTCTACCTGAGTCGCCTGGGTCTGTCGTCGCCTTCTCCTCGAGCCTATGTTCACCTTCCTCCTTCTCATCCTTCTTCCCGTGTCTCTCTGTATGACCTGGAGCCACCAAAATGTAGAACAGGTTGGCACTACGCAAGGCGAAGGAAATCCACAGCACGGTGGCCGTCCCACTGTACGCCCTCGCCGCGGCTCCAACCACGGTACCCGAAGCAAAGAAGGCAAAGTAGCCCAGTCGTACGTTACGGCTGGCCACGTCCTTGCCTCTGATCCTGAAGGCAAATAAGCTTTTGTCGATGAGGGTATCTACATAAGGCGAGGTCAGCATCGCCGTGGGGATCTCCTTGACATTGACGCTCTTGGCCATTGCGACTTGGACGCCCGCGCTTGCCGCCAGCAGGAAGACGGTGAGAGTCGCACTCGTCTGGTTGTCCCGCTGATCAGCGCCGACTTTGAGCACTCCAACCTGGACGAGGAGGGAAGCAATGAAGAGAAAGGCGGCCTGCACGAATGTGGAGAAGATGAGCCAGCCTCGGGTGCGAGGCCCAACGAAGCGTGAGACGCCTATCTGGCCGAAGAGGAGACCGAAGCTGAGGAACGAGGCGAGGCTGATGCCCACGGAGAGGACGTCTGCGTTTGAGGGTGACGTATTGGAGGAGCGATTGGCACGGTTGATTGCTTCGACTAGGAGGATGATGGTATTGCCTGGCGAGTAGGAGAGGGCAGATGAGCATTTGTCAAGGCTTGGTGAGCCGGTGAGCGATGCTCACCAGTCTGGTTGGATGCAAAGATGCCAAGATCTGAGTAGGTCGCGGCATCAAGAAGTCCCGTACCAAAGGATATTAAGAGGAGGTGAAGGCGAAGCGCTGATACGCTGATATTTTCCTTGTAGCGTCGCACAGTGGCGGGATGGCGTGCGGGTCTAGTTTGCTCCGAAGGTCTGTACTGATCATCGTTGTCTGTAGGCTTGTCCTGACTATCATTTGCACGTCTTGAGTCTTCTTCAGCCATCGTCAATGACATTTGAGGGCTTCACCCGTAAACGCATGTGTGCTGCCTTGGCTGGTGTTGTTCGTGGGCGGGGAGCGCAGGCACCAGAGGAGAGTGGCGGAGCGAGAGTGCGGCGAGGCGACGGCGGCGGCGGCAGCAGCAGCAAGAGCAGCAGCAGCAGCAGCGTCAAGGCGGGCGCCGCGCCGAACAACTCCTCTTTCACTTTCTCATCCTCCCTATTTACTCCTCAATACCACCCGCTCTTCACCCAACGACGCTGACGACAGGGAAAGGCGGTCTGCAACGACGTTCCAGCCGCAAACATTCGCGCGCCTCCCCACACTCTTTACACCTCCCATCGCACCTCGTCACGCAAAGATGATGCAGCGACTCTTTACCCTCATAGCCCTCGTCTGCCTCGCATCATCGTCGAGCCTACTCGTCTCTGCCCACGAGTACTCTTCCAACTCTACGGCCTGCACTCGCAACTACATTGTCCAAGCCGGGGATACATGCGACAAAATTGGCCAGCGTCACTTGGTCTCTACCTACCAGGTTCTTGCATTCAATCTGCCTGAAGCTGGCCCGACTTGCGAGACCCTCGAGATTGGTCATGTAAGTGGGCGAGCACCTGTAAATGACACCTTCTGTTCAAGTCGCTGACCTTTCACCCCCTTCGCTGCCGCCAGGAACTCTGCCTCGGCCGATATGGCAACGACTGCCAAGTAGTGCACCGCTGCACCCCAGCAGACACCTGCTCGAGCATTGCTGCGCAGTACAAGATTCCCCTCTCGCTACTTCAGGACAATAATCCTTCGATGAACTGCGGACAGATCTACGATGGTCTGGTTCTCTGCGTTGCACCTGGAGTCATGCGCCCACCGCCTGTCGCGGCACTCGACTCGGCCATTCAGGCTCAGCAGAATAACAATGGCGGCGGTGGGAATGCAAAGAGGAGCGAGGATGGCCGACTGGTGGAAACGGTCATGGAGCGCGATGGAGAGGCAGGGAGCGGAGTCCAGTTGGATGAGGAGGCTATCAACAACCTCAGACTGAGGGTCGGTCATGCTGCGGGGGCTTCGAGACATGCGAGGGGCATCCATGCGCCCGTCGTGCGACACCACGCCTAAGCAGGCACGCTGGTCTTGGTCCTCGCAGGCTCGAGGCATCGCCACTCTCATGCAGCGCTCTTCTCGTTCAAAGTCCACGGTCATCTATTCCCGCTGCTTCTTCAGCCATTGCCCGCGGCGACGACATCTCTCTCGCTGCGTGGCTTTCTTGTTCTTGCGAATAACGATACCCCTTTTCGATTGGCTCCTCGCAGCGGGTGTGAGTGTTCTGCAATGGCACGCTGACACTCAGATTGAAGCAAGTCCGCGCATGTGGATTGAGTCTCCATATCGAGAGGGGATCAAGGGTAACGGAGGTAGCACGACGAACCAGTCGTCGATGGCTTAGAAGCCCTTTGCCAGATTGTGCTCGCTGCGAGGCGCGAAGGAATGACAGCGTCAGCAAAGACGCTCCCAAAGCACAGCTGCACACACCGCCACACTCACGCATAATAGGCCTGCATCCTCTTGACGATCTTCTCCAAGGCAGCCAACCACTTCTCAAGCTCCACATGAACCATCTCCTGTGGCTCTCCCAGCTTAGCGTAGAAGTCCTTTCGGTACGGGCACGCCTTCATTGCCAGACCGAATGCTCCCTTGACGATGAAGTTGTGATGCTGCTTGAGACTTCCCTCGTACGCCTTGGTGAAGGACTCGCTGAGCTCCTCGGACTGGTTGGTCAGGGAACGTCGCAATGCTTGGGCAGTGAAGTCGAGACCGCGCAGCAACCACATGAGGCCTTCTGTCGCTGGGCGCTTCTTGTCTCCTGGCTTGCCCTCATTGCGTACCAACGCTTCGAGCGTTGTTGATTGGGCGGGTGAAGCGAGGAGACGATCGCGGATTTTCTGGGCAAGGACGAATGAGTATATGCAGCGATCAGTGTACTGCTCTTCCTCATTGGGATATCGCTGCTGCGCACCTTGACGTTGCCGTTCATGTCATTCTGTACGATGGCGAAGGCAGCATTACCGAGGAGGTCAAAGAGCTTGACGACACCCTCGGTTGCCTGGAGAAAGCCATCTGTGTCGATGCCCTCGTCGGTGATGGGTACATCGGCGTACGACTAGCGGCGAAGATTACCAGAAATAAAGCTGGTCAGCGAAGGGCAATGGTGAGATTTGAGACCAGTTTCCGCTCACTCACCTTGCTGACTGTCTCAAAGTAGGTGGGCATGATGTCGTGAAGATGGTAGGAATGCAAGGGGAACTCTCGACGACGCGGGGTTTCCCTCGACGCTTCATCCCCTGATGCAATGGTCTGTGCGTTGTGTCGCGTGGCGAAATGCACGAGCACGTGACACGGGGCGATTGAGGGTGTGAAGTCTTGGAAGAATGAATGTGGGCCCGGATTGGCTGCATCGTCGACGACATCGGCTGCTGCTTCGATTTGACCTCACCGACAGTTGCGAGATCATGGTGAGTGCGGGCAGCGCAGCAAGGAATGATGGCCTGGTAGCATCTTCTCAACGTCGTACTCACAACGGAACTTTTCTTTCTGCCTTCCACCACGCCAGCGCCCCATCCTTTTGTCTGGCCACGAGCGTTCGCTCAACCAGATCAAGTACAACCGCGAGGGCGATCTCCTCTTCTCAGTATCAAAGGATCAGGTCGTCAATGCTTGGTTCTCACACAACGGAGAGAGGCTCGGAACGTACGAAGGGCACAACGGTACCGTCTGGTCCGTAGACGTGGATGGTGAGCAGGGCGATGGCGAATCGGATGATGGATGGATGTATGCAGGCAGGACTGGGAGCTGACCGTACTTCTCCGTCGTCGGCACTCTTTCGCAGCGACGTCAACGCTCCTCGTCACTGGATCGGCCGACAACACATTGCGACTATGGGAGGTGGCAACGGGCAAGGAGCTCTACCAGTGGGAGTTCCCGACTGCCATCAAGAGGGTGGCATGGTCTGAGGACTCTACCCAGATTCTGGCCATCACCGAGGCGCGAATGGGATACAAGGGAGCATTGCGAACGTTTAACATCAACCGCACAGAGGGAGAGTGGTCAAGACAGTCGAGGGACCCTGCGCGCACTATTACCTTCTCGGGGCCCAAGGCGACGGTAGCGGCGTTTGCAGCCTGCGACGAGTACATTGTGACGGGACACGAGGATGGAAAGGTGGCCATGTACTACCACGATGCAAAGGAGCCAGAGACGGGCATTGACTCGGAGCTCGAGGAGACGAGCGTGTCGGCGCACGAGGGTATCATCACCGATATTCAGATGAGCAGAGATAGGACCTACTGCATCACGTCGGGCAAGGACAAGACGGCAAAGGTGAGGGCGCGCGAGCAAACCGGCGGGGATCCAAGGTCAAACGAGCATTTAGCTGATCAATCCCTCTTTCTTGCTCTCCACGCCTAGGTCATTGGTCTGGACCCGCTTCAGGTGCTCAAGACCTTTGTCACCGAGACTCCCCTGAACAGCGCTGCCCTTCACCCTACTCGCCCCTACGTCATCGTCGGGGGTGGTCAGGAAGCCATGAACGTGACAACGACGTCAGCCCGCCAAGGTCGTTTCGAGGCCCGCTTCTGGCACATTGTATTTGAAGAGGAGGTGGCACGTATCCCAGGTCACTTTGGTCCCTTGAACACCATTGCCATCTCGCCCAATGGTCGAGGATACGCGAGTGGTGGAGAGGACGGTTACGTTCGCATGTATGCCTTTGACGACACCTTCTTCCGTGCTCGCCCGTATGGCAATGAGCTCGATGTAGGAGAGGGAGAGTTGTAGGCGGGCGAGTGTGTGATAGTCAATGTACCATTTATCCCTGAGAGCTAGCAGTGCGTCGTGATGTGGTTGCCGGCGTGGCGTGTGGCCTGTGGGCGGAGAGGAGAGAGAGCAGCCAATCTGGTCAGACGCGCGGCCCGCGAGTCCGTCGTCCGTCTCTCCACTCGCGCAGGCCAACGCAACTCAGACTTGATTCCTGGCCAGTCACTTCACCCCATCTTCATCACCAAACCGCCTCGTCATGTCCGATCCTTCTCAACAGCAGCCGCAGCAGCCTAACCAGGCCGAGGCTGGCCCCTCTTCAGGCGAGACACAGCCACTGCTGGCGCCGGGAGACCCGCGTAGGGAAGAGGCGCTGCGCAATTTCAAGAAGTCGCTCAAGGCTCACGAGGATCTATCCGAGAACCTCAAGAAGATGCGATTCGGTCTACGTGACCTTGAGAAGGAATTTGACAGGACAGAGAACTCGATGAAGGCATTGCAGTCTGTTGGTCAGATCATTGGAGAGGTATTGAAGCAGCTCGACGATGAGAGGTGTGAGTATGAGGCGGCTGCCTGCGTGCCACCCTACCCTGTATGCTGACTCGAACTCCCCTTGTTATCGCCCTGTAGTCATCGTCAAAGCCTCGTCAGGCCCACGTTACGTCGTCGGCATTCGCTCAGCAGTCCCCAAGTCGAAACTCAAGCAAGGCGTGCGCGTGTCCCTCGATATGACGACGTTGACGATTATGCGCATTCTGCCGCGAGAGGTCGACCCCCTCGTCTACAACATGTCGATGGAAGATCCAGGAGAGGCGTCGTTTGCCGGTATTGGTGGTCTGGGAGAGCAAATTCGAGAGCTGCGAGAGGTCATCGAGCTGCCCTTGATGAACCCGGAGCTCTTCTTGCGTGTAGGGATCAAGCCGCCAAAGGGTGTTCTCCTCTACGGACCACCAGGGACGGGTAAGACGCTCCTCGCTCGAGCTGTGGCTGCTACGCTCGACACGAACTTCCTCAAGGTCGTATCATCGGCCATCGTCGACAAGTACATCGGAGAGAGTGCCAGGCTGGTCAGAGAGATGTTTGGCTACGCAAAGCAGCACGAGCCGACGGTCATCTTCCTCGACGAGGTCGATGCTATCGGTGGTCGTCGTTTCAGTGAAGGCACATCGGCGGATCGTGAGATCCAGCGCACACTCATGGAGCTCCTCAACCAAATGGACGGCTTCGACTACCTGGGCAAGACGAAAATCATCATGGCCACTAATCGACCCGACACCTTGGACCCAGCACTCATGCGTCCGGGTCGTATTGACCGCAAGATTGAGATCCCGCTGCCCAACGAGCAAGGTCGTCTGGAGATTCTCAAGGTTCACACACGATCGATTGCTAAGAAGGAGGAGCTGTGAGTGGGCGTGGCGTTGGCGATGAGAATCCAGAGAGAGTAATTGCTGATGCCGACTTGTTTCCCCGCAGTGACTACGAGGCCATCACCAAGCTAACAGACGGCTTCAATGGCGCCGACTTGCGCAACGTCGCGACCGAAGCGGGCATGTTCGCTATTCGAGAAGACCGCGACTACACGCTGCAGGAGTGAGTAGGCTCAGCGCCGGACGTCAGACTAGCGAACCACCTGCTGACCTGGTTCTTGGTCCTGTTCCCACTGCTCACAGAGACTTCATGAGGGCATGTCGTAAGCTGCAGGAGGCAAAGAAGCACGAGAGCAAGATTGACTACTCGGCGATGTAGCGGTGAGAAGGGGGAGGAAGACAGAAGTCTGGCAGCGCATTGTATCAAGTCGTCACAGAGAGCAATGCGACCCAGTGGGCATCAGACTGAACATCATCGTCGTTGTGGTCGTGGTCGTCGTGATCTCTCTTTGCGTGCTGAAGTGGCTGGATGGATTATGAAGACAAAAGGCGAATGGTGACGAAACGGATGCCGCGGCTGATGCTTGGGTCGGGGCTACTACTACTCTGTGAGGATGAGCTCCTGGACGGACCAGTCCTCAAAGGACGAGTCTGGCAGATATCTCCTGATGATGAGGGGCTGACAGAATAGATGGAGAAGTCAGCCCATCGCCGTGACCTATTCATGCATCTCTGCTTCTGTATGCACTCACAATCTTTCTTGCTGCCAGCTCCTTCATGGCAATCTGCAAAGGATCCGTCTCTCCCTCGGTCGCGACGAGGACCGGTGCATTCATACTAATCTGCAGCGCCCTCGTTCCCAAGATCCTGGCACGCTCGTACTTGGTCATGTAGGGCGTGGTGATCCTCTCCTTGTTTGCCTCTCCACTAGCTGCACCGTAGGCTGCCGGATCGCCGCTCTCTACGATGCCGTTCTGAGCTGCGTTGGCCGTGGATGGGTCGGCGCCATTCTGATCGCCCATGGTGAAGTCAGCATCCGGGTCGTAGTCCATGGCTGCGTCTGGGTCATCGTACTGCTCCTCGAAGTATCTATGGGCGCGAAAAGAGGCCAGCAAGATGAGAATGGTGTGAGCATACACGATCGTCGTTGGCCGTCTCATCGCTCTCGATGCTTACCCCTCGGCATTGTCCTCGTGGTCCGACATGATGGCTAACTGAAGCTCAGTGAGCTAGGTTTGATACGGCGGCGATGCGGATGCTGATGCGGGTGTGTATCGAGGGAAGGGAGCTCAAGTAGAGGGCAATGGACAATGGACAATGGCGGAGTGAGGCGATGTGAGATGCGAAGCAACCACACGGCGGCCAGACGGAAGAGGGAGAAATCGAGGCGGGGCGTCGTTGCAGTCGCCACGCGAGACGGTGGATGATGTGGGCTGAGGGCGGACAGACAAAGCGGAGGCAATCAATGGCAGGCAGTCCAATGTCTGTGCGGGCGCGGAGGAGGAAGTGGCTTGCATCTTTCTCAGCAACCAACACCATCAATCGATGCTCTCCAGGTCACTGCTGGTACCATCGTATCGTCGTGCCCATCGCCTCATCTCATCTGCAGCGACACGACCTTCTCCTGCCAGGATGACCGACTTCATCCCTCCTGCCCTCTTCTCCTCTGAGAAGCGCAGCCAATCGACGTCGACGTCGACATCAACGACGGTCAACGCCGCTGCTGACTCATCCTCGTCGGTCAAGATCACCGCCCATCAGCAATACCACACCGAAGGCATCGACGCAGATGATCTATCACCTTCACCCCTCGCCCTGTTCCAACGCTGGTTCACCCATGCTCAGCAACAGGGCGTCTCCCAACCGGAGGCCATGCTCCTCTCCACCGTAGACACTTCGGTCAACCCTCCTCGCCCTTCCTCCCGCGTTGTCCTTCTCAAGAGCATCTTGCCCGACAAGGGACTCACCTTCTTCTCCAACTATGACTCGCGCAAGGGAAGGGAGATCGCTGCCGACCCATGGGTGTCGTGCGTCTTCTTCTGGGATGGGCTGCATCGCTCCGTCCGCTTCCTGGGAAAGGCGACGCGAGTGCCCAAGGAGGAGTCGCAGGAGTACTTTGACTCGAGGCCAGTTGGGTCACGTATCGGCGCTTGGGCTTCACCGCAGTCGAGCGTCATTGCAGGGGGCAGGGAGGAGCTGGAGCAAAAGGTCAGGCAGACGGAGCAGAAGTTTGGAGTTCCCGGTGCGGCGGGATTGACAGAGAGTGACAAGTGGGAAGGCAGCGAGGATCCCAAGATCCCTGTGCCCGAGTACTGGGGTGGATATCGCATCGACCCGTACGAGGTCGAGTTTTGGAGCGGCAGGCCTAACCGTCTTCACGATCGTTTCAGGTGAGTGTGGGCGAAGTGCCATCAAAGTCTTCCGTTGCCCTCGCTGACCCACTCGCCTCCATTTTACCACTCGCAGGTACACCCGCTCAGCAGACTCGAACAAGTCGCCTGCAGAGGACCAGTGGAAGATCGATCGATTGGCTCCCTGAGCTTTCAAATGCAATGTACAATCAGTGACATCTACTGCGCTACGGCCACCTTTTTGCCAGCCTCTTGTGCCTTGAAGGCCTGACCGTCAGGCGTCGACATCCACCAGTCTGCGCTCCTCTTGATGGCCTCTTGCATGCCGACTCGCGGCTCGTAGCCCAGCACCCTCCTCGCCTTTTCTATGTTGTAGTATCGCGTCGCGCACGAGAAGGCCACCTTGAATTTGGTCAGCGTCACCTCTTTGCCAGTCAGCCAGCCGAAAGTCTCTGAGAGACCGCCGAGGGTGAGCTGCGAGAGCACGAGGCCAAGGAACGGGGGATCAGCTGGGAGGTCGAAAGCTCGCTGACCCGCCTGCACTACTCACGCCGATATCCTTCGAGATGACCCAGGGCTTGCCTCCAGAGGCCACAAAGGACGGCGACACCTGCGACCACAAAGCACGAGCAAAGTCCCAGAAGGGCATCGGCTGGCCATTGGTGACAAAGAAGGCCTCGCCCGCTACTGGGATGTATTCTGAGGTGAGGGGCACTTCGGGCAGGGGAGAGTTGGGGGAGGGGACATCCGGATGGACGAAGTGGAAGAACCTTGAGGGCGAAGAGAAATATCAAGTCAGCGCTCGAGAGCTTGTCTCTCTGCTGATTACGCTCGGACACACTCACTGGTCGTACTTGTTGCGCACGACGGGTCGTACGTCGAGCGTCTCCTCGCGAGTGGTCGATGACAGAGTCGAGGGCAGCGAGCGAGCATAGTCCTTTGCGCCGGACACGTCTGGTCTCCTCTCGCTCGTGGGTACGCCTCGTTCTGGCCTCTCCTCTTCGCCCAAAACGCGCGGCAGGTGGAAGGAAGCGAGCAGCCTGACATCGTAGCCGTTGGTTTCGAGGCGGTCTGATGCGAGAAGGTGAGCGTGAGAGACGTTGTCCACGTAGGTCCAGTCGAAGAGGTTGGTGTTGTTGCCGATCTGGTACTTGGACTTGCCCGAGGCCAGAGTATTGAAAAACCCAGGGATGGCTTGACGGTCATTGGGACCGAAGATGCCGGCTGGTCGGATAGCTACGGTACGAAGGCCCGTCTTTGGTACTACGCCCTTGTCGCTGTCCGGCGTGTTGGCCTCGAGGACGATGGTCTCTGCCGTTGCCTTTGTCTGGCTGTAGACGTCAAAGATGTTCTCGGGGAATGGCAACCTCTCATCGCCGTAGACTAGGTCCTCGCCCGTGAAGACGACGCTTGCGCTCGATGTGAAGATGAGCTTGCGAACATTCGTCGCCTTTGCAGCCTCTACGACGTTCCTTGTGCCTTCGACATTGACCTTTTCCATAATCTGTTGTGAGAGCGAGGCAACGGCGACGGGTGAGGCAGTATGGAAGATAGCATCAGGCTTGACTTTGAATATGACGTCCTTGATGCTGTTGAGCTCAGTGATGTCCCCTGTGTGATATGTAGCCTTGTCGAGGAGCAAATGCTGAGGAGGAGGACGAACATCGACGATGTGGACTTTGCTCTCGCCGCGACCGATCAAGGCGGATGCCAAGTTGTGACCGAGGAAGCCACATCCGCCAATGACGAGGAACGTCTCTCCCGTTGCAGGCGACGATGACATGATGAGTAGGGAGCAGATGCTAATTGGGCTTGGGTATCGCGGCGAGAAGGAATCAATCCAATGCACGCCGCTCAAGCCGTCGTCGTCGTCCCCTCGTCTCCTCGGCGACTGTGGCCCCGGTCCGTTGACTGGAGTCGAGTCGAGGCCGATGTCGAGGCAGAACCAACACTTTGCTCGAGCAGCGTCGCGTCAATTTCACCTCTTCTCGACCAAGACGTCCACTTCCATCTCGCCCGCGGCTCGCCATCATTATGGCCGAGCTGCCTCAAGACGACGACATCGTGTCTTTCGTAGCCAAGTTCGTCCGCGAGGATCATCGCAAAAATGGCCAAATCACTGTCACCGTGCGCAAGATTCGCGCAGCCCTCGCAGATCACTTTGAAGTCGACGACGACGCGCTCAAGGAGCACAAGAGCGACGTCATCAAGGGAGCAGCGGAGAAGGCAGTCGCAGCGGTAGAAGAGGTAGGATCAGCCAGCGGCCATGATCAAGATGGCAGCGATGACGATGGCTTCAGCTCGCTGGACGATGACGACGGTGCGGGTGCGTCCACCTCCAAGGCAAAGCCCAAAAAGAAGGCAAAGACGCCCCGAGAACCAAAAGCAAAGAAGGCGACAAAGAGCTCAAAGAAGGCAGAGACATCATCATCTGATCCTCAAGAGGAAGAGATGGCAAGGCTCAAGAAATTCGTCGTAGCTTGCGGAGTACGCAAGCAGTGGAGCAAGTGGTTCACATCGATGGAGCCGCCGGCAGAGACGCCAAAGGCGCAGATCAGAGCTTTGAGGGAGCTCCTTGCTGAAGTAGGTATGGAGGGTAGGCTGAGCATGGAAAAGGCAAAGCAAATTAAAGAGAAACGCGAATTCGAGGAGGAGATGAAGGCCATTGGCGCCGATATGCCCGTGAGCGACGATGGGGGTGGAAGAGGGAGGCGCAAGAGGACTTCGGCGGGCGGAAGCAAGAAGCCTTACAAAGATGATGATGACGACGACGACGACGGAGATGATGATGAGGAGGGGGAGAGTGGCGATGATGCAGACGAGAAGCCTGTCAAGAAGGTGAGTGTATGCTGTGACGTTGCGCGAAAATTCTGGCTGACTTGCCGCTTTGGCCCCCCCCACAGAAGAGGTTCAATGCCTCCCTCGCCGCCTTTGCGGCTGAGCTCAATTCGGACGACGATGATGATTGAGCAACGTCGTGCGTCGAATGAACACATCTGTTGTACATGTAGCCCCTCCTCAGCCTTGATCACCAAATGCATGTCGATTCCCACCTCCTCTCTCTGCCTCTGCCTTGATCATGTGAGAGTATATACGGCCATGACTAGGCAGGCTATTGACACATAGGGCGATAGCCTCTCGCCTGGTGGAGACACGGATGATGTGTCAGTCAACGGAGGCTCATACACAGATATCTGCCGCACTTGCTCACCTATCCTCGCCATCTTGAAGAAGAGGCCAAAGAAGCTAAATGACGAGGTGAGACAGGATTCGTATCAGCGTGAGATGGTCAGCGTTATTCCCGCCTTACATCACGCTCACCCAGCCTTGTTGCGGTCGATGAGGCCAGGCGCAGTGGCTCTAGCGTACGTCGACGTGCAGATGAGGAGGAGAATGACGAGGAGGAGCGATTGGAAGTTGAAGAGGGCCGACTGACGGAAGACGAGGAGGAGATAGCATCAGCATCGAACAGCTCTTTACGACTCAACGCTCTCCGGCTCTCACCATGGCTGGCTCTGGCTCTCCTGGCCTTGAGAAGGTAGCTTGATTCGATGCCCTCGAATCTAAGGATGTGATGTCAATCAAGGACGAGAAACTCCCTTGGTCCCTTGGTACCTTGGTCCCGTCCGCCCGCACCGCTCAGACCACCCAGCCTGGCTGAGCCGACCCGCCGCGTGGACTGCCACGAGTTGCAAAGGCAGGCAGGCAGGCAGGCATGCAGGCGGCGCCTTCTCGTCAGACGACTCTTTGCTTCCTCACCACTCGCGACATCTCCTTCAAAATCACTCTCAGCCTATAGGTGGCGACGACCTGCTGCGCATCTTCCCTTTGGCTTTCGCACCTTGTCACTTGTTTCCCCTCTGCTCTTCACCACAGACAAAACAAAGAGAGATACGAGCGAGCGAGACAGAGAGAGAGAGAGAGACAAAAGAGAAAAGCTAGAGGGGATCCGAGTCGTAGACTGCGCGTTTGCTACCTTGGTCGCATTCACTCACGCCCTAGTGAAGTCCGTCTTCCCTTTGCCGCGTTTCTGGTTCGTCGCAGCCACCGCGACCGTCGCAGGAGGGAGCGAGCTCAGCATAGGTAGCACACACTGGTAGGCTGGCGTGATTGTGGCCATCGAGTCTCCCCCCATCACCTCCTGGCCTTGTGTTCCGCCTTTCCCCCTCGTATCATTGTGCATCCACTCAGCATTGCACCATCTGCCTGCGTCGCCTCACCCTCTGACGAGCTATGTATCACGGCTATCAGTACAGCGGTCCTCCCCCTCACAATGGCGCTCCTCCCCCAACGGCCGCCTGGAACGGGGGCTACCAGCAGCAACAACAGCATTCTCCCGCACCTCCCGCTCAAGCTCCTCCGTACGGTTCGGATCCCAATGCGTTCGCTGCGATGTACAAGTCTCACCTCGCCAGCCTGACTTTCAACTCCAAGCCTATCATCACCAATCTCACCGTTATGGCGCACGAGAATGTTCAGTCGATGGCCAATGTCGTAGCGCGCTGCATTGATGAGCATATCACACAGGTGAAGACGAATGACGAGCGACTAAAAGTGTGATCTCGCTGATACTGACGTGCTGCCCCCTCCCAGTCACCACCTCCCTTTCGCTTGCCCTCTCTCTACCTCCTCGACTCGATCAGCAAGAACATCGGCGCCCCTTATACCACACTGTGGTCCCAACGCATCTCACACCTCTTTCTCGATTCGTACCGCCTCGTAGATCAACCAACCAAAGTGAGAATGGAGGAGTTGCTCAACACATGGCGCGCAGGTGCGAGTGATGGTAGCCCGCTGTTCGGTGGCGACGCTCAGTGGGATATCGAGCGCAATCTGTACGGCAGTCAAGGCCCGCCGCCCTCGCGTCCGTCAGGCAGCCGCTCGCCGATGCCTCATGGCGGGTCTGCGACCCACAATTCAGCGCAAGGGGAGCAACAGAAAGCCGTAGAGAAGATCGATAGCCTACTCGCATTTGCGTCGCAAGACCCGTCTGCCTTCAACCCTACTCGTGTCGCAGCCCTCAAGCAGCTCAAGACCGTTGTTCAGACTGCCACGCTGTCGCCTCAAGAGATGGAGCAGATCCACGCTCAGCTGGCGTCATTGTCAAAGGAGATGAGGGCGAGAAGCTCGACGCCGACCCTTGCGCCGCCGCCGCCCCCGCAGCCACCACAGCTTCCACCAGGTCTTTCAGATGCATTGGCGAGTCTGACCAAAGGAGGCGGATTGAGCAGTCTACTAGGCGCGAATGGAAGCAACGGGGCAAGCTCAGCTTCATCACAGACGCTAGCCGTGCCGCATCCTGGACAGCCACCAGCGGCTCCGGGAGCAGCGGCTGGCAGCAATGACCTCATCAAGAGCTTGATGGCAGCAGGATTGATACCGACGACTGGCTTACCCGCCCCGCAACCAGCAGCTGGCCCGTCCAAGCCCGCTGTCTTTGAGCAGGATGCTTCGTACACATCTTCGATCCTCTCCCTCGAGATCCAGCTTACCTCGCTTGATCTTCACAAGGAACTTCCAGATTCTGCCCTACCCCTCGTGCTGCCCGAGGCCTCGCATCTTCCCCTGCAATGTAGGCAATGCGCCAATCGATATCCTCCTGCTGCCGTGGGAGGTCAGAAGAGTCTGGACACCCATCTTGACTGGCATTTCAGGCAGGGTAGAAGGGCGAAAGACTCGGCGGCGAGAGGCATGACGCGCGTCTGGCTGGACAAGGAGAATGATTGGGTCAGGGGAGGCTACGATGACCCTGCGTCGACGGGTGGCGAGGGAGGTAGCGGTACAGCAGGTCAGGGTGGCGCAGGTGCATCGGGCAAGGCTCTCTCAGCTCAACAAGAAGCAGAGTTGGCTGCGGCAGCTCATGCGTGGGTTGTGGCCCCTACAGCGCCGGCGCTAGCCAATGCGCCTTGTCCAATCTGCAAAGAGAAGTTCACGTCTGAATGGAACGAGGACGAAGAGGAGTGGGTGTGGAAGAATGCGATCAAGAAGAGCTCGACAGAAGGAGGAGGGGGAGAGAAGATCTACCACGGTACATGTTACCACTCGGCCAAATTCTTGAGCGCCAATGTAGCTGGCAAATTCAGCACCCCGCCACTAGGCATGAGGAGGTCAACGACGGCGGCACCCGGTGAAGGGAGGGAGAGGACGGCGACGCCGAGCGCAGAGGCGTTGTTGGGAGGGCGAAAGAGAAAGCAGGGCGAGGGCGACGAGGCTGACTGGGACGAGGGAGATTCAGAGGCCAAGCGCCTCGCGGTATAGGATCAGGCCGTCGCAACGCATCGTTATCTAAAGCAAGCGCAATGTCAGATCCAGTTTTCTATTGTTACACAAGTGGTGAAGCACGCGTGGCGGCGGTTGCATAGGATGAAGTGGGGTGGATGCAGTACCACCTCCCTGTTGCCGTCTCGATTCGCGACTACTACAAGTACAAGGCCTGGCCTCAGGTTCTCGTCTCCTCTTCTCGTTTGGTATCGTGACGTTTCAAGATCACTGGGCTGTCCATCCGTCCATCTGGCTGTGGTTGTCGCTGCGCTGAGATTGCTAGAGGAAGTACTGAGGCGCTGGCCTCTTTGCAGGGATGCCATTGGCTTCTTGGGCTGCGGCCTCGAAAACGCCAAAGCTTCGATTGCCCGCTTCGTCGACCTTCATGACGCTGGCCACGTTGCCGCAGCGGTAGCAGTAGTTGGGCGCTGACCAGACTGTGACGATGGAATCTTCGAACATGATCTTGTAACCTTCCAGTACGAGCTGATGGGCGCGGGCGATGAGGTCGAGGTCGTTGTTGTGGGTGAAGGACTGGGTGATGTCTTTGCCAAAGAGGTAGCCTGCGCCTCTTGGACTCATCCCCCAGCCATTGATGTCATCTGGATCACTCCAGAGCAAGTCGCACATCGCTCCATCGTGGGGCACTTCCTGCTTACGATCGATGCTGCGAATCTGGTCGACGGTCTGGACGCCTGGGCTGAGCCCGCCGTGGACGGCTAGGATACGTCCATCGACGACTGCAGCGAGGGCGAGGTAGTCGAATACTTCGCAGCAATATCTCCAGACGTTTGCGTTGCCGTACTTGCGCATACACTCGTCGTAGAAGCCGTAGACCTGGGTGATTTGACGGGACTCGTGGTTGCCGCGAATGAGGGTGATGCGATCCGGGTAGCGTACTTTGAGCAGGAGAAGAAGGAGGAACGTCTCGACACTATAGAAGCCTCTATCCACGAAGTCACCTGAGTGAGAGTCAAAGAAGGTGTGTGTGCGTGTGTGTGTGTGGTGAGCATGGTGCGTCTCGTTCGCACGCACACGCATACACTCACCCATGAAGAGGTAGCTTGTATCTGGACACTTGCCGCCTACTTGAAAGAGTTGGATGAGATCCCAGAACTGACCGTGTATGTCTCCGCAGATGGTGACAGGAGCATCTACATGCTGTACGTTTGATTCCTCTACCAAGATCTCCCTTGCCTTGAGGCAGAGTGAACGGACCTGAGCCTCGGAGAGTGGCTCGCATCGCTGCAATTGGAGTAATTGCAAGTCCAGAGGCGATGGCATGGCGCCGCGATGCGAATGATGGAGGGATCAGCTAGCTCAGTGTGTTCTGACTGGCTAAGCTGAGGAATATTCGCAGGTGTTGTTTTGTTGGTAGCTACTTGGGGTCGTGTGATATGGATTCGACGTCAACGATGTGGCTGATGGCTGATTCGCAACTGAAGTTTCATCTCGCAGTCCGTCTCTCGTCGTCTCGTCGAACTCCACAGTCGCACACTGGACTGTCGCCGCCCCCGCCTCCCGCCTCCCGCCCTGCGCTTGCCTGTCCGTCCGCCCGCCCGGCCTACGACGAGGAAGCAATCAACGCCCAAAAGTCGCCTTTCCGTCTACGCGCAGCTGCTGCTTCGTAGCCATTGGCGAATCAATGCCTGCGTCAGAGGATGGCGACGAGCAGAGGGCCGCCGTAAGGCCGCCTTCTCCTCCAGGCGACGATGTCAGTTGGCCAGACAGCGAGCTGCATCGCAGCACACAGCATGGGTACTGACCGATGCCATCCTCCTTCTCTTCGTCTCAGGCTTCGCCCTTTATTCTCCCCGTCTACGTGACAGTGAGTAGGTGGCGGTGAGAGGTATACGCATTCCGTGATAGCATGCTCATACTATCTCCTCCCTCTTCCTTCTCCCGGCCATTGTCAGCGAGCTGCGACCTGGCGTCCGTTGCGTGACTTTGAGTCAGCGACGCGGCCCCTCGCAGACGAATTCCACCTCTACGTCTGGTGAGCATCGCGATGCTCATTACGCTCGATATATGCTTATGCCTCATGCCACTCGCAGGCCATCGACAACGCTGCGCTCCCTCACACATATGCTCCACGCCGCAGCTCCTAGGCTTACCCATCCGCTCAATCCTCATGCATTCCGTCTCATCTTCTGGGACAAGAGGCGAAGACAATACGTAGGTGACGAGGTGGCTCATGACATTGCGAGGGTATCTTCAGACGATGTGGTCAACAAACTCAGTATCATCTCAAGGCGCACTCTGGGAGCAGCTGCCGAGCACCCTTCATCCAAGGACGGCCTCAAGACGATCAGCGACATTGGCTTCCAGGAGGGAGACTTTCTCGAATGCCTTATCCCTGGCACAACACCAACGACTGTACCTCTGGCTCCCCTTTCGGGACCAACGAGCATTCGGAGGTACGGCAGGGAAGACTCGCGAGCAGCTTCACCCCCTCCGAGGGACTATTACCCGCCTCGCCCACGCCACGGTCGCGATGATCGTCGAACCTCCGCCCACGAAGCTGCGACTAGATCGAGATGGTAGCGGTCAAAGCTGGAGTGCGTGTATGGTGACAATGTCATTGCAATGTGGTATTACGTGGCGTGCGTACGAGCGTGCAAGTGATGGATGACGATGGTGATTCCTCTTGGACCGGATCCAGCCTTTCTCAATGCTGATCTGTGGCTTCGCCGGCTTCAGCTCGGCGTCTCGAGTCTGCGGCTCGTTTGAGCGTCCAGCTGACATTCTCGTAGACGACAAATGTCACACACGTCGCAGGGAGGATGCGGACGAGATTAGCGCTCATGCCCTTGTAGAAGGCGCTGAGTCCCTCATTGCGGTACGTAAGCTGGATACACCGTGTGACGGTGGGATAGAGGTGAGCCGTGGCGTGATTTTGATAGCGCGAGCGAACGACTTGGTACGGGTAGGTGAGGCCAATGGCTACTAGCTTAGCCAGGCCGCTGATGATCGTGTACTCGACATTGCTCTATGAACGAGGGGTGAGGAGCAGGAATAAGTCAGCATGCTGCCTCCCGAATTTGTACATCGCCGCCACACTCACGAGCTTGACTTGACCTTCTGCGCCCAAGTCAGCCGCCGACGCCGTCCCTCCCCTCTTTTTCAATGCTACATTGCTGCGGTGTCGCTTGAGCTGCTCGTAGGCCATAAACTGAATGGCGCCGTTGCTGACTCCAAACAGTGCAAGCCCCGTCCCTTTGTAGAGTCCTCTAAATCCCTCGTTGCGGTAGATGTGAACGAGGGAAGAGCGCAAGGTGCGATACGGACTGGCATCTGACGCCGCTGCTGCCGAAGATGGTGAAGAGGCTACCTGTATTGACGGTGCAGGTGGTATCGGTGTATTTGATGCAGCTGCGGTACCCCCTGCTCTCGTCGTGGTGAACATTCTCGTCTTGACGACCCAAATTGGATTCGTCATGAGAGCCGTGATGGCTCCACTCTCGCTCGCCGCCAAAAGATGTTGACCTGCAGAAAGCTTCTTGATCTCCCCATCATCTCCGCCGCTGGCTTCGTATGCCCTGGCTGCCATTCTCTCCTTGATCATGGTATACCACAAGAAGTAAAGCCCCCAACTGGCCGAATTACCCACTACATTTGGGCTGAGGCCGCGATAGAGACCCGTCCAGCCACCTTGTTGCACGATGCGGCGTAGTGCGCCTACCATGTCCTTTGCCACCTGTCCACCTAGCATCTTCGTCGCCCATCCCGACCTGGCAGAGAGTTTAGCCCTCGACGTCGTATCCACTTGGAACTGCGTCTTGATGAGATCCAGAGGATTCATGCATACAGTCGCTACAGCGCCAGCGGTGATGCCCGCCACTGAGTGATCAATGGCAGGTGTTGGAAAGAAGGACGACCGTGACGACGGTGAGGGTCGTGACGACGACGACGGTGACGATGCTGCCATGATGGCAGCGACAAGAAGGACAGGATACCGAATCTTTGAGAAGATCGAAATCGCCGGGCGCAGCACTTGGTGGTAATCAGCGAGCTCAGGAAATGGCTTGCTGACTAAGCACCGTCGTTCATTTCTGACTCCCTTCCGCTCGTTGGTTCGTTGCCCCGCCTCCACCCGCCGGCGAGTTGAGTGTCGCACGAGGACGTCGTTCGGCGAATGGTATTCGCGGCGGGCAGAGAAGGAGGCTCGGATAGAGCGTTTGCCTCTCTTGACAAGCTAACCACACTATGTCATCTTCAACAGCATCAGCATCGTCAGCGGGGCCTGTCCACATCTGCAGAGCGGCTGACGTGGGCCAAGGAAGCACAGGGCAGACGAATGGCATGACTCGCAAGTCAGCCATCGTAGGAAAGTCAAACAACGTCTGCGGCACCCTGATGCTCAGCGAGCCACATAGCGGATCAGACATCCACCATCATGGTCACTCCGATACCATCGTCTACTCGGTACGTGGTCACGGCTCCATCATCTACGGACCCAACGAGGCAGAGCAGCGTCACGACCTCAAGCCAGGAGACTGGGCGCTGATTCCAGCCTGGGCAGAGCACAAGGTGAGCGCGTCACGCAGCAAGATGAATACGACGCATCACTCTACTGACAAAGGCACCCGCTCTCTTGCACGCCACGCTGCACCAGGAAGTCAACGATGGAGACGAGGAGGTCGAGTGGGTCATTGTAAGAGCAGGCGCGGGCGAGCCCATCGTCGTCAATCTGCCAGGCGGATGGGGAAGCTCCAAGAGTCAAGAGTCGTCGTAACATTTCATTGGCCGCTGCTTCCTCCCGCGCTACAAGGCATCGAAATTGAGAGCCATGACCCCCTTTTTCCTCTCGGCCTCATCTTGCCGCCTCTCCTGCTGATGGCGGAAATAGACGAAGCCGCACAGCGCAACGATGAGACTGACCAGCGTCGCAGTCACAGCGGGGATCCAGTCGCCCGGCTGCAGGTAAAGCTCCCTCTTCCACCTCGAAGGGTCAACGTCGTCCTTGTCGTCTGCGTAAGGCGAGATGATGACTTGCGAATTGGGGATGACCCCTTCCATGGAGAGAAAGTGTTGAGGCGCGTGTAGCGTAGATCCGACCAGCATCGACTCGACGTAGTTGTTTGTCCTGCCCAACCCAAAGTACGAGTAGGGCGTGAGGAGCGGACGATACGAGCTCTGCGAGCATTGTCCGACCTGCTGGGCTCGACGATTGCCATTTGGGTCCAAGACGGTGAACTTGTACGATGCGCCTGGCAGGAAGGCGCCCCAGGGACGAAACTTGGGGCCCTGTGCAGGCTCACAGAAGGACGAGCAAGCGCCGTTGAGGGTGAGGGCCTTAAGGAAGAAGGCGTCGTAGAAGTAATTGTTCTGGACGAAGGTCACGGATCGCACACCACGATCTTGGCGACGGCCACGGAGGAGCATGAGATCGAGCGACCCGTCTTCGTCCACGTCGACCCAGCTGGCCGCTCGAGCATCGTCGATGTTGGCTAATACCTCGGCGCCTTCGGTGATGACAGAATACCACCTCGCCTCGTCATCTTCCTTGCAGGCTGACTGCGCCTCCTTGATATTGGAGTTGACGGCTGAGCAGCGAACATTGCGGAGAACGTTGACTGCCGTCTTGCCTGTCCCGTCGGACGGCTGGCCAGGCGGGATCGTCAGCACGAGAAGGTCTGGGTAGCCATTCTTGTCAAAGTCTCCTACAACGAGGGAAACAGGTTGCGATTTGGCGCCGTTGGCCGTCAAGGCGTCTTCAAAGAGTGGCTTGTGGCCAGGCAAGAGTGTCGAAAATGGGACTTGGAGGAGGGCCTGGTGAAGTGGGAGGAGGTCGATGAGCGGTACGAAGAGTGGTCTGGTCACCCTGACGCCGACTCACCTTTGTTCCATTCTGCCCGTCAAAGTCAAAGGAGAACTCGTCATCTGCCACACAAAGTGCCTCTGTTCTTCTACATCTGCGGCTGCTGACGACGTCGTCGTAGTGCCCGCCAGTAAGCCAATCTGCCCACCCTTGCGTCTTGTCGAAGGCGGCACCTCCAGCTGCTGTGACCTTCTTATCGCACAATGCCATCTGACGGTTGTAAACGACATTGACGTAGCAGTCTTTGGAGTCGCACGAGGCAAAGACTACATCTGTTGTACCATCCCGATTCATGTCTGCGAAGGAGAGGGGGCCAGCGCCGAGAGGGAGTTGACCTGAACGCGAAAAGGTGAAGCCTCCCTCTGCCTTGTCAGTCGGCTTGACGGCGATCCAGATCTGGTATCGCTGCCTGCTTCCCTTGGATGAGGGGGCGCATACGAGGAAGAGGTCTGCTAAGCAATCTCCATCGATGTCTACGAATGCTGAGCTGTGAGGGTCTGCCAGCTGACAAGGCTCCTCGCCGCCATCCGACGACGACAGGAAAGGACCGCGTTGTACCTCAAAGGCAGCCGTCGTATTGGTAGCAGACAAAGAGTTGCGCCACATCTGCAGGGATGAAGATGAATTGTAGGGCAGTCCAAGCAAGTCGATCTCCATGTCACCGGTCGCATCGACGACGAGTGGCTGTGCGAGCGTCGAAGGTGGGACTTGGAGGGGCTTGGATTCGATGGCGCCATCTTGTATGCTTCGTCCAAGCCAAAGCTCCATCTTGAGCTGATCAGAGTTGGTGGCTTGGGTCTTGACGAGGACATCGAGGCGGCCATCCTTGTTGAAATCGGCGGGCACGACGTTGATGATTGGATCGCCGCTAGCTGGCGAAATGGCAAAGAGTGGATGAGAGGAGAAGGCAAAGTCTGTGTGATCCCAGAGGGTGAGGGACAGCGTCTTCCTATCGTCTGACAAGGTGAAGGCGTCTAGGTATTGATCGCCATTCCAATCCCCCCATGCTACGATGCCCGACCCAACATCGTAGAGGCCGAGTACGCCGGCATCGATGAGACCCTGGAATCGGAATCGCTTCTGTGGTAGCAGGCTCCACGCTGCGTATGCGCGTGTAGTCAAGCAACAAGCAGCAATGGCCAGGGCGAGCAATAGACGACGAGCCCAGACGGGCATCGTCATAATGAGGAGGTGCGCACGATGATGGACAAGTAGTGATGATGGTAAAGTCGACAACAAGTCGAAGGCGCTCACGCACGCACAGACACTCGCGGCGCACGGCGGAACAGGCAAAAGGCAGCGGGAGCGAGAGGCACGCCGGCCTATTCTAGCTGGGAAAAGAGCATATATTCTGCTCAATATACGATCGATCATGGTACTCGTAACATGGTTGCACCTCCTTTCACTCGTCCTTTGGCCCTGAACCGTGATGCGGGTGGTCGACGAGGTTGAACCAGGGCATGACACCTAACGAATGAGGGGACGATGGATTGATTAGCTGCGTCCTGAATAGTAGCATGACGTCCTGACCCTCTGGCGCACTCACCAAACTTGAGTTGTGACCAAACCGAGTTGCGGTGAGCTACACCTTGCATGTAGGGCTCGAGGCTCGACGTCTTCCCAGTCGAAGGGAAAGCGTCGGGCGCCTCTTCCTTTGCCCTGTTGACCTCTGCCTCGTTCTCGGTCCAACCCCACAGTCGCACTGACGGGGACAACGGGGACAAGGCGTTAGCATACATTGGTCCGCAACATTCCCAGATGACATCAACCGCACTCACATGAAGATCGCTGGTATGCAAAGAGGAATCCACCTGCTGCTCCAAGGAAGGTACCCAGCCTCATGGCCGACCTCAATCCTCCACGGGGTGGACGAGTAGGGTCAAACATCTCTGCAGGCGACGAGCGAGACGTTCAAGAGGGGGGTCAGTCCACTCAGTCGAGATCATGCCTGCGCGCACACACATACGCACCCATGAGATAGAGGGCCGAAGGGAAGCCTACGGTAGCGCTTCCCCATGCTACATAGTCGCTAGGCCTCATGTAGGAGATGACCCTCTTGAAGTGAGGGTCCGAATCGATCAGAGGGAACTCCGTCTCGACTTGTTGATGCGCTATGGGTGCGGGCGAGAGAGGAGAGAGAGATGTGATTAACATGAAGAGAACGCTTTCATGGGCAATGACGTGACAAACGCACCTGCCATGGCTGACACGACGGTGATGATGAGGACGTTGGATTGAGTGACGACAAGCTTCGGATTGGTGATGGACCGTCGTCGCCCGCTCTCTCACTCTCTCACCGGACTCGCCACGAGGCGCGCGCGAACAAGACACGGAGACGGCAAAGGCGAGGGCGACGAAGGACAAAGGCGGCGAAAAGGATTGGATTCGCCTGGCTCATTTCCCTTTCCTCCCAATAACAGCATGCTTGCTTTCAACTGAGGCAGGCCTCATCATCTCAACAATGTCGCCTCCATCAACACCGGCGCAGTCCACGCCAAAGAAGAGGAGGCTAGAGGATGGCGGCGCAGTCGCAATCGCTGGCGCAACCACGTCGACTCCATCGTCATCACTGCGAGGCGCACTCTCTGGCATTCGCTCATGGCTAAGCCCGTGGAGAGGCAACTCCAGGACGAGCGCAGCCTTCGGCCACTCTACGCACGAAGACATCAGCGCAGAGCATGAAAATGATGTCGAAGAGGGGACTCCTTCGGCAGACGTATCCAACAGCATATACCCGCCTTTGCCCTCTCACGCAACGATGCCTGCCTTGAATCGACGTAGGGAATCTCCTCCGCCTATTCCATTCACCTTTACACCGCCCACTCAGCCAGCGGCCAGTGCACCGCGCAGTCACGAAGCGCCAAACGCGTCTTCCTCCTCGCCCCTCTCCCGCAATTACGCCCTCCTGGCACGCTTCTTTGCTGAAAAGGCGGCAGAAGAAGCAGGCACTTCGATGAGAGGTGACGATGATGATGGCAATCGGCTCACGGAAGACGAGGTAGAAGGATGTCGCATACTCATCGAGGAGAGCGGGAGGAGTCCGAGGGATCTGCAAAGAAGGCTAGGAATGGATAGCGGAGAAGAGCCAGAGGACAGCTTCGAGGTGCCAAAGCGCAGGGGAATGGCAGCAAAGAGGCCGCGGGGTACCGGAAGCTGGCTCAGCCCGAGTCCCGCCGTATCTCGAGAGGGCACGTCCTTTTCCATGGACCGCTCTCCACTCGTGCGTGGCGGCCCTTCATCGGTCTTGTCCCACTCCATGACGGATCCAGGCCTATCACGACGGGCGCCACTTGCTTCTTCATCCACAGCAAATCCTTTCCTCAGCGGCCGTACCACTGCATCACAACAGCCAGTCCGAAGAAGACGGAGGCCTCTGTACTTTGGCCCAGGCATGTCCTCCACGGCATCTCCATTCGCCCCGAGACCTCAGGCAGCAACCCGCGACGCTGCGCCTTCGGTCTCCTCTTCTCACCAGCCAGCATTAGGCAAGCGACAGCGTCTCGGTGGTCTGCAGGATGGCGGCGACGACGACGACGATGACAATGTGCCACCCTCGACGAGCATTGCGAATCTGTGGCAGCCACCACCACAAGATCGACCCGTCGCCTCATCATCCCGAGTCGCACAAGCGACGGCCCCTTCACCGGCATCCTCTCCGGCAAAGCAAGAAGTCATGCCACGGTCGTCTGGCCCGTCGAGTCCGGCTCAGACACGTACGGCCAGCGCTGTCCTCTCAATTCTCGCTCAGCCGGACTTGGCCCGACCCACCCCTTCGCCCGTGCGTCGTACCACTCGGCCGCCCGCCGCAGCTTCCAGTCTATCATCATCGCCTTCGATGCCGTCGGCTTCTACCTCCTCGAATGGCTTTCGACCGGATGGCATCTTGAATCCTTACCAAGCATCACCAGAGCTCAACCTCGGTCAAAGCTCGCAGTCGTCGATGCGCCGCAGTCGCACCTCCGAGGCAGTCGCAAAGATGAAGGACGAGAGACGACGCAGCACCAGATTGAGGAGGAGCGCAGCGCCAGATGAATCCTCCGACACATCGGCTGGGCTGTTGGAGACGATTGAGAGAACTAAGCCTGCGGGAGGGACGAGTACAAGGCGTGGAGGCACGCGAGAGTCTTCGAGGGCGACGGCGACGGCCACACCTGAGCCTGCGAGAGTTTCGTTCGCACCGACTGCGACGGCGCCCTCGGCATCACCATCGCCTTCGACGGGCAAGACTGCTGCAGAGAAGACGGCCGAGGCGAAGCGACGTCTCGATGCGATGAGCGCGGCCAAGCCTGCAGAGGGCGAAGCGTCATCGAGCGACAACCTTGTGCCGCCTCGATCAGCGCCATCGACGCCGCCTTCGTTCAACTTTGGCAAGCACGCTCCGCCTAAGCCTTCGCGCCTGAGCATCGCCTTTAATGCCAACGATAGTCCTGGCAACACGGAGACTGCGGACGAGGAAGAAGAGGAAGAGGACGAGCAAGTCGGGGCGGGGGAGGAGAGTGACATGAGTATCATCAAGAGCTCGCAGCCTGTTGCTTCGGCCAAGTCGACGTTTGCGTTTGGCGGTGGAATGGGTGGCGAAAGCTCGGCGCATGCACAGCAGGCGACGAAGGCAGCTGCGACCTCAAGCGCGCCGACTAGGGTGGGGAACGACTCGAGCAAGCCAGCCCCGTTCACGTTCAGCGCGCCGGCTAAGACGTCTTCGCCAGCGCCAGCCTTTACGGCACCCGCCTTCAACGCACCCTCTGCGCCCGCGTCCACTGCATCGCAATCTTCTACAGCCTCGACGCCTCGCGAGAGGGCGCTCGAGACGGACGTGGCTTCCCTGCCGACCTTCGACCTCCGCGTCAGCGTCACGGCATCGACGCCTTCGTGGTATGCGCGATCGGCCACGACGGAGGAAGAGCAGCGCAGGCAGAAGGCAAGCTCGACTGCCGCTGCAGATCTGCCAAAGTTCGACTTGCTTCAAGGCGATGCGAACACAGGGGAGGCAATGAGCTCGACGACGGCCCCGCAGACGGTCATATCAAAGCAGGAGCAGCACCGAGCGCAGGCTCAAGCCACCAGCGCCACTCAACTGCCCACCTTCAACCTGTTCGGCAACGGCAACGGAACTCAAGCCTCAAAGCCAGCGGCCGCGCCACCGGCGGCGAGCCAGTCGGCGCAGGCAGCAGTGGCGGCGGAGCCTGCACCGAGTGGCGGCGAGACCAGCGAAGGTAGTGGTGAAGGAAGCAGCTCGAGCGCCTTGCTGGGTTCAGGCGAGGGCGAGGAGGGCGAGACGACGGTGTTCGAGGTGCGCGCCAAGTTCTGGAAGTTTGCGAGCGCCAAGTGGGAAGACCTCGGCGTAGGCATTGCTCGCGTCAAGCGACCGTCAAGCACCGCAGCGGATCAAGGCGGCTCGCCACGACGTCTGCTCGTCCGTAACGCCGGCAATGGCGCGGTGACGGTCAATTTTAACCTCTTTCCCGACTTTAAGGCGACGCAGAGTGCGCAGTCGCTCGGCTTTACGGGCTTCGACGCCGAGGGCAAAGGTCAGCCGATGCGCTGCAAGGTCAAGACGGCGGACAGTGCGGGAGAGTTTGTGCAGGTGTTGGAGCGAGAGGCCAAGCTCAGCTAGCTGAGCGTGCGATGGACAACAGGTTAATGCAATCTCGTCAGCATCGAGCGCGTGTCTGCGCTGCGTGAGCCGTGACACTCCCACCCGCAGATGACTGCCATCCCCGAACCCCTCTATCGCAAACCTCCTCATTTGACGTCCTGGTCGCATCACAATGGCCAACGATCGTTGAAGCAGGCAGGAAGATTGATGGAAGGCAGCTACGGCAGCCGTCCTCGCGGGATTTCGGACGTGTGGCATGGATTCACGCTCATGAGCCTATTGAAGTCGAGGAGACACGTGCGGCGGCGTGCGACGAGGGAGTAATGGATGATATAGCGCCGTAACGATTCGTGTGCCGTGTGTGTGACGCGTGCCTGAGTGCGATTGCGGCCGTGGGTAGGGTTGCGGTGAGCCTGTGTATCGCTGTCCTCCTCACCAACCCCCCCAACGCCAGTCGTGGATGCTCGATACCATCCTCTCGTACGTCTACAAACTCCTTAATTGCTTCCGTAGCCCTTTGCGTCAGATCCCCACCGAGACTACAGCATCGCCGCAGATGCAGCCCGAGCGCAGGGGTGAGCAGCAGCCGGGGGGTAACCAAGGAGATGGCGCTAGTATCGATGACGCCCCACACCTGCGTAGCGTCCCCGGCGACCTGCTGCTGGACGGCGGCGACCACCGTAGCTCGGGTGACACTCGCCTCGACGATGACGCACCACCGGCGGGCACAACGCAGCTAGCCGCAGTCAGACCCGACGCAGCTACGGCGTTGAAAGTGACGCCGCCCTCAGGTCAGTGCGCATGGCACGCGCGCAGCCAAGTTGACGGATACCGTAACTGACTTCGTTCAAAATACACAGACGGCGCAGCCCTCGCAGCTCATCCGCAGCAGCGTCAGCTCGACGCCAACCATGAAGCAGGCACAGCGCACAGCCATGGCCTCGAAGCGCCGCCTCCCTCAGCGGCCGTAGAATTGCCCCACGACGACCCTTTTGCTGTCGCCGTCGAGCCCGAGGCACTGGCAGTCAGAATCAAGACCAAGGCGGCCGGCGCGGAAGCCAATGCGGCGGGCGTAGGAGCAGTGAGCAGCAAGACGGACTGAGCCGAGGATGGGGCCGAAAAGCAGGTGTTGTAGAGAAGGCAGCGCCACCGCAGCAGCATTGTCATTTCTTCATCACAAGCGTGGCGATAGACACAAGACGTCGATCGTGGCTTTGTCCTAATAGTTCATATTAGCTGAAAGACAACCGGCTAGCAAACCGCCTGCCTTGACACCTGACTGACCAGGCAAAGACATCAGCAGCGAGCAGAACGCAACACTGATTCACCTGTGACTCCGCGGAGTGCAGCGGCGATGGCAATGAACAGATTCATCGAAGGTCGCTGCGGCGCTGCGCTCTTCGCAGCGCATCCCATCGAGACTGACGTGATCGTGAGAACTGAGGTGGGGCCGCTGCATCAGCTAGCAACTGCCGTGATGCTGAGCGCAGCGCTAGCGTCCCTTCTGATAGCTTGCCCCACGCAGAAGACAGACACGACCTGCATACGCTGCGCAGGGCTCTGATGAAAGGAAATTGAGCAATTTTAGACAATTATTGTGCAAAATCGAAAATTCCTCGCCGGCCGGTCGTGCGAGGCAGTCGCTGCACGCTGGACGCGCTGCAACGCGTTCGATGAAGTCGAACCTCACGCCGCAATTGTCAGATGCTGCTCATGAGCACATCAAATCGACGCAAAGCAGTCAAAATGCGATCATCACAGCATCGAGATGCTCGCTCAGCTGCTGCTGAGTCTGTCTGGTCTCTGCTTCGTAATGAGACGGATCATCTTTGCAATCAGGAGCGAAGGGATATGTGAGGGACTATTTTGGTAGCCGTCCGTGCCTCTGCTTTTGCTCAAGCGCGCATTTCATTGCATACAACAGCCTGCATTAACATCTACATCACTCAAACGCCCATCGCACATCGTCCAGCACCTCAGCGACGCTCTTGCTATCATTTGGTGTGCCTTCAACCCACTCTCGTGCACGATCCCACTCCTGACCAGCTTCACGGGGCAGACTGACGCCAATCGCGGCGTTGAGCTGCTTGTCGATGCCTGCTTTGAGAGCTTCAACGACGTCCGACCATGCCCACGTATCTTCGGGTCGCTGGCAGATGTTGTCATACCACAGGAAGTGTTTGCCTCGTCCCGAGCGCTGAGCGAGTTGCGCCTTGACCGCAGGCGTGCTGACGAGGAGGCAGGTTGGGAGGAGTAGCAGTACGCCCGGCGATGGTGGCCCTCCGCTCTTGTTTGTTGGGCTGAAGAGCGATTTCACGAGCAGGTCCTCTACGGCTGACCAGCTGCGCGTTCGCACTTCAGCTTGGTCGCTGGCGAAAAGGCGGCCCAGGATAAGACCGTAGACGACTGCGCGACGCCAGTAATTTGCGTCGAGTTGCGCGTCCTTTGGGTGAGGCGTCGATGCGTTGGTGCTGAGCTGCAGGCATGCCATGTGGATCTCGGCGACCATGTGCTCGAGCAGCGATTGGCCAGCTCCTTCCGCAGGGCGCATACCGCTCTTGAGGAACTCGGGCTCACGCTCGAAGCCGACGAGGGCAGAGTTGGCGCGCTGGATAGGTGCGATGAGAGAGAGGAAGAAGGTGACGAGGTCGTCGATGTGGTGCGGTTGAGCAAGCGCCGAGAGGAGGATGTTGTGCGCGATGCTCGAGAGAACGCGGTGCGTCTTGCGGGCCGGTCCGTCGGAGACGAGGGCTACGAGCGGGTCGACTTGTCGTTGTGAGATGGCGGTGAGGACTTGTGCGTCAGGCAGCTCTCCGCCGAGCGTGGGTGTAGGGCTGTGCGGGCGGAGGGAGGGAGCGAGTGAGCTTGGTTAACACGGGGCCGGCCAGTCGTCTTGTCTCTGGCACTGCACGCGCCGCACTTACCGCTCTGCGCCGAGGTCTTGGTTGACTACGGCTTGAAGACTGGGTGGCAGCGGGATGGCGTCACGCTCGACGTCGGGCGCCGCTTCCGTCTGTGATTCGAGGCCAAGCACCTTTTCCATCCTCTGCAGACCCACGCGGACGGCGCCGAGCTCGAGAGAGAAGGTGAAGCGGAACCATCCCGGCTGAGGGTGGTGATACTGCGCGCCAGGGGCCACAAACACTCGAGCATCTATGAAGCGCTGCGAGAGGTCCGTCTCGGCCTTGCGTGCCGCGTCGTCGCCGTCGTCACCGCCCTTGACGCCGAGGTAGGGCCGCAAGTCGAGCATGACAAAGTGACCCGAGTTGGCGGCCACGTAGCCGATCCCCTGACGCTGAGCCCACTGGGTGAGGTAGCGGTAGGCGATGGTCATGCGGCGGTGGTTTTCTGCGAAAAAGTAGGGCAGGAAGCCGCCCTTGGCTCGGTCCTCAAGCCACAGGTACCAAAGCGCGCCCGCTGGCGAGCTGCTTTGCGAGAGGATGCCGAGTGAGGACATAGCAGCCACTACATCTTGGCCTCCTTGGTTGACGTAGACGCCCAGTCGGAAGCCATTGGCGCCAAAGTCCTTGGAGATGGACGAAACGACGTGGACGTTTGCGCGGGGCAGACTTGCCTCCTTTTCGACATCGACGGTGAGGATCGAGTGGAAACGAGTGGCGTCGGCGTCTGAGATGTCAGGCGACGAGAATACAGATCGAGCGTAGATCTCGTCGACGACGAGGTGAAGCGACTCCTTTGCCGCAAGCTTTGCGAGGGCGACGAGCGTTTCGCGAGGGTAAACTAGCCCCGTGGGGTTGTGCGGGTTGCAGACGAGGATCGACGTTACTTTGACGCCGTCTTTGCGTGCCTGAGCGAGTGCGTCCTCGTACGCCTTGACGGTGTCCGGCGTGAATGCTCGCGATGGCTGCTGAGGCTTGTGCGCGGGGTCGTAGGCCTCGGGCAGCGGCGTGTGGACCTCGATGATTTTGGCCTCGGCACGAGCAGTCAAGTCGTGGTCGAAGCCATTGTACGAGGGGACGCTGAGCAAGACGCCATCTCCCGGGTTGCAGAGGACTGTGAAGAGGGCGTCAAGGATACCTGTAGCCCCACTGCCCACGACGATGTCATCCGGTACGACTTGCTTGATGAGCTTAGGCTTTTCTGTGTCGAGACCCATGGGCACTTCGTTGAAGAGCGAGCATAGCGCGTTGACGAGGCGAGTGCTCGAGAAGATGCGGTCTCCGTAGGTGAGTTCGGCGGGCTGTAGCTTCAATCTATCGGAATTGATCCATCGGAGAACCTCTTTGCGCATCAGCGAGTTGTCCGCCACGCCCACGATGACGATGCCAGAGGGATTCGTCTGCGCGCGAGGCGCGAGAAGCGTGAGCGAGGATATAAATTAAAGGCCTCTTGCCTACGCCCGCTCACCTTTGGATCGTACTGATCGCGAAAAATCTCCAGGAGGTTCTTGAGGGAGCCATTGACAACGGCGGCATTCTTGTCGCCTCGCTGCGAGAGGCCCGCGGGTGCGGCGAGATCCATGGTCGGGGTGCGGGGCTGGCGATAGACTATGCGGAGTGATTGAGATGACATGCAGCAAAGAAAGAGTCGCAGGGTGGCGATGGAATGTATGTGCGATGGTGATGTGAGATGTGCAACGTTGGAGCGTGGTTGAGCGTGAGGAATCGATACGTTGGAGGGTCTCTTCAGAAAGGGCCCGTGCTCTCCGTCTCCAGGTTGCGGGAGTTCCGGCTCGGTCGTTGCGCTCGAGCCAAGCAGCGCATGTAAGCTTGTCTTACGAGCGCAGTCATCGAGGAGCAGAGGGTCATGATTCGATGGGCAGAATAGATATAAACATTGAGAAAACACGGCGGCATCTCGCCGCGATCACAAGGCGCCAGCACCCTTGAGAAGACCAGGCAAGATCTTGAGTCGATCGAGGTTAGCCAAGTCGTCGCTGCCTCCAAGGAGCTGATCGCGGGCAAAGACGGTGGGGAAGGTGCGGTGGCCAGAGATGGCAGCTAGAGCAGCTTGCAGGGAGTGGGCATCATCTCGCAAGTCGACCTCGTAGACGGTGTACGTTGCACCCATTGAGTTGAGGAGCTGCTTTGCGCGCTTGGAGAACTGGTAGGGGGGGGAGGTGAGCGTTCGCACCTCTCGCACCGCAGCGCAACCCACTCACAGGGCAGTAGGACTTGCTGAAGACGGTGAGTGGGTGACGAGATTGGTGGAGCAAACCCCATCGTGGGCGACTCGTCTTGAACTGCGGGCGAGTGGACGAGTGAGGGGAGATTAGCAAGCGCAACTCTCTAGCATATAGCCACACCATTACTGCGCACCAGCTCGAGATCCGCCTTTCCTCCATCGAGCTCGACTTGGCTCAATGTCCGTCTCAAGTCGTCGGCAGTCTCTGGCAGCAGCTGCTTGCGCCATTCGCTCTCACTCGATGGTACCGAGTATGTCGGGTTGCTGAGCGCTTGGAGGAAGACGAGGACTTGTTCCGCATGGGATGGCTTGGCGTTGGGGTCAATGACCACCGACTTCAGGGCATCGGCTGGTAGTCCCTTTTCTGCGGCAAACTTGCGCAGGGCATCCGTGCCAGAGCCCGGCAATGAGCCGCCTGCGAGAGCGTGGGCCTGCTCGATGGCCGCAGCTTGAGCAACGTCGAGGCCATGTGCGTTGGGCAGAGGGCCTTCTGGCAAAGGCTTCGCTTGCGGCGGCGGTGGTGACCACGGCGAGGGAGATGGTGAAGTGACGGCGGCATTGCTGGTTGGCGGGCTCATCGAATCCTTCATCCATCGAAACGACGACGACGTCGTTGCTGACAGCGTCGATGCATTGAGGAAGAGGATAAGGGTGAGCGAGATGGCGAGGATGAGGACGATGCCCTTTCGCCGGCGTAGGATTGAGAGGGCAGGCGTCGCGCTAGCTGAGTTGCCGGTCAAGCCAGGCTTCTGTACGCCTACTCCCCTCTCAATGTCGATGGACAGTCGTGCCATTGGTGGTTGTGGTCGTGGTCGTGAGAGGCAACAAAGTGGTTGGGCGTCATGCTCTCTCTCTCTCTTTCTCCGACGGGGCGGCGCCGTGCCGTGCCGCGCCGCGCCTCCCGTTCATGGACTCACAAGCACACCACTCTTTTGAACGCCGGCATGAAGCCTCTTCTATTCGTGGTGTCGCCTAGCCCGTCTCGTAGCCCTTCTTGCCTTTGATACCATTCCAATCAATACGGGCGTGTCTCTGCGCTATGTCTACCAAGTCATCGTCGCTCCTTGTCAAGGCTCAGTTGATTCCCCTCGTAGCCCTGGCCGGCTACCTCGTCTTTGCCTTGAGCCTCTTGCACCCGGGTCTTCAGAGGCAGTCAGTACGGGCGGGCCGATGACCATGACACAGCGCTGTGCGAGCTGATCAAAACGATCCCACCTCACGCCCACGTCCACGCCCACGTCCACGCCCACGCCCGCGCCCACGCGCACGCCTCCCTCACAGCTTCATCTTCCTCCACCGTCTCAACTACCCCTTCAGCCCCGACTTCAATGCTCCAGAAAAGTACGGCATCGCACCAGGCAAGGCTCGCAACCTCCGCCTGACGACGTCCGACGGCGTATCTATCGGAGCATGGCATATCCTCCCCGACGCCTACCATCGTGCCCACCAGCCGTCTCCCCTCTCCAACAGCTCCCCCATCTCAGAGGGCGACTACGACCAAGCGATCAAGGAGAGACCTACTGTCATCTACCTGCACGGCAACGCAGCCAACAGAGCTGCTCCCTTTCGCACAGCATCGTACGCTCAATTCACGGCTCGACTCCAGGCCAATGTCCTCGCCATCGACTACAGAGGATTTGGCGACTCGGAGGGCCGTCCCTCGGAGGAAGGTCTAATACTCGATGCTCAGGCGGCTTGGGACTGGGTACAGGCTAGGCGAGGCGACCAAGACGTCCTGGTAGTGGGCCAGAGCTTGGGAACAGGCGTAGGCTCACGCATCGTCGAGCGTCTGACCAAGGCTGGGCAACCCCCACAGGCACTCGTCCTCATTGCACCTTACCTCTCTCTGAGAAGACTGGTGGCAGAGTATCGAATCGGCGGCATCATCCCCATCCTGGCGCCTGCCCTCTACATTCCCTTTGCCAATCAGCTGCTGGATTGGGGTCTCAAGACGACGTTTGCTTCCGATCGCGCTCTGCCTTCCCTCTACGCTACGCTCAGCGCTTCCTCCAAGCACGGGTCTCCTCAGCAATGGCCTCACCTCATCATCTCACACGCAACGGATGACGAGGTGATTCCGTACAGTCATGGGGAGCTCCTCTTCGACACTATCCTCAGGTCGGACGTGGGGCGGCGTGAGGGCAACGAAGGAGACGTAGCAGCGGCAGCGGCAGCAGCTGGCGTCCCTGCGTCCGAGCTGGAAGCTTCACGCCTCTCTGCGAGCCTCTTGGACTCGCGCGTCCTAGCAAAGGGAGGGGTCAAGACGACGACGATCAATGGGTGGGCTCGTATCGAGCAATTTCAAGTGGGGGGCGTTGGACCTAGCGTGACTCTGGTCAGGACCGAGAGCGGTGGACACAATACGGTGGGAGAGGGGATTGTGGACATTGTTCGAGACGTCGTGGGACTAGACAGCGCTAGCAAGCAGGAGTGAGAGAGAACGTGGATCGTATCTTTCGTACGGAAAGATTGGGGCTCGCACGCACGCAAGCACGCTTTGACTAGAATAGAGATTGATGTTTTCAGAGCGTCGATGATGCGATCATGCGAGGCTGTAGGACGCATCGCATCTCTATCGCAATGTACCGGAAGCGCCTAAACAAACGCCCACCGACTAACCCGTTTGGCAGCGATTGCTCTGCACGATGTCCACCGTCGTGGGAGCAGCGACGTCGACGGAGTTGAATTCGCTCGACGCTCGACGCTTGGACGAGGCTCCCTCTGGTGTGGCGCTGGGACGCTAATAGCCCATCCATCCGTCCATCCGCCCGCCTGCCTCCGCTGCCTGCTGCCACACTTGGTCCAGACTGGGGCGGCAGCGCACAGAGACAGCCTGGATCGCCAGGATCAGGATCTGCTGCTGCCGCCGCTGTCTCCGACGCCGCCGCCCCTCGCTCGTTGATGCAACTCTTTGCCTCGTCGTCGTCGCTTCATCGCTTCATCCGCTCCATCGCTCGACTTGACGAGAGAAAGCCGCACTCAGTGTGCGCCGCCTGACCTCTCTGTACCTCCGGCGGGCAAGCAGCAAACATAGCCTATTCCAGGCCGCTCTTTGCTCGCTGCTGCTGCTGCTGCTGCTGCTCTTTATCCTTCGTCCCCAACACCGCCCACCGCCTACCGCGGACGCACAGCCAAACCAACGCCCGAAGGCGCCTGCTTCTCATCTGATCAGGGCAGGGCCAGGGACAGCTGCCGCCGTACGTGGGGAAGAGAGTCAGACAAGAGCAAGAGCAAAGCAGAGGGCCTACATATCATCATGCCGCCGCCGCCGATGAGATTGCACGGCGTCGCCTCGTCTTCTTCTCCCTCGTCCCTCTCTCCTCGTCATCCATTTGTGCGAGCAAACTCCAACGTCGACGACGACGAAGACGATTATCGAAGAGCGAGCAGCGTTGCAATGTCGTCCAATCACAACAACAACAACCACAATGACGGACAGACAGGAGCAGGAGCAGCATCAGCGACAGCAGCAACAGCATCATTATCATCATCATCATCAGCAGCATCATCCCCACCATCACTACCGCAATATCAACCACCCACAACATCCTCCTCCCTCTTCTCATTAAGACCATCATCCCGCGCTGAAGTCAGGGGAGCGCCCTCCGCGCCCGTCGACCGCAGAGACAGTGGCAGCGGTAGATCCATTGCTTCGACATCGACGAGTGGACAACACTTCTTTGAGCCGCTGCTGCAGCAACTGACGGATGTAAAGATGCCATCAGCTCCAAAGGAAAAGTCATCCCTCGACCTCGAGAACGGCAGCAACGATGATGGCGAGAGGGCGGCCTTCCTGTACCCTTCTGCGTCTGCATCCTCGTCAACGACGGGTGGCCCTAGCAGGACATCGACGCCATTCACCGATGCAGGAGGAGGTGATGCCGTCATCTCGATGGACCACGAAACGAGCCCACCGTCTCGCCATCACAAGAAGGTGCCATCATGGGCCACTGCCTCGGCATCCATAGACGGAGGAGTAGCAGAGGAAGATTATGCACGACCTCCTGCGCCATGGTCGAGCTTCTTGAGTAGATCAAAGGGCTATCATCGCATTGAAACCAACAACAGCATACCTTCACCAAAGACGCCAACGGCCATGTATCCTGGCCGCCCTTGGCAGCAGCAGCAACATCACCATCAACGTCGCTTCTCCCTAGCTATGCTCAAGTCGCCTCGCTCTCAATTGCTGCCCCACATGCGCCGCTCATTAGAGACGTGCCTCACCTCGTACCATCCAGCCAAAGTCATTGCCGCCCTCCTCTTCGTTGCCGCCTTCATCGCCTCAACTACTCTCCTCATCATCTTCATCCTCAACCCTGACAAACAGCCAAAGCCCTGGCGAAGCTTCTGTGCCCAGCAACAGGTCTTCCCTCATGCTGTGGCCGACTCACTCGCGCCCGTTGACGTCATCATGGGCGTCATGACCGTCGACTCCAAGTTTGACCGCCGATCTGCGATTCGCCAGACGTACGCCAAGCATACCAGGCCCATCGACCCGGTGTCAGGTGAGCCTCTGGCCAATGTCCAAGTCAAGTTTGTCCTGGGACGACCGCGAAAGCAGTTTGCGCGTCGCATCGCTCTGGAGATGGAAATGTACAACGACATTGTCATCCTCGACATCAAGGAGAACCAAGGAGCGGGCAAGACGCACGCCTGGTTCCAGTGGGCGGCAGAGAACGGTACGGTTCCCATCGTGCGGCCAGCGAGCGGCGAGGGCGGCTCGCACGACGTCGCTTGGAAGAGGGCAGACTACGTAGGCAAAGCAGACGACGACGCCTTCATCGTCCTCTCGGAGCTGGAGCGTCACCTTCGCGTGGCGCCGCGCAAGCTGACCTACTGGGGCTACCTCATCAAGGACTGGTTCATGGGCGGCGAGGCCTACGCCATCTCTGCCGACCTCGTCGACTACATTGCCACGTCTCCTGTGGTGGCGTCTCACGCATCGGGCAAAGAGGATACGCAGACGGCGCGCTGGATGAGACAGCATCCTCGCTCTCACGAGATCCACTACGTATCGGAGCGATGCTACATCTACGACCACCCGAAGGCAGGAACAGCTTACTCTCATGGCTACTTGTTCCCGGACGAGGTGGCCAAGATCAAGCTTGAGGTGCAGCGCGGCCTGCCAGAGCATGTTGTTCGAGCTCGAGGAGGCGCGACGGCAGCGCAGTGGTACTCGACTGTCTCCAAGTGGCATACCAAATGGCAGCCGCGCAAGAAGGACTTGACCATCGAGGAGGAGCTCGAATCGCTCGTCGAGGGTGGAGGGATGTATGCTGCGTCTGGGTGGAAGAATGGGCAGCCCAAGGCGAGCGTGGATCGTCACGAAGTCTTCTTCGAGAGCGACGATGAGCGGCTCAAGTTCCCGTCGACTCGAAAGGTGTCGAGCGGCGTGGCTGCTACATCGGCGCGGATCATGGAGGACTGGAGGCTGAGCGCGGATTCTCACTTGACCATCTACGCGCCTTTCAATGACTCGTCGCCCGCGTCACATCGTAGGCACGACGAGGAGGACGCAAGCGAGATCGTCGTCGACGAGGCGGCCAGCGAGGATGAGCAGCCCGTGACGCCTGCGCTGCTCGATCATCTGCCCCTTGTTGGGGCTCTCAGGCATCTGACTGGCGGCGCAGCAGATCGTGACGATCCGAGGAAGCGGCAACGTGTGCCGTGGGCTGAGGAACACCTCACAGCTAGCCGCGAGCGCTCACAGCGTTTGCCCCTTCCGTATCCGGCGACGAGCTTCCCGCTAGCCAACGGTTCGAGCATCGAGCTGGCCGAGCTTCGTTCTCAACGCTATTTGCACCACGGCGATGCGGCGCGCGGCCACATGAGGGGAGGGACCGTCGTTGTGCACTACCTGAAGCGCAACGAGTGGTTCATGGAGACGGCGCTGCTGCTTGTGGGCAAGGACCGGTTGAGGGGCGATGCGGCAGGAGGGGCGTGGACGATGTGGGGCAGCCCGAGATTGCCGTGAGGCGCAGCGCTAGAGATGTAGCAGTGGGCGCCTGACAAGGCAGGCCTACACGTAAATAGTCATATCGATTCGTTACAAGGTACAACATGAGGAGCGGGACGTTGACGCGTAGTGACCGAGAGCAGCAATGCATCTTGCCGCCCTCACTTGGTCTTGTCCCGATCCACAAACTCCCAGTCGAGACAATCCTGACACTTGCTCTGATCGCTCAACTCGGGCACCTCGCCGATGCGGTCTAACCACTCGTCATCCTTGTCCTTGCCCTTACTTCCCTTCCATGGCCACCAAGACGCCCTACCACTGCCCCCCTTCTTGACGCTCTTCCCCTTCTCCCTTCTCACGCGATCCCCCCAATCTTCTGTGAGCAAGTCATCTACCAGCGTCGCGATGCGATGCTTGACGATATTCTCCGACCAACCCAGGTAGTACGTCGTATTGTAAAGTACCACATCCCCCGCGTGGCAGCGCGACTCCATTGCGTAGCCTGCCTGGCCGCAAAGCGAGGAGGAGCCAGTGCAGGTGCCCATTGGGATGGGGTCTGCCGAGTGGTAGACGTGAGTGATGGGCAGACGCGGCACGCCTGAAGTAGCATCGTTGTCGTGCTTCATGGGCGGTGGAGTGGGCAAGTGTAATCGCCTCGCCGCCATCCGTTCTGCGGGCGCTTCGAATGTCACGGCTGGGATGCCAAAGGTCATGCCGATCAAGCTGCTGAGTGCTCCCCCCAGTGAGTGTCCCGTGACCCAGATCTGTGACGTCGGGTAGGCGTAGGAGACGTTGTTATAGAGGTCGGTGATGAGCGGATAGTAGAAGGATTCGGTGAGGAGGGATCGCTCCAGGCACGGCTGTGAGCATTTAGTCGAGGAAAAGGGGCAGGGGCACACGGGCGACCATGTCCATGAGACGCGGGCGCAGCAGCACGAGAAGAGGAGATTGTCCTGGCGGGGTGCGAGAGTGGTGAGAGAGGGAGAGAAGCGTGAGTTTCATAGAGCTAGACATTGCTGACCATGCGATTGGCGCGCTGCCTCACGTTGACTTTATCTCTCCTCCCGGTATCGTCTCCACCGGGCAAGATGCCTGCGCTGGTCCCCTTGAGGGCCATCACGATGGTATCGTTTTGCGGTCCATTGGAGAATATATGCCCTCGGATGCCATTTTCGACCCACCCAAAGCTCTCTGTCAAGTTCCACCCTTCGAACCCATCCTCCCAGCTGGGTGGACCCGGTGGACTCTCATATGCGCTCGAGGACATCTTTGCCAGTGCGAGGAGAGTGGAGCGTTTCGACGTGTCTGGGACTATGAGATCGACGTCTTCCCATTCGAGGAGGGAGTGGAGAGAGGAGAGGGCATTGATTGCCATGTCTCCGTGAGCGGGGGATGGGTGGCGTCGTGCTGCCGAGAGGAGGCGGGCACGCTGTCGGGTGTAGGAGCGTGCATCGCGTAAACGACGAACTCGCTGAATTTTCGTTTGGATGGGACCCATTGCTGGGAGTGTGGGTGGTGGGCGTAATACGTTGGCCACTGCATCAGCGAGGTATGATTGTATGCCGCCCAGTGGCCAGGTGGATGGCAACATGACACCGGCTGAGCATGGCGTCGACGCCGTTGCGAGGGTGATGACGAGGAGAAGGATGGCCATGAGCCATGCGCGTGAGAACGTGGCCATGGCAGCAGCCATCGTGGGGTGATGATCAATGCTGATTTGCCAATTTAGTGTGATGGTCACAAAGGCAAAGAGGAGCTTCAATCAACAGCTCCACAGCAATGACGCCGCCACTGGCCTGCTTCCGCCCCTCTCCGTCCTGCGTAGCGTGGAGGGCGGGCGGGGCGTTATTGGATTTGCTCAGGTGCCTGAGAAAGGCTTCTTGCTTTGCCTCACACTTCATCATCTCCAGTAGGCCTCAATCGCACGCACGCACGCAAGCACGCACGCAAGCACATCGCACTCGACGATGAGTAATGGCCTCGTCGACGCAGCAGAGGCCAGCACCGCCCCACGCCCGCGTCTACGCATCATCTACGCATCAGCCACAGGGACAGCTCAAGACCTGGCCTATCGGTGCGGCAGATTGGCTCAGCGCAACCATTTCCCTGTGAGAATAGACGATGTAGAGCGGGTACACTTGGACGACCTCATCGAGCACGACGGTGATGGTGGTGGTGGTCATGTCGTGGTGTTTCTCGTAGCTACAGCAGGGAACGGCTCTTTCCCTCCCTCGGCCACCTCGCTGTGGAGCCAACTGCTCAGCTCATCCCTGCCCCTGGGTTCGACGCTTCAACGACTGCAATTTGCCATCTTTGGATTGGGGGATAGCAGCTACCCGCGCTTCTGCTGGCCAGAGCGCATGATGAGGAAGCGACTCGTAGATTTGGGGGCGAAAGAGGTCGAGAGAGGGGAAGGAGACGAGCAGCACTACCTCGGCCTCGACGGAACCTATCAGCCCTTTCTCGCAGCCCTCTTCGACAGGCTCAATGCGCAATATCCCCTGCCCTTGGGTATGGAGATACTGCCAGATGATGTAGCCCTGCCGCCGACGTTGGAGCTGCGTTTACTCGACGAGTGTGGCGACGAATCGCAGCTCCTTGCCCCCGCCGCCTCGACCACGACTCGATGGCTCCGCCTCGTCAAGAATGAGCGGCTCACCTCGCCCGACCACTTCCAAGACGTGCGTCTATTCGAATTTGAGGTGCCCACGGACAAAGAGCCGGACCTCAACTTCATCGCGGGCGACGTCGCAGCACTACGCCCAGTCAACGACCTGCAGAGCTGTCTGGCCCTCCTCGATCGTCTAGGCTGGACAAAGGACAAGGATCGATTCGTCCAAGTCTGGGACACGCAATCGCAGCGGGCCATCTCCCTGCCCGCCCTTACACCCACCGCGACAAAGTCGCAGACGACTCTCCTCGACTACATTCAGCACCACGTCACCCCATTCTCCGCTCTGCGCCCCTCACTTTTCCCCCTGCTGCGACCATTCGCCACGAGCGATGTCGAGCGAGAGAAGCTGGCGGAGTTCTGCACCCCGGGTGAAGGATACGAGGATGCCATGGAGTACGGCGTGAGGACGAAGCGCACCGTATGGGAGGTGCTCGATGAGTTTAGGAGTGTGCAGTTACCTGTTGCAAGGGCGGCAGAGGTCCTTGGTGGGGAGATGAGGGAGCGAGAATTCAGTGCGTGCGGCGTGCCGTGGTGTGGCACGAGAGCGTCGAGACTGACTGCGCGGATGGTTGAGCTGACCACACGACTCCCCCCCAACCCTCTCACGCCAGGCATCGCCTCATCCCCTTCGCTGACCCCTCGCCGTATCCAGCTTCTAGTCGCCATCGTCCAGTATCGCACGCGCATCCGCACACCACGGCGAGGCGTCGCCACGCGCTGGCTTGCCTCCCTCGACCCAAGCGACCCCACCACCCCGCTCATACCAGTCCAGCTCCGTCCCTCGACGATCCTGCGTCTACCACCCGACGATTCCACGCCCATCATCTGCGTCGGCCCGGGAACGGGCGTCGCTCCCCTTCGCGGCCTCATCCTGGAGCGCATCGCGCGTGGAGCAGGGGGAAAGGAGAGGAATACCGTCTTCCTCGGCTGTCGTTCTGCTCGCGATGACAAGTTGCTCGGCGACGAGTGGGATCAGCTACACGCGCAGGGACACGTAGCGGTTCACTGGGCTATCAGTCGCACAAATCAAGAGGGTAAACCGCGCAAGGGCGCCCGCGAGTATGTGCAGGATGTGCTACGGCGACAGGGCGAGGCGGTGTGGGATCAGATCTTGCTCGAGGGGGCGTGGGTGTATATTTGCGGGTCCTCGGGGAAGATGCCCGAGGGGGTCAGGGAGGCCGTCTTGGATATCGCGGAGGAGCACGGAGGATTGGAGCGCGATCAGGCTGAGCGATTTGTGAGCGAGAGGTTGGAGGCGGGTGGGCGATGGAGAGAGGAGTGCTGGAGCTGAGCGTGCGCAGCGAGGAGAGAGGGCGATGGATGGCAAGATGGTACATTGCAAATAGATGCCGCTATAGACGCCACGCCACGTCACGTCACGCCATATCATCTCGCGCCTTTTCTCCCGTCTTGTTCGTCACCCCACCCGTACCAGCACCCAACACCCCGCGATTGGAGTCCCCCACGGGTGGCACCCACTTGGACGTTCGCCAGGGACGGTTGGCCGCGCCCGTCTCGTACATGACGTCTACCTGCTCGACGGTGAGGCCGCGCGTCTCTGGTAGGACGAGGAAGGTGAAGACGAGCGAGGTGAAGACGATGCTGCCAAAGATGAGGAGGATGAAGGTGCCGTATTGGACGGAGAGTTTGGGAGAGAAGTAGGAGAGCATAAAGTTCCAGCTGCGTGCGCGGCGCGGCGTGGGGGAGAGTTAGCATGGCGAGCAAGGATGGCAATGATGTAGCGCAGCGCACACTCACAACCAATTGGCCGCAGCCCCAAGCGAAATGCTCTTTGCCCTCACCTCCTGCGGGAAGCTCTCGCTCAGGTACACCCAAGGCACAGGCCCAATCGAGCTACTGTACGCCGCGAGGTGAATAATGGCAAAAGCCACAAACGCGTTGCCCGCCGACTTTTGCGAGGCAGTGATCTGATCCTGCGGCGTTCCCGCGGGAGCGATGGCGTAGTGTCCCACAAAGGCGACGATGAATGCGCAGATGAAGCAGACGGTGTTGCCGAAGAGGAGGAGATTGCGACGTCCTACGCGCTCGATTGTGTACAGGGCGGGGAAAGTGCAGATGAGAGAGACGATGCCGAGGACTAGGCGTGAGGTGGGTTGGGAGAGGTTAGCGGGGGAAATGAGGAGCAGGCTCCGCGTGCGCCGCGCTCACTGAATTGAATCTGGAAGCTGTTGAGGGCGAGAGCGGCCGACGAGAAGAAGGTGGGGCCGTAATAGTAGTAGTAATTTTGGCCGTTGAGCCTGACGTGTCGAGGGGTCAGGAGTGAGAAGTGAGCTACGATCCGAGCTCGGCGGCATCGTTCTCGCTCGCGGCGCCCACTCACTGCTGGAAAGTCTGGAGCAGCATGCCCTGCAATGTGCGACGCCACAGCTGCCTATCCAGCGAGAAGCACTTGGCGTAGGCCGTCACGTAGTTGGAGTGCTTGAAGACCTCGCGCTCCTTGGCGATGAACATTCTGTGCGGGCGCGGCGTGTCAGTGGCGTGTGTACACAAGGCTCGCGCTGTACGCGCCGCACGCGCGACACTCACTCCATCTCTGCGAACTCTGCCTCCATGGCATGGTCGCCTCGCGGTCCCTGAGGGGAGTCATGCAGCGCAATCCCGCGCATCGAAGCCATCGTAGCCTTTGCCTGCTCGATCTGTCCATTCTGTAGCCTCCAGCGTGGCGACTCCGGCAGGAAGAGGACGAGGATCAAGAGGATGAGGCCCCAAAGCATCTGCAGGCCAATGGGGATGCGCCACGACGCCGACGAGTTCTCAGCCGTCTGACTTGCCCAGGCAATGCCGTACGACACGGCGATGCCCGTGATGATGAGAAGCTGGTAGCCAGACACGATCATGCCGCGGATGGCCTTGGGCGCCGTCTCTCCGAGGTAAAGGGGGCAGAGGCCGGAGAGTGCTCCGACTGACAAGCCGGCGATGAGCCTTCCCACCATCAACTGCGCCACGGCCGTCTCGGTCGCCGTCTGAATGATTGCGCCGATGACGAAGATGAGTGACCAGAGGATCATGCTCTTTTGTCGTCCGAGCCAGTCGGAGAGTGGAGCTTGGAGCAGTGAACCAAAGAAGGTGCCTGCACCGAGCAGGGCAGTGATGTTTGCTTGCGTGTCGGCGGGCAGCTCCCAGCCGCCCGAAGCGGATTGCTCGCCACCGAAGCGCAGCACAAAGTCCTTCATGATGAGGCAGCCCGAGATGACCCCGATGTCGTACCCAAAAAGGAACTGGCGGCGCGAGGCGCGGACAAGGGGCGCGAGTGGAGTGTTAGCGTGGGGTGAGAGCCATTCGTACGCCACTTGCCGTACTCACACCACCGGAGCAGACGGTCGACATGAGGAGAAGACATCGCGTGGTGACTTTGGAAGTCTCGTGGTGCGGTGTCGCCGTGTCATGGTGCCCACTTGCCATTGAGACGGTGCGAGAAACGGTAGGCGGGGTGAGGTCTTCCTTGGCCTGGTCGGTCTTGATTGGGGGTGAAGACGCGGACATGGTGGCGGGCAAGAAGAGGAGGAGGATGTGGGGCTTCAATCGCATGTCGTGTGCCCTCGCATCTTTATAGGTTGGACGATCTTGTGGAGCCCCCTCGCGAAGAGAACTCGGTATTCTCGCCATTCTCGCCATCAATGCGGTGTCTTTTTCTCTCGCACGCCTCTCGTCTTCTGGACGCCGGCGAGCCGCTGCAGGCGGGGCCCTCGGAGATTTGTCGCTTAAGATGCCGGGAGCATGACGTGCGGCATGAGGGGACGAGGAGCTTGTGTGAGCCGGTAAAGAAAACCGAGATTCGTCAGGGCGGCCCGATTAAGTCCATGGCGAAAGCTACGAGGGATGACGATGTGTGCCAAGCATGCGGCATCGTGAGCGGAGTGGAGGGTACCAATTGTGAGTGCGACTAGCGTGCCGTGAGATGCCGTGCAAGTTGGCTGCCGAAAGAAGCGTGGCGTGGGGCAGGGTGGGCGACAGGCCCAACCTCGTACGCTGCTGGGAAGATGATCGCAATGTCTTCCTAGCATCAAAAACTCCTGATAGCAAATGGACAGTCTCTGATATGACCACGCTGCTCTTCGATGGCAATCACGGAGCGTGTTCTCACAGGCCGCGCCGCGCGTATGAGCGAGATCAGCTTACCACCCTCGGCCGGCGGCGCGATGACAATGAGCCGAACTCCGCTCGCCATTGGCCGTCACGCCATGCTAAGATGACCCAAGACGATGGGGTAGAAAAGTAGCGCGACGCAGGCAGTCCGGACCGTCATCTCGGCAGCCACTACTTGCACGCCAACATGTCCACCACCAACTTCTACCCCCACTCGCTACCCGGCCTCACGGACCGCGAGGCCGTAATTGACGCCGTGATCCGCGCCTGCCACGCCATCGACGTGCGCGACAAGGCTCTGTGGGACTCTGCGTGGTCCACCACTCGCTCTTCGGAGGTGTCGATGCCCATCACCGGCCGTGAGACGATCAAGGGAAAGGAGGCAATCGACGCCCTCTTCGGCATCGCGTCGCGGCTCGACACGCACCACATGACCAGCTCGATTCGCGCCTGGATCCACGAAGGAGGGGAGACGGCCAGTCTAACGGCTGCGGCCACGAATCAACATTACCCTGCGGGAGAGGGGATCAAGGGCGGGACGGAGCGAGCCTTCATCGCTGGCTCGCGCTACGAGGTGGCACTAGTGCGCGAAGAGGGCGGGTGAAAGATGCTTACGTGGAGCATTGCAGTTGCGTGGTCTCAAGGGGATCGCGAGGCCGTCATGCACTGACGGCGAGGGTGCGAGGTGCGAGGGCGCGCAGGAATGGAAAGTCGATTCGCGATTTCGTATGATAGTACAAGAGAGGACCGTCGCCCACCGACCAATGGTACAATGAATGCGCACCGCCGCGAACGAATCAACGCCGACCCGGTGTGCTCTCCCTGCCTCCCACACCGCCCCGTTGCCCCCTCTCCCAACTCGCTCACGCCGAACCCACAATGCCGTTGAGCAGCGCAAGCCACGCGTCCGGATCATCGTTGAAGTCATTCATCGCAGGCGCGAGGTTCAGGCTGTCCCCACCACCCCCGCTGCCACCGCTCATGAAGGAGTCCCACGGCGTCAACCCGGGCACGCCACCCGCCGCAGTGCTAGGCTGCTGATCGTCGTCGAAGATGCGTTCGAACTCGTTGATCAGCGCCGGGAGGACCGACGACGCGCTGCACTGTTGAGGCGACGTGTGACCAGAGTGCTGCGCCATGTGCTCCTCGTTTGTGCTACCCAGCTTGCCTACGAGGCCCTGCAGCACGTCGAGGAAGCGCGGAGTGTGCCCTGCTAACGGAGCTTGGGAGAAACGCAGATTGTCCCTCGCCACGTCGGAGATGAAGGCGAACTTCTCTCGCAGGTCCTCCTCTGCTATGCATTTCCCGCCTTTGCTGTCCAGGATGAGACCGAGAAGCAGGACCGTCGCCGTGTGGTAGGGCAGGTTGCCCGCCGCGTACGCCTGGCCCTTTTCGTCGTCGTTGAGCTGCGCGGCGGCGAGGCGTTGCGCGCGCATGTCCTCGGTGGCCGTCTGGATGCAGATGGTGGCGGAGGTGCGGATAGGGTCCGTCTCCGGTACAGAGAGCTGTGACTCGAAGAGGGCAAAGAGGTTGGGACGATGCAGGAGGCCGCGGTGCAGGTGGTGGAGGCCCGTGAGGACATGGCGGTAGAAGCGCAGCTTGGGGAAGAAGGCGTCGAGCTTGTTGTCGACGGGGGCGTAGGGCGGGAAGCGGAGGATCGAGGGCAAGGCGTTGGCCCAGCGCTGCATCGACTGGTCTGCCTTTTCGATCTTGGTGGTCCCATCGGTGTGCCGGCGGCGGTTCTTTGACCAGGTGAAGGCCTCGTCGAGGGCGCGAAAGCAGGGGACGAAGGCGTTGCGAGCCAGCTGGAACTCTCGCTCTGCAAAGTCGAGGAAGTCCAGAGACTCGCGCTGCACCTCGATTAGGAGGCTAGGGTTGAAGTAGGCTGGGCGAGCAAAGATGAAGCTCCACTCGAGCTCGTTGAAGAGGACGTAGTACCAGAAGGCGTGGCGTTTGGCGGTTTCGATGGACGTTTCACCTTCGAGGGGCTCGCGGTGATGGAGTCCCACGTCAAGGCAGTGCCGGATCCAAGCGCCGACGGCATGCCAACAGGCGCGGGATGCGCGACGAATGTCGAGGTAGCGAACGGCGATCCAGTGTGCCCTGCGTGGTGTAGAGAGATGTTTAGACCGCGTCAAAGCTCGTCGTCTCGCTCCTCGCTCGCACGACTCACCAGCACGAATTGATATCGCACTTGCCCAAGAATTCGCAGAGAGTCAACGTCTTGCGACAGAGGAAGAAAAGGTGCTCAGAGTGTACTTTGACGTTCAATCCTTGCTGCGGACTCTCCATCGAGCCTACGCTCATGATGGCGAGGGCCAGGGCGAGGAGGGGTAGGCGCTCTGTGACCGATGCGTGGTCCGGGGATAGCTGGAAGTCGATGGAACATGCTTGGCGGGCATGCTGCTCGTCGATTGGATGGCGCGCCCAGTTCTGGACATGTACGGCGAGGAGAGAGGCAGCGATGAGCGATGTGTCAGAAGATATGGCGCCACGCTTTGCGGACTCACGAATCTGTCGAGGAACAACTGGCAATAGCCCATCCTCGTCTCTAGATTAGGGTATGGACCGAGAATGAGGCGCAGTTCTTCTTGAATGTGGCTCGGATGCGGTCTGCCCATGAGCGCATTCCACTCGAGGGATCGCGGGGACATCCCGGTGCTGCGAGTCAAGCCGGACAAGTTGGACACGGCGTCCAGCGCGCCTGGCCCTTGGTATCCTATATCTTGGTTGACGTACTCCGGCGCTCTCCCCCCTGCGTCGCCCACAAAGGAGGTAGCCGACGATCCTGTCCCTGCGCGAGGTCGCTTCATGATCTTGGGCAGCGGTTCAGGCTGCTGAGCGACGGCGACGCTGCTGGTGCTCTGCTCTGCGTCTTGGCCTTCGTCGCTCCCATCGGTGTACTCGTACTCGTACTCGTCGTACTCGTCGTCGTCGTAGTAGTCATGTTGACCGGACGGGGCAGAGTCTTCCTCGGTCTCTGATCTTCGCCTCTTCTTGTCGTTATCTTGGAAGCGCACTTGGCGTTGCGCCTGAGCGTCGGACGAGTTTGTGCGGCCATTGATGGGGCGACGTGGCTGCTGATGCTGGTTGCGATTGGCGCCGTTGGATGATGGGATGGGAGGAGGCGGCCTGCATTGGTCAGCTACTCCGCGATTGCGGCAATTGATGCAGGGGAATGGCGGCACACAGCGTTGCTTGCGCCGGACTGCGGGCGGAGAGGAGGGCGGCTTGGTAAGTGGTTTGCGCTTACAAACCTCGCTATCCCACGCCCACGCCCACGCCCACGCAGACACGCACAGCATTCGGAGCAACTCAGCCTCTTTTTGCGAATCGTGGGCGTCGTCTTTGTGCCAGCAGCAGGAGGAGGTGGTGGTGGTTTACTCTGCGAGCCAGACGCTGTGCCAGGCGCAGAGCCAGACGCAGATGGTCCAGCTGCGGTTGCGGGGGCTACGGCTGCGCTGCCGCTCCCTGGCGACGATATCTGCGTCGACTTTGGAGCAATGCCCGTCGCAACTCCCTGTGTTGAAGCAGGAGAAGTGGACGCAGCGCCAGCGAGGGACGACGTAGACGTAGACGAGGGCGAAGCGTGCGAAGCCTGCGCGAGGGGGCGAGGTTGACCGCCAGCCACGGGCGCATGGACGAGGTCCATGATGGCGCGCGCAGCAACGTCGTCGTCTGTCGTATCGTAGTGGTACTAATGGGAAGGAGGGCCAGGGGGAGGGGCGGCTGGCCACGAGCTAGTGCAAAAGTCGTTCGTATCAGCGTTGTCCCCACACGGCCCGTCCGCCCGCACGTCCGCACGGCCACACACGCACTGTGGGATCGGGCCGTCGTGATGCGTGGCTCCGTTCCGTTTGACTCGCCGCCGCACGACGGCAAAAAAAGTGGCCGAGGCAGGAGGGGGAGGGGGGGGGGCACGCAAGCAGGGTCACGCACGCAAACGCACGGCCACGATGTTGCGACGACGATACGACGACGACGACGTAGCATGGAAGCCAATTAATTGGTGGGATGGCGTGGTGCGAGGCAAGGGCGGGGAGGGGCAAGGCGGCGCTCGGTGGGCTGTGGGTGATCTCAGGCACGGCGGGCGCGATCGAAAGGCTAATCATCCTCCGAGGGGCGAGTGGCTGCCGCGTGACAAGGGCACACACGGCCATCCGTGATCCATCGTGCTTTCGAATCGAGTGAATGCGGGGAAGCCATCCTCGTACACCACGCCACACCACGTCTCTCGACGAGACCCCGAGCTCCCATGAGCCCCCTCTCCCCCCGCTCACTCAGCGCGCCACGATCATTTCGTGTTGCCAAGGCGCAGCGTAGCGTGACCTTTGGGCGCCCCCCTTCCGATAAGGGCCAGCGGGGCGGGCAGACAGACAGACAGACGGGCCGCCCCGTGTCAGCAAGACCCGACGCACATACATTTCTTTTCGGGCTCTGATAGGAAAACGCCGATGGAGAGCGGACTCGACTCGACGCTGACTCTGCGTGCGGGCGTGCGGGCGTCTGGTGCGGTGATTCTTCGAATTCGTTCAAGGAGAGCAACGAGAGTACTCGCCAACCTTGGATGGCTACATAATCGTGTGGGAGCGCTGCGCAGCATAACCACCTTTCCCCTTCCTTTCGTCCCTTCCTCTCCCTCCTCTACGCCTCCCCTCTTAATGCCCACAATGGCCATTACCATGGACCAGCACCAGCAGCCAACGACGAACGGCAACCACGCCGCCTCGTCTTCCAAGACGCCCTCGCACCGCCAAGCCATGCCTGGCAATGAGCAGCGCCGCGTCAAGCTCTCCCACCGTGCCCGTACTCGCCCCGCAGCAGGGATTCGCACCTTGTTCCCCAAGGAAAAGGTACCCGGCATGATCTCGCTCCTCGCCGGCAAGCCCAACGAGAAGAGTTTCCCATTCAAGGCACTCACCATCGACACGCAGGGCGCAGATGGCGAGGATGTCAAGCTCAAGGTCGACGGCGAAGAGCTCGCCGAGGCTCTCAACTACGGCCTCACGCCCGGTATTACGGGCCTCGTTCAATGGCTCATGGAGTTCCAAGCTCGCGCTCATAACCGACCCATTGGGCCTGACTGGAGGCTCAACTTGGGGGCTGGAAGCCAGGATCTGATCATCAAGGTGAGATGCGAGCGAGCAGCGTGGCGCGAGAACCCATTTGGAGCGTGTATGACTGACTCTCGTCTCGCTGCCCCCCGCCCCGCCTCTCCCAGACCTTCGAAGCAATGATGGACCGCGGAGATGTCATTCTCGCAGAGGACCCCGTCTACGCCGGCGTGCTCCCCGCCCTCGAGTCGCAAGGCTGCCGCGTCGTCCCCGTACCCACCAACCGCGATGGCATCATCGTCTCTCAGCTGCAGCACATCCTCGAGAACTGGGAAAGCGCTCCGATGACCAAGGACCTGCCCCGCCCCAAGTGCCTCTACACGTCTCCCACGGGCGGCAACCCCTCGGGAACCACGCAGACCGAAGCAGTCAAGGAGGGCGTGCTGCGCGAAGCCATCAAGCACGACTTTACCATCCTCGAGGACGACCCCTACTACTACCTCGAGTACCCCACCGCGGGCGCCCCCGCCTCGTCCGCCGTGGATCGCCCACGCCCACGCAGCTACTGGAGCATGGACTACGAGTGGGGCAACGGTCACGTGGTGCGCTTCGAGTCTTTCTCCAAGCTCATCGGCGCCGGGCTGCGCGTGGGTTTCGCAATGGGCCCCGCCTACATCCTCGACGCCGTCGACGCGCACACGGCCAACACGAACTTGCAGCCGAGCGGGCTCAGCCAGGTCGTCATCTACTCGCTGCTCCGCAACTGGGGTTCAGAGGGATTCTACAAGCACGTAGACCGTACAGCGGCAATGTACCGCGAGAAGGCTGTACGCTTTGAGGAGTGTGCGCGTCGTATCCTCTGCAAGCCCGGCCTCGCTCGCTTCGAGACCCCCACAGCGGGCATGTTCCTCTGGCTCGAGCTCAACCTCCCCGAGAGCAAGGCAGACACCATGGCCTTCATCAGCGAAAAGGCTGTCCCTGCTGGCGTGCTTGCTGTGCCGGGCTTCGTCTTCCTCCCTCTCCCGCAGCGAACCAAGTACGTGCGTGTGAGCTTCAGCAAGTTGGCCGATGAGGACTTTGAGGAGGCGTGCATGAGGTTGAAGAGGGCCGTTGAGGCGTGCTGGGAGGAGGTCGGAGAGAGCGTTCCAGAGGTGGGCGTTTGAGCGGCGCGTGCGAGGGGACGATGAATGGGCTTGCCCCGTTTCTTACACTACACGACTACTGTACATTCTATATCAATACGACATGCTCCTAATCCGCAACCTTGAACCTGCGCGAGACGGACAATCGATACGATGCAGTCGGCCGATTCGCAACGAAGAGCAACGTCGACCTTTGCTGACGCTGCCTGCATTCTCTCTCTACTACGCTTGATCAAGCTGAGGTTTCGATGCTCCTTGAGCGGGTCTCAGCTGAGCCACTTGTGGTCGAGGCGCAGCGCATCTGCCTCGCTATTGTCTATGAGCTGCATGTCATATCGCCGGCGGGCTAAGCTCAGACTAGCATGCGGCGGATGTCTTGTGCTCTGTAGCTGGCTGGTCACCTATCAGGGCTTAGGAAAGGGTGGTTGTGTGTTGGGTGTGGGGGTGCCTCGTTCTCTGTAGCTGGCTGGTC